GCTGGAGAAGAGGAAGCGGATTCTTGGCGAAGAACATCCTGACACCATCTCAGCCATGAACAACCTCGCTGTCACGCTGGGCGATCAAGGCAAGCTAGACGAATCAATTGCGATGTTGAAAAACGTATATAGGGAGATAACTATGCTCCTCGGCAATTATCACCCACTTTCAAAGGTTGTCTGTGCCAATCTTACCAAACGCTCGCTTGGACGATTTGCCGAGTTATACCTTCAAACTCCTCAAGAAAGTGAAGAGGAATTATGCCAGCAGACGCTGTCTGATTTCGAGCAGACCTTTGGTCATCAGCATCCGTCTAATATTCTCCTCGCAAAGCTTATCGCTGACGTCTACAAGGATCAGGACCAGCTTGATAAAGAAGAGCAGATGTACCGCCGAGCACTTAAGTGCTCGGAGGACGTCTTCTCCCTAGAGAACTTAGAGAACTCGACCCATTGTGACCTTGTTTCTAGTCTAGGGCAGCTTTACCTTCGCCGTGGTAAATTGGCCGACGCTGAAGAGGTGTTTAGACGGGAGCTACAAAGATATGAGAAGGCTCCAGGCCTTGAGCACACATCCCTGATGGATACTATTAGAGACCTGTACAAAGTCTATGTCCACCGTTGCATTACTCTGCGACAAGAGCAGGGTGTACAGCAACGCAGCGCACTGATTAATCTGAACGACGACATACATGCTAGAGATATGGTTTCTGCCCTCACTAACCTTTGCAAGAAGTTTGGCACAGTTTGGCCCTCATTTCTCAGCCTTCTTGGCCGAATGTTAATCTGGACTGGAAAGGACGATGACGCAGTTATTGCATTCCAGCATCAATTTCGCCTCGCTGAATCAGAACCAGAGCAGGGCGGGACCGTGTGCGACGGCTGCAGTAGACAGCTCTATGCAGGCATGCAGCGGTTTGTGTGCAAGACTTGCATTGATATCGATCTCTGCGACGACTGTTATGCAGATTACGAGAAAGAAGGACGCGAAACAGCCGAGAACTGCCAGGCACACACATTTCTTACTGTTCCTGGAGGAGGGCACAGCACTTTGGATTCTCTCTCTAGCATGGTGGTATAGTTTCATTTGTCGAGGTGGCGGACTCTATTAAGGGGGCGACCGAGAGGACAGCACGTAACTGGAGTGGCAATAATCCTAAAGCTCTCTTGGCCAACCCTCCGTGGCCATTGCCTTATGAGGTGGCGATTTTGTAGGTGTTCTTATGCTTAGCCAAGGGTGAGTTAGATTGCAAAGCCATGGGTAGAGGTTAGCTCACTTGCTAAGATTTCGCACAGCTCCACGCCTAGCAGCCACTATTAATAAAATTACACTAGAATGGTTAACTATGTAAGGTGGGATTGTTCTGCACTAGCTAGGATTAGCAATTGCTCTAATTGGAGGTAGTTACCAACTAGGCTAGTAACCATGTATCAATTTGTGCGAGGTATCGAGCAGGAAGCACAAGCATAGATAGGGAATGCAGGATAGGGCTAGAGAGAGAGAGAGAGAGAGAGAGAGAGTAACCCTTAGAGTCAGAGGCAGAGGTACGGAGGCCAAGGAGACTATATACCTGATGCCAAGCCCTAAGACATAACTGTAACGGAATTTGTGTACAACTGTAATAATATCTTCCTATTATTAGAATAACACTCTAAAGCTTAGGTAAGGCCCTTTTATGTGTATTAACTGTAAGTAATAAGAGCTTAACAGCGGCGCTCCAGCAAATACAGATTGTTTCGCTATAAAAGAAGACTCTAAGCAAACAAGGCAAGCAGCCAACAATGCAAATGTATTTTATAGGTTAGAAAGGTCCTAAATTCTCATCTGTAGCCATAGCACACTATTTAAGAACTCGACGTGTGCGCAGGGCTGTAGTCGCTTGAACTCCAAGGACCCCTTATATTTTCTGGCACAGTGGGTTTTCCGCCCATGGAGGTGTTACGACTGTCTGGTTGGGCAGAGGGGACACCACCAAGGCTAACTCCACGGAGGAAGGATGGTTCTACCAATCACGTGACAAGGCTGGGCTAGAAGATGTGCTCGCCGTGCTCGCTGCGAGCATGACGAGCATCTTAGGATATATAAGTACGGCCTCCCCGCAGTGTGCGGAAAGCCGTAGTAATTACTTAGTTATTACGGAATAGCTTAGGTAGAACAATCTATTTAATATCGTTCTTAACTGAAGCGCCTCTAGTACTTCCTTACCCATCACCTACTGAGTTCTGAAGCATAACGGTCTCTGACCTTCTCCTCCTTCATCCTCGATACTCGCCTCCTAGTCTACCGCACGGACCCCTAGGGCCGATCACCCTAAGTTGTCCTGCTACCAGGCAGGCTGTCGGCAAGTATCATCGTCACCCACACTCCTCCCTCCCCCTTCATACTACCTACCCCTCCTCTTGACCATAGTCACCGCAACTAGCACGAGGTAAACCCTTAGTGTCAGGTGAGATATCCCTAGCAGAGGGACGTTATTAGATAGACCCTTATGTCATTTGGCTTTCTTTGGTACCGGTTGAACGCAAGCCTTGCGCTCCCAGCCCATGAACTAGAGTTACATTGGACTAGGCTCTGATGGCCTAGGTCCTATATATCTCCAACTAGATTGGTCTACTGTAAGAAAAGTAGAGAAACTGATGGAGTCGGGGGGAAGCTAGGTGATATCTCAATCAATTAATACGACATATCCACACCCATCACAGAATATTAGCAGCACAAATTCAATTAATTCTATCTCTTACCAGAATTCAGCAGGACGTAAACACGATTCAAGTTTCTGTGTTGAATTACACCTAGCACGTTCTACGTTTGGTGCCTAAAATTCGCCGAGTCTGCTCTCATCAGCTCATAATTCCCCCAAGTGGAAGTCTAGAATCGCATGACCAGCATGCAGAGCTCCTATCATCTTCTACTTAGATACTATACTTCATTCCTAATCCACATCCTCCTCATCGTTTCCTATCCTTTTCATCATGATCTCGTAAAAAGTAACAACATAAAACTTAATATCATGACAACAGATCGCATTAAATGAGAGAGAAATAGAGAGAGACAACTTCATCCAAGGGTATCAGGCGCCAAAAATGGAAAGGCCAAAAGAGAAAAAAAAGAGATATAGACTCAACTCCCCCGCCCATGCCCGCCGGTCCGAAATCATATCATTCCACAAACATATATCAATCTGAGATGATTATGCAAATGCTTCAGTTTTTACTCGTCCCATGGAAAATCCTGCGGATCGATCCTCGTACAAGTCAAATACGGCAGCCCACCACCCTGACTTCCAAGATCGAGTTCTAGGAAATTTCGCATGAGAGGCTTCACGACGTCTTTTGCTAGATTCTTGATCTCATCAATACGACGCTCGAATTTTTTCAGGTTGTCGCGGTTGTATTGTTCGGGGCTCAATCGAAGGAAGCGTTTGCACTCATCATGGCCGAGATAACTCGGACCTCCCGTCCCAAGCAGACGGAAAACACGGCCGGTGTTGAAAGCTGTTGGGGGTGGCGGAGGAACAGCCTCTCCATTTCTCGAGGAAGGAGCGCGCGGAGATTTGAGAATAGGGGCTGGTGGAGGGGTTGTATTTTCTGCGAGCCATTGTCTGAAAAGACTCATGGCCATCCAGTCCAGCCAGTTATTGCTCGGTGTCACTCTTTCCCCTCGACTTGTCGTGAGAGTCAATCGAAACAATTTACCCTCGATTTTAGCCTTCAGCTCGTCCAATTCATCAACTTTATCCTCGATCAACTCCAATACTGCCTCTGGTGTCTGACCGCGCAGCTGGTTTATCCCTTGTGGCCACTGCCCCACGACATGCACCATGGCCTCTGCAAAAATTGCCTTGCTTCGTGCTAGATACCCCAGCTTAAGATAGCTAGGGGGATACTTTGCTATTTGCTTCCACAACCTGCCTTGGAATCGCAGCAGGTGGTGATCTACTCTCGGCCCAATGACTTCAAGGGCGTCGTACATGTCGCCGAGCTGGAGGAGGGACTTGCACTCCACGTAGGCATTGGCAATGTTGATGGGGTCGAGAGTAGGAGGATAATTATAGAATACGCGAAATAGATTGTCATAGTCACGAAACGTGTCGTCATCGGGGTCTTGTGCTGTTGCAGGGACGTGGAGAGAGGAAAAGTTAGCCATACTGCGGAAGAAGCCTGATTGAGGGGCTGGAGGCTTATTGCGCGGTGGCGGTGGTTGGGATTGGGGAGCCGCATCGCCGCCGAAGAGAGTAGGCGCGGATTTCTAGCCAAATGTAAGCATGGAGAGCAGTGTCAGATAGAAGTCGACTGACCTTCTGTATCAGCATCGGAATATCGTCGTCCCCGCCCCAATCCAGCTCGTATTTCCATCTCTTCTTCTCCTGGGGAGCTCCGGTGGGTATCCTCGCGAATGCAGCCGCGTTGTAGTTCTGCGAGGTGGTCCCTTCCCCAGCCATCGACCACTCGTCACTTGTGCCTGCCTCAAAAAAGCCCGAGCATTGCGTGAGTATCAGTTTGTGCAGCAGATAGCGCTGCTCTTTCCTCCCATTTGCAATGATTATCTCCACGTCGCCCGTGTGCGTGAACACCGGGAACTCATTCTGCGGCTGGTACGACGTGCCTCCGAAATGCGAGCGATGCGGGCGATGCCTGCGGACGGTCGAGGCGCGAGAAGAATGAGATGCGACGGAAGGAGGCCGGCGAATGGCGAGAGAGCGCTCTGCGCCTTGGGAATCTGGGTAGGAAACCATGCGCTGCTACTTCTAAACTACCAGCTCTTTGAAGCGTGTTTATTCGAGTCGCTCGGAGTGGACGCCGTATTCCGAGAGGTGTCGCGCTCAGTGTCTTACAGCGAGGTCGCCTGAGTCGCTGGATTTCGGGGAAGACTCTGGATTTTGAGAGGGGCGCGTCGAGCGAAAACAACGTGGCTGCGTGTTGTGTTGTTCCCACGGCGAGATGCAGGTCGAGGTGCAGAAGGGTCGGGATGAGCAACCTGTGAGAGGAGGCTGGTGGCCTGGGGTAATCCACCCCACCCTGGAGCGATGGCTAACAGCGGCCCCCGTTATCGATTAACTTGCGACGCGGTCGAGTCTAGGGTCTCCTGTGCTTCTTTCGCAGGTCGGTGGTGTGTTTCAAGAAGTTTGCGCAGGCAGAGCTGCTGTGGTTGTGGCGAAGTGGCTCACACATGGGCGTCTGCCGTATGCATCTGGCTTGCGCTTGGAGGGATGCAGCTCTGGCGAAGAGCGAGGCGCGTGCACCAATCGCCGCTGATATCCGAGCCAAGCGTCGAATCCGCCTTGGAGGCGACAGCTGGAGACCGAAGGCGAGACCACGGGATTGGAAGATATTTTGGCGGAGAAGCCGGATGATTCATGGTGTTGAGCTCTGCAACCCAGCGAGAGTAGCCGCAGGTACCATGCAAAGCCTCCAGGGGTCCACACTTCTTCAGCGGACCAAGTAGCATCGAATGATAATATTTACTGTTACTACTCGAAGGAGTCATAACGTGAGCATGTACTTTTAAGCATATATCCAAAGTTTCCGAATATCGCAAATGTTACTTCAGCTTTTAGTAACTCCCCGTCCCGTGCTTGTGATGGTCACCCTGGATTTTGTCCGCCCCGCCCATCCACGGCCGCAACACCTCCGGGATCGTCACTGTATAGTCATGTTCGTTCCAGTGATTTTCCAAAATACCGGCTAGCACTCTTGGTACGGCAAGGGCAGTACCGTTCAGCGTATAAGGGAAGTCGAGCTTTCGATTAGCCTTGTCGAGGCGCACCCGAGTATGGAGTCGTCGACTCTGGTAATCCGTGCACATTGAGGTTGATGTGACTTCACCCCACCCATCGTCCTTTTCCCTCCGCGACGGGAAGAAAGCTTCAATGTCTCGTTTTCTTGTGGCGCTCGCCCCCAGATCTGTGGTAGGCATCTCCAAAACACGGCAATGTAGTCCCAGGTTTTGTAAGATCTCTTTCTGTATGGACAGCATCTCATCGAAAATAGACTCCGAAGTAGATTCGGCAGGAGTGACAAAATACTCCTCCTCGACATTGTCTGGGAGGGTCCAGGCGAACATTTCGACCTTGGTGAATTCGTGAACGCGATATAAACCCTTTGTGTCGACCCCTCGAGCTCCAGCTTCTGCCCGATAGCACCTGCTTACTCCGACAGTCTTCAGTGGCAGTTCCACGTCCTCGAATGTCTGGTTTGCTTTCATTCCCGCAAGGGGAATCTCCGCTGTTCCTGCTAATGCTAGAGACGGCTTGGCTCTATCCTTGTCTGCCTGCTCGATAGTATAAACTTGCTGCTCTCCATTCTGGTCTCTTGGCTGGAATCCGCAAGCGGCCGCAATATGTGAATAGACGATCGACGGCGGTGCTACCACTCTCCACCCCCTTTTTTTTGCGACGCTAAGCGCGTATTGCACCAGCGCCTGTTCGAGCATTGCACCGTCGTTCAGGAGAAAGTACCAACCCCATCCGGAAGTTTGTGCTGCACCTCCAAAATCAATCAACCCGAGTTCGGAACCTATGTGGACATGAGACCTCCAGACGCGGTCAGATTTTGAAGGCTCGGGCTCGGGGTGGTCGTTTATATACTCAACCACTTCAGGCGTGTAACCAACAGGGGTGTGGGTGCTGCTCAAATTGGGCAAATCCTGGGCGAGGCTCTCCATCTCCTCTTGCAGCGAAGCCTCTCGCTCTTCGACAACATTCAACTCAGCCTTCAAAGTTTTCGCTTCATTGATTACGGTCTCTTTGCCTTGCGTTTGATGGATATCTCCTTCTGCATCCCCACTCCGCGATGCTGCATGGGCCAACTTTCTTCGTAGCTCATTGTTCCGTTCACGGAGACTGCGAGCGCTGTGCTGCAGAGCGAGCCATTGCTCATGGAGCTCAATTATTTTCCAGGGCGTCTGACTGTGGGCGGCATAGTTGCGGTCTATGCAGTTTTGCGAGTACAAACCTGGATTTTGTCGGATGTGCTTTAAGTCAATAGCGGGTTTCGGCGCAAAGGCGGGTCGCGCATAGCTACGTCTCGCGGAGTGTCGTCTATGGAGAGCTTCAGAATTGATGCGGAGCCACCTGGTTCGGCAGGCTGAGCAGTTCAGAAAAGAACCCTTCAGAATCTTCATGTTTGCATTGTGAGAATAATGATGCGGGGGGGAAAGAGGTGGAATGATGCAACAAATGAGGGTGCTAGCGCGCGGAAGCTTCACTGCCAAGATGTCCCTGCAGGGCTCTCCTCCGAGTCTCCGAGTCTCACTGCGATCAACCCTATACTCCATCCACCTTCGTCCTTGGATTTGATAGTAGATGCGTAAGCTAACTGGGGCATACGTGCTGTCCAACATCCTTCCATGCTTTTCTTTTTTTTCAGGTCTTGCGAATTGAAGGACACAGTTGAAGTTCATGAAAGTGCCACATGTGGCGGTACAGATTGAAACATTTTAGCGAGTGACGTTTCCTCCTGACCGTGAGTGACATTCGTGGCTCTTCAACGCCTTCGCAACTGCGGAGCACAAGGGGAGGCGGTCGCGTGCCTGACGGCCGTGAGAACCTCTCCTGAACAACTCGCTAAAGGCCCTTGTTTCGCACAACACTGTCAAAGACAACTCGTGCTCCATGGCTTGGCTGCGAGGCACCCATATCTTTTGTCAGGCAAGGTTCCGCCCGTGGAGTGGCTTGGATGCTTGGGTGCACACGACATGGACCAGACGACACGACGCTGCTGAGCTGACCGCCTCCTTCACTCCAACTCTCTGCCTAGAACCATTCATACATAAACACCTCCTCCTACCTCCCCCCCCCCTACCCGCATCTATCGCACGTCATCTTGCTCACCCTCAGTCCCCGTGTGACGTTCGCCCCGTTCCCGCAACTTGACTCCCTTGCATCTCCGCAACACCTCCGCACCCCGCCAACACGCCATGCACGACCCCTTTCCGCTCCCTAGGCCAACAGACCTTGCGGCATACATCCAACCTGTTAGCGAGTTCCTATCACTCAACTCCCTTCACTTGCACTTCCATGAGATAGCCGTCGCATTTGCCTTCTACCATGTCACCAATGCGTACATCGCCCCCGTGCTCTCGATGCGGCTGATCCCAAGGATATATCCAACATTCAATGCGCGAACAAGGCTGAATTGGAATGTCCACATTGTGTCGTTTGTGCAGAGTACTCTCATCTGTTCTATGGCGCTATGGGTCATCTTCAATGACAAAGAGCGTGCAGAGATGACCTGGCAGGAGAAAGTATGGGGCTATACAGGAGCCTCGGGGCTCATCCAAGCATTTGCGACTGGTTATTTTGTCTGGGATCTTATGATCACGTTGCAGAACATCCATGTCTTCGGGCTCGGAATGCTAGCACACGCCGTTTCCGCTCTGTTCGTCTTCTCTCTTGGCTTTGTAAGTCTGCTAAGGCCCAGGTTGTTGAGCAAAAGGTGCTAATCAGTGCACTCAGAGACCCTTCCTCAACTACTATGGTTCTACTTTCATTCTCTACGAGCTCTCCTCGCCCTTCCTCAATATCCACTGGTTCTGCGATAAGCTCAACATGACGGGCTCAAAGATACAGTTCTACAATGGCATCATGCTGCTGCTTACATTCTTCTCCTGCCGCCTGATGTGGGGAAGCTACCAGTCCGTCCGCGTATTTTACGATGTCTACCGTGCTCTCACGGCAGGCCACCCCACCATCAATGACCCCGAGCTCGGCAAATTCAATAATAGAACCACGGCGTCAGAACTAGTCCATGGGGACGAGATTATGCAATTTGCAGGAGATCAATTTGTTCCCGTATGGCTTGCAGGCTGCTATCTCGCCTCCAACATCACTCTGAATGGCCTCAATTGGTTCTGGTTCGGAAAGATGATTGAGACGCTCCGCAAGCGATTTGACCCACCCCTTGGCACGCGCAAAGCTGAGGCAGAGCTAGAGAAGGAGAAAGTACTTGTGGAGGGCATCGACGTGGAGACGGAGGCGAACACTCCTGCTCCCCTCACACCGACACCAGGCTCGGCTGAATCTAACGAGAATGTCGAGAAAATCGATGATGCCCTCAAGAAGATGGTTTCAGCTTCAGGAAACGATACCACGTACTTCTCCGTCGAAAGAAACGCCAAATCCCTAAAATTAGAACAGCAGGAAGTCAAGAGTCGAGCGGGGAGACAGGCAAAGCAAGGCAATCGGTTGATGGGAGAAGCCGCTCGAGGCGCATGAGTCAATTTGGGGGTAGGTGCATATATATTGTAGTAGTATTCTTCATCGACCTGGTGTCATCATTCTTCCAGCCATATATCGGACTTGGAAACTGCGAACCTCTATGTTGGCAGTATCAAGATTCAAGACCCGTGTTGCAGAGTTGTATTGACCACGTCTGCAGCCATTTTAATTCGCTGTATTAATATTTCGTATATCTGAGTAGACGCCCCGCCATCTATATTAATCACCCTTACTCTTTGTCAAGTTGTGTCTATAACTTTGAAGTCCTAAAACTTGAACTTATTGTCTTCGAAATTTTCTGGAGCCTTGAGGTCTCCTCTAGCCATTGGGAATGCTCCAATCAGTCGCAGTGACAGTTTTGAGCGCATGTGACTCGAAATAGTGGAAGGCATGATCCTCACAATCCCTCCAATTCAAAAAGTAGCAAGCCAATACAAAGGTATAAGACGCGCGACCTCTTACGTCCCCAGCTGTTAGATCACCATGGAGCAGCACTGAGCCACCGGCGAGCCTACATCTATCAGTGCCTGCAAAAACGGGATGACCATCGACTTATCTTATTCACGTGACAGCTTCAAAGGCTTTGCTGAGTTCCTAATGATAGAGAGAGTTCCCCATTTCCAAAATCTGACAATCTTTTGTTCATAGGAAGGGTAACTCTAGCTCAGGGCCAAATACTCCACAGACCTCCGTTTATGGGGACTCAACTGGTTCCTTTCTCGTCTCTACTTATTCAAGACCATTCTACCTAGCTCAACTGACCTTCCAAGGTCTAGTATCACCATGCGCCCAAAATACCATTTGCTTCAAAGTAACCTTTGAATTACTTCACAGAATATTCTCGCCAAAATATTGACACTATTAGGATATATTCAAGCCCTCAAACCTCTTTCTAGAATTCGTGAGGGGAAAAAATATTTCAAGGGATGCAAAATTTTGTCCTAAAATATCTTTACCATACCCCACATTAGGCAGTAGGATCCAGTCCACGCCATTCTAGTATTCTCACAAACTGCCCACCCATATATACAGATCCCCCTCCTCTTTACCTCCCTACTTCCCTACTTGCCTCCTTTAAGATAATAATCCAACCCATACCCCAACCAAGCACACTGATCCACATCCACAAACCCCTCCTTTCTACCCGGAAAATCTAAAAACCTAATCGGTCCTCTCGGCCCACTAACTTGCTCCCATGGCCCTGTTCTCCTCACCCCTTCGATTGTCTTATCATACCCTCTCACTCTCAAATACTCGGGATCTGGATTTGGTGTCTGAGTTTTAACGAAGCTTGCAAAATACCCCGACACAAGCTGAACGGAGTATAAATCGTTAGGGTCGCGGATGGTGGACAGAGTGCCGAAGACCCAGGGCATGTCTGCGCCGTGAAAGCGGAAGTAGGGGTTGTTTGGGTTGTTGTCTTTGGGGCCACTGAGGTTGTTGGGGTCGTACCCATTGATTGTGCGCTCAAATTGATAGTAGAAGGCTTTCTCGAAGGCCCCGGATATAGCGCCGGCGTAGACAGTAGCTTGGTCGATGCAGCGAAATGTTTTATCTGTGGCGATACGTTGCGAGACGTTGAAGGAATCGAGAGTGAGGTTTCCGGTATCGTAGTAGGGGAAGAGCTTTGAGTCAACGATCTTTTGTGCCCAGGTTGAGTTGATGCCGAGAGAGACTTGAAGGCCTTGAGTGTGATTCGAGATCGGTGTTTTAGGGTAGGTAGAGAAAGAAGCGCCGTCGTCGCGGGTGACTCCGAACATGACGGGGATGTGAGCGGTGTTTGCGTTACGGGTGGAGAGTATTAGATTCGGCGTGTTAACATATTTGCCATCTTGGACAACGTATCTGGCTACTGTAGGTAAACTGACTAGCTTCAGGGCCGGGATTTGTTCAAGGCAGGAGATTTGGCTGGTCACTTGGCCGCTGTTGCAACCCGCTGCCGAGAATATCTTCGATCCGGCAACAGCATATGACTGCTCAATGGTATAGTAACTCGAGTAAGTGGTCCCATAATCTCCACTCAGCCCAAGGGTAACGCCTCCTCCCAGATTCGACATTGCAACAGCTCCTTGATACTTTCCAATCGCCTGGGGGGATCCAAGGAGTGTGCGGACAGAACCAGCGCCAGCAGACTCTCCAATAATGGTAATTTGTTTCGGATCACCACCAAAAGATGCGATGTTCGCAATGGCCCAGTCGAGGGCAACGATCTGATCAGCGATGCCGTAATTCCCAGTGATGTTTGTACCCGGGATAGCGAGAAATCCGAGTGTAGAAAGGCGGTAGTTGATGTTCACAACTACAATGTCCTCCCTGCTGGCAAGATTACCCCCTGAGGAAAGAGGGTCTGCTCCACTACCGCCCGTGAAGCCGCCACCATGGATCCAGAATAACACAGGCCGCAGGTTTTGTTTAGATCCTGCTTTCGGCATATATGGAGTTTCAATATTGATGAAAAGGCAGTCTTCACTGCCAGAACCACCTTGAGCGCATTGCGAGCCGTAAGCCGTAGCTTGGATGGTCTGTCCCTTCTTGGAGTACATGGAAGAATACTTCCATCGCTGAGGGGGGTCAGCGTACGGAATGCCCAAGAACCGGAAAGACTTCTGATTGCGGAATCCCACGAAGGTATTCCCTCCTGATACGACGACGACTTCGCTTCCATCCACTGCTGTGGCGCTCGAAGAACCGTTATTTGCAGATTGCGTACATAAGACTGGAAGAGTTCGCCGGGAGGATTGGCTAGAGGGGAATACAAGCTGGTCCTCAACAATGACGGTACCATTCTCAATATAGTAACCATCGGCCGCATTAGAATATTCTGAATAGTCCTGGTACGAAAGCGCTCGAATGAAGTCCGACTTATATTTCTGAAGTATGGACTTGGATAACAGTTTCTCGTTCAATGCAGCGCATGCTGCTGAGGCGCTGGCCCGTGGTACTTCGCCGAGAATAAGTGCTCCGACGTGATTCTTATCATCCGATAGGTTGAGGTTATTTTGATATATAAGAGTTAAGGAGGTTTGGGCGTTGGAGGCGTTAACCGGAGTTCTTAATTCCAACGGCTTCGGGTGGGCTACCGCTATGAGAACGCCAGCCACTACAACAAGACCGGCAAGAATCGCCATGCGAGAGAACTGCAGAGATACTGCAGAAATAGCTACCCGATTAGAATTTGAATTGAAAGACCGTGTAGAGAGTGGATTGTCGTATGGCAATGGCATGATGTCTTTATGAATACATCAGCGGCCCCGGGGACCCGGAAAGCGTCCATCAATTAGGTAGATGGTTTACTCGCTAGCTACAATTAGGGAATGGCTATATGAATATATTGAACTAAACATTCTGAAGAGCACGGTTTCCTGGGATGAGTTTCCACGTTTCCACTCACATTGCAGATCATTTGCTGGGCAGGGGCAAACACGGACCTGTAAATGCTTAAATCTCTCCACCAACAATCTAATGTATTCTGATTACCCTAGCTCTTTGATTTTCGTCAAGCCTTTCCCTATCGTGAAGAGCCTTGAAGCTGCGAGATTGGGGCCATAGTCTCAATTCACCATCGTCTCCCTCGGCCTTAGCCGTGTTGAATGAGATTCTGCCATTGATCAAGGAGACAGCTTTCCGTGCGTGCCTGGATTGCGATCTGACGACTTCATTAATCTCCCTCGGAGCGCCGGAATCCCTGATAGCTTCACTATTATGGAGGGGTCGAGCCACTTTAGCCGTTTAGGCATCTTGCGAAAAGGTGGAAAGTGGGTTATGACATTACCATAGTACTTTCAAAAAAAAATGTTCGAGTTGCTGTTTGTTGTCGAAAAGCAAAGGCGTTCTTGATGCAGGCAAAATCATGAAAGAATGTTGGAGTCTGCACAGCCAATAGACTGTATGAAGTCGTTGGGGAGATAGGTTATGGCCGTGTGGGCGGGCGAGAGTACGAGGTTGGTCTAGGAGGCCTGCCTCCCTCGCCATCGTTCAATTACCAAGTCGGAATGCAACCTAAATATATGGCTAGGAAATCCTATAAAGAGTATGTCCTTTCTGGTGAAGCCTTCCAGTCGCCTGAGGTGCATAGCCAAGCTAATACCTGATCCCGGTTCTTCACAGCATGGCATCATATAAATCATTTTGCTTGAACATGTGGAGTTGATATGTTAAATCTCTTGTATGAAGCTAAGAGGCCGCTAAAAAGATGCTGATGTCTGCCCTAAATCAGGTCCTTGTATGTGATTTCAGATGCAGCCGTCAGGCTCTCAAACTTTTAACAACACAATCCTCCAGTCACTCCAGTCACTTCCTCCCTCGCTGCAATCTACCTAAACTCACCCAACCCTATAAAAATGAAAATCTGTTTCAAGTGGTTCGCCTATATAATTTTTATCTTCGATTTTCTAATAAGAATCAAACATGAAGCCGCGCGGTCTGTTCAGTTAGCCCTCGAGCTACTAGCATGAGTGAAAATGGGTAGGTAGTTAGATTCCGGGATGGAGGACCCTCTGAGTCTCGTTCATTAATTATCCTTCCTTTGGAGTGAGGAATACTTCAAAATTCTTAGCATCAACTAAGTTTATATATTGTGCATTTTGGGGTGGTGAGACGCATGGGTGGCTTGCACGGCTGCAGACGTACTTTGGAGCTCTAGCTTCAAAGCATCTTGCAGCTCTTTTTGGAACGACCTTAAGTCTAACGTGAAGCTGAGAATGCGGTCTAAATGCTTAGATACAGTGGTATCAAAGTAAAATCGTGATACTTTGATGTTGTACGACAAGGAATCACGCAAAGTGATTTTGAAAGTAACTTATCTTCAAAGGAACTTAGACGCCGTGGCATAGGCTCTACACAGAAATATCTCCAAGTCCGTAGGGATTCAAGATCGAGACCGAGATAGAGTGCTCATATAATTCTGAGGATGAGGGGTAACGAGAGATGCACATGACGGAAATGGAAGGAGGAAGAATTTAGAATAGGTGAATTGGTAAAGTGAGCAATACCGAAACTACACGCTCCTTCAAACCTTGCCAGAATCTAACGCTATTGCCATGCCGAGGGTGTGCTAAGCCTTGGGAATCCCTAGTTTCAATGCGACTCATTCATAATCATCATGTAGTAATCCTGCACTCTCCTCATGCCGGTATCGTACATTCCTCCAAAACGGGCGACCATCTCGAGTTTCTTGCCATCCCTCAATCCTCCTTGCGGCCTTGAAGCCCCAGTGCCACGCTAGACCTGCAATAAAACCAACTGCATCATTCCTGAAAGCGAGCAGAGCAGCGATAGTGATGAGCATGACCACCCACCTCTCTTTCCTTTCCCTCTCATCCACCTCCTTCACCCGTTTGCCATCCCACAACGAGTCACGGTCCAGGACACGAAGATCTCGTGCATCAGTATTAACACTTTCTCCAACTTTCGCAAGTTCGATGCCTGCAGCTAGAACGAGTATTCCAAGTAGCGATTTAGGGATGCCAGAGATCACACCAACAATTGGGCTAGGTTTCCAGAGCGCAACGATTCCGAGGAGAAATTTGATAAAGCCGAGAAAGATGATACTAGATCCGCTTCGGGCACCGAAGCGATATTGGCCGGCGAGACCGCCAGAGCCGTGGCAGGCTGGCATTGCGCCGAACCAACAACCAACGAGGTTGATTGTCGCAACGGAAATCCCTAGTTCTGTCACGGTAGGCGCAGCGGGATACGGAGGTGATGGAAGCAGATCAGAAGCTAGTGCTGACGCTGCAATCACGGAGTTTAGTAGGGTGAGGGGGAGCTGGCCGAGGGATGCAGTAATCGTCGCTTTCCAGAAAACTTGTCCAGACGGGTGAAGGATGGGAATTGCAGGGATAGAGCGATCATCCGGAGTATGGTCCGTCGGAGACAGAAGCGATAATACAATTCCGAGAGTAAAGACGATCATGGCGTAGGGGAGCTTCGGGTAAGGATAAGTGAAGAGCAAAAACAAAGCAGCAGCGATCGCCCAAATGAGGTTATCTCCCCACCACTCTCCTATCCACCCCAGAGGAGCGAGGAGCGAGGATCCAGCGCTGAGACAAAGAGATAGACCAGCTCCAACCTGGATGCCCTTAACGACTGGGACTGGCGTAACTCGGCTAGCCCAACTGATCAATCCGGTTATGCTCATGATGCCAACCAAACTCGCAACGACTAGCCCAGCAGCTGCATTCTCTTCGAGCGTGAATTTCCGCGCAATAGCGACAGCTGCAATAGCCTTCATAGGCTGTACTGGAAGCGGTATTCCAAAGGCAGCACCGGTCAAGATGTTTGCAGCGCCGGTGAAGAGGAGCGTTGAGGGCAGCGAGATTGAGCGCGTAAGAACCAGGGCCGTCATGAGTGGAAGGAGTGTTCCGAGGTCTCCGAGCGAGCCAGAGAGCTCAGCGAGAGGCTGGGATCTGAAGGTCTCGACATTGTATTTGTGTATCCGCTGAAGGTGGGGAAGGGGGTTCAGTGCGAACATCACCATATCGTGGAACAATAGACCAGAAAGATAGAGAAAGAGAAATGTAGCAGAGGCGAGCTCAGGAACTATAGGAAGGGAATATCATGATATTACAGCTGCGAGGTGCAAGTGAGCTGGAGGTTTCCGCCTTGGAGAAGCTTGACAGAGCACGAGCACGAGCGCTAATGCGACGTCACCAGGGTGTCCCACGTGGGCGTTTCAGGGCGCTGATCATTGATGAGGTTTGGGAACAAGGCGGAGAAACCCAGGACTTCAAGCAGACAAACGGCACACTGTTTGCAGGCAGTCCCACACCCAGCAGCATCAACGTCACGCTGTCCACGGTCGCTCTGCCCCACGGAAACCCTCCTCCGCTCTCCCGGGAAGTGACTGGAACTCACGGGCCACCATTATTGCCTGCACAAAAGGTCACCTGCAGTGTCATATCCACTAACTCTAGGATTCTAGTTGTCCTTCGTCCCCTTTGAGAAGCTTTCCTAGTAATGCTTTCTAAATAGGAAGCTCTATGAAATGCGATATCGGAGACAGGGCACCAAGGGCAGCTTTCTCGTCTCTTCCTATGCCTCTTCCCCAAAGAAGCACTCATCGTTTCCATTCTAAATTTCACAATATTTATATCGGCCAATATTTCACCAGTCACTTCTCCGTTACGCGACGTCCGGTCTTGAAATCACGTGTTAAATTCCGTCGCGGAATGCGAGCATCTTTCGTAACCTTCCATTTTGTCACAGTACTTTGACTCTAATCAAGATGCAGATCCTGATCCTTGCACTTATAAAGGTAGTCGATGGCCTTGTCGTGATGGGACAGCGAATGCATGCTTCATTGAATTTGAATTTGAATTTGGCACTCCTTTCAAATGAGTTGAAGAAGTATGCGCTGATGCCGGCCCCACCATGTCGTATGACTAGGAAGGGGGAGGTTTGAATAGAGTTTCTCTATTCAATACCGACAATGCAAAATGAATCGTCGCGCAGTTACCATTCGTGCTGGCAGGACCACCAGGTTAGCCAATCACTCTGAAGTTACTACAACCAAGTATAGTATGTTATTCCCTTCGAGATGAGCCGTGACTTAGTGGTCGACTACTATACATCCCAAGTTTCAAGTGCAAACCAGTATCCCTATTAAGAAAATACTCGATTGGAGCAATGCCGATTTCGGCTGCCATTGGAGTCGAATACATCATTATAGAAAATTTACCAGGAATTAGATTTCACTACAAATGACTAGAAATGAATATGGGAGATCAAACTAGGTCTATAGACTCTATCTGTCGAAAACTTATAGGGATGGTGTTTTATTGCTAAAAGGTCAACCTCCTAGCTAGCACAGCAGAAGCATATATATAGGCGGATAATTGTATGCGGCAATTGTATGCGACAGATGGTTTATCTTGAATTTCAGGACTAAGGTAGCCTGTTCTGTGCGGCCACACCCAATGCGGCCCCGTTGAAACTGTCCCTGAACGATAAATTCTCCATCAGTAGCCACTGTGAAGCTTCTTCTTAGAAGTACCATGTCGGCCAACCGAGATGTTACACCAAAGTCAGCCCAAATCTAGGACCATGTAAGAGCTACCTATAGGCGAGCAGAACAATGGCTAACCTCTCATGGCCCCCGACCTCTTGGCATACTGTGGTGGTCTCGTCGATACAAGAATTTCCAGAATTCCACCAGATGGAGTTATCTCAAAACGACCCCGTTATCACGAATCCATTCAAACGCACCACGAACTCCTCGAGCACGCTCGAGCGATGGTAAAGCAAATGGCAAATAATCTTGGGATCTATAGCGCTGCTAGCCCGGCACTTTCCACCTTAACTTTCATAAAAGAAACATCTTTGTCCCAGAAAGTGCTCCTACCATCACCATAGTCATCATTGATTATTGACTGGCAGTCGACTAGCATTGAGCCAGCCTTCTGTTATGCAGACGAACTACCAGACCTCATCCTTCATAGGAATATCGAATAGAGATGGAAGCGAGGCATATGCTAAAATGTATAACTTTGTACTTAGTAATTCACCCCGAAGCTTTCAGAACCGAGAGCAATGGATGGACCTTTCTACCAGCCCTTTCGCTATTACTACAAAGCCTGGGAGGATGGTGCAGTTGTCTTTCGTGAAGAGCTGGTCCTGACCATCTACTAAACTATGGAAAAGCCTTCGCTATTGACACTCTAAACACACCTTTGAAGATGCCCAACCGGAACCAGAGACACAAGCCTCGAAATCCCTGTAGCTGAATGCTCGATTGAAGTGGTTTGAAGTCCCCGACGGCCACTAATCCGACCAAAAATCCCGCCACACCCTTAGAAAGTAATCCATACTAATCAGTGGACAGCTTGACGGGTGGCGGGCGAACTTCCCTCTCCTATGATGCATGATTAGGAAATAGTACCGGATTTCTAACAAGCAGAACCTCATGCATCAATTCATAGAACTCACGCTATTTTCGTGCCTCTTCACTCTCACCCTTCGAGTTAGAATTCGATTAGGAATTGAAATCGGACACACGGTCTTCGAGAACAGAAAGGAACTCAATGTCTATCATCAATGCATATTACGTCTTGCACAGAAGGCATATGTTGGAGTTTGCCTCACCCGAGGCGATCCAACCAATGATACAGCGGGGCCCGAATACATGGCCGTGACTACCCTCAATGCTCTTGATCGAAATGCAGTGTGCTTTAGGCTGTCAAGCTTCTTCGAGTCGTCAGATTGGGCATTCAGGGCCGAGCGGATGGTCAGATTGAGTAGTGACAAGTGGAGAGCGGTGGTACATAAATCAGAATAGGGTGATGTGTACGGGCTTTGAATCTAATGCTTCGAGATGATATTGCGACTAATCGTTTTGCCTGTGTTATGTCCTAACTCACGCTATCCATTGCGCTCTGGTACGATGATCAACGGACTGGCATGAATTTGAATACGGAATGGCGTTACTGTAGCCTGTATTATGGTTGTGATCTGGATGGGGCAGGATTGGCTCGATTTGTAATTTAGCAAGGAGGGCACCCTCTACGGAGGAATCGTCGTCAGCGTCGTCGAGCGTGCTTCTGCAACTCTCCGTTGAAGTTCCTCCGTCAAGGTGTTACCATATTCTATGGATTCTCGCGACCCCTAGTACGAGCATGGAATTCTCTTCCTCGTTGGAGCTCGACATGATCCATTTGAAGTCAGTTAAGAAGCTAGAAGTTTGGGATCCGAAAAGGTGAGCTTATTGAGGCGCTCTTGAGACGGGGTTGATCAGCCGTTGTCAACTCTCAATTGTAGTCATGGAGAATCGGCGGACGGTAAAGGCGGAGGGCGGCCTGCTTGGGAAATATTATAAGGCTACAGAAGTAATATCACTTTAAGGCACTTAGCTGACCGCACAGAGCGCTGTAAACACGCGAGTGAAACCTAGGCAAATCACACCCCAACACAATGTCCACCTCATTACAGCATAGAAATATCCCCCGCTGCACATCTCCAACTACCAAATGTAAACCACAACCCTCAGAATGGCGCCATCAATTTCCTTCCGCCATTTCTTGGATGACAATCCCTAGCACCGTTCATCTACCTTTATCACTTTCAAGCACGGTCCTATCTTCCACGAGCCGTATACACTGAACACACCCCCGTCTCCGTTGTCAGTACACCAGGCTGCAAAAACCATATATTTGGACATACGTATCTACTCAGATGACTTTTGTGGGAAGAACCGAATTCCTACAAATACCCCTTCTATCAAACACCATCAGTCGCCCCGCCATTCGTAGATAGGCTTTCCGAGGTCACGATAATGCGTTCCAAGTCGTGCTATGCTACAGCCACAGTCGCAGCTACAACGATAAGAGTCAAGAGATGTAATAGTCCGAACACCTGAAACGGAAGGATCCAATGGCATGGACTTCGTCCTTCTTTGGGCGATCGTGGCAGCTGATGCTGTGTAAGGTGACATATGAGTAAGTTGTGACGCGGAACATCCGCTTAGGTAAAAGCAGTTCGCTGGGGAATTCGGAAGGGCGTTCGCAGGCCCTTGGGTGGTTGTTGGAACGTGGATGCGATACTAAATTGATTATATTCTTCATAGGGGTGGGCGGTAATGGTCGGCTACACGAAGTGAGGAGATCGCCGCGTTCTACTCAACGCATACAATGTAAAGTCTCATTAGAGCCTAGTAGTACGTATTTATTCCTTGTGAATTTATTCGACCTTATAAGACCCTAAGATTCGAGAAGGGTGTACATCTGCCAGCCCCCCATGCTTCTGCTGGTGATACTGCAGTTATGTCCGTTCTACATCCCCACCACGTATCTATGGTTATCTGTCACTTGCGTAACTTCCAACTTCATGCCCACATCAACCTTCCCACCTCCACCCCTGGGCACGCATAGCATTCCGAAGCAGGGTTTAAATGTGATGCCAGGATCTACGCGCCTATATTTCATCAACGTATCCCACGGCTGCCTCTTATGCTCCTCAGCTGTCTCCGGATCCACATTGGGGACATGACACCTCGCACATCTAGCCACGACATCCAGCTTCAAACAATCAAATCCAAACTTCCAGCCGGAAGCACCAGCAGAAGGCGTCAAGCGGATGCTCTTCCAACGATCTTCGCTCCAGGGTTCATGGCCTTGGACAAGGATATTGGGGCGAAAGCGGCGCACATCAATATTGAGATCCTCAGCCATCTTCAACCGCTTATTCAGCTCTGTGATACTCTTTTCACTCCCTACAAGCAACGGCATCAGGTCCGCAAAGCACGTCGATGCATCCCTGCCCAACATCTTTCTCGACCCATTTCCGACTAACGCCCGCGGCGAATCCGACACAGGCGGTTTATACACCAGCCTCACCTCCTTTCCAAAGAACTTGTTAAACGGTCCTGTGAGCGCAGTCGAGTAGCAATGCGCTGGTGTAGTGGTACTCCAGACTGTCGCTGGCACTATTTCCGTGTTCGCAGCCAGCCACTCGGAGGTGGGATGTGCAGGGATAAAAAAATATAGCTTCTCGTCCATGGTGTTGGGGGCGGGGGCTGTGATGCTGAGAGTGTCCGTTGTGGCGTCGTACGAGGGGCGGATTAGAGTCATTTTCGATAAATTGCGGATTGTCAAGAACTTGTAGTCGGGATAGGTTACCCACATCCATTGCCGATCTACGGTTCTCAGCTGCATTGCGGAGTGGAGACGGGGGACGTACCAAGGTCAAGTCCGGTAGGAAGAAGGCGTGCAGATGGAACGGATATGCCATGGCAGGATTTTATGGGATATACGAAGAGATTTGTTATCTGGGTTGGTGGAGGCAATGGTCCGCTCGTCTTGGAGCGAAGGAAGCGGGTGTAGAAGACAAAAGTTAAGATGGGAAGGAAGAAGGCGGGAAGGATTATTGCGCTTTGTGTAGCGCTTGAGAGCGCCATTTCCATTACTGAATTGGAAAAAGACAAGTTCTCGGAAACACAGAGTCCTAGTTAAGAAGGAAACTGTGTAGAGTGCGGCAAACGCTTATCAAAGGATCAGCATCTGCAAGCCTGACGGACTTGCAGAAAGTCTTCGTGGACTCCGATTGTAAATAATACCAGAGGAAGGAGAACCCAGACAATGGGGATTCCAAAACGCTATAAACTTCCGAGTTTCGTCTCGTTGATTTAATAATCGGAAGCGAAGTCGGATGCGTAGGATGACGCAGGCGAAGCGGTGCGGAGAGAAGCGACACCTAGCACGAACCAAAATACGCAACCATGCACGGGAATTTTTGACGGATCGGTCATGGACAACTAGAGCCAACTTCATGTCTCGAGAGTAATCATAGAAACGCGGGAGAAGATACGAACAAGGAAGTAGATTGAACATTTAATTGTCTAATTACCCCAACCTCATTACGGCCCTTCACAACCTGCATGGAATCGCGCGGGATGCGGGATATTATGTCCAGACACTAAGGACTAGGTTTCCCTAAAGGAAAAAGGACATGCCAAACACAAGGAATACATTATGGGTATACCCTAAAGCCTGCATCAGGCCTGCCAACTCAAACACGAAATGACGAAAGAAAACTCCGTAAAGGTGAAGTTGTGCTCGTTTCATATATTACGGCTACGTATTATGTACGCGTAGCTTTCAATGAAATCGAGGTTCGGGATCACTTTCTCAGTGAGATTAAGGACATCGAGGGCAAGACCACAAAGGAATGTTTGCAAAGCAAGGACCAGCCAGCTTTGATGGTTTGCCACGTTCGATTTTATCCCCAATTGTATTCGTCGTTCCAACCAAGATCTCTCTGCGAAACGACGGTGTGCTGGGAAATATTGCTCGGTCGCCGTCGCATCGAAATCTTCGAAAATCTATGACTAGAGTGATCATCCTTTGGTGGAGGCGGGGGGGGCTGGTCTTGCGGCTGTGCGCCGTGCCTTGGACTCGAGATGTTGATCAGCTTCGGTATAAATCTGCGGGAGCTTGTGCTGCTACTATGGTGAAGGAAATTTGGCGGCATGCTGTTCCTGGGGAACTGGTTGAATTGGTCGTATGCCGGATTGTGAACTACCTCTTTCTGGGTGTAGTTCATATACGCACCAGGTTGTTGAAAGGCAACTAGGTCGGGTGTTGAAACGAATCCTGCGTGCGGCCAACTGGGTTGGTGAAAGCTCTGGGAAACTGCGTGCGTGAAACCGTTTGTTACATTGGTCATGCTAGCGCTTGTCATGTTGGTCGAGAACCCTCCGAACGTGTCCATACCATCATCGGTAGTCAGCCCGTTCTGTGACATATCCGTGGTAACAGGCCATTGAGTCTGTGGGATGCTTTGTTGTGGTATGTTCTGTTGTTGCAAGACTTGGTGTTGCTGTAAGTTTTGTTGCGGAGTAGGTTGTGGAGTTTCCACGGGATCGAGGTCCATCAACGTATGATCCGTGGTAAGCTGAGAAGTTTGTTCGCTTCCGAAGTCGAAAGTCTCCGTCTTACACTCGATGGGTTCGGTTGCTTCAGCAGGCTCGGGGGCTTCGGTCCGTTCCATCTCTGCTAGCTCATATGTCTCTAAAACCAATTTCGCGATGTCGAAGACCCGGGTATCCCATTTCGTCTCGAGCTTGTATCTTAATCGATTGCACTTCTTCGACTCCCATGTGAATTGCGGCCAATTCTGTTGTTCACCATGTCTTTGCGACAACAGCATGTTCCAAGCTTGCGAAACATCCGACTGTTTCAGAAGGCCGAGGACCACGTTGGTGAAGTTCCATTTCGATCTCTTTTCTTCAAAATGCAGAGCAATATGCTCACATCTTTCTTCCCAAGACGTCAATAAAGAACTGCAGAAGCCGCATCCCCACGCGTCCTTGTCGTGCATGACAATTTCGTACTTTTTAACACATGGCGAAGCCTTCCTGCTTGTGGGCTGTCCGCTCTCTCTCGGTTGTTTGCAGTTCTCGCATCCCTATGCACCGTCAGCTTATTGTAGAAATAAAGGAAAGGAGAATTCTTTACGTGTAGCTTCGTGTGATGTTCCCGAAAGCGTTTTCCAGCGTGGAATATCTGTTCACAGTCGGGGCACCGCCACGTCAGCCTCTGCTCATGAAACTCCTCTTCATGCGACTTCCAATATGGCTTGGACTTTAGGGCCTTGTCACAGAAAGTGCAGGCAAAGTTTTTCGACGATGTGTTTGAGATGGTGGATAGACGGGAGGATGCTGTAGACAATCGCGAAGAGGCGGCGCTGTAACTGCTGTATGATGTATCGGTGGAAGCGATTGACGATCGAGGGTCGGACATGATGCTTGTGACTCTGCTGGAAGGGACACTAAGGTAGGAGGATCGACTCCCCAGAGTCGACATGGACGATCGATCGGGAAGGCGCATGCGATCTTGCAACTACTGTTAGCAGGCGACATCATCAACCCAACAATGAATACCAACCTCCATTGCGGGCAGCCTCCAGGAGCAGGAAGATCTGTTTATCGTCGAGATGTTTCAGTCCATTGATGTGGTCGATCACCTCTGGGGTGAGCTGGGCCTGGCTAGAGAGACGGGGCGAAGGCGACGCGCTTTCGGACACGCTGTTCAGCGGCGTGGAGCTCTGTAGACTGCGACGCGGACGCTTGAAGCTCGGAGTGGGTTGGGGGGTATTGTAGAGGAGTTGAGATTCGTCTGACTCCATGTTCATCCAGTTGTGCGTGTGGAAGCGAGTAGCATGCCGGAGATTTACTGCGGACGGGCCAGACGGGTAGTTGTATTGGGGAGCTCGCTGGAGCTCGCAGCGGGATCGGGAAAGGGGATGGCTGTGGACACTAGCTGGAGGTGTTCGAGAAGGTCTCAAGGTTTTGTTGCGAAGCGTGGAGAGGTGCAAACTCAGATCTCAGGCCGTCAGGAAGACATTCATCGTCCAATCTCCCGGCGGGCGGAGCGGATCCTCTTGTTTTGAGGATAACTCGTTTCATCGGGACGTCCATGAAACCACGGACAGGACCCTTGGCATGCACGCTGTCATCCGTACCCGTGCGCAGGGCTGTATAAATTTAGACATTTGGGGATCTTCTACTAAGCCGTGTCTCTCTGCTGCGTGACTGCATGTACGATAATCTCCCTTGGAGACAGTTGCTGCACTCTCCGCTGCGCATCGGGCTTGAGAATGAGCGCGAACAGGTTCCTGGCGGATCGTCGCGAGGGCCGCGATGGCGTCGCTGGGCTCCCGATTCTCCTGCGTCGCCGGTTGCTTTTCTCAGGGGTTAAACTTTGAAACGACACTATGCTGCTTTGGGAACAGTTTCTACTCGCCCATCGTTCGGCGACAAGAAACACCCCATCATGCCATCTCAGCTTCACAGAGCACAGCCCTAGAAGAGCCGCATCGAGTTTCTCGTTGCCTGGCCTTCTGTCGCAAAAGTGCATCTGCAGCCTTCGCTTGCGTCGTGCCCCATGGTGGTGACGCCGGGCCTGCCTCACCTTAAGAGGGCCTTCATTATAGCGGCCCACAGGTGTGTTCCTAATTGGTTAGAGACATGTCTCAGGACGCATTCCTTGCGATTCGCTGTTTGCTGTCAACAAGGCAATATGGTGGGTTTGGAAAGGCCTGCCGACTGCTGCTGCGTGAGCTAACGGGTGGTGGGCACAGTTGGCCCGGTTTGGTCACTTCAGTCCGGAGGCAGACGCGTCCTGTGCCACAGTTGGGTCAATTGAGGTACAATTGCAAAGTCGAGGCGCTTCGGTGGCACTGGCGCTTCAGACGTGGAGCATCACGTGTGTTCGCGAAGGCGTGGCAGTCTTCTCAGTGCCCCTCTATCGTCGTCATCTTCAACAAGCTCGGTGTTCGAGATAAGAAAAGGAGTTCTGCAAGGCGTCGAAAGATCGCTCTGCTGATGATCTGCTGTCGTTACAAAGTGCTAGAAAACGTCAACAACCCTGGCAAGATCCTTGGCGATAGCCCTTCAATCTGGGGTACGAGGATGCAAGGTGTTTCAACGAAGCATAAGCGGAAGTTGATGCTATTTTGAGATCAACCTGAGGTCTTGAAGGAGGTGCTGTCTGGAGAGAAGCTCGCCACATGAGGATTTTCAAAGTCTTCATGATCGATTTTGGGAAGAGACAAGAGATGAAACCAAAATAAAACGACTTTCCAGTGAAAAAGAAGAATTGCTCAGTGGAAGCGCAGAATCCTCAAAAATACTTTTGTGCAAGGCTGATACTCTCACCTGACACAGCTGAATAGCTGTGATGAGCGGGCCTAACAGCGCTGACGGCTATTCTGAGTGCGTAGAACAGACTTGTACGGCTCAGGTAAAACATAATGCTGATGGCGTAGTTGGGGCCCTAACCTTGACGCCCCAGAGAGGCATGCCGTACTGGAAGAGAGAGGAGACGACTTAGATGAACGAGAGCTTACGCGAGGGTTGGATGTACCAGGCCGGAATATGCATGGAACTGCTCAATTAAATGTACGAGAAGAGCCGACGGGAATTGAGGGCATGCAGGGCGAGGTGCATTTGAGGTGCAGAGAAGAGAAAGAGGAGAGACGAAGGAAAGTCGAAGTCGTATTGAAGCCACACTGTGGCGGGTCTGGAGCATGGGCCGTCGGCATCTCGCTTCGCCGGCCTCGGCACGTCTCGACGCGTTTTTCGCGTTGTGGACGTTCCTCGTAGAACACCATCACGTATTGCTTCCCCGCCTCCCGGAATTCAACCAATTTGACAGAGAATGTGTTTCTTCCTCTAATTGAGACCTTCACTGTGACTTTCAAGCTCAATTAGCCAACTGGCACACCCATTCTTTGCCTCTCTCCCTTGTGCACTTCCAGCCGAAGAGTTTCCCTTTTACGATGGAATCAAGTGCGGAATCTTCAATGAGGGCTTACCCACTTGAAAACGAGATGAATAACAGCATGGATCTGGATGTTGAGTATGAGGAGGAAGAGATTGTTGATTCCCCTCAGCCAACACATCCTGCCAAACCTATGCGACCTACAAATGCCCTCTCAAAACTCATGGAGAGTGGTACTGAGTCCGACCACGAGCCGCCAATACAAATACCCCGAGGAACATTGGCGGCCCGGCTCCAACAACAAAATGATCAAGACGCGTCTGATAGTGAGGAGGAAGATGGGCCAGGTGCTTATGAGCGGGTTAGGAGGCAACTCATGTCTGAATCGAGTGAGCTGCAGCCAAACAAGACAACGAAGGATACACAGATAGCCTCTTCATTTTCTCATAGCGATGACGATGAGGGACTCTCCGAGCAGACCGCGAAGCTCCCCCTTCCAGGACCCCACCAACAAAAGCATATCCGAAACCGAGAGCTGGCAGCCCAAGTGCCTAACTCCTCGAGTAGTGGCGAGGAAGATGATCTTCCCGTAAGATCTAATAGAGCTCGCAGATTAATCACTCGCAAAGACAAGAGCCGTCTTCCACAATCCTCGCCCTCAGCGACGCCGAGGTCTCGGCGATCTTCGCGAGGTCTTTTCGTTAGCCCGACGGCATCTCCTATTACAGCTAAGACGTCGAAGACTACGTATCCAGTACCTTCTGATTCGGATGACTCCGTAAATCCACGACTTAATGCAGACTTGATGGAGAGGACTAGAAAGATAAGGGCTGAACGAAAGAGACTGCAGAAAGAGCAACACGATCAGAAGAAGCAACAGCCGCGTGCTGGACATGATGCAGACCAAGAATCTGACAGCGACCCCGATGGTGAGAATGGAAGACGTCTTACACAACAATCAAAGCCGACGCGAAAAGCAAGCAAGAAAGCTATGGAAGAGATGGCCCGCGAACAGCAGAGGATAAATCGTAACATGCAACTCACTCACCAAGCCAAAACTAAAAAGAGACACGGTATCAAAGATCTGTTTGCAAAGCTTGGGTACAATCACGCTATCCCGGAAGAACCAACAGCGCTTTCGAGTTCCGACGCAAACTCGCCGTTGGGTTCCTCAGATGTTGAAGGTATTCAGGCACATGATACACCCCCTACAAGTCCTCCGAGCCAAGAGAATTCAATTAAGATGCCTGACGCGATAACTGGCGTAGAGATCCTGCCTGAGACAGATTCTTTACAAGAAAAGGTCGATCATGCCTTAGCACCAACTGCAACCACGCTGCCTCCCGTCACGGTTGACAAGGGTAAGGGACGTGCCCTAGACTTCCAGAACTTGTCTACGAACCCGTTGCTTGAGCAAGAACAGCCAACTATCATACGAAATGCTCAACTGAACACCCCGAAGCTCTCAAGCGCTGAAATGGTTGACTTGTCGGATTCCGAAGATGACATTGAAGTCATGAAACCCAAAAGCCGGTTTCCTGTTTTCGACAACCTTCCGAAGAGACAGCAGCAGGAAGCCCCTTCTCTTCTCCACCTTCGCCACCTCGCTCACTTAACGTCACCTAGTAAAACAGCCCCGAAAGGTCGGCGTTCGATGAATGCAACAGAGTTGCAGATGTCTCTTGGGCGGCGCGCACGTCAACAGGCACAGAAGGAACGCGAGGAGAAGATTGCGGATTTGAAGCGAAGAGGTATTCATGTTGAGACGGAAGAGGAGAGGGAGAAACATCAGTTAGAGATTGAAGACATGGTTGTTCAGATCGAGAAAGCCCGCCAAGAAGACTTGAAGCTCCGAAAGATAGAGCGAGAGGAAGCAAAGAAGAATGGTGAAACTGGGGACTTGATGTTGTCGAGTGATGAAGACGAGGATTATGTTGGGGATGGAGAGGAGGAAGGTGGCGAATTAGAAGAGCCCGAATATGAAGCTGAATTGGAGCTTTCGGGCTCGGAAGAGGAGGACGTTGAAGAAGAAGCCGAAGATGAAGATGAAGAGATGGACGAGGACGGACAAGCGGACAATTCAAATGGCCTGCTTGACCCAGAAGCTTGTGAAGATGGCGATGAGTCCGAAGAGTGTCTCGAGGAAGATTTCGGCAATGAACAAGAGATGGAGGATGAACCAGTCTGTACACCTACTCGCAAGACTGCCACAAGAAGGGCTAGAAATGTTGTGGTCGATGACGAAGATGAGAGTGAGGATGAGGCCCCGAAGAGCTCATCGCAATCTCTGCAGAAAACTCAAGCGACACAGGTTGATGAAATGGCTGCATTTGGCTTTAATTCAGGCACTGGGCTAGGTCTTACTCAAGTTTTTGCTGGCACCATGGCGAACCTGGAATCCAATTCTCAGACCACCCACCCCCTTGACGAGGAACCAGAACAAGACTCTCTAGATTTCCTACGTAGTCTTCCTGATACACAACCTTTGGGGCTGCTCAATTCAACGCCAGACCTTCTTGTGCCCAACAGTCAAGAACCAGCTCCCCAAGCAGGAGACTCACAAGCTAGCCAAGTCTCCCAGATCTATTTAGGATTCAGCCAGCTTATCGGAACCTCTCCAAATTTCCCGCAAACTCAGCTTTCCGAAATGCCTGAGCCGACACAGGATGCTGGCTTTGAACTATCTTTTTCACCTGCCGGTCTCGTACCTCTACCTTCGACAATTAACACGGTGATGCTACCCATAGCTGAAACTCCAGTCGTTCAGAGAAGAGGTAGACTCCAACGTCGCAAGGACATGGTTCCTGAGCTATCATTTATCGATGAGGATAATATCCCTGCTGAATCCGAGGAAGAAGAGACACAGCCTACTTCGGGGAGCAGAGACGCGTTTGATGCTTTGAAACAAGCGGCTAAGAAACAGCGTGTCGTGAATGACTTTAACAAAAAGACTAGTTGGGCAAAGGACGTGGTCGAAGAGCAAGCTGAAGAGTCTGAAGATGAATATGCAGGTATTGGAGGAGCCAGTGACGATGATAGTGGGGAAGATGACGAAGAGCTCGCCAAGATGATCGATATAAATGATGTGAAAGTTGATGAACGGAGGATTGCCGCTTATTATGCGTAAGTTGTACCTATTCTCTATCAGTCCAGTTTTACTAATTGACTTTCAGTGAAAAGGCTAAGGCGGACGATGAGAAGAACATCAATCAACTATACAAAGATATCATGAGTGGTGCCCTGAGGAAGGGCAGAGGGGGTGGTGCATTCGATGTGTCTGATGATGAAGACGAGGCCGAGCAGCGGCGTAGGAAGAAGCAGCAAGAATTCCAGTTAATGAGAAAGGCTCTTGTTGCAGATGAGCGGATTGGAAAGCTTGCTGAGAACCCCAAGCAAATGGCGTTCTTCCGCACATTGGAAGACCACGAAGACGACCAGGACTTTCAGTTCCTTGACGCACCAGCTATAGATGTCGACATGGATGGTTCCGGCTCTGGTTCCGGCTCCCAGTCCAACTCCGCCCAGGAAGGCGAAGAAGATATTACAGTCCCAGATTCCCAATCTCTCGCGCCCACCACCACCGCCCCAATCAACCCTCTAAAACGCAAAGCTCCCGATGCCCAGGACAAAGAGAACCGTCCACCACCTCATGCGCGACGCACAGCACCCTCCGACAACTTCACACGGAAGCCCATCTCCTTCGCCGATGTCCAACAATCTGTCTTGGAACTCCTCGACGAGCCTAACATGGTTCCTGAATCCTCGTATACCGACTTCTCTGACTCCGGGGATGAACTACCTGCACCTATTAAGCCTGCACCCCGCACAATAATCGATCGTCTCAGTCTCTCGCGAAGCGCCTCGCTTTCCTCAACACCTGATACTAGTCGCTCTGGCAATGTGGCCTTCCATGCGCCGTCTGCAGGCGCCCATCAACCTGGTTTCAGGGTTCCGAGTTTGGTCAGGAAGGCGACGAGTAACATTTCTACGACGTCGGAGAGGAGTTCAGGCTTTAATACGCCGGTTGAAGGCGGTGTTAGGAGGGGTGGTACTGGTCGGAGTAATATTCATGCACAGGCTAGAGAGGCGGAGAGAAGGGCCAAGGTGGAGAAGGTGGAGCGGAAGCGGAAGGAACAGTTGAAGAGGAAGGTGGGGAGAGAGAGTAGGGCGAAGAGGAGTGTGCTTGGAAGTTTGGATGGAGGGTTTGAGTAGAGTAGATATTGTTGGTTCGGAGTATGGTATACATTTAGCTTGTGGATATTTTAAGGCAGCATGGGTTTCAAGTAGTTATGGCGCATGAGGGTTAGCATAGGCGGTTTCGTAGGGCCATGGCTACCCATATTCGGGCATAGTGAATATGATATTCTATTCACAATTCTTCTGGGCTGACCTATGAGCACTACAATACAGATCGTACAAACATTCACTCAAACCTTTTCACTAATCCAAATCGCCGTCCTACAACCCCCTCTAATCACATTTGTCAGCAACTCATATGGTTCCGCACTCTTCGCATCATTCTGAACCGCATGATCCAAATGCTCCAGCTCTTCATCCCGAATCCGCCTCAACTCCTTCAACAACCCATCCAGCTCCTCACTCCCCTCTCCCCGCCCCTCCAACTTCTCTGCCCAGTCAAGCAATACCCGGACTTGCTCATTGTAATGCCCACCAATCTCCGTTTCCACAGCCTCCGTACACGCCATCGCTGCTTCACGGCCCATCAGCGCTGTGCCCCAGCCCAACGCAGTCGCGGCAGCTTTCCAGACTGGGTACATGAGCGTGGGGCGGACGCGGTGTTTGGCGATGAGTTGGTTGAAGGTAGAGAAGTGGCCGGCTTCTTGGTCGTACATGTGTTGCATTAAGGGACGGAGATGCGGGTGTGAGCGGATTACGAGAGGGGTTTGCGAGGCGTAGATTAGGACTGCGGCGAGTTCGCCAGCTTGGTTGACGCGCAGCTGGGTGGATGTGAGCGCATTATTCGGGATCGCTTTATCTGTTCATCAGATAGTGTAGCGGTGGAACGTACAGCACTGTCGAGGAAGTCGCGTTGCGATTGTGTTAGGGGCTTCCTAGAGGGCTCATTTTGAAGAGATTGCGGATGCGAGGTTTGAGCGTTTTGGAGAGGTTCAATTGGCGAGGTTGTGGAATGAAATAGCGAGGCGCGGATTGTCTGGCTTGATGTTACGATACTTGGGGCAAGAAAATCAAAAAGCGCGAATTGAGAATGTCGCGATGCACTACGGAGAGCCTTAGTGGTTGAAAAGAGTGTTAAGGACATTTTGCAGATATGTACAGAAATGTGAGGGCAAAGGAGTGCTGGGTATTTGTATAATTGAGTGAAGTGAAAGCAGATGGTACGATGGTGATGCGGTCACTGTGTCGCCCGGTCATCGGGGCCGCACGGAATCCCGCGAGCACGTGACAGTTTCTCCAGAGAAACGCACTAGTCCGTGCGGCGGGTTTTTATCGGACCGCGAGGGCTTGGCAGCTCGTCACGTAAAGGTGCCCTCGTCCTCCAAGTCTCCCTCTCCTCTTCACCCCACGAACACGACATCTCTCTCCGCCACCCTCACCCACAACCGCCCATTTCTACCTTTCTATCACCGCAATCTTTCACTTTACGTCGTTCTTTATCTCACTTTACCCCTTTCGCCTTCGCTACCATGTCGGATCTCGACGATGAGCTCTTCGCCCTTGCAGGAGGTGATGAGGAGGCTGAGGAAGGCGAGGCGTAAGTACTCCCTTACTCTCCCCGCCGACTTTTCCATCAACCTTACTGCACAACGCCGCGCGTTCATTTCGCAAAATGTCAAGTCCACGACTGACACCGCTCAGCTCCTCCGTCGCCGCCTCCTCGCCCAATTCCCTTGGTTCTGGTGCTATGGACGAATCCGACTCTGAACGCGATGAGCCAGACGTGCGTGACAGTGCTGCTCCCTACCCCGTGGATGGCAAGTACATCAATGAGGCCGACCGACGCCGCATCGACAACCTACCTCAGCTGGAGCGCGAAAGGATCCTTGGCGAACGTGCCGAAGAGGCCGCCAGGGCTAAGTTCACGCTGGAACTTGCTCGTAGGGCCGAGCAGATGAGGGTAGACAACGCACAGAACGAGAAGCGACAGAAGCGGAAGGCTAGCTCCGTTGAGCCCGAGGATAGTCACCGTAAGAGCAGTCGCCAGAAGGTAAAGACGAGTGACAAGCTGGAGGCATACAAACGAGAGCGTGAGCAGCGTGGACAACAGCAGCGACAACGCATGGATGACCGGCGGAACGGCCACCGTCGACGATCGAGCTCTGGGGACAGGTCGGGGTCTGATCTCGATGCTGATGGCGAGAGCGAAGTGGAGTGGGATGAGCGTGCTAGACAGGCTGCTGCCCGGGAGGAGCAGCCTGCTCAGATGCATCACTTCGAGTCGGTCCGTGTTGGCAGAGGATTCTTCGCAAAGGTGTGCTTCTACCCGGGCTTCGATGAGGCTATGACTGGATCATTCGTACGAATTGGGACCGGCCAAGATTCCATGCGACGGACATTGTATAAGATGGCTCAGATTAAGGGTAGGCATATGTCTCGAGGGACCCTAGAGCTCTAACTAATTTTTCATATAGGATTCTCCACGGGCAAGCCGTACGTCTTCGAAGGCAAAAATGGTCAGCGGATAGCCACAGATCAGTATGTCGTTGCACAACACGGATCGGTCAAGAAGGAATACACATTTCTCTTCCTCTCCAACCAGGCCTTCACAGATGTATGTACACAGTTTATTTTCACATGGCGCCCTTGCTGACAGACACAGGCCGATCTTGACACGTACAAGCAGTCGCTGGTCGAATCGAATTCGAAAGTTCCGACGCAGGCCTTCCTCAAGCGAAAGTATGAAGACATCAAGAATCTTGAGAACCGCACCTGGACCGACGCAGATATCGGCGAGAAGATTGCCAAGCAAAATAAATACACCCACCTACTCTCCACTGCATCAACCAGCGTTGCGACCCCTAAGGCTGACCACACTGCCCAGCGTCTTGCTGAAATCAACCGTCAAAACCGTAAAGCCAACTCGGAACAAATTCGAAAGGCACTTATCGAGGAGCGACATGCCGAACTACGGGCCCGCAAGGCTAGAGAAAAAGCCTTCCAAAAGCAGAAGCAAGAGGAACAAGAGAAATCTAAGCTTCTCCAGGTTCCAGGCTCAAACATCGATGATTTATTTGAGGGAAGCGACAGGAGTCGTTCGGCTACGCCAGCTGTCGTAAGGGCTGGTACCCCAGCCAAGAGCACACAAGAGAAGAAAGGCGGTATCCCGACATTCAGGAAGCGGAAAATGGACGATGATATCATCTCATCAATGGATCTGGGTATTGACATCGAGATCTGAGTTTCAACATTGCATATGACGATTACGATTCGAGCAGAGATAGTATTACGTTCTGGATGGCGCGGGACAATTGACTTAAGTGGCTTGCATAAGAACATTTTTTGGAGATTCAGTGTAATAGGAACCCCAAAAAGTCGTTTCACAGGCGTTGCACCTTGTCTGTTAGCTCGCCTACACTCTGCATGCCATTGATACCACGGAATGGGGTAGAATTGATACGCCAGCCATCTTGCTTGAATCAGAGAGGGCATCAACGTCACAGGGTGCTCATTTCAGTCGCAAATAATATCTTTGTTGAAGCACCAACCAGTCTTTTAGTCCAATCCATCCATCTGTGATATCCTCCACCTATTACATAAACATCTAAAAACGCCGCGTGGGTTCTTTTCAAAAGAAACATCCCGCTCTACCGTAGCCGTGTTTGATGTGAGATCCATCTGTCTGTCCTTCCTATCTAACCTGTTAAGTCCGATCTAATCCAGAGTGACAAATACACAGCCATTGTCCCTAATACTAACTCTCTAATCACGCTTGGAATACATCCAACACGCCTTCCCATCCCCCCCTCTCCCTCTCCTCCCAATACCCCTCCTTCCCACCTCTCAATCTCCACACTTCCTCATCCCCCAACGCTCCCGCCTCCTCCTGCCCAACCTTCACAAACCACCTCGGCTGCCACTCCTCCCCATGTTCCTCCATCACGCGTCGCCTTGCACGCTGCCTCTCCTCAAGCCTCGCTTTCAGCGCCTCGGCACGATCGAAGTCGCCATCTTCTGCCGCGCGTTGGTCGGGTCTGCGGCGGGAGTCCGTTGGCGGGAGACGGTTATGCTCAATCGGAGTAATCTGATTAAGCTCGGCTGCGAACGTTGTAAACCCGTAATGTTGCTGAGGTTTTTCCACCAGATCGCCTACACTCCATACAGTTTTTCCCGTCGGCTGGCCATTCGATGTGAAATTCAACTCGTTCGTCCATTTGCCCTGTGCACCCATAGACAGAATACCACCCGAGGAGTCAAAGACCTGCACTGATACGTCTTCAGAGCGACCAGCAAACATCCCACCAGCTTTGAACGTACAGACTGCTTTCGCGCCTGTGTTTTCATTAATGATAGTCATAGTCCCAACAGGCTCGACGTATTTCTCCCCTGCAATAACATTCCGCAGAAAACTCGTCGCCACGGTCCACGAAAAGTGTTCGGAGCTTGCGTGAAGGAAGACTCGCGCACGACCATCCGTATTCAGTTCCGCGCTCTTGCCCCAGAACTTCTGCACGGGCGTGGGCGATTGGATGAACGTCCAATGCTGGCTTTCGGCCTGACATGCCATGCGCACGGGCCGATGAACGACTTTCTCGGCGATGAAGCGGTATCCTTTGTCTTCGCGCACCAGCTCGAAGGTCTCGCCAAGCATGGGGTTGAAAGGTTTGCGGATGGCGCGGTCTTTGACGCGGGCGTTGCTGAAGGAAGAGATGGCGAAGGCGGCAATGTGGACGAGACGTTCGCCATTATCGGGGTTGGCTGTGACGGCCGAGTCGAGGAGCTCGCTGTATTCCATTTGTTCGGCCAGGCGTTGGAGAAGTGAGGTTGGTTCGTTGGCGGTCACCGGCATGGCGATTGTGGAGAGGTCTTTTCCGACATTTTTGCGCAGGAAGGCGATTAGGCTTGGGGGTTGGCCTTTTGATGGTGGGACGTTTATTCTGCGCCTTACACGCTCGTGTGGAAGGGGTGCAAGGGATTTCGGTTTCGTAGGGAAAAGAGAGGGCTGGCCTTCACGAGGTATCCGGTCGAAGACACCAGTGCCTCCAGCTTCGCTGGAAGACTCGGATTCGCCGTCTGAGACATCGTCACGTTCGTGCTCGTCGTCTTCGCTATCGCGGCGGATGGTGAGGAGTTGGGATTTTACGGTATCGCCGTCGGTTGCGTCGAAGAATTCGTCTGAGGATTGTGAGTCCATGCTTCGACGAGGCGAGACTGCAGATGTAGGGACTGGTGTTCGACGCTGTCGACTTTCAGCTAAGAGAGCGGAGAATTCTTCTACCACAGTGTCGAGGTCGCGGAGGAGGGCCATGCAGTGGTCATGAACGCCCTCCTCTTGGGGTTGATAATGGGTGCTTAACCGGCCATTCCGCTTTGGCACTGCAAGGTTGCCGTTCGGCAGAGGAGGAACAGGAGGTATAGTCGTAGGAGCAGCCACGGCCATTTGAGCAGAGACACTTCTCCTGAACAAACCAGATGGGCTATGACCAGAGCTGCTCGCCTTTCGTTTCCAAAATGCTTTCCGATCTAGTCCCTTTTCCATATCAGGGAAGTACTCTCCTGCATCCGCTTCAGATAGACTAGGGGAATGGCTCTCTTGCAACCTGCTAATTCCTAGACCAGTGGGCGTTTGATACTTCGGGTCCGTATCCTGAGCGAGCCTCCGCACTGCATCCCTCGTGCCGGAAACTCTACCCACAAGGGATTCTACCATAGCCCATTCACGCTCTTCAGCGTGGTTAACCATATGAGGTGTCGGTTCCCACTGATTTTCCGGAATGACAAGAGTAGGTGATGCCAAGCCTGCTGCAGTCCGGGATGCTCGGTCTAGAGCTTCTCTCCACATGTCGAAGTCCTTCCTGTTGCTCGCTCTCAAATGCCATACTTCTGCCCCGGAATCAACTGAAATCTCCCTCGTCTTGTCGTTTGCTCCAACAGCTGCTAGCGAGAGTGGAATTGCGCCCCGCAGGGCTGAGGAATGGTCATTCCGGTAGTATGATAGAGTTGATGAAGTGAAGTCTAATGAAAAAAACCGCCTCGCATAACCTTGGTTCCTTTTCCTTCTCTTCTTCTGAAGCACGCCGGTAAGAAAGGATGAGCTCTGTGGGGTTATCGTGTACGATGACTTAGGCCGTTCGCTGAACTTCCTGCCCCCTCCCAGTGGATCTGTTAGTAGTGATTCGGTAGAGTCGGTAACTGGTGCAAGTCCTGGACTTGATCTCGACAAGCTTGTGGTACTCGTTCCTGCCATTGCTTGGGCGTAGTGCATGTGGTGGCCAGATTTCGGCGGAGCATTGGTAGGATATGTCATCAGTACGAAGGTTGCAGTTTTCGACACCGTCTTCGAGAATGTATTATCGAACACCAGCCCGTACATGCCACCCTCACCCTCGGGTACATCATAGGTCCCCACGGACACCTTGTCCGCTTCGCATTTCCCCGCCCAATGCACTTGCTTCAGACCAATGGCCGACAGCTTCTCCAGCACAAATGTTCGATCATTGCGCGAGGTAGGGATCGACGAGCCGCGTGCACGCGCACCAGGAACTTCGAGAGCGGGGGTGGAGGGGCCTTCGAAGGTCGCAGAGGACGGTAGATTCGGAGTGATGCCACCAGTTCCTCCGGGGTGTTTAAATACACCAAAGTTGATGGATTTCTTATGTGGCTGGATGCTCCACGAAATGGTGTGCCCCGCAGACACATTCACCCACCGTACGAGGTACGACTGCACTTTCTCAATTAGATGCACACAGAGCGCGAGGTCGCAGAGAGACGCACCTTGCTGTGGACTTCGAGCTGCTCCATGCCCGCCATGGTCTCGCTATCGTGCAACAGTGTTCAAGAGCTGCCTTCGACTTTGTTTTTGTCGCTGCAGATGCCTAGAATACGGGGACTCGCAGATGTCCAGCGTGGGTACGCGAATGTGGCGTTTTCCAAGACCACGTCCACGTCAACACTCTCTTCAGCAGGTGTGCATGGCTTTCAATCCAGCGGAAGAATATGCGAGAGCCACTTTTGGTTGCGCAGCAGTTGGAGAATATAAGCTTCGGAGGCGCGTCTTCCAAAAACCTGCTGGTGACAGGTCGCTACTTCGAAGTCGGTCGGCGCACAGTACGGCCGAAGGGACGAACAATGGCGGGACACAACGTGAGGGCTGATTCACGGCACTCGGGATGCAATTTTCAAGAAAGTGAAAGAAGACAGCTGGGCGGATTACGCCTTGGCTTACCAGCACTTTCATATGTTTGAGACACTGTCGCTGTGGCCAGTGAATGGCTGGGCCTTTCCAACCAGGCAGCTTGCATCCCTGTCACTTCAGCCTTACATTCACAGCCACACCAATTATTCACACCAATTTCCCCTTTTCGAGTTGTTAGCTCATCCTTCATCCAACTGCTCCTTCTGCTGACCTTGCATCGTATGCCCAGTGACAGCCAAGCGACCATGGCGATGAAGCTCAGCTGCGATCTTCCTCTTGACCACAATCAAGGGAATAGCTCCACATCTCCACCATTACACGCTCCACCTCAACCTCGTGCTACTTCAAGAGGTATCCTTGTATGACGTCCGAAACATTTTTGGTAGCGACTCAGTCGCCGCGAACGGGTCATTGCTCGTTTCGATGTCTTCCGAGGCTTCCGGTGACTGCGGATCACCTCCCAAGACCTCCAGCGCCATTTTCTAGTCCTTTTGATGCCGACGACAACATAACTTCAGCCGCATGATTACTTTTTGGTAAAGACGGATGCCGACAGTTCCCGAGTCCGAATGGCTTCGTCCACTCGTGATTGTACATACATACCCAGGTACTTCGTACGAGCCAGTGGCCGCGATGACCTCGGGATGAATGAACTCTCCTGGCATGATCTAGGAAGAACTTTTATGTTGCAAAGCGACTGCAAGGCCACGACACTTCTGGTGATATTAGCGTTCCTTTGAGCTTGATACCACCCCAGATCTAATATGATTTTCTTCTCTAGCCCACCTTGCCTCTGATTGGATAATACTCACTCCATTCCAGACGCTTGGCTCTCGGTCTCGCTTTCACGAAAAGCTTTTCAACCACAAATATCCAGGGACGATTACCCGCGGATTAATTATTTTACTTAATTCCGCGAGGAAAATATTGATATTCACCTCCACCCCATTCCCTTCCGGACACGGAACGGGAAGAGAGCCACCAGGTGGCTTTCTCACCCATCCCCGCATCATGGTGGCGATCAAACACGTCTCCACAGACGTTAAAACCCTTCCTAGTGTTTCCTTCAAAGTTTCGAACGATATTTAGTACCACTTCATCTTCTAGAACGAAATATATAGTACCTAGTGCAATCTACTTAATTTAGGTTTCCAGGTTTTCCCGTCATGGCTCATCTCGCTCCGTTTCCCTGGCGCGACGCAATGGTTTATATTTGCACTCTGTACCTCCAGTCGTTTCTTTCATTCTATGCCGTTGACTCTGTTGCCCCCCGAATTCCTGTGGGTTGTTGCAAAAATGAGACAATCTATTGCTTTGGCGCTTTTATTTTCGCCCTTCGCTATTGCGGCTCCTTCAAAGGCGAAGCCATCATGGTCAGGATGGAAGGGCGTCAAATACTTTTTTGTATTGTAAGAAATCTCTCCATATGCTCCGATCTAGTTACTGAATGTGACAGTGGCGATTCCTATACTCAAACAGGTTTCAATGTGAATGGGACCCAGCCGAATCCCGCAAATCCTATGGGCAACCCAGACTATCCGTAAGCGGCCAATTGAACTTCATGATCCAAGCTTACCAGTATAATAGGGGATGGACTTCAGCAAAGTATGTTCGAATACCTACTCTCACAAGACTGTGTCTAACATGATCTAGTGGACCAAATTGGGTTGATTTCCTTACATACACTTACAATGAGAGCTACATTCAAACGTACAACCTTGCTTATGGGGGTGCTACAGTGGATGGCGCTCTTGTAACTCCATACGCGCCCACTGTTCTCTCCCTCAAAAACCAAGTCCAAGACGAGTACCTTCCTGCGTACGGCTCCCATCCGAAAGTCGCACCCTGGACTTCCAGCAACTCGCTATTTGCCTTCTTCATTGGCATCAACGACGTTGGGAACTCCTGGTGGCTCAACAACGCCACGCTCTATGATATGATCTTTGCCGAATACGATAGTCTGCTAGAACAAGTCTGGAAGACCGGAGCCCGCAACTTCTTATTCATGAGCGTACCGCCTGTGCAGCTCGCCCCTCTCACGTTGGCTAACGGCAATTGGTCAATAGAAAACGAGGGTACTGCCATTAAGAACTGGAACTCAAGACTGACGAACCTCTCAACGACCTTCAAGAATCGGCATAATGACATCACGAATGTGTTTGTACACAAAACATATGAGCTCTACGAGACTGCTCTCGAAAATCCCAAGTCTTTCCCCCAAACAAGTGATATTAAGAATACAACCGCATTTTGTGATGCGTACCAGAAGTGAGTTTATGGCCCTTCCTTTCCAAAGATATCCTTTCAGATTTTACTAACACCACACGACCAGTGGCACACCAACCTGGTATTACTTCAACTCCACATGCGGTCTTCCCGTCAATGACTATTTCTGGCTGAACAGCTTGCATCCAACTTTTCCAGTACATAATGCCACTGCAGCCTCGATTGTGCAGTACCTAGATTCTGTGGCTCCTGGTCACTAAAGCAAACTCCATCCTGTTTCGACGCCGCGACGTCTACATTCACTGTATATATCTCAATCACTATGTTTGCTATCACGGCGGAGCTTTCATCCTACCCATGAACTGACAAGACGTACTAGCAGCAGAGCCACATCACTACTTTCACACACGTGCTAGCTAACCCGCCGCTTATTTATCTACTTGCTGCTGGGCGCCCGAGACCCAATGTTTTCATATCCTGCTAAACTCAGCAACAACAACCCATTTAGGAGTGCAATTGATCAACTACAGCTACCCCTGAACGGAATTCATCATGGGCAGGAGCAGCCGCCTACGGAATCATTTTACGTTCGCGTCTTCTCCATCGCCATCACCTGAGAACACCCTCGAAACACCTTCCGAACAACAGCGAGAACTCTCCGAATACCGACGGCAGTTCTTCGAATACATAGAAGAAGCACTTTCCTCCCCTTCCAACACAGATCCGACTGCAACCCGACCCCTACCTCGAGATCCGGCCTCATCTCCCACGAACAACGAGAGCAGAATTCCGGATACGAATTTGGACGTGGCCAGACGACGCGGAACTAGAATTCGCCACCCCGATCCGCACGAAATTCGTACTATTATCCCACTTGGCTCCTTCCCTGGCCGGCGGCATCTACGCCAACAATCTTTTGTCCAGACCCAGCGACAAACGCCCGCGGGGGCTTCAATATTTGCCGACAACCTCTCCTCCCCTATCCGTCCATTTTCACCTATATCTCTAATCATCCCGACCCTAGCCCCAGCTTCATCCACCCCACCAGCACCCACTGCTATCCGCACACCACAAACTCCCCACCCAACACTCACACACTTCATAAGCAATCATCTAACCCCCATCATCCCACCCCACCCCCTGTACCCTTCGCCCACCACCCTCTGCCCCATCTGCCACGAGTCATTCCACGCATCTCATCCCCCCATCCTCGTCCGCGACGTCCCCGGTTGTCGAGACCATGTCTTTGGCTACGCATGTCTCAGGAATTGGATTCTGAGTGGAATGCGCAATTCGAACTCGTGTCCTCTTTGTCGGTCCGAGTGGTTTAAGGTGAGAAAGTTTGAGGTTAGGAGGATTAGGAGGGCGGGGGTGGGGACTGGGAGAAGGGAGGAGAGGGGGGTTGCTGAGGCTGATAGGAGTAGCGTGGAAGAGGGGGAGAGGGGGAGAGCCGCGAGGGTAGTGGGTTTGGTTAGGGAGTGGGGAGCTTGGGTTATAGGCTTTAGTGGAAATAGGAATGAGACAGGCAGAGGGGAAGAGGCCAGGGGTGTTAGGTGGGATGGCGGGCTCCAGGGCAACGATAGCGGCGGCGATAGTGAAGAGGAAGAGGAAGAGGAAGAAGATGAAGATGAGGGGGTGGATGACGAAAATTACGACTGGGGTGATGGCCATGAGGGAGATGAAGATCCGATGTATGCTCATCCGAGCGTGTATCAGCGAGGATAGATCCTAGAATGGAGGCTAAATTCTAGAGAGGGATACAAGTAGATTGGGTGGGGTATTATATTCGGCTCCAACTCCGTTGGGGATGGGAGTTAAACTGTTTACAGCATATTGTTGCATATGATGGAACATGACTGAGGTGGAGTATATATGTTAAACCTCGTGCTGTAGGTCAAGGAGTTGCTAAGATTATGCTGAGTTTTGGACCTAGGTCTGGTCCTTGGTTTGTTCCGTCATAAGTGCTGGCACTGCAGTACATATATCTGCATTGCGAGCTTAGTCGGAGGGGGTTGAACGAGATTCATGGGTGTGGTTCTTCGGATGTCCAATTGTATAGTTCCAATAGGTCGATCTCTCATCCATGTCAATGATGGAGTTGTGTCCGTACGAGCATGTCTTCCAGTGTATTTGTGGTGCATGGATTTTTCTAAGCTGTTCTATTTCCTGCCTCAGTGATGTCACTGGAGTCTTCCTGGTGGAATTCAAGTTCGGTGTTTTCATGTTCAAGATATCTTTTCCCTTCTTCCATCTCACCCACTCATTCTCTATCTTATCTTTATTGCTCCTCTTCATCTCAAGCCGCCTTATCCCCGTGCAATTCCGCCGGTATCCTTAGCTTAACACTATCACCCCTGACCTCTCCTGGTAGGAAATTCGCGTCCAATTCTGCCACTGGTTTCTCAAATGCCGGCAGTTCTGCAATTATGGGGAGTGGACCTTCCACCTCGCTTACAGCTTTCCCGTCCAGTTCCTTCCTCTCGTACTGACTTAGTTCTGAATCAGAGAAATCTCTTTTCGAGGGCGATGGTTGCATGGATTTCTTGCGTCGCCGACGGATGAGGAAGGACACCAAGGTGAGGATGAGGATAACGAGTACGGTAATGGATGTTGCGATACTGATCTTCGCAGCGCTGGAGAGAGATGAGCCCGAGGCGTTGTTGCTGGATGGGGAGTTTCCGTTCGGTGGTTGGCCTGATTTTGGAGATGATGAAGATGTTGGTGAAGTCGAAGTAGGAGCCAAGGTCGAGAACGTAATTGTCCCTTTTCCATTTTCGTCAAGTTGGCCGAGGAGGAATTTGCACTGGGCATCGTTCTTCGTAGGAGGAGTGCGCATTTGTACCGTGCCATTAATGTTGCAACTTTGCTCGGATGCACCATGACGTTTGAAGTATCGGTTCGCTGCCCAGGAGTATATTTCCGAATTATCGCAGATGCTGCACGTCAATTTAGTAGAATGTTCGGTATTTGGGGCGGGCGTTGAGTAGAGGTTCACCTGAATGCCCCATACTGTCCGCGCTCGACATCTGTGTAGATTCCCGTACATATCTGATCCATTTTGCCCTCGCAGATAGTGCTGACGTTTGCATCAAATGAGAGGCCGAAAGAATTCCCAACCTCTGAATTCATGATTGTTGGATTGTTTACAAAGTGCTGTGTGTCAGTTGTTGCGATGCATTGCAAGGTATCCATCATACAATCACATACTTTGCGAGATGGCGTCGGCGGTAAAGTAGGTGCGAGCGTTGCCGTTCCTACAATTGTAGGGCAGCTCGGCGTTCGAGTAGTAGGTGTATACAAGGCTGCGTTTGTGGACTTGGGATTCACTGTTGCCATCACAGATGAAAGAGCGGAGTAACCAGGAACAGCAGTAACTCTTTGTGGGGAGACGAGAGAGACTAAACCTTTGCAATACGTCAGTCTTCATGTGAACGTGGAACAAATGCGGATCCATACCATAATCTGGATTCTCTCGCTGGAAGTACTCAAACGCTATCCCTCCATTGAGCACTTCAACCGCAGTATCAGAGTATATGGGATGAACAATAGAATAGTTACGCTGATCCAACTTCTCATTAAACCGATCAGTATGACATCCATATTGCGAGATGAAAGCAGGTATTTGGGTCCTGGCATTTATCTTTCGCGGCATTGCTAAGAAATCAAAAGAGTTGTCGTCCGTTTGGCAAGTGTTCTCGAACTGGCGCATAAGCAGGAGACCTAGAAAATCTGCAGCCGACATATCACATGTCATGAAGTCGACTTCCGAGAGGAACTCATCCTCAGTGTATACTTCGCTGACAGGCGCCAGGGTGATCCCTATGGGGATATCTCGGTAATTCTTAGAAACAATGTGATCTCTGGTATCGCGAATGGAGGCTTTGCGGTAGGGCCAGTCGCCAGGATTATCATACACAGTTTCAGTGAGAATAAAGCCGAATGTATTCGTATACTGGGCGATGGAGTCAACAACACCAGTATACAGGTCCTGAAGTTCGGAAGTCCATGTGGGAGTAGAGGACTCGTTGCTCGCCAGATAGTCGCTATGCAGACTTGCTAAGACATAGATACCGGCATCTGCAAGGGCGCTCATGCAGCCGCTATGGTCACGATTTGGATCCAGATACCCCACAGATATCAAATTAGCGTTGAGGGCCTTGAGAAGTGGAATGTCGCGCGCGCAGCCTTTTTCGTCGGCAAGGAGATCCGTCGGGGGTTGGGTCTGGTTTGGATATAGGTAGGCCACTCCTCGAATGAAGAACTCGTCACCATTGGTCTTGTAGAAGAATCGACTTCCCTTGATATGATTAGTTGGCGGAGTAGTATCAGCTTACACATATCGTACCTTGATGACAACTGGATCCAGCTCAGCCAGTGCTAAAACACTCCATAGTATCGTTAATGGCCACAGGGTAAATTTCCAGCAAGAATAAAATGCATTAAGCTTCATAGCCATAAGCACAATCCCTGTGGACTTACCAAAGTCCCCAACGAGCAACTAGAAATGTGGATACACCAAAGCAGACGAAAGACATCATCTTCCCTCAACGTGGGCCCGACCGATATCAATGTCTTTTAACTCCGAGATGCCAGCCCGCAGATCCTCTTGCATTTGCGGATATTGTGATGCTGAATGCCACCGTATGTGTTTCAAAAATCCTTGCAATGAATCCTTCGTTGGGTGATGCGATTCCTGATCCGGACGTCTGTGGACCGCTGGACCATGTAGTTGGAATCCTCGAAACCCCTCGTTCATCTCATCTCCTTCACACGCGCTTTGTGAACTGCTGTTCCTGCAGCAAACGTTTAACGGAGTGTTTGCGGGTTCCGCAGATATAGTGCCCAGCGTTCTATCCCGCCGACTCCACCAGCGTTTGAAGACTCCTTCCCTGAGATCTGCACAATATGGATGGCTTGACCAGTCCATCGTCATTCCGAACTCCATTAGGTTGGCCATAGCATATCTGTTTGGGGAGCCGGAGCTTGACACCGTTAACTTTAGTTAACTATTCTCCAGTCACTTAGTCATCTTTGCGCACGTGCACTCGTGACTCCTTGTGCTCCCGTCAAAGTCTCTGATCTTGAAGTCTAACGCGTGTGTATACCATTCTCGGACAAAGCTTGAAGGAGTGTTCCTGCCCGACCTCCGGCGACCCGGCCCAGTATCTTCAACCATGGGCGCTTTTGCAGCGGTTGAATTGAGCGGCTAAAGACGTCCAGTCTTGTTCGTCTTCAAGACCCTCTTTTTCAACTCACTTGATCTTATTTCATGAAGACTCTCGCAACCTAACCTCACCTGACAGCCTCTTGGCTTCTATGTCCTAGGCTAGCCGTCCCGGTGGATAATATGGATGAATTGAAGGCCGTTTGGGCCTCGCGGGGCAGCTCCATAAAGGCTCACGATGCCAACCCGGCAACTTGCTAACACCACTTTCTTTACGATAATCCTTTAGCTACTCAATTCGTCCGGATCTCTGCAGTCATGGCCGATAAAGACCCCATCGTCACACACGTCTTTACTGCCGACCCGTCTGCGCATGTTTTCAATGGCAAGCTCTACGTTTACCCCTCCCACGATCGTGAGACCGATATCAAGGACAATGATAATGGAGATCAGTATGACATGAATGATTATCATGTTTTTAGTATGGACACAGTCGGTGGGCCCGTGACTGACCACGGAGTTGCACTGAAACAGGAGGATATTCCGTGGGTCTCGAAGCAACTCTGGGCTCCAGATGCGGCACAAAAGAACGGTAAATATTACCTGTTCTTCCCTGCAAGAGATCATGAGGGAATCTTCAGGATTGGTGTGGCTGTTGGAGATGAGCCAGGAGGTCCTTTCAAACCGGAGCCGGAGCCGATTCAGGGCAGCTTCAGTATCGACCCTGCAAGTTTCGTGGACGACGACGGACAAGCATACCTCTATTTTGGCGGCATATGGGGTGGACAATTGCAGTGCTGGAGCACTGGAAAATTTGTGAGGGAGAGTTACTCAAAAATGGAAGCGCAGGAGGGTCCTGCTTTGTGCGCAAAAGTTGCAAAACTGAGCGAAGATATGAAGTCCCTCAAGTCTGATGTCCAGGATGTCGTAATATTAGACAAAGATAGACAGCCACTTCCAGCGTCCGACCACGATAGGAGATTCTTCGAAGCAGCCTGGATGCACAAGTACAATGGCAAATACTACTTCTCGTACTCCACCGGCGATTCGCACTACCTCTGCTACGCGACAAGCGACAACCCACTTGGTCCATTTACGTACGGCGGCAGGATCCTAGAACCAGTCATAGGATGGACTACGCATCACTCTATCGTAGAGTTCAAGGGCAAATGGTATCTTTTCTACCATGATACTTCACTGTCGAAGGGCGTCAATCACCTAAGGTGTGTGAAGATTAGAGAGATTGTGTATGATGATGAAGGCAAGATTGGCCTGGCAGAGCCCCAGCCGAAAGTATAGAGTATGCAGCTATTGGTATATTTGCGACACCTTGTAAAAAATCTTTAGAAGCTCAGTCACGCAAGACCCATAGTTTGAACTAGGTCTTTTTGTTACCATTGACATGAATATTGTATTGCTATCCGCTTTCACATATTCTCCCCTCCCCAATCTTGATTTCTAGCTCCAAACGGGATTAAGGGGTTCGTTTCACCGTCCCAACGTTCCTTCTATATAGGACATCTTTGATCGGTTTACCATCGTGTCGGGAGAGGGGTTGAGCTGGTGACGGGGATGGTGTTGCTCGCGGCTGAGATGACGGGCCACCTTGTTGTTGCATTCCTTGTTCGAATCTCAACTTCTTTGCTGCATATAGCTCTAATAGTATGCACTTCTTCCTCATTCTAGTCTCAATTGTGTCGTCGAGGGCCCTTATATAGAGTTTATCTATGATCTGGTTGCATTGCTTAGCCGTGTATCCACTCTCGCTACCCTTCCTCACTCTTCCAGAAGGGTTTCATCTGCGGGTTCTCCGGTAGTACAATGCTTCACCTCCTCTCTCCTTTCCTCCTTGCTCTGCTGCTCCGGGCTAGAAGGGGCAAACCATTGCTTCTTTTTAGATCCCAATCCATCGTTTGTAAGGAATACCATCTGATGAGCAAGCCTCTGGAATTATCTTCCTCAATATCATTATATTTCTCCCTTCATTCTTCTTAATTCCACGTAACGCTTGAAGAACTTCCGATTTTGGATGCTCTTGAGGCTGGACCTTTATTCCCCGGTCCTGTCAATGAGTTCAAAACCCACAATTTCAAGCCAAAGCTTTTTTTTTCTTAATAGGAGTGCAAGGATTTCCCTCCTGCTTGAGGGCAAAGCGCTGTTACTTCCAAAGAGATGCAAACCTGGCTGATGTTGCAATTTCTTGTCAGGCTGAATTCCTCGATTTGGTAGTGGTGTCTGAGAAGATAGGGATGGATGTGTGGAACTAGTTTCGCTTAATATCATAAATTTAGTTCGGATTCTGGCCTCACTAGCTTCGATATCGGATTGGGCTGCTCTGCTGAGGGTTTGCTTCATAGAGCTCGCTGGCTTTAACTGGATCTTTTTGGGGAAGTATTTGTCAGTTTACCTGCACAGATTCTCCAGACAGTTATTATGCACTAGAGACATGCGTTGGAGCCATTTTTGCTGGGAGTGACAAAGCGTCTCGCTGTTTAAGCAGTAAGCTGTGAATTGGAATGCTGGGTGTCAAGTGGTGTTGCCTGAGAGCAGGTGTGCGGGTTAGTGTTTAGTAGTGGAGAAGGAGACAGGTTTGCCTCTGGATCATTAGGGTTAACTCGAAAATATAGTATGTTAGTGTGGATCACCTTGTATTCCCTATTTTCAAACACGTCAAAATGCTTTTGTGGGAAATTTATCCACCGTTCTCTGGTAACGAGGTGTTCTCCGCCATGTTGCTGCTCCTCCTTATCCATCTCAGCCGTCCACGTAACCATGGTAGTGGCACCATGATGACTCGAATCTCGAATGCACACTTTCCCATAGTGAACGAAATAACACATAACATGCTATCACCTGCCATAGAACACTAGCCGGGGGAGTTGGAGGGTCGAGCCTCTTGCTAGGATTGGGGAGAGAGCAAACATAGTGTAGATGCCTACCCTAAATTAGGTTCTGCTATCCACTCTATTTTTGCCACTATACAGTGTCGATACTGTCGAGGCTGTGGTGCACTAGTTTTGGAAATGGACATTTGTACTTACTAAGCGCATCATCGCCCTCTTAAAAGCGCTCTACACCCTAAGATGCTGGTACTGTAAATCTTAAATAGCTTAACCTGCTTAGGTAGGAGATCCTGAGGCTGAGCTTGGGTGAATGATGACGCACGTGCAGACTAACTTATACTTTAAGTGGTTAGTCAAAATGATGACTAAGATAACCTCTCCTTCTAGCTGAGTACTATCGCCATGACGGCAAGTTAATCAGACGCCGTGGAGAAATCATTTCCTCTACGTTATATTAACCTCTTCCTTTTTAATCCCGCTTCAAGGCTGGACCTCCTCGATAGACATGGCCATGTCGCACAACCCTCGAGCTCAGCCCCCTGCACCTCATCTACCTTTCTCCTCACAAGAGCCAGGCTGCCCACGAATCTCGATACATTGCACGTGTGCGGGCCGTTCAACGAGGCTGTGTCGGTATGCCTCGCCTCGCTCGCGGTATCGTTCGTTGGCCAATTGGCGAGACTAGCTTGGACGAGGCTGAACGCACCAGGCTCCTCACGTCTTTCTTTTTGCCGTGACTTGTTCCCGGAATCCTCTTTCTGTTGGTCTTAACCTGTTCCTTTCTTTATAGTTTTCATGCACTCTCGATCGACATCGATTTAAGGCTTCTTTAGTTCGGGCTGGGAACAGCATGGATTCATTTGATGATGATGTGCGGGGGCGTCCGAAGCGTGCCCCACCACCTCCACCTCCGCGATATCACAACCATCCACCTCAGCCTCAGCCTGACCAAGGACTATCGAAAAGTTCTGATGATGGCTCTTATCTTCCCGTCACGTAGGTTCTTTGCTGGTTCCTAGTATACTAAAGCAAAACGTTGGCTAAATCTTCTATATCTAGAGGCCCGTCAGCTGATCAACTTTGCGCGGCCTGTGAGCTGTGTTTACCGCCACTGTTCCTTTGTAATGCGTGCAATTGTTTTTTCTGTGACCCTTGTTGGGCGAAACAACCAGCACACAGAACTCAGCGACGAGCACCGAATGGCATCCGACACGAGAAGACTGATTTCCAGTTGGCGCAAATCATGGACAGTGTGTTCTACCAACCCACCGATGAAGAATCATATCGGCGGCTATTCTATGAAGATAGGCATACTTCGTGGTTTGGTTAGTGTACTAAACATGCTCTGAGGTGCTCCACGACTAATCTCGAATAGGAGTTAACAAAGATGGACCTCGACTGATGTTCCTCGACCATGGACGTTACGGGGAGGTAATGGCGAGGACGAGCTCGAACCGTTCTGTTCCTACTCCCAATTCCAATCCTTTTACAGCTAGGATATCTCAAGGCCAACGAACTCCAAGCTTAGTAAGTCTCGTTGGACAAACAGGAGCTGGAAAAAGTACACTTGTCAAATTACTTATCGACCTTCAACACCGATCCATTGGCAAGAGTTTTCCTGCGCCTGTCATTGGGATGCCAGGAAAGGACGTGCCCACTTCTGAAGGAGTTCACCTCTACTTAGATCCAGGTTCTGCATTCACCGACGCTCCACTCCTGTACGCTGACTGTGAGGGACTTGATGGCGGGGAACGAGAGCCTATCAGCGCGCGGTACGGGCGACGAGAGTCCGACTTTGGAAACGAGCGTGAGTATGGGATGGGCCTCTCATCTAAGACGCGATACACATCGGAACACGAGTTGATGTGGGCGGATTCAGCTTTTCGACGGAGCCGCGAGTTCATTGTTACCAGCCTCTATCCAAGGCTTCTGTATACTTTTTCTGATGTCATCATTTTTGTCCTTCGAAACCCTCGGTAAGCAGAGAGCCGACCTCTTGGAGGCTGGTTTGGGTACTAACGTTTACTAGCGTAATAGAGAGCGTATTTGAACAGCTCATCGATTGGGCTGCTGTTGCTCTGGAAACCTCGTCTAACCAGCCTGCTCTTCCACATGCCATCATACTATTAAATACTTGTGAACTTGACGTCGATGATGGATCATGGGACGTTGAAACCGCGACGGGTAATCTTCTTGACGCCTTATCGCACACTATTCATTTGAACCCTACCTTCCAAAAGTATGCTCAATACTGGCAAGAAAGAGACAAGAAAGTAGATTCTGTGAAGGAGCTAATGATGTGTTATTATAGCTCTTTGAGAGTATGTCATAGAGCCATAGTCACTTCTAACTTTTAAGGTGGAAGAGCATTACTAACGACCTTGTAGATTGTTCGAATGCCAGACAAAAGCCAGCCTCAATTGGTGCAGTCTCAAACGGATAAGCTTTACCAGGAAATCCAAACAGCGTGTATTGCGGCCCGGACGCGAAAAGCCGAACTCAGGATGCTTCTCGATGCAGGAGAATTGCAATCGTATCTTCAATTCGCATTTGAACACTTCTCGGCTAGATTAGACGTCCCATTCGACTTCGTCCAAGCATCATTCCTAAATAATCCAATCCCTTCAGACTTCGGCGGAAGTATCCTAAAATTGGCTATCAGGATGGTGGAGCAAGAAGACGATCCTGATGCCAGGGTTATTTTCAGCAAGCTTAGTTGTATGGTCGCCTCTTGCATTATGCTCGACTCCGTGCGGCACAAAATCAAAGGTGAGCGAGGGGAAGGGACAGAATTCCCCGTCGCAGAATCGAACTCCTTACCCTTGGCAAGGGACCGGCAAGACGGTTCCTAGTCCGATATCTAGTCACGTTTCGCTTCGAGTCATGATTGGGGGAAACCCGAGTAAGGACGACAGTGCTAACAGTGTAAATAGGCAATGCAGACTCCATCTTCCCACTTTATCTTCAGCACTTGGAAGTTGCTCTAAAAGACTTCTGTGACCGTCACTGGCCCTGCGAATTTGCAATCAACCGAGCGGCTCGCAACCGGATCCCAAAACTGATGGATAACCGGGCTGGGCTATCAACCATTACGAAATGCGTAAACGTTCGTAGCGGCCATGGTTCCAAAGGGCACCAGCTCGCCGATGGACGGGTGTTTGCTGCAGGAGAATACGTCTCAGACTTTTCATTTGGGGAGAATCGAGACGAATTCCTCAACATGGTCTATTTCCGCCTAGAGCATCTTTTAGACCTGCTTACAATTCGTCTTAGCAATGGCGAAGCAGAAAGAGAGGCTGCAAAAGAGCTGCACAGAGACGACGTTATGGCTCATTTCTATGGCGATGGTCCCAAAGGAGGTGTCAGATCTGTTCACAGTCACTCCGTCTGTTTCTGCTGCCTTTTTGAATCGCCAGAACACTGTTTGCCTTGCGGTCATATTCTCTGCACTGCATGCATTAAAACCTATGGGAAGTCGAAGGACGCGAACACAGTCGAAATGTACGAATGTCCATTAGAGACAAACGCTGCTGGGAGATATCAACCTTGGACAGTCCACTTAAAGCCAGAATCGGCAGGTCTTAGGGTGTTGTGTCTCGATAGGTAAGCTCCCGAAAGATGGCCAGCTGGCTTAAAATAACATCATTTTCTGTTAGTGGTGGCGTTCGAAATGTAATACAGTTGGAGATTCTTCGATTACTTGAAAGAGAGCTGAATGGGAAACTTCCAATCCAGTGTTTCTTTGATCTGATAGTTGGTTCCGGGTAAGAAACGGTCCTTTAGCCGGATCTTTATCAGTCACTAACCTTACTCAAATTAGGACTGCTGGTATTATAGCTCTTGGGCTTGGGACCCGAAACTGGAGCGTGGAAGAGTGTCTAGATCATTTTGAGAAGATTTGCGCCCAAGCCTTTGCCAATCGTGGAGGCCGGCATATCCCTGGTGCTGGCTGGCTGGTCGAAAGTCTAGCGCATGCCAAATATGACAGCATTCCCTTGGAAGCAGCCCTTAAAGAGGCTTTCTCCGATAGTCAATATCTCTTTGGTGGACCACGTCACAGGGGGCTCTCGGATCTCAACGTCAAGGTTGCTCTCGCAACTTCAACTCCAGGAGGGAACGACGTAGTACTAGCGAACTATAACCGTCAACTGAGGTGGCGTGGTATAGAACACTATCTCACGTAAAAGAAGAAGGCTAACTCCAATCTAGATAAATACCAATTCTATCGCTCAGAGAATCTTGCAGCGGAGTTCAAGACTTGGGAGGTGTAAGACTTGCAGTCTAGTACTTATGCTTGATATATTGAACTAACCTCCTTCAGCGCGCGAGCCTGTATGGCAACACCGAGACTTTTCAAACCTATGCAGCATCTCCCCTCCAGGCAAGCATTGCTCGAATCCGGAATCCACTCTCAAAACCCCATCCACATAGCAATGAATGAATGCCGAGCCCTCCTTCCGAGTTCTAGTGCTAGAGATAAGCACCCAGACATCATCCTTTCTCTTGGGTCCGGAATATATTCTACAAATAGCAGCGTGATAGAGCCTATCTCCTCACGTCCTTCGAGAGCTTTCAGCATTCGAAGTCGGACGGTGAAGACGTCTGAGTATCAAATCTTGATGGCAGCCCACTGTCAAAAGATCTGGGACGATCATATCAACAGCTTATTTGGATCCTCTTCAAGCTCCGCCTTTGTCCGTCTGAATCCTGAGATTTCCGAAAACCTTACCAGTTTCGAATCTCACGAGTCGATGAAGCTACTGCGAAGTCATATAGTAGAGCAATACAGAAACGATGCGCGAATAAAACAACTCGCGGCTCAATTGATAGCCACGCTGTTCTACTTTGAAACGGTAGGTAGTATCTGGGATACATGCGAAGATGGACTCTCTATGAAAGGCAAGCCTTTTCTCCTGTAGGAAGCGTCTCTACTAACTAAATTTTAGGAAGGATCCTCTGCCGGCTCCCCAACGAGACACCAGAAGTACGCGAAGTTGGCCGATTTCTGAAGGCCCGAGGAAGAGATCGCGCGAACTTCCTCTTCGCGGAGAACGCACAAACACCCCAATACTTCCCTATATCCCCATCAATTTTCGAAAACATGATCAGAAACATGGTTTTCGAGATGCCGGATATTTCAGTACGCCTATCATCCAAAGACTCAATAATTAGGGCCTCTCTTCTTCTCGAAGATTGGGAACAGAACTCGATAAGTGGGTTTCCTCGCTCTCTCGGGTCCACCGAAGATACAACAGCCAGTAAGTTTTCCTTAAACGAACAGAGAATGAAGCTAATGTCACAGGACGAACATGGGGCCCGACTGATACCGGGCGATCTCAGTTTATTCAACCTAGGGCAAGAGCATGGAGTCGACCTGATGAAGATTTCCGAGCCTCCCTCGAATTCGAACCGTTTCCGAAGAATGAAGGCAGTAGCTCATCATCCTTGAGCATAAGTCGACCACAACGTGATCGACGAAATACCTCGCCATCGCGCGTCTCCTCGGAATCAGGATACGGCCACTTTCTGACTCCAACAATGCCCAACCATGGAATTCGTGATAGTAACATACCTACCGGTGTACGGATACCAAGGCCCATCTCAGAGCTTGCCGATACATCTGTGCAACCGTTTCGAGCACCACCACCACCACCTCCTCCTCCTCCTCCTCCTCTGCCTACGCCCAAGTCTCTTGAGCAACCTTCTAAGCAGCCTCCCTCTGTCCGTATAGGAGCCCATACGCCAAGTAATTCAAGCTCCTCCTCTGAGTCGACATTGTCAATAGACGAGGTGAATGAATCAGTCACTTCTGTCGAACCGTCGCCTTCAGATCCTGTCCCACTAGATCCCCTTAATGTCCATTTTCACGATAGCTCCACTGAGTACACATTAATTGATGCAATGCATCGGAAAATGATGAGCGAGTTGCAGTCTCGTGGGAAGCCTCGAAAAGACCCCATGGAGGGTAATGCCTCTCAGCCTACAGTGTTACCTAGGGTTCCAAAGCGTCCAGATGCCCCTCGTGTTCGGCAGCCTTTAGAGACAGGCTACATAGCTTATTCCCCACCAAAAGATCAGATCATGCGAGAAACAGAAGCACCGTCACGGCTAACAAGGCCTACTCATAACCGGAACGACTCCAAGACAGTGCCCATACCTGATCAAGATGCTAGCATACCAGTGGCAGCGGTTCCGTCAGGGAGAAGGCAACCTCCCCCACCTCCACCAGTCGCACCACCTGCAGCGAGAAGACGACCTCCAGTCCCAAAGAAACGAGAAGACTTGAGGATGAGATTTAATGAGGGAGAAGGGCGCTAGGGCGCACGATATGTTATCGACTGAACTGGACCCTGGCGAGTGTGATGTGGCCGACAATTGAAGATATCCATTCGTAATTTTGGATAACACATTATATATCAGGCAAATTCTCATTTACCTCCTTTCATTGCATTCCACAAATGGCCTTAGGATTGTGCTTTGGAAGCGTGGTTTGAATTCTCCAATGCCCTGGGATAACCTCAACTCTGCCGCCTTACATTTTCCTGCATTGCTCCAGGTATTATAAGAACACCCAATTTTGCTTTCCCGCGACACAAACTTCTTATTCTCAAGGTTCGTGTTACCGGTGTCAGGACGCTTAAACGTGCGCCATTTCCTTTATATGGGCTGAGAAATTGTGATCGTATCAGTTCGGTGGACTTTTTTGCTTAATTCCCATACCTTGAACACAGTGTACTAATTACTTTAAGATGCACGATACAATCACCATTTTATACGTACTAAGCTAGAGGCAATTTCCGGTCCATGCTTTTCCTCGCTTCGGCATACTTACCACATATTCGGCAATCCATGTTGCTCAATTAGCAACCACGAGTTGCACAGCTAAACACTGATAGCGAGTAATTCCTTAGGCGACTTTCCAATTATTTCACTCACCATAGTCACGTCACAATGTCGAATAAGCCAATTTTGCAGAGCCGGGCAATGTTGTCGCGTACGCATATGTCTGTTGACTAAGACACGGAAAGTCTGAAAAGTGACATTCGCTGGCGCCTGTAAGAAGTGTATTGATTGTGCATAAGAAGAGAATGATGCCTACATACACATGAAAGAAATTTCTTGCGAGGATCCTGTGAGACAGCTTATTGAATTAAATCAGTAACACAGGGGACCTTTCCCAAACTTGAGCGGTCTCTCCTCCATATATCATACTTTCATCCACTACCAAAGACCTTTGTAGCACGTTCAGCTGGGAGGGCGCGTATGAGGTGGTTGAATGAGACGGCGAATGCGAAGAAAGGTTTGGTGAACTATCCACAGAACGTCCTGAATTCATAGGTCCCGGCGAATACGAATCGAAGCTGGCACCATCATTCTATACGGCGACACGAAACTCTCCTCACTGTCAAACACCGATGCTGCTGCTAGATGCAGCACCCCTCGAAAGCCTTACGGGGATGTCGACCGAAACATTGCGCCATTAATAATATGTGGTACATTAATCATTGACGTCAAACCAGATCCGCTTCTGAATTCCCCTCGCTCTGTCTGTCTTCAAAACGTCCGTGTTGGGAACCAGTCCGGCTCGTGTTGCATTACTTGGGTGGATCCCGACAGATGCGGCGAATTTGCTGCTAAATCATTATCTACAGAAGCATAATTATCTGAGTACCTTGGCGGATAATGTTATGTTGGGAGAGACGTGTATGAGGCAGTGTAAGAGTGTAAGAGAGACAGGAGATTGTACAGGGACCACCTGGGAAAGTGGGACGGTGGCGGTGGGCTGAGGTTGAAGTTGAGATTATCAATTTTAGCGAGGATTCGGGAATTAAATGTTGTTTTAGGGGATTGGTAATGTCGACTTGGTGGTTGTTTAGGCTATAGATGATGTTTATTCAAAGACATACAGTGAGAGGGAATAACAGCTATAGGGGATGTGGCAGTTGTGTTGAGTTTATTAGACGCAGTCATCTCCTTGAGAAATGCCTGCAGATGCATGATTTTCGACTGAACACATCTTTTACAGGGATGAGAACTGACATCCAGGAGTTTTGGTATAATGCTACGATCTATGAAACGGAAGTTATGATGAGTATGTAAATGCGACAACCATAAGGAAGGTATAAATTTGGTGATTGATATCTTGAAAAGTATTAGCGAATCGTAAGATTCTCCCACCTCAATTTGGCGATCTCCCAAAACGGAATTGGTAGTCCCTAACTGGGACCGAGAAGGACTTCAGCGCCATCAACCCATGCCACAACCGCCGCCCAATCCAAGAGCCAGCAGCCTCCTGCTAATATTCCTTGGGGCTGGATAATTCACTAAATGTACCTCATCAGTTGTGTTTGTGAAGTCTTGGGCTTGGGACTCGTCGTTTGTAGAGCTATAGGAAGAGGTTTTACTTGGGATATGTATGGCCCGAGAGCGAAGGGAAGGAAAGGCGCCACGTCGTTTGAGGGATGAGGTCCTTGCAACGTCTGACTGCCTGAGGTCAGCGCCACTAAATCATGGTCTTAGGACTTGACCTGAAGCCGGTTTAGCATTGGAGATAGCTCATCACATAGTTATTCAAAGATTCTGAGGCATCTGAGAGGAGGGATGTTCAAAATGGGGTCGGTTTGTAAGGCTGCATGCATGGCGCGGGAAGGATTTAGCGTGTTGGAATCTTTCGGTTTGCAGTGGCGACCGTTGACTTCACAGCGGCAACACCAAAAGCCAAGCTTGTGATAGGCTACCACAAACACCTCGATCATAGATTTGACGCATTTTGGTGAAGCGTGGATATTAAGGGCAGTTCAATGATGTCATCACAAGTCACAAGACAAGGCGCGGCAGTTTGGAAGCTGATTCATTGTATCGTGAGACCATGTCCGAACCAGTAGCCCCTGATGAAAAGTAAGCCAGGACACAACTCCGGAGATGGGTCCGCATCATAAGAGACGGAAAAGGTCGCCGTATGCGAAGAAAGTAGAGGGGAAAATATCGCCATCATAATGGAAACACATCGCCGAAAAGAAGACATCCTCCATGCTTAACGTGTCTTGTACGTGACGTACAAATACGACGTTGCTCCATATGAGAGGAGATCGTTGTGAAAGGGAAAAGAGAGTAAAGAGGGATCAAGCAAAAAGGAAGGTGCAGTGATGCCAGATGCCCACCGCCGACTCAACTCCTCGTTTTGCCACTGAGTGATGAAAAGTCTAGATAGTAGGTACAGTGAAGTAGAGAACCCACCAGCCACGCTGGCTTCCAGAAGCTGGGTTATCTGCCAAGGGGCCGAAAACCCATCGCCATAAACGCCAGCATATCTCTGAGCATGTTGGCGTAGAAAACATGCAACATTAAGACCAGGAAGGAGGTGTGTAAGTAACCACTAACATGCCACATAGAAAGGTGAAGGGGTAAAGAGAAAGAGCTAGGAAACTCTGGAGTTGGTGCAATGAGAGGAGTCGTATCTTTGACAGCAGACGGTGCCAATGAAAGCCGCTGTTGTGGTGAGCAATAGGGAGATCCTACTGTTTCTTGGTCTTCTTGATCGCGCCTTTAGCAGAAACACGGGAAGAGGAAGCGGGCCGCTTCTTCGCGGCTGACTTTGGCTTGGTGGGGGTAGTTGGTGGAACGGGTGGAGTGGCGGGGGGAGAGACAGATCGCGTGAAGATGGGGAGGAACTCAATCGCCGGGACTTCCTTAGTCTCGCCGTTCCGGAGCATGTCGAGAATAATAGCGACAACATTCTTAACCTCTCTAAGGACCTTGCCGTGGCCGAGTTCGAAACCCAGCTCGTGGAGAACGGTAATTGGTGCCTCGAAAGCTTTGCCATCATCCTTCTGTGCAGAGAGGGTCTTAGCCACCTCGAGGTTCATTCCGCCGGCAAGGTTGCGGGAGAACAAATTCAAGCGCTGATCCTCGGACTTCTTCAACGCAATATCGTACTTCGTGCCTGGGTAGGCCGCCTCGATTAGGTCGAGTTGGCGGTTGATGAGAAAGATCTTGCGTTTCTGCCACAGGTCAGGCTTGTACGTGGCCCGCTGGTAGTGCTTGCGACAGAACAATGGCCAGTTGGTGATTTGGCGAGTACAAGCTTTGTTTCGACCGAAATGGTTGGAAATCACCTTGCGGGACAAGCTGATGGTGTACTGGCCAGTGCGGCACTCGGAATACTCGTCATTCATACACTTAAACTCGCGATGAACGAGCGTAGCCGGGCTGGCATCATGGTCGGAGCCGTCGCTGAGCTGCATCTCGGCTTGCGAAATATTCAGAGCTGGAAGTTGACGGGTGCTAGTGATGCCACTAGCGGCAGGGCAAGATGCTCCATGACCAACAGAGGGAGAAGGAGAGACTAGCTGACTAACCTCACGCTCGACCGAAGCATCAGGTGAAGAAAGGAGGCTATCAATTGACATTCGGGCCCTTACAGAGGTCTGTTGATCCTCCCCGTGCTCAGCTTCGAGGCCAACTGGGGCGGTGCTCGTCGCGACAGCGCAGTTGAACTCAGCCATTTGGGGTGACATGATGACAAGAAGGTAGGAAGAAGGTAGGAAGGTTATGTGGAGTGATATAACGGTGTCGGTAGATACCGAAGAGGAGCTGTGTTGGAAGACGAAGCTCAAGGTGTGCTTGGGGTGAGGCGTTAAGGGGATAGACGAAGTCTCACTCGAGGTGGGCGAAGGAGGTCTTATATAGGAAGGGCAAGGCAACAGGAAAGGCGCCGACATTCGGGAAGCTACGACGATGCAGCGGCGGGGAAGTCAACTGACAAACGCAGTAATTGACTGTTCAGCGCCTATGTGATCTCCCACTTCGCCGCATTTGACAATACCAAAGAACCCCACACAATAACAGCTTGCTATTCACATGGGCCGTCACCTCAGCCCGTTCAAAACCGAGTTCGTCCTACAATAGCCTTGTCTACAGACATAATGGCTTCAATTTGGAGTGCTTCGTGATGGCTCTCGGCGCTGAACTTGCGGTGTGGGCCTCAGGGTTCGGCCCTCCAACCCGCGCCCAGAGCGCAGATAGAACTGAACGGAAGGCGCAAGGCATTGCAGATGTGCCATTTTGGGCGGTATATTGCCGCCTAGGCCGCCGCTCTGAGAAGGTCAGTACGCTTATTTAGCGCGGTGAGCAGTTGGAGCATGGCATCGACTGGGATAGAGGCCGTGAGATACTGCGGTCAAAGGTGGGTGTGTCTGCAGGCGTTGCCTTCCAAACGCAGCGGGGTAGCTCGGAAGGTGAAGGCGGCGGAGCGGCAAATGACCATGGTTGGGAGAGAGGGCGGCCAAGTGCAAAGCTGCAAACAGTTGATGGTGAGCTGGCGGGCATTCCCTGAGGTGAGTGACAGGAGGGATTGAAACATACTTGATCTTGACAGCAATGCAGATCTATAAAGATGTGCTCCGTCTCATTACTGCTGGTGAGTATCAGCGTCCGCAAGATTCGTGACCCTACTGAGCATTTCGCCTTTCAAACCAAGCAGGCTTGGAAAGGCGACCGTAGGTGAGGGGAGACCAATACATCTAGAAATAGAAGGCCTTGGAGTAAGCAATATGTCCACTCGGAAGCCGTCTTTAGGTTTGTCCGTTGAAATTGTCGGGGGAGCTGCATGAAAGCAATATGAGCGACTTGCGTTGATGATCTAGGTGAAACTGAGAGGTTGGATAAGACGGCTGTAGGTGACGGAAGAATTTAATCTTATACTCGGAAAGGCTATCTTATAGTTTTTGAAGAGTCTTAATACTGTTACAAACTTTGAGACCCTTTTGTGAGAGACCGCTGCTGACTGAGACGTAGTGGAACCCATCGAAGTCAGAAAGTTGAGAGAGGGAGTAGGAATAATGCCAGAACGATAACTTGAGAGTGGTTACTTGAAGTAACTCATAGTTAGACTTTATGGAAAGAAAAGTGAGGAGGCGTCATGCCTGTGTATGAGATACGAGTTTAACATTCCCTTCAAAGCGTTGAACGTCTATGTCTATTCTGGCGCAACATGATTCCATGGAAGACCTGCAGAAGCACAGTTAAACACATTGTCCATTCACATTTCTCACTAGGCGAAAGTCGTGGGTGGTTCGGATGGAGAAATGGGGGCTACTGGCACGTGATCATCTCATCCCTGGCCGTCTACATATCTTCTGCACCTCCAATACTACCACGATAGTCTTCAGAGTAGGTAGAACTTCCTCGGCGCCTTGATTTTACCCTCCGCTGATGTTTCACAGGCGCGCGCAGACCCTGGGTGGTGGTGTAGAATGGTTCTGAAAGGCTCGCTGTTCGAAATTATGTTGCATTAAGGTTGGTGACACCACGCGCGTGGAAGGTACCATTCCCCATCAAGGAGAAACGTCATGGCCTAGGGAAACTCTATTTCGACGGCGTTCGTCCTATCGAGGCAGGGGAGGAAGTGGTCCGGCTAGGTCTTTCTGTGGCCACAAGGCAACGGAAGTAGACTTTCCCTAGGAGGCAACCAGCATGCGACAGCACCCCCTTCGGCATCACACTTCGGCATCACCCTTCAGCACCCCCACTCGGCACCAAACTACATCTCTAGGTTTAATACACCGCTGGGCCGGCGAGCTAGGGGACTGGGGCGCTTTAAAAAGCTTCATCAGGGCGTCAACGCGCTCGTCTCTTGCGCTACGGTGTTGACACAATTGTAAGAGTGCTGGCATATCCTTCAGGATGTCGACAGCAATTTCGACAGGTCCTTTCGACCCCCTTGTCTATGCTGGCGGCGGTTGCCAATCTGTAGCGCTGGCAAAACGAGGGGACGGCAACCAGGACAATGGCCATTGGTCACTGTCAGCAACTTGCCTCCCAGAAGCATCTCCCGACATCAAACACAACACAAGGAGCGGATGGCGGATGGTGACCAGAGGCAAGTGGGATACCGACAAGATGCTATAGGGTATCATTTTGTCGTCGAAGCAGGACCACCCTGACAAAGGTCTGCGCAATTCGTACCCAGATAGTTACGGACAGCAAAACTTCCCGCAAGTATCGGGCTGCCTGCATACTGCTGCAGCGGATGGCAAGGCACCGAAAACCGTGGAGACATGTAGGTTTGCCCATATCCTTTATTGGAGACTCTGTTTGCTGACCATAACTATTTCTAGTTCAAATAGTGCGACGTAAAGGCGTATCTAACAGCGACGGTAATGACACTATTCCCGAGAGACCTTCTGATTACGGCGATAAGACACTATCATGGATATGGTTCCGGTACACTTTCCATAGGACTTTGGTGGTGACGTTCTCGCAACAATCATCCGGTAGATCCCTGCGAACGAATTTGAAGACGTCTTAATACGCAAGATTGAGCATGAGCCCCAGCATTGGCAGCTCCATAACGAGGTGCAGAGCCCTAACTATCTTCATACTAAGTCTTCATTCCTTGTTAAAGTTTCTTGCTTCTGTACTGTGGTCTTTTCTTCCAAATGCTCTGCGTTGTCATTATCCTGTTGGTTGTCGATAACTTGAAGGCCATGTCAAATACGCTGCCCTTTTTGAAACCCTAGCCGATGGGCGAGACCCTACAAATAAAAGATGGTCAATTGGGAGAACCTCCGGGATCAGAAAACATGAACGAGAGAGGATAAAAAGAGAAGGGAGTAGCATCAAGGCAGAAAGATGGGATTCACCCTCATTCGATGAGAACAAGATGTCGCATCTTGCTTCAAGAAAGGAGCAAAGCTAAGAAAGATGCAAGAAGGATGACGGGCAATGAGATTATTGGAAATCATTCGACTTGTTTCGGACTTTGAACATGTAGCAACTGTTTGGAAGGAGATTGGCTGCTGGGTTCACCAAGTTGGCGTCGCCCCATACCACGGCCATTGGAATAGTCGGCGCTAGAACATCCTGAAAGTTGTTCTAGCAAGTTTCCTTCTTGAGAGATTGAGTATATCGAGTATTGTGGAGAGCCCAGGGTCTGCAAACCATCCTAGTAGATAGAAGTATCCACCGATTGATACCCCGCTAATCATTTTAGTTGCAGTAAGCCGTTCGGAGACAATGTTTTCGCAAGCTTCCAGGACTCATTCCGGTTCTCGACATTCGGAGGATTCAACTCGACTCGAATCGAATTGCAAGGGTAGCTGCGTGGATGCGAAAGAACAAGCAACTAATAATAAAGATCTTTCGTGAGTCCTCGTGCGCTTTAGGACTTCATCGGACAGTCTCCAGTATGCTCTAGCCCTTTTCTATCAAGAGGACCACGGCGGAAACACGTTCATGGGGATGGAGAGACCAGAGAATGGTGTTGAGTGTACCTGGTTATTCCTCGTTGAAAATCCCTGGATCTTTCGTTGCAAGGAATAAGTAGGACCCTCATAAGCATATTATGCATACGATCCTGAATTCACACGGGCCTCATATCCGACCACTACAGCCATGGTGTTGACGGTTGTTTCGCCCAAGCCTGAGCACACAATTGGATGTCTCGGTTGCCCTTGCCATAGTTGTGCCACTTGTGCCAAGCTTCTGGTCCTTGTGGTATGATACTTTATCGAGGGCTAGCAAGCTAGGTGTTGGAAGGACCATGGAGGCTTCGGAGGAGAACATGAAGGAGAATGACGCCCGATTGAACTGTGATGGGCTCTCGAGACCGTGATGGAGCTGACGGGGGAGCGAGTTAAGGTCGACAAGGAGTGTTAAGCGCTGCTGGAACGAATTCGACAGAGCAAGGTCCAAACCCAAACGCACACTGCAGAAGCGAAGAGGAACTCCCGGATGATAGCTCCATTGGCTTTGCCCCTTATGTTGCTGGTGCAGTGCGTGTGGTGGAGGGAGTGTGGCGGGGAGCGCCGGACCGTTCCTTGGCAATGGTAGGTCGACGAAGGGGGTAGAGGGCTCGTCGATGTGATGGTCAGCTCTATTGCAGCTGCATCGTCGAGCTCATACAGCTCTTAGGAGGATCTTACTGTTACTGTCGCGCCTTGAAAGGCCGTTGTGGTGATGGTAGTGGCCATGACGGAAGGCGGAGACCCTGCGGACCCCCGACCCACTCCTAGGCGACCCCTGTTTGCTGCCTGGCGAAGCAAAATTTCCCTCCTCCATATCACGACCTCGAGACCCCAGAGAGGGAGCAACTCTCTACTGTTTTGGGATTACAGGCTCTAACTGCCACCACCCCCTACCCAGTAATTCCAGCTTTCTTTCGCGGCCGCGCTCCGTACCCTCCACATCTTGCGTTAAACCAGCCTCCCACACCACACCACGGTACAGATTCTCGAGTATTACATTAACACACGAACACCTCTGGCAGCCAGTACCGGTTCTCGCAGAGGTACGCAGAGTTCCTCGGACGCAGAAACTGCGGTCAGGTTGGTTCACGTCAGCCACCTCGTAACTCCTCATCCTTGGCCACATGTGCAAAGCTGGAATAACGGACGAGGACCCCTTGTGCTCAACGCAGCGGAGAACACCACTGGATGCAAGTGATGATATTGCAAGAGAGGAAGCTGAAAGATTTAGCATACATATTCGTAGTTCGCGCAGAGACATAAATTTCATCCATCCCAACAAATTCGACCCTAAGGTAAGACACCACCATCGAGGGTTCAACTGCACCGTACCTGCATTCATTGGTCCTCAAGGTACAACTGTTTACTACGCAGACCAGCACGTAGGGCACTTTTGGCACTTCCCCATCTGGGCATCCCAAAATATCCTATCGACCTGCTTGTGACACCCAGCAACTGTCCGCTCTCCCAAGGCCCGCTTGTTCAAGTAGCACAAGCTGTCCCCGAGGTATTAAAATTTATAGACTTCAGCTTTAAACAGGTCGAAGATTTGTTTGCAAATCTTCCACATTATCTATATTGCCTGATCTTGTGCTCCAGCAATCACACCAGGTGTCCACTAGCGGAATGGCTTCGCATCCGAACTCTCCTCATTGGGAATTGGACGTTTATGCCACTCCCTTTGTGCCCCATGCGTTCAAGTCCGTCAATAACGAGCACGCCACTGTAATCGCCACCGATACCAAACACCAAGTCGATTTTGCTGCCTATACTGAGACTTTTGCAGCCAGACACTTTGTGCCGCAGCGATATAATGCCACCATCCCTCCTCCTGAAGGAACCGTGAATCATCCCCCCCTAGACTCAGATCTCTCTGTGTCATCATACTCTGAATTCTGGTCACCAGTGTACAATGTCGAACTTTCTGCCAAGCTTGAGGAGAATGATACCTACACGCTATACAATGTACCGCTAGTACCAACCGCAAGCCAGGAGGGGCACCAATTATACCGGCTCCTTGTCCCAGGATTGCGGGAGGAGACACCGTTCGTTGAGCTCGGTGATACCATCCAGCTTCGCCAGCTTCATCTTGACCCGTATGGCAATCTAGTTCAGCTGCCGGTTTACTTCGGCACCCAAAAGCCGATCTTTCTCACCTGGGGCGGTGTGCAATATGACGCAACCGTGGAAGATATAAACCGAGCGTACGAGCTGGTTTTCATAAGGGTCAAAGGTCTAGTTCCTCAGACAATGAGGTTCAATGTTGTCTTTTCGATGCGACGGAAACTTATTTCTGTGCAGTGGGCCGCTCTGCACCTTGTGTCAAGTGAGCTCTTGAGGATACTGGCAAAGCCTGGACCTTTGGGTTCTCGGGAGGTGCATGAGGAGCTACTTCAGAGGACTGCGAGTATGACTCTTACTACGAGTGGCCACTCAAATCAAACCAACGGTGCTAATGGGGAAATACAATCTCAAGACGACGGGGCTCCGAATGACTGGATTCGACGGATGTTATTCCCTGTTGATTCTGATGGTGTCATTCAAGAAAAACTACGTACACTCCCATGGAAACGAGGGCTCTTCGACCCCAAACTTAACTACGAACAACTCTCTGCAGTCGACTGCGTCTGTCGGAGTGACTATGGCGTTCTTCCTTACCTTATCTCAGGTCCGCCTGGCACGGGCAAGACGAAAACCCTGGTGGAGCTTGCTATGCAACTGATAAAAGATCAAGTTGATCATGTCCTCATCTGTGCACCGTCCGATGCGGCTGCAGATACGCTTGCTCTACGCCTTAGTAAGCATCTCAAACCGTCGCAACTTTTCCGACTCAACGGGCCTGGGAGGACGGTCGATGAGGTTCCTCAAGCCCTAAGGGGGTTTTGCTATAGGACACAGGACAAGGACCCCAATATGTACAATCTACCGCCTTTCCCGCAACTGATGAAGTATCTTATCGTAGTGACATCGACTCGAGATGCTTCCATCCTTATGAACGCCAAGGTCACTAATTCAGACCTATATACCATTGAAATGAGCATGCTTAAAACCTTCCATCCAGAATCGCAAGTCCCAGCAATCTCACTCCATTGGGGTGCCCTCCTCATCGATGAAGCTGCGCAAGCAACAGAACTCGAATCTCTTTTCGCACTTTCCATAGTCATGCCCCCACCATCATATCCATCGACCTTGCCGCAACCACAATTCGCAATGGCCGGTGACGAAAACCAACTCGGTCCTCGCACCGCATCAAAAAATCCACATCTCACGACCTCTCTCTTCGCCCGGCTATTCGCTCGCCCCCTTTACGCTAACCACCCCCTCTCCCGCTCCAACCTTCGACCCTCCACCTCCCCACCTGTCCTCACAGCTGCCATGCTCCCAATGAACTACCCAGCCTTCGAGAACCTGACTAGAAACTACCGCTCTCACCCTGCCATCCTCTCAGTCTCATCCTCCCTCTTCTACAACGACACTCTAATCCCCGAATCCCAACCCGCCGCCCATCCACTACATACCTCCCCCATCTGGACGCACCGCAACTGGCCAGTGAAATACATCCCACACCGGGGTCTCGATGAAATCGAGCGCGACGGCGGTGGCTGGTATAACGTATCTGAAGCCCGCATCGCCTGCAACCTCGCACAATATCTGTTTTCTTCCGCGCAAGTGCCGCAGGCGGAAATCATCATCATGAGCCCGTTCGCTGCACAGGTTAAGCTGCTACGTAAGGAGATGCGGAGTGCAAGGTATGGTAACGGATCTGGGCTATTTGGCGTGAATATCGGGCCGTTGGAAGCGTTTCAAGGTCTTGAGAGTAGGGTTGTGATTATCTGTACGACGCGTGCGCGGCCGAAATTCGTGAAGGGTGATGTTGAGAGAGGATTGGGAGTTGTGGGGATGCGGCAGAGGATGAATATGGCCATTACGCGGGCAAAAGAGGGGCTCTTTGTTATTGGAAATCCTGAGGTGTTGGCCATGGATGAGTGGTGGAGGGAGTGGGTTGCGTTTTGTTTGAGGAATGGACTTGTATCTGAGGATCTTGGAATACATGCGCAGAGGTTTAAGGGCGGGAAAGTGGGTGTGTTGGAGAAGGCGTTGGTTATTAAGGAGGAGAAGGCTAGGGAAGAGACAGCGGGAAGGCTGAGAGTTTTAGGTGGTGCCGTTTTGGGTCAGGGGGTCGACGAGGATGAGATGTGGGCTTTAGGGCTTAGGGCGGCTATGGAGGAGTGGGAAGAGGAGGGAGGCGGAGGCGAGGAAGACGAGGAAGACGAGGAAAATTGAAATGGAGGGAAGCGGACTTCGTTTCCAGATACCCAAGGCGTTGATAGTATGTTTTGGAAATGGGAGAGGCCTTGGATAAGTAGTTCCTCTCTTAAAGATAATAGAAGATTCCATGCAACATCAGTTGCGAATGAATGCTCTCGCTGTAGAGATCCGCTCTCGTTGACAAGCAAAAGAGATGAAATTCAAGACATAAATTATACAGATGAGGTTGCATTATGTATGGAGGAATCTATACACCGCCGGCAACGGCCGAGTCCAAGATAGACCCCAAGGAGCCACTCCATGAAAGGCCTGCTAGAATGGGGCCCTTGCTTTCCAACTATAAAGCCTCTTCAAAACACCAGTGAAAATCCAGAGTACTGCGTATGGGGGCATGCAGGTTGATAGGAGGTCCTATCCATGAACTAGGATGCAGATCCCAAAATCGAAGCATGAATCCGTCTAGAAAGTGAAGCAATCGCCTTCGTATATTTCGTGAACTCATCTCTGCGACAAGTATCTCCTCAAAGCACCCTCGACTACGTGATCAGGGATACCAGCATTATTAGTCCCCGACAGTTGACCTGGCTGTTGTTGTCGTTGCTGCGATTGAACAGGTGCACCCTGGACGCTAGCACGTAAAGCACTACCCACACTGCCCGGAGCTAGCGCTGTATGTACCCCACCTTGAAGTGACTGGGGAAGTTCACGTCTCGGCGGGCCCGGATACTGCTGCATTTGCATAGGCAGTCCCTCTTCATTGGCCACAGCCGGAGGAGCTTGCAAATGCGGCAGTGGCCGACCTCCTGTAGCAAGCATCATTGCCTTCTCCCTATCCTTTTTCTTCTTTTGCACGAGGTGGCCTTTGACACCCCGCAAGTACTTCGTTGCTGCTTCGACAAGTTCCTTCTTCTCGGGAGAGGTCTTGAGAGCTTCAAGCATGTCGCGAACCTGTGTCTCCGAATTGATATGTGGGCAGGTGCGTGCGTGACCAAAATGCGCCAGACCGCAGAGGCCGCAGTGCTCGGCGCCCGCAACCTTGAGAGGGCAGGCACCGCGGGGATGTTGGGTGTGGCATGCGTAACACATTTGGTTCTCGTATTGCCCAAAGGCTGGCTGGAGCAGTGAGCGGACTGGGAAATGAGCACGGGCAAATGGTTTGACTGCAGGCTGCAAGTTAGGACCCTGATCCGGTTTGTGATCATCAAGTAGCGAAATATGTTGAGAAGAAGAGGGTTGAGTCATTGAGTCTTGATGGTTGCCATTCTTGCTGTACTTGACTTTGGTCGGCGGGGGAGGGACTGGTGATTTGACTGAAGATGAAGGAGCTCGAAGTGATGATTTAACGACAGATTTCGGAGAAGCGTTGCTGAGGGTAATTGATGGAAATTTCGACGTACCCACGCTGTTTTGCTTGTAGGTGGGTCCAAGAATCTGGCCAACACTCTTATTTTCGCGCTTTGAACCATCATCTAGAATGTCGGGTTCGTCATCTGCGTAATGTTCAGCCTCGGCAGCGCTATCCTCTTCCTCAGCTTCGTCTGCTTGGAAATCGGTATCACTGTCTGAACCAATGTTCTTCTTCTTCTTGCGACGTTTCTCTGGTTTGATGGGTGAGGGGTCGGCGAGATCAGCGGCAGCTTCCTGTTCGACCTGGTTATAATCGACTGTCTGTAGTACTCGTTAGAATATTACGCTAGCAACGTCTGAGATAGACTTACCATTCGAGCCCGCTTTCCTCTACCCAAGGCATCCGCGCGAGCGAGAGCCTCAGCCGCTGCAGCAGCTTGGCGCTCTTTGAGAATCTTATCCCAAACACCAGGGTCGGGGCCAATCTCCTCCTCTGAAGCGTCAAGAGTGTCTGCCAAAGTGCCTTGATCGTTGGCCCACACACGAGCGAAACTGAACTGGGACTCTGCTGAATCATCCCCACTCGTCCTGGTGTTCTCGATCTGGCTCCGGTCGAGCAGTTTGTCGATCGAGGCTTCGTCATAGCGGATATCGTGATCGCCATTGTCGTCCTTGAAGAGCTCTGCTGCGCCGTGTTTGAGCATAGACTCCACATCCTTCTCATCCAAATCCTCAGCGTCGAGTTGTTCTACCACAACGTGATCCAAAGCCATCTTATTCCTTCCAATCTGAGTGATCTTCTCTTCAACACTACCTCGTGTCATAAGCTGAAAGCAAAGGACTTTCTTCTTCTGGCCAATACGATGTGCCCGAGAAATTGCTTGGATATCCTGGTGTGGATTGAAGTCTGGATCGAGGATGATGACAGTGTCTGCAGTAGCAAGATTGATTCCGACACCTCCAGCTCGTGTGGAGAGCAAGAAGGCGAACAATGGGGAATCTGGGGCATTGAACTGATCGATGCGCTTCTGTTTCTCCAACGAGCCCATAGTACCATCGAGACGCTGGTAAGTCAATTGTAGTCCATCTAAAAAGTCCTCCACAATGCTAAGCATGTCCAAGAATTGACTAAAGATTAAGACACGATGATTCCTCTCCTTCAACTTTGGGAGTAGCAGTTCGAGAAATTGCAGCTTAGCAGATGCTTCCACAAGATTGCGGTGAGAAACGGCTGCAATGTCAGTCCGCTCTTCGATCTCTCGGCTGTAAACGAATGGATGGCAGAGACATTTTCGCAGTTGCATCAGGATATTGGTCAGATTGGCTCGTTCTTGCTGTTTAAGGGCCGTGGTTGTGAACAGTGCCTTGAGTAAATCTGGGTTCTTGGCAAGAATCGACTTGTAGAGATTCTTCTGCAGAACGCTCATTGACAAAGGAACAATGATCTGTCCGAGCGGAGGAAGGAACGTAAGGACTTGTGCCTTGGTACGCCGCAGGATAAAGGGTCGGATTTGGTCGTGCAGTTCTCGGATGTTTTCTGATGTCATCTTAGCGTATTTTTCTTCCAGTTCTGCGGCTTTGATAGTATCATCAAGGAACTGTAGCAAGTTAAAGAGCTCCCTAGCATTGTTCTGCAGCGGAGTGCCAGTTAAAAGTAACCTAAAGGGTGCTTTTATAGCGTTTAATGCACCATAGAGCTGACTCTTATCGTTCTTCAATCGTTGACCTTCGTCAACGATCAAAGCTGCCCAGTTGGCACCACGGAATATTTTCCTGCAGCTATCGTCTGTGGCAGCCTCGTACGAAGTCACAACGACGTGACATCGAAGCTCTTTCGCTCCCTCGGGGTACATCTCGTACTTGTAGGCCATGTCTCGTGCTACAGAGGAGCCAAAGAATGTCACAACCCGTAAAGACGGAACCCATTGCTTGATCTCTCGGCGCCAGTTTGCACAGGTCGAGTTAGGGACGACCACTAGGAATGGGAAGCAGTTGTGCTCTTGGACTAAGGTCGCCATGAAGCCAATGACTTGAATCGTCTTTCCAAGCCCCATCTCGTCGGCAAGGATACCATTCTTTTGTGAGTACCATTGATAGTACAGCCAATTCAATCCGTCGATTTGGTACTTCATAAGCTCGCCACCGACAAGAGTATCTGGTTGCTTCTGCTTCTCTAACTTGGCGAACGCGGTTCCACGGGCTTTTTCGAGGCGAGCCTTCAGAGGACCTTGCTTTGGGTACCTAACATATCGACCAGCAACCCAATCGTTATAGGCTGTCACGAAATCAAGCCATCGGTCGCCATCCTCTACTGTTGGAACCTTCTCCCAGACAGCGTCCTCATATCCGAGACCTTTGTATTTGATGAGGGCAGTGTCGACCTCTTTAATACGAGCCTTGTCGATTTCCTCACTTCGTACATCAACAAAGCTGGTAAACTTAACGCTGAGAACGATGTCGATGCGAAGAAAGTCCTCAGGAATGGCATCCTCTGTCCTCATCTTGGGTCCGTCTTCTCGCTTGTAGAAGGCCTTTCGCATGGCGGGAGCCGCAACTCCCCACGTCCAGGCTCCTGAGTGCCAGGATGCACGGAAGTATGATTGGTTCTCCCACTTAATGAGATATTGCTTATCGTCTTCGTTCAACATGTCGCAGGAGGAACCTGGGCGGTATGTCTCGACATCCGAAGGTCGCCAAGCAATTAGTCCTGAGACCTTTCGTTCACTTGTCTCTTCACAGTCCTTGCATAACCATTTCTTCGCATACTCATGGAAACGCTCATCTGCAGTCTCCTCATCATCACGAACTATGTCCATGGAGTATGCTGAGAGCGGAGGAAGATGGTGGTAGTGGTAAGCCCGCGAACACTTCGTACATCGGAAAAGAACGTTGTGCGCATTGTTAATGAGCTGAGACGGGACAGCGGTTATTGGATCTTCCCCTCTATTGTCTTCACGATCCTTTTGCTCCTGTGCGGTAGTTTTCCGAGGCCTGAATGCTTTGCAGGATGGCCCGGGACGCCGGCAATCCTGACAAATTGCAAGATCTGGGGCAGTATGATCCTTCTTGCGGTAGATGTTAATGCATCGTCGGCACTGAAGAACAAAATCTTCCTTTCCGATTTTGGTGACCAGGTGGTCCCGAGTAGCCCGAGCTCCAAGACAATTCTTGTGGTAGGAGAGACAGCAACCCTGACAATATACCAATGGCGCAGCGGCTGGTCCCTCTCCACAAGTCTCACAGGCTTCAATGTGCCGCGATCTGAAGAGATTGTTTCGGGGAAGAGTCTGGAACACCTCTCGAACACTGACAACCTTGGGCAGAGCGGGTTGCTTGGGCTCGGAGTCCGATCGGTATATGTCGTTGATGTTTGCTTCTTCCATGTTGTTCTGCGCTCGTGTGGCTCTATCAGACTGTCGGACGCCTACACGAGGGGCCTCCTCGAGTACCTGCGTAGAACGACCAGCTCGCTTCCTCTTTCGCTGGCCTTGAAGACGATCGGGGCGGAGAATGTCGACTTCACTTAGATCATCCTCGTCATCTTCGCTGTATTCTTGTAGCTTTGTCCGCTGCCTACCAGAACGTCGAGTAGGCTCTTGGACTTTGGGTTTGCGTTTGCGTCGGCGTGGTCCACCTGCCGTTTCAGAGCTCTCATTAGAGTCGGATTGAAGCCCGCTGCGGCGGGATCGGGTCCTGGATCGACTGCTATCAGTGGCACGTTGGTTGAGGGCGCGAATTCGGCTCTGGCGTGGCTTCTTCGACTGCAATGCAAGGTCATCCTCATCAGAAGAAAAATCGATTGCAGAGACATCGAGAAAGCCATCGCTTTTTGTTTTTGTACGCTTCTCACGTAGCTCCATTCTCCGTTCTTGAAAGCCGTCACTGATAGGTGAAGCGCCGTCTTGCTGAAAGTTGTCGAGGGCGATGGATCCGTTCTCAATGACTAGTAGTTCTTCGAAAGAGAGCTCGGCACTCGATTAGGGTCTTGAGTATTGAGTATTGAGGACGGATGTGGGTTTGGGATGTGTGGAAGGAAGAAGGGATCAGGTAGGTGGAGTGAGATATATATATAAAGGGTAAAGGGGAGTCTGTTGTAGGGTTGGGAGGTGTGGATGGAAGAAACGGTCAAGTAGGTGGAGGTGAGAGAGGTATAATGGGGACTCAGGTATGGGCAACCTTGTGGCTTGGTTATGAAGGAAGGGGTGGATAGAGGCAAATTAGGAGGAGAAAGTAATAGTACATACTGTCTTTTCAGTCCCATCAGAGAGCTTTACCTCGAAAAGCAAGTCACCTTTCCGCGTATACTCTCGCAAGATTTGTTCAACGGAGTCCTTCGGCTCGTAGTATGTATACTCTTTCCGATTTTGCACCGGTGTTACTTGGACAGCCACGGCTTTCCGAGTGACGTGTTTTAGCGGCCGTGCCATTTGTATTGCTGTCTCTTTTCCCCCCGTTGAGCTCTCGTCCGATATGAACAAGCCTGGTGACATGGATGGCTGCTTTCGCGACGGGGTAGCAGCATTGTGTTTACGGGACATGCTCTTAAACGTCGCCATCAATTCGGCGCCATCGTCGGAGCTGCTCATGATGCAGACCGTTCTTCTAAGAATATATCACATCAACGTGTTCGTGATAGTAGCGACGCAGGCCGGAGTCGGTACTATTCCGTGGGTTTCGGTGATCCGTGGGTTTCGGTGAGGACAGTATTGCGAGCGAAGAGGGTCAAGAGATGGGTTCGGCGCAGGGGTTCAATGCTTCCTGTCACCAGAGGACATGGATGGGCAGTGACGACCGCATGGGCGACGTGGGGGGTAGTCGCGCGTCGAGTAGTGTTGGACGAGGTGCAATGGTTGAATTGAACGCGAGGCCATGTGAGCGTGAACGCGATTGGCTTGGCATTGCGGCTCGTGCGTAAAAATTATTTTAGCGTGTTCAGAAGCTTTCACCTGCCAAGGTGCATTTTGCTATGACGATCCATTGCGTCCTTTCAGCGTCGCTGTTCCCCTCTCGTCTTTCGTACCGTCATGGTACATCCCCTAACTCTTCCTGCTAATCTATTCCGAGTACCACCTTCAAAATTTCCCCGAATATTTTCCCGTTACAAGTCCATCCGAGCAGCAATAGAGAGGGGCATCAACGACTCTCGGACTCTCACGTCCCACCGTAGAAGCAGGGAACTTAACGGGGGCGCAGGTGGATCGATTGAGCATTCAAACCTCGAGGGCAGATACCGTTCTATGAAGAGAGACATCACGTGCCAGCCAATCAATTTCAAGCGTACCTACCCGGCAGTCGCAAAACGGGCTTGGAAGGAGAGACTCGCGCAACAAGGGCCACCGACGAGACAAGAGAGAGAGCTTCGAGTAAAGGAAGAAAGGGAAAACAAACCCTCAAGTGCAAAAGAGACAAGTTGGCGAGCCCCCCTCGCGAGGGAACATGTCCCGGAGCTGCTCCCCTATACCACGGCTGCTTCAGAGTTCCTCTACGGCTATTCGGTAGTACTAGCTGCACTGAAAGCCGACCGCCGAAAGCTATACAATCTCTACATTCACACCCGAGGCCTGAACCATGAGGGTAGGGCTGCTCTCGTGGCGAGGGCTAGGATGGTTGGTGTGAAGATACACGAGGTCGGAGATGAGTGGTTGCGTGTCCTGGACAAAACTGCCAGTGGCAGACCGCACAATGTATATCTATAGTCCACGAGATATTCTTTTGCCTAGATTCTGACTTGCAAGGGTTTCATCTTAGAGGCATCTCCCCTGCCTCGACCTCCCATCACACAACTAGGCGCTGCCTTGATAGGTTCGGCGTCCTTCAAGGTCGAGAGGGACAAGCAAAGCAGAGAAGATGCAATAGTGAATGGAACGCAGGAGGAGTATTCATACAAATCGGCTGGGTGGAGACATCCCTTGCTGCTATACGTTGACGGAGTGGTGAGTATCTACCAGCCTCACGAACGAGAACTATCCTTAACAGCCCCAGCTTGATGAAGGAAATCTCGGAGCAATTGCGCGCTCTGCATACTTCCTAGGAGTCGATGCCATCGCTACACCGACGAGACAGAGTGCTCCCTGGAGCCATATTGCACTTAAAGCCTCGGCGGGTGCCGCCGAAGCCATTCCAATATTTGCCGTCGCCCAGCCTTCAAGCTTTCTTATGAAGAGCGCTCTCAGAGGCTGGAGGATATACGCAAGTGACGCTATACCACCAGAGATAGAACTTCAATCCTCGGGCACTACATCTTTGTCACCCATGAACAGAGATGAAGATTGTTCAAGTAAAGTCCTCTACACATTCGCTCGGAGCTCCAAACGAATTGCCGACCACTTCCCTGTCGCAAGTCACCCGACAATTCTAATGATGGGCGCCGAAGGATCTGGCCTGCGAACCAGTTTAATAAACCAAGCCCACTACAAGGTCGGGATTCGAGCTGGACGGGATGTTGGTGAAGTTGGCGTAGACAGCCTTAACGTCAGCGTTGCTGCTTCACTATTATGTTATGAGTTTTTAAAGAGACCAAGACAGGAACGGAAACCTGGCGAGTGGCTTTTCTAAGTGAGTCCTGTCTCTGAGGAGTATTGCACTTGTCTATTGTAGCTGTATCACACTTATATGCATCACATGTAAACCCCATTTCCAAGTCAGGGGCAGGCGCGAGACGCAACATTTTCTCCTCTGCTATCCATGCCACTTTGGCGGTTGCATCTGAACTGCTCGCTCCCAATCAGGCGCCGTTAAAAGCTTATCATTTTGGCAAGGATGAGTGCCCTGTTATCGTATCTATGCACGTCATTTGGAGGGTGGATCTGCAGTCTGCAGAAGAAGTCCACAAACGAGTTCACCTCCACTCAACTGGCTGCAAAGGCAAGATGCATCCCCCGCCTTCTCAGGATCGGCTCCTCTCGGCGGGTGCTGGACTCTCCACATTGTCAACTTGACAAGGGCGCTGACATGGGCGTCGTGGGCGATGGCTAGTTAATATTAGTATTTTCATTTTTCTGCCAACATTTTGTGATATCTTTGCGGAAGGACCTTTCGCATTTGTGCGTAAGGCTGTCGATCAAGCGGAAATCATTCCGGTCAGCACTCAGCCTTCGAGGCTTGGTGGGGGTGTTTCCTGCTATCCTCAAGCCGGAAGGAACCTCTATTGTGGCAGTTATTTGTTTCAATACTGACCAGAAGGAGGAGGAAAGGGTGGATACAAGAGATGTGATGTTCAATATTTTAGACGATAACTTCTATTCCCGGCTTCGAAGACCTCACCAGCACAGCCCAATGGCCCACTTGACAATATTTATATCCGCCATGACTGGCATGCCCCCAACTGCGAATCGATCTCCAAAGCCTCGTATATTAAAGTTAGGTAGAGGGAATTGAGGAGTCTTGACGCCTTGGATTATGGCAGTGAGGTATCAAGCTAAGCTGCGAAAACGCACTCATGTTAAAGCCTGGACCTTCATAGAGAACGTTTCTGCTCAAGCTAGCGAGCTGAAATGATGCTATTGACCGGCAAGTCACTCACGATGACCGTTGAATCGACCCACTTCTCAGTCCATTCTACAAATTGTTGAACGAGACACATATGCAAGGACCACGGGGTCTGACCTCAAAGAGGCGAGTGGCTGCGAGAAGCGCTTTGCTGATTGTTATCTTTTGCCCTGCATTTGATGGCTGCGGCTGAAGATAACGGTGCATGAATCCTCAAGACCACACGTTCCATGTTCAACGCAGCCTTGTAGTTGTCACCGTATATCTATATCAATTTCCAAGGCTTCGAACCCGTCTGCTGACCACCCATTCACGGTGGCCCAGCACGGCTTGCTATCGGAGAAAGGCGTATTCAACGTAACTTCAACATGTGTAGGCACATAAGATCTCTTCCAGAACCAAGCGTGAAGCAACATGTACTTCCACGGCGATGCACATTTACGTAACATACGGAGGCGAATATCGTGGGCGCGAGAGGCGCTGTCAATGGTGGTGAGCATCGAAAGGCGGATCAAGCGGTGTGAAGCGATAAGTGCTGAGACCCCAGCTTGCCCGCCAAGAAACTATTGCTCGCTTCCATAGCTTGGGCTGTTTTGAGCAAAGCGTCATCGCGCATCCCTTCCCATTTCGATGTCGTCGCAAGGTCAAGAAGTCACAGGTTTGCCGCCCTTTCTCTACGTCTGCGGCCCTCCATCGCAAAATGTCATTTTTCTCTATCACTCCCCGCACCGATAGCTATACCTAGCCTGCATACACGACGATTCATCCCAGAGCAGCTGTGCACTCGCCATTCGCCAGCGCGTGTCGCCAAGATTACCGCACCCTCAATCACACAATACATCCCCCAAACCTTTCTGACGGCCCGCCTGAAGCACCCATAACTCCTCCAGCTGTCCTACCCATCCCAAACAACCCCGCCGTCCTCGTAGCTTCCTGGACAGGGTAATTGTCGACCGTCTCTGCCGCCGCAAGCAACAGCAACAGTCTCTCCACCATGACGCGAAGACTAGTCTACAGTTCCGGTTTATTCCTAACCATTGCCTGTATGCAGTGACCAAATCGTGTCACAAGGCGGGAATAACGCTGATACACGCAGGCACGGCAATGACAATAGCAAGCATTGTCCTCCCTCGGTGGGTCAGCTATAGCCCGGTATGTAGTTTGGTTGTTCTGCCTTGGACTCAATCGAGACTTGAGTTCTCCGCTTATCAATTTTCCTGCGCGTCATAGCTCCGATGCTGACAGTGCGACAGAAGGACAAGCGCGAACTTTCCTATGGCCTCCACACCCATTGTTCGAGCATCACGGGCATATGCAAACCCTTCCCACAATTCGAAGACTGCGCGCGGGACAAATGGAGTTTCTGCAGCATGTGGAGGACGGTTGGCTTCCTAATCTCCTTCGCTGTCGTCGTCGAGCTCTGCACACTCGTCACCTTCTTTGTGATAATCTCAGGAGGGGTCCAGCGAAGGAGCACCGGCTGGACAATCCCATGCTCGCTACTGTTGTTTGCAAGCATCATACAGTGTGCGGGTATGGCTATTGTGGTACGTGTATTGCCTCCTCGGAGTACTCATAGAGCTCGATCCATCAGCCATCAACCAGGTACCTTGGGTAAAACATAAGTGGGTAATTGCTGACGCTTCCCAGTCCTTCCTTTTTGACCACGACGAACGCTTCTTTGACGGCTGGTACCTGGACAACTCCTGGGTCCTCTGTACTGTTTCCTGGAGCGTGCTCTTCCTCACCAGTGCAGGCATTACGGCCTCTGCATTGTACCTGCCTGAAGAAGGCGGCTATGAGCTAATCCCCGACCGCTGCTACGACCTCGAGGTCGAAGAAGACATGTACGAAGAAGAACCTCAATGATAACACGTACCATTTCTTATCTGGCTTAGATTGCGATCCCGGGTCAACGCTTGGATGGTCGACACGTCTCGATAACGACTGTAAACGTACACACATAGGCCTGACGAGGTAATGAAGAGCAAGCGGAGACATTAAGCTCCATAGTTTTCATAATACCTGCATCATTACCTAGTCTAGTTCTTTTTGGCTTTAGTTATGGGCACTAACAGTTGCGTTCCCTGGTGGTCGGACACATCTTCGTTCTTCAATTTCGTTTCTATTTTTTTTGTGACATACCTTTTAGCTCAGCATTCTTATCCACCTTTCAATGATACCCCTCCCTCCGACTTACCCTGGTGGTTGGGCATTTCTTGTTCTTTGATGGCGTATCTATATTTCCAGTCTTATGCCAATCAATGTTACCGTCTCCCCGGTCTTTATTTCTTCTTCGCTGTGCTCTTTATGTATGCAAGCAGCTTCATACCATCGTCGTCACCAATTCGCGCAAACCTTACTAGTACACCTCTAATAAACTTCCGATAAGATTTACCATAGTGGCGGTTACAGTCTTAGACGTTTCCACGGTTCACAATGTCTTGGCCGAACCCTCCTTTTGCCCAACCCATCCTATTGAAATTGCAGTGAGCAATTCAATCCAGTGGGCACGTTCCCACCAACATTTTATCCACCACCACCTTCTCCCTCTGGACCTTCCTCTTTCTCTTCCATCATCACAATGCTAACCTCTGCCTCAACAATATCCATCAACGACCAAACCGCATACTAGACCCTCGCCACGCTCGCCATCCTCGCACCCCTCGTCTTGAAAATCCTCTTCCCGGACTGTTGGATCGGCAGTCTAACCTGGCTCTCAAGTACCGTGCCTTGGAGCAAATCACGATATGCTTATTCATATCGTTCGGTATTACTATTGGATCCTATTCGGTGTCGTAATCGCTAGCCTAGGAGGTGTTATTCCCTTTGTGACATACTATTCTCTGGGGGAATGCGGTGGGTGTGGTGGGTGTGGCGGTGGTGAAAGGAGAAAGTGTTGCATTTCTTGCTTGCAGTGCATGTGGTTGCGGTGATTTTGCTAGTTGTAGGGGTGTATGTTGGGTTGGGGAAGAGTGTGTCATGAGTCGCTGGATGTCGTCTACAGGTACCCGCTTCGTACAACCAGACAGGGACTGAGACTGGGACTGGGACTGGGAAGAGGGTTGGGGGCACCGTAAATCCGTCCTGGCGACGACATTCATGCATATAATTGTTTTGAAATCGCTTAGGGTGTTAGCCGGGTGGATATGTGAGGCGTTGTTGGGATTGGGTGTTAGGATTTGTGGGATGCGGCTTTGCCGGCAGAGTATGAGTCTACGTGTGAAGTTGTTGTTCAACTTTGTGTGTAGATTTAAAACATTTACATGTGGGTGGAGGTATGAGAAGATGGCGTGGTGGGGCGGGTGAGAGAATGGGATGTAGTGGATTGGAAGGGGCGAGGTTTGCTAAAGTGGGGGTTATAACGTATTGGCAGGTGAAAGTGGGTAGCTAAAGGCCCTTTCTCTAACTCAGAGCATGAGTATCATGGAATATGACTGAAAAATTGACGTTAGGTAGAATATGCTTAGCCCCTGACAGCGCAGTAATAGGACAGGAGGGGATGATATCGGGTGGGGATAGGAGACACACTTAATAGTAGGGAGCTAATGAGATTTGGATTCCGACCTTTTATTGCAAGCATGGGGACGCCACGTGTGCCTCATAATATTTTCCATTACTATGCGCGACTACATTAAGAGATCTCTTAACTGTATATCTAAGTGCAGCAAGCTATTGTATGCAAAAATCGGGGCCTTTCTTGGCACTGCCCTTAGGAATTTTTTTCCCCCACCAAAATTGTATGAGAGATCGAAATTTCAACAGGATCCACTATATATCAATAAAAACCTAATAAAACTGCCCTAGGTAAGTTAAAGCTTTTATTTTGTATAGAGGAGCGCGTATACTAACTTTTTTAAGAGTAACAACGCGTTAGGTCACAATGTATCGCGCCCATGGCATCTCCAGCCTTCCTTGTCGGCCCCAACAACCCCAGTATATCAAACTAAGTAGTCAAGGGCTTAATGATCGCGTTTGTATAAACATCTGTCAGTTTCTCCTGCTCAAGTAGTCTAGAATCACTATTGCCAATCATAAAGGCTGCTCTCTCCATGCAGTTCAAAATGTGGAGGATAACCTAAAGGACTATAGCAGCGTCCATAAACCACTACCTATAAAGCTTAGGAGACCTGCTAAGATCAGCAATAAGGACAGAGAAGCTCTGTTTGAGGAATTAGTCCGCAGTGGATAGAGATACCAGAATAAATTTAAAGCTGCTAGCTAGCTCCGCGCTTATCAGCTCTATATTAAACTGCGCGCAAGGTAACACAGAAATCTTAACCCTTCACATGCTGCTGTACTAACAGGCCCTTAATTATAGCGTTAACCTAATCCTCCACCTGTAAGAGCAAGAAAAACGCCTATAGGACACCCTTATCTACTAGCTTACTATCAGCCTTATCACTATTCACGCGTATTAGATATTATACAGCGACGTCAAACTCCATCACCTGCTCAGGGGGAGAAGACTCTCTAGCAGCCGCAGGAGCAGGAGCAGGCCAAGATAAGATAAAGGTTAGAGGCAAGCTCCTCAGCAGCAAAGGGAGCTCATCACTAAGTATATTAGATAAAGTATCAGGCTCAGGACAACAGACAGGAACCACAGAAACAACTTCTCACTGTGCTAGAGCAGGAGGAGCAGATTTTTTAGTGGCTTTTACTGCTTTCTTAGGGGGAGGCTTGCTCTTCGTAGGCGCTAGGATACAGTAAGCTTCTCCTACTTGCTCCTATCACCAGATTAACTTACAACGCGCTAGCTTCTGTTTATCACCACCAGCAGGCTCCTTAGGCTTCTCCGACAGGCCTTGCGCCCTCGCCCGCGTAGAATAGGCTAGTGGGTTGCTCTCTAGGTTAATCTGATCTATCTAGGGGGCTAGGGCTGCTCTGGCCCTCTAATTTGGGCCCATCGTCGTCCTGTTACTCCAAAAAAGCGCCAAGAACAGTATCTTTATATAAACTTAAGGCTTCAACCTACTAACAATGTTCCTAGGAAGAATTTGTTAATATATCCAGAATTCTGTTGAAATTTAGTTACCCCATACGATTTTAGTAAGGGAAAAAAAGATCCGAGGAACGCCAAGAAATGCCCCGATTTTTGCATACAATAGAGGCACAACCAAGTCGGCGGAAAGTTGAAAAGGTCATGTGATTTGTGAATCATTTTAAGCTTGGGTGGATTTTTTTGACTACTTAGTCCCACCTGCATTTGTCGCGAGCGTGCTTTACCGAATATCTCATGTTGCCAACATGTCTCCTACCAGCACTCCAACCATTAATTCGAATCCAAGGCAGCACTGCTACCAGCGATGCAAGAGGAACCTGGATTTTACCTCTCATGATAATTGCTTACCGGTGGCAATGACCTTGACTCCTATGATCGAAGACACGGGTTTATCTTAACGAACGAAAGTAATACGTGCAGAACTGCGTTCCTCATGAGAACTCGATATGCTTAGCGACTATAAACGGTCCCTAGGTTTGTAACTACGCTTTCTAGTTTGTTTCATTAGATAGTCTCCGCTGAGCTTTTTGTTGGTACGACCTGCAGCTCAATGACCTAAAGGATCTATTATCGCACACACTTACCCCCATCCCCCAATCTATTCAATTTCTAACTCTCAAATTGGCCAATGCTCTGCTACGGCGTCCCCCACTCACGCTCTCCCGCCACCACAATGTACCCCATGATATCATTCCAGTCAAGCGTCAGACCGAGTACTGGTTCGCTTCATTTTCGCCAGTCCCCCACCCATTCTATTCTTCCTCACCGCACATAGGCTTCCGAGAAACACCTTTTCAGCCAAATTTCTAATGGATGACACTGGGCCCCGTCAGCACCTACATGAGGAAATCGGACACTATGATCCTCGCCTTTTCTTTCAATGCTGCCACTTGGACGGTGGAAGTTGTGGTTGAATTAACCTTGCTTTTTTCATCATCTCCAAGGCAGAAAAGTGGTTCTATTCCTTGAATGGACAAAACTATGCTGGCGGTCAGCGCGATAGGACGAATACCAATGCTCCAAAGTTGTCCTTCCAGTAGAAGAGTATCTTGCTCGGACACTTGTTCGTTCCAGTTATGCCTCTCCATCTCTATGCCTATAAGACGTAGGGCTGCGCTGGGACGCGGGCAATACTCCAATCAGTTGGTTTGAAGCGTTCTTCTTTAGGTACAATATGCTGTTGGTCACAGTAGGGTTGGTATCAAATCGGGAATTGGGATATAGCAATGGGTTTGCAGGATATAATTTGTTTCTCCTTTAAAAATCCCAACCGCTGGGTTTTCGACTCACTCATGAGAACCATGAAAGGACTCCTTCTGTCTCCGTTGAGGGTTATTTGCACGACTTACGAATTTGGGCTCGACTCTTTCTTGAATCCTAGGATAGGCACAGAAGTCCGAAACCTATTCAGTAGAACGTCGCCCACGGAAACTCCCCGGTTTATCTACGGTATGCTTGCGAATACCAGGGAGTGTTGGCAGAGAGGATTCAACATAATAAGCACCTTTCTAGAATGTTGGAGAGCATCAAGAGGATTCGGGCTTATGTCTTCCTATCACGTGTAGCGGCTAAAGAGATTGTCGCAGTGCTACCATCCCAAGATACTTGAGACCCATCAATATATATTTTGTACTACCCACGGTAGGTAATTTTAACAGTCCAATATGCCTTGTTGGCGTATTTCCAATCTGTCAGATATTATCCGGGATGCGGACTTTCCCAGAGGACTGAATTATCCTGGCTCAGGCCATGCACGAAGAGCCAGAAAAAGACTCGCCTAAAGACAGAGCCGGGAGTGGTCCGGGTGCATGGGAAGTTCGATACATATACATACACCTCCAACGGGTCGCTGGTGCTGGTACAAAGCAGCACATCAGATATCATCCGCAGATTAGAAACCACCCCAACAAACCCGAATGAGGCATTCTACTTTTTTCTTTCTCGCTCTCATTGCAGCCATCGTCCAGGCCGTGCCAGCCGCAGACCTCACAAAGCCACCTGCGGGTACTTGCACCATTAGCGCTGTCGCTGTAGATGCGCCAGATGTCGACACGGATGGGAGTGGCTGCAGGGCTGGGACTGTCGGCGTCGCATTTTCATCTGACAATTCCCTCATGACGATTCTTTTCGACGACTTCAAGGCCGCAATTGGGCCGAATGCGGGCAGCACCAAAAAGCGTGCGTTCTGTCGAGTCAACGTTACTATGGCCTCACCTGGGTGGGCGTTTGATGTCAGCTCAGTGGACTTCCGAGGCTATGTGAGGATTGCGCAAGGTGTTGATGCTAGTATTGTGAGTAGATGGAAGTGGATTGATAGTAAAGGGCAGGATATGAAGGGAAAGGTAAATGACGTCTCGTTACCTACGCCGAGTCCTACATCCATATTCTCAGTAATTAATTCGTCACAAATACTGACTTGGTCCAGGGAAATATCAACAAAAAGCTCGCCGGGCCTTTCGAAGACGACTTCCTCCTTCATAAAGATGGAGAGTTATCAGACAATGAGGCATCTGTTTGCTCAAAAGCTTCCGCAAGGTTTCAGCTCAGTATTTCCGCTTCTTTGTCGGCAAGTGGTTCGAGTTTGTCAGGACTAGTGCAGGGTGATGCAGCAAATGCACAGTTTGGCGAGGTGCTTAATCTTGGGTGGAAGAAATGCTAATCATGAATCGTATTATCTATGTATGCAGAGATACTAAAAGCAACTATTGATTACAGTGCTATTCATAATACCTATATGTCGCGTACAGCTATCCGTCTATATATATCCTTCTGCTGTGCTAGCTGGGAGGTTGACCTTTTGGCAAACGCAACACTATAACTAATAATGCGGCGGCGGTCAAACCTCGAACTTTTTAACATAGGGGGAACCAAACAACTAGCGAGTATGAAGGGCGTTTCATCTGATGTCTCTACTCCAGCCAAAATGCTTAAGGCTTTCCTCTCTGTAGGGAATCAAACGCCTGCTGATCCAAATCCCGGAACTGTAAGGCTCCTGCTGTTCGGAAATAGTGTCGTTCCTTAGGCGAGTCAATCTTCCCCGTTTGTGGGATCAATTCTTTCAGATTGATCGTTTCCTTTCTCGGGCCACACGGTTTCTCAATACAGGATTCTTGCGTATCCTAGTAGCTGAGGTAGTACTGCTGATTTTGTAACCCGAAAATTTCCGTTCTTGTACGTCGAGCCATTGCACTCGATCAACCAAAAGGATGCCAAGGCTAAAGTACGTCTTTAGGGGATGAGAACGGCTGTCAGGCTTGATGATTGTCCGGCTTGCTGCGAGCATGACGAATTTGCAGCTAGAATACAGCCTCTGACAACCCCGAGGGTTTTCATCTGGGAAGGCGTCCATTAATACGTCTCGGCCTTCATTGATACTCACCTTGAGACAGTGCCTATCGTCCTCTCCCTCTCTTTGTTGAATCGTTCCAGCATTGGTGAATCCTGAGATAGCCAGTGCTTTCTCCACGAGGCTAGGTTCCAGGTCTAACAGACTCTCCACCTTGAGAAATATGCGATCTTGATCATGATTCTTCACATAATAGACTCTATCCGCAATTCTATGTTAAGGCAAGACACTACCCCTTACGCTTGCCCAAGACCAACTAAGATTGCAAAGCTGCAGTTCCGTCAGCCGTTTACTTTCCTCCACATCCCTCATTCTCCACGCCAACAGCTCCTCAAGCTGATTTTCCCACATTCCCACTACATACTTCTCACCTGTAATATCTCGGAGGATTTTGGCGACACTCCGTATGGCAAGGGCTTTATCGGACTGCACGGTGAGGTCACAAGATGTGTAATTTCAAACAGCGGAATCCCAAAACGTATATGAGCTTTCACTATGGTTCTGACTGGTCAGAGGGTATGGGGAACCTTAGTTATATGCTAAGTGCCCTCTCCAGTGCCAGTCCGTCGCAGCTAGGTGATCAAGTAGGAGAGGGAATCCAGAGGGCAGACTCTCGCAGGCAGAAATCGTACCACAGTCCCAGAATATCTGGATTCTAGCGAAGTAGAGGATACGAGGCGAGATCATACGTTCTGTAAATGTAAGGTAAATTTTAGACCCAGATATACCAAATGCAGGGGTAGGTAGGGCGACGAAGTACTTGCCTTGGAAAACCCAGCCTTGGGAATAGATGAAGGAATCCAGAAGCTCTGATTCCCACAAGTAGGTTGGAAGAATAGCCCATGATTTCCCTGCAAGGATTGTGTTTAATCTTCTGCCTTCATATGTTACGGCTAAAACGGCATCAAGCTCCCGACCTCGAAGCAATCCTCCTCGTTTACTAGCATCCGAGCCCGCAGCAACAATATTGCAGTAAGAGTTCCTAAACCCATTACGCATCAATGCGTCCTCTGTCTTGAAGTCCCTTGGTGGATCTTGAATAGTACACAACGAGTCGATCCATATGTATCGGACGTCAAGGGAGCGGGAAATCTGGATGGCTTCTTTCAATTTACTATTTTCTAGCTCACTTGTTTCGATTCCCTTGAGCAAGAATTTCTCCACATTATCCAGCGCGGTTTTGAGGAGTTTGGCACCACCCCATGAATGGCTCAAGGTGCAATAGCGGCCTTTTGCTTGAGTGACCCGAGTGTTGACAGTACGAATGACGTTTTCGTCTCATTTTTGGAGGCCTAGAAGTCGTGTTGGAAGGAAGGAGCCTGGGGAATGTTTGTTACATCCTTGATAATTAGTGTGCATGTTTGTACCTATTTCTCTATCTGAGCGCTAGTAATTACTAAATCTGTGAAGAGTTCAAGTGTGAGGATGGAAGACGTACGGGTAGGTGCGTCTAGAAAAGGTGGAAAATCCTTGATCTTAAGTCTTAGTGTAAAGATTGGAAAGTTAAAACCATAGACTTCTTACCCGTTCTGCCCTGCGCAGAGCTGCGTAGTGTGTAAAGATACAGTGACAATTAGCTCCAATTGAATCCGGGGTCAGCGTTTTCAAGAATCTCCGAGTACAGAGTAGAGCAAATAAAGTAGTGCTCCATTGCCCTCTTTCCCCCTTCAGCACAAGAATGGTCCTGGCCAGACAGCTGTCTGTTTCCCAGGATGTTGTATGGAAGAAGTTGCACATTCCCCGTTTAGTGGTCCAAAGTGAGGAATCTTGAGCAAACCTGTTCGGAAACTTGCCACTGTCCATTCTAGATGGCGACTCGACCAGTCTTCTACTACCACCGATTTGGAACGTAGATTTCTCGGTAACTACATTTGATGAGCCCCACGTGCTTCCAGATGGTGTCCCAATGACAGAAATGTCGCTCACCATGTCGTAACTGCTTTAGATGCTAGGTGTCGCGTTCCTAGGTGGTGCGAGACCCAGGTCAACTTTTGGAAGGGTCTTGGATTCGAACTGTTCTAATGCCCATTCTAATGAACCGTTGTAGTCTTCTCTCGCGTAAAACGAAAATAGGTGAGCGGAAATGGCAATTCTGCAGTCTTCCGCTACTGCTTGAACAAGCCATCCACCAGCAAATTCAAAATATCTTCTAGACCCCTTGAATGTTCCAATCTTGGCCGCGTGAACGCGGCAGGTTTCATCCGTTCCTCAAGGTGAAGTAGAAGTATTTCATTATTGTCGGCGGGGGGCCCAGTAGAAATAGCGGGCAATTCCACGATCCGCTGGTTTTGTGGCATTGACTCACAGAATGCAATGACACTTCTGGGAAGCCTGTTCTCTATCTTTTCCATGTCAAACTCCAACTGGACTAGGGCGCTTTCCAGACACAGCCGAGCAAGCGAGATGTTGCTCCCTAATTCTTACACCTATCGGATCCGATACCGCCGAGTTCATGTATGATTCTTGCTATGAGGCTTCTGCACTGGTAGCATGAAAACGATGCCTGGCCGTTCACTTTGCATATCTGGCAAACCCAATAAAGATTCGTGTATCCCTTCCCACAGTTATCACATTCGAAATTCTGGCCAACTAAGAACGCGGGAACTGTTCTTGCCACCATCACTCGGAGCCCATGTTGCTACAGCTCTGTGAGCTTATAGCCAAGTAAGCGTTGCAGCGCTTTATTCATTCAACCAAATCCATCCAGGATCAGAAAATTGCGTGCGCTAGACGAGCATTTTCGTATAGCCTGGCTCAATATCTGATTTCGGTCATTTACTGATTGGCTCGCAATGCAAGCTTCCTGATACTTCGCGAACTCTTCACTGCTTTCGTCTCTAATTTCGTCGTGTGTGCACTTCAAAATATGTTCTATAAATGACAAAGAATTCCATACGACGTCTCTGACGACAAAAACTGTTGCAACTGCGGTTATCATGCTTGAGCTCCCGCGGAGTCGTCTCGCAACAGCCGCAGAAAGCTTAGTCTATCATTGACATCAACTACCTCGGTATTCTAGCCTTAAAGATGTCCATACCTTGCCGCATCCCGGGCTTCCATCAATGAAGTTGCCAAGGCTTGGTTCTAGTAGACTAGGCATAGAATCCTCCAATATCTAAGCAAAGAAATTCTCAAACAGATCAGGGTTTATGTAAGCTCTTATTCTATAGTCCTTACTTAAAGCAGGATGTAGAACACGAGGTCACGAGGCAAAAGGATCCATAGGAACTGCTTAATCCTCCATCTGCTTTGCTTCAATGCGATTTTTTTTTGGGGAACAAGGTTAAGATAAAGCCGAAAGCAGTGTTAGTTACTCGGGTACGCTGGAGTTGACCAGGGCAGCATTATCTGTAACAGCAATGTTCGGAACTTCCTGTGGTGCGAAGGCTCCCAACAATTTATTCTCCAATTAGAATTAAATTTTATGAATTGCCACAGCCTAGATAGAGCCGCTGAACCTCTCTGCACGACTATGCCGCATCGAGCTGCTGAATGGAGGCTAGTAAGGTAGGCAAAGATGAAATGATTAGGTTAGGGGAGATCTGAACAAGGCAGCAATAAGTTAAGCCTTGGTAGCTGAAGCTTTGTACTGCCTAATCAGAAAGATTGACCAATTTAGCAATTGCTAACTCTTACCTGAGGTGCCATGTGCTGGAAATATTCACCCATTTAGACATATCCTTTCATCTGCACCTACCTTTCACCGATGCCAGAGCTATAACGAATAGGAACAGCTTTTGGGATACAAAGGGGCTTGCTGCAAAGTATGCATCAGAGCTCATACAAATTAGGAAAACCTACGTCTGATCCCTGCCCTGAACGGCAGGGTCTAATTGTCCGCCGTACCCTGAACGGCAGGGTGAAAAATTCGTCGGACGTCCTCTTGTGTTCCTGAGAACTGGTTTAAGATACATTCCGATGAATTTAGGGTCTGTCTCTATGCTTCCTAAGTATATGCTTCTCAAGGTATAAGTATCCCTCCTCTAAATAACTGTTAAATGTTGTGCGTACCTCCAGCCCAAGATCGCCTACATTTGATCCAATCCTTCACTCGCCTGAAGGCCCGGGGGGTTAGCGGTTCATCAACCCAGGTTTCCTTGACTCAATCCTCATGGTCCTAGTTTATTTTACATGTGGTGGAACAGAGTTGTCTTACTCTGTAATACGTGTTCTAGCAAGGTGGACACCTTGGAATTGGGGTACGAAGTACGGGCGAAATGGTCCCTTCACTTACATTGCAACCCTTAGTCATCACACACTGTTATCTTTCACCCTTTTCGCATCCTGTCGCACAATACTGGCTTGTGAATGGGGTTAAAAGCACGTAGTCTCTAGAGATGCATGATGGAAAGCATCAATTCGAATCGTGGCAGGCCTCATTCTATCCACCATGCCGCTGGTCCTCATACTTTCAACTACATTCTACCTTTTCATATGCCGTTCCTCTAGTCCTTTAAAGGGGCCGATCCCTTCTACAAGAAAGGACCCCCACACTCCCTCCAGCATCCGTATCCACTGCATGTGGAACGATCATCATAGCGAATAAGAATAGTGAGTCTTTGTCCTAGATTTCATCTGGACTCTTGTAATTAGCGACAATAAGATTGTACGTCCTTCAGCGCCTCACTAGTTCACGATTGTCTGCAAAGCGTGCCTTCCAATGCAGCGGTTTTGACATGCTTCCTCGATTACTACAACATGACTTTTCAATTTCAGTCAGCCTTGGGCTCCCTCAAGGCTCTACCAACTGGATATCAACAGCCAGCTGTTGATGTGATGCAAGCCATGAGAGGTTTCGACGTCACATTACCGCTGGCATTTACGAGAAACAGTACGACTTCGAGGCTGATATTCAGAGCTTAGTTGCACGAGTAAATCAACCCATATTACCGCGATCCCTGTAACATTACCCTGAAGAATGAGTCTTCGATCTACTATACCTAGTCTGTAATGACACTAGCCCGCTCACTAATGGTGAAACTTTTACAATTCCTTTGTCCTTGGGTACTTGCCCAACCGCTATGGTGAAAGCCTACAATAATGGCCCGCCTTAAAAAACTAGCACAAAAGATACTAGTGGTACGGATAGAGTCCACCCTGTACGCTACCAAGGTAACCCTGCGGAACAGAACTGGTGTGAGACTAGCTCTGGGGCATACCCAAACAACCCAGTTGTAGCTCAAAATGATCTCTCTATTGACGGAGGCGGGATTGTTACTGGTTATATCCTTGATGATATGTACAGTGATTAATAGAGATAGGCATCCCAGGCATCCCGAGGTTTGAGCAATTAGACTTCATTAACGCCCGGCTCTTTTTTGGGCAACAGACCGTGCCAACCCATGGCTGTATCCTGCCCGGGCTCAAGAAGTCTGAAAACAGTTAACGCATGCTTGTGGTCATGCACAGTTTCGAGCGCATTTAGCGACTGCACAGGCCATCAAGTAATATGTGATGCTGGCCCTGCTGCACCGAGCAAGGCCTGGGAAAGCGGAGATATTGATGCTGTTCAGTATCCCGGTTGGTGCAAGGCAAATATTGGGACGAAAAAGCTGTGCCCATAAGGAACGCCCGTCAATGTAAAATGCTAGTTGATTGTAGGGTAATTATTGCAAACCTACTTAATGCTTATTTTCCTAGTCGAGCCCCTGAGACAAAAGACTTTCAGTTATATCAAGCCAATTCTCTAAGACTGGAATTGTATTTGGTAAAGCGAGGCAGGTGAAATTTCAAGATGTCCTAGGATTTGATTGCCATCATAATACTTCCAGTGTGGCAGTCTGACGGAAGAAAATACTAGATTGTTGGTACGTCATCCACTCACAATGCCCTGCAAACACCCAAGGAGAATCACTACAACGTACTCTTGCGTGCTTTCACCTACAGTGCCAAGTCATTCCTTTTTCCTCTTACTGTCTGAAACGTTCTCGCACCCACCCAGGTTTATCTTTAGAAAAGATGCTCACCATAAAGAGCATCAAACATGTCTCGGAGAGCAGTATACACCATGTGCCCCCAGCGCTGCAAGTTGTACTCCACTAAAACTTCCCTTAGGATTGCGACCAGGATTACGCTCTTCAGCATTCTCAGACTTACACCGCCCACTCACGGCACTCTCAACTCTGCGCTTTTGAACGCGGAACAGGGCTTCCAACGGGCCGTACTACGGTCCGTACAAAGTGAACCGTAATGGTCACGTGTTCGGTACGAACGTACTGAGTTCGTGAGTCGTACCGTACGTTTAATGATGCCCTAGGCACGGTACGTAGTATAGATTGTATTACCCTTTTAAGAAGTTGTATAGTGATTCTAGAAAAGTAGGAGGGCTAGCGAGCAGAAGGCCTATAGGAAGCGTTTAGGGGAGTTTCTGAGGTTCTAATTAGCTAAATTTTTTAAAGGGATGTTTAAATCTCTTTGCAAGTGTTTTAATTTATCTACCTACTGTCTTTAAAATGCCTACTAACTATTTTCTACTATAGAGTTATCTATCTGCGTGTCTAACTGCCTTACAGGCCTTATCTAGTTAATTAGATACTAGTCTTGTAGGCTGCAGCAGTAGATAGCTATAACTATATTGTTTAACACCTACTAAGGGGTTAGCGTTAATAGAGAGCTCTTACTTAATAGCGTACAGCTACTGCAGCACCTATAGGAGGCTCCTAGAGGAGAATTAGTTATCTTATGTTTAATTAGACCCCAATCCTACGTCTCTAAAGACCTATAATTTTAGCTATTTTAACTAGAGTACAGTGTGCTTTAATTAAATTGTACTACTTGTACAGGTCACATCAGTTGTAACAGTTACAATACGTAGACCTACCTCTCCTCCTCCCTGTCATACGAACGTACACAAAATCTCACTCGTACAGGCCTCAAAATCGCTCAATCGTACAGTTCTACACCTCGTTGGAAGCCCTGACGCGGAAACGGGATCGAGTGATTCTCTAACAAGATCGGCGATATTCAAATCACCTCACTTGAGTACTCTTTATGGTCGCCAGGCCGCTGGCCAACCTCTCGATACTAGTTCTCCTCGAACGTCATATCGCTGGGATCGCCATCGAGACGATACACATTGCGGAAATAGAAGGCGACGTTGGTGCTAGGGATTGCAACGATGAAGTTGTCAAATACAATTTGAAAGCAGGCCCAACCGCTGAGATGCCACTAGATGAAGCCGATAATGATATTTATCGTGCAAGCGGCCACGAAAAGGAGCCGTTCGGGAAATACCTAAGGATCCTGACACCACATCTGATTACCTTTAGATACTACAGAAGTAGACATCGTCAAATACGAAGCTCTAGAAACCGCGCGGGTACGTGTTCACGTTTGGTCCGGTTGAACAGGCCACTCTAAGAGAACGAGCGGGCATGATTAACAATTCAAAAAGAACCCTATTATACAGTAACAGTTCATAGTCGGCCAAAAGTATATGAGAATGATACTTTGGAGAGTGATTGGAAACCCCCTTGCAATTTTCTGAGCTTAGATTCCTGAATTGACACTTTGTGACAACGTGTTGGTCCCATTTGAGCTGCTTTTGGAAGTTAATTATCTTCCGGATATTTGTCCCGATTGCCTGTCTTGCCGAGTTGTATGATTTTATGGCCGCATTTGGAATGCTGGTTTGAATAACAGGGCTGAAAGGAGAGTGGACAACGATGTGAATAATCTAAATGACGACCTCGGGACTATAGCATCTCGAAGGGATTGGCATGGAATGAACTACTCAGCCGTGAGTGGGTTCCGTCGCCAGAATCGCCGAAAATTGGTCTCTCAAATACTGCCAAAATGGTGGACTGTACTTAGATAAAGAGCGAATTTCCATTCAAACTTGACATAGGATTAATAACATTTTATGCGATGTTTCCTGCCTAAGCAATGGGTATCAATGTCGAAAACTTCATTCTCACCCACTCACTAAGTCTAGGCACTTGCGTGACTATTCACTTCCCCTTTGCTTACGTCACTACGTCATCTCAGAGTCACGGAAGCCGGAAGTCAAATGATTCCGAAGATTTAGCCTTGTTTTGGTGTTTAGAAAGTCTTTTGGGTTTGGCATTGTGTAGAGACGCCAGGAAGAAGTCAATCACTGCTGCACATTACCGCCAGTGACACACCAGCGAGAAGGCTACTTGCCAATAGCAATTTATGTCATAATAGACGCTCACAAGATAAAGAGCTCTCTCCGCAAGCTCTTGGCTATAAAATACCGGCTCCACATCAATAATTGCCTTCCTTTTATCACACCATCTCGCACCCACATCTTTGTGCATCCAGCCCTTGCGTTTTTGACAAAGTCACACTTTCTGTAGAAATTGTCTGTTACCCGTGAGACACAGCCTTATCAAGTGTAAAGTCGGCCTCAACCCTCCCCCAAAAGCTTGACCACGTGAAGACCACAACAGGCACGCCATTACCCGAATTTCCTCACAGCTATTACGAAATGTGGCGGCAGCAACGCGCCACGTCGTGGGTTTTTCTTCCACTTCTTATTTTTAGCCGCGTAATCTATTTGGCGGGTCATTCTTATACTCCGCTCTCTCCTCCCCAAAGCCCACTAACATCCTCTTGGCATCTCCCACCCACTGACACACTACTTTCATGGCCATTGACATATCGGTGACATTCACCCATTTACCTTCTTGCACTAAACGGCTATAAGGAGACAGTAAACGATTGTGAATAGGCATAGCTTCGTTCACGGGCCTCCTATCGGACATCGTCTCTGAAGGACCGGGAAATGGATGTAAGAAAGGGTCATGGGAGCGTTGCTTTGCATTGCCTTTCATTTTTGCTTTTGGCACTGACCTTTCGATTTTGGCTTTCTATTTAGTTTCGGCTTTCTTAGTTTCGGCCCTATGTTTTTGCCCTATGTTTTGGGGCACGTTCTCGGGCTGCGCAAGGTTGGGTTGAGATTTCGTTCTAGATTTCGCTTGGTTTGGCGCGGTGGGAGGATGGGAGAGAATTGGGGTTTGTTTCTAATATGTTGTTTTAAGCAAGTTGAGATATTGTTAGTAGCCCCACCTTTGGCCTCCCTCAAAATATAGTGAAGTGAGGTGCTGGGGTCTCCCCATACTTCCCTTACTGTGGGGTTGAGATGCTGGGGTGGGCGACTTTCAGACCTCTGGAGCATATGTAGGTAATACCAGAGTTTCTGTGGAAATTGAAAGAGTGGCTTCAAGCAAGCTAGCTCCAAAGTGTGGTGTTCTAGGTCTTTTATGAAGGTATGATGACAATAAGATATTAACTTCCAGCAAGGACGGGATGACATCTCATTAGGAACTTACAGCATATTCGCACCTGAGCTAGAGAGCGATTGGACAAATTCTGCTCTGCTGCACTGCTTGTGAGGACTATTGAGAGGGTCGAAGGGCCGGAGAGTTCTATTTGAAAGGAGAGGAGGATGGGTAGATGCAGAGGACGGCTGTGCATCGAGAGTATGAGGAGGAGAGCACCTTAACTCTACTACAGTATATTAACACTCACTCGGAAGCCGATTAAGAAGATCATGCACTGCAAAGTTGCTTGTTAGGATTACTGAGAACGTGGAGGGACGGTAGAGTTCAGCTAGAAAAGAGAGAGAGGAGAGAAAGATGGGAGGCAGTAGTGGACAATTGGCATTTGTCGCAAGAACATTGACATAGACGTTGATGTTGGCGTGTCCATGGAGAGATGTAAAACTTTGAGACGATCCACCAACTTGATGTTGACTTCCACCTCTACAAGATGTACAGTGATTAATAGAGATGCAACCTTTACCCCAAAAGTTCGGTACAGTTGTCACACACGTCAAATGGCATAGGAAGCCCAAACAAGGAAATGTACACATTGGATTTGAGGTAGAATTTCCTATTAAAAGGGGGGATTTATGGACCTCAAGATAAGCATTGTGTATTAATTTGAGGCGACCATGGCTCCGAAGGTTGGCATCTGGGCACGCTTGGGCCTTCCTTACGACGCTGCTCAGCCAGTAGTAGCAAGGGAGGCAAAGGTTGGGGTCTGGAATTAAGGGTCTCTCTGTGGTACCACATTCCGCGCAGTGCTGTATCTATCACTCCATTCCAAGCCCGTAAATGGGGAAGATCAGTCTTGCAAAAGTGCGCGAGAGGTGGTGAGAGCAGCGCGAAGGTGCACGAGGTGGTGTTGGGGGCTTACGGAGTTCCGTAGAGGTCACTGGGAGTGGCTATTTTAAAGGGATGCGACGCCGGGGATTAAGGGTCAGACGAGGGACAGGGGCGCCCATGGCCAGTGTGTTCTTTGGCTGGTTGGGGGGAAGCCCTTTGCGAGCGAAAGGAAACGAAACGAATGAGCCGGGGGGCTGAGGTACAGAACAGAACTTCGAGAAACGCAATGCCTCTCCACTCTCCTTCTTGCACCTCTCCCACTGACTGTCGCTGCTGTGATTGGATTTCTTGCTTTGCTTTGCATTGCATTGTGTTCTTTGGTTTCTTTCAGATGAGGTCAGGGACTTAACTCACTCATTGTGGCCGCATGCTGCACCTCAATTCCTCGCCCTTGAAACGAAACGGACTACGTAGACGCCTTCGTAACCACCACCTTTCACCCATGAGAGTCTGATCATCTTCCTCGACCTGCGATTCCTTCGCGCATGCTTCTTTCGACTGCGACTCCCTAGCCTCGAAGCACCCATTCGAATCTCCTGCTCGTCGTTATGGCCCGCGACTCCATGGAGGCGATGCCCATGTCGCCGCGGCAGTCGCCGGCCGAGTTGGGCAATGCTGTGATAGCTTGGGCGAGAGGGCGGAGAGGAAGGACCCTGATTATCAGTGCTGTGTTTGTGATGGTTTTGCTGGGGCTCATGGGCGCGAGACATTCTGAGGTGGGTGATTCTTTCGAGGCGTTGGAATGAAAGGAGATTGAGCCCGTGACAAGAGAAGTCGCCGATGCGCAGGGCCTACAAGGGCCTGTCTACAAGGCTGTAGAACACAAGATGAGAGAGTGCTAACTTGGGTTATAGACAATAACCTCAAGCTACCAATCCATATCGAACTACCACCTCCCGTCATGGCGGCCGCACCTGCCTAACCTCCCTTCGATTATATCCTCCCCTCTCAAGCCGTCAAACACGACTCTCGAGCTTGAGAACGGCGAGATCGAAACCGTGCCTTCGCATCTGAACAAAGCCACGCCGAACTTCCACCTCCTCATGCCCGCGCTCTCCGATGACGCGGATTTCTGCAAAACGACCTTATCGGCTATGCTGCTGAACTACCCGCCTCCTACAATCATCAACATTTTTGAGAGCTTTGCGGATCTGGCAGAGAGGGAAATGGCGAGGTTGACGAGTATACTAGATTACCTGAAGGATACGAAACTGGTCAATGATGAGGATCTGGTGCTGATTGTGGACGGCCATGATACTTGGTTCCAGCTTCCGAGCGAGGTCATGATCCGCCAGTACCAGAACGTGCTAAGCGACGGGAACAAGCGGCTACTGGAGAAATATGGCATGTTGAAGGGTACGAAAGTTCAAAGATTCAATCAAACCATCGTGTTTGGCGCAGAGAAGATCTGTGAGGGAGAGGACTTGGCCTGCAGATATGCGCCGGAATCGATGCTGCCGCACAATATCTACGGCAGAGGTACTGGGAAAGAGGCGGTACTTACTCCGGCAAGGTATCTGAACTCTGGGACGGTGATGGGACCTGCCAAGGATCTGAGGACGCTATATGCGGCTGCGGTTGCCAAGTTCAAAGACAGGAATAGCCAGTCTGGGACTGCCCAATCCGTCATTGCCACCATCTTTGGAGAGCAGCAGCTCGCACGGGAAAACGAGCGCAAGTCCAGCAAGACAACCAGCTTCAAATTCCTGGACTGGTTCAGCGGCGCCGAGGGCGAATCCACACCCGAAGTTCCAGAGAATGCGACTACCATCCTTCAAGATGGCCAGCGATACGAGTTCTCTATCGGCCTCGACTACACGCATTCCCTCTTCCAGCCACTCATATATACCGCCGAAGACGAGCTCCTTGCTCTCCCTCACGATAACTCAACCGACCTTTCAGCCTACCACCACACCTATACACCCACACCTCCCCTCTCCATTCCTTCCGCCCTCCAGCAATCTGTTCCTCCATTCTACACCCCCGATCTCTCCACCCACAATCCCAGCCCGAACGAAAAACCCGCTTTCATCGAACCGCTCCAATACCAAAAAGACATAGACCAACTTAAACCCCCAAACACACCCTGGGCCTCCCTCCCACTGATCCAAAACACCTACACAGGCGCCATATCGCCCATCCTCCATCTCAACCTCCCGGCACCATCCTCAACCCTCCGTCTCAAGAAACACCGCCGCAACGCCCTCCCCGCCCTCACGAAAAAATCTGCCTCACCTCGCATCCCTGACCCCCGCGCCCACCAGATCCCCCGCGCAAACATCACCTGGACCCACCTCTGGTACTCCGGCTACGAGCGCGCACTCCTCCGAAAATACTTCCGTACCCCGCAATCTCCCATAGGCTTCCACAACGCGCTCGTAGGCGGCGACCGTCTCTGGGACCAACGCGGCGGCCGCGGCGGCGTCTGGACCGCACGTCAGGAGATCTGGCTGCCGTGGGGAGAAGTCGACGGTGTTTGTGGCACCGTTGCGAAACTCAATGAGATATTTAGTGACGGGAAAGGCGTGTGGTTGCATGAGAAGGAAGAGGGGGGTGGGGTGGGGGAAAGAGTAAAGCAGGAGGAGGAGTTGAAGAAGAAGATTGAGGAGATGAAGGAGAAGGAAGAAGAAAAGAAGAAGAAAGTCGAAGAAGAAGAGAAGAAGAAGAAAGTAGAAGAAGAAGAAGAAGATAAGAAGAAAGAAGAGCAGAGGAAGAAGCAGGCGGAAGAAAATCGGAAGCAGAATGAGGAGCTTGAACGGACAAGGAAGAAGATTACTAGTGAGAAGCAGGCAGGGAGCTGAGTTGTGTTGTGATAGGAGTGTACTTCTTGTCGATATTTATGCTCGGCCAGCTTTCTTATATTTCCCTCTTTTTCTCTCTCTTAAATACATAGCATTCCCCCAGGCGCGGAAGCCGGGTATGCATCGCAGGTAGGCAGGCATCTAGAATTTTTGCTTGGGACTTCTTCCTGTGGGGATATTGGCGGGGAGTTTGGCGTATCTCTCCTGGCGTCTAGCCATTAGCTGCTTTCTAGCTCCTGGCCTCCTTAGAAGTGGTTATGGTGTTTCGGATTTGGGAATGTGTGCGTATCCAATATATCTAAGATATCTGCATGTTAGATTTACGTAGCGTCTGATACACATACACTATGAGCATGTTTCTATCTGTGTACAAAAAAGGACTTAGCTCTAACGTACTGCCATGTAGCTGGCTGGCGATGTGGTCGTACAGATTTTTTTGGCGATTGGAGAGAATCAAAGGCTGGGTTGGAGGCAAGTGCTGCGGGTTCATATGGTCCAGCAGAGGAAGTCTTATAAATACAATAAGGTTGAGACAGATGCCAACGTGGTTAGAAGAAAGTGTTGAGAAAGCTCCAGCGAAGCTGTCATGCCGTCAACAGACCCAATCCAATACAACCTTAGGTTAGGTTAGGTTAGGTTGACATTGGAGCAGCGTACCGTGCTATCACCTCTAATAAAAACTCCTCTCTAGCAGGATTCAAAGACTTTATGCTAGGATCAGTCATCCTTCGTCAGCGTTAGTGCTTTGATACTTTGGAGCAATCAAGTAGCAAATGTATGTATGTACACGTCTCGTACAAATTTTCTAATTCATTCATTCATCTGCCTAGCCAGATCTAGACCCAGAAAGGGGTATCGCTTGGTATCTCTCAACCTGATACGCCTGCCCACTATGTCTCTGAGACATCCATACCTTATCTAGCAAGATACTCGTTAAGAAGATTAGACCCTCAAGGGCTACTATATGAATCTTTAGGTCATCATGCTGTTTTAGCTTCCATAACGCCATCTGCCCAATGCTTTCCCAGACGCCAGTTTTCTTCACTGAAAGAGGATTCAATGTCAACTCATTGGAGCCGAGATCCTGCGACCAGACCTTCTACCCCATTAGCCTATCCGTTTTGACCAAGAAAGAAAATCCGCCAAATCCAGACCTAGATGCAAATATAGATCCCCATACCGGACTAGATGGGGGGGAGGGCAGTAGTGAGGCACCTTCCCGTCCTCGTTCTTATAGATATATGCATTCTCCACCACCATCGTCTTGCTCACAGAGCGAAACACCAAAGGAAAAGCTATGAACTGCTACCAAAATATTCATTAGCTATTTCTCTCCGTGTTAAGCTAATCAATCTGCGGGGTATATTGCTCTTAGTCTTCCTTCGACTAAAAACCCCCAGCCTTAAGCCACGCACGTAATCAAAGTATCCAAAGGCAGGGTAATGCAGGGCGTGGCAATGCAATCAACGCATTCAACAACTCATCTTACTCCTTAACAAATCGATCCAACGCCTTCGCCCTTACCTCCTTACACTTCTCAAGCGCCAATGAATGCATTACCTGTGAGTTGCTCCACGTCTGCAGGACCTCGGCGTCTTGTTTCGCCCACCTCGTACAGCTCTCCAGGCCGGGTTTGTTACTGGGTTCGCCGCGGCGGTTAATGAAGTGTTCGGGGAGCTGGCGGGCTTCGACTTGGCGGGCAACGAAATGCTCGATCATGACTTGGTTGTATTTGTTGAAAGCTTTGACATATTTTTCCATCTTGTTGAGGTAAGTGGTGAGGGCGGATGCATCGAGCGTATCGGGTGGGTGTGGAGCTTCGGGGACGCGGGGGGTTTGGAGACGGGTGGCTTTGTTGGCTTTTGTGGCGGGGATGGATGAAGCTCGAGATTCGAATGGGAGAGTTGATTTCAGGTCTCCCAGGCCATCCAACGCTTCTCCGTTAACTTTTGTGGATGGCAGGAACGGCTCAACATTCGCTATACCGGCTAACCCATCAAAGGTTGGAGACGTCGTGCCAGACTCGGACGCTGCTCGAGCTTTTGGTGGTGCAGAAGGCTCGGTTGCAGCACGTCCACGACCGCCTTCAGGTGCGAGAGGTTTCGGTTTCTCAACGGGTGGCGTGCTTGAATCTATGTCCATAGCATCGCCATTCTCCTCTTCCACGGACGCTTGCTTCGAGGAACGCGCGCTCTTGCTCCTAGGTGTGCCACTCGACGTATTTGAGCTGGCTGAGCCTCCAGGAAGGTCGATGATTGGAGTGCCATTCGGCGCTGTGGAGGCCTTGCGAGAAGGCGGTTTCCGCTTCGCTGCAGTGACAGAACCGCGACGAGGTGAAGTATCTTTTTTTGGCGCTGGATATGCCCAGCCTGATTCCTTAAATGTATTTGCCCACTGCTCTGGGGCAAATTTGGCGGGATGAGGCGCAGACGCAGATCCAGAGGGAACGTTATTGTTCATAGGAATAGGAGGTGGAGGGGGAGGTGGCATCCCACGTAAATCCTCGGTGAACGGAGTTGGTGGAGGAGGCGGCTGTGACTGGCCTGAAGTAGGTACTTTCTCTGAGGCAGTTCGATGACTAGACCTTCCACGAGTTGGAGACGTCCGTCCTTTGCCGAATGTACCCTTTGCCATGTTCGGGGCAAAGTAGTCAGGCGCGCCCTGGAACTTCCCATGCCAATCTGACGGCGAGAACTTCATGTTGATGCTCTCCTCACTCCTGCTCTTGAAGGGATTGGGCGTAGCCTCAGTAGTGTTGTTGCTATGACCATTCACTGGGGGTGGTTGAAAGGGGCCTCTGGGAGATCCTTGATTCTGGGTTTGCTGCTGATTTAGCGGCATCTTGGGTGGCGTTGCTTTATTCCGATTCGCCTGGAAAGAAGCCTTTGGAATCTCGTCAGAATTAGACTCGTCGTCGCTTGTCGAAGAGGGGTACATGTTTACAAAAGGCTCCGTAGCATTGCCGCCGTATGACTTCCTCTGAGGGCGTCGTCCAGAATCCGAATAAAATCCCCCACTCTCCGAGGTTGCAGGTCTTCCCATCGGCGAATTACGCACGCTGGCTGACCTCCCTATTCCTTCTCCGAACATAGAAGTACGTTCTCCCTTCGTACTGGAATACGGGGTTCGCACTCGATTGGCCTCGGCAAATGGCACATCCCCCTCCATCTGCTCCTTGAAGTGCTTCAATGGGTCTCCACTCTGCGGAGGAGAGGGCACGGGGCGTTCGTAATGGGAACGATATGATGATCGTGCTTGTTTCTCATCTCCTGTTGCAGCTGCCGGATCAAAGCCCTTCCTGGATGGCGTTCTTGTGCTCTGGGTCCGTCCAAATGGTGCACCATTAGGGTTGTTTGGGTTATTCGCTGGCCGCTCCTCCTCACCTCGGGGCTGCTTCATCTTCTGCCATGCGGTGAAGACATGCGCCCGTGCCTGCGCATCGGTCTGCCGCTGGCTTGGCCGCTGTGCAGTCGGTGGAGCCCGGAAGTTGCTGCTGGTGAAACGCTCCGCGCCACTTGAGAAGGTTGTATGGTGCTGCGGGGGTGGGGGATGTTGTGGGGGGGGCTTTGAGGGATTCGGAGGAGGAGGACGATAGTAAGAACCGCTCGAGGTTGTGGTAGTATAGGCATTGCGGGGAGGAGGTGGCGGTCGGGTCCGAGGGGAATTCGGATTGTATGATGGGATGTGCAGGTTCCGATATTTCCTCCGCTCGTTGTCGTACTTCAGGCGCAGTTGCGGATCGCTCAGGACCTCATGCGCAGCCTGGATCTGCTGAAACTTGGTCACGAACTCTGCCTCGCGGCCGGGATTGCGATCGGGGTGGAATTTGAGTGCGAGCTGGCGAAAAGCTTTGCGAATCTCGTTCTCGTCTGCGTTTGCGGAAATCTCTAGGTCGGCGTAGTAATTACGCGCAGGGTCCGGTTTAACCATGTTGGCCGCCGTGTTGACGGTGTTGGGTGGAAGAACAACAGCGCCTCAAAGCTGAGGAGCTGCTTCTATTAGTGAAATCAGCAGGCAGACCCCGCCTAACAATGTTCACTTTCACTTGCCTCCACAGGCGGGCTGGTGGGGCGGAGCTGTTCAGATGATGAACGGCCGACCACACGCGTATCGCATGGGCATGGTGTCGAGGTGATGGTTTGGCGAGGTCGAGGAACACACGAGAAGATGTCGGAACAAGGCTAAGACGGCGCTGCGTCAGTGGTGAAAAAGCAAGCGCAGCGAGTTCGACGACAAGTTGGGAGGCGGCCGGCGAAGCTTGCGAAGTATTGGCACCGAGTGACTGGAGTCGTAGGTTCGCTGTTTTGGCGTCGAAAGTGGTAGGGTTGGAGCAGCAACACCCTAAATTCAGCCTTCAGGGCGGATCCCGGCCTCCGACAGCCTCCAAGCACGATGCGAGTCCGCGGCGACTAACTAGTTCAAAATCCTCGCCAGCGCCCCTCGCTGACGGCCTTCCCGTTCCTGGGTGATGCCTTACTGGCAGAAAATGTATGCCTTCTCTACTGCCAAGAACGCATGGCTAAACTGGACTGACATCGTTGGACAACGTCTGTATCATCGTGCAGCTCAACCGGTGAATACTCCAGCTCAATATCGCTTTTCTGGACATGAGGCGTGGTCGACAAGCCTTGATAGGCTGTGCACGTGGAGCCGCTTCACAGGTTGGGCATGCATCCCACTCAACTTGGCTTTGACATGTCACGGTTCAGGTCACACAAATGAGGTGGTGCACTCTTCTGAAAATGCTAAATCCATTCGGTTTTGGCCCAGCAAATGCTAGGGCAAGGCAAATTCCTTACCAGCCCCTTGGACCGACTATGGAGCCTACCAAACAGTATTCCATCCACTCCATTCTGTTCGCATGAGAGTTTGACCACCAGGTCCATAAAACGGCCAACCCACTCACCCCACCTAGCGGTAGCGCCAGAGAGAGAGGGTGTTGTGTCGCTTCCACGTCTTCCTCCTGCCAGCAGTCGTCTTGTTGTATGAGTGACCCTTGCCCAAGCCACGGCTCTTCTTGCCAGTGGCAGTGAGACCACGGCTCTCGCGGTGCTTGTGGACGGGCTTGACGATCCAGTTGATGCGGGGATCACGGCGGATGGCCTTGTGCTGAGGGTCGACGAGGATGACTTCATAGTACTTGTAGGTCGAGTCTTGGTTGATCCAGTACGAGTTGAGCACGCGGAGATTGGCGCAACGGCGACCGACACGCTCCTCGGCTGTGGACTTGAGAGAGCGCTGGTACTTCAGTTGGTTTACACCCTGGTTGGTAGGCTTGCCTGTTCATTATATTAGGGTCTGACTTCACGGAGGGGTGAAGCAAGTTCAGCATACCATAAGTAGCACCCCTGAGGAAAGAAAGGTTAGCAATTGCATATCTTGTACTGTTATGGGAAGTCAAACATACTTTGGCACAGGCCTCTTGCGACCACCACGGCGGACTCGGACGCGGTAGATAACATAGCCCTGCTTGGCCTTGTATCCCAAACGGCGGGCTTTATCCGGGCGAGATGGGCGGCTGGCACGGTGGATGACGTTGAGTTGGCGAAGCTATTGATGCACTCTCAGCTATGTTCAACGAGTGACACCAATTGGGAAAGCGAGTTCCCAGAAAGAGTCTGTGGTTCATACCTCCCAGCACTGCCAAAAATTGTCAGTAAAATTGCTCCGTAGTTAGATGATATTGAAAACCTACGCGCACGCGCATCAAGAAGCGCATCATATCCGACTGCTTCTTCTTCTGAAGTTCCTCAACATCTGCGACGAATTAGCGGGAGACTGGGTGGTTGGGATTGGGAGGAGCTGTGTACATTTAAGGGCACCCATCTGCGGCAGAGTTAGTTAGAGATTGATTTAAGGAGAGTGTAGTCTGCGTTGAGGAAGATTTACCTTGACTGATCGTGGGGCAGGTCGTCGTGCTTGGAGTTCGTGAAGTTCGGGGAAGCGAAATTTCGGTTTGTGTGCGGAGCTGACTAACTGAAGTCTTGGCTGCCAAGTCGACCGGGGCCAGGGCCTCAGGAACCTTGCAAACGTGAAAGGGCAACATCCATTAATGTTCCATCTGATAACTATGGGCTGCTTTCGATTGTCCGCTCAACTGAAGAGGTGGATTTGACAAAGTATTTAGAACAGATCCTCTACCCAGAACCCCAGCCGCATGGCATCCGACCCGTCCACACCATGTGCCTTAACAGAACCACTATATATCCATAGCTTCATCTTTTGGAAGACCTTTGACCATTCTCTTAACCCCTCTCTCAGCATACCGGAGTGCCTTTCGAAGCTCGTAGTTCAGGGGTGGCTCGGACATCTCCTCTTCGCCTTCCATGTCCTCTCGATCTTCTTCAGCCCCCTTCATCTCATCCTTTGCACCTTCTACTCCGAGCACCTTCTTCACATTCCGCAATGCTATCTTGTACCCTAGATCTAGTTGTCTCTCTGTATTCCTCACATCCTGCTGCCATACTTCCGTCATGTGCTGCTCTTTCCGCGGAAAAGCCTTCGCTGCCCTCTCTTCCATTCTATCGTACTCCTTTACCAGACCCCTAGAAGCTTCAAGCATCTGTGCCGCGGATGCGAAGATGGGGTTGCCAGCGATTTCCGTGCCGGGAAATGTCGTCTGAGGTTGATTTACTCCTTGGTCATTCACCGATGCTGGGAGGAGGGCTTCTGAGATAGCTGAAGCGATGTCGTTGATGCGGCGATCACGTTCTCTCTGTCTATACTCAAAATTCTTGCGTTGGCTTCTTTTCTTGGCGAGATAAATGGAGCAAGAGCAAGACTCACGCCTGGTTCATCCCCTTCTGCAGCAGAGTCTTTAGGTCTTTCTTGTCGCCCTCCACTTTGTCGCGGAATTGCTGGATTTCGTTTTTGTCGGACGGTGGCTCTCGTGTGCGTGCCATTGTATCGTGTCGGCAGGTGAGTGCAAGAGCGCTGTCCAGCTGTGTTGTCGGATTAGTTGTTTGCGGCCGGACGCAGAAGGCGCGAGCAGCTACTAGAAACTCGGAATCTTTGGAGTCTTCGACCTCATAAGTCCTGCTACATGCCCAGTTATTTCCACATTGGCCCAGTTACAGGCTTGAACTTAGATCGGAGGATAGAAGGTTCGTTTCCTACTACAATTTGTCATCCTCTCAGATGGTTCTATTTCTTTGCTCAATGGTAATGCAGTGAGCTCTTGTGCACGATACAGAGCTGCGAAGACTACAAATGCGATTACAAATCTATGCCTTGTCCTTGTGGGAATGTAAATCTTGCATAGCCAAGTTATGTATCTCATTCTCATTTTCGCGGTCATCCCCTACTCTTTAAACCACTCCAGTCTCCATATCCCAATAAACCCCTTTCTTAAATCACCTCGAGGGTATCATCATCAATCTTCCTACCACAATTCCGCCTCATGACCCCTCACTTCACACCACCCCATACTTTCCACTTCATCACCCTAGCAGTGCACTGGTGCTGCCAGCCGTGACGTATCCCCAGCCCATGGGAACTCCAAAGCGACGCCAATGCTCTACTAAGCTTCTGCCCTATCCTCCATAACTGGCCCCCATTGTTTGGCAACACCCCACCATCCCTCCCCTACAGCAGCATTGTGTAAACGCGTTTATGTTTACTGCGAGCAACCGCATCTCCATAGCGCACGAATACCCCGTTACACGCCTCGTTGCCGTTTACTGACGATGGTCGAAGAGCACATTGATTAGATGGATATTCTTTGCGACCTCTTCAGCGATATTAAGGTCACAGAACCCGGAACGCCCACACGGACTCCAAAAACGTTAATCTTCAATGCGTTTAAGCCTGCCACGAAGGAGTGACTAGTAATAGTCTAGTAAAAGAGAAGTACACAATCCAGTTGGTGTTGAGGGTGACCGAAGCTCCTCCCTCAGTAAGCCTATAAAGCTCATACTAGGCTTTGAAATCACCACTTATCCTTCTGCAGACTAGTCTTTTGGATTTACATCCCCGACAGCATGCTTTCCGTCAGTACCGATGACAGTGAAAACTCCCCACTCTTTGCGTAAGCTCCAACATGTCTTCGGCATGATGTGAAGAGCATTTGCTTATCCTCTATATAGCTTATTTCGTGAACGCCTTGGGATACTACTCTGCAGCGAACCCATTCTTAGAGCCCTCCTTTCGCCCAGCTTCGTCCTATGTAAGCGTTCGGCTCCATCAACCTATGCTTTTAGTGTACTTACTGATCTTATTGTAGATCACTCTCATCTTATCCCGAAGCAAGAAGAAACCACTCTCTTCTCTATCTTCTTTACTATCACCAAGGACACCGAGCTTAAGGACTGAGATATCACCCATCTCCAACCCAGTACTAGAATTAGAAGACGCAGAAGCCAATACTTCCACCCGCCTCTTCTAGCAATTCCTCAACAACACTATCTGAGTAATATACAACACCGAACCGTTCAACTTCAACAACCTCCTTAAGGCCCGCAACCGCACTAAAGCCAAATAAATCAAACTGCGCAAAGAAACCACATTCCCTATCGACTGTCCAGAGGTAGAAGTTCGATGCTGCTCATTAGCAGAACGCGAAACAGCCTTATCCCAAATCACTAAAAAGCAGGCCGCTACCGTAGGAGTCCCCGCGCACTCCTCTACATACGCGCGGCTCAAAAAGGCCGAGGAATTCTTCAAGCAGTGGGAAAATAATTAAGAAAACTCTCCGGTGTGAGATCCCCAGACTTTGGGAATGGAATGAGAATCTCAAGGCGCAGCGGGCGGATATTGCAGCGAATATCGACCGCGTTGTTGCTATTGTTGCTGATCATGACCGAAACACTTTCTCGCTCATCGAGGTCTGGGATTCCGTGTTACGCTGTGCTGGCGAAGAAGCTTTAAAGATCAACATCAAAGATTTGACTGAGGTGACGATGTTGTGGCATTTCGTCGATACCATCTCCTCCAAAATCCTCTACCGTACACCACGCCGCAGGATCTCGATAAAATATCCTACGCTACAGAGTATCCGCGACAATCTCCGCAACATCTACCCCGACCCGTACGACATCCAGAAGTTCCACGAGCAGTCTATGTGGCTGTTGTCAAGGTATGACGACTTCGGTGCTCGGATGTTCGCTGACTAGAAGTTCCATCGGAAAGCTACGAGATCGCAGTTATTAGGATATGCAATCTCGCTTTTCCAATGGAAATTCATGGCACCAAACTTAGCAGCGACAGGAAGAGGGAAGCAGAACAAGGAGAACTCGAGCTTCCCAACTCCGCCTTCTACCTCATGCAAAATGCTAAGAAGTGTTCTCTGGTTCAACATAGCAAGGGGCTTCTCCTTACGGATCCTCATCTGAGCGAACGTAGCAATGATGTCGATAATTCATATGCCAACACTAACGGCTCTGCAAACAGTCCTCTGTCGAAGACGCACACCCCCAGCACCGGCTCTCTGCACCATCGACAAACGCAAATTCGAAGATGAAGACGACGCCACCGACAGCAACGACAGAGCCAGGATGACTAGTGGTGGGACTTACATAAGAAGGGGGCAAATGGAAAGAAACGTACACAGGCATAAATAACTGGTGGAAAAGGTGTCTAGGAAGGCTTGAATAGCACCTGAAGCTTGTTGAGACTATCACAAAAGAAACAAGAGGATATCTAAGATGCTTAGGGTTCACGATAGTCTGAGGTGTATACTGAATTATGGGCACTGGGCAATAATGAAGACGAGCTCTCAATGTCGCTTCCAAGTTTCTAGAGAATGTGAGATGGTAAAACAAGTCAGGAGAGCAGAAGCCTCATCAAATGTAAGGACTTACATCTTCTTAGAATGTTCCACTGACTTCACAATTGCATATTCGAGACGGGTATGATTGGTTTAACGTGTTTTCATTGAAGTATTGTATGGATGCCACAGATATTAGTACTGCTGTCAAAGCGATGATATCTGCATAACCTTAAACCCAACCAACCCAAGCTATGCCGATGTATCCGTTTCCACATTCAAGCCCCTTGAGATATTACCAAAACACCAAAAACCCAAGACCCAAGATCCGTTCCCATCCAGCACCATCAAGACTCTGAGTCCCATGTTCGCGGTTCAAGCAACCTCCCTGGAGGAAGAGTATCGTCCGTACCGCGTTGTACGTCGTCAACCCAGGTCGGTTGAAGCGTCGTTATTCCATCTTTCCAGTGATCGACTCGGTTGCAGAGAGGGTTTACACTTGGCTCATAGCGGGCCTGCGAATTCCGCCGCGCATATTGACGCTGCCCCGATTGGACATGATGGAGAAAACGAGCGAGGCAACAAAAGCAGCACAACCGAACCACATGAAAGCTGTTGAAGCCTGTGCTTCGTGGCAGCGCTTCTTGGTGTTGGGCGAGCCATTGGTGATGTGGTTGGAATGGGTGTATTTCTAATGTTATTAGCGCCGGAATTCTCTGCATCCATACACTAGGTGTTGGGTGTTGGGTGTTGGGAGAAGGTTAACGTACCGAGTTACTGCAGCTATGCACGCCCAAATATGCAGCCGTCGCAACCGCGCCACAGAACCAGAAAAGCACGTTCAGCGCATCAAGCGCAATGGTAACAACGGGTACGCTGAAACCATCAAGGAAGGCGGTGGGTAGGAGGTACAGCAGCGATGCCATGCCGAAGACGCTGACGAATGCATCGTAGTTTACCATAGCGGAATTGCCTTTGAAGGCAGTTGTGATCATGTTTCCGACGAGTGCCATAATGATTAGAGCACAGATGAACTGCATTCATTGTCAGCGACTTCATGAGGAGATAGGAAACAAAGGGGATTTACCTCCCAGGCGCGAAGGCCAACGTTCAGAGCTTTTGACACCATTTTGATGTTGTCGTGTGTGTGTGTGTGTGCAGAGAAAGTAGTGGTTGAGAGGGTTGTTTGTTTAGGATAACGAGGCAGCGCGAAGCTATGCAAGCGTCAGAATCACAAGATAGTAGTCGCGGAGGGAAGGGGATAGGAGAGCAGTTTATGTGTCGAGGAAATGTGTGAGAGGTGTGAGAGAAGTATGGTGCAGCGTAGAGTTGATTCGTGGTGGTGTGCCTGCTCAATATAGCGGTTAGCGGAGCTTGCGGCATGACACCCAGCGTCATCGCCTTGCCTACGTCACAGCAACCACCAATCAACAAATGTTGGAACCCACCGGTAGCACCGGATCGGGACTTACCCAGCACTGACGCAGTCTTGAACCACAATCTGTTTGATCTTAACGCAGGTGCAGAGGCTTTGAGAGGATGTTGGATACAAGCTCGAAAGAATGAGTATTGTGAGAATTTGTTTGCAAGTGTGTTGCTGGAGAGAGATGAATATCGCGTGAGCTGGTTGGAGGAATCTCGTTACTGTGGCAGTGTCACGGTTGATTCGGCAACCCGCTCACTCCCGCCGAGGTGTGGCAGGGATTCCATGCCAGTCCATTCACTCTTCAACACCGCTACCCGGTGACAAGTGTATCCCAATTCTCCGAAAACGATGGCGGCCATGCGTTCATTGCACCGTGAAAATGCGTTTGCCTTGTCCCGGAGCCCTAATACCTCGAACTTTCGTTAGGCCCGGATTTGCTAATTGCCTTACATAACTTACGAAGTGCTCAAGTGACAGCTAAGATCATTGTTCAATGATTTGCACTGTCAACACAGTTCGCTTGAAGCGTGATCGGGAATAAAAGACACTGATTTCTTGGGAAGCTTTCCCCGATCGAATGTTTTTCTAACTCCACTACCCCTAGTCAAATACTCCTGCAATGAGAGTTTATCCATCACCACCGACTTTCCCAGACTCACGCCACTTCTGCCATTCGTACGAGTTGGCGAGAGGTAAGCACCACTTGTGTAACCAGTGTTCCGGGAGGAGCGCGTGCATCGCAGCATCATCGCAACGAATGAGATGAAGGTCTCCGCGAACCTTTTTGGCTATCTGCAGACTTGGCTATCGCGGCAGTTGGGTACTTTATCGAGTGATCGCAAGGCCTCCCTTCCCACAACTGCGCTCCGATTCGGATTCTTTGAGAGAATGGGTTCCGTGTTCTGGCAATGTTATGATTGGTATTTTATATACCAGATATACTCCTTCCTCACGTGGTGCGTCATCTGCCGCCGAAATGATATTTCTACTATCGTTTATATATACCTGGTCACATTGTCAACGGCGCCAATTTTTGCAAGGCTATACGAGGAAGACCGTTCGAGCTAACACAGAATTGCACTGTAACTGCCTCCCTGGACTTGTTTTTGTCAAGAGTGGAGTAGAGATTTGGAACCATGAATGATTACGCAGATAGCTGGGAGTAGCTGCTGTGTCAGCACCAGCCCAACTATTGGATATACTTGGACATCGAGCGGGAGGATTAACAGTCTTCGAACATGGATCGAGTCGGATGCTTGTATCGATAGAGAATATCATTCGAGGGCGCTTAAAGGAGTGGCTTGTTGTCGTGTAAGATTAGAATTGATTGTATGTAGGATGTGAACGACCTAATCAGGGTCGTCCGGATCTTGCGCTCGTAAATGGGCGGATGCGATCAGAAGACTCCTTCCAAGTGTATGGCTCCGATTGTGAATCATTGCTAGGTCTTGTCGTAATGCCGTCCTGTGATTTTCGGATGTGGGCCCATCACGGCGTCCTCAGACTTGATAGACTTGGTTGTGAGGGCAGTTTCGAGGTAGTCTGCCACTTTTGAGGGTGTAAGGCATGGCTTAAACGAATTGTCGTAGTGTCTGCACCTTATCGTTGAAGTCATCGTTGGAGTGAAGTCGTCACTGGAGGTAGAAGCCCCATTACGGCTTGCGAAGTTCAGGGGCTTGATAGATTGCTTGAGACTGTTCGCAGCTTGATGTTGAAAGACTGTGAAAATGTAGGGCGGCATTGTGCACTTAAACAGCGGAAGTGGAGGATGTCTTTCCTCAGGAGTGAAGGAGTGCTCCTGAATGGGCATATTGTTGCGCCTTCCTGCCTGGTCATCAGAATGTATTCGCGTCGGAGTTTCTTGGCTCTGCGGATGTGGTGTGTTGGGGCTGGGGCGAGTTGCAGCGATGCTAGAGTTTTCTCTTAAAATGCAAAAAGCCCTCCCGAGCTTATCCAGTACATGCCGAGCAGTATGCCCTGGTGGGTAGATGTGGTCAACGGAAGGCCCATTCCAGGAGATAATCGAGGCGGACAATTCGAGGGGGAGCTAGGCGGAGGTGGGAAACTAGTGGTGTGCAGGACAGCTGCGGCAATGCCGGAGCTGGTCTGTCTAGTTGTCGATGCCATCTTGGCTGCGCTATAGGTGTCGAGCAGCATGGCTCTAATGAGCATTTGCTATCAATAGAAGGTACACTCTAGGACCACGCAGAGGCGGAGAGCTCGATGGGGGAGCTGAGCGGAGGCAAGGACGCTGCGACTTGCTGCAGTTGGCGGCATGGGGTAGGGACGGCGAAGAGGTTCTCTAAGAAAGGCGTCCAGCGAAGAGAGAGAGAGAGCTTGTATGCCTGTATTGTGCTTCTATGCTGAGTAGACATAAAAGAAGTGTCCTAGACAACTTTGTCAAGCTTCTAAACAAAAGCAAGGTAGGGAAGAAAGAGGGTCCCTCTAGCTGCATTACAAGAACACAAGAGAGTTTTGCAGGCCTATTGGGGGGCCTCTGCCTGCAAATGAGTGAATTGCACCTTAAAATGGGGGTGTAGCGGACGTTGAAAGCTTTCTACAAGCCTCCCTCTTCACATCAATCTCCTACCTTGGCCGCCAGACAACTTGGCACCCTGACTTACCTCACCCCAGCCCACCGCCCTAATATGCCTTCCCTATAGCCTCTTTTCACGCATTTTGCTTCCGCATTATGGATCAACCATTGACGAGGGCCCCTTGGTGAGACTCAATGAGCTTGTCGAGTCCACCACCGAGGTCAGCACCACCAAACGAAGCACCCAACAGATCGCCGCATCGTCGCCACACAATGGCACCGGCGAGGCCATCAGACCCTGCTCCAAAGACGACGTTATATCCTGCGAACACATTAGCTGAGAACACCCTGCGCCGGCTGTACACCGTGTTGACCTCCCGCATGCAAGAGACAGCCTGACATTAGCCACAAACGATTGGTCCCTGGCGAGAGCGGCACGCCGTCGATACGTCTGAGTTCTTCAGCACCACGCCTAAACGACCCAGATCCTGCAGGCGACGCTATGCGAAGCCACCGCTGCCGAAACAAGACGTCACACAAGAAGCTACTGGAGGGAAGGGTACTTCTTCGTTGGGACACATCTAATATTCATGGGTGGACATCAGCGGGAAAAAGGAAGATGAATCCCTTCCAGCGCTGTGCCACTCCTAAAGCCCTGAAAAAAAACTTGAAGATAGAGCCCGGTTAACTGGGAGCCTGCCAAGCGACAATGGTCGCATTGCTCCAAGACCCATGCCCCAGGACGGGACCAGGTCAACAATTGAATCGTTCTGAGATGGAACAACATCGTATGAAGAAACTGGAGAGTTGAAAATGAGGGAATTGGAGACTTGGAAAGATGTGGAAATCGACATAGGGAATTTGAGAGGTGGAACTTGGAATACCCCTGGAATTCTCCACGGACCCCTCCACATTAGACTGTGCGCTCGAAAAGAACCTGTGGACCTCTTAATGCCTACCTGTCACCAGGAAAGGAAATGCCTTGAATACCGTCACAAGGGTAACAATCAAAGCTAGGCGGCCACCACCACAAGCGCACCATTGGCTGACTGGAGTTCCCCGAAAAGCTACGGTTGATCAGAATAAAGTTGATACTCTGCAGGAAAATGCGGGGTTGAACAATCCTCCAAGCAAGAAGCCTGCTGCGAGCATCGAGAAGGGGCCATGTCTCTGCTGTGCTTAAAAGGCCGCAACCAGACAAAACTCGATGTTGGTTCCAGCTGAAAAGCTCCCAGCAGGTCTTGAACAAAGCCCCGTTGCCGCAGCCCTCATGCCAAGGTCCAGGAACAGTTGCTCGAGCACAACATTTTGCATTCGTGGTGTTCAGATGGCGAATGATAAATGCTCGCAGAGAAGCACAGAACGTGGCTTTAGGATCTTCGCCGACGGGGACCAGGCTGAATCCAGCAGCGAGCAAGTCAAACAGCTCTCGTACTTGGCCATCGAAGGGGCGCGTGATTTGCTTTGTCCACTGCAGATGGGCTTCCAGTTCTCCATGGCTTGGTCATTGTCTCCGCACAGGCCGACCGGGATCTCGTTGATGGCGCTTGAAGCGAACATGAATGGCGTGCAGCAGGCATTAAGCATTCAAAGAAGAGGAAATGGGGGGTCGGACGCAGCCGAGAAAGCAGATGAGGGGGTCAGTCTCCAGACCCTGAATGCTGAAAGCACAGCGCATCCTAGTCCCGGCCGCTAAGAGACAGTCTCACGACTGATTTTTGATGAGGAAAAGAAGGCGAGGTGGTTGAAGGATGTTACGATACGCATGGCCGTGGCCTATGATTCGCTGATGGCGCCCCTGGACCGCGGTCTCGCTACCCCCAACAGCAGAGTTCAATTTGCAGCAGTTCGTCTCTAAATTGTGCAGGGCTAGCCTGCAGTTGGCCTGGCCGTCTCCGCATTTTGCGCATCTGCCACCTCAAGCCCCTGATCCTTGGCCTGGCCGAAGTTGCAGCAAGCCTCAAAGGCGTTGAAGTCTGCGCGTCCGACCTCTGTCCACCTCTGTGATGAGAGTCCTGCCTCACGGCCTTTTTTCATACCTCGCGCCTGGGAGCCACGCTTCGTCTGCCACCGGACCATCCCAAGGCTATCGCTCTGCTTTGCTTCCTCGACTCTTCTCTTTTGCTGAAGAGCGCGAAGGAGCTGCAGTGTGCCACCCGTGGCTGTTGGTGTTCTCTCCACAGCTCTTGCGGACTGGAGGAATCGAACCACCCGCCAAGGATCCCAACCTCCAGCAATATCCATCCGGTCTTTGTGGCCCCTCGTCCTCGCCGTCTATCTCTTCCCCCTCTGTCGCTCGGGACATAGAGCGACGATGTGCCAGATTCAATAGGAGAGTATTGCGCAGCTCGACCTGGTTGTGGATCGACGAGACGCCCTCTCGAGATAGAACAGTGGCGCTTCCCCACATTCTTTCTTGTCCGGAGCTTTCTCGCTGATCGCTGGGTTTGTACACTCCTATGCTACGACTTATGCCCTAGTGTAATCCGTCTCTTCTTCCACGATTCTGCGCAAAGACTAGGGATAGATTGGCTCAAGAGTTTGGCGCATTCTTCATTTGGTCTTCGTTTTAGGTACGCCACCCCTGGAGTATCGATCAAGCGTCTTGGTTTTGTGATTCGGATGCTCACTCTTCGCGCCAGCTCTTTTCTGGGTATCGAAATTGTTTGATATACTATACGTACGAATATACCCAGTGTTTGTGGTTAGATTTGGTAAGCATACCCGACTTCGTCTTCCCCTCCGTTCTCATCCCTGTCGTTCCTGATGCTTGTTGGAATTAACAAAATGGTTTCGGGGATGTAGCGCTGAATCATATGCAATAGGATATACTGCTGGTGATCTGATAGACGGTCTTCGCTCTCGAGATATCCCGGAATTTGTGTTTAATTTGTTCAAGACATTTCCCTGTACCTAGGTAAGCCGCGCCGTTGAGCTTCTTTACCGCTGCATTCGCTGCATTCGCTGCATCTCACCGTCTATCCTCTCCTTGTAACCCCTTCTGAGTGTCCTGGGTCGCGTGGGGTATCGCGTCGGCTGAAGGAGGCTGGGGCGCGCTGCAGAGGCTTGGCTATCCCCTTTATGGTGAGGGCATAGCAGTTGTCGCGAAAGTCTCCCCTCGTCATCGAAGCATGTCTTTGCCCTGTCATAAGGCGACTCTATTACATGTAGGGCCGACTTTGCTGGAGCGTGGCGTGTGGGAGTGAGGATCTGGGTTGAGCGTGAAAGTCTTGCAGAAGGCAGTCTCTCTCAACACCACAGCATCACAACATACCCTGCAAGCACAATTCTCGTTTCTCTACTCAGGCAAATGCTTCTCAGCGCTCAATGCTAGTCTCACAATCTCCTTTTCTCATTCCTATCTCTGTTTCTACATTGTGCTCGACTAAGACAGTATATGGTCGACAGTAATTACCCGCGTCTGTGCAGTCCAGGCTGCTGATCGAGCGCCCCTAGCAACCGTTTGGGCTTCACGATAAGCACACCAAACGAAGAAGTCTACCAGACCTCCTATTTGCAGGAATCTGCTCGCTCAAGATTGTGTCTAGCACGATAGTTGGTAACCGGGAGCTAAAAGCCTGCCCGCTGCGTCCGCCGCTCCCCCCCATCTCTTCTGATATCGTGAGCGCGCAAGCCTGGATATCTATCAAATTGCCTGACTACCGACTGCTTCTTGCTCCGCACTGGGGGTGTCATCGGGCAGCATTACCTGGCCACGTCCTAACACCCTGACCGCTCCATCCACTTCCGCCCCACCCCGTTTGAACATCGTGGAAACGCAGGACGTGGGAGCGCACAAGACCGCCCAACCGCAGACTACTGCCCTTCTTCTGACGACATCCTGGCGCGTGAGTCGACGAGAATACTCCCGCAAGTTGGAACTCCTGACCGCCCCCTCCACCATCGCCAATCCACCGTTTGTCTGTCGCGAGCACGCAGGACGTAGGAGTGCCAGAGTATCTAAGACCGCCAGGACCACCGCCCACAGCTGCTCCTGCCCTGTCTAGAAAAGACCTCCGCCAACGATTCTTCTCTCGGCCACCTTCGACAACCCTTCTACACACAGACTTCTGGTCCCCGCCGCACTTTTGCTACTATCTTTACTACCACACTACTTCTTCTTCATCAATTGCTGCAGGCTCGACAGTCAGCGTCCCTTCGCCGCCAAGCCAACTAGTAAGCTGGCGTGTCGCGAAGACCCCCTCTGCTCATCCACCTACGGTGTTTGCCTTCCTTCCTCCTTCACTTTCTTCCTCCACCTTCTCACCAACCCTTCTCAACCCTCCCCACAGCCTCGCATCCATCAGAGCTTATCTCTGTTGCTGCCTCTGACTGACCTCTGTTAGGTAAGTCCACTCCTTTAACTTTGCGACACGTCCTAAAGTACAGTCCAGAGACATTGACCTCCCAGCAGTCTGTGGCAGGTGAACTTACACGTTTCCCTTCTTTGGTCATTCGTGTCCTTTCCTTTGGTTTTGTCATTTGATACTATCGAGGTCTTTCAGTTCAATATCCTTTTTTCCAAGACCAACAGTAGCATTTCCCTGCGACGTTGCAGAAGTTCTCCCTACACATACCCATATCGGCATACACAGTAAGTCGTTTGTCAGCTACTTTTTCCCGACACGTCCTAGCTGCCCCAATCGAGCTCCACCATCTTAACATTCTTCTGTTTTGTCATGTTATCGCCCCATCACTACTTGAGGTCTATACTAACCGGCTGGCTCTTTGCATGTACAGGCGAGAGTTGTTCTACATACACAGTGTACTGCAGGGAGCATTCTACATTTACAGCACCCTGCACAATAACTGTACTCATCACCAACCACATTTGTGCGGTGGACAAGTTGTGAACTAGCAGCATACATCTTTTATATCTTCTCTTCTTCCCGCAAGGTACGCATGCATTTCCATCTAAAACGTCCTAGCAATGCTCTAACCTTAGCTCCTCTTATAGAGAACTGCTTGCACCATGTCCTATAAGGGAAACCTTTCTGCAGGCAACTTGTCATTCGCTGAGAAGGCAAAAGTCCAGATGCGGCGCCCAACCCCAGACAGCGATGCCTTGGCATCTTCCGATGACGAGCACGTTCCTCCAGTTACTCGCCCTCTCCCGTCCAATCAGATGACAGCCACTCGCCGACCATCATCTGGATGGCTCCAAGATATCCAACCTAACCGGAAGTTCTCTCTGCCATCTGTTTCTCTCGCTGGACCTGGATCTCAGCCAACGACCCCGTCGCTTGAATTGCCATCCCAGGTTCGCCCGAGCACGTCTGCGTTCCCGTGGAACACTTCCAGCTTTACTTCTTCCCAAGGCGGTACCCGTCTCAAGGAGGTTCTACCTTCACCGACTTCTCTGTTGCCAGGCAACGAGAAGTCTCTTCCTTCACCTGAGACCACCGAAGCTGACGATGGTATCGGTTTCCTCCTTCAACAAAACCCGATCCGCAAATCGGTTCGCTCTCAGTCTTATAGTGTCGGTCAACCTGATCTTGACAACCCCACTTCTCAGTTCACCTCACGACTCCGCACATCTCTTCGCCATCGCCCTTCCAAGCCCAGCCTTCTTGGGGAATCGCTCTCACAGCTCCGTGAGGACGACTTCGACGAGGTCGAGAGTTCGAACGGATCCGAAGGCGGGTTGCGTCTGCCCCCAGGCTACTGGGAGCGAGAACAGCAGAAGCAGGCTGAGCACGCTTTGCTGAAGCAAGCTGCCAACACTCGTGCCCGCAACCGCGCGCCTTCTACAAGCTCTCCCACCCCATCGCGTCGTGTCAATCCCAAGACAGCTCAATATCTTCGAGCCATGACGCGCCCAGAGAGCGACTACGCCATCGACGAGGAGGACGACAACATTTCTTCTATGGAAGGAGGTAGCCCATCTCTCACTCGCCGTTACAGCGAGCATATCGGCGCCATGAGTACGCACGACGCGGACGCTGAAGAGTCATCGGCGGCCAACACTGCCAATGCTCCGGACTGGCTCACCGCTGACGACGGCTTGGGCATGGTCATGGAGACACTTGGTCGTCGTCACTCATTCGCGACCTATGGCACGCACAACACGACTTTCCAAACGCCTACTCTGGCAAATACGTACGAGGAAGATGAAGATGCTACCCCAGGCCCGTCTTCACAATCCCTCGTTCCTGCCATCCCGCCGCTTGACCAGTTCGATGCTGGTGAGTTCGATTTTCTTACTCACGGTCCGCACGCAGACCAATTTTTTTTCTCTCAGACTTCGGTCGATTCTTTTCCCCTAACTAAAAGTGCTTTTGATGGAATCCACACTGACTTCTTGTCATACGCAGAGGCCTACTTCACCGGATATGGCCCTGCTTCTCGCGCGATCAATGCGTCCTCCATATCCGCGTCCCACCCGAACCCCATTTCTCACCAGACGAGTGCTGGTTCCGCCACCGGAAACCCTTACTTCATCCCCTCCGCTTATGGTCGCCCAGCTCGACGTCTCTTCGTCGTCACCTTTAAGTGCTCTCGAGCCGATATATACTACCTCTACGCAAACACGGGCCTGGAGATTCGTCGCGGAGACTTAGTCATCACCGAAGGAGACCGTGGCTGCGACCTCGGCCAAGTCACCCATGCCGACATCTCCATGGAAGATGCAAAGAAGTTCAAGGCCGAGGCGAACGAGGAGCACTTCCGCTGGCTCGTCATGTTCTCTCAATACTCCCTAGCTGGTACCTCTACTGATTCCGGAATGCTCGGAGCCCTCGCTCGCGCGAAAGGGTTCGCAAACACCTTCGACCGCAACGCCCTGACTGGCATGGGCGCCCAGCAAGACCAAGACGCAAAACCTCGCATGATCAAGCGTCTGGCCCAGCAACACGAGATCACGGCGTTGAGGGATAAGGAGGGGCAGGAAGCCAAGGCAAAGCGTCTCGCCGCCACCAAGGCGGTGGAGCACAAGCTGCCGATGGAGATTCTAGATGCAGAGTTTCAGGCGTAAGTACATTAGCCTTTCCACTTTGGTATGCTAACAAAAGTAGGGATCACAACAAATTGACATTCTTTTATTACGCCGAGTCTTATGTCAACTTCAACGACCTTGTTGTCGACATTTTCAAACAGTACAAGATCCGGATCTGGATGTCAGCAGTCAACCCAGCCTCTGTTGTGAATCCAGCCGGACTCATGCAAGTTCCACCACCGTCTGCCATTGGCCCAGGAGCCATTTTGCATTCTACTGCTCAGCACCCATCGGTCCCAGTCGGACCTGGCTTTGGCACCTATCGCTCTGGTCAGCAACAATATAGTCGCGCCACTGCTCGCTCCCAAGCCTTTGAGGAGCAGTACACATACCCATACGCCCAGCCGCCACCGGCCTACACCGGCCAGAACCAGTACGCCATACAGCCCTGGAGCCATGGTCAGTACTCACCGTTCCCGGTCCCGGCTGGGGGCTACCCGGGCGTAACTGGCAGTGGTAGCCCTATGGGCTATGGAGGCTACTACCCACCGGCTTCTGCAAGCACCGGCTACTACGACCCGACAGTTCTTGCTGCCATGCAGAACTTATCTTTCAACTGAGTGGATTCTGGTACTGGACAAAAGTTTCTGATTTCTGACTTCTGACTTCTGACTTCTGTGATTTGTGGGGATTCTGGTAACAGAAAGGTAAGGCTGCAGATTTTTGGGAATGGGGGAGAGGGATGGGATTTTCTGGCGATTTCTGAGCGGTAGACAATTATTTCCCCCCTCCCTGCCCTATCCTTTTATTTCCTCTATTTCTTATAGGGATGTGGGATCCTTCTAGATCCTCGCTTAAAAAATGGCAACGGGTTTGTAGAATGACGCCCGTATTGATCATGCATCTGCGTGCTTCCTGGTGGACCGTGCACCTCGGAACTCAGCTGAACCCCATAATGCCAAGAATGCGTGAACTCACCGCCCCCTGGCTGTCGTGTGCTGACTCCAGTCGCTCAGATTCGAATTTCCCTACATTCGACCTCGAGAATCTTTCTCTGGGTGAAGATCGACGAATGGCTCCTCCCGAAGCACCGCCAGCCGAAGAGCAGGTCATCTTCTCAAGCGGCGACCCCGCTACCCCGCCAGACCTCCGATTCCTCCATTACAACGATGTTTACCACGTTGATGCGTCGTCGGCGGAGCCTGTTGGTGGCCTTTCACGCTTCCAATACCTGTGTAATTACTACCGCAATGATGAGAGGTTTAAGGATCAGCCTAGATTGCTCACCTTCTTCTCTGGAGACGCGTTTAATCCAAGTTTGGAGTCGAGTGTGACTAAAGGTAGTTTGAGTCCCCGACGAGAAGTACAATTTGTAGTAATATGGTTAGAGTGTGGTTCTGAGCGTGAAATATATAGGCAGCCATATGGTCCCAGTTCTCAATGGCATTGGGACTGATGTCGCGTGTGTCGGGGTGCGTTAGACCCCACTCTGGAATCCGCATCCCATCGTTGTAGGCACTAACGAGTCCTTCCTTCCTAGAACCACGATCTCGACTTCGGAATCCGGCAATACCGCCACCTCACCTCCCAATGCCACTTCCCTTGGCTGTTAGCCAACGTGCTAGACCCCGCGCTTGGCGAGAACGAGCCTCTTGGAAACGCGAAGAAGACGGTGATGCTAGAGTCTTCGAACGGCATAAAAATTGGTGTAATTGGGCTGGCAGAGCGAGAGTGGTTGGACACTATCAATTCCCTCCCGCCAGATCTGATATACAAGTCAGCGTCTGCAACGGCGAAGGAGCTGGTTCCTGGGCTGAGGGAACAGGGTGCTGAGATTGTGGTCGCTGTTACGCATCAGCGCGAGCCGAATGATAACAAACTTGCTGAACTGACGGCAGATGGCTTGGTCGATATCATACTTGGAGGGCATGACCATTACTATTCCCACAACTTTGTTAATGGCACGCACGTGCTCAGGTCTGGCACCGACTTCAAGCAATTGAGCCATATTGAGGTAAGGAGGAAGGAGGGAAGTAAGAAGTGGGACTTCAAGATCGTGAGGAGAGATATTGTGAGCAGTATCCCCAAAGACCCAGGAGCGGAGGAGCTGGTGGAGAAGTTGACTCGGGCGTTGAAGACCAAGCTGGATAAACCGATTGGTATGAGTCCATTCGTCCTTGATTCCCTGCCTCCCTCTCCCGGACTCTCCAAAGCCATTTGCTAATGGTGGTTTCTTTTACAGGCTACACAGCCGCGCCTTTGGATGCCCGCTTCACCACTGTCCGCACCAAGGAGTCTAATTATGGAAACTTCGTCTGCGATCTCATGCGCTATTACTACCAAGCAGATTGCTGCATCATGGCTGCGGGCACGATTCGAGGCGATCAGATTTATCCGCCTGGCGTGATACGTCTCCGCGATATCGTCAACTGCTTTCCGTTTGAGGATCCTGTTGTCGTTATCAAAGTCACAGGGAAGGCGCTCCTCGGGGCGCTGGAGAATGGCGTGAGCAATTATCCTGCTTTAGAAGGTGCGTAGACAGTCTCTCTTCAGCCTTAACATGCGGGCGGGCGAGCTCTGAGGTGGGTATGGATGGATGCTAATACTGACTCCACACTCAAGGCCGTTTCCCCCAAGTCTCCAACATAAAATTCATAGCCGACTACTCCCAAAAGCCCATGTCCCGCATCCTCAGCGTGGAAGTTGGCGATGGCCCTCTTGACCTCGAAAAAGAATACGTCCTTGCCACACGAGGCTACATGGGGCGTGGCAAAGACGGATACACCTCCCTTCTCATCGAAGAAGAAGGTGGTACCGCCAAAGAAATCGTCTCCGAAGAAAACGGCGTCCTCATCTCCACAATTTTACGCCAATACTTCCTGTCTCTCAAAGTCCTTGGGAAGTGGAAAATGTGGGGTCCGAGTTTAACTCGGAGTTGGACGAATATTCAAGAGAATCTGCAAAAGACACATCCGGTTCTAGAGCCGGAGCAGCCACGAAACTCAGAGGGTACCGAGACACCGCTGGATGAATCGGATAGCGAGCTGACAGATTCCGATGACCCTGCGCCGGTTAGCAGGAAGGAGAAGGAAGTTGTCATTATACGCAAAGTTATGCGGAAATGGTGGCGGTTAGCGGGATTGCCTGGACATCCGAGTCTGTGTGAGGAAATGGGCGAAGGGGAATTTCATGTTCCGTGGACGAAGGCAGTCGCCCCGAGGGTGGAGGGAAGGATTAAGGAGGTATCTGAAAAGCCATTGCCAATCCGAGAATAAGAGAATCATGAGTAGTAGAAGAAAGAGTATTTCGCTCGGGGCATGGTAAATTCTATTCTAAAATCTAGTTCATTCAACCTCCTTCCATCTAACAATTGCCCCACCAAGCACATCCAGTAAGACCCAAGTAGCCTCACCTTAACCCCATATCCACAATTGTAATGCCGTAAACCACTACAACGGGCTCGCTAACCCGGGAACCAGAAATGCACAGCACTAGCACGAGAACCCGCAGTCGCCTTGCCTCGCCCCACGATCATATTCGCCGAAGTTGCAATGATGTTGTTGGTCATTACTTCCCCAAGACTGGCCCGCATAGGCGAAGAGTACCGCATCATAGTCACTCGCGCCCGCCGTCAGGATGAGAACCCACGGCAAACTGCTGGTAACCCCGACGCTGACGTCGCTTGAGGAGTCTGCGTAGTTGAGGGCCCCGATCTCTTCGCCCGCATTGTCCTTGATGATGATGTCGAGGCGGTAGTGGCCCGCGGCCTCTGATGGCCGGTACTGGGTCACGTGCACACCACACCATCCGGGCTGGTAGGTGGGTGGGGGAACGAAACCGAGGACTTCATCTTGTCGTGCGGTATGGCGCTGAGCCGAGCTAACAGCGTTGACTTCGGGGACGGGCGATGAAAGAGCTGCTTGGAAGATGAAGGCATTGAGGAGAACGCCTAGCAAGAGAGTGGAAACCATCTTGGCTGGGAGGAGTAGAGAAATGCTGGAAGTAAAGCCTGGGTAGACGATTGAGTAGATGAACTGAAGAAGCTGCAGATGTCGGTGTCGATGTTGAATGTACTGTTTACTTCAGACTGTGAAACAGACAATTTATATACAGATCAAAGAAAAACTCTACGCCAATGCTGTATCTGATGCTGGCAGTGCTCGTTCATGAGGATCGAGAAGATTTTCCGAGATGCAAAAATACTGTGTGAACGAAGCATCTTGCGGGCTGTGTATTGTTTCAAAGACAAACTGGCCCGGAACAGTATGCGAGGCGGAAGGGACAATAAACCGTTTCGCTACCGACTTTGCATATGCATATTCACGCTATGGAACCGAGAAGCACATTGATTAAAGAATTACGCGAGTGATAGAATATTGGGATTGGCGCATACCCACCGCGTTGTTTTGTCTCCCAGCCTCTAGTGCAGGTGTTGCAAAAACAGGACCCTGATGGGGGCTAGAATGGGACTCCTGGCGTCTGAAAGGAGATATTAGGTCATAGTTTTTTTTTCCCCTCGCGACCCATATACAAGAACTCGTTCGTTTCAAAAAACGAGATCTAATCACCCTATCGTTTAGTTCGTTTCCGTTTCGTCAAAGCTGAGCGTTGCTGAGATCATGGCTTCGTAAGGCTGTGCATCTCGGAGGTGGACGGGGATAAGGCGCTTCCGCGTTTGAGGTGCATAATCCCTCCTTTATGCCCAATTGCTGGCCAGTTTATCGCTGGCTATGGGCAAAAAAGAAAGCAGTAGGGTTTCCCTTGCACACAACGCTTTTTACTAGAATTCATTGCATTTGCTAGACTTGCCGTCGATAGTTGGTTAGACCCTACGTTCTAACTAAAAGACAAAGACAGAGAATTTGAAGACTGCATTAGCCTGCCGAGCGCTAGCCACAATTCATGAGTATCTCTCCCTGAAGCAGCCTTAGACCGTTCCATTCGACTTTCAGATATTTCAGGGTTGAGCAGAGCGGACTTCCCATGGCGCAGTGACCCCTTCACGATGATGGCACGGGCCAATAGCCTTCAATTTACGAACCCTGCATGATGTATAAGCCTCCATACCAGCCACGATGACAGCCGCCACATCAAGAGACCGGGTCGAAATTATCTCATACTGCCTCAATCGCGATATGATCGTAACTGGCTCCGTCATGGGTAAACCCCTTTAACGTTAATGAAAATACTCATGGTGCAACGCAAAGGTAGAAAGAAGAAGATGCAATCAACTCCTCTATTGCAGACAAAAACCTGATAATAATGACATTGCACGTGGTATCCCAAGCCTTCAACACAAGCGAGGGAAACCCCGGTTTGATTCGTCCTTGAACCCAAAAAACCTCCACCCACTCTTGCGTTAATATCTATGCCTCCTGTCTGGTAGACAAAGGGACCAACTTCAACGCCGTGAAACGTAAACTCTACAAAGCAACCGAATTAAAGGGCATCCCACCCATCCCATAGTCCCTTAAATCCCTTCCTCTTAGATCCTGGCCGAGAACTCCTTGAACTCCTACTTAAACCCTATTGTCTGCTACTACCTGGACGCCCTCCCTTCGCACCTTTCCCTCGCGCCTGCTGAGCCTCCTTGCACTCGTCGCTGCAGAACCATTTCGTTCGAGAGTTGGGTGGTTTCTCCATGTTAACGCACGCGAGATGGAACCACTCACGGGGACATGTGTCGTTGTCACAAGCAACCATGTTCCCGTAGCTGACTTCATTGCAGTAGCAGTAGCGCGGCTCGTCACCGTCTTCATCCACTCCATCGCTGAACTCGGGTTCTGGGGCCACTGATTCTCCGCTTGAAGATGGGGGGCCGGATTTAGGGTCCTTTGTGGGTTTGAGCGCAGGGGACGACACCACGGCTGTTGTGATCGATGCAGCGTTCTTCTTGTGTCCGCGTTTGGATACTGCACCGGTAGTGGTGCTGTTATTCTCTGAAGATGCATGCGAGTTTGAGCCGCCTCCGTTGCCATTGCTTGCGTTGCGCGTACTCCGACTGCGAACCATGGGTACATCAGGGAACGTTCCTACAACGGGTGTCGCCGTCTTTGAAGTTCGGCCAACCCGGGTCGTTACGGGAGCAGGTGCCGGCACATCGATCTCCATGCCTTCACCCTCTTGTGGTTCCACTTCCTCGTGCTTAAGGTTCGAGGACTCCATGGGCGCCAATGCATCGGGAGGCTCCTTAGGAGTGGAGTCTCCCTTCACGGACAGATTTTCCTGGATGATGCCTGCCGCCTGTTCCAATTCGGTCATTACATCACTACTGGCCAACTGCAGATTCGAGTGCGAGGACGATGGCCGGCGTGCCAAGGAGGGTTCCTGTGGAGCAGATGCCACCGAATTTGCGGTGGAGTTCTTTCTTGCACGTGAAGACACTGGTCGCTCTGTAGCAGCCGCTGTTATCTTGAAGTTTGGGGCGAGTGGTGAGGATGCAAGTGGAGGCGAGTAGGCGGGCAACGCACGTTTGCGCCCTTGTGGAGGTCCCGGTGCGGCTCGAGGTTTACGCTTTCCTCCATTTTCGGTGCCTGGTGTAGCTCGAGGGCTGGTGCCACCCCGACTAGCAGGGCCCGCAGCCTGCAAAGCGCTGCTTAATGATCGATCCATTGCTGGGGCAGCGGCCGCTAAAGCTTTCTCAGTCTTCTTCCTCTTGCCCTGTTGTGTAGCCCCATTGCTCGTTATTCCCAGCCCGATGCCCCGCGAGTCTGCTGCAGCAGCAGTAGCAGCAGAAGCAGCAGCAGCAGTGTCCGCTGCGACCGCTTTTCGCTTCTGCGTTTTCTTCGTTACTGGTCTGTCGTCGAAATCGGAGTCAATGTGTTGGTTTCTATTCCGTTTATTTGCCAACATAGCTTCGCGTCTCGCCTCGCTCTTCGCCGCTATGGAGTCAGCATCATGTACAATCTGGGCAGCTGCAGCCAAGTTGTTGGCCGAAACCACTTCACGACGGTGGCGCTCATGTGATGCTCCACCTTTCTTCTTCTCTTCTTTATCTGCATAAGCCCAATGGTTGAGGCTACCGTAGCGCGCCTCCTCGCTGATCTCGCTATCAAGATGAGGATATGAGCTGTTCATGCGGGCGAGGCCCTTGTCCTTGGTAGTTTTCGCCGAATTTAGCACCACCAGCTTCTCGTCCAGTGCAGGGAGCATGGATGCAATCACCATGCGCAAGCGGAAGAATAGTTGTCGCTTCTTCAAGCCGGCGAGTTCTTCGGGGGGAAGGTTGTTGGGGTCGGCCGGGAAGAGCTCCATGGGGAGCTGGTGTCGCGTCGGAGCATCCTGTGCTTGTGACCCATTGGCGCTTCCGTTGATGGCGTTATCCCCTCCAATCTGATTATATGCGACAGCGGATCGCTCGCCCATGGTTGGGATGGGCTGTCTGGCGATTTCAGCAAGCAGGAGCTGCAACACATTCTCTGGGTCGTAGATCTTGGCCTCTACTTCCTTGAGCATGGCGAAGTGCTTGATGAGCTCTTTAGGGAAAGCATCTACAGCTTGAGTGAAGTGTGTAAGCGCTGGGAGAAAGCCGGGCGTGCTGTTCGAAACTGGTGGAGTCTGCTCTAAACTGCCCATAGCGGCCAGTCGGCCAGCAAAGGGACGCGCATAGTAATTCGTGGGCCGAGTGACGCTCGTACGTCCTTGTCGAGTGGATTGGCGACGGTCTGAGGTGGGAGCAGCCGCAACCGTGCGAGAGGCCCCCGCTGGAGGCATGTTGGTACAGAGAAGGAGCTGGATGGCAGCAAGATTTCTGAGGGGGTGAGGCTGCTAGAGCGCGCAGCAAGGCTTGGGGGATCTAAAGGATCTGTGCGATAAGAGTTACGAGAGCGAGCATGTCAGTTAACAGACGAAAAGCTGAGAAGGGTGAGAAGAGTGTTGGGAGAGAAGCGAAGTGTGGGAGCGTTCGACTTTCCACTCCTCTTCGCGCGGAACACTCCCACGGGATGAGCATGCATCATCGGCCCGACATTCTACCAGAGCCGAGTCACGTGTTACGGAAATCGCTAAAAACAAGGAACGGCCAGAGGCAGGTGCTTCTTTCGCACCCCAGTGCTCTCCGATTTCCTCTCAACCCACATTTCAGAGAGAAGAAAGGGTGAAGATATTTAGTAGATGAGCATGCACAAAAGGGGATCAAATATTCAGCATTCATGTATGTTAATGGATGCCCTTGTGATTCTGAGATGCAAAATTTACAGACTTAAGAAAGGATTTCATGATCGACATTACTTTCTAACCCTATGGGCCCTACCCTCAAGATCAGATAGTACTTCGGAGGACCTACTGTACAGATGTGGGCAAAACTTCTGCACAGCACCTATTAAACGCCAGCCAATAATTACAACAAAACGCCACAAGACACCAGAAGCCCCTACGCCGTGCCGCAATTCAAGCGCACTCAATGCAAGTTCGAAGGGCCTGGAGAGGGATGATAAGACCAAGCTCCTTCCCTCGCCAAGCGCTCTCTCGCCTCTCGTTCCTTTCTCTTCTCCTCTTCCGTAACCTGATCGTTACTCCAATACGCACTGCTAGTGCGCTCCCGGAACTTCTTGTGCCTGTCCTTGTTTGGAAATATCTGCTCCATATTCAACGGAGCAATCGGGCCAAAGATCTGCTCGGGGTCCATGAGCTGTTGCGTCTTCAACATCTCCTGTAGATTCGGGGTATTGACCCAGCTCGGCACCTCGAATTCATTCTCAGAATCCTCGTCTTCAGAGTCTGTCATGATCTCTGGTAGTTTGATTTCTTCATCATTAGGGTATTGAATTGTTGGTTGTGCAGGCTCAGCGAAGGGAATCTTCCCTTGTGCAAATTGAGCATGTGCAGGAGTAACTGGCTTTGACTTCATCTGCTGCGAAGGCCGTTTTGCAGGTCGGTGAAGAGGCTCGTCGTTCTCAGGCTGGAAAGGACGCTTGGCTGGCTTGGCCGGGTTAACCGGAGGGACGTTGATGCGGTTTGCATCTTGGACAGTTTGCATTCGAGATACAGCCCTGGCAGCACCGAGATCTGCACGAGATTGTGCTGGTGCAGGTTTCGATTTCTCAATAACCTTCGTTGGTTGTGGTCGACCTATTCGAGGAGCAGACTTTGCGGCTGGAGGCGCTGGTCTCGGAGCAGGTTTAGGAGCCGCGACCGGGGCAGACTTCGGCGGCGCTGGGGGAGGCTTCGCAGCAGCTGCAGGAGGGGCGGGTTTCGACGTTACAAGAGGAGCTTGTCCAAATCTGTGGAGGTTGACTTTAATGGCTTGAGGTTTCGCTTTGAGTAACTGGTCTTTGCTCGCAGTTTTAATGAGTCTCTTAGGCTCACGGAGCTTGTGGCCTGTTCCAGTAGGAAGAAGACTCTTTGGAGGTGGCGGAGGTGGCATTTCATCGCCGAAGTCCGGCTCTGGATTTCTGGTGGTAGTGTTGATCCTAGTAGTACCTGGTCGAGATAATGGTTGCTGTTGGATAGAAACAGGGGTCTTGGCCGTTGAGGGAGCTGGAGCCGGCCTGACATTCGGCTGTGGCGGCATAGGAATTGGAGTTTTCGTTGTTGCTGCTGCTGCTGCTGCTGCTGCTGCCGCCTTGGTCTTCTGGTAATGTGCAGCAGCTTTCGACTGCTCCCTTTCGCGCATTTCCTTCAGCTTATCCTCCGTTCGTTGCTTCTGCTTAGCCTCCCTCTCCTTAGTCTCTTTCTGCCTCTCACGCTCCGAAGAGCTCCGAGTCCTGCACCCATCATCCTTGATAGGACTACCAGGCATTTGAGAAATCTTAGTAGACTTTGTTGACTTAACCGACTCCTTTGAGGGAGAACGAAGGTGAGAAAAGATTGATGTTCCTGCTTTCTCATTACGTTTTGGACTGAAGACATCATCAGACGAACTTTGAGGCTGTAGCTTCGGACGCATTGGCCCCTCAACGAGTGCATCAAGCTTGACTTGAGCGCTGGTTGCACTGGACCCAATGATCTTCTCCTTTGCCGCGCGAAGAGCTGAATAGAACTTAGCTTTTGACGCGCTGAGAGGGCCGTCCATGTATTTCTTACCAGTCGGAGAGCCAGCCGGAGTGGTTGACTCCACAACTGTTGACCTATCCGGATTGGAGACAGAGATCGGCTTCTGAAAGATTGGCCCATTTACAAATGGAGGACGCGTATCTGCGGAATAACTCTTGCTTAGCACCGGCCGTGCGAGGTTAGCAGAAGGTGCTGTACTTCGAATTGGGGAGATCCAGTCATCGTCATCATCCTTTTCTGGTTCCCCTAGGGAAAGAACAGGGTATACCGGTTGGGCGGGCTGGGAAGGCTGAGCAGCTTGGGACGAGGCAAAACTTAGGGGCTGCGAGGGCTGTGACGAGACTAAATGTTGGCTGGTGCGCTTAGCGGGCTCGTTCTTCTGCTTGAGCATGTTGATTCGGTCGGCCAGACGTTGGGTCGAAGTTTTGTTGTGAAGCTTTGTAGTCTCAGACTCTTCGCGCCTAATTTCTGGCCTTTCATCCTCAATATTCAGGGCATCGTCATGTCGCGTCTCGACTCCAGGAGCGTGCTGCGATCCTCCAAGGCTTTTGCCCCCAGTGAACCTGCCCAGCTGGCTTGTACGCGATTTGCTTTGGTCGACGTGGCTAGTACGAGAGACGCGATTGCCCATGCTCTTCTTCGCAAGTAATGGCTCACGTGCAGGGAGAGACGCGAACGTGAGACTGCTCTTCCTGACCAGAGGCTTGACGGGGCTAGAGCCATCCGATGGTGAGCGCACGTCCTCGTCGTCGAGATCCATCTGATCCTCGATGTCGTGGTGAACAACGGTGTCATCCTGATGAGCGGCTACATCCAAAGCTGCATCAGTCTCAGCAGAGACGCCATACTGTTCAGAGGGAACAATAGCCTTTTTGGAGGGCGGCGCATGCACACGATGAGTAGCCGTATCAAGGCCTTCTTGGAAATCGGCCGATGTGCTGTACTGTTCTGAGATGACTCTGGGCTGCTGCTGAGGGGACCGCATCAGAGTGTGATGAATGGTTGTAGTGTCGTGGATTGAGCTAACATTGTGACGGATGACGGTGTCGGCCGTATCAGACTCTGTCTTGTCCTGCTTATTATCGTCTACTTCCATCACGTCGCTACGGTACTGTTCGTGCAAGTTCTCTTTCGAAGCGTTATTGCTCGCGAACGCCTCTTTGGCGGACACGAATGACTCGCCGGTGTCGCGTCGCTCATCTTCCGACTGCTGTATCGATCGCTGCATCGACAGCATGGCTTGCGTGGGCTGTGTTGACTGCGTTGCTTCTTGTGTGAAAATCTGGGTGGTGTCCTGTGTGTACATGACAGTGTCTTGCGTAGAAGGAGCGGGGCTCCAGCGGGCAGGAGCCGGGCGGTGCTCCTGCATCTCGTCTTCGCTCGTGTTTGCATGGTAGCCGGAGTCTTGATTCTCCTTGCCTTTGCCAATGGGCTTCACGAAGAGAGGGCGAGGCACTGGCGATCGGGTGGGAGAATGTGCTGGGGCTGTGTTCTCAGTGTCCTCGGCGATTTGAAACCTTGCCTTGGCAAGATTCTTGTGTAGGTTCTTCTGGAGACTTTGCTGGGCAGGGCTCGGCCGATTCTGTGCGTTAGATGTGAATAGGTCGCCAAGAGGCTGCGCGTGGTTAGCTAGTTGTCGCAGGGACAGCAGCACGATTGGCCTACCTGACGCGGCTCTGCATTCTTCTTTCGTGCTGTGCGCGGCGTCTTTCCACGTAGTTTGCCAGGCGTTTTGTACACGTCCAAGTTATTTCTACCGCTCAAGTCAGTAAACAAAGCGCGGGCTGGGGTGAGTTCGTGGTCGGCTTACTGTCCATCGTAGGCGAAGATGTCGGCCATGTGCTCGTTGAGCCACTCTAGCTCATTGCGAACAGAGAAGCCAAAGTCCTCCAACTCTTGGGCTACCAAATCGTTCGATTGATGTCGCTCATCAAGGACCCATTGAGCGGACCCAATGGGTGGGACTTTGCTGCGTGCCGCGGCCATGGTGGAAGAGACGACGGTGGTGGCTGGATCAAAACACGCGTGTATCGCGAGGGAGAGATACACAAAGTGAGAAGAAGACGGCAAAAGAGCAGTGCTAGCTATGCATCGCGCTTTGAAGCTGTTGCAGTAAAAATGTGCAGCGCCAAACAGTAGGCAATGGAGGCGGAAGCTGGAGCGGGAGGAAGCTGAGGTTCGGTTGTTGTCTCAAATCCAAGACCCAAACAAACGAACCGCTCACGGTGGCACGTGCACCCGCCAAGGTCGGCCTCGGGCCTCCACAACCATCACTCCTTCTAGCTGCGCTTCTCTGCTGTGTTCGACGCGAGTTCTCATCGAGCATAGTCGAGCCTCTGTGTTAGATGCCCCATTAGTATGGAAACAGCACCAAGCGTGCAATAGCGGAGAGTACAGGAGGCGCCGGGAGGCACCACTTCTCCACCTTCGAAGGACCGAGGATGATCATAGAGCTTATTCCCGTCTGAAGTCAAACTTCAAACCATCCCTCCTCAGCTCTTCACTTGCATTCTTAATTGATCATATTCAGTCTATTTTCACATAATGACATCCAAAGCGCTTTCTAGGTTGCCTACGTATGCCTTCTTTCCCCGCTCAGTACGAAGTGCCCCCAAATTGAAGCCATATCTGCATAAGCGCCCACAATCAAGGAGCTTTTCAATATCCTCATCCCACCATCTAATGGAGATGTCGGGCTTCACTCCAGAGCAGCTAGACGTCCGAGAAGCTGTTTCCAAAATCTGTTCGAAATATCCCGACGTTCGTTCACTCACCCCAACAATCACCATGTGCAACCCACCATAACTAGCGAGATCTAGGAATACTGGTCTCAACATGACGAGTCCGGCGAGTATCCCCATGAACTACATACTGATTTAGCAAGAGATGGATGGATTGGTATTGCATTGCCAGAAGAGCTTGGCGGGGCTGGGTTGGGTATCTCTGAAGCCACCATGATGCTTCATACGATTGCTGAGTAGGGCTCTGGATCAATATTTTCACTGAGGCATTACTTACAAGGAAAAGGTCTGGAGCTGGCATCGCAGGAGCCCAATCGATTCATGCAAACGTATACGCAACGCAGCCTGTTGCCAAATTCGCTACACAGGAGCAACGACAGCGCATGCTTCCCAAGCTGATAGCCGGAGAATCGAGAACGTGTTTTGGCGTGTATATCTTCCCCTTTTTCTCCTACATATATCGTCCTTTCAGGACATATCTCCTGGTTCTTGGCTCTTCAAATCAATCTTAGCAAGCGTCCTGCACCATTCCAGCTGTTCTCAGACCCCGGCGTGCCATCGCTGAATACACCACACATCCCGCGCCTCAATCTCCCAGACAGTCTCCAGCAGCTAACAGGGTGTAGGACCGAACCCAACACGGGTCTCGAAACGCTCAAGCTTCGCACTGTAGCCAAGAAGTCCGGCGACTCCTACTTAATATCAGGACAAAAGATGTAAGTTTAGGATGGAGATGTTACATCATGTAACATATCTATCCTATCTGTACAGCAACCCACGAACTCACCCACATAGATGGATCTCCTCCGCCCAAGTCGCTACCAAAATGGTTCTCCTCGCGCGCACCACTCCTCTCGAAGAAGTCACCAAACCCTCAGAAGGCCTGTCTCTTTTTTTCATTGATCTTGACAAAACCTCCCCAGGTCTAGAACTCAAACGCATCAAAAAGATGGGCACTCGCGCCATCGACGCCAACGAGATATTCTTTGACAATTTCTGCATCCCTGCTGACACGCTCATTGGCTCTGAAGGCCAGGGTTTCAAGATCGTGCGTATAAATACACAATCCCTTCCACCTCCACCTGCTGAATTGCATACAAGGTCCTCCACGGTATGAATGCAGAACGCTGTCTCCTTGCCGGGGAAGCTCTAGGACTCGGGTATGCCGCCTTAAAACGGGCATCCACTTATGCGCGGGACCGCATCGTCTTTGGCCGCCCGATTGGTATGAATCAAGGCATTCAGCACCCTCTTGCATCTGCATATATGCATCTTGAAGCCGCGAAACTGGCTACCTACCATGCAGCCCGGCTCTACGATAGCAGCTCCAAGGATCCTTCCATTACACAGCACACCGTTGGCATAGCCTGCAATTCTGCCAAGTACCTAGCAGCAGAGGCAGCCTTTACAGCGTGTGAACGCGCTGTGCTAACACATGGAGGGATGGGGTATGCGCAGGAATACCATGTAGAGAGGTATCTGAGAGAGGTATTTGTACCGCGTATAGCTCCTGTTAGTAGGGAGATGATCATGAACTACATCGGGGAGAAGGCATTAGGGCTACCTCGCAGCTACTAGAGTAGTAGTGTTCGAAAATGCATTCATCGTCAATTTGTCTATGTCAAACCATAGCCCCCAGCTATGCTAACACTCCTGTGCAGAGACCCAACAAGTTTCACCTCCTTCCTATCCTGTTTTTCAAGCGTCATTTGGCTTTCCACGCCCCTTTGCGCAGAACACTCCCACAAGTGAGAACCGAGTCACAATTCATAGCCTCAATTGGAATACAGTGGCTCTAGGCCGACTTACTCTGCATCATACAAGACTCACTAGCGGATTGGAAGGAAGAGACTGCACGAATGAGCGATATCTACCAAAATTCAACCTCACCATCGCCGCCACGTCAGCAAATTTTAGTCCCGAAGGCCTTTGTAAAGGGAGACTCGTTAGTGATTGTACCTTGCCATCTCGCAACAATGGCTCATGGGGAACTGCTAGCAACATATCCGCACAACGATTGCTTCGAAGCCGGTGTAAAATGGAGCTGGACCCGGCCACTTCGTAGATGAGCTTAGGTCGTTCAGGGAGTCCCTCTTTTTTTTTCTCCAAATTTTTTTTTTTAACTACACCTCAGCTTTGCTCACCAAATCTCTTCGGAATGTTGTTCGAGATTCTACAGCGGAAGATCTCCCAGTAAGGAATGTCGAACTGTTAATAAGGAGATCTAGCTTGATTTGGATAACCTGAATTGGTTTAGATTATGCTTCGTCCAGCCCGGGCAGCGTTCCCAACCGTACGTAATACGTTACGACTTGCTAAATCAATGGTCGTAACTTCTTAGATTGTTAGTACGTTTCAACGTAAGCATAACATTTAAGTCCACTTACAGAGCGTAACTGTTACAATTCACATTTCTCCTACGTTTTAACATTTTGCAAAAAGTTACGTTGTAACAGCTTGTATATAGTCTGCTAAGGACAACAATTTACTGTGAACACAGCGCTAACGTAGCTAGTTTTTCTGTAGTTAAAGAGCCTTAATTGTTAGGCTAGAGAGCTTATTTCTGTCACAGGTAACAGTCCTCCTACTGCTGCTAAAGCTCCTCTCACAGTTGCAGCTTGTAGATAGGATAGACAAGAAGTTAAGGGCAATTTTGTATAGCGTAGGATAGGCAAGCTGTCCAACTTGTTCCTACTATGTAAAAGGATTAGCAAACAGAGGGCTATTGTCCTTAGCTATAGTAACGTCTTTGCAGTAACTGTTATAGTATTACTGCAATTCTGTTGTTTTCTGCTGCTTTTTGTATGAATAATTGCCAGTAAGGAGGCTTATGTCCACAGAGAGAGTCCGCTCAAAGCCCTTGTCATGATACTCGCCACCTAGTAACTTACGTCGTGTGGATGGCAGTTGCTTGTCGTCCTCTGCCTCTGCCTCTGTCTTAGTATCTTAGAGTTTTCACCTGATTGTTACTCTAAGAATGTGACCTTAAACACGCTCCTGACGCGATCCCACATGTGTCCAATCAGGTCCTATTTTGGTAGGAAAAGTCGCCTTTTTGAGACGTACTACGGTCCGTAATGGGCGCTCCTCCAGTCATACGTTACAACTCATATCTCTCCTACGTTTCAACGGCTCACGTGACTGTTACGGGTCGTATACTACGACTCGTAGTACGTACGGTTGGGAACCCTGTCCAGCCGCAATCTAGTCAACAGGCTTCAAGAATGTACCGAAGATAATGACGGAAAGTTCTGGGGGACAATTAGCTACGACTCCCCTACCAGTGTCACTTCTGACATTGACTATCTCCTCCCATTGGAGGAGGTTGCTTTAGTTGTTAAAAATCGCTATTGGCTGGGGGTATCTCGCTGGCTTGTGGGTTCCATTTCTGCCCCTAGAGCTCATGTGGGAGGCAGAAACGCTATCAGCCAGGAGGTTAGATTTGCCCAACGTGATCTTGAGTATCAATATCCGGTAAGGTACACCCAGGATACGATGAGGAAGACGCCATTACAATCGTGGCACCGCAAGACCGCTCCTTGTCAAGTTTTGACTGCTTAGGAGACCTCGTTGCCATCTCTGTTACCTGTGTGCTAATCTTACCTTGGCAAATAAATATGGTCAACAGCAAGAGGAGGAAATCGTCTTTTCGCGGGAGGGATATGCTGACAGCCTCGTGTCCTTTGAGGATCGGCGAGACTGGTCTCTTTTTTGGTATATAGATCTACAAGAACCAGGGGTTACATCTCTCATGCTGCCCCGGAGCACATTGGTGAATAGCGTACATGGAATTGCAGTTGTTCCTTTAGAATGAAAGACTGGGTGTCTTGAAAGAGCTAGAAATTTGTACGGGGAGTATCCGCCGGGATGTAAGAATCTAAGAATTGATGCACTAATTGGCAAACATGACAGCTACTTGCTGTTCTTCATGACACGGTTCGGCACTAGGCGTTCAAGATCATATAATGGCTAATCTCTAATCAACATCGGGTTGCAACCTGGAGTGGAAGGAGTTGAGAAGGCATCGAAAGCGTAGAACTCAGGCTGCAGCTATTAAGATTTTTATTCATTCGCCATTCTCTTTCTGTAGTGGCGTAATTTGTGCTTTGAGGTTATCCGTTCTGCTTCAAATCCTCTAACTGCAATTTCGCATGCATTTGAGGATTGGGCTGGTTTTAATTAACGTGCTAATGAGCCTTCATTCTTGAATTCCTACTAACATCCTAGGGCTTTCGTTATTTTCTGTGTCTGTAACTGTTAGCTATTGAATATAATTGTTATATTTCTTTACTTTCTTAGGCTCTCTATTGAGTTTAAGTTGTAGGCTGTGGCGAGGAGCTTTTCCTCTAGCCGATAGAAGTCCTCTTGTGGGTAGTGGTGGTACTACTATTGCTTATTTAATGATCTCCTATGGCCATTGTGAGGCTGTTGTGTAACCTCTTGTTGACACAGAAATTTGCAAGGGGAGGATTAAGGATTAAGGAACTATAATTGTGCCAGCGCTATGTAGCAAACAGCTTAGATTCTAGGCCCGCTTGGATTATCTAACAGATGGACTGTTTGCATCTTTAGAAATCTGTTAGATTCCGGTACAGTGACAATCCTAGTGGGCCACAGCCTGCTACAACAGGCTGAACTTGTGCTTTGGATGAGACAGAATAATGCATCAGTTCGTCGAGTCGATAGTTTTCGACAAGATATTTGTGCACAGATTACCGGTACGCCTCGGCTCTGGTGTATTTCTCATATAGGTCTTTGATAAGTTTCGATAGCTGGCGGTGCTGTGGTGAAGGAATCGCATTACGCTATGGAAGGAGGCTCTCCTCAAATCCAACGCGAAGGCGACGATTCGAACGTAATTTTCTAGATGAGAGGGGTCCCGATATTCAGGCGTGGCTACGGCGCACAGTTTATATAGAACTATAGGAAATATCAATATACGCACAGAGTTTGAGTTGCTTGAAGTCAAAATACCTATTGTTTTACCCGGTACGGTGGGTTTCTCGCCATCTAGGGACGTTATTGACTTCGTCCAACTATGGAGTACGTCTTATGACATCGAGATCCAACTGAACCTCTCCTATCTGTGTTGGTGGGCACCCCCTCGTGAAATAGGCTAACACTACTCAAGAAATAGTCGCACTTTCGGGAACTTTATGGGACTATCTCATTTCAAAGGTTACCTTAGTCCTACCTTTCGCCTCCTCCGCCCTCTTCTAGGTAGTCAATACCATTTAATTTTGCTGTCTCTTGACTGTTGTCTTATCTACCATATCGTATCTCGCTTTTGACCTCGACGAGCTCACTGAACGGCAACAACCTCGCTCTACGACTGTATCGTCTAGCACTAGCCTATTGCGCATGAAGAGCCCATTATACAGGACAACCCTATTCCACAGGACGAGACTATTGCACAGGGTGAGCTAGCTGCACCGAGCGAGCCTAGTATCCAGGATAAACTCACACCACCCAATGATCTTGCCTCAACAAGGTGCAATAGCCGCAAGTGATGTGAAGGTAAATGCGAAACGATTCCAAAAGAGGTGCTGATCTTGGAACTGCGAATCCACAGCCAAATCTCTCTAGAAAGAAACGCGGCGGGTTCTGGGAGCATTTTGTCCCAAAGCTCAAATATGACTTGGCCGTTACAGACCTGAAGCAGACAGTTGATATGCAAGGCCAAATTCTATTCGAAGTCCTTGAGTCATTGAAGACTAATTTCGTATTGGAGCTCTCTAGCGAACCAGAGGTGGCAGAAAAGTTTGTCAGTCTGGAATGGCCACCTCCCGCTCAAGTTCCCAAATCGATTTTTGATTACATGATCGAAAAGATCTAAACGGTTCCCGCTGCCAACGGACTTATATCTGAAGACGTCTCTACGAAATATCTAGCACCCTGAGTAAGCTGCTCGTAAGGAAGCGACGCTGAGGAGCATCTAAGGATAAAGAACGGATTGGTACCGGCCAATCTTTGCAGCCATCTTAATCTATCTCCAATAATGAATTTATTGGACTTTATAACTAAGTGAGCAGTGAAGCCAATTCCCTATCTCAATACACCACACAATATATCACCCATACTGACAAACTATATGGGCTTTCCCATTCCTATCGTCTAGTAAAAGGCTGCCAAAGCTGGGACCATAGCCGCCTGCAACTCGAGGCCCTTCCATAGGCTGCTTGGTCGGTTTTGCTAAATACCGGTTTTGCTCATCCTTTCACCATTTTTCGAGAAAGGACAGTGCAACTTGCTTGGGAGTAGGGTTTCCCAGGACGAAACGTCCTCGCCGAGGTGTGGAAGAGTTTAATGTTTCAAGACTTTGCTTCGTAGAACAGGAGTAGCGGATGAACAGTATCGTAGATATAAGTAGTTTTAACATGACCTCCTTGGGAAATGAGCAAGAATAACAATTTCAAATACCCCTCGGCAATTATGCGGACGAAATCTCACCAGAAGCTCGATATAATATCCACCTGAGCAAGACTAGCCTTTCGAAAGTCTCCATGAATTCATTCACTGGTTAAGCCCTGAGGAAGCGAAGGACACTGAAGTGTTTTGAAATATCGAATAGGCCAGTACGGCAGCTCAAATTGTGAGCCAAAAATTGGGCTGCGGGTTCCCTCGGATAGAACCAGTTCACCCTAAAGTTGGGGATCAGGCAGAAATGAAGGTCATTGATGGCTGTGATTGAGAATGTAAGTGCTTCTCAGGGGGCTCATCTCTTGCAAATACCTTAAAACCCCAGATTTTGTTCTCGTTTGAGGCCCTATTTACGGAAATAGGGAATCAACATGGTAAATTATTCGGTACGTTCCCGGTTATCACTCCTGCTATTGTGCCTATTGTGCCTATTGAGCAGCCTCTAACAACCTAAGGCCCTGACTGTGTACACGAATTCTGTCTAACAACCCTCACAAACCTTAATAGCAAGCAAATTGCAACACCTCCACCTATCCCCCCCCCGATCAACCTCTCACCATCCACCCCGATCCCAACCCCTTTCGAAGACCTGCAGACCCTGGTCTCAGGCCTGATTTTGCACCAGGGAAAGGGGAGCAGGAAGAGATAGGGTTGAAGATGGAGAAAGAAGAAGTAAAGAAATTGCCGAAGTTGGATACAGAAATAAGGGTTCAATCCGCGGAAGTCAGTATGCTAAGAAAGCGGGAGGAGTGGAGTCAGTAGGGATGTAGCGGATAAGGAGAGGTGATTTAGACTATGGCAGGAGGGGTGATTTGTGTGGAGCCTACGTTCATTGTCTATTTTCTATTCTTGAATCTGTACCGTAGAGAAGTTTCAGTATTTGAAATCACAATCCTCCACTTCAAGATGATTTCAGTAATCCCCCAGAATTTCTCTCAATGACAGAACCGAGGCAGCTGGAAAAGCAATAAGTCCCATCATGAACTTCGAATATCATGACATTGCACATGTCTACCCATATGCATCCAGCATATGCTGAACTCTCCAAACACCAACTCGTCTATATAATGGGCCCCGACATTATGCCACGACGACTCACAACCAACCACCATCAACCGAACCGTGGCTACATAATTCGACTAATTGTCTATCCGCAAAGAATGCCCTAACTCACGAGTCCACCTATATCAATCCATTTACGCCAGGATGAAACCAAAACGCCAATCCGTAAGTATCAAAATCACTTCTTAAAGGAATGAAACGAAAGCTCCAGAGCCATGCAAGAGGAGGGTATGAGATAAAAAAAAAGGCTCCACAAAGAGTGTACACGATAGTAAAAGTAAAGAATCGATCAGAAACAGCAAACAGCTAATGTGCGAATAAACGAAGTGTAACTAGAAACTCTTTTTTCTATCCATCCCTGGTACATAACTATGCCGTTAAGGTTTTACTCAGATTCGATTTCTGAGGTGCCGCGTCTCGCCGTAGTGAGCGCAATTGGGCTTCGAGTTTCCTGCGTTCTTCTTGTTCATGCTATTTTACTTGTTAACAAGCTGCTTCTGTGATTGGCCGAACAATTGTTCAAGTAGAAAAATGGGAATAGATAGGGATTGACTTACTCGGAGGGCTTTCAAACCCTCTGCTGTTCGATCTCTCATCATCTTTCTAAAATCTTCTCTCAACATGCGAATACTTGTAGCTTCCATATTCGGCTGTCCAGCATTCGGCCCGCCGGGGGACCTGACACCCAGCCACTTGACTCGTTCGTCCGAGAGCTCCATCTCCAGAGCTTCCTTATCATCGCGGAGCTTATCGATGGAGGCCTCGAGAGTATCGCGATCCTTTTCGTTTTGAATGGAATCGCGGGTGAGCGCTTCATACTCGGATGCCATGGCAGCAAGCTCCTGTTTGAGGTTGCGTTCGGAATCCCGAGCTTGCGATTCGCTCTGAGAAGCCGCGTCTTGTGCTTTGCGGAGACTTTCAATTTCGGCGAGCAGGGCCGCGTTTTTGGCTCCGAGGTCTTCAAGCTCCTTCTTGAAAGTCGGGTTTGCTGCAGCTTCGGCGGCACGTTGAGCGCGCGTGCCATATGCGCCGTCTAGCTCTGCTTTGGCGAGTGTGACTTCGGTCGTGAGGCGCACAACTTCGCCTTCCAAATCTCGCAGCTCGGACTCTTTCTTGCTGAGGATGCTAGTGGCTTCGATGGCACGAGCTTCTGCTGCTTCCTTTGCTGATGTCGCCGTTTGTAGAGCCGCCATTGCTTCGTCGATCTTCGCTGCTGATTCGGCGAGTTCGGCCTCAATGGTAGCAGCCTCGACACGAGCGTCGTCTTGTGCTTCTTTGAGCTGCATCTCGAGGGTTGCACAGCGTTCTTGTACGTTTCGGAGAGCTTGAGGGTCAGATTGGGTCCGCTGGTCCTCAAGTTGTTGTAATTGATCGATGGCGCGTTCCAGTTCGCGTTCGGTGGACGCTTTCTCAGAACGTGCCTGCTCGACTTGCTGGCTGAGGCGAGCGAATTCTTCCTCTTTTTGAGCATCGGACCTACTGTTAAGCTCTCGTTGCTGTTTGATCTGGCGGAGTAGAATGCTTTGCTTGTCCTTAAGAGAAGAAGCGCGGCCATATAGCCACTGAACTTTCGCGGAGAATGCACCAAGAGAGAACTGCTCATTTGGATTGAAGTCCTCATCAGCGGAGAGTTCCTCGTCAGCGTGTGGGTCTGAAGCCAGCAACTCACGACGCTCTTGTTTCCGTTGGCGAGCTTCCTCTTCGCCTGCTTGAATAATCGACCAAAGACCAAGTAAAGTAGTTTCGTACTGGGTATCCTGGTTGTTGGAGCCCTTGGTGCGAAGTTCCTGAAGCTCTTCGGACATGGAATACTGGAGCTGCTCGAGACTGTAGTAGGAATCTTCCATGTAATTGAGCTGTTCTTGGGATCCATCACCAGAAATCGAGGGAGGGGGGAGGAACTTTTCACCACCTGATTTGTCGGATGCACTGAGCATGGCATACAACTGATTGTTGATTCCTTCAAGTCGACCCTCAACAGCGTTCAACGCTTGCTTAGAGTTGTTACGTAAGTTGTTCTGTTCGGCGCTTATATCACGCAGGCTTTTGTCCAAAAAGTCAAGCTGCTTGTTGATTGATGAGACATCTGATAGAACGGGGGCTCGTGGTGGTAGAGCATAGCTCTCATTGCGCTCAGGGTTCGCCTGAACAATGAGGTCTCTCATGCGGTCGTTCAGCTCTTCGAGACGCTGTTCCATCGAGCTCAGCGCTTGGCTTGGCTGATCTACCGAATCGGTACGAAGATGGGTACCGTTCTGAAGGGCGTTCATAAGATTGTCAAGGTTCTCTGGCGATCGATAAAGACTTCTTTCGTCGAAGGTGTCTTCTAGTTTGCCTCGTGTGCCGCGATTGTTCTCGTATGTATCGATGCTCGCTGGGCTGTCTGGTCTTTGGACTTCGCCGTTCCGGAGCTGTGAATTTTGATTCCGTTTGATGGGTCCATCGTGTGTGAATTGCAAGACTCCAGCAGTATGCATTAGCAGCTGCATCTCAACAGCTCGCATCCTGGCCTCGATCTCGATGTATTCCCGCGTCAACTCGTCGATCTTCTTGTTGGCGGCACTCAATTCATCCTCGGATTTGGCAAAGGTATCCTTGACGGCATTACTTCCACGGCTCCCAATGCCTTTCCTATGCCCCTTCTTTGACGTCAGGCGCGTGAGAGATTGCGCGGCATCGCGAATCTTTGTTTCTGACGCGAGCTTCTTCCTCACGGTGCCCAACCGAGCATCCAGCGCCTTGCGCTCCTGCTTCAGCGCCTCCACCTCTTCAACGGTCAGTATTTCAAAGTATTGACTATCCCCGATCGCCGTCTCCACCAACAAGTGCATGGCTACAGGGTCGGCGTTGAGCACCTCGGAGCTCCGTTTCCTGAACTCGCGCGGTGTCTCAGGCCCCAGGCCTTGTGCTGACCCTTTCCGCCCATCGAGAAATACGTCTGGCGGAGGAACGAAGGCACTACTGCCGTATCGCGGGGTGTTCTGGTACGACATTCCGCCGAAACCTGGAGAGATGCCGGAGGGGTAGTTGGAGGTCGGCGAAGGGAAGTCGTAGAGCGGTCGGGGGCTTAAGGCCTCCCCAGCATAGGGATACTGGGTGCGCAGGCCATTGCTCGTCATCGTGGGCCGTGTGCCTGACGCAGATGAGACACGGCGAGGTTGTACAGTGCGAGACCTGCGGCCGTGTGGAGGCGCAATGGTGAAGTGGATCTGGAATCCCAGCGCGAAGGAGGCGGGACGGAGGAGAGCCAAATATCACCGCGGGCGGCGCATGATTCTTTTGGCGTGCGAAACAGAAGGGCTGTCCTTTGATTAGCTAGGGGCGGTGGTGGAAAGGATATTTCGTTCTTTGACGACGCTATCTGTGGACTGTCAAGCTGTCAGGGGCCGATTGACAATCGACTTTCATTTGTCGTCCGTGCGGAGCTGAACCAGGAACCAGGACAGGGAATAGGAAGCGATCTCCAAGGATCTGCCCCGCCCTGCGCTGGAACCATCACCACCATCCAGCACGCTTTGTTGACGACAACTCTGACTCGCTGCTGTGCTTTTTCGCGTTGTTCCCGGCCTCGAAACTGTGTGTTTCCTTTTCGGTTTCGCAGTGGATCTAGACTGCGAGGCTTCTCCAGATTAGAGATCCTATCATCGTATTTGAATATTGAACATCACACAGCAGCCAAATTGTGACCTTCCATTGCTTTTCCGTTCCTTTTGTACGCCTACCAATCCTCCGAATATTTCATTAAAAAGAAATGGCGTCGACCCAGAGACCTGTTTTGGGGAAGGATCAGATCACCCAGTACTTTGAGCGCATCAAGCTCCCTGAGGAACATCGAAAATATCGTGTCGCAGGGATGAGGCCTGAAGAGACTCTTGAGTACCTAGCCTTGCTGCAAAAACACCATCTTGTGGAAGTTCCTTTCGAAAATCTTACACTGCACTACTCACACCACCGCCAAATATCCATCCACCCGGAGGAGCTGTTCAAGAAGATTGTTGAGGATGACAATGGCCGCGGAGGCTACTGCATGGAGAACAATGGTCTCTTCCACATATTGTTATACTCACTTGGCTTTAATATATATTCTGCTGGCGGTCGTGTTTACGAAGGAAGCGTGTGGTCTGGCTGGTAAGTGAGATAGTAGATATAGGCGGCCGTTTGCCGGAACGTATCCTTTGGTGGTTTCCGGCGAAGCCTCAGTGACACGGAAAATAACGCGTACCTAGGGCTCATATGGTGAACATTGTCACTATCGGAGAAAGTCGGTACCATGTCGACGTCGGATTTGGAGCCAATGGGCCGGTCCGGCCGCTGAAATTAGATCGCTCGGGCGCCATACACAAACATATGCAACCCGCAGCCATGCGCCTTCAGTGGCGCAACCTAAATGAAAACACCGATCAAAACCAACGATTATGGGTATACGAGCACCGCGTCGACGAAAAGAGTGACTTCGTACCGACATATTGCTTTACAGAGCTGGAATTCCTCCCTAGCGACTACGCATTGATGAATTACTTCACCAGCACAAATCAGAAGACGTTCTTCACCCAGACCATCGTGGGCGAGAAGAAGATATTAGGAGGTGAGAACAATGACGAACTTGTGGGAAGCTTAATTCTTGAGCAGAAGAATTTGAAATGGAGGATATACGGGAAGAAGGAACGTGAGATTCAGTTCGAGACCGAACAAGACAGGGTTAGTGCCTTGGAAGAGCATTTCGGGATTAAGCTAGGCCAGGTGGAAAGAGACAGTATTCGTGGCCTGACGTCTGAGATCAAGAGCTGAGTGGCCCGGATTTGCCTTTACATGCCTTTCAGACGGCCGCAGAGAGCTTACGGTGATCAACGTGCTACTGGCATCCCATTGCAACATTCAAGGTGAGGAGCGAGGGACCTAGGTGGAGTGTGAAAATTGAGGCGGAAAGCATATGACTTGATGAGTGGATTGGGTAGGACAACTCAGATTAGCTCCATGTCCAATCCCAAGCTTTTTGGGCCGTCTCCCAAATCAATCGGTTGTGCATGAGGAAACTAATAAAGAAACTAAGAAAATGTTTATCATTTGCTATCAGGTATGGAAGGTAATCTGCTTTGGCGTGCCATTGGCTTAGAAGAAGCGGCCCTCGACCTAAGCAGAGTCAGTATCTTCCTTACTACAGATGTGGAGATAATCCATACCCTCCACGGATTGTTCAACTCGAACCCAGGCGGCGCCTGTGGCTTGTCCGTCTGCCCTCTCGCGAAACCTGTTAATCTTCTATCGCGCTCCATCACTGCAGAGTGTTCAGTATGAGGGAGGAGCTCCTCGTGGGTGGTGTCTCACTTTGCTATTGCAAGGTTAGCGGCCGTCGTTGCCATCGAGGCGCCATCGCAACTTACTCTGTCCCATGCATCAAGTCCACGCCGTGCGGCCTTGCCTCCATTCTGCATGTGTTTGAGTTGTCCCACGGCGCCGGCACTGAATGCGAACATCTGCGGCCAACGGGTCAATTAGGTCCTCACACGCGTGATTCGGGGTATTCATACGCCCATCATAATGGCATAGGGCAGTAAAGATTCGATGGGAACTCCCATGGCTGCGAGAGTGCCCGAGACTGTTGTGCCTATACTGTGACTGTGGTGGTGTGTGGTGTCGATGCTCGGCTGGTGTTGCGGAGGGCTGCAGGTAAGGTCAGGTCGGTTACGGAGCTAAGCAGAGAGGTGCCAAGCCAAGAACGCACCCCATTGCGTTCAAGGGGCAGCGCTCTTCGACAGGCCAAATCTCATCCACCACGGGCTTTCCAGGGCTCGGAATTTTATCATCGGTGTCGCTCAGACTCATACTTTCACCAGAATCGCGAATATCCGGACCTCGGGTTCCCGTTCCGCCAAGGAAATCGCGCGCCGCCGCAATCCCAAGCCGACACCTCTCTACAGCAGCGAACAACGCGACTACAGCCTTCACACATCGATTTGGGACGCCCCAAGGCCCTCAAAAGGCCTGCTACGAACCGAAGGTCACGATAGCACACCTGCCGACGATTTCACGCATCACAACAACGCGCTCGAAGCCCTACGCAACGCGCCTCGAGCCCTCACTTCATGACAACACCAAAGGGGTGTCCGTCGATTGCACGACCGATGTAATACGACTCATACTCGATCCAGGTTGCTACACTGGCTTACCTTGTTTCCAAGCTGGCGACTGTCGTCACGTACGCCATGGCCGAGCCCGGCAGGCTCATGGGCCAGAACGCCAGCAATGAGGCCGAAGAGAGCGATATAGACGCGGAGGGTGAGCTTGACGACGTGGAATACTATCAGGTTGTCGGGGATACCGAACCGGAAGGACATACCACAGACGCTGAAGGCTCCGACGTGGACGCCGAAGGTTCCGATGTGGACGCTGAAGGCGAAGAGGTGGACGATGAAGATGAAGGCGAGCCAGTAGGGGCTGTCAAAATAGCCGGGAAAGAAGACCTCCTGTCCTCAGAGGATGAGGAGGATGATAATAACGATGGTGAAGCTGTTGTGGATTCCTCGTCAGATGCCAAGACCAGTGACAGCGAGGATTCTGATGCGAGTAGCGCTGAGTCTGAGGTTGAAAACGAATGGCAAGCAGAAAGTGATGGAGGCGAGGATCACGAAGCTGAGAGGTCAGATCCGAATGAGTGCATGTGAGTAGCCCCAGTGCATGAGTTTGGAAATTCGAATATACTGATATTGGAGCAGATTCTGTGGTGAAGATGAAGACAACGACCCTAGCCCAGAGTTTGAGGAATATCTCGCGTGTGCGGTGTGTGGGGACAATGGTGCGTGATTTACCGCCGCAATTGCTTAACTTCTACTTTTCCGGATAGCTGACATGATCTGTTCCTGCAGCACATCGGCAGTGCGCCCGAGACGCTAATACTCTTAGCCCCGACGATGGTATGTCTATTTACTCCTTTATACATCAAGCCTCCATAAAAGGAATTTCACTGACGTTTTGGCCAGACGCAAAGCGCTGGCGCTGCCCAGCTTGTATTCAGAATGGCCTGGGGGAAGAGAGACAAACCTCTGAATCTGTCACTCGTCGTAGGTTATCATCAGTCCCTAAGCTTGCAAGGGATCTCCTCCCCTCGCATCGGGGTGCAGATCCCGGCGGCCATTCTATGTTCAATGATCTAATCCTTCCTGATGACCCCATGGATGGTTCCCGATCGCTGCGGAAACGGAAAGCTTCCTCACATGATGATGAGGCACCTGTGCTGAGAACAACGAGGAAAAAGCGTAGGAGCTCTGAAGCCTCCAAATCGGACGCAGAAGCAGATGCTTCCCTTGCTGCATCTTCACCAGGGCTAAACAGAACCTCGCATGAAGTCGAATCCCAAGGCGGTGTGCACCACTCCGAGTCGGAGCATGAATCTTCGCGATTGCGCTCTGCACGTTCGCGGAGACCCAGGCCTAAGAGAACCGATAAACGGCCGCTGGTGTGGATAGAAGACTCTGCAGGCCTAAGCCTCGTGGTAGTCTTCCATTTGAATAACGAGAAAGTGCAGAAAATTGTTACTTCCAAGCCCAAAAAGCGGGAACGCGAGCGCGAGCGCCGACGTGAACGTGACCGTGAACGAAGGCGAGCGCAACAAAACAAAGCCGAAACTCCTGAAGTATCGCATTATCCCGCTATCCAAACAAATTACGCTACGCCCTTTTACGGGTTCGCGGACAAGGAGATGGATGAGAGCAAGAACAAACCCTACGGTGGAATCCTTTCGGAGGCTGATGCCGACACATCCAAGACCTATCCTACCCAAGCTGACAGAAAGCGTTTTGAAGATGCCCGGTTGAAAGCGGAAGATGATTGGAAGAAGAAACAGGCCGAACTCTACGGTGCCGAAGAACGCTCAAAGCCATATAAACAAGCGGGTCCACCCAGCAAGATCAAGTGCATTAACTTTGGTGGGTGGGAAATAGATACCTGGCACGCTGCGCCATATCCAGAGGAGTACAGCAAAAACAAGGTCCTCTATATTTGCGAGTTCTGCCTCAAGTACATGAATTCTGACTATGTCGCATGGCGGCACAAGGTAAGAGCGACCGCCACATGCACAGCAACAACACTGACATAACCCCAGCTCAAATGCCCTGCTAAGCACCCTCCGGGTGACGAGATATATCGTGATGGCAAGTATTCCTTCTTTGAAGTAGACGGGCGCAAGAACCCTGTATACTGCCAAAACCTTTGTCTTTTGGCGAAGCTGTTCCTCGGATCTAAGACTCTATACTACGACGTGGAGCCTTTCTTATTCTACGTTATGACGGAGAACGACAATTACGGTTGCCATTTCGTGGGCTACTTCTCAAAAGAGAAGCGGCCAAGCTCTCTCAATAACGTTTCCTGCATCCTCGTCCTTCCTATTCACATGCGCAAAGGATATGGACAGTACTTGATCGAATTCTCCTACCTCCTTACGCGCGTCGAGAAGAAGACTGGAAGCCCTGAGAAGCCCCTCAGTGATATGGGCCTAGTCAGCTATCGAAAATACTGGCGACTTGTCTTGTGTGAGGAGCTTGTGAACCAGAAATCCCCAACCAGCATCTCGGCAATATCTGAAAGGACAGGAATGACACCAGACGACATCGTGTCTGCGCTTGAAGGTCTCCGTGCTCTTGTCCGGGATCCAGTAACTAAAAGTTATGCCCTGCGGCTTGACTACAATTACTTCAGGCAATACATTGAGAAGTGTAACTCTGGTAATCATCCAAAGATCAATCCAGACTGTTTGGTATGGACACCCTACGTCATGGGTAGAATGGGTCAATATGAAGACGGTCCTGCACTACACACTGTGCAACCGCGTGAGGTTGAAGAAGAGGACAAGCCAGTACCAGAAGAGGGCGTGCAGATGGAAATGGCTGGGAAGCAGAACGGGACTTCAAACAACGGCTCAATCGTTGCAGGAGAGGAGGCTGAACCAGGAACTCCCGTGCTTCCTGCAGATGAGTCTACTAATGGAGGATCGCCTGCACCAGGAACTCCGCTTGCAAACGGCTCGACACCAGCATTATCTATATCCCAACCAACAAGGCCATTCCCGACCATTCCGCCCACACGATACGAAATCTTTCCGCCGATACCTGGACAGCCAACGGCGAAACGTCGACCTGGTCGTCCATTTGGCTCACGTCGTCGAACCAGTACTCCCCAACGCAATCGAAATTTACCCCTTTCTATTGCCACAGCTCCTGTTTCCAAGATGCAGCTCTCCCCAAGCAAAAACGGGAGTGGAAAAGCTTCACCTCTAGCTAACGGCGCTCTCACCCCTACGCCTGGTGGAAGCATGAGTGTCCGGCGCACTAGAAGTAAGCTTGGCGAGACCGTGGTGAACGGCTTGGGAGATGAGACACCCGAAGGAGGAGAGATTAAGACTGTGAATGGCAGACGTAGTGGGACGAGAAGCTCGAATGGAAGCCCTAATAATGCGAGAAATGCGAAAAGCAAAGGCAAATTCGTGGTCGCGGACGACGAGGATCAGGACATGGATGTAGAGGAGGACACGGATGGAGAGATGGACATTGACGCCGAGGGAGAGGAAGACACTGTCGATGTTTCTATGATAAATGCTTGAGTCTCTGAGACTCTCCTTGGTTTTGTAAGTGCTCAGGGGCTTGCCACTTCAAATTCAGGTTGGCCTGTCCCCATGTAATATCACGGTCTGCACTACCTTTTTGGGGTAAGCCTCATTGATAATAGTTCGGCGAGGGCAGGTACATTAACGCTATACCTTGTTTAACGCTATACCTTGTTTAACGCTATACCTTGTAGTTCTAGGGTGGGCTTTGCATTCTGAGATACCTTTGGTTTGGAATTCCAATCAACATTGTTAAGCACTGAGTTAGGAGATATCATAGGCACGTGACTCGGCCCGGACGTCGGGGAATGCTTGCTCCGATGCGATGTCGATCACTCCGCCTTCACGATTTCGCCTGTGCTCTCCGCTCCGCAACCCCCAACACTTCCATCTTTACCCGGCGGTCAACATCGCACTGCAGGACTAATTGATGTACCCCACACTCAGCATGCCCGTTATTTTCTCCGTTTGCCCAGTTATTCTCCTGGGAAATGGCTTTCATCTACGTCAACTCAACCCTTCTTGGCACTTTCCAGGGCAATGTATACCTGGACCGCCCACGCTAACCTAGCCTTTTAACCGGAAGATCTGGAAAGTGTCGAACATCTAGAAAGAATTGACTCGGCAGTATTCTCATGGCCATTCAGGGTCAGGAGGTATCCAAGCGTAAGGAATCGTGCAATCTATAAGCGTGGTGGGGTGCTCACGCTCACCGTTGGATGTTAGTTCCCCAGAATCATGTTTCTCCTACCCATGAACATCCTGGCCCTACCACTCCTTCTCTTACCAGGTCTTGGAGCTGCCCAATTTCTTACAGCGTTCTACAACCCAATCTTGCCCGGATTCCATCCCGATCCGAGTTGCATCTTCGTCCGGGAACACAATGAAACGTTCTACTGCGCCTCTTCAAGCTTCAATGTTTTCCCTGGTATACCCATTCATGCAAGCCAGGACTTGACTACTTGGAGATTAGTTGGTATGTTGGTTCTGTAGCCCCCAAAGCCACGTGCCAATGGTAGCGTGGCGTCCCTCAATCTATCCATGGATATCAGTTGCAGGACCCAAACTTTACGCCAGCATCCTTTCCTCTATCGGAAATATTGAGGGTAATTCTGCCTGTTATGTGCAGATGTCTCATTGTCCCCGCGATGTGTTTCATCCCTTTGTCATTGTTGTTTGGGTTACTTGAGCAACTAGAGAAGCCCCAGCCACACCCCTTTTTGACTTCCCATCGTCCGTGGGAAGCCTAAAGAATCAAAACAACCTTGTTCTTACGCCATGCAGGCAATGTCTTGAATCGGCCAGGCCAGCTTCCAGACTTGGCAATATCGAATGGGTCTACGAGCGGCATTTGGGCACCGGCACTTCGACAACACAATGGGACGTTCTATCTGGTGACCACATTAGTTCATGATAAACGAGCCCCAGAGGATCCTTCACGATGGGACAATGTATGCAGCCCGTCCGAAGTCGGAGGCACATCAGTGACATATGCTTGCTTAGATCATCTTTGAAACAAACGACATTTGGAACAACGATGCGTGGTCCGACGCAGTTCATTTCAACTTTACGGGATATGATACTTCGCCTTTTTGGGATGATGAAGGGAACTCGTACATCGTTGGATCACATGCGTACCGCGTGCAGTAAGCTGCCCCTTTCCTCCACCTAGTAAGCTCCTGTGCTAGTCACAAGGCTGATGTTAGCAGACCTGGTATCCACCTCAACAAGGTTGATCTGAAGACAGGAAAGTATGACGGTGAGTGGACAAATATATGGAACGGCACTGGTGGCCTGGTAAGCCCTCAAAGCATTAGTCTCAATAGCAACTCGAAAATTCCCCTAACTCTTGAGAAATAGGCACCTGAAGGCCCTCACATTTACAAGAAGGATGGGTACTACTATTTAATGATAGCAGAAGGCAAGCCTAATTCCATGATATCCATAGCAGCCGGAATATTGACATTCTCCCTACGGACATACTTCTGTGTATATGCATTTTCCAGCCGTGATACTAATTCGCAGTAGGAGGTACTGGCCTTGGACATATGGAAACCATTGCTCGCTCAAAGAATCTGTACGGCCCATATGATCCTAATCCCGCAAATCCAATCTTGACGAACGCGAACACCACAAATTACTGTGAGTGTACTGCATATACCAACGCAGTTCGCCTCTGACTCATTTCCCTCTAGTTCAAACTGTTGGTCACGCCGACATCTTCCAAGATCATCGCGGGCAATGGTATTTATCACCCCGCAGAAACTGTTTTGATTTTACTCACAGTACTAGGTGGGCCGTCGCATTGGCTACACGCTCCGGACCAGATTATGTTACTTACCCAATGGGAAGAGAGACAGTCTTAACGAACGTAACTTGGGAGAACGGATCATGGCCGTTGGTGAATCAGGTCAGAGGGCCGATGAGAGGCTGGCAGCTCCCTCGGATTATACAGAATCTTGCAGGCAATGGGTAAGCTAAATAAATCTATGTAATAAAGCCTTCTAACATAGACCACAGCCCCTACGTAAACGAGGGTGATGATAACTTGCAATTTGCCCCTGGATCCAAGATGCCACCGCACTTCATCCATTGGCGACCTCCAGTTGGAGATTCGTACGCTATCTCACCGGAAGGCCATCCAAATACTCTAAGGCTAAAGCCTTCGAAGTTGAATTTAACGGCACTGGATGGAAATGCAGGAGGCCCAGGGGGGCAAACCTTTATAGGGAGAAGACAGGTCGATACGCTCTTTACTTACACTGTCAGACTCGATTACATGCCGAAAATGGTTGAAGAAGAAGCTGGTGTGACAGTGTTCTTAACGCAAGTACGTATACTGAATCTTCTCCGCGACCGAGAATCAACTAAAAGCAACTCTAGAACCACCATGCTCGGTTCGGCATGACTCTTCTTTCCTCCACCAACTCTAGTACTCCCATCCCTCACTTCCGCTTCCATGCGATATCCTACATCCCTGTCCCTGATTCCTTCACAACCCCAGTCCCTTCAAACTGGGTCGGGCAACCGCTAACCCTCGAAATCAAAACCGTAAACACTACCCATTACTCCTTTTCGGCGGGACCTGCCAACAACAGCACTTTGCTTCAGCGCTTCGCCTATGTCCCCGGCTCCATCTTAAGCTGGGGTTTCACAGGAACTCTGGTCGGCGTCTATGCTACTAGTAACGGCGGAAACGGTACCGCGGAAGCGTACGTCAGTAACTGGAACTACCTGGGTTGGGGACAGGTACGGGATAACTGGGATGGGCCCCTCAAACAGGGCTTGGAGCAAGGAGAGATTAACTAGCAGCTTCTGTATCTCAACGTGCAAAAATCTGCGACGAGGGTATGGTGTGTGCGTATGGAGGGTGCATGAATGATGTATCATTTATGTATGTAACTAACTAGTTATGTATATATGTATGCATGTTGTTGAAACAGAGGCACAACATCAGTAGTCAACTCCATCGCGAGACTCTTGCCCCTGACACGCGGGTGTATAAATAGACATGTGGTGGTACATAGGTTCGCCGCAATTGCTGCATCTGATCGAAACTGCATTATGTGATACGATGCATGCATGCCGGGTGGGAGGGCATCGGCACCACAAGATGATTGTTTGGTACGACATCTATTGTAAAAGCTATAGTTATAGCTGTGAGCTAGGCTTGGTATATGTCGGAATGGCATCAGCGGGTGAGGTAGAAGACAGACAGTGGTGATGGAGAGGAGAGGGCGAGTGGAGAGTGGAATTGGCTTACTATATTGAGGTTAGTGAATATGTGCCGTTATCGATAAGCAACGTCAGTCCAATCCCCCACTATTGATTGTTGGGGTTTGGGATGACTTGTCTAAGTGCGTAATGTGTGCATTTGAGAGATAGATTTTGTTTGTTACACCTAGTTTCTCGTTCACGATAATTTGTTTAGAAGATCAGTTTCAAGTACTTTCCAGCAGCAAACTTCAACCCACTCAATTGACCTTAATTCCATCTAGCATCGGTATGCTCAACTTTGCCTGTCCCTCCTCTCTCCCCATTATCATATTCCTCCTCCCTGCTCTCTTCGTCTCTTACATCTTGTACAAATATCTGAAGAATCCTCTCCGTCATGTCCCAGCAGCTCATCCCTTAGCTCCTTTCACTTCTCTCTGGATCCTCTACATTCGATTGTATGCCATTGAGAACCGAACATTGAAAGCCGCGCATGAAAGGCTCGGCCCTGTTATCTGTCTTTCACCCGAAGAAATCAGTGTGAATTGTGTAAAGGGAGGAATTCGGGATGTATATGCAGGCGGGATGGAGAAGGGCGAAGAGGGGTTCAATTGGTATAGTTTCTTTTCGAACTATGGGTGAGTTAGCACGATATCTTATACGCATTTATTTCCAAAGAAAAATAATTTGAATGCGCTAACCGTACCGGAAGAGTGCCAAACATGTTCTCGACAGGAGGAAACAAACAACATTCAGCTCGCAAGCGTATGCTCAGCAACGTCTACAGTAAATCCGTGGTAACGTCCTCTTCAGCGCTGCAGGCTCAGTCCTCAGCTATCCTCTACAACCGCTTCCTACCTTTCCTATCTTCGATATTATCCCAGGCTAATCCAGGTGTCTTGAATATCTATGCGCTTTTAAGCGCTACTACCATGGACATTGTAACATCCTACATCTTTGGACTAGCGTCTGGCTCGAATTTGATCGATAATCCAGACAAGTTAGATAGGTTCCTAGACCTCTACAACTCGCGGCGATCGCACAACTTCTGGCCCCAAGAACTACCGAGGTTCACCAAGGCATTGCAGAAATGGGTTGGGTATAGGCTGGTACCTAAGTGGGTAGAGGAAGCCAATGCAGAGATTGAGGGGTGGACGAAAGGAATGTGTGACAATGCCATAAAAGTATTGCGACAGTCAGGAGTGAAGACAAAGGATATCCCAATAGTGTATCAACGACTCTCCACCGCACTTTCTAGGGAGGCGAAGAATTCGGACAACGAAAAGGCCGACTTGACATTGTCGATTGCATCCGAGGTCCTGGATCATCTTGCTGCAGGTTTCGATACGTCAGGTATCACACTTACTTACCTTATTCACGAGTTGTCACTCCGACCCGATGCTCAGTCTAGGCTCCGAAGTGAACTCCTCACACTATCTCCACCCTTGAGTCCCTCTTCAGCACCCACACTTCCGGACCCTAAAACAGTTGACACCCTGCCCCTCCTGCATGCTGTGATATGGGAAACCCTGCGTCTTCACCCAGCTATTCCTGGTCCTCAACCCCGTGTCACTCCTCTCTCGGGTTGCCATCTCGGTCCCGAAGAATGTAGCTTTTACATCCCTGGGGGTGTTCGGGTCAGTGCGAGCGCAGGCCTCCTTCACATGAATGAGGACGTTTACCCCGAAGCAACCCAGTGGCGACCAGAGCGATGGCTCGAGGACGTTAGTGAAGAGAAAAGGAAGGACATGGAGTCAAGATGGTTCTGGGCTTTCGGAAGGTTAGTTGCATAACCCTGAAATTCGATTATCCTAGGGAAGAAACTTACTTTTGGAAACAGTGGCGGAAGAATGTGTGTTGGAAGCCATTTGGCGATTTACCGTAAGCTACAGGCTTTCCACTACCTTTTCAGGGAAGAAGAACAACAAACTCTGTTCTGGCTCGACACGAATCATTGTGGTTCTTGTTGGAGATCAGGCTCTCTAAGGACTCACCCACTAACATCTCGTTGCAGAAATGAAGTATATCGTCGCAGCCCTCTATTCAAACTTCACCACGACCATCGTTGACGACACAGATATCGAGCAATCAGATGCCTATACGGCTCCTCCTAAGAGCGACAAACTCATGATCAAACTCTCGCATGTGAAATCCGGATAATCAAGCTCACCCGAAGATGCCCCTCGGTGGTCTCCCACTGAAGCGGCAGGGCCTGTGGCACGTGAATGGGCTGTATTCGGGTGGCCTATCTCCTTGGTTAAGATAATCCAGGGAGAAAAGCGTTTGGGAAGGGAGTGGTCCGGTGTCGGCTGCAGATGCGGATAGCCACCATGGTATCACGAGCGAGTCTGCGATCCGAGGCATTCTTGGGCCTGAACCATGGTAGCAGATAGCCTTAGTAGTGGGCGCATGACGTTGGAATCGCGGCTTGGGATGAAAGAAAAATCAAAACAACTCTGCCGCCAGTGAGAATTGCTGTCCATCTAACGTGTGTGATTGGTGACGTGATTTTGCAGCCAAGGAAATGGAACACTGGAACGTGATGGAGTGCAGTGGAGGATACAGAGGAGAGGAAGTTGCTGTGAGGAGACTGGACCTCGAGAGGCAACTGGGACGGGAAAGTTTACGCGTGAACGAGGGCTCCACCATCAAGTGCATGCCTCGCCGGGAGGAATAACCCTTGAGAAGCAACTGGCACGAGGGAAATCTCACTTACCGAGTATGCATCGAATGCCACACCATCAAAGCCTGGCCCTCGAAAGTAATGAACGGAGCTAGACCAGGGAAGAGGCCTTCGAAAACCATGCCGAAAATGCAGTCTCCGCTATCACACTGGCCTCTACGGCTGAATCCATCACCACTATGTGTGGTCTGGAGAGATAACTCTTTCACATTAGAGCAGCAGCAGACTCAAGTCCACCTTCCGTCCCGATCCTGCCCATCCCAACCCCAGCACCATGTTCTTCCCAACCCCCATCTATCCGTCTCGCCAACTCACTCGCTCCTCATAGCCCCTCGCTCATGCAAGAGTATTGGTTGTGGTGTAGCCAGCCACTGCGCATCTGCAGCTCCCTCAGGCTCACGGCGGGCTTGGCCCACATAAACCCGTCCGGGACCACGCACGCCGCACGACATGAGCGAGTCCCATTTGACCCACCATGCCGTGACCACCAATTCTGGTTTCTGACGCAGACGGGCTTCGTAGATGGCCAGAGAATAGGATGCGAGAACGGAATGTTTAGAACTCGTTCTCTACTCCCACTCTACGCCGTTGTTGCAGTCACTGTCCCAATACTTTTGTCTCGCTGGCAACGCCTTGGCTGTGGGGTATTCTCGTCTGATATTTGCAGAATGGCCTCCCGTTTGCAGCAACTTTGCGGCCGGTCAGACTGCGGCCAATTCGAGTACAGGGCCCACTTTGCCTTCAATCTGGACTTAAAGCAGGCGAAAGTAAGCAGCAGAGGCTTTTTTGCCCGGTGACGGGGCCAGTCGGTGTCGGGAATCAGGGTGCAGAAGGGAGGGCAGCCTATGAGAAAGCATTGGCTGTTCTTTGAGGAGTGCCATATTGTTCTGGGGCCCTCATTAGCTCACTGCTATGGGGCCAATCGTGAGATGCTGTTCATTGTCAACATGGAAGGGGAGTGGTTTCGGTATCAAAGAAGTATGATAATGAATATTTTGGGCGCGGAATGAAGCCCCGCGCTCCTGGGTAGGCAGTGCGAGATGTCGAAAGTGTGAAAGATGTTGTGATACCTGAAGACAAGATCTATAGACGGGCCTCCGAACATTCGTCTGTTTGCCTGTTCGGCAAAATCTCCGAAACGCTGGTGATTATAGGAAACGTTATGGGTAGTGACCCAGTCAGCGTAGCAGACAGGCCCACATTCAGCGCTGCAAACTCCAGGGCCAGGGTGAAGGGGGATCCTCTTCAATCAACGTGATGCTTCAAAGTTTGGTCCGCTATTCTCGCCCACAAAAGCGAGCCACTCCAACACATTCATCCAGAGTTGAACCACAACGGCTGAAAAGCTTGTGGAAGAGGCTCAAGCGTGTTCGATGCAATATCGCGCAGATCACCAGGCTGAGCCAGGGCTCCCCGGAGTGACCCGTCAGATCGCAGGAGTGAAGAGCCAGAGATTGCTCTGGGTGATTGCAGAAGTAGTTCTCCCCACGAGGCTTGTAGATGGAAAGTTGATAGAAGTCAGTGTATCATAACGTGGAGGTACTTCTTCAGTACACCCGCTAAATTGCTGATCAAGCATGCACAGCCGACCGCTCACTTAATTGATTGCGGTCAATCAAACGCGCGATATTGAGCAGCGAATATGTTTCGTCAGCCAAGGTGGCAGCTAGCATTCAGACGTGTGCCATCATGCAACAATTGTGTGGCGTTACTCGGGAGGTGGGTATGACGGCCAAAGAGGGAAGGCGTGGGCTCATCATGCTGCCTTCCTGTTTCGGACAGATTGAAAGCAGGGTGTATGCCGTTTCGGGACCCATCGCTGTAGGATCGTCTCCGGTGTTTTTGAGCACTTTTGAGCGTACTGTGGAGAGTAGTCGCAGTAGAAAGACGCATATCGCAGAGGAATTGTCTGCAGACGGTCTGTTACCTCTGCCTGCGCGCGTTACTGCTCATGACAGCAATCTATCTCAAGAAGCCTCCTTGGAAGAGGAAAAGAGGCGCAGAAACATTTGACGAAAGCTGAGAGGTTCATTAAGCCATATATAAAGGCGTGCTGGAGCGTCAATTGCGCCGTGCAGAGCTGCGAAATGGCGGCGTATGCAGTCATATCTGCAGGTACAGCGGCTGGGGCCTGAGGAATATTTGTCGGGGTGGAGTGCGAGAGAATGGACGCTGGAACGGCGAGCACACGAGGATCAAGGAACATCATTCCGAGGAGGCATTGTGCCGCAGAAGAGGCTGTAGCAGTCAGATTGCCGCGATGCGACGAGAAACGACGAGAGCCTTAGGGTTGCTTTGATAACCCGGCGCGAGCAGGCTGCTATGAACAGGGCCGGGTATACTGGCGCTGTCAGAGGGATGGCAGCCAGGCAATCAGTAGTCTATCGAGCCTGCGGCGGGCACCTGTTTGAACTCCGCCGGAGACCAAGTGCTGTCACTCGATAAGTGTTTCGTGGCTAAACGGCGAGCGAATTACGATGCGGGTGTTGGTGTGACATCGTAGAATTCTTCATATTATGCGAGCTTTTTGGCCCCAGAGCGCATCGCGCCCGGACCCTCGTCACGGAGTCCTGGCGGGCAATCTTTCCCAGCCACCGCAAGATTTGACGGCGATCTCATCCCCACTCTCGAACTGCACCCAAACGACATCATCCATCACTGTTCTCCGTTTTCGGAATTGCATTCTACCGTCGATTGACCCATGCAGCTTCCGCCTGTCCTTCCAGCCTCAGGACACCGCTCAACACCACACTACCCATCGCCATGCTATCGGCCGGGTGCCTCGGTGCTGTTGGACAGTCCTAACGATAATTCAGGGTCAAAATAGCACGCCGTACCGGGCACTCGCCGTCAGCGTCTGGAGCTGTATCTGCCGTACAACGTGAGTATGCACTGGTGATGCAGCCAGCACTTTTTAGCTCCCAACGTTCTGTCAGTTTTCGATGCATCGAGTCTTGAGGTTCCCCCCGACAACGCTCTCGGGCGTTGCTGGACGGGTTGCGTGCCAGCCGCCATGTGCGTAGACGTGTCCGGTACCACAGTGGCCGGTGGCAAGCAGTGGGAATGGACGAGATGGGGAAGCCTCAGCTACTCCAATGTTTTGTGCCATCGAGGCTACGGATCAGAGGAACATGTAACAATGAGGCGAGCGGAGAAGAGGTTCCTGAGATATTGGGCGCCAACGGAGAGTTATATACAGCCTCTCAAGTAAAGTAGTTTCAATGGCTAAATTGTGAGTGCTGTTTGGGTGTTCTCAAGCCTGTGGCTCTGCCTTTCTGCACCTGTTGCATGCGACCCGGGTCCCCCGTTCGATGCCCTGGACGGCGCCCATACCACCCCCTCGAACCTGGGATTGCCGTTGAATCGACGCACGACTGAAGGGCCCTTTGCACCCATGCTCCTGCCGCCGCCGATTCCGCCTGTGCAGCAGTGGACGCTGCCCTCATGCTGCATGGGTCCCCCCTCGCTGTGGTAGAATGTGACAGGCGGTTTATTGTTCCATTCTACTCCAAAACGGGCCTTGGCTGGTGAAGGCCTTCTCCGCCGACTCGACTGCTTGCCATATAGAAACCTCATCTTCGCTTTGTTTCGGACCCTTCTGGCGTTTCATCCCCTTCCCTGCCTCCCCCGCCGCGCCGTGCATCGCTTTCCACCCCCAGATGTGCGTCAGCGGGCTAGTCGAGCTTCCTTACTTGATCGCGTTCCCGGCATTGCGCTGAGCACATACCGTTCTGTCGTTTCCCACCACATCCCAGCGTGACACCACGACCACGTCTGCCCTAGAAGAACAAGAAGAGAGTAAACGAAGGAGAATCAGTTAGCGGACGGAAGAGAGGCTGGGAAAAAAAAAGAAATTGCCAGGAAAATCGTGAGGGAGAGAGTAAGGTCTCGCGGCACTACTAGAGAAAGTTGGATAGTAGGCAGCAACCCTACTGGCTGGACTAGATATTCCTTTCCTGCAACCCACGACGCCGCTCGTTCGCTTTAGGGACCCACTTCCGGTAGCAGAGACGTCCTAGGCGAAGATCACGAAACCTTGAAGCCGGCCGTGGCGTCGAACTAGATCCGCGCCCGTTGAGCATCCCACTAGACGCGAGAGTAGCGAATTGGCGTGAAGGCTGGCAGTAGCTCGCGTTAGGCCACAAGACGACTGCGGAGAGTCCGGCGTGCTGTAGCGGTGCTCCAGAAACCCATCCGGCAAGCCCAGTAACCTTAATATCCATTCCACCTCAAGAGGACCGGCTACTGTCGCCTCTGATATCTCTTAACCACGCCATCCCCTCCTTCTGCATCCTGCCTCTCACCTTATATTTCTCTTGACTTTCTAGTCACTGCCCCAGCGCGCGGCACCCTTCCCGGTCTCCTGGACCCCTCTGGTTGGCTGGCCCCGCTACGCTCTCCTCACTGTTGAGCTACCCTCATCGTTGAGAAGCCCGTGACCATCCCCTTTGTTCATCAGCCGAGGCCACTACCACGGTTCGGCACAGAACTGCGGACACAGATAGGAGAGTGTGCTATGCCCCCAGAGTGAGAGGGAGAGTGAAATCAAGATCGGGCTCAGGCGAACCCGCGTTCTAGCCGCACGCATCAGGACGAGAGAGGACCGTCCGTTGCCGGAGAGGATTGCGCCATCTCCCGCCTGACAGCCAGGGTTGGGCGTGGAGACGACTCCGGCTCAGCGAGCGGGTGTTAATTTGGTGTCCCGCCGGGCAACGAGCGCACAAGGCACCGGCAACTCCAACATCTGCGTGGGGAGTCGACATCACCGAACGACTGCTTTGACCCCGACAGAGCACTGCAGTGGGACGGTGTGTGAGGCTCTCATCTGGCCTCTTCGCAGAGAGGCATTGTCGACGGCTGAAGTGTGGTGGGTCTCTTTCATCACCTTCACCACATCACCGCGCGCATCCTTGGGTCACAGCGCTCATGGGACTATATTCAACGCCTGCACTTTCTCCATTCCACCACTCCTTCCTCGACGCCCCCACAAGTTTGGAATTGAGCCTCCCCGGATAGGTGCGCCGTTGACGGGATCTTTGGTCCGGCCTATTGCCGTACGCTCATAGCACAATTCACTCCTGCTCAATTTGGAGCACCACGCTCGCTACCACGCTTGGAAAACTCGCGCCCAGCCCAATGCTTTTGCCCGCTATACAGGCCACGATTCCCCCCCATCCCGCGTTGCTTGCACTTTGGCCACCCACTGGAGTCCCAAATACCCCCTCCTCATAGTCTTCCCTCTGCCCGTCTTCGAGGCCCTTTCCCGCTGCATCTGGCCCCATCTTTGCATCATCTGTGAGCGGGCGGCGCCACAAAAGTAACCGTTCTTCGAGTTGTGGAAGTAGCTCCTCTCTCGCTTTGCACCTCCAAGGAAACCTCTAGTCTCTGGTCTGGTGTCCCGCCCTTTCTTCAACTCCTCTACCTCGTCAAGACGCGCTGAGAGCGCCACGGGAGCCTCACCGATACATCCTCAAGAAGGGGTCAACACCAAGGGGTCAACACCACATTTCTAGACACGCGTCGAGTACCGTGGGCGCGCTCCTACTCTTCCCCATGTACCACTTCACTGCTCCCCAGATCTACCAACCCCCGACGGTTTCATCGGGAACCCACTTGCGAAGGTACGACAGGAGCTCACCACGGCCTCAGAGGTCTCTCTCCATCGCCGTAAGGCCAACTACTGATCATGAACCCTCCAGTCACGACGTCACCCTCACGCTGCGCCAGCAACCAAAGGAGGCCCTAGTCACCACCGAAGGCAAGGAGAAAGGTAAGCCTGTGAAACCCAGGTGTCTAAAGATATAACATCGCTCACAAGTACCAACAATAGCACGCAAACCCGTTGACCCGCCCCCCATTATCCAGCTTACCGTCAAGCCGCAAGCCGATCCAGCCCAGTAAGTCAGTGCCTGTTATTCTCTCAACCGAGACTGATGCATCCCAGGCATTTCCTCCAGAGTCCCTATCTGTTTATGTGCACAAGCCTATACAAGGTTGACAAGGACGAGGCGTGGGATGGCAATGCGGGCAAGTCATTGGCCGGGTCTCTAGTCTCTTCCTTACACAGGCTGAAAGACGTCGACAACAAGGGTTCGCATCCCTTGCCATGGTTACATATCGTTACACTGACATATATTATGCCAAGATGGTGGATTCTTTGTGTTCGGAGACATCTCCGTCAAAGTACAAGGAACATTTCGACTGAACTTCAGTCTTTTTGACTTGCGCAAGTAGGTTGACACATGGAGCCTCATGTAGCTTGTCACTAACGACATAAAGGGATTCCCATGATGTTATGTATCTTGGGTCGATAACTTCCGAGCCTTTCCGAGGTAAGTAAAAATTACGCATGTATATGTGGACTGCTAACTTCCGAACAGTTCTCCTTCCGAAGGATTTCAAGGGAATGGATGAGTCGACATACCTATCCCGAGCTTTCTCCGATCAAGGAGTGCGTTTGCGTCTACGGAAAGAGCCACGAGCCATGATGTAAGTATGCCCAGACTAACCCTAAGCCTAATTGCTAATGATATGAAGGGGTAACAAACGGCCATACCCGTATGGCGTTGATTCCGCCACCCCGAATACTCCTATTCGGCCAAGCTTGCAGGAGTATTCACCCTACGGGGACGATTCACAATCCCCCGTGAAACGATTCCGTGCAGATACCGAAGACAGGAAAGAACAGTATCCAGATCACTCTGGAGCTGCATATCCGTCTAGCTACCCTTCGTCTCAATACCCAGTCAGGCAATCAAGTTTAACTGGCCTTCACAGCATGGCTGGATACCCAACTTTCGGGTCACTCACCACGGGAACCAGCTCGCCGTATCAATTCCGCACTAGCATCGGGGCTGCATCCAGCTACCTTAGCGATCCTCTCCTTCAAACGTCTGGTCCGAGTACAATGACCTCACATCAACGGTATCCCGAAATGCAGCAGCCACAGTACTCTCAGATGTTTTCATCGTATGCTCAACAGCGCGTTCCAACTACCTCAGCCATGTCTTTCCCGGATGATACAACAGGGCTGGGAAGATATCAGACGGCTTCTACTGTGGGTATGGGTGATGAGCACCGCCCTAGCACAGCTACAGGAGTGGCACCCGCGATAGCAATGGCTCAACAGACACCGCAATCGCAGCACTCATCCCACCCATCTCATGACTCCATAGGTTCTTCAAGAGGTGCGTCGTTCACCCATTCCCCTGAAATGATCCGAACCACTGGTTTCCCGGACCGTCTTCAGCTGGGGTCACAGCTGCCAACGCCGCATCGACAGCTCGGTCGCTATGACGATCAAGCGCAAATGACATCTGGTCTATATTCAAATCAAAGGAACAACTTCCAGGCCCCTCCTACTGAGTCAAGTTTGACAAGTCTTACAGATACTGGAGTAGTTCAGCATACACTCCACTACAACCCGGGCTTGAGTCAATCCACTGAGGAACATGGTGCTGACAGTCATTAAAGGCTGGAAATGGGCCGATCCTCGGCTGGGGACTCTTCCCGACACCCCGATGCAAATGTCTCGAACTTATTCGGAGATTCACCTCTTTTCGTCGCGTTCGCCTCAATAGAACGCAAATTCTCTCTTTTCAAGATTCATAACACGGCGTTTCCATGGAACCCAAAAAACGGGAATTGTTCATATCGGTGTTCTAAGTCCTCGATCGGAACGTCCTTGCATATGGGTGATCAGTGTACTATACATGTCTGGGTAGCACACATGTGGGTGGCTGGCGTGTCTGGCTTATTTCTTTTCTGCTGTGTATTGCTGTCCAACGTTTATCTCGATTTCTAGTCAGTGGCATGGTAGGCATGGGGTTAACTGGCGCTTACGGCATGGAAGCGGGGGCATTGGTCGGCGATTGGAATGGCTACCTTTCAAGGTTCGTGTGGAGTAGACACTCCACCTTTACGAAAAGGGTGAGGTATGATCTTTCATAGTAATCGACAATATCTGTTGTTCATACGTGTGCTTTGAATATTGGTCACTGTTCCCGATTTGGAAAACATTGCGATCATCGCGGACTGGCGCTGTTCAATTGAGATTACACGAATGCAGCTAGCGGCATTGTGGTAGCATGTCTTGTTTGCCACTGCTTTCCAATTGAGATCATTAGGTGGTTGATCGCATGCCCATGTCAGACACCATCAGCACATATACACATGTGCAGCGACCACCGTCCTAGTCTCAAGCAACGGAGGATGTAGGTAGGAGAAGATAAGGACTAAAGTGCAAAAGTACGCATGGCCCGCACATATCAGCTCTCATAACCGATCAACTGTAGCTCTCTTGATCTAGGAACCGACCTCCGACAAAATAATGCCCGAAAACACAAGCTTCCAGCCTCGTCACATGCAAGAAGGGCCGCAGACGCAGAAGGTCGTTGTGAGCCGTGGATTGCATCTCAACTTAAACTTTTGGCGCGGCCACGCCACATCTTCTGTTTCAGGCATAGCGATGGCGTGGATGAACACTCGCGATTGGGATCGCGAATAATGACGTGCAGGTAACTGCAGCAGGATTCAATCATGTGATTTAGCTCCGTTTCCAAGCTTGGCGGGCTGTGAAAGGTTAATTGGTTGCAGGGGATGAAACATCGTGGTGAGGCTGGACCACTTCTTGAACTCTCGATTCTATTGCCTATAATAAAGGGAATTTAAGAAACACTCCAAAAATGTCAATCCACCACCCCCCCAAAGCCCCACGGCAAATCTCAGTCTTTCAAAGGTCAAACCGCCGACCTCAATTGCCGCGTCACTTATCCACCAACACCACCAACAACCGCCTTCTCTAGCCATGTCCCACAACCCCTCACATCTTGATGAGCAAACTCAAGTACCGAACAGCACCCCTCAAATCCTTTAAAGGTACCAATTTGAAGTGTATGCAGTCTTCACCGCCACATGCATATTTGCAAGGGATTGCGGCCCGGTTTAGCCTACGCATGCCGGTCCCTTAATCTGAGTATGCGAGCGGGAATGGGGGCACAACGTGGTTTGAGGGTTGTTGTGCTGGGGTATATGGGTCGGAAAGCTTAATTGCCAGAAGGAGAATTGTTGGGGGGAGGGAGAATTATCAGATTGTGTGGTTTTTTTCGGAGAAATAATTTTGCTGGAGGTCGTCGCTTGGATGTATTGTCCGTAGCTTTTTTGTGGCTTGCAGAGTATGGTGTGAGTCGGAGAATAAATTATTCTTGTGTCTCTACTGAGGGTGGAGTGTGTTTTGCAAGCTATACTACAAAATTTAAGTCTATCTAATAAATTTTCTGAAAATGTGCTGTAACTAAACTAACTGTAGGTGGCATGTGATCGATAGAAGTTATCATGTTCTTCTGAGACACAGTGGCCGAGGAAGAGCTCATGTGGATTACGGAATCTAAAGGAGCAAGTTACTGTATGGAAAGTGCTGAGGAAATCTCATATGACACAGAAACCACTTGCATTGCCCTCCTTCTCTCGGCAGTAACGGTACTTCAGCTTGAATTCACCACTGTCACCCTCCTCGGTTCCAATCTATACCAGAGGTATCGAGATCTAGCCTCCGATTCAGATGTTTATCTTGAGCGCTACCCCATTTGCCGAGTCTGGGTTTGGTGATGAACCCGACTCACCACCACTCAATATCTTCGCTGTCCAGGATGCTCGTTAGGTCCTGTGTGGACCCGAGAATATATTGATCGCCCATGCCTGGATATATGACTTAAAGGCGGCAGTGTTGAAAGGATAGTTGGGGTACAAGATAGAAAGACTTCTCTAAAACGGGCTGTATGTGAAAGAGATCGATGTTTGGAGGCAAAATGAGCCGGCTTCCTTGTCATATGAGCACATTAACTTCGGCAACACTATATTTCAGATCTTGGACCATGTGCAGCGATTCCCCAAAGCAGTTGGTGGTAATGGTGATGGTGCTGGTGCTGGTGCTGGGTTTATATTCTGCTCCCCGGCACTTATTGAAAGTAGTCTCCCCATTATCTCGAACCAGAATCTGGTATATCGTTCCGTATCTCCAGGATTCACGCAGGGAAGAGGTGAATAGCCATTATAGATGATGACCAGTGCTAAACGATGAGCCTTATATATCCGAAAGACCAGGGCAGTGGTTATCAAAACGGAGAATAGGTGTTTAAAAAAGTAGTCAAGGAGTGTAGACCTAATAGTAGCCTCAACCAAACATTTCTCTCGCGCTCTTGTGTTCCAATGATTTTTGAATGTCTTGCGAATGAGAGTAAGAACTAAAGGAGGGATCCAGATCAGTCAAGGGATTGCACGAGATGGTACAGCTAAATAACTTGATCATTAAAGCTAAACATCTAAAGTCCTAAGCGAGCTGTTCATCAGGTATAGAGGGAGTCCTCTCCACGTCCGCTAGCCTTTCCTGCTGTACAATTTGGTGCCTTTCTTGTAAGGCTTCAGCCTCGTCGGTGCTTATGAGCGATGTGATCGGGTAATGACCCCAGTGAAACCCAGTGTGTCCAACCGTTAGTTACGGAGCCTTTTGGAGGCTGTATAGTACAGTTACGGAAGAGGAGGCTGTTACTAACTAACTGTACGGAGGAGATGACGTCAGTGTACGGTTAGGATACAGTAACTGAAGTATATTGAAGTATTATGAAGTAATTGCGCTGAAGCTAAAGACTATACCCAATTAGGAAGTTGTGATACCCCTTGTGAGATCTACTGTTGTTGATCTTACTGTTTTAATGTACTCTGTAAGCTTAGTCAGCTTACTAGTAACAGCGTTGTTACGTAACTAATTCTTCTGCAGTTGAAGAGCCTCTATTGTCGACCGCGTTGTTGATTGGGATAGGAATTGGGACATTATAATGGGCAAAAGAATAACGTAGATGGCATAGTTGCTGAATTTGTTAGAAGATTGCTAACAAAACAGGCAATAACGGCATTCTCCGCATTAATCTCCGAACACGAGCCCCCTGGCCCTCAGCAACCTGCCTTCAACCGCCCAAAACCACCAAAAATCCTATATAACTACCGTAAACGGTTAGTACAGCAGCCTCATGTATAGTACAGTATACTGAGTAGATGCCCTGTACGTACGTACGTGACCAAAATCAGTGTACTGCAGTACTGTACTATTAGGTGTACTAACGGTTGGACACACTGGTGAAACCTGTTAATATTCACTGAGCTGAGATTGTCTTCTCTGGACGTATGGGGGGATTGAGTGGTAAAGAGTGCTTTTGTGGGACCATGAAAAGCATTCGCTGACCTGAGAATGTTTCTTGTTCTTCTTCATTTTCTGGTTTGAAGTTCTAGCAATTGACTAACGCTTCGTAAGTTTGGGATCTCCATTGTGCAGTCGCAGACTGATCTTGTGCCTGCTTCTTGTTTGTTCAATGCAGGTATTGCTGTTCCCTGTGAACTGCTCTGGGTACGGCCGTTCACGCTAGGAAGGAACTGTCTCCTGCTTTTCACTATAGTCATCGCCTACACACGAATAAGCACTCAAGTGCTCTAGGAATTTGGGACCAAATGATACTCATAAACTAAGGCACAGCAACGTCTAGCGCAATGAAAATCAACCGCACACAGAGATATTTGACGAGGAGACATACCTTCCTCTAAATACATATGTGTCCAGGTCGAAACATTGCGAACCACGCTTTAATTTAATCTATGGTTTAGCACTGGAAGTCTGGTATAATATCTGAAGCAAACAGTTGATCTGGGCTCCTCTTGGAATAAGTTATTTGTGATGGGGCCACTCGCATATGGGTTTCCAAGGATGCTACGGGCACTTCAATGATGCAGTAAATGCCACTATCATGTAATGGTTAGTTTGAGAATATAAATGCCCTCGAAACACTAAGATGAAGTTTCCATACTTAACTAGTATCTTGCACCTCCTGTTGTCTTTCACGCAGGCCTAAATTCTGGGAAACTACCCAAGGTTGAAAGTGGTTAGGTAGCCAAGTGATGCTCAACGAACTGGCAGGCCCGGTACCTCAACTAACTAACCGATGGTACATCTCAGAGAACCCATCGTTCAACATTTGCTGCTACGTATTCATATTACGCATTTATGTTAGCTGCCCGACGTGATCCGAATGAAGCCAGCCGTACCCAAGGCTACTTTGCGGTTGCTGGTTGAATACCTCATGTATCACTGCTGAACATGAGACATCAACAAAATTGATGGGTTTCCAGCGACACACGGAAGCTTGATAATAACAGAAAACGTGGCTTTCCTGAGAAGCTTTGGTTTGTTATGGTACTTTATTCTCTGGTGTGCCAAATGACCTTTCGTCCGTTCCAGGTTCAAATATCTCCATATTGTGTCTGATGCTTCACATCTTAATATCCTGTGGTATGTGACCTAGATTTCCGAGGTTTTCACTCCTTGTAATAACTAATCTGGAAGACCGTCTAGCCACAAGTAAGCAACTACTCAGCCGTTGATCGAGATGGAAACTACTCACCGTTTTAAATAGGACTACACTGTGGGACTACAAAAGATAACCAGGTATTACATCCACTACGTTCTCGTCATTCGACTGAAAGAATTTTCAAGGAAGTTTCTCAACTTGTAAAGCCGGATAATGGCCCTGTGAATATCGACATCGAATGTCTTACTAACATTAAGGCGCATACAGTACCTAGACGCGCTATATGGAAAGGAGCTTTATAGAACTCTTTCTATGACTTTGGTAATCACCGTACCTAAAGTATGATCTGACGTCGCCCTGGAGTTCACGCTGCACTGTCTGGATGACCAGCCTCAACGAAGTTGATCTTCCTCAGTTGGAACGGACTATTGTTACAATAGAATCAGAAGCAGCAGCACTATATACTCTTAATTCTATGATAGATTGAACATTGCAGACTTCCAAGCCAACGAATTTTGCCGAACGTCACTTAAACTAAAATTAGGGAGGGTGTTGCAAGGTTTTACCTTTCTGTGAATAGCAGCTTCCCCAGCAGCAAATAATATTATCTCTGCCTACCTCCCCATTTCAACACGATTTAGGACACTGAGCAGGATATGTGTGATGGTGAACTCTATATCAGACTAGGATTATCCATGAACATTAGAAGCTGAGTCAGTGCTAATATAAAACGGTTGCTAGATATCTTTCTCTCCAACGAACATGTGATCTTATTGCAGATCTAGTACAAGAAATAAGATGGAGTGTGAGGTCCACTTAAAGGTACGTACCCCTCCATCACCGAAGACCACATCAACTGACAAGTTGTCCGGCAGCTGCAGCCAAGGGTCTCAAAGAGAATGGATGCATACCCATACATCAACGCAAGGGGTCGTAGGGGTTCTGGAACCGACTTCCACGCTCTCTTCTGGGCTAAAAAGCGTCACGAGCATGAACCCTATGTGTGGAAATAGTCTGGCACCGAATATGCCAAGAAACTGGCCGACTGACTGACCAAAAAGGGGAAAGACCTATGCACGTCATCTCCAGCCCATTGAAGTATTAAGCTCTTCTGGATGATCCGGCTTTGTGAGGCAGAGGTAGCACATGTCGACCTCCTTGCTTTCAATTAGAGTATAGGTCCTTAGCAATCTACACATAAGGTAGCTACCGCCATTCTGCCTACAAGACATCTTTAATCCATACCAGTCTGTATACAAAGAGGCTAAGCTAGAAGTCAATGTGGATCTCTGTCCAAGGGAACCTTCTAAGCTCGTAGCAGATATCTGTTTGGGAGACTTTATCATGAAGCTGAGGTTATGATTAAGATATCTTTACAGTCATCCCTAGATTTCACGTGCACTATTGGCGGCACTCCTTACGGGTCTGTAACCGAACTTTATCATGAGTATGATGGCCTACTCGCACGCATCGTCGCGACCGTTCTCTCTTCGTCCTGACATTCGGATGGCGAAACATTTTGAAGCTGTGAACGTGGAAAGGACTGCTGATATTCGTTCGGACATACTTCTCTTAAGCTATGATTCCACTCATTCTTTACCCGCCTTGTGGCCGTTGATGTCTAGGAACAAAGGTTTTACCGAATGAACGCTGGAGTTGTGGTCGTTTTCTTGACAGTTGAGGGAGTACCTGTACTACGCTTACCCCCAACCCAATTGGTTTCTCATTAGTTTAGAACGTTTATTATTATAAACGTTATGTCTCTTGCCACTTCTTTGCAAGCCAAGCATCATATTCTCTGCCATCATCACGACCTTTCTTTCATTTACTATTATCCAAATTACAGCTCCTACCTCTATGGATGGGTATCAGGCTCAGCCACTATACACGATTTCATATCTCAACTCACCAACGACTAAATGATTTCAAAGTAGCAACATGCGTGCACTGCACGGAAAAAGTAATCCGCGAAGTTTGACAATAAACGATGAAGATTCTCTAAACTTTCCCAAGCTGTAGAGCACATACATCCACTGAAGCTTAAGAATGACAGAGCTATTGTCCTAGGTAAGGGCCCAACCAAGTTTTCGGAGACCCTAGGCTGCATTTGGCTTCTCTGGTAGAGAGATTGAATATTCGGTGCTTATTCTAACGACTGCTCTCTTTTTCTAGGAATCTGATAGGGTGCCTAAGAACTTTTGATATGAGGTATGGTTTAGTAGGTGTATCCAACCACTGAAGGAGAAAACCTATGTTTAATTCGAGCAGGCACAAAGCTCGAGACGACTTGCTTGCCAAGAAATGATGGAAGACATTTCGTGCGGGCGTACATGTATCTTGTTGAGCGAAAGAATTGGAACTCCCCGAAGAGCTTTGAACAGTAGTCTAAAGCCTGCAGAGGATGAGCCTACTGGGAGGGATGAATGCACCATCGCCCATCGATAGGTACAAACTTCTCGACAGTATGAATCGTCCAGTGAAGGAATAACACCAACCATAGCTAGCACTTCTCGGGCAGAGACGCTAACAAGATCATGTCTAACACGTTGAAGCTTGTATATAAGCCACTAAAACCCCTATATATTGTAATCGGCGAGCTAGCCCTTCACGGGAAGACGTCAGTTTCTTGAACCTAAGATTCAAGAATCTGGGCAGACATTGACAGCGGGGTTGAAAAGTCTTTAAAAATTGTAGCATAACGCTACAACACAAAAGAACGTTTAAGGAAGTTGGAAAAGTAACATTATGGTTTGGTATCATTAATCAAGTTTCTTTCCGGGGTCTGGAAAAACAGGCACCCGAGACCAGTGTCACGTCAATCTAAGTGAGGAAGATATGGGAAGCCGAAAGGGAAGAAAAAGACAGAGGAGAGAATCCATAGCCCCAGAACCCAACCACGCCCTCTACCCACTCGCCGCCATCTCCCTGGTGTCCTCTTTAACCCCTAACGCATACAGCTGCTTCGGATACCCATCAATATCGCAACTCGCAAATCTCCACCACCCCTGATGCCACCACGCACTCACCCTCACCATCAAAAACCTTATCACTTTCGGCATTGGTGGCCACTCCTTCCAATACCCATCCTCATACGTTCTATCAAAGTTCAAAAATAAGAACGGAACGCAATCCGCATATCCAGCCTTCGTCACCGTGTTTTTGCCCCAGGCGGCGAAGATAGGAGCGGCGGCGGGTGCGTCTCCAGAAGAGGCGAGAGCAGCGATGACAGAGATTTCAGAGTGGAAGTGGGTGTTAAGGGGTTCTTCGATTTCCTTGAGGATGGACATAATGGTGGAGGGGTTCAGGTCTGCAGGAGAGGAGAGGCTAGTTAGGTAGGTGTTGAATTTTGCGAGGGGTGGGAGTAAGGCTTCTGTTTGTTGGTGAAGATTGAGTTAGCTGCGATCTCCATTCTCATTGAGGTGCAATCGGAAGGTGGTAAAGAATACTGACCGTGTTCGTCGTGGGTCTGTCCCCATATCTCCTTGTCGTCCTTGCCAAGTACTTCCACAACTTTTGGGAAGAGATTCTCTTCCTCATCATCGTGATGGGACTTGACGAACTTGAACCAGGCCAAGCAGTATCCGACAAAGTCTGGATAGTCCTCTGGCTTAACATGTGGAGCTTGGAGGTATATTGTGTTGTAGCCTCGAAGGACGGCATTGTGGAGCAGAGCCATATGCGATGCGCCTTTCGTCCAAGTATCGTTCTATTGAAGTTTTCCGTTAGCTATGGGTTTGATGGGTAAAAGTTTGGAATGGAGCTTCGGAAGCCTCACTAACCTTCCCGGTCTCCACCATCGGCGTCTTCACCATCTTCAACGGGCCATCTGCCCATGGCTTCCCAGGTGTTGTGGCTGTCTGTTCAGCCATTAGTGGACTTTGTAAGTATTCTCTTAGGAAAACAGCGATGGCCACAGCAAGAAGCGGGAAAATATATGAGAGCTTCAAACCAAGCATTGTAGCATGAGCGGGGTTTGAGGCTGTTGGGTGCTTCAAATCCCGATGGTGGGCAAGCATGCGGCATGCCATTGCCTCGCTACAATTGGATCGTACCCCGGCCTCAAACAAGGGTGGCGTGATGCTTCAGCCTCATCAAGATAAGAGGCTTTTGGAATCGCCACTACAGTATTGCAATCTGCAGCATCGAACATGATGCAATGATCTGATTGTGATGGACGAGTTGCAGCTCAGAGTAATGTTAGGGAGCTGAACACTTCCATTGTGCCAAGCCGCTAAGGAACTCTTAGACGTTCCGTCCTTAATTCTTCACGTAGGATCCTGGTGGGCGGGATCAGAATAAATGAACAATTGAACTATGTGGTATCGCTGAATGTGCTCCCGCGTAATTAGTTCCCCTAAAACGCCAGGATTGCTCAAAACTAAGAAAACCCAACCATCACTTGTCCTTCTTCGACATTTGTAGAGCATCCTCCAGCTCCTCACTTCCCGGAGTTGTTGTCCCGCTCCCCATCTCCCATCCGTCTCCGGTACTGCTTCGCCTTCTACCCCTCTCTCTCATTGTGTCTCGAATCTTCTTGCTGACTGCGTCTAAACTATCCTTTCCATCCAGAGTGCTGAAGGCTTTGAGTGAGAAACCACCAAGCGAACCGTGCCTACTGCGACTTTTCTTGGGAGTCGAAGGCCGCGTGGAAAAGAAATCCGTATTAGAGAGGTCTCTGAAAGACTCGTTTCGGGGTAAGTGTTTCGATGGCGAGTCTTCGCTTGTTGGCGATGTAGGAAATGAGTATGTTTCGCTTCTGGGTTGGCCTCCAGGGCTTTGCGGCGGAGAGTGCGAGAAAGGGTCGGTGATAATCCGCTTTGAGTCAAAGTCTGGGAACATCTCTGGCCCAAGGGTATTGATAATGGTATTGACGCGTTCTGTCAGAATCTCGCGCCTCTTCTGAAGTGCAATGAGCTCATTGTTCGACCAGGGTGAAAGCATCTTTACTAGTGGCCACAGAGACTTCGCAATGTCCATGCCAACTTCGCCAAATCGAAGGGCGGCATAGGTAATTGTTGGAAAGACGATGACTTGAGCCAGAACGAAAAGCTTGAGAGGGACCCACTCGGGGATATAACCCTGAACTCGATTTCGGTGGCACCAGTAGGTGAAGATAACAATCCAGAAGGTGTAGGTTATGGGCGCAATGGCGATAGCAACCAGGAGCTTCCATGTAGCCATGACATCTCTTGCTTGAATTTTGACACTGGATGCTGCAAGGGCCTCCTTCGATTTCTTGATGGAAATGACCTTGCCACAGAAGAAAACGAAGGCGAATAGAGTGAATCCGGGGATAACAAAGATGGAGAGCACCATTAACTTAAGCGTCCTGTAGACCAGGAGCCACATGATCATAAAGATATTCATCTTCGCATACTGGACCTGGTGATCTCGGAGGTTAAGTGCGAGAAGGCGCTTGTTGTAGGCCTGGACAGATTTCTTCAGGTCGACAATGCGCGGATCGTCTTTATATTTCGCATAACCCTGGACCAGGCGGCGATTAAGCTCAACTACCATAGGTAGAGGGAGCTTCTTACCCTTTGGATTGTACAACCGACGTACAGCCTGAATCAACTAACACGCGGAACGTTAGATCAAGAAATGCAGAGTCTAAGCCACTTTTACTTACCATGAGGGTATCGTAATCTGGTGTTTGTACTGTGACTGAAACAAGAGCCTGTCGAACCATCTCCAACATTGTTCCGATAGCCTCGCGCCTTCCTCCATGGCTGTACTTCTCCACGAGCTCCATTGGGACATCAACGGGAGTACCGAACTCGATAACAGCCCTTGAGCGGAATTTGTGGGCATGGAAGTAGTTCATGCCAACAGGGATGATTTGCAAGTTGCAATCGGGCTTGGACTCCATCGTCCCCAGCGCCATGATTGCAACTCCAGCTGGGTATAATCAGTAAGAGTCAGGTTTAGTAGTAGCGCACACTGTACCTTTCAGGGGTAAAAGTTCGGTGCGGTCATGACTACCTCCTTCAGGAAAGATGCCAACGCTACCCCCTTGGTGGAGGACTTCGTGAACAGCATCATAGACCTCTCTTTGGTTCATCTTCGGAGCGACTTTGAAATTGATGCCTTCAAATCCGGGAGCAGGTCCTTTCCTTGCCTCAGCTCCATCGACAAATTGGCCTTCCTCGGTCATATCGTCTCGGCCGGTAAGCTGCTGCATGGGAATACCACCTTTGAATGGGCGCTTTAGTCTTAGTTCCTCCGGGCCTAAGATTTCCTGGATCTCTGCGTTCGAGGCGAGATTGTTCACAGGTGGGAGACTAAGGGTACCACCTGCTTGAAAATCTTTACTTTCAAAATCGGTCCCAATACCTCTGATTAGGCAAGGGTCATTGACGGGATCTGGAAGGTATATCTTCCCAACGGCGGATTTCGTTGAATCCATCGCTCTACCAACAGGAACCGAGCCGGCAAGCCCAGCCATTGCGCCAATGAACCTCCTCTTCATGGACTTTTCGGCGATTAGGAAATGGATTCGACGATCGGACTCCTTCTTCACGACTCGCATCAGGATCAGAGGGTCGACAAACTGTTGTCGGCGTTAGCCAAGCGAGCCAGCCAAGGGGGCCTCTGCCCCATACCTGATTTGCGTGCGGAGCGCACACAAACAGCACCGGACCATGCTTGGGCACCTTCCACGAGCTCCTTGGATGCACCTCCCGGAAGAACAGATCAACCAGGATAGAAAAGACCCACAAGAAGGCATCGTAGACATAGTTGTTCATGTACCCGATCTTCTTCTTCGCCATCATGTGCTCGTGTGACCCGTCAGGGCGCTATGACTCGAGAAGGTCTTGCGTGGTGTATTATTGTACTCGATGCGATGGAGAGTTCGGAGGTTCGCCGTTACGCTTGTTTGCATGGGATGGGGCTCGGGCGTCGCTAAGTGAATGTTCTGGAAGTTTGCAGCCTGGGCAATGTACGTCAGAGGCCACGCCTTCACACGAGCGGGTCGGAGAGCATACACATACTCGTGATAGATATGTATGAGGGGGAATGAAGCGGTGCGCGGCGGTCCGTCAACGGGTCAGGGCATGATATGAATAATTCCTTCTCTGCAACGAAGGGACACCTTCCCAAACAGAACCCAGAAGCCGAGATCCGGCGACGGAAGGAAAGTGCTGAGGATGACGACAGGCTGGAGAAGCGAATTTTGAGGCGCTACAGCTGTTGTTGAGCTCGGGTATGTGGAGATGCAGAAGGGCCGACGGATGGGACTTAATTTAGGGAACCAGCGGGTGAAGCAATTGTGACAGCTAGGGGCGGGCTGGGGTGGCGTTAGGCGGGGTAGAGTACGGGAACATCGCTCGTCTCTTGCATGTCAAAGGCATGGCTACAAGGCTTGGACAAATACACAGAAACTGGTTTCAGAGCATGGGGGATCCGATAAGACCTCCGGAGTGAGGTACTTCTGCATTCCAATATCGTACTTTCTCAGATCACGTCCACTATACTTCGCACGCTCTAGCAGTCATTCGTCTGGTGGTTACATATTTAATAAAAAAAAACACAGGGAGATGGAGGTACTAGTATTGATATTGAGTTATGTATTAAACTATTGGAGAGTTCTATACTCCATATTTGGACGCTATCTTATGTATATCTAAGCTTGGGACTCTGGCAGAAATGCCAAGCCATGATTACCGCCCTTGATGCAATCTGAACTGAGAAGGTAAAAGATATTTACATCTCGAAAGAGTCCTAGGAGGACATGGAAGTGGGTGAATAAAGTTAAATGCCAGTGGCACTTATCGAGGCCTATGAAATTACCATATCCTTGCCAGGACCGCAACAGCGACTGCGCCAAATATAGAAAAGGATGTGGCCTTGGTATTGGTAGCGGCGCCAGTGAAGAGAGGAGTGCCCGGCGAGGTTGCGTTAACGGGTGGGCTGACAGGAACCGTTCCACTGGGGTTTGTTGGGACAGCCGGTGGTGGAGCGATTGGTGCCGACGTAGGAGGGACATAGATGGTAACAGTCGAACTCGGGGTGCATGTACATACACCAGTCCCGCCAGACTGCGGGGCGAAAACTCCGCCCGGAACCACAGAAGTGAAACTTGGGGCCGCACCCTGCGTCGAGGATGGTACTGGATTGTTTGCAGAGCTGCCGCTTGACGTTGCTGGCTTCGCATTTGAAGCGCCACTGGATGCAAACGTCGCTGTTGCGGTTGACGGAGCGGCGGTCAAGGAAGAGCCACTGGCAGCAGCACCACTAGAGGAGGCGCTGGCGATAGAGGAGGTGGCCTTTGCGGAAGAGCTAGCACTCGGGGAAGCAGAAGACTTTTGGTCACCCTTGGTGTCTGGAAGACGACCCTGCTTGATCATCAAAAGCGCTTGAGTTACCTCGAGTGCTGATAACTGCTGGCCCACTCCAGCAGTTCCGTCCCAGCCTCCGGTGTACCACTTGCTTCCGCAGGACACGCCATCTTTACCCCCTGAACATGACTTGGCAGCTGCGACAGCAGACTTTCGAAGGTAGTTCGTTATCTTGTCTTTGGTGAAGGGGGCTAGGAGCGCTGTCTTTGCCATGAAGCGGGCGAGGTAAGCTTTGAAGCTCTGTTGGTCCACGTTACACTTTCGGCCAGTCTGACCAGTCTCGCACGCCTGCTCAAACATAATGTCGGTTGCATTGTCGAATGGTTTGAAGAAAGTGGCAGTGTGATCAAGGAGGCCAGCCGTATGCTTTTGCCAGGTCTCGGAGCCTTTCGTATAGGCATACATAGCCGCTGCGCCATGGAGATAGATACCGACGTTGTAGCTCCACTCTGTGTGATCTGCGTCGGAGCAACCCTTTTTGTCGTCTGTTCCGTCGAAAACCGCATATTGATCATTAATCAAGCCAACAGCCTTGGTCCAGTCCCAAGTCTTCACTGCCCAGTCAGAGTATGTCTTATTTCCAGTGTATGAAGCTAAGCGAGCAGCAAGCGCAAAGAAGGCTCCGTTGGAAATTGAGTTCTTGTAATCGTAGCCATAGCTGTTCTCTGGGTAGATCTGCCACTTTAGGCCACCTCCACAAGATGTTGTATCCCACCGAGAAGCGATGTTGTCGAAGCAGTTCTTCACAACTTCGAGATATGTCGCCGGGGCTGCATTGGGCTCAGGGAATGAGTACTCGAGTGCGGACATGATACCGAGGGCCCAGAAGGCTTGATCATCGTTTCCCTAAAGAGAGTGTCAGCTCATCTGCTACTTCCCGTTGCATTTTCCAAAAAGCGCACCTCTTGGTCCTTTCGCCACGGAAGGAGGATGTCGTTGTTTGGGCCATAGTTTGACACCAGCGCCTGGGTCAAAGTATTGACATAGGATTTGTCCCCGGTAAATGAGGTGTATTCAATAAGCCCTCCCCAAGCGGCACCCGCTTCCCACCAGTAGTGCGGCTTTGGAAATATACCAACATCGTTTTCGGGGGTACCGGGGGCGCCGTTCTTATAGTAAGACATCAAGCCAGCAGCGTACTTCGCAGTCACGCTCCGAATTGAAGCTGCCAAATTCTTAGCACTCTATTTCTAGATATCTAGGAGATCAACCGACCTTCATCGTCAGGGTTGAACTCAATACCGCTCACGAAAGACGTAAAGGGAAGGAGCACAGCTCCGTACGAAAGGAAGAACTTCATGGCGAATGGAAACGAAAATGGAAAAGTAGAGGGCAAAGAGTGTGGGTGCTGTAAAGCAAACGAACGGAGTGTGGAAGAAGACCCATGATGCGGACCGGGAGCATGATAAATAAGAGTCGGGCGGTGTTTGCTCTCACGGCGAGGCACATGCGGCGGGCCCTGAGCAGTGAATGCCACTGAATGGCGATGATGCTGGCCCTAGAGCGGGGCCTTGCTCGCGGCTCCCTGTAAACGGACCAAATTTGGTTAGCGGGCGTTTCGAAACACAGGAACAGGAAAGTCAAGAGCCAACCACGCCGAGCCGCCATGTTTCAGGGCACGATCAATTTATTGTCATCATCACCAATGTCCGTCGCGGACTCCTGAAATCTTCAAGCATCAGCCTCACTACCGTAGTGCCAATCACCAGGCACAGACGTGTTCGTGCATTAGAATAAGCTGCCGGCGACAGCTAGCCCAGGAGAAACCCCCATAGGTAAATCCTCGCTGGCAGTCCCTCCTCGCTGGCAGTTCCTTTGCTTCTTTGGAAGCCTACTTAACAAGCAGGGTTACGATACCCATTCAGTTCGTTTCTCTCCCCATGTAGTGGCATCATTGTGTTACCACAGCGGAGCTCTAGGCGAGCGTCGGATATCCGTTCATAGGCCAGAGCTTGTCGCTCCTGTAAAGGATGCTTTGATCGAATTGGGAGTTTGACGCCCATGCCCGCAAATCTGTTCACCATGGTGTTGCAAATGATCATAAACTGCGCCTCAATCCTTCAGCATGGTCAGCCTCACGGACCGAAGTCCGCTGTCGTGGAATGAAAGGACCCCGAATTTTTGGACCCATCATACCACGTCTAAGGCAGAAGAGGCAGCCATCCCGAAGAGTTTCCCCACGACATGTCAACAACAGTCCTCTTACGAAAAGTTGCTAGAGGAAAAAGACCTTGCCGGTTTGCCTGATGCTGCGTGACCGTGAGAAAATCCTATTGTGGGAATATTGGGTTTCCAAGTGGATTATCGTGTTCGGAGAACCTAAAAGATTAACATGTTGAAGGATGGTGCCTCCTCTCGTTCGGAACCCAAAACATCGCTTAGGACAGTCCTCCATCGCAAAAACTCTATGTGCATTTCCAGAGACTAAGCCTGAAGACCAAATTCATGCACGCTTCCTATTGAATTAGCTGCTCCGCAGTCCTAGAACGTACCCATCAAAGAAGGTGTCTAAACCAAGTTCCAACCCCAGAAACACCCACTCATGTCTCGCTGTAGACGAATGCAAAACACCCAGAGGCCTAGCATCACTCTATGTTGGGCTACCTAGCCTCTTTTCCTTCTTGATCCGTTCTGCTTCTGCCATCGCTGCTAACTCTTCCTTCGATGCGTTGTAAGTTGCGGACACTTGGTTGAACGGATTGTCAGGGTGTTTTTCAAACTCTTTCCGGATCTGGTCGATCTTCTGCTGCCTTCTGAGTCCCTTTTCGTCCTTCATCTCTTCAAGCCTCTGCTCTTCGTATTGCGCGTAAGCAGCCTTAAACCTCCTCTCGGGGTGCCGATCAATCTTTTCTTTACTGTCGCCTGTGAGGCTGAGCGCGTCAAGCGCATTATCAATGCCAGTGGCATTTAGGGTTGTGGGTGTATTGAATGAGGTCAGGGCAGAGTCGATGCCGCGATTCTTCTTCTGGGCGGTCTTTGCGCCAGACCCCTTTGCCTTGGTTGGGAGAGAGGCTTCTTCTTCGCGAAGCAGAGCCTCCTTCTCCGCCTTCTTTCGGGCTGCTTCCGCTGCTTTAGCAGCCGCTGCTTCGCTGTTTGGGCCGGTAAGCTTATATCATGCAGGAATTTGGTGGTGGTGTTGAGAAGGTGAAAATTGGTCATGCATACGCCTTAGCAGTAGACTTTGAACCCTTCTGCCACTCCTTGGCCTCCTCCTCCTCAGCTTGCTTGACCTTTGCTGCCTGTTTCTGAGCAGCGGCATCGGCCTTGCGGGCCTGACCGGCAGCTTTCTTGGACATTTCGCCTCCGCCTTTCCTAGGCGCCATGTTGCTTGTTGTGAATGACCTGGGCTTCGGGAAGTACTGTGAAGAGCGGGAGGAGAGAGTAACGTTATACTTCTGACTCAAAGGAAGATCAGGAATATAAACATTGAAGGAACCATGGTGGGAAATCTTAAGGTGGGGCAGGCACAGCCACAGTGGCTCAACCACGTGCGCCGCCACATTTTCTAGTGACTAATCCTCTCGGGCCTAGTGAAAGCCCCGAATAGCCAACCACTCAACCCTTCCTCCTTCCTCCGCGTCGAACCCCCCTGCCTTTAACTCAGCCCACGATACCTCACTCAGAAGCAACCTCGCATATGTACAGTCTTCAGTGGCGCTTCGATGATACGACACCGCTTAGAGTGGACTCCATCTCCAACCGCCGTGTGTACAGCGCCAAGGTCTTCCACTGGAACCTTAGAGACACCTCACTTTTCACGAGTGAGGACTATTCGATCATCTTATATTGCATACGATCTTGGTATCGATTCCCTACAAGGTAGCGCGGAGAGTACACGTATGCACATGGCCTCTTCAATCTAGTCTACCCGGGAACCGAGCCCGTATAGCCCTGCAGGTACATGAACAAAGCCGGGACTATACTAATTGCATGGTTACAATCGAACATGCATGCTTCTCCATGTTTCATTGCAACTTCGCATCTATGAGAGTGCGGGCTAGGCTGGAGCTCCATCAGACGCAATTGCTGGGTTCCCGGTTCCGGCTAATTTGATCGTTCTGATATTGTCCATTCGCAGAGCTGATCAGAGTATTGGGAGCTGTAATGGCGGGGTTCGGGGTAGTATATAGAAAGTATTTCCTTGCCGCTTGTTTTTTTCTGGTCTCTGTTCAGGTGTTCGTGTTTTCTTCAGTCGCCTCGTCGCTAATTCAATTGAGGGGCTTTCTCGTCGGTGACGTCGTTTACGATTTGGAATTGATACCTTCCCGCACCTCGTCCTATTTCCAATCTACACACAACTCGAAGACTCAATTGGTCTTCGAGACATTTAGCAGAATGGCAACTCTTACATCCCTCCTCCTTACCGCGCTTGCGGTGTCAGTATCCGCAACAGTTGAAAACCCAAAGACTCAACCGACACCTCCCATGGGCTTCAACAATTGGGCACGCTTCATGTGCAATCTCAATGAAACTCTCTTTGTCAAAACTGCAGATGCAATGGTATCCAAAGGCCTCCTTGCCGCAGGCTACGACAACATAAATTTGGATGACTGTTGGCTACTCCGTGAACGTAACGCAAAGAAAGAGCTGCAATGGGACCCTGAACTATTCCCACACGGCATACCTTGGCTAGCAGACTACTTGCACACCCGCGGCTTCAAGTTTGGTATCTACGAGAACGCCGGCAATATGACCTGTGGCTGGTACCCTGGATCCCAAGACCACGAAGAAATCGACGCCAAAACATTCGAGAGCTGGGGAGTCGACTATCTCAAGCTTGACGGTTGCCACATGGACCTCCAAAAGGGGCGATCGTATTACGAGGAATTCGAATACCGATACAAACTCTGGCATAAAGTCATGGGGAATCTCAAGAAACCTTTCATCTTCTCGCAATCAGCACCTGCGTACTTCTCGCCGAACTTTCATTTGGATAAGAATAATACAGATTGGTATCGCACAATGGAGTATGTGCGCAAGAATGGAGAGCTTGCACGGCACTCCGACGACATCAAGGTCTACAGCACGCTCGCTAACCAGACCTTCGAGCCTGGCGGTCATTGGGATAGTATGATGAATAATTACGGCATGGAAGTGCGACTTGCACGCTACCAGTCGTGCGGTTTCTACAACGACCCCGATTTTCTGACTATCGATTGGCCAGATCTATCCATGGATGAGAAGAAAACTCATTTCGCACTTTGGAGTTCCTTCTCCGCGCCTTTGATCTTGAGCGCCTGGATCCCAGATTTAAAGAAGGAGGACATCGAGTATCTGACGAACAAGGATATCATAGCGGTGGATCAGGATGCGCTATGCGAACAGGCAACACTAGTGAGCCAGGATGGCGACATCGATGTTTTAACAAAAAACTTGGCGAATGGGGATCGGCTGCTCACAGTCTTGAATAGAAGTGACAAGACAAAGAGCACGACGATCTCCCTCACGCGCCTCGGCCTCGATAGTAGTGGATTCTACAAAGCGAAGGATCTCTGGACCGGCAAAACAAGTAGCGTGAAGAAGGCCATAGAAGTTAAGCTTCGCACACATCAAACGACTATCTTGCGCATCTCTACTTCTGAAGGCAAGAACAATCTGACCATTACTCCCACCGGCCAGATCTTCAACACCTTCTCTCTAAACTGTCTGACGGAATCTACTTCCCACAGCTCGTCGTCCGTCAAGTTCACGGGATGCAATGCGGCGGATGAGCAAGTCTGGCAAATTGCTTCGACGGGGCTTGTCAGTCCTTTATCGTCGAACAAGTGTTTGAGTGTTGATGATGGCAAGGTGTCGTTGGAACGATGTTCGGAGAAAGATAAGAGTCAGGTGTGGAGTTATGGCGTTAGTGGTAATCTGGTAAATGGTGCCAAGGGACTTTGCCTGGAAGAAGGTAGTAAGAGTGCTGTAGCAAAGAAGTGTGGTTATGATTTGGATAGCCAGGTGTTTGCGCTACCTGGAGGTGTAAAGTTGGAGAACTGAAGAGCGAAGTTGGGCCTATATATATAGCAATGTTGGCGAGAGCGTTCGTCTGGTCTAAAATGAACAGAAACATTGTACAGAGTGTCGAATACTAGCATTTCCCCGAAGCACCGCGCCTTCACACCTAACGTGGAACGACTAAGGCGGGGTTGACCCATCACATGTCTGCTGGAATCAGGGAGAAGGTCAATAAGATGCAGATCTCCGTCCTGAATTACACCCTCCTTCCCCCCATCACGTTCCATGTTAGGTGACATGATGCAGTATGTCAGGAGTACGAAGATACTATGTCTCCCTGAAAATGCCCATAGAAACAGATCTCGCCTCCTACATCCATCCATAATAAATTAGCACAACGCCACGAACAATGCTATCCAAACCTAGATCATATCTCGTGCCAGAACAGACAGCATATCACTATAAACATCCTATCCAACAACAGCCTTCATACTCAGCCTCTCTAAGAAGCCACTCAGGTCCTCCTTCTTAATCTCAATAACACATGCCTCAAAACTATCCATCCTCACCCTAGCCTGCGTCTCTCTCACAACCTCTTGAAAGGCAAGACCAAATCTATTCCTACCAAAACCTCTCATTTCCTGCTCTTCAGTTTCTGCATCACTCGCCTCACTCTCTGTTTCTTCCTCCTCAGTTTCATCCTCGACTTCGTCTTCCTCAAGACCAGCGGCGAGATTGCGTTGGATTCGGGCTTGTCTTTTCTTGGCCCTTTCTCTTTCTTTGGCGAGTTTCTTCTTCTCTCGCTGTTTCTTTCGTTCTTCTCTCTTTGTCATACGTTCTCTTGCTGTTTCAGTTGCGCCACCGCCACCCAGGCCAACAACGACGTACAGACCTCGTGAGTCGTCAAGGCCGGCCATTACGAGCTCACTACCCTTGTGCTTCCCCTTAGTGCCGTTGAGCTCGACAATTGCTTCAGCGATCCAAAGGGCTAGCTTTGTGAGAGCGCCAGGGTGTGTGAAAAGCTGAACGTCTGGCCCTTCTCGAACGACCGCCATGCGAAATGAACGTAGATGGCGTATTTGTTTCTTTTCTATTAGCGTTGTTCCGGTGCGGAGAATAGCACGATGCAGGTGTTGGGCGGTATTAATGTGGTCGCGAAGAAGGTCGATAGAGGATAAGGCATCGTAGGCGGTCCAGAATCGAGCTGTTATGTATTCTTGTGCGTCTAGCACCATGTCGCCATTTTGTGCTCTGTCATTGACCATCTCTGAGCGGTCCTGAGCTCCGATGAAGTTTGAGTGGTCGAAGCTCGATTGGTTTAAGCTTTTTGCGTCGCCGACTTCGAGAATCGCTCCGAGGATAACGCCAGCGTCAATAGCACTTAGACATGCTTTCCAGCCCCAACAACGAACGAAGCCCCAGCCGTCTTTCATATCGCCATTTCGAGGAGGTGGTGGGACAAGTCCGTCAAGGCCGTAGACGGGTGCAAACTTCAGTAGTCTTTCTCTGAGACCACGTTTCAGCTCCATGTCCATGTGGGTGTAGTTCTGCTTGCATTGTGTCAGGCTGACGCCCATCTTGGCAAGCAATTTGTCGAGTCTTCGCCTTCCCGCATCACTCCAGATGTGTAAGCGAGCTGAAAGGTAGGGTGAATGGAGCATGCTCTCGTAAAGGCTCCAATGTCGTAACATAAGGAATCGAGGTTCGGGAGAGAGTCGTATCGACGTATCAGTGGCTGATCGGGCAGTAGTTGGGATAACACCGGTTGCGTCTCCCATACCTACATCGCGGGCAATGTCCCTGAGATCGATGGGGTTCAATCGGCGAACTTCATCTCGAAGTACTGAGCGGATGCGCTCCCCTCGGTCGCCATTCCACCCCGCAGAGCCCCCGGCTGCCGAAAGTGGATTGAGGCCTACTCCACTTCCCGTTCGACCGTATAGTTCCAGACTGCTAACCCCAACGATAGCGTTCCAAAGGAGGTCGTTGTCTTCTCGACCTAGTTCCGATGCAAGGGAGTAAACGAGAGATGATACTGGTTCCGAATACGACGCGCCAAGCTCATAGTACTTATCGAGTACATTGGTGTACTCATTGCGCATAGCAAGCAACTGCTTACGCAGATTCTTAACAGATTTCTCCTTTGGTGCAACGATGGCTGGTGATACTGATCGGCTGCGAGGAGAATCTGAACGTGAGAAGTCGGACGATCCTCCAAGCCCGCTTGCTGTGCTCAGGAGCCCGCGTCGGGCAGGTCTCCTGTTGGGTGAAGATGGTATTGAGCTCCCCTAAATGCCGTCAGACTACGGCTCTCGTTTCCACTCTAATCTACGTACCGAATTACTTCTCCGTCTTTGTCGCGGGCGCTCATCCTCAGACTCTTCGTCTTGAGCCTCGTCATCCTCACCCCACGATTTTCTCTTCTTCGGGGCTTGGCCCGATTCTGGGAGAGCATCGTTATCATCCGCATCGTTATCATCCGAATCCGAGTCCGTGCCCTCCCCAACTTCAGGCATGTCTGCAAGGGCACAATATGCCTCTCGCTCTGCTTCTAAATCGTCCTCAATGTCGCCGTCATCGAAAACTATTATGCCCCCTCTCCCGGATTCATAGTTTCTCAGGATTTGCCCTTTATCAACGCCAACTTGTTTCCGCACGAGCTCTCTCGTGTCTGGATCCTGGGCCATAGGGGAACCGAAGACATTCGACAGATTCCAAGGCCTCCTGGAATCCATGACCCAAACTTCAACATCTCCCGGTCCACCCTCCCCATTCTCGTCCACATCCATTCCCAGTATTTCTTCTAAGTCTACCATGCCTCCAACACCTAGACACACCACAACACCGCCGCTACCACCCTCGAGAGTCCGCATAGGACGTACTAGCTCTTCTGCAGCTCGGGAGAGGTCATTGTAGCCGGCAATTGGCTGTATCTTGTGGGGGATGTAGTCGCGTTTTAACAGCGCGGTAAGAATGCGACAAGCACATAGCGCGTCCGGTTCAAGGGCAACGAGAAGTAAAACCGGCGGGGAGGAAGCATGATTTCTCCGGGTAAGATTTTGGTAAAGGTGCGCGATCAGCCCTCGGGGAAGGTACATGTTCGCTGGGCCTCGGAGTGGGAAGCTTCTGGAAAACGCGTGCTGAAAGACGCGTTCTGGGTGGTCTAGAGATAATTTAGCTGAATCTTAGGCTGGTCATAGGGCCTTGATTAGGCATGAAATAATGAGAGGGTCAACAAATATTTAGAGCACAGAAAAGTGCAATTGCGCAGTGTAGACGTGGTAATCGAAGTGGCTGTCGTGAGGGAACATGGTCTACGGGAACGCGTAGAATGTGCTAACCGCAGTTGTGCTAGCGCTGTTTTTGACGTGCACGTGTCATTCCCCCGAGGTTGCTCGATCTTTGATATTTGCAAGCTTCTAACACTAACACTGTATCATCTCAAAAGACACGAGAAATCATTTATTGTTGCCTTTCATTTCACTATCTTGCTAGAACTCTCCCTGATAGGAGATGCTTGCCTTCCGACTGGCCCCTTACCCTGCGTCCTTCAAACAATACCTTGCTCCTTATTTCTCCTTAAATGTCCCTGTCGGACTTTCCACGCGTAGTCAGGCCTAAAGATATGCTTCAACCCGAGCCAGGGCGTATTCACCAGACTGTGCCCTGTATAGATGAACACATCATACAGGAAGCCACCAAAAGCACAACCACAGAATGGTGCAACCATTGGAACCTGCCACAGCGGATTAGCGTATTGCCCTATTAAGCGGCGTCCACGTCCAACATGCCCAGAAATAATACCCCCCTGCAGTCCATACCTCATGTCCGTATACTACTGTATACGACATGAGACGAGGCCCGAAGTCCCTTTCAAGATTGATTGCATATCTAGTTTCCCATCCAAAGCAAGCTCCGAGTCCAAATATGAGGAAGAAAAGGCAAAGCGGAAACCATTTATCGCTCTGTAACAACATTCAGCTCTCTGAATGAACCTTCTGAAACAAGAGACGCACCTTTGGAACACCATTATTACTTAGATCCTTTAATGCGAAAATGACGAACATCAACAGCGTACTAGCGATGAGTTCCGAGAAAAATTGGCCTGCCCTTATCATGAACGGTTGGGGATACGTACAAAATATACCGGCTGTTGCTTTAGGACTAGGAGGAACGGTCCTTATCCCATGGCCCTCAACGTTATTAATCGCATTCAAGTAATTGGTATATATACAAACCCTGATGCACAGTACGCGCCTAGGACCTGGGCCAGGAAATACATCGGAAACCGCCTCCAGGGAAGTTGTCTGAACAAACAGTTTGAAAACGTGATAGCGGGGTTGAGGTAGCGCTAGAGTTGCCTGCGACATAGATTCCGAGCAATACACCTGGGCCCCATCTGGAATTGAAATGATTAGTATAGGTTTAGATAATAGTTTAATGGCTACACCAGCCGGATCGGAGCATGCTTCCACGAATGGTCTTGAACTCACCCCAGGATATAGATTGGTAAGGGCCAAATCCGTTTCCTCCCGGAGCAGTGTTTTGTCCAGTTGACAATAAGACTTGTGCCACTGATCCGTCCCCGAACATTATCATGATAAAAGTTCCCCAAAACTCCGCAAATGGCTCTCTTAGGACCGTCCTGATTCTTGACCAGAGCAATTGCTGACGTGGATGGATATCATGATCCTTGTCTACGGGAGCGGATGGGTGGAGACCCAATGCTGAACGGGGTTTCCGCAGGCTCGAGGAAGATTTGTAAGGACGCACGCTGTTCATGGCAACAGAGGCCTCAGTAGGAATAGTGTGCAAAGGTCCTGCGTCCGAAAAAAATTCATTGTGGCGCCGTTCAGGACTCTGCATCAACGAAGTGCGTTTTGGGAGCTGAGGTTGGAGTGGTCAGGCCATCTCGGCGGGAGTTAGGTCTTCCGTTCATAAGGAATAACGATCTAAATATTCTGTAGCTGTGGGATGGAAAGCAATGATATTCTAGTAGTAGTCCCTGGACAGAATTTCAAACTGGACGGGCTTAAGTCTTCCATCATGGGAACTCACTACGTCACCCTAAGACTTGTCAATGAGCGTAGCCGTGCGCAAGAAGCATGCGGGATTGGCGACTTTCCATAATAGCGCAACATCTATCTAGGGTGTCAACTGTTCCCCCGCATCAGCACTAATGTGATTATGAATGACGCACCTTGTTGGACTGCATGAGGCATTATTTCCGAAATGCTAGACGCCCGAGCCAGTTAGATTAGAGACCGTGCACTAGTTCCTCCGCACTGATGAGACTACGGATAATCACCTAGAGGAAGATCATTTTGGAGTTTGGTGATTGTGCTCTTCTAATCGATCAACTCACAGTGGAGATCCCAAGAGTGTGGGGTGCATTGACAACTTTCGGAGCGAGGCAGCTCTTGCTCAATGTGATTTCTTTTCATGCACGTCCACATTCTGACGAATGGTGAGTGGCTACTGCTGAACCGTGTTTCATTATTCAGCCATCAAATGACGCTTGAAAACTTTGTTGCAACTTCACACACACCAGCGAGCCTGGATTGAAGTTTTTCCACTGCCACAATCCCATCAGGACAATATTTCTACGCTTCATACCAATGAGGTCGTCGCTGAAGCAACCTAACAAGGTTTGATGCTCGACAGCGAACAAACACTTCTGTTCCCTCAGAGAGGCGAATGATAAAACTTTGCGATAAGGTGACCTTAAAGATTCCGCTTCTCTTGGATTTATAGCCTTCCTCTCCCATCTTTACATCTTTTCCCAGCGTCCTTCCCCTTAACACAACCCTCACCGCAAGGCTCCAAACGACTGACGGAGAAACTTCTGCGACCTGGCGTTCTACCCTCATCGAGAACCTGAGCCTGTATTCCTCCTGGACTTGCGCCCCCGATTCTCCGCGTTCAATTTTAAGGTGTTAACTACACATCGCTTCGACGTCCCGTTCTCGTTATCTGCAATCCTAGAATATTTTCGCTCTCCTTCCTTTCCTCTTTTCCTCGTCCAATCTCTCTTCTCCTCTACCCACGCCCCTAACTATCCTCATGGATCGACGCTTGATGAACTAATATCACAAAAACCGCCCACCTATCTTTATGCTTACGCCCTATTGATCCTACCGACTATTCTTAGATACTACTGAGCCGACTGCCTTCTCGAACAGAATGCCAACGTTAGTCTCGTAGCTTAATTACCTTGATGGTGGGAAGGCGTCATGTGTGCAGGACACAACTCTAATCTAAGTATTGTAGTAACAGACATTGTCAGTGGTCCGAAAGGATAGAAGGAACCTATTGTTAGAAAATAGGTGAGAAAACTTGGAGCATATCGTTCCCACAATTCAGGTGTGCTTCGTAGGAAAATCACCAAAATCTGGGTGCATGAAGCCGATTTCTTGGCCCTCAAACTTTCCCCGTCCAATTTATGACGCAGCGTATCATTCTGGTCACCTACCGCTTTACCAGTCCACCGCTACTTCAGCTAACGTATACCGACCACCTTTTATTTGACTTGGAGCCTTCACTATAATTTTCCTTACGCACATATAAACCAAATCTTTTCGCTAAATCCCTAAGTTAGTCAAGAGCAATTGGCGGGGTGGTTTATGCATTAACTTGTGAAAACCTACCGGAGGTACACCATCTCCGTCTATTTCCTCTAAACTAGCCCACAGATGTACCAGCTGGGCCCCTTCGGATCCCATGCATAATGGGAACTGTAAGATAGCCATACGGTGGGACTATCTTTTTGTATCGCCCGGGTTCGGTTCCCGATATGGGGTTTCCTTTTTCCTTTTTGTGTCAGGTTTTATATGGGCCGAGGCACCGGTGGGGATTTCTCCATGGCTGGCCCGGTGAAAGAGGAAAAAGGAAGTTGGTTGGGCCTTCTTGCTAGGTTCTGCTGGAGAATCGCCACGGACCCTAGCTTCGGACTAGAGCAGGCATACTTAATCAGGGATGAGGCTCTGAGGGTGTCAATAGCTCACTCGTAGTTCTATCTCACTCGACGGGTCTGGTGTTCTACATGGTGGGTCTTCACTCAGGACGCATCTGCATACCGCCACCCTGTATGTACTTCCTCCTCGTGCAGCTAGTGGTAATACTTGCACCAATGCGTGAAATTCTCAATAGTACTTCTTTTTGCGCTGAGATTTGGCGTGCTGCACTACACTTTCATGCACCATTTCACGCTCAAAAAAAAAAGGAAGGGTAATATGATGCTTCATTTAATGTACGTTGATCAAAGTCCTCTTCAAGCATGCGGCACCTCTAAACTAGCCAAGAGTAAGTTAACGATGCTAAAAAGTCCCTCGCCCAATATTAACCCGCTCGCCAAAACGATGATGGGAGTTTCTGATCTCCCCTTATACTTCCTCCACCACAGACTAATGATCCCGCCGATTGTACGGGCAAGAGTGAACGAAGGTGTATTATACATGCCTGTGGGACTTAGCGATGAACGTAAGATTGGAGATATGGGGAGAGGAAATACCGACTGCAACTGCAATACCGCCGGGTACCCAATCGACCCACCATTCGGTCAAACCCTTCTGTTTCCTAGCGTTACCCCAGACCCTCAATATCGTTCCAACAGCGAATATCACGGCAGCACCACTTGCCCATTCTGCCACTTGTGGAGGCAAACCTTTTCCCGTTACCAATCTTGCTGTGAAAACCCATACATAGCCTGTCGGTACTTCAAATAGGCCCCCAGGGATCTTGTACACATGTGTGTACAGTTTATATACCACTGCAGACAGCACAGCGCCCACAGCGGACCCAATCATCTGGCCCCAAAACTGAGCATTGGGGGCAGCACCGAGGAGATGCCCGCATTTTAGATCCTGCATCAGGTCGCCAGCTTGCAGTGCCGCGGACTCGGATATGGCCCCTGCAAGGAGATTAATGATGACGGCGTTCTTCGCACCAGGGCCAGTCGTGGGAGTGACGAGAGCAAAGACGAGTTGCGTGAGTTTGGAGATCCCGGAAACAGGGTTGAGATCTGTCTCGCCGAGGGCTCGGACACCCATGATTGAGAGGAGAAGAGCGAGAGTTAAGGCAAGGATGGTGAGTCCGAAGGGGATGAGGTGAGGGAAGGAAACGTGGACTGCGATGATGCAAAGAACGAGGGAAAGAATGAGGCTAATGACTGTGGTGCGGGTGGAGATGAGATGCTCTGGCGGTGCATCATGTTCTCCCTCTTCGCAAAGATGGTGCTTGATGGCCATGATTGGGTTGGCAGAGCTGTCGTTCAAGGGGTTGTAGCCCTTCTTTGAGGAGATGTTGAGTGTGAAAATCTCTTTCCAAGTATGCTCTCTCAAGGCCTCTTTGAGCGTAGGGAAATACAGCCGTGCAAATGCGATCAAAGGGCGAAGCACAAGCCATCCGAGACTGATGAGAGAATCTGCAAGCATAATGGCGAGGGATATCCAGACTATCCAGCCCTTGCTTCCTTCAGTCCAATCTGATACTGGGCCCGGTGCCCAGCCTTTGTGTTTTGCAAGTGGAGAGAGGATACCCCATCCGATAATCGCACCAAGGAGCATGTGAAGGGTGGTGGCGGGTCCCATGATGATTCCTTGTCCGACATAAGCTGGCGATGGGTTCAGAGTCCAAAGCCAATTGTTGGCGAGCGACAGCCCAAATATGGGGATATCGTGGAGCTGAGGGAGGAAGTAAGACACTGTAGTGTACAGAGCAGATCCCGTGAATGAGATCAGTAGTAATCGGATCTTAGCTTTCCAATCGCCATCCTGGCCCATTTCTTGCTCAGCTTCCTGTTCATTGTTTTCATTCCTCGAGCGAAGGGGATGCTCTTCCTCAGGCTGATCCGTGGCCGTGGACTCTAAGAGACTTTGTTGCTCCTCTTCAACTGCAGCTCTCGAGCTATTTCTCCTTGTAAGGCTCGCGGACTTCTCGTCTCCATGAAGGACTTTTATCATTAACGCCGTCGCAGTACCACTTGGAAACTTAAGCTTTTCTCGAATAATGACCTCTCGGCGAAGCGGGACCGCAAATACAACCCCGAAAAAGCAAATTCCCACAGACCAAATGATCAGCCTCCAAAGGCTAATATCTAAGGGACCATTCTCTTCAGGCTTCAGCAAATAGTTCAGAGCAGGTATAACTCCCACGAAACCACATCCCAGTGGCATCGTTCCAACGGACCCGGCAACCGATTGAACAAGGACATTCTCAACGGGAGTAAAGGGAAGCTTGATCAATCTCGAAACAGTCTTGAAGTACGCAAAGCCAATCAGAGCAGACGGCATGGCCATTCCACTGACCCACCCAGTCTGAAGTCCAAAGTACATGTTGGAGAAACATATGACAACTCCAATGGCAAGGCCGACAAGGACCCCACGGATAGTGAAGTTCTGTGGCTGTGTACGGTCTGTGAGGTATCGTCGCGGCCCGGATCTATTGGAGATGCTCCGACTGATAGGAGCGTCATCAGTATCATGCACCTCATGGCTTCTTTCGTTATCGACCATGGGGCTGGGTGCTGATTCTCCCCGATCCGGAGCCATGTGGCGGGGTTAGAAGGTAGTGAAGACAAGCCAGAGGCGGGCAGAGTATTAGCGAACAGATAACCGTCAACCCAACACTACACAATAATCTGGAAGGGAAAAAAGAGAGATGCGTAGGGACATGGATGTGACAGATAATGTAATTACCAATCTGGCGAGGTCGCAGCATCCTTTCTCCGAGAGTAGTGTCACGTGAAGATGCGTGGGACGGCTTATTTCCGATTTGTCAGGCTCGCCAACACCAAAACGCCTTGTGTGATGTAGCGGGAGTCTCGCGATAGATATTTCCTTCACGTTCCTTTCAATTTTAAACCTTTCAGGGTGCACTCAGTTTTCCAATCTCGCATCCACGTATGCGGTTGTTGCGAAATATGATGGCACATACATTCACGCTCCTTCTCACCCTTTTCCTGGCATCATGCACCATAGGAGAACACACCTCCAACTGGGCCGTCCTGGTCTCCACGTCCCGCTTCTGGTTCAACTACCGCCACCTAGCCAACGTACTCTCGCTCTACCGCACCGTAAAACGTCTTGGAATCCCCGACTCGCAAATCATCCTCATGCTCCCCGACGACATGGCCTGCAACCCCCGCAACGCGTTCCCCGGCACTGTATACAATAACGCCGACCGCGCGCTCGATCTCTATGGCGACAATATTGAGGTAGATTATAGAGGCTATGAGGTCACGGTGGAGAATTTTATTCGGCTGCTGACCGATAGGGTTAGTGAGGATATGCCGAGGAGTAAGAGGTTGTTAACGGATGATCGGAGTAATATATTAGTGTATATGACTGGGCATGGTGGAAATGAGTTCTTGAAGTTCCAGGACGCAGAGGAGATTAGTGCGTTTGATCTTGCAGATGCATTTGAGCAGATGTGGGAGAAGAAACGGTAGTGTCTCAATCCCTTCTGCACTTGCCCTCGGTGCTGACTCTGATGGATGCAGGTACCATGAAATGCTCTTCATGATCGACACATGTCAAGCAAACACCATGTATTCGAAATTCTACTCGCCCAACATCCTCGCAACCGGGTCTTCGGAAATCGATCAATCGTCCTATTCCCACCACGCAGACAACGATGTCGGAGTCGCTGTCATCGATCGCTACACCTACTATAACCTCGAATTCCTCGAAACTCAAGTCCGAGACCCAACGAGTAAACTTACAATGGGTGACTTATTCGACAGCTACGACGAAGAGAAAATCCATTCGCATCCCGGCGTTCGATATGATTTGTTCCCCGGAGGCGAAGATGCCGCGCGGTCGAGACTGGTCATGGACTTCTTCGGCAATGTACAGAATGTCGAGGTTGAAGGAGGGATTCGGAGGAATGAGACGGTCTGGCAGGAAGAGTTGGCCGCAATTGAGCGCATGATTGTGGAAGCTAAGAGGAGGCATAACGAGACCGTCAATACCCGACCACAGCCGCAACATGTTGTTGAAGAGGCTGAAGTTGCGGATGCCAAGCGGAGCCTGAGAAAAGAGGGTGCCGTACGCGTTGATGAAGAATCGGGATGGACGAAGCAGATTGTTGGGGCAGCGGCCTTGTTGGGATGTGCTGGGGTTTGGGCTGCCGGGTCGTGGTTCGAGTCGCTTTGAAAGAAACATGAGATAGCCGGGGAACATGTTCATCCTAAAACACGAAATAGCTGGCCTAGCTTCCCGCGGCTTGCACGAATTTCTAGTCGATAGGGATGCTACAGAGGCGTATGCATCGCATCCCGCCGCGCCGAACTTTGTCACGTCCCTGCGTGCAGAAGCTTGATATATAGCTGGGGCGGAAGGAGGAAGGATGTGCGTTATTCGCGGAAGAGCCGAGAGTTTAATCAGCAGAAGCCCGTAGGTTTCCAGGGAAGGCACAGCCCGCACCCACTAGCAACGTAGACGCCTCCCCATCGAAGCAAATCTATTACATAGTTGTTATGAACACTCTTGATTGTAACGTCGCAGCTAATGTCGTTCAATATTTCCTAGATGGTAGAAAAAGGACTACTCCAGCGCCAAACTTCACTCTTCCAGCTATCTTAGGAACATTAGAAGGAAGGCCATCTCCACCCCCACTTCCTCAAAACAAATGAAATTGGGATCTGCTTAGGTCTACTTCAGGCGCTTTTCAGCAGCCTTCCAGTTCACGACCTCCCAGATAGCCTTGAAATACTCGGCTTTGCGGTTCTGATATTGGAGGCTACAATCTTGGTTAGAAATGGTGTAAATCCTTCATAAGGAATGAGAAACCTACTAGTACGCATGCTCCCAAGCATCGATGCCAAGAAGCGGGCGGAATTGGCCGACAACAGGATCTTGATTCTAGCAGCTGTCAGTACTTGTCGTTCGACCGTGCGGGAGGCTACATACGGCGTAGGTCTTGATTGAGATGCTTCCAGTCTGCGTATCCTGCACCAACCACGCCCACCCGCTCCCTTGAATGCCCGCCAATGCCGCATTGAATTTCTCCTTCATGGCATCTAAACTTCCATAACTCTCGTTGATGGCCTTGGCCAGTTGTCCCGTTGGCGGCTCACCGCCTCCCTCCGAGGTGGGGGCAAGATTCTCCCAGAAGAGAGAGTGGTTGATGTGGCCGCCTGTTAACAACGGTCAGTTAGGAAGGGCTCTTTGTGACAGGGTCTAAGGTCTCCTCGAACGAACGTACCTCCATGGAAGTTGATCATTGGCTGCAACGCGATTTGTGCAGTGATATCTTCCTTTTGCTTGGCTTCTGCCATTTGCTCGGAGAAATTGTTGAGTGAGGTTACGTATGTCTGGTGGTGTTTGTCGTGGTGGAGCTCCATGATCTTGCCAGAGATGGCTGGTTCGAGCGCGCCGTAGTCATCTGCTCAACATTGATCAGCTCCACGATATCCTGTAGGAACGGGATGGGCTTGCATGGGAGATCAGGCAGCGTAGCCTTCCCGCGCACAAAGGCTGTTCCCGCCAACCCAGCCCTAGTGGATGGCTTCGGAGCAGAGGCTCGGAGGGCATAGCGCACGACAGACGTGCGAAGGAGCGAGGCAGACATGGCTACAATTGATGACTGCTAGCAATTGGCAGTGGCAGTTGAGTGGACAGGGTCAAGGATCTTTGAAGAGATAAAAATGCGTGTCTTCTTGAGGTTCTCGTCTCGGTTGCTAAATAATCAAGCCGGGCAAACGTCATGCTAACGTCCAAGCTCAAGCTCCCCTCATATCGTCGTTCCGCACCAATGACATGTCTGCGTTCGGCTTCTCGCAGTGTGGGAGGCCGAACCCCAGGAATGCACAAAAGAGCGCGAGGGATGTTGGGACTATGCAAATATCTTGATATTTCGCGCCTCACGTGGAAAGAAAAGATTCATGATATCACCTGTGGCGCTCCTGTGGCGCCCCGCATTGCCAGCGCAGGCACCGTCAACGGCCGGCCCCCTCCAACACTTCCTGGATGGCCTTCCAGATTTTCTCACCTGCCGTCTTGTTGAGAGGTACATACACGAGTCCAATCCCCCCTTCCCTTCTCTCACGCCATGTAACATGACTTTTTCACGTCCTTTAATTCCTATATTTACTGTTCCTTGACGCGCATCTTCCGCATTCTCTCTTCGTGTTGCAAGCATGGCTCCCACCATTGTGCACCTTCCCAACGGCCAGAATCTGACAATCACCCCTGTCTTTGGCGGGCTATTCTTCAAGAGCAATGACTTGACAAACCACCACTCCCCATTCCCACCTGGCTGGACAATCGTCCTGAACTCTGAAGACCATGCAGACCCTGACCCCGCAGACAACGAAGACACCTCGTCGGCGTCTGAAGAGGTCAGAATACCTCGACGGCACGTTGTGCATCGGTACAAGCGGCCTACCCTCCACAATGACCATCTCTACATATCCTCGATTTCCAATCCGAGCAGCAGTGACTTCAAGCCGGCGAGCTCCCCCACCAGGCAGATTGCGATGATGCTCTGGGCTACCCTGTGGTGGTACTTCCACCAACCAGAGCCGACCCTGCAGCTTACCACTCCGGCTTCGAAGAACACACCCGACTCCGGAAAGCCTGAAGGCGAGTGGAGAATCGCCATAAATCGAGAGGGCATATTCAAGGGCAAGGTTGTACTACCCAAGCTCGAGCGGATGGGTTTGGTCGCCAGCGAAGAGTCAAATGTAGGCGTAGTTCAGGACGAAAAGTCTCCTGAAGGCTGGACAAATATGTTTGTCAGTCGGCGGTCATTCTGGCTACTCGACCCCAGAATTTACCTCTTCACCCTCTCTCCCATGTCCCAATCGCCCTTCCCTTCTGGCTCCCCGTATGCCTCCCGCCCTGGTTCACCCTCCGGGGAGCGACCCGGTTCACAGAAGGACATCCAACTAGACCAAGTCTCCCAGGGCCTCTGGTCTCCCACAGCCCCCGGCCCTTTCCATTCCACCAGCCACCTTCCGACCTACTATCCTCCACCTCCCCCACAATATATAATCTCGAACCACGTCCGCCACCCCATCCGCCCCAAACCCCCCCGTCAAGGCGAAATCTTCTACACCCGCTTTATTCCTTCCGTCGGCCAATATCTCTCCTTCCGTGTAGCTTCCATATCCTCCAAACCCCTCCGCCACCGTGGCCCTGTATCCTCACAAACACCAACCCCCCATCGCAACTCCCCGCTCTCAGCCTCCGACTCCGTAGTCTCCACCATTGCCGGCCTAAACCTCGGCCTCTCCGACTCAGAGTATCTCCACAAATGGATGAACATCCCTCGAGTATCATATTATTGGGGCGAGAGCGGACCGCAAGCGCACCAAGAAGCCTTTCTCAAAACCCAGCTACGGTCTCGGCATTCCTTCCCCGTAATCGGCTGCTGGGACGGCAAACCCTTCGGCTATTTCGAACTGTACTGGGTGAAAGAAGACAAACTCGGAAAGTACCTCAGCAACGTGGGGGACTATGATCGAGGTTTTCATTGCTTAGTCGGGGAACAAGAGTTCCGGGGCGAGCATCGAGTAAGGGTGTGGTTGAGTGCGATAGTGCATTATTGTTGGTTGGCAGATAATAGGACGGAGACGGTTATGCTGGAACCACGGGTTGATAATGACAAGTAAGTGCATACAATCAGTCACCTCCTTCCCCAGATTTTTGTCAGAATCTATATAATATGACGGAAGATTTTTGCCAGCTGCTAACGAAAATAACTGATAGATTGGCGCAGTACTGCATGGACGCAGGCTTCTACAAAGAAAGAGAGATCAGCTTTCCGCATAAACAGTCTAATCTAATGAAGATTAAACGGGATGCTTGGGAGGGTCCGGCGTTGTAACTATGGCTGGCCGACAATACTGCATCTCTTGTCAGTCGCCTAACTAACGCGGAACATGTCGATAGTTCAGGGCGGAAATTTGCAACCTGTTGATGCTCTACCTTATTTCAGCAAGAGGTTTAACATATAGACTATGCTCTGGTCATGTTCCACGTTGATCACAACATGATGTATATGTACGGGGGGTTCTTTTCCTTTTTTGGAGGTGGAATTCGTAGGTTGGCTGGTTGGGTGGATATGGCTGCTGTTTTTAGTTTATGACGATCTTGGGATGGACCGGAGATACCACTGCTCAGGGTTGGGTGCATACTGTTTTATAACAATAATCGGATATTTCCTCCAACCTTACATGCAACAGTGGAGCTGCGGATTGTCGCTTGTTTTGTTTGACCTTCCTGATTTGCCCTGATCTTCAAATACCTTGCTGTTAATATCTCGCTAATCAGTTCTGAATTGTAGTAAATACTAGATCAGATCCTAAACATAGGTTGACTTTTACCCTGACTTAGAATCTAGGTATCGCATATTCTTTATAAGGTAACTTAAGGCAGGATCACTTGAGCACTTGAACGCGGGATGGTTATGGGGAATTTAGATTTGGATTGATTTGAAGTGATCTTTTTGAGCTAGATATCTCCTGTACATTCTCCATATATCCACCCACCATGTTATTAGTCATCGATGGTAGCGAACTGTCTACCCTTGCCGCGCTTCTGCTTCCTCCTCTGGGCCGGGAGACGAAGGCAAACTCAGGATGGTGAGTTCCCGCTTTGAGATGGCCCTGTTATCACCACGACAGCTGTTCTTGGTAGGTGTATTCGGATCGGCAGACTCTTAAGGCGTCCCTTGAGACATTTATGCACTCGTTCCAGTGCTGGTAGAAACGGCAAGATCCGGTCCAGCGCTCTCTTCGCTGTGCAACCCTCCTTGCAGCTCTTGTGCGGTGACAGTGGCCTGATTAGCAGTACTCTCTTCTACAGCCTGAGTAGTGGCGGGTTGGGGCGTAAGAGGTCGAAGGGAAGCAAGGGGTCGAAGATATTGAGTCCAGGCTTGACCCGCTGGGACGTCGTCTTGCTGACCAACAGGTGACATGCACGACAAATCAAATCGAGTCCCACTTCCACCAACAGCAGTGAATTGAGTATTCAAGCTAGAGACCGCCTCACCGTAGTAACTCTGATTCGGAGTCGCTATCCTCGATGTCGCTCCAGGTGCCTTTGTCAAAGCATCAAGATTTCGTACTCCAACCACTCGATCTGGGTATCCAAAACTACGATAAGCACTTGTCTCCTCTTGCCGGCCAAATCCAGTCTGGGTAGGCATAGCACTGACGGTCTGTGCGACCAACTTCGGGAGCTCCTCCAGGGTTGGAAACCCAGACTGCGTGTTTTGAGCGTTCAGTATCATGGTCGGAAGGGCTGAAGCTTTGAATTTCGGGACCGCAGGCTCTGATTTGCGCTTCAGCTCCTTAGCTTTCGGAGGTGCCCGGGCTCGCGGTTGCAATTTGCAGCTTGGGTGGTCATCCCTAAAGTTGGTCATTAGTGTGCTTGTACAAAAAGTCCAATCGGGAACTCGGGAACAAACCATGCAATATCCGGTCTATTGTGCTTGTGCCAACATCCCGTTTTCGTCAACATGTCATTCACCCTAGCGCCCCAGTGGTGCTTCTTTACAGCAAGTCGAGTCGGGAAGCCTCTGTTGCAGATAATATGAACGAAAGAACCGCTGGAAGGTGTACGGCTTGGTCGGCGGCTCGAAGACGAAGCAATGAACAGGGAAGATGAAGACGCATGTCGAGTCGAATGGAGCGGAATTGTAACGCCACTCTCTTCATCTACATGCTCTTCATTGGTATCGCTAAAGATGAGAGCTTCTTTTGGCATATGTTTGGTCGGTGAAGGCAGCTCGTAAGACGTTGGACCCTGGAAAACACCAATCGCTTTCTCACCTGCATGTTCCCCAACGGTATCATCGAAGATACGAGACTCATTCTGTATATACTTGCTCGGCGGAGACAGCTCACAAACGGTTCGACCCTGGAGAACACTAATAGGTGTTCTGAGAACGGAATGACCGAGATTTGTAGGCCTCTCTTGGGGAGACACTGCCTGTAGGGTCAACTCTAGGCTGGATAAAGCTGGAGTACAAACATGATGGCTGCCAGCAAGATTATCGTCAAGCCGACTACGAGCAAAGACATTCTCAGGATCGTCGTGGCTCCAAGCATCGCCGAGGGAGGAGCTCTGTGGTTGAGAGCCATTGCCGATCCCGGAACCAATCCGTGGCGCATGGGCGAAGCTATAGTCAGATTGGAGGGAAGGTACTTGAGTACCCAAAACCGGCAAGGAATATAGGTTCCAGTTTCGGAACTGGGCTGACAGCTGAGCAGGAGGGGAAGAGTTGGCAATTGAAGGGGCTATGGGTGAAGAATAGAGATTGCTTTCTGCATTCTGGGGGTGTGTTGGCTGGTGATATGACCCATAGCTCTTTGGGCCATTGCCAACGCCAGTGTACAGAGTTTGATTGAGGGGGGTTGGGTTGGAGATCTGTGATAGCGTTGCATCCAGCCCAGATTGGGTTGACTGAACGGCATTACACTGTTCTAGCGTAGAAAGTGTGGGCAACTGAGGCTCGTGGTCTGGTTGCAAGGACTCTGGGGAGACTCTATATTGATGTGATGAAGACGCACAGCGCTGCGCTTGAAAGTTTTCAGGGCCTTGGCCTGCATCCTCGAATAGGAGGATTGAAAATTCTTCGTTGAGGTCCTTGTCATCGCCCAATTGATCCACGATAGCAAAGTAGACGTCCCTCTTTGTGATCTTGCCGAGTCTAAACTCATTAAGAGTGTCATAACATGTTCCAGACTCTTCAGAATTTTTGCCAAAGCAGGCCTTTAACATATTAGAACTCAGTTAACGCTGATAGCAACGCACATACTTTGATTTTTTTCAGGAAATTGAACCATTTGCCGTACGGATCAGGGCTCTGGTTCTGACCATTCAGCGGCATTCTAAAAAGGGCCATATCATCTGGCGTGGAAACCTCCGTATTACTGGCATCGTCGGGGCTATGGATACTACTGGTGACGTCGAATTCCTTATGTGATCTCGAATTAGTGTGGTGCCAGGGGGAAGCTGAATCATCACAAGATTTCGAAACGTTGGTGAGGTCTTCCATGGTGTGTGATCTGCACCGCCTTCTAGTGCAGGTAGTGTCGTGGAGGAGAAAGGTGTTGTGCGACGACACTTGGTTTATAACGAGGTCTTGGCGGTGTGAAGTGAAAGTTTACTCACGTGGTTTGTGACGAACCAAAACAGCGGCCACGGGCACTCGCGCTAGTTTCACACCTCCAGGGCTACACGCAGAGCACCTGCATGGTTCAGGGCATGCCGGTGCGCTCATGGTGATGATGATGGCGGCAATCTCCTGTGCTCGTTTTCGACTGTGTGAAGTGCAAGTGAACAAAAACCACCAAGTGGGTATGCAGCTCGTCCCACTGAATCAGGAAAGCACCCTGAACACGCAAGGGTCATGGTTCGTATCCTTGGATCAGAATGCTGTCACTCGGCCACGCCGGATCGTTTGTCGAGCCGTGCCTGCATCATACACCACTTCTGCAATGCTCTTCTTACACCGCCATCCCGTATCCATCCTATCAAACAAGACAAAGTCGGCTGGTTCTCCAGTAGCCAGTGCGAGAGATGTTGACTCACAGTTAATGGCGGTCTTTGCTCGCGATGAGACGGCTTCCTGCATCAAAGTGTTAGTCAGATACACTAGACAGCCGTCTTACAGGCTCATGAGGGAACTTGCATATAATATTTCTGCAACCTTCTTCGTCCCCGCCTGGTAAAGCCCCACCCCCAGACTCGCAATGCTCAGCGGATCGCAGGTACCCTGAGGCGTAAACGCGTTTCCAACGTTGTTCACTGCAATAGCAGCGTTAAACCCGTACTTCTCTATCATCTCGACCACCGGAAGCGTCCCGCGTAAACTCTCTGGAGTCCGCATCATGAAGAGATCTGAGGTCGGCAACCCGACAAATGCAACGGGAAGGTTACCGATGTCTTGTTTCAAACGCTGCCAATCCTCTTCTTTGAACCGTGTTAAGCGAGTGCAATGACCCAAGGTGATCTGTTTGCCTCCTTTCTCGACCCAGTTTCTGCCCTTAATGATGTCTAACGCGGCCCAGACGAGTGGCTGTTTGTTTTCCTCGAGAAAGTAATCTAGGTGCAGATCAAGGGGTTTCTCATTGAATAAGGCCATCATGGAAATCCAGCGCACATTCATTTTCATTTTGACCTCGTCCAGCTCCACGTACGGCGCGCTCCCTACAACATCTACACCTTCCCGATGCGTGGCTTCAGTCATCAGCCTCCTGACTTCCTCTCCTCCATCATGCCCGGAGAACAACGGCAATTGGGCAAAAGCACAGATCTGGATCTCGCAGCGGTCCTCAAACTCTTTTTTCAGTTTCAGGCCAGCGTCAAGACACTTGAATCGGACACTGCCATCCACCTCTACAAACGCCCTCATGACAGTCACGCCATAATGGATGCTCTCTTCAATGAGCTGGCGGCCTCTTCTCAAAAGATCGTCTTCCTCAAATCTGGCTTTCGCTTTACTTGTCATGTCCATTGCTTCTTGGAAGTCTCCCTTCTCGATCTGCAGATCACAGAACTTTGGATCCTGAAGCAGGAAGCATTTATCTAGATGGATGTGGGCGTGACATAGGGACGGCGAGAGCAGTCTGTTTGAGCCATCCAGGACGCCTGGCAGTGGGTGGCGGCGGGAGCACTCAAAGTCGTGGGGGTCAACAGCTGATATCCGGCCATCTTCGATCGAAATGTCCCAAAGGGTTGATGAGGGCTTATTGGGGAGACGAACGCCAGCGATCTTGTTCAGAGGACCAGACGGGTACACGTCGGAGTATCGAGGCGGCGGAGCGCGCGATTTAGCATACACCCTGGTCTTTTCGGCCAGGTCATTTGCCAGGTGTAACTTGGCCATCTCTCGGTCCATAGCCATGTCTGGATCAGGAGAAAATGGGGGAGCCATGATGCTTTGTAGATGAATAATGAGCAAGAAGCAAGAATTGAGGTTGGAAAGATACAAGATGCAATGGAGGAGTAGATGAGGAGTCTCGCTCAAGTGCATGCAGCACTGGGGGGGGTTACTTATGTGATGGCGGGCAGTCGTGTGTAGCCGAGGAGGATGAATGGAAGGCGTGCGAAGCTTCACGCAGACGCCGGCCAGGACTCCGCAGCGCTCTTATACTCAGACGCCTGTGCCTGATGATACCACCGCGCTTGGAAGGCGTGCAGTCGCGTGAAGGTGTTGCAGCTCGCGGATGCAGCCGAAAGGTGGGGTATGAAAAGGGGCGAATCGCCGCTTTGTCCAGCCCTGTGCTTCTGTGTCGTGAACGCGTCTCTTAGAAAAAGCACCTCCGCACGCCCAACCTCACCTCCATCCCCCGACAGTGCGTGCATCGTGAAGTTGCTCCCCCCATCGTCGCGGCAGACCGAGAAAGCTTCGCGCCTGCCCAAGATGCAACCGCACCCGCGGAACTACCCGCTTCCCGCCCAAGCGCACCATGCGACGCCTACTCGACATGGTCCCGGTACGATTGCTCTTGCTCTGTCTCCCCACCGCCCCAAGTTGCGCGCCCACAACCATGATTCGGAGAGCTGACTTGGAGCATATGTTCCGCAAACCAGGCCCCATGATTGCGAGCCACCACCAGGCCCCGCAGCAGTATGTCCAGCACCTGCCCGCCCAGCAGGCCGCTGCCGAAAATGCGCGCCGTGACAAGCAGCGCCGCCAGTCAACCCGCCCGACAGACAAGAACATGCCTGACGGCATCGAGGAGGTATGCATCGGCGACGGCGTGGCCCGCTACCGCCAGCTGCGCCAGGTTGAGCGCACACTCGACGCTACTATGATGCGCAAGCGGCTCGAAATCCAGGACACCTCTTTCCAGACCGACGCTCGCCGCTACAGCACCATGCGCATCTGGATATCCAACACGGCCGAGAACCAGCCGTGGCAGAGCAGCGGCATGGACGCCGAAGTCTTTGATTTCGAGAGCGAGACGAATGCCACATACCGCGTGAAGATTCAAGGCCGCCTGCTGGACGAAGACGCTGACCTAGGCCTTGACAACGACGACGACGACGATGATGATGATGATGATGGTGATGACGCCGCCGCCGCCGCTGACACCGAAGACAAGGACCCCGATGCCATGGAAGAGGATGGTGCTGAATCTGCGCAGAAGACCCCTGCCACCAAGCCCAAGATGTTCTCGCAATTTTTCTCGTCCATGACCATCGACTTCGACCGCGCCAAGAGTCTCCAGCCAGATAATTTCACACAGATCGAATGGAAGCGGCCAGAGGGCGCAGCCAACACGAAAGAGACCAACTTCAGCCAGCTCGAGTTCGAGCGCAAGGGCGACGAGAACATCAACATCACCATCAACCTCCAGCGCCACCAGCACCCGGAGCGACTCAGGCTCAGCAAGCCCTTGGCTGAACTGCTCGACACGGACGAGGAAGACCGTGCAGGCGTCATTATGGGCATCTGGGAGTACTGCAAGTGCAATCACCTGCAGCAGGACGAGGATGAGCGCAAGTTTGTCTGCGATGCCAAGCTCAAGGCCATCTTCAACTCCGACACATTTTTCTTTCCCATGCTCCCGCAACTGTTAAAGCCGCACCTAACTACGCTGCCCCCAATTCAGCTCTCGTACACAATCCGCGTAGACAAGGATTACATCTCACCACCTCCTGAATCTGGCAAACTCCCCTCGCAGCCGACAATTTACGACGTCCAAGTTGCGCTCGGAGACCCGCTCCGCGATATGACAGCCAGTCTCGCTCGCTCCACGGACAACATCAAAACTTTACAGCAGATTAACGAGATAGATGAGCAGATCGCCCTCCTGATCCAAGCAATAGGCCACTCAAAAGCTAAGCATGCATTCTTCACTAGCATGTCCAAGGATCCCGTCACTTTCATCAAGCGCTGGCTCTCATCGCAGAAGCGAGACCTGGAAGTCGTCATGGGAGAGGGGGGCCGTGGTGGTGGAGAAGATGCGTCGGGTGAAGAATGGAGACGAGGTGGGGAGGAAGGCGTCTGGGGAAGCGAGGTGGCGAGGGAGAGCGTGGCACTATGGTTGGCTCGACAGAACATCAAAGGTCATTAGAATGTCCTTTTGCTAATAATGAACTTGCTTTGGTCTAGGCTTACCAGCCGGGCCTCCCGCACCGAGGCGGAAATCCACCTAAACGTCCCACCCCAGCCAGCTTCCGAACTACTCCCGACTAATGATCAATTACCTACTCCTCCTCCCTCGCCTCCTCTCCCGTTTTCGTCTTTAAGAGATGCCTCTTTCGGCTTTGCAGAACCTGCCTTACAAAGTCATCCTCCACCCGTGGCCTCGGACCCCTCTTCGTGGCCTATTTTCGCACCTCTTATGCCGATATCTCAGCTACTGACACAAGGCCTAATATTCATTTTGGATTCCGCGTATCAGTCCCCGAACATTCCAATTTCTTCTGCCCAATCGTATCCTTCCCCAGCTATTTCTCTAGCTTTCTCACAGCCAACACCATCCATTCCACATATCATTGAGCCGATCGGGCCCCTCACACCTGCACCATCTGCATGCCAGCGACATGATAATCTCGAATCCCTGTTGAAAACTCCACCTCGACGAACAGCATGCCTCTCAAATAAGTTACCATGCGACACTCTGCCTTCCCAGTTTGCGTCTGAAGGAGCCAGGGACTGGACAGCCAAAGCAGAACCAAATACGCATGTACAACCCCAATGTCCACCCCGCAATATGAGGCTTCGCCTTCCCGCAGAGCAGAGACAAATCCTAGAATCACATTTCGCCAAAACTCCGTATCCAACACGTCTTAGACGTGAAGCAATTGCAAACGAAGCTAACCTTGATGCCAAACGGGTTCGCACTTGGTTTGGCAACAAGAGAGCAGCTTGTAGACGCAACGTAAATGCGGCCGCAGGAAATAATGCAAAGCATTCCGTAGGGGCTCGACCCTGCGCGAATTTCGAACGTCCTGGCGACAAATGCGCAAATCGCAACTCCCTTAAAGGAACGACAAAGCTTGATCGTCTGGAGGGGGCATGCTCATTTCCATACCCATCTGAATGTAGCGACTCGTGGTCTGATAGAACGGGCGAGTGGTAGTGGGGAAAATGGTGTAGGTGTGATTCAGTTTGCTGGGTGGTGTCAAGCTCTGGGGAAGGGGTTTAAACTTGTTCTTCGCGTACTTTTCTCTTTGATTCAGCTTTCATTCACCAACTAGTTAGTGTGTCAAGCCCATGGCGTTAGACGGAGCGTTTATGGCGACTGCTTTCTCGAGTTTCATTCGTACGGCGTTAGACAGGTATTCAAAGATAGGCGTATATACGAAAACAGAACCAAGCCAACATGGCGTTTGATCTGGTATTTTCTTGGTATGGTATGGCTGGTGTCGTAGAGCAAATATCCAATTCTAAGAGGTGGATGGAATATATGAATGATTGCATTTTCTTCAAACACGCTTGATGTGGAATGTGCGACCTCATATCTCTATGTATGCGAGATTTAGACTTGATTTCGTCACATTCAAGGGTGTTGAAGCTCTCAGACTAGTGAACACAAGGAAACCAGGAAAAGCGAGCACTAAGGCATGCACTTCATAAACGAGGACCAGACACAACGCAATTGAACAACATTGCGCCACGCATTCAATTCTCACTCATCTGAACCCTACTCACCCCACCCAGGCTGTAGCCATATCATCAGCCGAGCCAAGTCAGCCAGCTTCTCTCGACTCTCAGCCTACCTCACCCCATACCACCTCACGCACTAAATTAGCTACCTAGCAAAACCAAACCCAATCTCGCGCGCAATAAGAAAATTAAACTCCAGGCCTGTCTTGACGACCTCTTTCCCAAATAAGTACAAGAAGGAGACAGCAAAGATTCCCACACTCGCATCCTAGACCGTGTACAGTTCTGTACGCAACACAAAGAAAAAAAGAGCGAGTAGTAAGCACTTTCTCTGTCTCTCTCATACTAATCCAAGCCAGTCAGCCAGTCCAAGCTACCCGTCAATGGCCTTCCGGACCGACCGCGATCCCTGGTCTGATAGACTGTGCAGCCGATTCAGAAGTCTGCAGCAGAGAAAGCATCATCCCAGCCAGCCGAAAAAATGGTGAATGCAATATTGTAATGTGAGCCAGCCAGAAATGGGGGAATCCATCTAGCTAGACTCATAGCCCGGGTGCGTGTGAGTCCCATTAACAAATGAAAAGGTTGCAGGTAGACGATAGGGGTTCCGAAAAAAGGATAGATTAAATTTCAACAGGCCGAAGGAGGAAGGTCAATGCGCCTGGAACGCCGATCGCTGGATGAGTTGATGATCGTGGTAGAATATGCTAAAGTAACATGAGGAACAGTTTGGTAACGGACAAGAAGTTAGAAGAAGAACAGGAGGCGGAGGAGAGAGGAACGAGCTCCAACGGATAGACGAAATAGGGGATTTGATGTCTCATCCAAATGAGATGATTTTAGACAGCGGTCTAGGTTTGAATGCTCGACTGGATGCTTTGGAAGCGGCTGTAGCCGAGGCTGAACAGGCAAGTTAGCAGAAGTGCTTCTTCAAAAATTCGCGAGACCATTTTTGGAATGGCGTTTGCTGAACCGCTTCCTGCCCTTGAGGGAATTGGTCTCTTCATGCTCTTTTCGAAGATGGCGTGCAGTTGGGATGTTGACCCCGTCGAGGGCAGAATCTCCTCCTAACGTACTGGCAGGGCTTGAAAGAGTCGAGTTGAGATCGTTTAGTGTCGAATCCTCCGAGTAGGAATTTGCCATACTCTGGGAAAGGCCCCAGTCCCTTGCTTTTTCGATGTTGTCGAGCCATTCTTGGGTCGAGTATTTGCTACCTTCTGGATCTCTGGTCGTGTTACTGGGGTCTTCAAAAACGAACTGCTTGTCTTTCTGTAACATGGTGAGTCTATAAAATATAGGGTTGCGAATGATTTTGCCTACTGTTTCAACACACCAGCACGTTAAGCCTTTCGAATCATGAAAGCTTGTCCACGTACAGCCCGGAGCGAGTAGCGACAGCTCCTCTTTGAGCTTCTTGTCGTTCGTCCCCGAAGCACACATCAAGATTCGAGCGCTTGAGGTGACCATAACCAGTCGTTGCCGCTTCTTTACAGTGTTGCCGCCGAAAAACCGTGAGAACTTCTTAGGTGTTTCCACCGCAGCCTCATCTTTTCCTCCAAGGGGATGACCTGGAGGATGTTGTGTGACAAACATTTGATTAAGCATCAATATTCGCTCGTTCCTCTTGGTCAACACTGGAGACCAGTCAATGTCTAACTGACTTGGAGGTGGCAGCTCGGTGACAAGTCGTGGTGTCGGCCGTAGCTGAGTGATAGCGGATGTGCCAGGAGTTGTTGGGCCTGTTACGATGTTACCGAGATGAATACTTGTCGTGCCAGCCGGGCCGCTATTACCATTTAGTCGGATGGGTTCATGAGCAGGTGGAACATAGCTCTTCAGACGCGGAGCCTTTGTTCTCCACAAGCCTTTTCCCCATTGTATTCCATCGAAGAATTCGTGGCTCTTAATATGCTCCATGGGTAATCTCTTCAGTGGATCCAAGACAAGCAACCTCTCAACCAGGTCTTTTGCAACTGGAGGGAAGCCATCTGGGAAAGTATACTCCAATCCTACGATCTTCTGAAATGTTTGATATTCGTTTGCGGCTTTGAATGGAGGTCGTCCAGCGAGAAGCTGGTAAATAATGCAACCGAATGCCCACAAATCACTCGCCTTGCAAGCATTCTTGTCCGTCAGTAATTCTGGCGAGACATACTCAGCTGTCCCGACAAAAGATTGTGCTCGGTCTGATTCGACCCCGTCCAAAGGATCACCAGATATCGAGCCAATTCCATTCGGCTTTAGACTTTCCAAAATCTTTGCTGTACCAAAATCCGTAATCTTGACATGCATTTGATCATCCAATAGCACGTTCTCCGGTTTCAGATCACGATGTATTACCCCTCTTGAATGCATATAGTCGATTGCATCCAGTATCTGAGCGCCATAGAACCGTGTGCACTCGACATCGAATGTTGTCATCTTCTTCAAAAATCCAAGCAATTCTCCACCAGCGGCTAGATCGAGGACGAAGTAGAGCGAACGCTCATCCTGAAAGGTATAATACAGTCGAACGATGCCTGGATGTTCCGTCAAGCGGTTCAGTGTGTCCTTCTCAATATTCACATATTTGACCTTCTTCTCCTTGATAATGTGGCGTTTGTCGAGTACTTTGATGGCGTATTCCCGGAGCGTCTGTCGATCCGTAGCGGCCAGGACGGTACTGTAGGAGCCTTCGCCCAATGTTCTGCCGAAATTGAAGTCCTTCACTCCCTTTTTCACCACTCTTGTGACCGGTCGGCCATTTTGATCAACCTCCTGTCTTGTCCCGACCGCCGCTCCCCTTTCTTTCCAGTCTTCGCTGCTCGGTAGGGGACCGCCTTCGACGCCGTATGGAGAGCCAGACAATTGGCTTGTGGCTGGTGCACTGCTGCTGTTAGTTCCGTCTACGGGAAGACGACGAGAGCTTCTCCGAGGGGGAGCTGGTCCGTTTCCGACGGTTATCTGTGACGGCTGCCGATACCCTCTGTCACTCCTGCTGGATTCTCTGGCGGGTATGCTGCCATGCATGCCGCTCGGTGCAACACGTGAGCTGGCAGATCTCCGAATGTCTGCCACCGTAACGTCATCATTGTACCTGTATGTGCCAGGGTTCGACTGCGTCGTTGCGGAATTCGAGGATAGATTGGGATGGTTATATATGCTAGACATGGGCCGAGTCTGAACGGGTAAGCCATTCCGAGGTTGGCCCATGGTGCCTAACGCATATTGCTGATAGCCCGCCTGCTGCTGGGCTTGCTGGGCGAGAGGGAGGGACTGCCGGTGGACGAGCTGGGGGGTGTATAAGGGCTGCTCTGGGGGGAGCGGGGAGACATGGCCGGCGGGCATCGAGGACGAGTTGGTAGTGAATGCATCTGCATTGAAACCCAGCGATGCTCCGGGGGAGGATTGCAGCTCGGGCAGCAGGTGGGACGCGGCCGCCGGGGGTCTCTGCCTCTCGGTGGCGGTACTCGACGATGACGCTGGACGGGCAGCGGCAGTCTGGTTGTCTGCAGTGCGCGGAGACGGCGAGGGGGAGCTGGCGTCTTCGTCTGGGTTTGCAATGCGCAGCCCGCCGAAGGACTGCGAGAGGCTCAGGTCGCCATTCATCATGGCAGACAAGACGGCCGACGACGTCTCGGCAAGACAAAGTGGCGGTTCGAGTGAATGGCAAGCGGCTGCAATGGCGTGGGAGGGCCCCGAGGCCAAAGACAGAGGGCGGGATGCTGTCGCAAGACAAATGAGGGTCGGCCTGGGGTCCACGGGTGAGGCTTGTTGGCGGAGATGAGAAGGGCTCGGCAGCGCTGACGACTCCGATCAAGCGGGCCAACACCACCATGGCCGCATCGTGAGAACTTGGAAGAGCAACCCGCGCGCCCCAGCCCGCACGACAGCGACGACCAGCTGCTTCTCTATCCGCATCGCACATGGGTTTTTTCCTGGCTTGTACTACTGGCGGTGCAGGACGTGCCCATCGCCGCCGCCTTGAAACTTGTGCCAGGTTACGCGCAATCAATATGCCCAGCATGGCTACGTGCATTGCACCATGTTCCCCGTTGCCCTTGGCCCTCTTCCCATTCCTATTATTGGATGCCCTCCTGGTCGTGCCTGCCCCCGACAGTACAAACGTCTGAATCCTGCGATACTGCCATCAAGATATACCCAGCTCGACGACCGCACCATGGACGCAGGCACTACTTCATCAGCACATCACCCTGCGCTGCCAACACAAGGCCTGCCTAGGGCAGTCGCGAATCCCATAGAGGCGATGTCTGGGTAGGTGAGCAGTGCTGGTCAATCTCCTACCAGTGAAACTCAACCCGCGTGCCGTCCATAGACGAGCTGGCTCACGGCAGCAACGATGCGAATCATAGGTAGGAAGATGTTGGCCATCACTATTTCCTCTCATCATTGATTGCCCTTTTCTCTGGTCAAGTCATTTCGTGTTTACCCCCCACCTTTTGGTTACAATTCTCTTTCAGTTATTGAAGCTTGGCCGTCTCTACTCCTAGCGGGTCCATCACCAGCATGTTACGCTTGAGGCCCTCGGAGATAACCTTGACGCCTGTGGATGTCGAAGAGACACGCCGCCGTATGGCGCGGAGGCAAGCAGCTCTCCCTTCGGCAGGCCTCCCGATAAGGGGTCCACGGCCTTATCCCCCCCTTAGCATTGGTCCCAGACTCCGACCTGGTCCCGAGCACTCCCGTGACGATGCACTCACAGGTCTCGGAAATATCCCAATCCTGAGGCCGCATGAAGCTGTCCATTCCTCTACTGATTCGGACTCTGATGACAGCCTCCCCCAAGCACCTGAGGCAAATGCGGACAATTCAGGAACTCCTGTGCCAGATAGCAGTGCACCAGAAGAAGTCACACCTACTCCGGCTCGTAACATGCAGCTCCCCTTTCGACCTGCTACTCAAGATACCATACCAGCTAGACAATCTCAACTGCCTCCACCACGGCTAAGCTCCAGAGAGAATACTGAAGATGATGCACCTTCTTCGCCACCAAAGCATCAGTTTGGATTTTCGGGCTTTGGTCGGGCACGAACGAACACGTCTGAAGACCTCGCCGAATCAGCCGCTCATACAAGGGAGCAGTCCTCCATTGATGGGGCTGCGGAGGCGAGTCAACATGGTGCAGCCAGGTCTAGCGTTGCTCTTGGGAGAGGTCGAGTCGACTCTGTCCTCCAGCGAAGCACACATGCGCCATCTCCTTTAAACCAAGCACACGCCATAAGCTCGCCTCAGGCGGGGGAGACCGGGAAGGGAAACGGGGAACGAGATAGCAGCCAGCCCCAAAAATTACCCACCCTGTACTTGCACGGATACTTCCTTTCTCCTGAACGTTACGTGTTCAAAGAGTCCCAGATCATGCCGCATACAGAACCCCGGTCACGTCCCGTACGGTCTCCGCGCCGAGTTCGAACAATGTCTTCTCAAAGCGACCCCTCTCAGCCAGCACGGATGCGGAGTCTAGGACGTACTGCACAGTCATCAGCAGATGAGGATTTCTGGACTGCACCAACCGCTGAGGTTCACGGTCGCACAGAGGCGGAGGCCTCAGAGAATGCCGAGGAGCATGATACAGGAAAACGCCGTCCCTCTCTGGATGAGAGGCTGCGAAGTAGGGCGCACACTATATCTGAATCTATTCAAGGCCGCTACCGGGAGCTCTTTGGAAGAACGAGAACAAGCCAAACAGAGCACAATCACATACCTTCAAATGTTGATATCAGCCGTCACGCGTCTCAGGGGGTCAGTGAAGCTTCTACAAACTCTAGTCAACCATACTCTTACTATGAGCTTCCTGCATCTCGACAATCCAGTGGTAATCACCAACAAGGCTCTGAACTCCCACAGGCGCAATACGATGGAGCGGCCCCTTCAAGGCACCTTAGTCGAGGAGCGTATTTCTCCATTCGACCCTCTCAGGTCCGATCAGCGAACGATGGCCACCTTCGCCCACGGCCAACCAGAGTATCGAGCTTTTCGTCGCCCAATCTCCCTGCAATGGTCGGTCATCATGGTGTTTCGCCACTCCCAGCGAGCCCTTATACTCGCATGCATAGCGCCCAGAGCACTCCAAGGCCATCTACAGGTCTTGTTTCACCCAATGACTTTGTTGGTGATGATCAAGATGCTTCAAGTGCCGCGCAGAGAGATCTTTCCTCTCCTTTGGATCTTCTAGAGCAACGTGCGGCTTCCTATCTATCTCGTATCTCATCTGAAATGTATACGGCTCCTTCTCAGCCCAGTTCACGAGTTCCGTCCGCTTTTCAACACGAAATTACGGATTTCGACGACCCCCTACCCGAGTATAGAAGAGTTTCAGGATCAAGTGGTATTCGGCAGGGGTCTGGCAACAGTGCCCATTACCGTACCTCGACTGGCCGCCGCGACCCTGACTTGCGGCCACCCCATACTCGTTACTCTGAACTTTCGTCTACTCGTACTCCAACATCGCAATCGCAGCGTAGAGGCGCACCAGGGAGCAGAGCTGGCCATAGGTCAAGCGAAAATGTCCCTGTTGGCACTTCCACCAACGAAGCCCAGCCCGTTGCTCGCACATTCCCAGGTCAACACGATAGGGTCAGTCAGGGTCAAACCCAGCAGTTCCAACACTCTCAAGTGGCTAGTATTCGGGGTGGCCAAATTCCTTCATCTCCAATTCCTATTCGATTCAGCATGCCACATGCCAGTCCTCGAGATCTTTCAAATCGTCAGATGCAGTTGCCTCAACAGCAGAGCAACATAACGCGATCCCCGCGCGAATATGCTCGCAGCGGACAACCTTATTCATCAAGCCCAAGCTCTCCACCCGAAGGCCGCAGGCAAGGCTTGCAAGGACAAGGCCCAGCGTATGCGGCAATGATCCCACCCCGGAACTCCAGCTACAGACAACGAGCAGAGCCCGATCCCGAGCGTCGCAATCCACCACGTTCCATTGCCGGGTCTCTCCCTTATCATGAACGTCAAACAGCCCCCCAGACATACGCCCCTCGTCATGGTGATCGGCCTTCTGTCGCACCCGAGCAGTTTATCGCAACCGGGAGTCATCGACCTTCCATGCACCGCGCAGGAACGTCACGTCGCAGGATCACCCCTCAGCAACAGAACCAAGAGAACTCTGGAGATGCCGAAGAACAGATGATGAGAGAAGAGCTAGCTGCCGCTGGAATGCGGTATGCAAGGGACGAACAGCAGTTGGATACTATGGATGAAACACCACCGCGCTTGGGCAGATTCGAGAGGCATATGGTGGGTAATTGACTGTCCCGACATTGGAATAGCGTGGAGTAGTCGTGTAAATTGGATGTTTAATAGTAAATGTTGCTTTTGTCCATAGGAACGCCATTGGATTCGACTTCACCCCTTTGGAGTAGAGGAGAGTGTTGTATTGAAAATGGTTAGCTTTAGCACTGCTGGGGTGAGTGTAGGAATGGTAAGAGGCTTGTATAAATGAGGCTAGTCGCCGCGAGGCATTGAACAGTAGCATAGTTTATAACCGAGCAGTGTATTTTTTTTTCATATCGCTTTCATGAGTTCGAAACAGGCCATGGCTTGATAGGGTAATCTCTCTGGAAATATTGGTTAAAGCGCCTAGTCGATGCCTCAATAGAGGGAGTGAGGAATGGGAGCGGAATTGGACCGTTCCGCTAAATACAAATAGAGTTACCACCCTACCCACTTTATCTTTGATCTTCGAACCTAAAGACTCGGGAGAGCGAATGTTGAAGGCACGTGATCAGATCAGGGGCACAGCGGAATATTGAAGCATGAGCTACACAATACAGTTGTGGTATCTAAGCATTCTGTCTTAATCTTGAAAATTAGTAAAGAAAGTTTAGCATTACAGAAGAGACGCTTTATACCAAGCATTAGCTGTTGTCCATCACTATTTGTTCATAAAAACTAGAGGATATCTTATGCAGAATCGGAGCCCATCACATATATCTCACTCCTCTCTCACTCATGCCTCAATAATACTCTCCCCGATATTGTCGTCGATACATTCCTTCTTCACTATCTCCACCGTACTTAACCCATCACTCCCCTCCTATACACACTCGCTCCATTTGCAAGCAAAACCTTCACTATACCCACCTTGTTCTCCCTAATTGTCTTGATCAGTGGTTCCCCCAAATTGTAATACTATCTGATTCTTCCATGTCCCCCCCTATCTCCAGGACTCTCACTAACATCCTCTCATCCACAGCGTCTACCGCACAATGAACAGGATTTGCATTTCTCAACACCCCACCTCATTCCACTAGCAACTCAAGAACCTCTCTATTCCCTCCTCTCACTACCCACGCAAGAATAGACCCCGAGTTCGAAACAAACTGGTCTCCCCCAAATATCTCTACCGCAGCAACGGCATTCGGACTGAGATTCGGATTTGCACCACAATCTAAGAGATGTTTTACAAGTCTACAAGTTCTACATCCCTCGTAGCGTAGTTGAGCATAATCTAGCCCCCAAAACTAGTCCGTTTCGGAGAGGAAAAAGGGAGAAATTCTTCATAAATTCCGAGTAAAGTCGAAAGAATCGTCGACAGTGCATGTCTGTCTTAGACCATTGGGTTGCTCCCAGGGGGGATATGGCGCTGGAGGTCGTTGGGTATTTTTCATGGTTTTTGGCGCAGAAAATAATATTAAGTCAAGTTTTTGTCGTGGTTTATGTGCATTCACTTATGCTAGCTTCCCAGAATACCACATTGAAAGGTAAGGCTCCGAGGGGATTGCTGTAATTTTAAAACGGTTTTATAGGTCCAAGAAGAAAGGCTCTTGTTTTAACACTACGCCCGGTTCTCTAGGCCGTGGAAAGCGAGATGGGAAATCGTGGATATATATGGAAGAATCACGGACCTATCAAGTTTGAAGCCGAAACGAAACAAGCCACACGTCGAAGAATTTTAGAAACTGGCAACAAGAAAATTGGGTTTAGAAACGTTCCTATGATTCTTACACATTAAGTTGCTGAACTTTCCAACTATGCCTTATGCAACGACCTCATTCACTAGGTCAACAAAAAAAGAGGTCACTGATTCCTTCAACACAATAATAATCAAAATTGTCTCCGGTATCCACCACTAATCCAAGCCTACCGTGGCTTTTGACACATTCAGCTCACTAACACGTAAAAGTCCTCCCAAACCCAGCATTCAAAGGCTTCTACCCCACTTTCTTAGGATCATTATAGCCACAACTGTTTCCTAAAACCTCATTACATCCCACTACAAATGAACTTTCAGACCCACTGCTTCTAGCCGTATTAAAACTAGGCAGGCAACCACCACCCGCGTCCGCCTCCACTATGGAGTAATTCTAGTATTGTCTTTGTTGGTGGTGTTCTAGATGTTGATTTGCACTTCGCTGTGAGTGTCACCGTCGCTGCTACTGAGAATGGCGCTAGTCGTGTTGGGCCAGGAAGCAGTCTGCTTATTCAAATCTAACAGCGTCCATTCTACTGAGAATGTTTCACGTTCCATATTTTGGTAGATGCAAATTTTAACTCGTTTAGCTTGTGTCTAGGCCTTGAAAATCGCCTTACAGTCTTGCTGACCTGGCGGCTGTTGGTTCGGATCACATTGGATGGGGATGGTACCGTGCTTTAACTTGCGAAATGGTTGGTCTAGCTGAATGGTAATATAATCTATAATAACAGCTCTGAGATAGGCCTAGGAAAGATTGCGAGCTCGCACCGCTGAGTGTAACGTTCCCGAACCTAAAGATGTCGAGCACATGAGAGCGAAATAGAGCATCTGTAATGGGGGTAACACTATCGTCGAGGTTGCCATTCGCACTGACCCCTCATTTGAAAATATGGGAATTTCCCAGAAGTAAGCGATCCAGATTGTACGCTGAGCGATTACCATCACAGATGAGCCGCCGTGGATACCTGAGACGCCCGTGTTTAATGGAACATTCCTAAAGTCGAATTGCTTACCTGATGAAATACCACCAACAGGGCTATCCCCATTGCCGGCTATGGGGATAATATTCCCGTGTAATTGAGCTATCACCATCTGGTCCACGATGAATTTGTTTATGCGCCGTGGTGGTTGGTCGTCAAAGTCCTCTGGGATGGGGATGGCGATTGTGCGTTTGTTCTTGGCGGTGCTGGAGCGTGATGTTGGCATTGAAACAGGTCCACTGTCAGAGGGATCGGGGGCGCCTTTAAAGCATCTGAAAGGAGATGTGGGCTCCTCAAAGACTGCAAGGGTAGAAGTAGTTTGACGACCTGAACTTACGACTTCTGGAAGGGCGGTTACGCATCTAGGATCCTTACAGGAAGTTATCAGGGCTAGCTGGTTCGTTGAGGAGTATGTCTGGATGCGTAGTGTTGCTGATCTTCCATCCTTGCAGTCGGGTGAGTCTGCAGGCTGTGGGTCAGATGGCGGCGGGGGAGATGGTGGTAGAACTGGCTTTGTGGGACCTAGACTGTTAAAATCCGGACTTTCATGATCTGGGTTCTCAGGATCTAGGTTCACCTGTTTTGGTGTTGTAGGTGGTGGAGGCCGAGGCGGAGGTGGGGTTTTCTGTGCTAAGAGGAAGTGGTGGAGGATTGCTTGTATGAACAGGAAGTGGCGGTAGCGCATCCGTGCTAGTAGTCTCTGTAACAGCAGATGATGGTATCGATACAGGCTATGATACATTCATTAGTATCGTATAAAAATAATTATGCGAAACACCAATCAACTAACCGCCTCGCTACCTATTACTTCAGTAACTGTAGTTGATATAGTCGTAGTCATATCTCAGTTCCTGCGGTCCGTAATTATAATAGGGGTAATGGTATGAAGGGAGCCGTCTATGTTAGTGGTGACTGTGAATATGAGAGATGGATTCTGAAGGAGTGCGATGTTAGCCGTGGAGAAGTCGATAACCCCAAGAAATAAAAAGATTCATAATCGGGGGCCCGCTCAAAGAAAAACAGTAGGAAATATGAACGAAAAGAGAATAGGAGGAAGAACGGAAAGAGCCAAGGAAAAGAAGGGAGACGATATGTGGCGACAGAGAAAAGAAGATGATCAAGAGTTGATCGTAATATTTATATACTTTCTAAGCATGGCCCTCACCCTGTACGAGCATCGCGCCACGGTGCGTCTTCGAGATAAGACTCTCCTCAAGATCGTAAAAATAGTGAGTTGTTGGTGGAGGGGTATTCTTGTTTCAAATCTGGTCCCCGCCTTTTAGAAGCACTGCAAAGATGCATTTTTGAAGAAGTACCCTTTCTTCAAGACCGTAAAATAGTGAGTTTGTTGGGGTAGAGGTTGCTCCGTTTCAAACCCGGTGATCCATCCTGGGAAGGAACTCGTATCGGAGAAGAAGTGCGTAGTACCTTTCGGTGTTTAAGTTCGCGGCGTTTGCGCGCTTGTAAGCTTACTGTTCATGACTTTGTTTTATTGTTCCTCTCCTCAGGGAACGGTGGCTCCAATTAGCTTTGTGTGTGGGAAGTTTGGGGACGGCCCCGAGAAGAACTTTGCCATCGAAGGACGCCGCCATCGGGCTCGAAGTGATTTTCAGGTCGGGTGATGCATTGGGAGTTCGAAGTGTTCAGCCATGTACCGATAAGGAAGTGTTAGCCAAGCTGGCTGAACGCCCCATTTCGATGACCTTGCAAACGGATCCAATCCACCCAATCCTTTCACAATTACGGGCTCGGTAGATCGGTTCCCAGCTTCCGCTCCGTGGAACCCCACCTGGGTCTCTGCCTGCAGCTTAATAGGATGGACAACGGACAATTTGCGCACTAATTTTCCAAACCAAGAACGAAGATGTATTTCGTGACTCACCCTTACTTCTTGCTGTTATTGTCAGTGACAGTATATCTTCTATCCTCTTCTGTTGTCGATTCTAATACTTCTGATTAATATTCTGTATCTAGACTTTCTGCCTATCTGGTGCCTCGTGCTACCATCGTCGACCTATCATGGACTCCCTTTCAATCAGAACTGTATCCACCCTCAGCAAAAGAGGCGCTGAGCTAGCCGCAGGCGACAGTCTACGGGATAAAGCTGGCGCAATCATGGCAACGAAATGGGATCCGGTGAAAAATCCAGATGGTATAGTTAACATTGGGACTGCAGAGAATGTAAATAGCCCGATTCGGAATATCCATGGGAATAGGGACCATGTAGTAGGCTGCGGCAAATCTGCTGACTCTTGTTGTAGCATCTAATGCTGGATGACGTTGCTACTTTTATCAAGTCGAAAGATGTGCGTTGGTTGATATCTGCGATCAATGAGACATAACTGATGGTTGGAGGAATAGCTTCATCTGGAAGGAGAGGAATTCAATTATGGGGAAGGACCATGGGGGTCCGTTCGTCTGCGTAGTGGAATGGCGAAGTTCATTAACAAGTATGATCTGGGGTCTTTCCCTGCCGAAGTTGTTTTGTCCTTTGGTAATATTTATCGGCTGTTGATCTTCACTGACGAAATGCAGATACTTCCACCCATATAAGCCTATCACGGCGGATGAGCTCACAGTTGCGAATGGGTGTACGCCCATCTTTAACATGCTTGGAATAGTGTTGGGAGACCCGGGAGATGGCATCATGCTGTCGATGCCAAGTTATATCGCCTTTCCCATGGACTTTGGCCTTCTCGCAAAGTAAGTCTGATCCTCCTGACTTTTTGAGCCAGAAATCCCGCCAGAATCTCGGGGGCTTATATGTAGCTTGATCCTGACCTTTCTAGAATGAAGGCCGTCTTCGTTCCATTCCACGATACCGATCAATTCTCACCCTTGGTTGTGTCTAAGTATGAAGAAGCCCGTCGCAAGGCCGAAGATTCTGGAACTCGCATTCGCGTTCTTCTGCTCTGCAATCCACACAACCCATTGGGGCTATGCTACACAAAAGACACACTAATCGCGCTCATGGAGTTCTGCAATGAACACAAGATCCATATCATAGCAGATGAAATCTACGCGATGTCGGTTTACGAGGTGCCGGAGTCTACTGCGGTGCCTTTTACTTCAGTGCTGTCTTTCGACTACACTCAATACATCAATCCTAATTATCTCCACTTCGTTTACGGAATGTCAAAGGACTTTGCCTGTGGCGGCCTGCGAATGGGTGTCCTATGGTCCCAAAACAAAGACCTCGTCCGAGCAACAAGCTGTATAAACCAATTCCACTGGTCGGGCCAAATCGACGAACGCGTCGCCGTCACCATCCTCGAAGACTCAGACTGGCTCGATACTTTTCTTAAAACCTCACAGCAGCGACTCGCAGCAGGAAACAAGCTGGCGCGACAGCTGATGGATGAAGCGGGGATCAAGTACTCTGCAGGCTCGAATGCAGGGTTCTTCTTTTGGATTGATTTGAGTTCGTGGTTGAGGGAGCAGGATGGGAAGGACGGGTGGGAGAGGGAGGAGAAGCTACTGGGAAGGATGTTGGGGAACAAGGTGTTCTTGACGAATGGCAAGGCGCAGGCGAGCGAGAAGCCTGGGTTCTTTAGGTTGGTGTTTAGTCATGAGGAGGTGGTGTTCAGGGAGGGGTTTAAGAGGCTTGTGAGGACCTTGAAAGAGGCATAGAAGAGTATTGATATAAATAGGGATGTAAGTCGTCGATGATTTGCGGTCTATTGGTGCATAGTAGGATAAAAAATGGGGTTTAGAAGACATATCGCTCCCCTTGCTGGATATTACGGAAGGGCTCGGGGGTTATTTTCTTTGGCCTTATTTTACAACCTTGGTCGTTCCTAATTGCGTGTGACAACATGCGGTACCACAGATCGCGTGATGAAGGATATTTGGGTTGTGCCCCGCAAAGTGACATGTGAATGACGGGTTCTGGAAGCTTCCAGACCCGAACACTGGCTGGAGAGGTTTCACATTCACGGAGACAGACAAGATGTACTACACAGTAGTAAGTGAATTGCCTTGGAGAAGGTTGCGGAGGCTTGAGTTAACTATTGACGAGTGAAGTAGAAGAAAAGATTGTGAAAGCGAAAGATCCCGAGATCGAGCGAACAGATCACGTGTCAAATCTTGGCATCGGCATTTACGCCAAGTGTAGGGTCACCGTTCTCAACCCCATCTGCATCCGCACCTTTCGCGACATCTCGTCATGCGGATCGGTCGCGGCAACCTTCATTTCATATAACTGACGCGCACACGCTATTGTTTCTATCGGTGAACTGGTTGCTATTACTGTCCATAGCGGCACCCGCCGCATCCCTCTATTCATCATGGCTTTTCAAGCGCCAGTTGCCGTTCAGGTAAGTTTTTGCCACGGATCCCTACAACCCCAGTGAGGATTGCTATGCTGACCACTTGGTAGAATGTTGTTGCCGCTACGACGGAGCTATGGCCTACAATGTCGGCTATCCTAAAGTCTCCATGGCAAGGTCTCCGTCGACAGTCGACTTCGTCGGGTGGTGCTGGACAACATCAAGTCGCGGGATCAAGGGAGAAGACTCCGACACCGGAAACGAAGGTCTGCATCTCATTCTCAAGAAATATCATGCTAGTACTGATACATTCGTAGCCTCACTCCCAGCTCACCCTGCCAGAGTCCCTCGAATCGATCCCTATCTCCGCATTACATCAGATGCCCTCACCCGATGCCTTGAGGACGATACCCACCGTTATCGGAACCATAAATTCAGGTCAGTACATGTTGAAAGGCTTGGGACTGTGGATGATTAATGCCTGGTAGTGCCTCGCAATGCGCTCCGGTTTTGTAATCCGATGGCTCGGAGCATGCCCATCAAAGCTCTCATGGCGCGGCAGTACTCAACAGTGTCGCGCTTCGGACCCCTCTCGAACTTGCGCCCTGTTCCAAGGCTAGGAAATGTCGGATTGGCTTTTGCCCAGCAACGATCGATCTTTGGCGCGCCCTCCCACAGCGTGCTCGCCCGCCTGGAACAGACGGCGAACAGCAAACCGAACAGCGCCATGGCTCAAGGTGCTTTCTACTCTGCATTGCTCCGCGCCGACATGCCTCAGATCATTGTGGATAGGTATCGTACGGGACAGTTCGCATCCGACCCCATGGTCAACTCATACTACGAGAAGGCGTGCCAAAAGCTAGGCCAGTCAACAAATACGGGTATTCAAGCAGGGCAAAACATCCAGGCTGGCAATCTCACCCCTCAGCAAATGCAGACGCTTGGTCAAGCTGTGGGCGCTCATGTTGGCGGAGGCCAGCTTGGAAAGACGCGAGGCGGATCTGGTGTGAAGAGTGATCCTCTTTACGTTGTCATTGAAGAGTCTATGTGGAGTACCATCTTCAAGTGGGCCAGGTGGCTCCTGGGGTTCGGTCTCTGCGCCTACGTCGCCCTAATCCTGATCACACTCTTCGTCGAGACTAGCGGTGTTCTAAAGAAGGTCGGTGGTGGCAGTACCGCGGAGGTCCGGCCGGAACACCAGAATACCCGCTTTAGCGATGTTCACGGTTGTGACGAGGCTAAGGAAGAGCTTCAGGATCTCGTAGATTTTCTCAAGAACCCCGAACGGTACAACAAGCTCGGCGGTAGACTTCCAAAAGGTGTCTTGCTCATCGGACCTCCCGGAACTGGAAAGACCTTGCTTGCACGTGCCGTTGCGGGTGAAGCTGGCGTTCCCTTCTTCTACATGTCTGGTTCCGAATTTGACGAGGTTTACGTTGGTGTCGGCGCAAAGCGCGTTCGTGAGCTCTTCAATGCCGCTCGTTCAAAAGCACCTGCTATTGTTTTCATCGACGAAATTGATGCCCTTGGTGGAAAGCGGAATTCTAGGGATGCGAACTACCACCGCCAGACTCTCAACCAGCTCCTTAACGATCTCGATGGTTTCGACCAGAGCACCGGTGTCATCTTCATTGCTGCTACCAATCACCCTCAACTTTTGGACAAGGCCTTGACCCGGCCTGGACGTTTCGATCGCCACGTTGCCGTTGAATTACCAGATGTTAGGGGACGAATGGCCATTCTCAAATATCACATGAAGAAGATTAGACTCGCCCCTGACGTGGATCTTTCTAAGATCGCTCGTGGTACTCCCGGGTTTTCTGGCGCGCAACTGGAGAATCTTGCAAATACAGCGGCTATCCAAGCTTCGAAACATCAGAACAAATTCGTCTCTATTGAGGACCTCGAGTGGGCCAAAGATAAGATCATGATGGGTGCTGAGCGTAGGAGTAGAGTCGTCGGACTCAAAGATAAGCTGCACACTGCTTACCATGAGGGCGGCCATACTCTTGTTGGCCTTTACACGAAGGGTGCCAATGACCTACATAAAGCGACAATCCTTCCACGAGGCCCCGCTGCTGGTATCACCTTTTTCCTCCCCAAAGACGAGGGACACAAGACGCGCTCAGAATATCTAGTCGATCTTCAGGTCTCTATGGGTGGAAAGGTGGCTGAGGAGATTATCTATGGAAATGAGAATGTGAGCGCTGGTGCTTCTGGTGACATTCAATCTGCTACAAGACAGGCCTACGCGATGGTTACCATGTGGGGATTTTCTGACCTCCTTGGTAACGTTGACTTCAACTCCAATTACGACCAGCTTTCTCCCGATACCAAGCGTCTCATTGACAATGAAGTTCGGCGATTGATTGACGAGGCCAAAGACAGCGCAAAGCAATGTCTACTGAAGCATCGGAAGGAGCTGGATGTGCTTGCTCAAGCCTTGGTCCAGTACGAGACACTGGATAAGGAAGAAATACTCAAAGTACTGAAGGGGGAGAAGTTACCAGACCGGCTCATGTCTATGCCAGATACGCTTATTAAGCTTCCCTCGCCAGCAGCAGCGCTAGCACCTGGTAACGGCAGCGATCCAGGCCCTCCCAGTCCAGGGGTTCCAGCTTAGAGTAGGGAAGGATTATTAATTTGAATTTCCAACTTTCTGGCATGCATCTGCGATTGCGAGGCGAATGGCGTTGCTCTTCCGACTCTCACTCATTCACTTCGTCTCATGACGACGTCTTGACTTACGGTCACTTTTTCAGTTTTCCTTTCCCATGTACTTTTATCAAAACGATTCGAAACTTCTGTGGGTTTGGACATGTCTTTCGCGCTTTGGTTGCGCGGAAGTAGCTGGGATATGGGTGGGCGGACGGAGTGTAGTTTAGTTTGGCTAGGTATGAATGGAAAATAGTGAACCGAACTGTATCATCCTTGCTTAAAGTGAGTTGCTTCACTGATCCCGTCTTCCATTTTGTCTGTGGCATGAGGCCACTGAGCTACATAGCTCGGTTTAGCGGGGTTATGGAGCCCCGCTACAGGCACATGTCTTGTCGCAACATTCCACTTTGCATGTTTAAGGGGTTTCTCCATGCACTCTATACTTGGAAGAACTGCTAGAACAATGTCGTCGTCAAGATGGAAAGAGCTATCCCGCTACTCAGCTTGCGATGTACGTTTGTCCGAATCCATGAACTATTGGAGCTGATAAGCCATATAGATCGCAGACGCGCTCCTGAAGCTCAAAGTCCGTGGTGCTGGCTTTCTAGCTGATATATGCATGCCTCACCTGTTTAATCTCACCTCCACTGCATAAGCCAATTAACACAAACCAGCTCCAATGCCCCGGACGACATCACGCCCAAACCTCGAACTTACAAAGACGCTGGCCCCAGCCTCCACATTCCTCATGCTCCCCAAACCCTCTGACTCCTTCCCCAACCCAGCTGATATCTCATCCAAAGTTCCCGCGTCGAACGTCGAGGTTGGAACACCGTACGCAGACTACACTGAAAAGGATACAATCGTCGTGATTAGCCAGCCCTCGGGTCAAAAATGTGCAGTTGTCGGCGGGATAATGGCCACACGGATGAAGGTCCTCGGCGCCCAGGGCATCATCGTTGATGGCAGAGTTCGAGATCTCGGGGCGTTAGGCGGGCTCGGTCTTCCTGTCTGGTCTAAGGGCACGTCGATTATCGGCGCGGGAGCGGAGTCGAGGCTGCATGCTCGGAATGTGCCAGTTCAGGTTGGTGATGTAGTGGTAGAGCCCGGGGACATTGTTATGACGGATCACGAGGAGAATGGGGTTGTGGTGGTTCCAAGGGGAAGGGTGGAGGAGGTGTTGGGGTTGCTGCCGAAGTTGGTGGAGGCGGATGAGAAGGTGGTGAGGGATGTTGAGGCAGGGGTTAGTGTTAGGGAGGCTTTTGGGAGACATAGGAACTAGAATCACCTCCCCTAAAATCCAATTGATCTATTCTAACCCAAATATCATCCTACAGAGGACTTCAAGCAAGCTCTCCCAAAACCTGCCAAACCATCCGCAAAATCTCGCTGACTAACCCCACTAGCGCCCTTTCCCAACCCGCCAAATCCTCGCCAACATCACCAGCTCTCCGAACCCTCGCATCCCCATCCTACGCCCGACACACGCTACCTCCCACTCCAATTGCATACCCACTCTCACAATGGGTATCACCGATCTCCTCACCGACATCTGGGATACCTTCTCCCACCCCTCACCCGATGCCGAGGCTCCTCCCAAGCCCGCCTCCGGCTCCGATGAGGAATCGGGCGACGAGGCTAATGTGAATAAGGCGGATGCGAAGAACAGTGGGGATGGTGAGCAGGGGCATGAGCCGAGCAATGAGGAGGAGGAAGAGGAAGAGGAGACGGTTGATCCGAAGGATACTCTGGAGGATGGTATGTATATTTCGCTGGCTCTTGACTCTACGCTTGGAATGGGAATTGGAGTTGGGAGTCTTGGTTTAATGTGAAAGAAGGGGTTTGAGAGGTCAATGGATGGGGTTGACTGGGAGGGTTGATGAAAGCCGCGCATTTTGGCAACCACAGCATTCCGCATCACCGAACATGTCCATTGCAGGCTAACATATGTGTCCTACAGAGTGCAAAGAGTCCAAACAGTGTGCTCCAATGAAGCACCACTACGACGAGTGCGTTGAGCGGGTAACGGGTCAAATCGAGAACGACGGCAAAGCGAGTGAAGACTGTGTGGAAGAATGTTAGCCCCCCCCCCCCACCACCACTCTTAACCTCAAAACTGAGACTAATCTATGGTATTCAGTCTTCCACCTAGCCCACTGTGCAACCCAATGTGCCGCGCCAAAGCTCTTCGCGCAACTCAAGTAAAGCGCTCACCGAGTCGAACTGGTGATCCGTCTGCATTTAACGTCGAAGAAGATGGGGTGGAGGTGGATCTGGTACACTTATGCCCGATGGTTGGATCGATAACGACGCGGACAGGCAAATCCCGGATGCAATCAAGGCGAATTGTAAATACCGAGATCATGTTTAGAATATCACTGTACTATTCCCTCACATCCTGACGCTCTCGTTCTGTGAATGGTATCTTGAATACTAGGGAGGTGTTTTGTGAATGTTGCTCTATGTGTCGAGGCTCTGCGATTTTCCATCTTCTCTGGAAACAGGAATTGCCTCGACAAATCTAAATTCAGAATTCTCACGTATTGCCTATTTTGCACATAATTTGTCATTCATATCAGGTATCTCGTCGCAAAATCCCAGCCATTACTGATACCCATACCCATACCAATCCTCATAACCCAGCAAAAACCAAAAGCACACCAACGCCTGTTTCCAATTCTCAGTTCATATATTACTCCCTACGCGCATTTGGATTCTCCTCCGCTATACCTTCAGCCACACCCCCATCCCTCTCTCTATGCTCATCCAGCCTCAACCGTCCCTTAACCTTCCCCTCACCCAATCCCAACCACTCCACTCCCATACAAAGCGGCAAAGGCAACACTGCCAACCCAATAACCGCCTGAAAAACCAGCGCCTTGAACATATTCCCTGGCGGTCGGTCTCCCGTGCCCGTCCCCCGCCCCTCTTTACTAACCTCCATCAAATCCACACTCCCGTCTTTCAACGCATTCATTACAATGATGTAAATACACGCCACAAGCTGCCCCCCCGCCCAACAAATCGTAGATCCGACTTCCGGGGAGGCCGGAAATGTAACTTCAACGAGATATTCCAGCGTAATAGGAACAAGCGAGAAACTGCCTGCGCCTAAGAGCGCCGCGATTGTATACGGAGCCGCTAGCGTCCTCGTCTGCGGTGCCCACACCAGCGCTAGATACGAGATTCCAATCACCGGAACTAGCAGCTTTATCCCAAGTAAATACGCATGCGAGCGGTCCAAGATCGGTGAGGTGATGGCAGCGGTCACGAGACCCACCACGATGAGCAAAGCGCCGCAGATGCCGGCTTCGGATTCAGAGTAGCCGTAGGGGTAGAGGATTTGGTTTATGAGGGAGGAGAAAGCGTTGAATGAGCCGACGTAGATGACAAAAGGGGCGAGGATTAGCCAAAAGGAAGAGGAGTTGGCAAGTTTGTAGACGGATTCTTGAAGGTTGATTTTCGGGAGGTGGGAGGATGCGGATGGAGGGGTAGGAGGTTTGGCAGGGATGAAGAAGCCAGGGACGGTAGCTATGGTAGTCTGGGGGGGTTTTTTTTAGCGGGGTGTTGATGGAGGGAGGTTATGGGCGATGAGGTAGGGTCGATGTTGGCAAATGGGCAACGGAAAAGGCGGGGGGGCTTAAAGGAGATGGGACTGCCTTACAATAACAGCAACGTAAAGCACCATGTTTGGAACTTCACTCGCCTTAGTCGCCCAGAAAGGAACAACCAATTGAGCCAACTACACATGAACACATGATTAGCATACATGCTCTCTCCGACGACCCGATCTCAAGGAAAATTACTTACAGCAGCACCAAACGGATTCGCCAAACTAGCCACGGCCGTAGCGCTCACTCTACCAGACTCGGTAAACCAAAGATCACTATACCTCGTCGGCGCTGCCAGCGCAAAAGGCTGTGCCAAACCAACCACAATCTGGCCAAACATGAGAGGTCCATAGGTGCCGCCTGAGGCACGTGTGCCAGCATATCGGATCCAGCTTCCGACGAACATGAGGACGGATGACCACAGGATGGCTTCTTTAGGTCCACGGTTGAGCGTCCAGATCACGAACCTGAGATCGGAATCAGCGGTGAGTAAGGACTTGGGAGAGAGATGTACATACGGAACCATAACAACAAAAGCAAACATAAACCCCGTACTCAGCCAATTAATCGCTGTCTCCGAGACTCCAAAGTACACAGCGGAGGTTGTTGAGACAGGCGAAAATGTCAACCACTGTTGACCGATTAGCACTACATCTCTCAATCCAACCCAGATATCCTCAGGGGCCAAAGGAAAACGGTCCCGCAACGTGACACATACATTAAAAGAGAGTACGATGTTCAGTAACACCAACTGCACCAACCCAAACCATCGTCGCTTGTACACGCGGAAATGCGTATGACTATAACTCCTGTGATGTCTCCTCCCATGCTCTCTGTGCTCCGCATGCCCCTCGCTGTCTCCTCCCTGCTCTTGCGCTGACGACGGGCCATGCGTATGGGCATGCACATGTTCGTGGCTATGAACCCGACCCTCATTAATTCTCGTCATAGTCTCTTTAACGTCATCCTCCTGCTGGGTCGCATTCTTATCAGGGATGGTATCGGAATCGCTCTTTGTCCTCGCGAGGTCGTTCATTTTGACCCACGTGCCTCTACCTTTGGGTCTGTCGCTGGACGTGTCCCGGTTTCCCGCGATCGAGCCACTAAAAGGGAGATGGCGGACAACAGACGACAGTGACGCCGTTTCTGAAAACCGCGTGAGCATGGGCGAACAACCTGCACTTAAGTGCTGAGCATTGCCGTTCGATATGCAATGCAGAAACGGCCAGACCTCTGCATGAGAGAGTCCGACGCGCTCGGAGGAGGATGTCTTTCAGGTGCTAGGGCCGCCTTAGGGGGTCCCTCTCAGGATCCCGTACTGGGCAAAGGATTCTCCGGACACAAGCAAATAAACTTGGCTGGTGGCCTTAGCTCCTAGACCACCAATATCTACAACCACATTTTACACAGAATTCGATCCTATATTGCTCTTCTGAAATGGTTGAGCACCGAAAGAGGAAGCGCCCTCTATTTTCTACGTCCCCGCCCGTCATTACGCCCGAGAAGGATGCTCACGAGCAGCTCCAGACCCAACAGTGCTCTGCTATTCTCGCAGCGCTGTATATCTATGAGCAGGACGATGTTCCTTGCTCCTACAACAAGCTAAAGCAGCACTTCAATGTGCCTACCTCTACAATCACTGATATATTTAAAACAAAACACGCTCGTCGATGACAGAACTCAGATGATCTAGGCCGTCGTAGAACACTCTGTTAGCTTACGAACTCCGACGTCAACGCAATCCTATCCTATATAGATGATTGCCCATCCGATAAGAAGGCAGATCCATGGTAAGACCTAGCTTTTTTGAGTTGGTGTTGACCTTCTAGAGGGCAAGAAGAACTTTTCAGAGTGCGCAATAATGAGAAGATGAACAAGACGACTAACGGCTACCTAGCATGAAGCAGTAGAGCGTACAGAAGGCAGGGCAACGAAGTACTGAGTAGCTTAAGTAACTTTATATGTATTTATACTATAAAATATCGAGCTACTATAGAAATTACTAGGTGCTGGAATACCAGGTGGTAAGTGCTTACATCTTGAGTTTCCTTGCGCACGCAGTAGGGCGGTGCCTCGAGGGGAACGCGCTAGTGCAGAATGGGGGAAAGTAAGCCGTTGGCGAAACGTGTTGAGGGGGGCTTCATCTGAAGCTTAAGATCTTGTGGCACCAAGTTCAACGATAACGGCATGTTTCATTCAAGCCATCGTGCGACGAGATCGCGTAGCTTACGCAGGGATGATACCTTCTTTGCTGTCACCCTGTGATGTCTTGCTAAACTCCACTCGACTGGATTACTGATGAACACCATTCAATACAAATTGGCACAGGAAGATACTTGTCAGCTACAGCATATTGACGCCTGCTAGGGATGACGACAGGGATTCTCCGATTCGTCAAGGTCACTTGCTAGAATTAAGAAGTGTTTCAAGACGGTGAAGTTTTCTGCCCTAGATCAGACACATTATATTCCATTGTTGGGGGTGCCGACATGCCGCAGGACATGCAATGTAAACTAGAATGTAGACTTTGTGGTAGAGAATTAAAGGCTATAAGAACCGAAAAGTATGGAAGAGAACATAAAAGAACATATCCTCCGTTATCATCACATTATTTTCCCCACTTCCCGGTCCTACCCAGTATTCCATGCATTTCCGGGAGCGCTTTATGCAGAATCCGTCCGTCATGACAACGACTAGACGCCATGGAATGCACTACCGGTACCCAATACAAGTCAGTATGCTAAAAAAAAAAAAAGGAAAGTCAAAACGCCAATCTAAGATGCTGTTTAAAGACTGGTTCCACTCAAGGCCGGATGGATTGCCTCCACCGATCAACCATATCCCTCTGCCTCGGATCCATTGCTGGCTCTAGAGACTGTTGCATAGGCATTCCGTTCATTTGCATGGGTAAATTAACCATGGAGGATTGCCGCATACCACCCACCTGAGGGTAAGGATATGTCATGCCTTGCATGCCATTCATAGGCATGCCCATGCCCATGCCCATACCCATACTCATGTTCATACCCATATTCATGCCCATGTTCATGCCCATCATCGGTTGGGGCATCATGTTTGCACCTGGAAGGCCATAGCCGTTGGGTGCCACGCCCATAGGATTCATAGCATTGATTCCGAAAGGAGCCATACCCATGTTTGTTTGGGGGAAGTAGCTGTCTCGCTGTCCTGGGAAATTCATGCTTGGCATGCTTGGAAGCATGCCGCCCACTACTGGAGGGGTGAACATCATGGAGGGTGCAGATAGTGGTGCGGTCTGAGGCGTTGCTGCAGTACGCTCACCGTACATCTTGTCCTTGTAAGCCTGGATTTTAGCGTCGATGGGCTGCTCAGGTGCCTCCTTTCCGACATCTCCTAAAAGGGGTTTATCCAGACTCCCGTAGCTGGAAATGCGTCGGTTCGCATCCAACATGTTAGCTCGTCTTTGGGACTGTTTAAGCTCGTTCTTTTGGAGGAGGCTGCCTTGGGGCAAAGCAGATAAAAACTGCTCATCGGAGACCTTGCGAGCTGCGTTGGAGTTGTCGACTGGATGAGCTGAGAGAATATCTGCCATACTCATCGAGGCTCGAAGAGGAGGACGGCTGCCCAAAGGATTGGCATCACCGCGGGCGACCGCTTCGGCTCGCAAGCGCTCACGGCGTTGGCCAAGGGTCTCCTCCTCTCCTTCCCCTGCAATTGGTGATATCTTCGGCTTTTCTTCTTCTGGGGACACCCCAAGCTGGCTCAACATCTCAGCGGCGAAGTCACCGCTGACAGTGCTCTTGCGCACATCAGTGTCAAGAGCGTTATCAAGCGTTTGCCGATTTTTGAGGCGGCGGAGGCGCTGCGCAAGAGTCTCCCCTTCATCGTCCTCCTCCTCCTCAGGCTGAGGAGTGGATGTAGCAGGGTCGGCCAAATATTGCTGGCTTAGAGAGATCTCCGGAATCTGTGTCCGGCGCTTGCTCGGGCTATGATCTCTGGCTTTGTTGGGATCTACGCCGAGGAGCCTAGTGCGACGCCGACTTAGTGGCTCATTATCCTCGAGCTCGCGCTGCGCGATAAGTCCCAACGGACGATCCCAGTCTGACGTCTGTTGGGCGGCGGCTCCAGTTCTCTTGTTCGCTAGTCCCTCACGAGCAGGGAAAAGGACACCAAGGGGCACATCGTCATCTGAGTCATCATCTTCATCTCCTAAGGCAGGAGCAGCTTCCCAAGCAAGATTGACCTTTTGTCCCTTGCGGCGATTCTTTTCGACCTCGGCCACAGCGTCGAGCTGGAGCAAAGTGGCATGCATTCCATTTGGAAATGCGGTTGCAGCAGTTAAATTGCGGCTCTTTTGTTGTTGCTTACGCATCTGAAGCTCTGCAAGAAGGGTGGTTGGAGGGCCAAAATGTTGGAGATGCTGATTCTCCTCCTCTTCCTCTTCCTCTTTCACTTCCGCCTCTTCTTCCCGCTGAACTTCATCGTCGGGATGGACGATATGATCGCCATCGACGGATCGGCCGGTTGGTGTCATTTCGTCCCTTGCTTCGCGGCCTCTTCCTTCTTGATTTGGATCATCAAGCTCATCCCCTAAGCTCATTCGGCTGGCGCTGGCCCTGACAGTCAACCTGTTTAAGTCTTGGGAGCTGTTCCGTTTCTTCAACTTATTTAAGGGGTCGCCGCTTGAGTTCCGGCGAGTGTCTAGAAGGTTGAGGGAGCTTCGACTCTTTCTCGCGTCCACTTTGTCCTGCTCAGTGCTCTTGGAGGGTTTCCGGGTATGCTCACTCGCATAGATATCGGCACCTGCGTGACCGACAAATGGATGATCAGTGAAAGCAGAAACAGGTGCGTGTGCGGAAGCATCTAAGATACTGTCAAGTGTGTCTTCAGCGGATTCACCTTTGACCTCAAACTCTTGAGCGGGCCCAACTTGATCGAAGTAAGCACTCGCTCGCAGTTGAGGAGGCAGGTTCGCCAGACTCATCCTACTCTTTCTGTTCTGCTTGGAAGCCTCTGCTCCGACATCATCCGGCAGCCAAGCTGCAGACTTCCTGTTGTCTGTTTGCATAGACTCCAGCAACTGGGTGCGTCGCCGGGCCTGGACGTTGGCGGCTGGCATCTGTGAGAGACGCTTGGGGAGATTAAGCATCTTGGGGACTGGGGCGGGGTAGAAGACCATATTCTCCCCGGGGGGAGGCACGACTTGGGGCGGGAGGTCAGGAACAGACCTCAACAGGGACGAGTTCCGGCTGCCACCTCCGGAGGGCGGCTCGGGTTCTTCCTCATAGACAGTATCGGGACAGTGCGCCCCGTCGAAGTCCTGCCACAGTGTTCGGGCCTGGTGGGATGTGTCGGTGGAAGCTGCGGTCGCCGGCCGATCTGGGTAGTCGTGCTCGTCCATGAAGCGCTCCTGCTGCATGTGCTCCACGTGTTGATCATGGGAAGGGACATGTTGGAGACCATCCTGAATCTCCTGTATCATCTGGTCGTGCGTTTTTGTGAAGGACGACACGGAATGCTGTCCGGAAGCGGATATGTGTGACTGTGGTGAGCCAGGGCTACTGCGATGAGCTTGCGGCTCGCCATCGTCTTCTTCGGTGTGCACAACCTGGCCGAGTCGCGATGCCCTTGATCCCGAGCGCTGCCGCTGCAACTGTGTCTGGTTGAAGGAAGTTGCGGAGCGGAGGGACCCCACCGGGGAAGTGACGAAGGCCCCAGGAGAGTAACCGCCCCACCGTGCCGCACCATTGACGTCTACGATTGAGTTTGCATACGAGCTAGTTGAGGCGTTGCGGCTTCTCGAGCTGAAGGGCCTCGCCCCTTCCTCAGTAACACCTGAATGCAGTGACGACCTGCGGCTGTCTGATAACTTCTGCTCGCGCTGCAACTTCCGGATTTCCTCGCCGATATCGGATCCTCGAGAGCTCATCCGCTCTGCATGTTCCTCCAGCCTCTCAATGTTGCTGGTATATGGCCCGATATCAGGCGTCGGATGGGCGAGGCCGACCGTTGGGCTGTCGGGAGAACGGAGGGGAATTGGGTGTGACATTGCCGTGGGTGAGGCCGAGGCAGCCATGGCAAGCAAGATGGAGCGGGAGGCTACCCGCTGGTGAGTGAGAGACTGATGCTGTAAAGGGGGACTCCGTGGTGTTGTCCCGTGTTGCACGAGATAGCGAATTGTGATGGCGCAGACGCCACACCAATAATAGAGCATCTTGGCACCGTGCACAAGCCACCACTTCAATAAATCCTCCAGGCCGCCTTGACGATCCCTTCACTTCCACCACCACCACCACCACCACCACCATAGCAAACCCGAAAGCCCATCAAGCATCCTCCCGCACTTTCGTCAGGTTAGCAAGAAGACCGCCTGTCGCTTACTGATCGTTGCTTCTGCAAATGATAATACCTTCGCCAACGTCCCTCCAACCGCAAACAAGTCCACAATTCTACATCCAATCGATATGGAGCTGAATCACGGCAAGCGAAAGTTCGCTGAGGATGGCCAAGGAGGCAAGAGCGCGAAGACAGCGAAGTTATCCTTTGGTGAAAGAATGCTTCTGCGGCAAGGCTTTGTCAAGGGGATGGGATTAGGGGCGAACAACCAAGGCATATCAGAACCGATAGCAGTGTCCCTCAGACCGGCAGGCGCTGGCTTGGGTGCTCCTGCTCATGAGTCTTCGCAACGCGTTGAGAAGAAAGATACGAGACTCGGCTCGGGACGCAGTGGCTCGAACACACCACAAACTGCACAAAAACCGAAAAAGACTACTATTCGAACTTCCACCGAAAACGGCCTACACATTCCTCTGTCTCTCAAGACACTGGTCGATGCTACTACGTCGGGCGGCACAGTGGTATCAACCCGCGAGCTACGATTAAGGGGAGGCGATGCAGCACCACAGAGACAAGCCCTCGAAGGCTTCGCCGAGGAGTGGAACACACTTTGCTCTCAGGAAAGCTTAGCATTGAACGAAGAACTGCGCTTGGAGCAAGAAGCTTTTCAACTGGAGGCTGAGATTCAGAAGGCTGCTGAGATTAACACAGCAGCGATGGCACTCAGCCAACTTTCCCTCAACATCTCGTTTCAAGAAATAGTGAGCCAGCTTCATCGCTTCCAGCAAAAGTTTTCAGATTCGGTGAATGCAGACCTCGCCGTCGGGATCCTGACCCCCTACCTCAAGTCACTCCCATTCGATCCGGTAGAGAACCCCTTGGGCATCCAAGAAGCGCTGAAGAGCCTTGGGCCCATGCTGAGGATTCAGGACGAAGACCGAAAAAGGACAACGCCATATCAATCCATGGTTTATACACTCCTCTTACCTCAACTCCGCAAAGCCGCTATCGGAGAACACGGCTTTGAAGCCGCCTTCGCCACCCTGTCCGAGTGGCAGGCCATCTTGCCTACTTGGATGTATAGAAATTTGCTCGACCAGGCCATCCTCAACCTTTCTATGGAACTTACGCGATGGAAGCCTCAGTCCAACGCATTTCCATACCTGTGGGTGCTCCCCTGGCTTGAACATCTTCCGCAACACCATGCTGAGAGTCTTCTCGCCCAACTCAAGGAGAAAGTTGGGATGCTCCTGCGCAACTGTAACCTGTATGACGGCCCGTCGCTGAGCCTAAGGACATTGCCGAAACAATTCGAGTCGACTTTGATGCGAACCTTGTTGCCACGTCTGTCGGCTCTTCTTCGCATCTGGGAGATTGATCCCAGTAACCAGGATCTAACTATACTCGAGGCTGTTCTCTCTTGGAGGTCCCCATTATCTGCCAAGGTTATGGGCCAACTCCTTGCTTCAGAACTGCAAACCAAATACCTTTCCATTCTTCACTTGTGGCTTACCGCCGATGAGGTCAATTATGCGGAAGTGGGACAGTGGGTGTCATGGTTCAAGACGTTATTCCCAGACGACATCAGGCCTGCCCTTACCGATATGTTTGATAAAGGTCTCGATCTCATTAATTCGGCTCTTGATTTGGGATACGAATCCAAACACAAATTGCAGCTTCCAGTTCCGGATCTTGCAGCCCCTGAGACACCCCGACCAAATAAGAGTAATACCAAGGAACCACGTTCAGTACGAAAAGAAGTCGAGGAGGTGACATTTAAGGACGCCCTGGACGCGTGGTGCGGTGCAGAGAATCTGCTACTTATACCTTTGCGAGAGGCACACTCAACTACTGGACTACCTCTTTTCCGAATTACCGCGAGCGCAACCGGCAGAGGAGGTGTGAGGGTATACCTGAAAGGCGATGTCGTGTACGCGCAGAACAAGAGCAACTTGGATTTGTGGGAGCCGATTGGGATGGAGGACGGACTAGTGCACAGGGCTGAAGGAAAATGAAACCGAAACCAGGAGGCATCCCGTTTAGTCATTTGTGCTTTTTTGTCGACCTTGTCAGGCTGCTTGACCTTTCGGCATGATATCAAGCCAGATTGGTGTCATTATCCCAACCTCAGATGGTAAGCTCCCAACGCCTTCTGCGAGAACGGATATGTTTTGCTGGCTTTCGCTAATTCGGTGACGGACATGGTGCGTCTAGTTAGCGATTTACCGGACCGGGTAGTAGATGGGCGACGAACGGAACTGGTATTTAGGGATGAAGCTCCTTGCACCGTCTTCCATTCATGCTTTCGCTGTAAAGCCTACAATGCGGGATCCCAATCACACAGTTCTCTAGCAGAGCATGAAGTCCAGGTGATGATTCAAGACAATCCCTTCTTAGTTCTAGTGACATGGTGGAAAGAGCTGTTCACTCCAGGGCGGATTCAGTGGTGTGCGTGAGCATGAAGGGGTGATTGATGGAACTCTTGATTAACGCAACAGAACTGCATAGGGGCTGTCCCCCAAACCCAAATCTAAGCGACGGAGATGTCCAATTGAGTTCATATCATGACTTCGACCAATTCTAAGTCCCAGCACACATTGGCGGTAGCGAGGTCAGTTTGGACCAGTTGCAATGCTTTTGAGCTGTGATAGCGTGAACCGGCGTGGTTTTCAATGTGACGAGGCTCGACGATAAAGTCTGGCCACACTGTTTAGTTTGGAGGCCTTGAAGGAGAAAGACTTGCACAGGCTGGAGGCTTGACCAAGGGGCTTGTGATGGATAAGGTGAATCGAGACTTGATTGGTGCTAGACTCAACTTCGTCGGCGCTTAGGGAAACATGGAGCTAAAACGCAGCCAGAAACGAATCACACCACAAAGAAACAATAATGAATTTAACAGGCAAGGATCTCATTCATGCATGCGGTCCGACCGTTTCCCGCACAGTGCTGGAGCATTTCACTGGAGACATGGCGCAGATCCGCACGGGGCGATTCATGTCGTTGGGGTGTGGTATTTTGGGATGTTTTCGACGTTTCGATATTCCGAGAGAGCAACCCGCAGAAGTTTTGACATTTTGACGTTGTTTCCTGACTACGGATTCCAATCCACTAGTCTAGTCGCCAAAATCTTCTCTGTGCACTTGAAAAATACATCTCAAAACGGCCCAGATCTCGAATGATCCGCACGAGAGTGTCCACGGCTCTCCCAAATACGGGATAGCCCGCATGATGGACCCGCTGCGGGCGGCTAAACAACGCATGCGCCTGGCTGCACGCTCACCATCAGCGAAACAGCGGCCCCAATCAGCGCGCATAGCGACCTCGAACCCCATCACTCGCTCGCCCTCACAGCCCATCGCTGGCGCTGGGTAGAAATATGTACAGGCGCCCGTCTTCATATCAGAATGTCGCCAACTGTTACACTTTGCATTTCAACCGGCTCCTGTGTGTGTCGCAACCCGCGTCGCATTAAGACTTAGGTCGGCCACCCTTTAATGATGCTGAGCAGGCTTCCTTCGGCTCTGTCTCTGCTTCTTATCACCTCTTGGGCAGACGCCGCACCAGGTTTCATCCCAAGAGACCCTGCTCACGCACTCGAGGGCCGAGCTCCTACCTCAAACTACGTCGCTCGAAACGCAACGCCTCTCCCTGCGCAGATTTGCGGCCTCGTCGGCGGCTACGTCCTTACGGTACTTATTTGGGGGGTTCTGCTCCTCACCGTCGGAAGAAGGATGAGACGAAAGACGCAGACCTCTCCCAAGACCCTGGAGCTCGAGCTGGTTACCACAAAACCACCTGTCAAGACACCAGCATCACCTGGGTCCGCCCGCTCTGTTACTTCTTGGTCTAAGAAATTGTTCAAGAAGCCTCCGAGTATTAGCGATTCCGCGGTTGGCAGTCCACAGAGTCCCGTCGTACAGTCCCCCAGTTCTTTCGACCAGAAGGTTGTTGAAGCGGACCGCGAGCGTGCTCAAGCCGAGATGGAACGCCTATATGCTGCCGTCATGGACCATGACAGGAAGAAGTCATACTCCCAAGTCAGCACAACTGAACACGAAGAGACAGGCCCTAAGGACAGAAGACCTTCGGAGATCAGCACCTCTGCGACACGGGAACCTCAATCGAACCCAAGCTCACCAATCAAGGCCATATACCCGCCTGGCTATCACAATGGCCCACCCACTGCTCCCCTCCCAAGGGATCGTCTTCGAGACCAACCGCCAGCCAGCCCACGCAGCATCCTCTCCAAAAAATCTCACAATTCCATCGCCTCCTCGAGTAGCAAGACCCGCTTCAATCTCAAAAACCTACGCATCTCAGGGCCAATTCAAAAGTACCCTGGCGAGTCTGTCCATGATGAAGCCCGCACACCACTCTCTCCACGCTTCTACAACCCTGGCGCTCCTCCATCCCCACCAACACAGCAGAACTCGCCAGCCACTCCCGGCGATGAGGAGGCATACGAAAAACTCGATGAAGTTCAACCTCTCCCACATCCAGCGCCCCAGCGTGTAGGCTCCTCCTCCCACTCACCAACCACCAATGGCAACAGGTCCGCCACATCAAGCTCGAACTCCCTCCCTCTTCGAGGCTTTGCCGAGCCCCTCAAATCTCCTGAGCTCCGAACAACATATGTTGACAGGCGTATGGACAAGCTGTCAATGACGACTCCTAAGACCGGTGTGCCATATACACCGTATTCGCCTTACATGCCGTTCACTCCAGTCACTCCCATCACTCCGCATCTAGTCACCAAGAAGGATCGCAAGGCGTCGAAGAAGATCCAGGGACGTAAACTCGCCACCCACGAGGACATGGTGCAGAGTCCGAAGGAGATCTTCGGCGATGCGTACTAGATTACCCGCCTGCCAATTGAGCACTTTCGATGTTTACTCTTTTGTAACCTTAACTGACCTGAATGGTATGTCGGGGGTTTTTAAACGCTGACCTTTACGTTTCTTCTTTCTTTGAGACTTGCGATTAGGGGGCTTTAGGAAGGGGCTCAACGAAACTTATACCTGATTCAAGACATCCGCGTTTCCTTTACTATCTTTCTTTTATATATTTGGAGTGAAGGGCACTCTCTTCGGAGCCTTGGATCAAAGGAGGGGGATGGAGATGGTTATCGGTGTTCGTAGCATGGCTGAACTAAACGACTTAATGCAGTCGTAGACAATCCACTTTGTCCTCTCATGTCATCATTGTCTTAGGCCTGAAACGTGTGTGACTCTGCACTGCGCTCCAAGGTTGTCGTGAGGCCCAAAAATGGCAGATGTCTCAGGCAAGAAGTTTCGGTCCAGAAGGCGCCCAGTTCGCATCAGCTTTCGCAATCAGCAACGCAATGTGATCCTCCAGAGCCTCATGTATGACGCCACCCTTCCTTCTGTTGCAGCATACAGAGGTCCCCTCTCGAGGGGTGCAGATGGCGCTTCTTTGGATGCATCATGATATCTTCGCAATGCCTTAGCTATAATCCAAGACCTTCTGTACCTCAATCACTTAGCCACGTGAGTCGCACATCCCTCCCTCACCCACGCATACAATAATCATCGCCTCCAATCCCCACCCCTAGCAAACCCATCCGGCAAATTTACCCGCCCGCTGCAGTCCCTCCAAATCCCAGGTTCATGTTCGCTTCCCCTTGCCCCAGCCTCCATCAGCTTGGATTCGAACATCCAGTCGGTCAGCTGTCAAAATCTCATCTGCGCATGCCACGCCAAACCAGAGCGGGGAGGTGACATACAAGAAACTCAAGAGGGGAAGATGGGGCTTGGAAGACGCAGGATGGGTGGTTTGATAGGCTGGAGCGGGGAGTTGGGCTCGTGTTGAAAGGTGGGGGGTTAAAGTTTATCGGGCGAGACGGTTAGGGGAATTACAAATCCGAGACCAGATACCTCGGCGTCCCGAGGCTGCAATGGAGTTCAAGAGAAGAGAAGAGGGATTGCGATTTGGGTTCAATATCATTAAATTTTGCTTTGGTGAGCTGAAGGAATAAAAGGTATGTACACAAAAAAAAACCAAACAAATCCGCAAAGCGTTGCTACAACTCTCCAAGATTCAGTCAGTCTTGAGCACCTCTGCAACCACTGTCTCCCTAATAAATGCAGCACCGTTCAGATAAAGTCTCCGTAATAATGACGGGGGATATCAGAGAGCCGCCAAACGCCCAAATCTCACAGGTCCCTCTAACAACCCAATTGAGTATATCCCCAAACAGCACCATATCCATGCGAAGTGAAGGTGCTAAAAGCAAGAAGAAAAAATGTTGAAATTAAGGATCGTTTGTGCCAGTGCGTGTCTTTTATTAGTTTCATTTGATGCTGTACATCTATTTCTGTGCGTTTACGGAGCCTCGTAGATCTGGTGTTGAGGTGGAGGTTGTTGGACTGGCGCGCCTGGTTGTCCTGGTTGCTGCGGCGGTGGTGAATGGTTGACTGGTGATCCACCCGCTTCCGCAACACCCATTGGCACGCCTTGGACGCCCTCTGGGCCTTGTGGCTGCAGTGGCACGGGTCCAGAATATTGGGGAGCTGGACTGGTAGGTGGACTGTATGGGTGCATCTCCTGTCCTGGAACGCCCATCTGGGGATTGTATGGCTTTTGGTCGTGGTTAAAGTAACCACCAGCAGCAGCGGGAGGATATTGTTGGCCAGGCGAAGGAAAGCCACCAGGTTGAGGCTTATATTCGGTGACACCGGGAGCTGGTCCTTGGCCCATCATGGGTTGCGTGACAGCGGCGTTCGCAGCGTCGTCCTTGCCCTTCTTGCGGTTGCGGAGGATGAGGAAGATGGCACCGAAGGCAATGGCGCCGATTACGACGAGACCACCGACAACACCGCCAACGATAGCGCCAATGTTGGTCTTAGACTTTTTCTCTGGCTGAGATGTTGCGCTAGCAGACGCGCTCTGAGTTACGGATTGGGCATTGCCACTGTTGCTGACGGAAGAGGAAGCGGGCTTCGAGGAGGGAGTAACAGTGATATAGGAGATTTGAAGTTCAGACTTGCTGCTGGCGACTTCGGTCGCTTCTCCGCTAGAAGTGCGCTGAACAGAGACAGTAAAGGCGGAGGAAGCGCAACCGAATTCGGTCATGACTGTGCGGGTTGAGTAAACATATCGCCATTGGTAGCAGTATGGCGCATCAGAGTCGGTGCTGGAGGCTTGTTAGGAAGCGCCCTTGTATGAATGAATTGGGGTATTCATACCATTTAGCAATGTAGTCGTTAGTAGAGCAGGCCGCGTCTGTGCAGCTGGCAGACATCAAACTGCTTGGGATACAAGTGGTTGGAATGCTACATGTCGAGATGCTCTTAGGGTCGCAGCAGCCGTGTACACCATAGTAGGTGTTCGTTGCGCAGACATAGTTGGAGTTGTTGCAGGTCAACGATCGAGCTTTATCATACTGTCAGAGTGGTTCTTTCAAGAGTGGGCGAGAGGGGCTCACAAGCATCACCAGAGATATAACCGCAGGTGTTGTCGCCGGCCGCACGCTTGAACAGCTCCATCAACTCCATCTTGGGAGCGGGAGTCGTCCTGGGACTCCACCTATCCTCCTCAGGCATGATGAGAGTTGGCTCTGGTCCAGCCCATGGGAACGCCATGGCCGACACGACAGCCGGTGCCAGGAAGGCACAAATCGAGTATTGAAACATTACAACTGGGTGGTGTGAACGAATGGACGGTTCCGATGAAGAGGTTCAGATAGATGAAGACAGTGGCTGGGATGAAGCAAGATAAATTGCACACCTTGGGGACGACGCGACGGCGGAAAAGAAACACAGCCGTAACAGCCAAGCAGCGATTGGGGCACCTTGTGTAAAAGTACTGAATGCCTTGGGTGTCCGCGGGCGGGCGAAGGCTGAGCTGTCCGCAAGCTTGGTGGGCGAAGCGTAGCGCTAGCTGGGCGCTCAGGACCAGAGGATCATGGTGGCATGGCCGTGACGGTAAGCGAAACTAAAAGAGGCATGGTGTTGAGAGCGAGACCTCAGCCACGAGAAACACTGGACGAATCAACCAGATGCTTATCAGCCTTGCAGATGTTAGTCCAGCCATCCGGGTCGGAGTGCGGACAGTCTGCCACTCACAGCGCAAGGTGACCCTCAAAATGGCTGTGTTGCGTGGACGACGGGAGATGAGAGAAGACTGGTGTGCCAAGCTACGGCTGAGCCCCATTCGGGTGGGTGAACTGGATCAAGCAACGGTTCCAATTTGGGGGCTGCAGTTCTTTGTCCATTCAGAGATGAATCCACTGCAGGGGCAGATTAAAAATAGCTCATACACAAAGCAAAGAGAAAGAATTCGAGCAACAAGAAGTCATCACAGAGTCAATATTATCTATATGAAAGGTAAGAGAACATTTTCGTCTTTGAGGATTTCAAGCTGGGTCAAAGACTGATGGAGTTGTACCTTTGCATTCTCCCATCGGGGGGAAGTTATTGAGTGCTGACATTTCGCGAGAGCATAGTGGGGTTGGGACTGGCTGCTGATGACCGCCGGGAAATCATATGTCTCAGGAAGGCCCCCGGACGGGGACAGTCGGCCGAGCAAATAGAGCGATATTCTCCGGATATCAAGTGTTGAGGCTCTCTAGCATCTCTTCTCGCTACGTGACGGTGATTTCCACTTCTATCTCCTCCTGCACATGTTTCCGCATCGTCTTTTCCTCACATCAATCCCATTCGAGGACCAAGTCTCGCAACGTTGTTCCTGGAAGGGTGCTCCGATTGTCATGTGGTGATGCGATCTTCTGCTGATCGTCGAGGTCGAAGCGATGCCGGTCCCTTTCATTTCATTCATTCGGCATCGATGTTCTGTTTGGATGACAGAAAACCAAAGAACCTACTTCTTGAAGAAGTAAGCCTTGGAGGCCTTGTCCGGGATGGAAGTCAAAGGAAGACGCTAAAAAGCTGAAGCTTCTATCGCTGAACAGTCTATGCCAGGGGAAGCGATTACGCCGCACTTCCGCTCCTCGTTCGGATCCTTGCGGCACGTTAGCCGCCCTCTTCACAGCATCGTCAAATTTCCGCCTGCACCGGCCAGTTAGCACCGATTCTCAAATCACATCTAACCGAATGCTCAGGTATTTGAGCAGCTGCACGCCCCTTTCTTAGGCATCTTTTGAGCCTTCTGACTAAGTTGAGACAGAGAAGGCGAAAGACCGAGTAAGAAACGCTACCTGAATTGCTGCGGACCACTGTCGAGGCCCATGTTACTTCGATCACTCTAGAGAAACATCTGGAGGGATCTCATTGGCAATTCATGTAGAGATGCCTGAGAATTCCATGCTGCAGTCGCTCCTTCTCTTCCGAAGACCTCACGACCCGCATTCAATGCTCAAAGCAGTCATGAAACTTAAGAATTGGCGGATTCGAAAGGATCTAAAACTTTATGTTCTGCTCGGCTCGGTAGGTTTGGGGAGGTAAAGGAGACGATGAAACTAACCTCATCAGAATCGAGTTGGCTATGAAGCCTTCTGTGTTCACGCTACCAGATTAGGTACATGCGACAGCCGGCTTTGACTCAGACAGCGAAACTACTCCTGTCTTGCTGCAAAGCTGGGTATATTGACTGTCTGAGAACGATGTAGTTAGTCTAACTCTTTCTCCAATTGAATATGTACAGTGGTATTTCCAACCCAAACGCCGTCCCGATGTTGCAATCTGCAGTGATAGCTTTTGCTATACACGCATGATCGAAGTATCATTGCTCCCGCCGCTTTGAGGACAGACTGATGTACATATAATCTACAGAATTTTGAGGCTACTTGCCCAGTAGCGGCTAGATTAGTCTCGTTTGTGAGGTCCGACGATTTTGGGGTACATTCGCGAGAGGTGGTAATTGATGTTGTTCTTCTTTGTGTTTGGATTCCTCTGCAGGAGAAGTCAGGTAAACTTTGTTTTCTGGATGTGGTAGCCATAGGCACGTACAGGCGAATCCATACAGTGTCTCAACTTTGTCTCCAATTGTGCGCATCCTTGAATGCTGTATCCGGATGATGCCCAACAGCCTGCGCAGAGTGATTAGTATCTTTTTCTTTTTTTTGGAAAATGAGATACCCGCATCTACACAAATGGAGGTGCAGACACTCGATCAGCAGCCAAAATCCAGCGTCCAACCCTGCCTTTAAATCGGCAAATGAAGCTCGTGAAAGCAACGCATACCTAGTACAGATGCCATTATGCCCAAGCACGGATTCATCTCTGGTTTATTCGGCCGTCTTACACGTAACTTTGGAAGCGGGGGTAGAGGTCGATGGGTGACGGATTTCGCGGCTGCTGAGCCCTGCGGCTTCGGGACCATGATGGATAATTCGAGTAAGGGAGCACGGTAATTGAAATCGAGCTTTGCCAGCGATGAAGAGAGGAGCTAGATATAGATGTGTTTGTGCAGGCCGTGGGGTGTTCTTCCGGTTTTTGATGTCTGGCTTGGATTTTTGGGATCACGGCGAATTCCGCGCATCTCTGATTAGCGGCCAGCATCCCGTACACTAGCCCGTTGTCAAAACAAACAGTCCCATTGTCGTTCCTACTAACCGTACACAGCGGCCACACTTCCAAGTCCAGTCGATATCTTTAGTCTGAGGCCATATGTTTCTTATATCATTTGTCCATTGTCACATTGATGTATTCTAAATTGCATCCAATGGTGACCTCGCCGCCTCAGACCGCGGTACCGGCCTTCTCCCAAACATGGCACGAGACCGATACCGCGTTCCTCGATCCGACCGCTCTACCAGTCGCAAAGATCCCCCGAGCTTGGGAGCGAAAACAGGAGACCAAAATATCACGCGACGGTAAACACAAGAAAGTTTGGCGGAGATACACGCTTCGATCACAACCGGCAAGCACAGCATCGGCCGACGAAGACGAGGTTGAGGAAGGAAGCGTACACAACAGAGCGGTCAAGAAGCTTCGGGTTAGATTGGAAGGCATAGAGCAAGTGCCTGCAAAATCTAAAGGGAAACAGCGTACGTTCAAAAATACGCGATGGGATCGAAGGAAAAGCGTGCTTCCGAGTGAGTCCTTTGAACACCCCGTATAGAGTATCACATAGTTCTCACACCCAATTCAGGAAAAAGAAGAGCCCCACGCCGTGTGAATAGCGAAACAGCGGACGATTCAGACACTGTTCTTGCCCGGGGTGACATGGTCGCCGAAGATGCTGCCGACTCTGTTAATGAAGATGAAATCTTGGTTCAAGAGCAAGAATCTCTACCCGGTGATCAGGATAAGCCAGCCTTTCTGTTTGCGGCAGAGGAAGAGTGTGAGCAGCAGACTGATGAAGAAATATCGACCCGGTCAACGCCTTCCGCTTCCGAACTCCAAACGGCAACTCCACCCTCAGGACAACAACATGAAATTACCCCCATGCAGCGTGCAGCTTCTCCACGGACAGAAGAGACTCTCCATCTGCCCACACAAATCGATAGGCCTGCGCAGCAATTGGATGCGTCCGAACTGGATCAGTCGGAAGTGAATCAGATTTCTCTCCGTGCTCATATGGTTGCAGAGGGCACTTCCGACCCCTTACACGTCTCTGAAACGGAGGACGACGCTGATGTTGTGGTGGAGGATAGCCCCGAAGAGACTGCTCTGCCTCAAGAACATGGTTCACAAGGCCAGACTTCATTGGGTGCATGTCAAATATCGGATTCGGAAATTGTTGATATCTCCACGGGCAAGAACGAAACATATTGCGAGGATTCGCCGGATGAAGAAGAAGTCTTCTCTGCATCAGCGAATGATCTTAAACACCCGGCGGATATTTCACAAGATGTTGGAAGGTCAGAGATCGCTGTTCATGAGGGCTTCAGGTCTCAACCTCAGCAGGATGCAAGCGATGACAACACTAAGAGCCCACCAGATGAGAACTGCACGCTTACGGAGGAACATATGCAGCTCGAAATTCAACAAGATATGGAGATGCCACTTCCCACAGAGGGTTCTGAGGTTTTGGTCCAGGCCAAAGGACACGAAGAGAATCCTCCAAGAGAGATCACTGCAAGCCCACACATTGTTGCACACCTCTCTGTAGCAAGTCGTGCTGAGCAGGAGATAATTGATGTTCAGCCCCAGGTCACTGTTGAAAGTACTATCAAGGAAGAAGTGGGGAATGAGTCAAACGACATTGCACTTGGTCTAACTCTGCCGCTATGTCAACCCTGTTCAACAGAGCCTGTGAGACGAAAGTTGCGATGTCCTTCACCTCCACCGGTTGAATCTGTTGTAGACGATCCCACGACTACCATCCAGCTAGATGACGACACTGCGCTATTGAAAGATTTCCTTACCCGCGCTGCTGCGAGCAAGGCGAACAAATCTACTCATATCGCTCGTCGCAGTTCTCTTCAAAATCGTCGCGACTCAGGTGCGGTTCGTCAAGCACTCCAGTCTCCTCGAAGAATTCTAGAAGCCAAGGATCCAAATTCACCATCAAAGTATGACAACGAACTCACTCTTGACCTATCACAAACTCTCACACTCAACATTGACCAACAACCACCATTGTCCCCTATTCCTAATCAGGTAGAAGCCGAGGGCCTGGAAGAGGACAACCAACTCTCATTTAGCTCTCGACGCTCAACCCGAACCCGAAAGTCGCGACTTCCTCATCTTGCTTCTTCACAACAGCAGCCACAGACCCCAAGGAACATTTCTCTTCGACGAACGGATGGCGGAGAACCCATTGTCCTGAAACGAACAGAGGCTCAAGAACTTGGGCTTCTAACGCGGGCTAACACTCGCAAGAACAAACAAGGGGCCGTAGCCGTCAGTCTCAAGTTGCTAAAGTTGAGCACGGCAAACACAATATCTACACCGGACGGGGGAGTTGTCAACCCAGCATCAGACACCAAACCAAAAAAGAAGAACGTTCGCTGGGACGAGCAGCTAACGTATTTCCAAGAAAGTACGGAGACACTCGAGAGTGTCACGAGTGCGGTGGATGCCGAGTCCCTAGCCACGCTAGACGAGCTGAATGTGGCAATAATCACGCCTTCGGCGAAGGGAAAGTCCAAGGGAAGCAAAGACAAGAAATCAACTCCCCGCTTGCGCCGCGTTCGCGGTCTCGGGGCCGCAAACGGTACTCCAGGGAAGGGACTTCTAGCGCCAGCTTCCCTACTACCTCCTGAGATTCAGGAAGAGAAAGAAGCATCCCAATCCCAGCACTTGGCTATGCCGTCGAAGGTGAAGAAGATGAAACTTGCTCGAACCGCGGACACGGCCCCCCAAATGACCGTCCCCAAATCTCAACTACCGTCCCTCGGAGTTGCACCTGTGGGAATTGAGCAGACGAACCACGGCAAGGAAATTTCTACAAAAGAGCTCAAGAGCCATCTAGCTACCCCAAAGAAGGTCAAATTGTCCATACCCAAGCCCACGGCGGCGCAAGTTCCCAGTGATGGTAAAGAAAATCAGCAAGGCCGAGGCTTTGGAATTGCGACCCCTAAGAAGGTTCTGCCGTTACCTCAAATCATTGTGCCTCCTGCGGTAGAGACGGGCTTACCTCGGCGGCGAGCAGGAAGGAAGGGGTAAATAGCAGGCCAAGTCTGTTTGGCGTTTAATAAATGATCGATAACTATGAGTCAAGAATCTGTCTATGTTTGTGTTTCTCTTCCTTACAGCATGTAGGGCGTTTCTGGTAGCGATCCCGTCGGTCTATTGGCACTATCTGCGTTACGGTTTTGGTGTTTTGGGTGCCGTTTAGGATTTCCTTTTAGTTTGATAGTTTCTCGTCCAGTTACGGCTTAGAAATTGAGAGAGTGTATCATCACATTTGATAATCAAAGACTCAAGACTACCGTATTTTGTTCATGCTTCTTCAAGGCTCCATCTCATGCGTGACACTGTCACAGATATCCCACTCAAAATTTGTGAGAACGAACTCCCACATCCTTACACTTCATGCAAACACCTCTTTTCATCAATTCTAGGATTTTGTGGTACTTGCCTGCCGCCTAGCCCTCATTCAACTTTCACCACCCATACCACGCCAAATACCCAAGATATACGAATTCCAGGTGACTGTCCTCGAAACGGAGAGGATAAGGAAAAAGAAACTAAGCGTAGTGGACGAGAATATTCAATTCATTCGATAGTAGAAATCTAAGAGCAGGAAAGGGGGCGGCGGGGTTTGAAGGAAGTGGATGGGATACAGGCTCTGCAACTATTGAGCAGGAGCGCCATGACTAAATATGAGCTATCCAGCTTTCTGAGCACATGCTCTCTTGGCCGCACTAATGTGGGAAAGGGAGTCTGGGAGATCTTCCTCGATTACGCACCCAGGTGGTTTAAATTCGGATGAAATCTCTGGCAATGCAGAATTGAATTACGAAAGCTCTGGCATGTCACGAAAGTCGATGATGCCAATTAGATCGAGAAGAGCTTCCCCGCCTCCAAGCCACCAACGGTCCGGCGCAGGGATCGCAATAAGCCCTTTCCGCCGCACCTCATTTCTCCACATTTTAAATCAACCGCCTGGTGTCATTATGGTGCACCCGGCTTTCTTCCTCCAATCACTGCCTGGCTCTTGATCCATCTGCACTGAGCTCTCAAAGTACCTGTGAGCTCCTAGCTTTCCTCCCGCTTCATCCTGTTGTGTTGCAGCTTCATACGATTGTCTTCTACTTTGCCGGGCTTCACCATCACGGTGTCTGAGTCTACTCGCGTGTGCAACCTCAATTGATAGTCCAACACCAAGATGGAAGGGCTGGGGAGCTATCTGTAAGCTCGATGGATTTCATTCCGTCATAGGTCTGTGTTCCTGATGATCGACTCCCAATTTGCCTGCGGGGAACCAGACGAACGCGCACTTCCTGCCCGAAGGTGACCCAGGACCGGGTTCCATTGCTATCACTAAGGTTGCATTCACCAAGTTGCGGGGCCCTGGTCATGGGATCCAGTGTGTCCAAATACATAATTTCCCGGGTTCACTCCACTGAGCCTTGTTCTTTCGCCCTCGGAGCTGATGTACAACAACACCTCGACACATCCTCTATGTTGAGCTCCAAGCTGTCAGCAGTGGTCTCTCTGCTGGCTGCGACTGCTGTCGCACAGTCGTACAGTCCTCCCAACAGCACTCTTGGATCAGACGCGGATGGAAAGTACGAAATTTCCGCCGAGGGAATTCGCGGCCTATTCATTCCGTACGGCGCGTCAATTTCAAATCTATTCATCAATGACGCCAAAGGCATTGAGCGCGATATTGTGCTTGGATTCGACAACGCGAGTCACTACTCGGTAGACCCATTCCACCCTCACCTCGGAGGTGTCCCAGGTGTGACATTGTGCACCATTTTGAAACGAAACAAGTTAACCTTGTTGTAGGCCGTTATGCGAACCGCATTAAAAACAGTAGTTTTGTGATTGATGGTGTGAAGTATCAAGTCACGCCGAACGAGAACAATAACAACGATACCCTGCATGGCGGCCCAGATGGATGGGACTGGGTAGGTTAGCATAATAGTTTAAGCATATCAACCCTAATGAGCTTATAGAGGAACTTCACAGTCGTTTCGCACACAACCGATTCGATTACCTTCTCCATAGTTGATCCAGATGGTAAGGAAGGCTTCCCTGGAGAGGTGGTCAGCTACATCACGTACACCATGACCCCAAACACATGGCATATCAAGATGTTGGCTTGGGCGACCACGAAGAAGACGCCCATTATGCTGAGCTCTCATGTGAGTTACTAGGTTACCCAGAATGATACCAAATTAATGTAGGGTAGACGTACTGGAACTTGGACGGGTTCCAAAACCCTGACACGCCCACGGCACTAAACTACACGCTCCACATGCCCTACTCTGGCCAGCGCATTGGAACTGATGGTATTTTAATCCCCAACGGTACAATCTTACCAAACCTGCAGTACTCTGTCAACGACTTCTGGTCGGGACCAAAGCAGATTGGCGCCAACTTCAGCGCCCCTGAGATCGACGGGAACTGTGGAACTAATTGTACGGGGTACGACACTTGCTACCTGGTTAATCGGGCACAGAATGGTCCCTATGACTGGCGAACCATAGGCCCGGTTGCTACCTTGGCGAGTCCCTGGTCAGGCATTCAGGTTGATGTATTTACGGATCAGGACGCTTTCCAAGTCTACAGCTGTGGTGGCCAAAATGGTGAATAGTACTCACACGAGCCGCCATACCGTAAATGCTGACGATGCAACAAGGCACTCTCCCGATCAAGTCGACCCAAGGGTTGGACAGTCGCCCACGTGTCGTTGAGAAGTATGGTTGCGTTGTCATGGAGGTGGAAGACTGGATCGATGCCATCAACCAACCCGAATGGCAGCGAGACAAGAAGAATATCTTCGGTCCGGACGATCCACCATATGTTTTGGAGGCAGCATATGTATTCTCTGTCAACAAAACCCCATGACAGAGGAGTGCTTGAAGGGGCGAGTGAGACAGTGTTGGCTACATGCCAAATGTGAGAACCCTCGAGGATCATAGACCCCGAAGTAATTTGATTTCGTGGTGGTGGTGAGATTTAGCTATGCAGGTATAAAAGTAGCCCAACTAAATACAGCCCTGTTAGATACAACAACCTTCTCCATCTTGTTCCCCGTTTTTATTCTTTGTGACGAATTCACCCCGTCCACTATATCACATATTTACTCTCATCACTCCTCTTCCCCCAGAGTTTGCTTATGTGCGTCTAGTCACGTGATCTTCTCACTTTCACTCTTTCTTTTCACTCTACTATGATACCGACCAATCAGGATCCCTCGCTTGGCAACTGGCTACCACCTACAAATGCGGTTCTTGGCTTCCCGCTCTCCTTCGAAAAGTTCTATATTGATGGCCTTACTTACACTCTATCCTTCATCCGGAAGCATTCGCGCAGAACCCTACGTCATTAATGGATCCCGGATCGCCAGCTTCACAAGCTGCCCAAGGGAGAAGGATACTTCAGCGGATACCTGATTTAACGCTGAAAACCTACATAGTCGGCCTCCAAAAGTCGTTCATGGCCTCTAAGAAACTCCAAAGAGCACTGGGACTGCAAGGAGGGCCTGTAGTTCCTTTCGCTGCTCCACCGCCTGTTCCTGGGGATCTCGTGGAGGCGTACAACAAGGGATTGAGTGAGTTCGTTTGGGAGTCTAGCAGTCAGAGTGAGGGTATCTCTGCCGTGGGCTACTCCCAGTTGGGGAGTGATGACGGAAGCGGCGAAGATGGAGGGATCAGCTGGAATGGAGGTCGTACTCCGTTGTTAATGCGCAGCGAAGAGTACCTAGTTCTTGGGGAAGATACCGGGTATGAACGGGTCGTGAGTGAGATCTCTGATGTCGACGAAACTAGAAGGGGTAGAGAAGAGTGCATAGACGCAGATGAAGACATCGAAACGGAATCAGCGACGTTTGTACCTTCCAAACATGTCGACGAATTGCAACTTTCGGGCGGACATTACGACACCGACACTAAAATGGAAGCTGGAATAGCCGGATCTTCTTCTTCATACACCACCGTGCCAGCCTCTAGTCTTGAAACGGGTGCTCCAGCAAGTAATTTCCTCTCATCCCTGACCCAGCTGGCAGAAACGACCACTAAAAATCAACTAGAGCCCTCTCGGCAACCGCAACCAGTCATTGTCATCATATCTCCAGATCAAGAACAACGAGGCTCCCGTAAGCGACCCAAGGCTCGCGATTCCCCCGAAACCATGTCCACTCAATCAACGCCTCGATCTCGGCGACGACCGGGTAAGAAGCGGCGCGGAGATTCAGTCCAGAGCTTTACCACACTTCCAATAACCCAAGCCCATGCCTGGAAGACGCCTTTCCCTGGAAACACTGAAAACCTTGCCCATACCCTTCTCAATTGGCACTCCGTCATGCATCATATGTACTCGAATGCCAGCCAACCCGACCTCTTAGCTTTCCATCCTATGTTCGCTTTCAAGCCATCGAAGCCTAAGAGTGTCCCCCTTGTAGCTGCCAGCTTCTGGAGTACTGGATCCGAACCACATAAGGAGTTGTATCGAATCGAAGCAGGGGATGTGGCGCGGCTGTTGTACAAGGAAGTCGACACATTTGCTAAGAGGCGGGAGATGGAGAGTGATAAGGAGAAGGGAAACCAAAAGGTCGGACTGAGAGAGATATTCAAGAAGAAGGATGTCAAGGGCAAGGAACCACGAGATGTGAGCTTGACGACAGATGGACGCTGGCGGTTCTTAGTAATCCGTGGGCACCTAGATGCAAATGAGGAATATGAAGAGCTAGATGACGGGGTTTGTGTTGCTCCCTACGCAATCCTAGCCTTCCCTACGACAGCTGTCACATACACATCTGAGTCCTTGTTCAACTGCCCTCCAGAGTCACCTCCAGAACCAGCATCTACGACCCCAGAGCGGCCAGCTCTCAGCAGATTCGCATCAATGCCAATGCTCAGCCGGGCCTTTAGCCGAAGCTGCGCATCTGTTCGCGCTACTTCCACCACGAATCTTAATGGGCCGAAACAGCTTTCCATACCGAGTTTGCAAACTCACGAGGTTCCAAAGGCAACGCCTCCTCCAGCTCTTCTTCGTCGTACACTACTCTGGTTCGAGATAGCGGGTCATGTTCCTCTGGTGGAGGGCTATAGGACTGACACCTTCGCTTGGCGACCATTCCTAGAGGCTGTAGGTCGGGGAGAGGGGAAAATCCAATTATGGTCTGAGCCGCATCGTTAAGTACCCGTTGAAGACAGATTCAACAAATCTCACGCTAATATATCAGCAGAATCGTCAAAGATTCTGAATGAGTATATCGGTTCATCTCAAAGGTAAAAACAATAGCGCTATTGGGCTGCTAGGTATTGCGGTGTTAGGTATTAGTGCTGGGTATAAAGTGCTCTGTATTGGAGCGAAGTATTGAAGTGCGGAGCTAATGGAATCACGAAGAGGGGATGAATTCGAGAGGAGACGGTGGAGAATACTCAGAATCAGGTAGAGTACACGAGAGTCTTATATACGATCTTTGATGAACCTCCGCTTCCCTGCCACCTAGGCACCACTCTGGGGATTTCTCCTATTAAACGGGCTACTGTGTTTTCTTTGAATGCTCCTTCAGGCATCTGCGTGATCCCGAGGCTGCAAGGCTACAAAGCTACAAGGGCGAACATGGTGACACGGATCCCATCCCCCCCCTACATCTCTCCTTCTTAGTCGAACTGAGTATTCTGGAGAAATTGCTTATTCATCATCCAGAATCCAGCCAGCAATGAAAATCACTGTGTGCAAGGTTCTTCGTTGCGAAGATGAGTTCAACTAGTATCAATGCCTAATAGCCTTGGTACTCGCGCAATAACTTTCATGGTTAAGTTAGTTCGTATGACTCTTGCGTTGAGGTTTTCTCGCTAAGAAAATGTCCTGAGGTTTTTCTACCAACAACCGCACCGCACAAACCCTCAGACAAATAAGGGTTTTTTTAACAGTTCTCACGATTTCGAGATTGAGCTAAATCAAGGCTGTAAAGCAGGCTCTAAGCTTTATACAAGTCCATGTTTCGACGGTATGGTGAGCCTGCAGAGGCCTCGGTTTTGGCTATTTCTGTGTATATACAGCTGGAGTTGAATACCCAGCTATTTGGCCATCGTTTTTATATCACATCCTCAAGCCGTTGAGGTATGGAGTGTACTAGATTCTTCAGAGACTTCTAGGAGACTTTAAACTATCATTTAAGCGCTAGTTCTTAAGACTCTTGCTTTTCCTAGTAAAGAACTTCTCAACATAGTCTTTAACTAGCTGGTAGCGATCCTTGATGAGAGCAAGGTCAAGAGATAAGGAACAGTGAAAGCATTCCTGCAGGTTATTGTTTTCTTCTAGGTCTAGACTATATTGCCTACACCGAAGTGTCGAAAGACATCCTCCTTGGAGTAAAAGAGTATATTTGCAACTTTTATGTGCTTAGTTAGTTGGACCGCAAACCTTTATTTATTTTTAGAGCACCATAGGGTAATTGATCTTCTTATTTAGCTATTGCCTTAATTAATTAGAGCCTGAAATATACTGGTGTTGGGACGTTGTACAGGTGCGATGTGGTTGTTTTGGTGCGCGGGGTATTTTTGTCCGCCAGCGCGTGCCTGCCTCAGCAAAATATGTACCGTGCCCTCAGCCCCGCTTCACTTCTGACTCCAAATTTTTTCTTCCTATGTCAATAGTTTAGATATAAACTATCTAAATGGTTAATTCATCATTCAATTCAAAGGCTTCGTGGTCTAGTGGTATGATTCCTGCTTTGGGTGATCAATCTCAAATCTGCAGGAGGCCCCGCGTTCGAATCGCGGCGGAGCCCAAATAGAATTCACTTTTTTGTTCTTGAAATGTTTTTTATATCTGCTTCCTATCCTTGGATACCGGTTAAGATGTCTACGGTGGCATGCAATTTTTCTAACTAATGGTTTTATAATTCATATTCTAACTTCCTATTTTGACTTCTTTATAGCAACATCAAACACGCGGTGCGGCATAGGCCATGGAGAACTGCACGCATGGTGCGTTACCCAAGCCGGATGAGCGCGCTTGGGGTTGGGTAGGGGTTAACGCTGGCCCTCCATGGGTCCTTCCATACCTCTACTAATCCCCTCGACTTTAGGTTCTAAATGGTTTCAAGTGTGCTTAAATTCCAGGCATAACTCGTGCTTCCCGCCGACCACTCAACACTATGGAGCAATTGAAAACTAGATTCAACACTCGAACACAGCCCGGCATCTCTCCACCAGAGCAGGTCGACAATTATGACCGCAAAGCTTTTGGCCAGCTTGTCAGGAACTGGAACGGGTAAGCTCGTGCCTTCCTTGGCCTCCAGTTATCTCACGTTTCCTAGACTTTGCCGACATGGACATCCTGTTACCGGAGGGCGAATACACATTTCAACGAGCGCCTACTCTCGACATCGTAGAGTGCTTTTTACTTTGGCGAATTCCAAAAAGCCATGGGAAAATCGAGAAGAAACTAAGCATTTTCACTCTTCTAAAGGAGTGGAACAGGTTGAGAGGAGCCGTTAAGCGTGTGTCCCGACTGACGCACATTCATAACCCACAAGAGTGCGACTATATGAATGCTGTACGTAGAAGGGCAAATGTTAAACGCAAGCTAGTAACATTCTGACATTAAATACGGAGACTTGGCCTAAAGGAGGGGGCTTGTCAGAGACAGAAGCAAAACCCGGTTGCATTTCTGGTTGATGTTCAAGCAATCTTGTATTCCATGTGACCATGCGATGGGTACTGCTACAAGCATCCCCGAATGTTGGACTGGACCAACTGTTGTTTTCTCTCATACTCATGGCTAATTATGGCCTTTGCCCTAGCGAGATAGTGGAATTCACGCAACATCGCGAGTCTGGTGAAGGCCTTACCTACAGAGAAGTTGGCCTCACTTTGACACGAAAAGACGGCAGTCTCATTTACGTGCTATCCATTCACCTCAGATTCCGGAAGAGCCATCAAAATATAGACAGCAACATGTAGGTTGCACTTTGCCGCCCTAGCCAGGCTGCTTTGCTGACTAACCTCTTAGGGAATCTGTCACGTTGCGAGAAGACATTGACAACCGGTGTGTTTGTCCGGTTGTACATTCACTCGCAATGGCTCTTCTGGGCGATGGTTTTGTGGCCTAGAAGAGCGCATCGGGCATTGCATTAAGGGATTTTTCCGCATCAGGGAATCCCCGTGTTTAGAGTCAAAGAGGAAATGAAAAGCTTGTCGATTATACGCAAAGGGAAGCTTTCAACATATCTGACAATTTAATGACGGGCGACTCAATCGCAAAGTGTGTTGGGGCTTTGGGTGAGTGTGCCGGATACCGTGAAAGAATCGCTCCCTGTGCCTTTCGGTGAGGGTTTGCCTACAGAGTTGATAGTCGGTTACCTTGCACTCCAATTCCTAATTTATTTAACGCTACTCAGACCATATATCTGCAGCCAAGGAAAGACAGTTCCTGGGCCATATCAACGATAGGACGTACCGAGCGTATCACCCGGAATGTCAACATCGATGTGCAGAATGCACTGCAAGGAAAATCTCAAGATGCTGAATTGCCAACCTCGTAAGCGCAGCGGGATACACGCGAGATATGGATACTTCCTCTCGCAAAGGCTAATCCCTTTCTAGCTTGAACCACATCGTAACGGAAGCAAAGATTGCAGATATGCAAGTAGCCCTTCCGGGATTTCAGAAAATCAATAATCGAAAAGTGTCAACAAAACAAATTTCACGAAGCAAGGCAGCCTCATTACCTGGCGAGTAGTCAAAACGAAGAGACATCAGATGTCGAACGCCAGACTGTCAATCTTCTGATAAACGTCAACTCTCAAACCCAGCCAACACCAAATTCGCTACCTCCGATTGCTGTTTCCGATTGCTGTTGCGGTACGACAAAGCGATGGCCCATGCTATCGAAGCTTCTGGGTTAAGAAAGACACATCTTTCTAGGACGCCGTTGACCCGTTGATGCGAATGGCGAAACCCGCACGGCATAGACTCTACATTCTAGAGCAAATCCTGAACGTGACCCCTTTTGGAAACTATATGTGGATTACCTGATTTAGATATTACCCAAGTGACTTGAAATAGACATTACGACCCAAAGAATCTCCCGGAGCATAATTGCGCTATTTTGTTAGCGACCCAGCGATCATTCTTTTCACATGTTGGTCGCTTAATGAAATGGCTTGACACCCATCGGCCAGGCGCTGCGGAGTACTGCTTTGAGTGTGCTAAATGGTACTTGAACTCTAGGATTGGAACGCTCACTGCCTTAAATATCTTGACGAACTCGATTTATTCTGCAGTAGCATCGTCCGATTCGGCCTTGTACTACTTGGCAAAACCTGCCCTTTTTGCCTTGGTGATAATCAATTAGAGCCATTTTGACCGTCATATACAGCAGTGGCCGAACGGTCCGGTTATGTGCCCGCACCCAGCGTGTGACGGAAGGACTTAACAACAGAACTCAAATTTCTCCAGAATCTTCACCAATCCCACGGTATCCCAGATACTTCTTTTATTCGCGTAAAGAAGAGGACATTCGGCGATTTCGTTGAATCTGAGGATTAGAGAGCTCCTCAATGAATCAGCAAAAACAACCATCACTAATACATTTGGTCTAAGCTAATGTAGCTCAATGTAGTAAATTAGTCGTACCTTATTTGGGAGGGAATGTCCCCGGGCTTGAGGATGTTTGGCTGGTGTTTTGGGGGGAGTTCGCCGAAAACCACTCTTCAAATACGGATTTTGTGTCCAGATTTGCTCAAGACTCAGACACCCGCTCAGTCTCAGTTTGTCTCAGCTCAGCATGGAACTTCACATGAAATAATCATAGATTTGGCAGCCTGAGCAGACAGATAGCGGTGCCCTGCACGCAACGCTTAGGTATGCGAGTTACTGAACGGCATGCCTTTCTTTTCAAGTTGTCTATTGTTTGTTTATCACAACCAAGTTTTAGAGTCTAGAATAAATGTTTCGAAAGGCTAATTGTTGTATAAGAATAAGCGGCTTTGTCTAAAGGAACAACCTTAAGCCTCTTAAGCACTTGTTTTTAGAGATGGCTTTCTGTTGCAGAATCTAATCTTCAGTTGGGATACTTTCTACATCTCGTAGAGACTCTTCCATATCTTCATATTGTAACTAGAGAGAATTTGTAATAGTGCTCATAAGGCCAAGAACTGGCAATTGCAAAATAATGGGCATACCGTCCTGTTCCTACTTTATTCCTCTTAGAGATATAGCCAGACAGGCGATCAGGTACGCCGCTGTCAAGAGTTCTGGAAGGTGTGCAGAGTGGGAGATAGTGTGGGCAGACTGCAGGGAGGCTGTAGGAAGGGCGGTTCAGGTATGGGGAAGGGAGGAGATCAACAAGCAAACCGACACTTCTTCTGGCAAAGCTTCGCAATACATGAAATCCCGTCAAGACGAGCATCATGGTTTGTCATTGTGTACACTGTATCCAGTTGCTTGTTCTCTGGCGGGTCTGTCCACAATTGCCTTAATTCTAGCTCGGGGTGTGATAGACAGAGTCTACTACAATTAAGCTCCACGTTATATGATAACATTCTGTAGAAGGCGGTGAAAGTGTCTAAACGTCACCAAGTTACAAAGCTGCAAAAAAGCGTTGCTTGGTGTGTTCAATGGAAGGAACGGCCGATTGCACTTCCTCTCAGCTCAGGATTTAAGGTGCGCGTTAATAGGATGTATGCTTTTGCCCTAGATTGTACATGTCATGTTCTACTTTAGGTGACAAGGTGCACCCGAGAAAAAAACCATGTGGGAAATAGTTTACGGGACACAGTCCCGCACAACCACGTCTCTCAAACACACACATCACATCACACCAAGACTGGAAGCCCCAAGGCCAAGAAGACTCCAATAAATTGAATAAACCAATAGCCAGGTATCACACTCATACATCGTCTTAGCCAACCGGGACTCCAAAACCCAAAATTTTACTTCACTCTAGAACCGAGAACGGCGCCAACTCCCATTTTCCCACCCGCCCCCAGAGAACGCAAAAGGTAAGTATTATATAAGCACAACTCTTCCATACCCTCCATGCCAGTAAAGGTCTCCGCCGCGCCTATGGCCACTCAATCACCAATCCACCCTCCCTCCTAACCTTCTGTCCCCTCTTCTCATCCCTCCTCAATGCCTCCCCCATAACCACACTCGCCAACCTAGTCGCCACACACAACGCATCAATCCCCGTACCCGAATCCCCCGGGTTGCAATCCCCGAGCTCAATATTCTTGCCAGTCGCGCGCTCATACTCAGCTATATCGTTTAATTTCAACAGTTGCATAAACACAGCACACAGAACGATCAGCGGCTCCGTCATACGCACGCTGTAGCCCCAGCTGCAGAACCTGGCGCCGATGAAGGGGTATTGTTTGTTGGTGGTGAGGAATGATGTGAGAACTGTGTTGTTTGTGTTGGATGTGTTGGTTGAGGCGGGGGCAAAGAGTGTGGGTTGGTTTTTGTGGAGTTGGTAGAGGGCGTCGAGGGTTTTGTAATGTGTCTTCGTCCACGGTTCGACTTTCGGCAAAGGGTCGAATTTGGCTGCCGCAGGATGGGGTGGTGGGGGTGCGGGAGCTCCTAACGCGCTCCAGAGCGTCGAGGTGAGGCGGTTGAAGATACCGATGGGCCCTTCTTCTACAGTAGGACTGACGGAGACTGTTGGTGTCTCGATAGACTTGTAGATTTTCGTCTCGACGGGTTTGCGGACTGTGCGCCTTGTGGGTGAGTGTCCTCGTGAAACAGCAGCAGACTTCGCATCGCCGAATAGCGGGGGATAAACACGCTTAGGAACGAGGACACTGCCTTCAATTGCTTGTGGCGGAGACAATGGAAGCATCTCCGTTGCTTGGGTGTGTGAAGGCTCCGTCACTTCCTCGATTTCGTGTAGCGTGCGGTCTTGGGGTTCGTATGCGTGGGCATGCGCGTCCGCTTCCTCGCGCAGGTGCCGAAGACTCGAGTCAGTGTGACCTTCCATTTCCTGTCGTAACTGCTGGACATCAGAACCCATGGTATCGTCTACCTGAGTGCGGAATGGTGAACTGGGTTGAAAGGCCGATCTATCTATACTCTGGTCATAGCTCTGCTCCGGCCCTTGGATCTCCATTTCATATCTCAGCGGGCTGCTTCTGGCAGGTGAAGCTTGGAATCCCGTGAAGTGAGATGGCACGTTCTTGAAAATATTTCGCTGGATTGGCTGTGGCGATTTCACTGCCGGTGAAGATTCCGGGACTAGGCTGTCCCCTTCACCTAGCAGTAGTGAGAGATCTACTTTACCTCCCCTCGTATCTCGAAGCCTAGTTTCGGACTTCTTTTTGAAGATATTAGGAAGGTTACATTGGAAGAACATGCCTGTGTCGTCGCTGGCTTCACTATAATTTCCTTCATCTTCAACCTCTTGCTTCTTAGGAATAGCTAGCTCTAGAGGCTTCTCCTTGCTCTCATCTACAGGCTTTGCAGCCGGATGCTCCTCTTGCTCCCTGGCTACTGGAGAATAAGAAATTTCCTCATCAGCTTCATCACTGTAGTTGAAGTCACTCGAGCTCGTTCGGCGCCACGTCTTTGGAATCTTGCTTCGTGCGGGTTTGACCAAGCTATCATCATTTGTAAACAGGTCTTGCAGCTGAGGAGTATTTTCGGATTCATATTCTGGGGAGCCGTCGTTGTAAGAAGGCAGGTCTGGAGATCGACTGGCCTCCTCTTGCCAAACGTCAGAGTAGTCTTCTTCCTGAGGTTCGCCAGGAACAGCAAGAACAGATTGTCCGTGGTGCAGTTTCCCTTCCTCGTTGCTTGTGGTAAGCAAATGTTTGCATCCGCTGCTACCTAACCGGGCAGGGGGTGTGTCGACTCGCCAACTCATTTCATCCTCGCTCCGGGCAGGACTGACAAGATGACTGTAATGGGCGGTCACTCTCAGAGATGGATACTCGATATCGGCATCCTTCGTAGGCAGAGGAAGCGGAAGTGTATAGTCGCCTTGATCTTCCGGTGTGAGGAGACGTGACTGGCGGTGTTTCGAAGATGGTTTAAAGACGTCATCTTGTGCATCTCCAGACAGGAGTGTCTTGGATGGAGTGGGTAAAGCCGGAGAAGAACCCCTCTTCACGTCTCGCTCCTGACTCTGCCTTGCCAATTGTTCTCCTAAGCGAAGTCCAGCTTGAAGCTCCCTTCTAGTTCCTTCGCTGAATCCTCGGAAAAGATCGTCTAGACGATCTTTCCGCTTCCCTAAGGCCTGCTCAGAAGACTCTTCTTTTGGAGTGATGCGGGCTGGATCCAAGAGGCCCTGAAGCGCAATTCCAGCTTTCACCACTTTGGCAAGCTTGGGAGTTTCCGCGTCCTTAAGAGAAAGTTGACTTGGCTCGATTGCAGGTGGATTGGATGGAGATCGCGATTCAACAGTTGGTGTGTGGTATCGTGGCGGAGGACCAAAGGAAGAAGAGCGGGCTTGGGGTCTCAACGCAGTAGAGGAAGGACCTGGAGATGCTCCCCTTTGGGGTAGAGGGCTGCTGCGGAAGTGCCGGGGTGCCGCTAATGGTAGTTGAACCTGGGATTCATTGAGGATGGAATGATAAGATTTCGCGGCTGGCTTCGTGTAATCTAATTGTTCTTCTATTAGGCTGCTTAAACCTTTGCCGCTCGGTAAGGAATCAACTGATACCATGCTGAAATTTTCACTTTCGAGAACTGTCGTATCGTCGAGCATCTTGGTATTGCCTTCACCGAACGCATATATTGTCATATCGTTGAACTGTTCGTCGTCGTCATCGTCGTCATCGTCAAACTCTTGTTCTCTAACTAGCATACTGCTTTTATGTTGACGCGTTGCCTGCTTCCGGTTGGCCACTTCGTGCGAATCGGTCGCTGCTCCCTCCTCGTCGGTACCGGATGGCGTGTGGACTCCAGCGTTTTCATCGTCAGACGAGTCTTCTAGGATAACTCGACCTTTCGCTGCGGGTGTTGACCTTCGCGCGCGAATCTTGTCGGAGAGCTCGGTTGTTCGAGGTATGGAAACAGTGGGCTCGTTATACTCCTCTGGGGCCGGCGTTCCCCGGCTCCTTGGTGCAAGGGTGGTTTTGAGTGCAAGGAAATGAGGTATCTTGAGGGTTGGGTTGGGGTCCGGCTTCGGCTGTGGCTCCTGAGGGCTTGCACGGGTAGTCTGGACGATAGGAATCTCTAATTGAGGAGTGGAATCCTGCCGAGTTGCACGAATAGTTGAAATTGCTGGCGCCTCTTCCTGGGGCTCAGATTCGGGCTCCTCAGAGCGGGTGGGCGGAATTTGAGCGGTTGGTGGTTCTAACTGGGACTGCAATGGCTGCTCATTCACGAAGAATGTCTCGTCTCGTTTAGGCTGAACGCTCTTTCTCGGACGTCCCCTTCGTTTGTTGGGCGCGGCATCCGTTAATGAATCGGCAGCACTTATATCGGCAGCACCGACATCTAATTTCCTTGGTTTTGACCTTCTTCGGACTGGAGTCCCGCTGCGCTTCGATTTTGGCTTTAGGCTAGCCGTAGTCTCCGACTTCCTTGGTCTGCCACGGCGCTTGACTGGAGAAGCATCGTCCGCATCTTTCAATGGAACAGTTGTTGTTTTAGTTCGTGTTCGCGTCACGTGCTTGACAGTCGGCGACTCCATGTTACCGTTCTCTGAGCCGCTTCCTGGTTCTGCCTCCACTGTGACCTTGATGCGCCATGGGCTTGCACCGCCAGGTCGTCCCGTATTCATAACCATTGACTTGGAAGGGGACGAGAATTCTAGCAACTGTTCAGTGATGCTTGGTCGGCGAGCTTGTTTGTTGGGCGAGCTCGATGCGAGAGGTGCTTTCGCGGCGCGTGAAGATTTGCGTTCCGGCTTTGACTCTTTGTTGCTGTTGACTGACATTGCAAGCGGATCGGGTGATGATTCCGGGTAGCTGTGGTCGGCATCGTCGCTCACCATGTTGACTCTCACTCGAGGCGCCATTGCGTCCTGTCTGGTCAATCAATGGCTTGGAGAGAGGAGGTGTGCTGGTCTGTGTTGGTGGTGGGGCCGTAGAAATGTTGGTGTCGCGAACCCTGGTATGCGGCCTGTTGTGGCTGGTCGCCTATGGCAACAATCTAATCTCATCCCGGTATAGATCTCAATGGAACAACATCGTGAAATAACAAAGAGGAGGACATTGCGATGAGCCTCGAGGCCAGGGAGCAGTGACAATGGGTATAAATGGGTAAGAAATGTTTATGTATTAGTATTCTGCGAGTGAAGTTTGACCGGCATAGAATCTACAAGGAAATCGGTCCTGGTCAGCGCATAGCCCTCTCAAAACTTGCAGTCGAAAAGTTCGAAGAGACCGGCAGGCCGTTGCGCATCGCTATTGATGTATCGATATGGCTATTTCAAATCCAAGCGAGTAAAGGTATGCATGAATATCATTTCAGTGTAGTGTGATCGGACTGCTTGCTCATGTTTTCTATCTGCAGGTGGTACAAATCCGGCCCTGCGAACCTTCTTCTACCGTCTCCTCCGCCTGATATCGCTCTCTATCCACCCCATATTCGTCTTCGATGGACCGAACAAGCCTCCATTTAAGCGAAACAAGCGCACCGGGCGAAATGTAGCGTCAATTCCCGAATTCCTAGCAAAGCAGCTCCTCAATCAGTTTGGCTTTCCAGTACATCGTGCGCCAGGGGAAGCTGAGGCAGAGTGCGCATTGTTGCAGCGAGAAGGCATCGTAGACGCTGTTCTTAGCGAGGATGTGGACACGCTCATGTTTGGCAGCGGGGTCACCATTCGGAATTGGTCACCTGAACTGAAGACCAGCACGACACCGACCCATGTCAATGTGTATGATGCGATCAAGACGAAGCATGGCCCTTCAGGACTCGATCGCGAAGGCATGATACTTGTTGCCCTTATGAGCGGAGGAGATTACGTCCCTGAGGGCATTCCGGGCTGCGGTCCGAAGACAGCATGTGAAGCCGCAAGAGCTGGGTTTGGCAGAGACCTGTGCAACGTCGCGAAGAATGACGCTATTGCCATGAAGAGCTGGAGAGACCGACTGCAACATGAGCTCAAGACAAACGAGAGCAAGTTTTTCAAGACAAAGCACAAGTCTCTAGTAATACCAGACGACTTTCCCCGCGCGGATATTTTGGGTTATTATACGCACCCAGCAATATCAAACAAGGCCGGACTGGATAAGCTAAGACGCTCCATCGAGTGGGATCAAGACTTTGATTTTCCGGGACTGCGCCGTTTCACCAACGATGCATTTGATTGGGCGAAGCTTGGAGGAGCGAAGCATTTCATTCGGAATCTCGCCCCAGTCTTGCTAGTCCGCCATCTACGGATGAGAGGTGAAGGCGGCGGGTCAACTTTAGACGATCTCACCTCGGTTCAAGACGAGGAAGCACAGTTGGTCAAGGGCATCCATGGAAAGAGACAACACTCCGTGACAGACAACACTCCCGAGCTTCGTGTCAGCTTCATTCCCCTGGACCTCGTCAATATTGACTTGGATAAAGAAGACCCAGATGATGATCTGCCAGAATCTACTTCAGATGACGAGACACCTTTGGATATTGAAGATGGGGAGCCAGACACTGCTGCTAAGAAACGAGGGCCGACAAAATTCGACCCCAGCAAACCTCTACGGGTCTGGGTGATGGAAACCTATGTAAAAGTCGGCGTGCCTTTGAAAGTCCAGGATTGGGAAGCCGCATGGGTGAAACCTAAGAGAGCGGCTACTACGAAGGACGCCACTAAACCAGCTCCGAAAACAAAGGGTGCAAAAAGAGCGAACACGACCTGTAGCATGGCCGGAGGTGCGATTGAACAGTATGCGAAGGTCACTAAGCCTGGTATCAAGTTGTGTCAGGTTTTAGCAAATGCGCAAAACAAGGCTGGAAGAACTCCAATGGTGCGAGGCGGCAGTATACCAACGTTACGTTCAAGAGGGCTCCCAGCCGCTTCAGGGTCCTCTAACAGGACCATCATCGACCTCCTATCTTCGTCACCAGCGAAGCTATCAGCTGCCCCTCCAACCCGACAGGGAACAGAGAAATCTCTGGCACCAGTGCTCGAGCTTCCCCCAACAGTGGCGAAGCGGAGACGAGGTCTATTGCAGCGTTCCCAGACTCCTCCAGCTAGTCCTTCCACCCTAGACCGGCTCTCAACTCCTCCACCGATGAATTTGATAGAGACTCTCGATCTTGTCAGCTCGCCGGCACTGCCATCTCCGCCCCAGCTCCCCGCTAAGAAAGTAAAGACACAAGTAACAAGAAATCCTCGGACATCACGCGCAGTACGCCTAACATCCGTGCTCTCCTCCCCCGGAACGAGATCGAAACAAACCACCTTGGATGTATGGTCTCAATCCTCTTCCACCACAACACCAACCAAGAATACAGTAGCCACGACACCCGTAGGCAGAGCACCCGTTCCCGCCCCACCTGGACTTCAACCCTCGTGCATTAATATCAAAACCTTGGACTTGACACTCTCTTCGCCCCCAAAATCACCGCCAACACGGTCAAGCCGCCCAATAAACCCCCGCCGAACTAACCTTAAAGCGTCCCGACCTCGACCTCGACTTCGATCGATATCCTCAAACATATCTCCTTCACCCACATCCACACCCTCACCTACCGCATCCCATCACTCTAAAGTTTCGCGCCGAACATCGCCTCGACTCCAGAAGTCCTCACCACTAGAAATTGACACCGTTGATCTAACCCAGTTCTCTCCTCCATCCACATCAACCATCCAACCCCCCCCTAGAACCTCAAATTCGCTAACCAAGTCAACATCCACCTCCTTCGCATTCACCAAACCCGCCCCACTTCCCTCCAAAACTCCACCTAGCCACACCCCTACTCTCCCAGTATCACCACCACAAACCAGTCAACCGCCCACTTGCTCCCTCAACCGCTCCCCACGCAACCATCTCATTTCCCGACCCTCGAACTCTTCGCCTGCAGCGTGGAAACAACAGCAGAAGAAAAAGCGCGTAATCCGTCTCCGAGAGAGTATGGCTGGATCGTGGGCTTTCGTGGACGCGGATACGGTGTCTAGTAGTCCTGAGAATGTGGCCGGGAATAACGTGGGATTGAAGGGTCGAGAGAGGAGGATGTGGAGGGAGAGTCAAATCCAGGTTCTAGATTTATCATGAGGGGGAAGGTGGGGTTGGGCTAGGGAGGGATTGGGATATCTTGGCAGCGTGGGAAGGGCGGTTGGGAAGCGTGTATTCTTAGTAACCAAAGATTTTATTCTTCATCCCCAGTTTTATTTCCACAAGCCAAAGCGCATTTGTATATGAAGAACAAGTTCACATCATGATAGCAAATGGCACCCATCTTGTGTCCTGTTCCAACCATAGAAATGTTTCCTAATTGAATCAAAATCACAACTTCAACTCACACCTACACTCAACGTTCAAAGCGAACGCAAAAGACAAATGAGAACTCATCCCATTACTACATGTTCATAGCCCTCTGTCATACAGCATTGCGAGAAGCGCATGATATACCAATGTCCCATCCATCCATCCCAGACCGCAGACCCCCGTGCGCCAGGACTATGAGAAATAAGACAGGAAGAGGCGTATGGACTAATATATGTTCTGGCCGGACATTTTATCGTATGGAGGACGTTGAGGGAAGGGAGGGGAATCGTACTCTCGTAAGTATTCACATACCCAAGGTAAGAAATATACCGAAGGGAAACTCCAGTAACCCCATTCTCCTCGCGCTTCATTCTCGAAGGACGGACCGAAAAGCGCCAGCGACCGAGAACACCGCTCGCTATGCAGACCAGAGAGCCTGGAGTGTTTTGCGTGATGAAGGCTGTCTGGAAACCGAACCGAACCTAGACAGACAAAAAGAGAGAAAAATTTGTGTGCCATCACATTACCTGAAATCCTTCATGCCGGACCGCATAATATCAGGCTTAGAGCGTAATACATCCACATACATAAGTTTACGCTCCCTGAAACACTATTTCCTATTCTCTGCTACGCTGAGAAAATAAGGAAGGTGCACTCAATAGTAGCCATGACTCGTATCTTGATCACCTCCATAAGCCATCTCCCTGAATCCAGCTGGCACCGTCCAGCCATGGACGTTGCATGATCGGATATATGCTTCGACAGCCTCGCCGACGCCATAGTCCTGACGACCGTGATTATCGAGACGTGCTGGCTTGGGGTCTAGACTAGACATAGCCATGCGCACTTGAAGGAGGACGGATTCGATCGAGGAGACAGCACTCCAACCGTTGTTCGTCAGGAGCTAAGTAAATTTTAGCACTGCTAATACATGGGGAAAGGGCAATATCAACTCACCTCCATGCACAGCGCGCCGCCAGCCGTCACATGTCCACCACCACCCTGCTGGAAGCCTAAAAAGCGTGGACGAATGACCCGAACGAAGGGAGGACTCATGGGGTAGTCTTTGCCGAAGCGGAGCTCTAAAACAATACTTTTATGACCCTTTGCCTTCATATCCTTTGCCAATGGGAGGGTCTGGTCGAAGGAGTGCAACTCCACAATCCACTGGTACATGTTTTCAATTTTGTCGGCATCAATGTGCCACCCAAGCTCATGCGTCGGCTCCTTTTCTTGGACCTTTAGCAACTCTTTGAAGTCCCGCTGGAGTCGCTTGGTGGCTGAGCTAGTTGCCCAGGCTGGGGGTTGAAGCATTGGTAAGGTCGAATAATCCAAGGTGCCTGGCACATAATCCGTCAGAGGCTTCGAAGACTTCGATCCAACAAGTTTGGACAAGAATCCGGATGCCTTAGATTTGCCTTTCGTCGAGTTCGGCGTCGGAAGGGGATCCGTATCGGGCTGCGGCATATAAATATCCTCGTCTTCAAAGATGGTCAGATCTTCGTCGAGGGTTGCGATACTAGCACCGTCATCGTCATCGTCTGCATCGAGATCAATGGGATCATAAGCGCTGCTACCAGTCGCTTTCCTCCTTTTATTGGCGGCCTTCACGGAGCGAGACTGGGGTCGGCGTGACCCCGAAACGGCGTGGATAGGAATGATCAAACTATCAGAGCAACCCTTAGGCCTCATGTTTGGGTCTTGATCAATGCTCTGAAGCGGCTTGACCTCCTTGGTACTAGTGGGGACCGTGGTATAATTGTTGGTATTAGTTTTAACAAACAGGTAACGAGTCTGGATCCAATCGAGTTGTGCAACGACCAGATGGGGGCTCGCACTGACATACTCCTTAGGAGCATTGACAATCTCGTTCAACGCCAATGCGGAACCAACCTTCAGGTCGCTCACAGGCCATGTATGGCTTGCCGGCCCGTAACCGCAGTAGCCCATGCTGGTGTTGAAATCGAGTGAATGGTACACGCCATGACCATAAGCACGACCGTGGGCAGTATCGTTGAAATGAAGGCCCTCGCGAATGATGCTGTGCCAGTTGACAAGGGGACTACCATGCCAAGCAAATAGGGTCGGATACTTCAGCTTCAAGCGCTCGGTGGTCTCTCGCACTGCATGGATGAAACGTCGCTCTTTGTCAGGCGCTCCCATGGCAAACCTGAATTGAGTCCATCCGGCCATGCCGTACAGGCGCTCCTCACCCTTCTTGCTCAGACCACTTTCGTCCTCTTCCTCGGCCTGCATTATACAAGCTCGATTAGACGCAATGATCCAGCGCAGGATCCCTAGAACCGCTGGAGGAAGGCGGTCGATCCAAGAGCTTAGTGGAGATTGCGCCTTTCGTGCAAGATATTGTTTCATGTCGTTGACATTCGGAAGGATATCAAGTAGCGCATAAATAGCCTCCCTCTTGTGGAAATCATCCATCTCGTCGAAATTCTGGTTGTACGTGTAAAATTTGGCGGGCCGAAACTCGTTTATGGCAACTGGTGCAACGGGCTGCGGTAGAGTCTGTGCGGCAAGGCTAGGAGTTGGATTGTACTGATTACCGTAAGTTGAGTACTGAGCAGGGTTCGCTAGCCCCTGATTGATGCTCGCAGGGATGACTGCAGATCAAATCCGTTAGCATTTTTGGATTATAGAGAAGGAAAGAAGAAATATAGGACGCACCTGGCTCAGCCACATGGACAGTGGGATAAAGAGATGTATCGGAAACACGACAGTGCATAGGCCAGCCCGGGTCATCGGTTGTGCGGAGAATTATCCAGTCCCCAGCGCGGAATGGACATTTCTCCTTCTTATCCTCGAAGAGAATTTCCTGGGCGACCGCGTTATACCGTACCATCTGTACTTGCTCAGCACCGATGGTAGTCGACACGGGAGGGGCTACCGCAGGCTGGGCGTTCCACGCGGAGTAGTGTTGTTGTTGCTGATTGATATAGTCTTGCTCATATGAGCCACTTGGTGGAACCATCAGGCTTAAACCTGTCGGGAAGTCTTTCAAGCGTCCCAACCTCGCGCTCGAGTAGCAAAAGCTAATCAGTAAGTCAACAACCTTGGGTTGAGAAAGTATCTCGTGCTCAATGCTTGGGCCAAATCCTAAAGACATGTACTGGTATAGACACAAAGGCTTATCGCATACGTATGGTTTGATAGCTTGAAGGTCGTCGGGCATCTTGGTGAAACAAATGAGGCAAAACTCCGTGCAGCGCACAAAGTGCCGAAGAACGAATTGCATGCCGATGAGTGGGAGAGAGTGTTCTTGCGTGGGCGATTCGTGTATGTGGTCTGCCGAGACGAGAGCAGGATATGTGGCACTGGCATTCTCTGGTTCGAGGTACTGGTCACTGAGCCCTAGGTCTGAATGGGCATGCCTACTACCGTAGTGATCGTTATAGAACTGCTCGGCTCCTGACCATGGCATCCCATTGTAGCGGTAGTGGAGAAGCGTGGGAAAGCGCTCATCTAGAAGTTCGTTGAGCGGCCTGGAAATGAAAGAGTTGCGGAACCCCTTGTGAAGTGTGCTCTGTGATTCAGCTTGAGACTCCTTCCCTCGGCGCTTCTCGTCCTCCTTATTTAGGACGGTGAAGGCACGGATTGCTTCTTGCATAGTCGGCTTGTACGTGGAGCTAATGCCTACACGGACTCCAAAGTTACGTCGCGCTGTAGGAGCGTCGTATGACTTTAGCGAATCCATGCTCTTATACCCATTCGGGTAGTGAAATATCACGACCAGATACTCCGACGCTTCAACTTGCCAAGCTTGCATTGCTTCTTCCGAAATACCTAACTTTGATAGGCGAGTTGAAAGGCTTATGTAGCATCCAAGGCCGTCCAGAAGTCCACCCAAATGACCTACTTTGAAGCCATGAGCTTTAGCAGTCATCAAATCGGACCGAATTCGATGCCTGAACTCCGACGTAGGTTTGATATAGCCTTCTATACTTGAAGCAGTATCCTGCTTACCAAGGACAGGTTTCGGGGCCATATCATCGTCAGGAAAGTACTCGTCAACTTCATCATCATCCGATTCGTCATCTAGGTCTTCAAAGTCTTCTTGCGAGTCGAGCATCTGCTGATCACCGTCTCGATCGGTGGACTCAAGATTTCGTGAAGCAAGCTCGAGCATCTGAATGATAGACTTTCCAGTAGCAGAATCGGCTATATCGGCTAAGGCGCTAGCCACACTGGCTGGAGCATCGTCTGGGGCAAAGATCATGTAGGTATGATTTGAGGGATACTCAGATACGTCTAGAGATATATTAGCTTTGAATACATTGTCTTTCTTATGCAATAATTTGCTGGCACGTGCGTGCGCTTAGACCAGGATGTTAGGATAATGGATTGAGAGGGAGGGGGCTCGCCGAGATCAACAGTCCAAAGGCAGGCCAGCAAAAAACCACGAGTCCGTAATTGGCTACATCCGCAATTTTATTGGCAAGACATGTAAGGGCGTTGAGTCGTAGATCTCGGAAAGAACGGCGCGATCCCGGTAGGGGTTGTTCGATGTGCCGCGTCTTGGACCTCTCCAGCTGGGGGATATAGAAAACGTTGGAGAAGGATTTTCAGAAAAAGGCTTACCTGGAACAAGAGCTGAGATCTGAAACGACTCTCCATCTGCAAGACACTGGAACGTGAACTCGCCATCATCACCTCCAGGGTGCACATCTGCAATGCCGACAACCTGAACGCCAGCGACCGCCTTCTGGAGGTCAGATATGAACGCCTTCCTCGGCATAGTATCGGCGGTGAAATGCAAACAGCAGCGTAGTGGTCAAAGTCCACGTTGACGTTGGTGGTGTGGGGGGACTAAGCTGGGCAGAGTGGGAAGGCACAAGCGAGTGGTCAGGCGTGTGGTGACCTGAAGTATTTTGGAAAGTACAATAGGGGACCAGACTAGGAGGAGCTGACGGTAGTGCAGTCACTCAAGCTAGTAGTAACAACCCCGAGTTATGACAATTCAATCCTTCACCGGCGGCACTTTTGCTCAGGCGGGATATCCTCGAAGTGGCCTGGCAACACCAAGACCAAGGCTGGTGGACGTCTGGGTGTGACTAAGATAATTCCGCAGTACTGGGGTCTCTTTGGGGTGGACAACGAGAAGTTGGAGGCAGCAAAGACGTCGGGGGAGGGCACGGCAAAGCTGAGGGAGGAAGAACGAGGGTGGGATGTTGATTGCTGTTGGCGACGTCCTTTTAGTTGGGAAGAAGAGGGAGGAAAAGAAGAGGGGGAAGAAGAAATCACATAAAAGTGCCAGCTCCTCCAGTCACGCCCTGCTAGCACCAAATTGAACGAGATATAGACTCGCTGCCTTGCAGAGTGAAGGGAAGTGGTGAATTAGAGCTCCAGGCAACAGACAGTGTGGCTGAGACAGAGAGTCCAAGCTCCTCAACAGCCACCCCGTTTTCACAGCAGAAACGCCGGCAGAACTGCCTTGCCTTGTCAAGCCGAAGCAGCAGACGGGAAAGGAGCGAAAATTCATTGAATCTGGGCTATTTTTCCTATAACCTCTTCTATGGATTTGCTGGCAACTGCACATTTTGTGCAGTAGTGAATCACTGGTCAACCGTCCTGATCCTTTAGCGTGCCCCTCATCCCGAATTCGGGACCCTGGTGACGGAAGCGATCCTCAAGCGCCCGAATTCCAGCTGCTTGTGGCGCAGACCTTCACTCCCGCCATCCACGGCAATAATGGCTGTCCCAAATGTTGCAGATGGCAGTGTAGCTCCCAAGTCGACCCACCTCTACGATCCCACCCTTCAGCCATTTCTTCAGTCCACATTTGACCCTGCCGACTACCTCAATGTCACATTGCCCTCCCTCTCTCTCTCATCGGTGTCGTCTCGGCCTTTGAAGCAAGGAACTTCCGTCCCGCTTGCCGACCTCTCAACTCAAACCCAGGACCTCCTGTCTCAACTGAACGCACATACTACACGCCTCTCGACAATACTCACACAATTGACCGATGACATACTACGGAGTGGTGGGAGATTGGCGTACGAGGTTGAAGTCTTACGAGGAGAAACAATTGGGTTGACAGAAGCATTGTCAGAGGGACTGAAAGGCGATGTAGAGAAGTTCCTACCAGGAGGTATCATGGTAGAAATGAAAAAGCCTCCAGAACCCCCAGAAGACGTTAAAAGCCCAGTCACACAAGATTCCACCCAACAAGAGACCAAAGCCCGGGACATCCCGAAGGCAGAAGACGAACCTACTACGCCCCCCTACATCTCCCAACTTCGAACTCTAACCCTCGTCCGCTCCCGTCTCGAAAGCGTCATAAAAATCTTCGGCGAAGCTATGCACTGGACACTCGCACCCTCCGAAGTCTCTCTAGCCTCCTCATTAATCTCTGTCTCCGCCCCTGAGCCTGGCTCCGACAGCGCCAGCCGTGAAGAGAAAGGACGAGAATTCGCCGAAAAACTGCGTACCGAGATCTCAGATCTCATAAGTGGGGGCGAGGGTGATGAATCTGGTGTTGAAGCCGCTATGATCCGGATCCAGGCCCTTCGAGACTTGGCGCAAGTGTGGAGAGGCACAGCGGAGGAAAAATCACGGATAAAGTTTGTCGAGAGTCTTGTGAAGTTGGTGGAGGAGAAACAAAAAGCGATAGAGAATGCGGCAAATCAGCGACAGAAAGGTGGACGAAATGGAAGCGTATCGAAGCTACAGCCGCCGCAGAAGAGCAGCGGTGGGGGTTTTCTAGATAACCTTCAGAGGATACGTGGGAATATCTACTTGGAATGAACATCCCTTGTAGGCGTCTCAGGTCTATCCCAATGTCCAATTGGATTCGCCTGGTCACGTGACCTCGTGTTTCCATCGTGTCTGGATACGTCATATGTTTGGCGTGATGGAATTTATCCGCTCAACACAGCAAGGTCATCAAGGACGACATTCAAGATCCTGTTGCATTTCCCCTCAATTCCAGTGAGGGATTTGATTAACCAAATCTTCCCTGTTCATGTTTTTGAAAATCCAAACAGTCGCTTCTCGACCGCTTTCACAATCACAAAGGAGCAACAAGCATAAGAGAAATCATTTGCCTTCATTCAAACAACCACCACAACGCTCATACATCTGCCCTGTCAAGCCCTTTCGGCAGTGCTATAGTGGTATTGTCACCCATGAATCGTGAAACCTATACAAAAAGCCTCTACAATGCCTATCCTTTTCCACATTGCCCATCAAAATAAACCAAAGACACCAATGACTGCCACAGCATGTCAACCCCAATTTTACCAAGTACAACTCCAACTCAACCTATAAAGGGAGTCGAAGGGGAGTCAAAGTTGTCTTCAGGGGGCGCCTACGCCGACCTAAGCGAACAAGTGTTATCCTCCGCCAGGTAGGCCCAAACACTAATCTCCACCTTAACTCCATATGAACTCCGCGGACTCCGGAAATGCAGGCTATGATGATCTACTAGCCATTGACAAGGATTGCATCGAGAGTAGTCAGAGCCCTTTTTGCCTCCACATCGTACGAGGAGATTAGACGCTCACACTCCGCCCTAAGCTTCTCTTCGCCACGCTTGGCATTGTACATCACCCACTGTTCGACTGTCATATTCTTCTCTTCATTGGTGAGACCAACCTTAACCGCATGAACCATGACATCTTTCGCATCCGGACCAGCATCCCTGACGTACATATCTACGTTCTCTTTATCAAGGCCTGCATCGACCATAACATCAGAGATGAAACCCTGCAGCACGCCCTTTTGGTCGAAGAAGCCATCGATATTGACAGGGTCCCAGGTCATAGCAGGTTGTTTCTGCTCAGGCGTCGTAGCTTGTGGGGTCCTAGGGAAAGTGGGCGTGCCTTCGATTATAGATTCTGGCAGGGCTGATGACATGCTTGGCCACTCAGCTCTCTCCGGTGGGTCGCTGATTCGCTTTGTCCGTTTGGTCTCACGTGTCTCTACGGGGACTTGTGGTGGGTCGGTGTCCTCGCTCTTGCGTTTAGTGCCACGAGTCTGCCTGGTCGACCTGGTCGACATGGTTGAGGTAAGAGACGACGTTGAGGTTCGTTTCGAAGCTTTCCGACTTCTAGCGGGAGGCTTAGCGGCAGCTTTTGCAGGTTGGCTTTTAGGTGCTTGGACAACAATCTGGACATCACTTTGCTCAGACACCAGAACTTGGCTCTCGGCCTTCTTGCCGCGCGTGCTCTTGGTTAGGGCTTTCGTCGATGCTTTCGTAGCGGCCTTCTTCACTGTAGCAGTGGAGGATCGTGTGGAACCACGCTTACCCTTGGTAGCTTTTGAGCCGCCTTTGACAAACGGGATGGCCACAGGATGATAGAGTTCTTTGAGAGCAAAGAACAAGCAGTCGGAAGCACGTCGTCGATGCTCGTCCATAGGGTCGTCACCGGCATCCCACGCATCGAGAGACAGGGAGCAGTATGGACAAGTAACGCCATCATCGTGTTCAGGGCTTGGATCATAGCACCATCCAGCATCGACTAACTGCAAACCTGTTAGCAGTGTCAGAGACACTTCGCAAGGAAGAAACCAACCTGATCCACGGTCGGAAAGCCAGCTCTGCTATCGAGTGGCCAGTAGTCGGCAAAGGTCGCTCGGCGTGCATCCTGCATTGCCTGGGCCATAGGATCCTCCTCGGCCCTATTTGGGTCTGCATTTCGCACTCGTATGCACGCATTGATGGCAAAGCCGCAGTCGGGAGAGTGGGTGAGATGCTCATGCGATGGGTTGTCGGAAGGCTCCCAGCCATCTAGCTGGCGATTGCAAGTAATGCACTGAACATTGTCCGGACTTGTAGAGGTAGGCTTCCATATGAATCCGGCAAGCGCCAAATCAGAAGGGCTGGGTAAATGAAGCGGCCATCCTAAAGTGTTCGGGGATGGTTTCTTTGACCGGGCAGAAGCGCGACGCGTCTTCTGCTTCGTACTGAATGTTTCTAGGCGTGCCTGAAAACAGGCGAGCGAGGCCTTCATGGTGGTTTCGCAATTAAGAATGACACGTCGAAATGGCGCTGTGGTGTGTTGTTAGAACAGACTGTTCGCGATACAAGCCATTGTTTTGTTGTCGCGAAATCCACCTCCGCTCCCCGCCGCGCTAATGACGTAAGCGTGATTAATAAGCCAACCTCCAACATATTCTGTCCCCAGGCATTATTGCCAGTTCCAAAGATGGCATCAAGGCATTGTCTTCGGTCTATAGGCTGCTATTCGGGGCGGCGTCCTTTATCTACACAGTCCGCCGAGTCCCCCGCGAAAGCCTCTACCCAGACTCTTCCCCCCGACTGGGAAGATGAGCCCCCAGCACTGTCCGACTTCACGCAGCTCCCGCACAAGGACTTCGGCAAGAACCAACTCATCGAAACAAACGAGGAGTTCAAGCGCAGCCTAAGAGGCATACTACGCGAATTCCCTCCTATTAGCTATGCCTTTGCCTATGGCTCCGGCGTATTCCCCCAATCCGATGCCAGCACCTCGCGCATTACACATTCTCCACATCTAAACCCTCCGGAAGCGATATTGAAATGGCAGAAAGGCGGCGGCAAGATGATTGATTTCATGCTCGCGACGAAATTCACGCAACACTTCCACTCCCTGAACCTCAATCGGCACAAAGATCACTACTCGTTCCTTGGGTCCCTCGGCTCTGCCGTGGTTAGCCATGTGCAGGATGCGTACGGCGCCGGCGCATATTTCAACCCCTACATCACCGTCAATGGGACAATGATTAAATATGCCGTCGTAAATTTCCAGACGCTTCACCGGGACCTCTCGGATTGGGACACTCTCTACCTTGCCGGCCGGCTGCACAAACCCGTCAAGATACTCTTCGAGGAACCGAACATCCGGGTCGCCAACCAGCGCAACCTGCTCTCAGCCGTACGCTGCGCTCTCCTGCTCCTCCCTCCCACCTTCTCCGAAAAGCAGCTATACTCGACCATCACTGGCCTAAGCTACAAGGGCGACCCGCGCATGGAATATGGCAGCGAGCACCCCAAGAAAATCGACAACATCGTAACCCACCAGATCCGCAACTTCCGGCTTTTATACCACGACCTCATAACCTCCCTCCCCAACGTCTCCTACCTTGACCAGCAGTGCTTCTCCAAACTCGACTGGATGGATGACACCAAGCTGGATGTACGGATGAGCCAAGACATGGACGTCGAGCGACGAGGCAATATGGTCCGAAGACTCCCCAAGTCCTTCCGACAGAAACTGTACTTCCTCTACCAGCGCAAATTCGCCATCCCCGGTCGGGAATTTCAGGAAATGCTCGATGAAAGCAAGGACGAGGACGCAGAAGGCGGGTTGAAGAAGCAGGTTGGAGGCGCTTTTGATAGGCGTATTGCAGGCGAAAAAGACTTACCGGACATGGTGGCGAGAGCAGTAAATCAGACGGTAAAATGGCCGGCAACTGTGCAGTCCTTCAAAGGCATTTTAACAGCCGGGCCAGTGCGAGCTTGGAGATACTTGCAGGAAAAGAGAGAGAAGGGAAAGCAAAAGTGATTTGCTCTGTTAATGGGCATTCTTAACAGCAATCGACGTCTTTGTAATTTTTTTGTTTGTCGTACGATCAAAAGTCAGGATTTGAGCATAGAATTGGGTTGCGTTGGGTTGCGTTGCATGTAGCCGCCGTTTGGGTCTCGACGGGTCAGGCTTGTATCAAAGCTTTAGGGCGGGAAACTTCTGGAATAACGGGGAACCTGAAAGATAAACTTATTGTGTAGAGATTGAAGGGGAAGCTAAGTAGCCCTCTAATGTATCATTTGGAATTCGATTGGCCGACCCTTTGACACTGTTGTAACACTCACCAACCTTAGGCAGTTATTACCAGGCATTTACTTAGCTAAGCCGACACGTGAAAGCCAGGAGTTCATTCAAGTATGCGTGGTGTAAGTATACGAACTTGAGACTTTCCTTCCATATTATCAATTCGGCATGCTAGGCGTGGGTGAGTTGAGCTGAGAATATGCATTATATTTCAACGGATACACATCATCCATATATATATATATATATAGACTCCCCCCAAGCGCTAGATTCCCCGAGATCCGCCAAAAACACCGGGTATCTAGCAATGTCCATTTTCGTATTTATAAATACCGCCTCAAAGATGCAGACTCCCAAATGAAAAAAGGGAAAAACGCTATGAAGTACCTGGTAATGATAAATGCCCAAAATATTATGTAGAGAAGAGGTAATCCCCAACAACCCCTTTGCCCCCCTTCTTTTCAGTCCCCCGCTGAGGGTCTGAGCCTATGGTTTGATATCAATTACTCTCATTAACTGACCATCTCCTCTTAGGCCCTCTCTCCCTTTCCCCCCCACCCCACATATTGCTTACGGACGGATGACCCCAAAGGCCACCCTCACTAGTACCCAGCTTCGGACCCCAAAGACCGTGTTGGCTCAGACTGCGTCCCAGGCCACTTGGCAGAGGCGGTAGGTCGTCGTCTTCGCCGTGTTTCTCGTTACCGTTTGCATCGCCATTGCTATCGCTCCAGTCCTGTGTCTGCTGTAGCTGTGGTAATGGCGAATCCGGTTGCGCCACCTCGCGGAAATTCAACACCATATCATGACCCGGGCTATGTCGTCCCTCCAAGGGTTCCGAAGGCGTAGGCGCACGCAAGCTGGACCAAAGGCCTGTCATACTAGACGTCGACGAAGACTGAGGGTTATTAGACAGTAGTCTCGAAGACGATCCCGACGTTGAGCTCCGTCGCATACTGCCTAAGCTACTATTTATCGAGCGATACGGCTCCCCCAACGAAAACAAAGAGTCAACCGGGCTATTGCTGCCCGCGGAACCCCCAAATCTCCTGCGGTACTCGAGACTAGGGCTTGCGTTGACGGCGGGGGAGCTAAGTGGCGGGGGTTTAGCGGGGTCGACACCAGGGCGTAGGTGGTCGAGGGAGGCGAGCACTTTCATTTCATATTCTTCGGACATGCCCATGTCCATTACAGACTGGCGACGGGTAGAAAGGGTGGGCATGGAAGATTTGCGGACGGAGGGGGAGGGGCGTCGGACGGCCATAGAGAGTGAGGCCATTCCTACATCGAGAAGGACGGGTTGGTTGGATATTGCCCCGAGAAGAGCGTTGCATCCGGCTCCGTGGGTTACTAGAATCAACACCAGGTCTTCATCCTCTTCTTCTAATTCTAGACACGGCTCGACAACTGGGCCAGCGTCGGATATATGCTGGAGAGTGCTGCTGTCGTGCGCTCGGTACGTGAAGCCGCGAATCTTTTCGTGCGGAGTTTCTGATCCATGCTCTTTATACCAATTTACCATTCCAGCGAGGCCCTTGCGGAAGCGCCTATGCATAGTGCTCCACTCGTCACCATATTCACCTCCATCGCCCCACTCTTGTGGTGGTCGCATGCTGTCCCATTGGTAATCGACGTCTATACATGCGTCTCGCGCATGGGTTACATAGCCTCTAGGAATCGGATCCGACGGGGAGACAGCATACGATGGTACCGGTGGATCGTAGACATGGGCTGGTACCCTGTGTGCCCTGGAAAGCAAAGACATGCCGTTATGATTGTGACTGTGGCAAAGGCTGTGATTGTGACTTGTTCTTGAACCAAGATTCGCAATGCTGCCTTGGCTGCTCGCCCGCTCACGGAATGGGGATACCTGAGCGAGGCTGCCCAATCCGACCCGTAGACCATTCTCGGTGCTCGATTGGCTATTGGAGGTGGATGTTCCATGGCTTTTCATCCACCCGCCAGGAAAGTGCCCCTTGCTATTGTGTGCATTCTGCTGCACCTCAACGTAGTCTCCCCGCCGTAGCAAGTCTGCCTTCGCTCCCGCGACCATCATAGTCGAGTTTGGCGGGGGTGTAATATCCTCGTAGTAATCCGGAGTAAGCCACTCCCCAAGGAAAGCATCAATCCGGAGTAGAATATTATGTGGCCCAATCTGCCTCTTCCCAAACACCTCCAAACTCGGGTCCTCAGCCGGCACTGTCACGGCCACAGACTGCACAGCCGGGCTCTCAGAGACAGTACTCTTCGTCCTAGGGGACTGGCTGCAGAACCCATTCCTTCCCTTCGTCGTCCGTGTTTGTAGGGTTGGGGGTTGGTACTGTGCAATCCCCGCCGCAATCGCCGTACTCGTCTGTATACATCTCAGATATGGACTCGAGTGTATGATGATTGTGTGCTTCTTCTTCCCTCTCTTCACATCAATCCCAGACTTCGATTGGTCAAGCGGACCGAAATCAAGATGTGCAAGGTCAGCGTTGGGATTCGCTCCATTAGCCTCTCCCTCATTCTCTCTCGCATGGAGCAACGCTGCGATTCTCAGTCCCAGTGCTTTTGACTGCGTCCATCCGCCATATGTTAGCGGAGGGTCGTAGGGGGTAGGCGAGGTGAGGTGCCAGGTCTTGTCGGCAGCATCGAGGCGGGCGCCGTGCCTACCAGTTTCGCAATGGAATTAGCTGAAGCTTCAAGATATCTGTAGACAGAAAGAGGTAGTTGAAAAGAACGCACCTGGCGATAATCACGACAGCCGGTCCTTTGACCATGGCTCAGGCAACGAATGCGGATGCCGCGTGCCGTGGCGCAACGGGCTTGAAGTTTGATCAGGAGCCACGATGCATTCAACGCAGGCTATACTCGGCGTTCGTTTTCAAAGCTATCCCCCGATAATTATTCCAGCTCGGGTAGCGTACAAAGAGCAAAGCGTGAAGCGCTGATACGCGCCTCGATGATGTGTTGAAGGGCTATACTCGCTTTCCCAAATGGCGAGCGAGCGAGCTACTATGTCATGCGTCACGTCTTCATGAGGGGGTCTACCATCGATCGTGGGGCACGCTCCCTGAAGGGTTTTCTGCCTCTCCCACCTGCATCCACACTTAATAACCACCGGAGAAGTTTTCCCCTAGCCAGGCACTCGCGACATGTCGGACACGTGGTAATACATCCGTCAGGAAAAAGTAATCATGCACAATTCGTCCGGTTTCGGACCCGAATGCGTTGTTGCGCAGCGAGATGAAGGAGGGAAGCTCAGCTGGAGGCGGGATGTGGTCAAAGCATCATGCGCCTTTGGCATGTGATAGATTGCTTAGACCGCAGGTAACCGCTGCAGATCGAGAGCAAATATCGAGGCCTACAACATTTATTGAAATCCATCATGGACATATATTCTAGGACTGTGGCGGATTTTATAGGTATTCAGGGTCTAATCTAAAGAGTAATACGGCGAGGGCATGGGAGCTTGTTCGTTGTTGCTTCAGATCTAGGAAAGCCTTGATGGGCGAAAAGCCACAGGTACTCAGATGAATATATTTTCCGTCGCTGAAATTGTTTAGATGTGGAAAGATTAGATGGTGAGTCGGCCTTGGACTAAAGATAGTTGCGAAGCACGGCCGCCTAAGCAGAAGGAATGAAATGCACCGGGAGCCCTCCAACGCCATGGGAATGGGAAGTGCATTCGAATAACATGCTTTTGGCTTTTTCTTAGTTAAAGCCCATTTACTCGAGATACTCGCCTCCAGTTTCCTTGTGAATTAGGTCAAAGAGAGGTTTGGCGCTGAACCAGCCTGCCTTGGAAGTTCCCACAGTATTGTAGGTAAACCTAGCAAGAAGTCAGCCATCAGTCCATCCAAGGCCCAAATCACTAGCTAGTGGGGATGAGAACGTACTGTGCTTCCTGCTCTCCAATCTTAACCGTACTCCCACCACGTCCAGCAGCCGCCGCATCAGCCATCAACTGTGCATGGCAGCACTTCTCAAGACTCACAAACCAGAATACAGCCTCTTCGACTGTTTGTCCACAAGTGAGCAAACCGTGGTTCTGAAGAAGTGCAGCTTTGCTACTCCCTAGAGTTTTGGCGATGTTCTTGCCTTCTTCCTCGCCAAGCACAATCCCGTTGAAGCTCTCGTAGAGAACGTGATCCTGTTATAATGAGTACCATATGCTTCGAAAATGTAATCTCAGAGCCTTACATTATAGAAAGCGCAAGAATCTTGAGTAATCGTATCCAATTTTCTTCCTAGAGCACAGAAGCTTCGTCCATAGATGCTGTGGCTGTGAGCTGCAGCATTGACATCGGGCCGAGCTTGATGGATCGCAGAGTGAATCATGTACGCCGCTGAGTTGAGCAATCGACATTCTCCTCCATCGATCACACGACCTTCCTCATTGACGAGAATCAAATCTGAAGCTTTAATCATGCTGAATGAGACGCCAAAGGGGTTGACCCAAAAGGTTGTTGGGTCGACAGGATCCTACGATAATCTGTATCACAATTCGGATTAGAGATAGAGGGATAATGTGAACGTACCCTGAGGGTGATATGACCAGCAACTCCTTCATCGAACCCATATTTACCAAAGATCCTAAAAGCAGCAGCAAGCCGTCCTTTCAAATAGGCCCGCTCTTTATATGGATCGTCGAACTTCGGCGGACCGGGGAATATTGGCATCTTCACCTTAGCCTCCGCTTCACTCTGCCCGGGCTCATGAGCTGCGATATTGGAAGGCTTAGTCGAAGGCCCATTGGTCGCCTCAACCGCTGAAGGAGGAGACATTTCAATTGTGACCCAAATACTCAATCTTAGAGCAAAGAAAGTGGAAGTTGCGCAAAGTATAAGAGAGTATGATTTGGAAGCGCCCGGATGAGCACAGAGATTCTATGGGGGTATTCTTTGTATGATAGGGCCTCAAGATATATACCTCGGAAGGTGATTATTCCCACGCCCTTTTTCAACGGACTTACCCAAATTAGGGATGAGGTGGACGAGTTAAGCGATGGTGATTTGATCGTAAGATGGGCCAGAGAGATCTAAGAGTGTCGTGCAAGATGACTAGTTTCTGAGTGATGCGGGGTGATCTTTGAGTGAACGGAACTTTTCCGCCAACTGCTATTTCCACAAGGCCCCCAGACAATGACGTGTTGACGAGCATCGTAACGTGAGCAAAAAAACTTTGGAATATACTCACGATGAACACCACGAAATCTACTCCTAAGTTGACACATTCCTAGGAAATTAAGAGGACTAAGCATCCAAGGCTGCAAAGTCCGAGTAAATAAAGGTCTCGATGAGTCTACTTATGTGAGTGGGCGTATATTCATGCTAAACAGTAAGCTCACCTGCTTAAATGAGCCTTCCATCATTAATGTTAACGTCGTGGCTTTCTTTGTCTGTCCCATACAATGTACTCGCGCTAGGCCTTGCACCTCGACAGCGGATTTCCCTGCTGCCCCATGGTATATAACCTGGATGGTGCGGTGATATCGAGTCTGCAGACGCACTTGCCCCTCTAACAAGGAGGCGAATTAATTTTTGCGAACAAAGGCGCATGGAATTGTCATTAGGATGACAAAAATGTTTGGATCTTGCTGAAATGTCTTTAGCGTAAGAGAGTGATTATGCAATGAGGTATTCCAGTCGTAGCCGGTATATCTGACAAAAGCTTCTCGAAGGCCTCTTTCAATACAATAGAGAGTGGAGGTCTAGGGAGAGAAGAGGACGCTAGGAATGTCTTTAGTCAGATATTTCTTGTGATTCTCACGGCAATATACGAGCGCAGGTATGGACCAAGAGAATGGGACTAGGGAAGAGCAGAAATGCTGGTGGTTCGGGCCCACCGTAAGGTTCCAAGAATGAGTACTCACCTTTTTGTGCGTAGAAATACTGAGCTTGACCTCTGCTGACAAGGAGACTTCGTCGGAATCATTTTCAGAGCTTGAAGGTGAAAAGACGTTCGCCGGTGATTTGAGAAGGTAAGGGAGACCGACGCTCTAAGGAAAGAAGGAGAATGTCCGCAGCAGAGCTCTAATCTTTCCCTTGAACAACTTGCACACATCATAAAGCAGCAGTACAGCTGTTGTTTTAAGTGGTTTCTCTCCAGATCCAATCCAAGCAAGCCCTCAAGTTCAGCCGTGTCTAAAATCATGATGCATAAAAAGCACATCAAGTTTCCTACGATGCTCAGAACCTAACATGTACGTCGTTGAAACCCAGGAATCAATCTACGATTCAAGAATGTGGATTTCCTTGGCTCTTCAGCGGTTCGGTAATATTCTTCGCCCTCCGGGGAGAGCATATTGCTTTCGTCATGCTGGTCGACCTATCTCGCACGTAATCCACTTTCAAAATTCGGCCATACGCAAGAGATATCAAACAACAGAGAATGTTAATATCCATTTCGAACTAGGTGCAAATAATGGACCAACTACATATACTCTCCGAACAATACTCTCTTCATGGTCTGCCACATCTTTGGATCAATCACCTGAGAGGATTTGTTGGCACCAAAGAGAAGAAGAGACAAGTGAAAATGCTAGCTTAGTTTCTGATCTGCTTGCTGAGTCGGAGTATAGGAATGCACAAATACTCACCTTCTTCGAGGATAAAGCACCGCTGGTAGAAAGGGAAGAGGAGAGGCTGATTGGAGCTCAAGACTCTCTCCACTCAGATTATACTATCTCGTAGGTCGCTATTACGACATTACAACCCTGGCAGTTCGTCCAAGAGGCTAACCGTTTGGATGCGTGATGCTAGCGAAACACGAATGGAGTGGTATTTTTGATGTGCTTGCTATTTCGGTGCAATAATCTAATACTGTGTTAGGTGTGCTTCATAAACTGATCTCCCACCTTTTAATTACTATTACAGATCAGAAGGCGTGGAAGACGTCAACAAGAAACTGCACTCACAGGGAAAAGGAAAAACCAGAATAGTTGTAAATGTATCGCAACCACCGCTTCGTGAGGCAACAAAATACCACTTCAGGGGGCGTCTCTAGAGAATCGCCAGCAATTAATGCAATATTACTTCATGGCATTCCGAGACCGATGGGGTCTGCCAGAATGCCACCCAGAAAGGAGCTGGCTTTGTGGCTTCAAAGAGAAAGTGATATTTTTAACGAACCCGTTTTGATGAACTTCCCTCGGTATGCAGCAGACTTATGAGTTCACATAGACCCAGACGAAGTCTTTCCCTCCCCCTGAACATCATTTTCAAAATCTTCTAAGTTCTATCCCAGTCCTCGCGCGAACATTAAATACAAGCCTGATCTTGGTTTTTGCTTTGCGTTTAGAACATGACTTGATAGAAAGGCTTGAGAGAGTATTATGGCGGAAGGGTGGTCCGCGAACGTAAAGAAGTTTGAAGCTCGAGAAACTACCTATGGTTGATAAAATCAGCCAATGCGTCGGGGTCCATTGAGTCGTAGACGGATAGATTGGTCAACTGGGGCCTGGGTAGAAGGCCATTTGCCTGTGATTTTCGGGGTACGACAGGTGGTGAGGATTGAAATGCTGAATTTTTCTATCACGCCATGTAGGATCTTGAAGATATAGTTCGCACTCCTGGAAAATTTGTCCATTGCCATCAAAGCAGCCCGACAGGCTATGAATAAAAATCGAAACACAAATGGGCATCACCTTCACCCCTGTAGAATCTTTATCTTTGGGAAAATTGATTGAATGTTTTGAAAATTTGGGCATCAATGGCATCGCCTTCCGACAATCTTTGAGGCGATTGGGCGCCATAGAATCTAAAACTGATCTAGTTGAGCTGCCAGTCACAACCAGCCAGGTGGTCCCCAAAACCGTGGCATGTAGACGTGAAGCATACGAAATTGAGAGTCTAGAAGAGATCTCAGCGTTCAAAAGATTAATCTAGCTCGTGTGTGGAAGTGAGGTGGTACCTGGGAGCCGGGATAGACATGCTAATCTGGAGCACACTTCCTCGAGTGTGAAATTCCCATTTGCGGCGGCAGCTTCTCCCCCAACTGAGCGTTCTCGGTCGAGAGGGGGGGAATTTGTGTGTTTTCGCATGGATCACATGCAGTGATAAATTCTTGGAACCAGAAAAAGTAGGTCTAAACTACCCTCCCCGCCTCCGCTATGCTGAACTTGGAGCATACAGCCAGGCGTAGAGGGAGGAAAATCAGGAGTCCAAGTATTCGAAGTCGAGACATGAGTATGAGGATATTAGGCCAATCCGTTATCCCAGCTGCGCAAGCAAGACTCGAAACCCGACGAGGGATCGTAGTAAAAATATGGCTCATTGGACTGAGTGATTTGACCAGTGCGTTCAAGTTCTGTTTCCGATCAGCTATGGGTATGCTCGCCAACACCTCTATCAACAAGAGGAGCATAGTATGCTCGGCCGGGATGAACAATACCACCATGGGAAGCCACATAAATGCTGCCCGCTCCAAACGCAATGCGTGAGAGAGGTAGGAAGGCTATCGAAGGCTGTCCAAGCTTAGCTAAGCACACTCACAGCTTCATAGATGGGCCCAGGTGTGGTGTGGCGGCCGGTTACCTTCGATGTGAATCTGAAAATGTTTTGGATGGGGATCGTTCCTACCATTGCAGTCTTGAGGGTTTGGACAAGCTAGTGGAGAAAAGTGGGAGATCACAAATTGCTCGCAGCCCTAGGGAGTTGCAATCATTGATGTACCACACAGCTTCAGAGGGTTGAAAGTGTTTACTGTAAGTGTAGCTACAGCCCGTGGGAGTCAACAGCGCAGGAACCTGCCTTCTTCACGAAAGCGGACATCTTTACCTTCCCTCGACATACCAAGAGCCTCGCTGTCTCTTGATTCCACCCCCAGACTATTATAACCTCCTTATAATGAGTCAGAAGACTTCAATACAATCTAACTTGGTCTGAGGCACCATGAGAGGTGTCGGCAGGTGCGATATTCACCGCTCCAAGCGGGAGCTCGGGGCATACTTCATCCCCAAGTTTCATAGCTCAAGGCCACAACACTTTCCAAAACATTTTCGTCAAGTTCGAAAAAGCAATTGGCAAGTTGGCAAAAGATGACATCGGCGAATTCTCTTCGACCGACCGAGCTTCAAGACATTCGTAAGGCAATGAAAGAAGATGAGCAGCAGTCAGTCGTTCGACAATATCTGCAGAACATGCGACTCACTGACTATTTGCTAGATAGATTGGAGAATTATGCTAAAGCCGCTGAATTTCTCTGCAATGGAACGCTATATGTTTGCAGTAGTCACGGACGACTCACACGGTAGTCACATGTTACCAAGGTTTATCCCTTTCCTTCGGATAGGTACACCCCTTTAGCAATCAACTCAGTTCCTCATGGCTCTAGTGCTTCCAATACCTTTACACTAGATCTTCCTTGATTCGGGTGAGTTTATTATTGGCATTGAAGACCCCATAACCAAATGCTGACGTTTTGCTTCGCACAGCTCTGATTTATGTTCGACTTACTATCTGACAACAGTATCCAGTTAGTGCCGTATCACACGAATGCTTTTGAAGGCTTGACTTGTAAGTTTAGAGTAAGAGAAGGAAAATAGCTAAATAACATATCAGAAAGAGAAGATTAGAAAAAAATTAATTTCTTTGTCTGCTTAGGTAGGTGCTAGTAAGCTTGCATGCGAGATTTTATTACTGGTAACGCAAAATGTTATATGTATTTAGTATCTTATGCCTGCTCGAAGGGTTGGGACGCGGAGCGGCAGAAGATTCCTGTGAAACATCGAGCACTTACAATCGAGGTCTTGCTATATAGGGAGCTATGGGCTGACGTGACCTTTAGCATACTAAATTTACGAACATCGTCTGGCAACACAGAAGAGCGAACGACGCCTGAGGTGGAAATTAAATTGCTTGAAACCTATCAAGTTGCCAAAAGGAGAAAAAGGGTCTGTCTAACCTTTCTTAGGCTCTAGGTCCTCAATCGACTCTAGGATGTATCCTCGTCTTACTTCTTTCCGAGGTCCGTTTCAGGATATATTTGGACTGTTTTCGAAGCTTGTCGGACTATCACGACTGATCTGTTTTAAACCTTGTTTGCGGTTGATAGGTATTACCCCCACACACAATCCAAAGTTGTAACAGTGATTCCGAAGCTTGTCAAGAAGAGACAATAACAGTCTCCTTACTGCGCAGCTCTGAGGTAGGATTAGATGTGAAGGTCTCGTAACAAAGCCTATCTTGATTTGAGGGTGGTGGTACCACACTTCTCATGGCGGAGAGAGGATGGAAATTCAAGGCTCAACTTCTGCCGAGGAACTGGTTGAGCCTCGCATTGGTTGTATTTTCCTTTAACCGCGCTTTCCAACGCCTAGAACAGGAACAAACAGCTGCGAGGGCCGGCTTACTTCCTTCGCCGGTACACGGCCGACATGAGGATGGACTCTGAGGTTGCTGACGGTTAGAACTGCCTCCTGCGTTTCGGTCGAGTGTTCGTTAGTGGCACGCTTTCCCCGTCAGAACGCGGTCCGTGCGGCATCCCGAACCCCACATCGCAGCCACCCCAGTTGGCCGACGGCATTCTCGAAAACACGCAGCCAACCACAGCGAGATGTGTCGATTACGTCATGCTCTGGTGGCTGAAGCCGGGGTGACTTTGGTAAGCAGAGGAGCAACCCATGCCCCGGAATAGCCTAGCGGATGTCATTCTGCACGCCCTTCTGAAGTGCTGGGAAGTCTCCGAGAGTGACTGTTCGCCTTGAAGGCCTTTTCTCAGGCTTGCTCCACGCCTTTCCCTAGAAAACTTTATACATCTTACCTTTCTCTTTCTCGCCACGTTTCAATCGTGCAAAGGGCGTGGACTTTGATCTCCCAATCTCCACTCCTCCCCAGCTGCCTTGTTTCCTCTGTTTTTGAGTGGCTGGCGGGAACGCACGGTATCATGGATACGCCCAACAATCAGTCCGATATGGGGCAATTCTTCGATTTCGGCGAAGCAGCTATGCCTGATATAACCCAAAACGCAGCTGGAACTACTACAGCTGCATCAAAGACGCGAGGCTTGTGCCCGGCTCATGGCAACGACTCGAGCAATGGGTGCGTATCCTACTTCCACTACCTCGAGGACCCCTTACACTCCTTCAAGTCTATCCCCTTCACATGCCATTCTTCTTATCATGACAATACGGCATACGCCATGCAGTTCACTGCCTTGGAAGAATGCGCAGTGTATCAGCTTCGCCGAAAGATCCTCCACGGCAAGACAAATATGTATACCCTTTTGAACATCCATAATCTATCTAGCGGTATATACTACTTGGACTCGTAAACGCTTGTTGGATTGAAGTCCGTGCGGATATTCCCGTCCTTCCGACCATTTATTCGCTTCATACCTGAATTCTGCCCGATCTTTTGATCCTTAAGTACTTGTAACCGTACCACACCTCGTCATTTGATTCAACTGCCATTCCTAGTAATCATGTTAATATGCCTTAGATGCCTATGTCGTGGCTTCCACGAAGACTTCCCTCTTTCGGAAGGTTTACAACAACGACCTGAGCAACCCGTATCTGATTGGAACCCAGACTTTTCCAGCTGGATTCCTCGTTACCATAAACCAGCACATCCATGCGACTATTGCCGCTCTAAGAGTCTTGAATGCTTCATTTACGACTCTGGGAACACATCAACCGGGTGTTCTCCATGCAATGCCCTTTTCCGGCCATGCAGCTTCACCCAACCGAGTAACGATAAGATGAAGTCAAAGACCACTCTTGATACTCTGGATGTTGTGACTGAAGACACTGCTCACCTATTCGGTGGTCTCACCGGAAAGAAACCGATGCGGTGTCTCGGTCACGTGGGTCCCATTGAGACGGACGAGGCTGATAAGGGTCCAAAGAAAGGAGCTGCGGCAGCGCGGTTTCCCCGCGCTGCTGTGAAGGTACTCAAAGACTGGATGATGGAACATATTGATCACCCTTATCCAACAGACGAGGAGAAAGAGGAGCTCAAGGTCCAGACTAGACTCACAACGGGTCAGATCAGCAACTGGATGGCGAACACCCGGCGACGGCAGAAGGGACGGCCGAAGCGAAGCGCGTCTCCCAGTATCCGCCCCTCAACAGAAGCAATAAACATCCCACCAGGGCGAACTTGGGATTCATTGAATCCTTTCGAGCGATGGAAGCACTCTCCTCCAGAAAATGAACCTGCGCCGATGACAGCTATCGCTAGAGCAATGGAGACATTTGACCCCCCTGAGCCAGACAGCCTTTCGAGCAGCTTCAATGATCGTAAGGGCAATTCAAACGACAGCACTGGCAGCTTCTCAGTCTTCCGTGCTCCCTCAACGACCTCTCTTGAAACTGGATTCACAAACATGTCGTCGGGCTCTGCAGGTTCTGCCTGGTCCTACGGCTCAAGGAACTCCTTCGGCTCTCTTAACAGCCTCAACTCAAAGAAAGATAGGCGCCGACGCCGTCGTGTCCCAAATCGAACGGCGAAGCCTGAGCTTGATTCCACTCTGCGTCTGTTCCAGTGCACTTTCTGCACCGACAAATTCAAGTCCAAGTATGACTGGTCCCGGCACGAGAAGTCCCTACACTTATCTCTAGAGAAGTGGATTTGTGCCCCGATCGGAGAGGTTATAACCTGCTCGTCGTCTGGCCAGCGCAAGTGTGTCTACTGTGACGCTATCGATCCGACAAAAGAGCACCTTGCTACCCACAACCACAGCACATGCGAGGAGAAAGGTTTGGAGGCTCGAACGTTCTACCGGAAAGATCATTTACGGCAACATCTACGGCTCATGCACGGCTGTAAGATGACAGCCAGTATGGAGTCGTGGAAATCAGAAGCACAGTTCATAAAATCCCGCTGTGGATTCTGCGGTACGAACTTTGACAAATGGCAAGATCGCGTTGACCACCTGGCGAAGGAATTCCGTAACGGTGCTACCATGAAAGACTGGAAGGGATGCAGAGGGTTAGATGCTCACGTTGCTGCTCATGTGACGAACGCCATGCCACCGTATCTGATTGCAAATGAGAGCAAATCGCCGTTCCCTTTCTCGGCATCGAACGCCTCTAGCATGAAACATCACAACCTATACCTGCTACAGACTGACCTTGAATTCCTCATCCCGAATGATATCATTAGCCCAAATGGTGTCAGAATCCCTCAACACATGGGCGACCTTGGCGGTGCCTTTATCCCTCATTTCATGGGCGATGTTACAATCGATGCGAACTCCTCGCCCATCAATTCCGCCACCGTCCCATTCAACACCCCACAGCAGCAAACGTCTGCTAATTCATCACCTCAACCCAATCCTAATGCTACTTGCTGGGAAATATTGACCCTCCGACTCGGTCGCTTCGCTCGGCAACATCTTGAACACCATGGCCCCAACACCGTCACTGACGAAATGTTGCAGCAAGAAGCCCGGCACATCCTCTACGACAGTGACGACACCTGGAACCAAACCGCAGCTGACAACCCGGAGTGGCTAAACTTGTTCAAGAAAGCTCACGGCCTTGAAACTTCGATTCCCCGCGACGTGACAACCTTGAATAAGCACAACGTCCTCGAAGATTTGGGTCTAAATGCAAACGCAAAACTAGACCCCAGCTTCAATCTAAACAACTTCCAGTGCATTGTCAACAACCCTGAATTTCCGAGAATGGAGGCATTCGAATGCTCGCTCGCTGGAAACACAAGGGTAAGTCGCAGTGCTCTCGCGTCGCTCCCTATTCTAAGCTCGACGGCTACAACGTCCGGGACGACTAGCATACCCATGTCTTCCTTCGCCGATCTCCCGAGACTCGATGCACCGATCAACGAGTTCGGAAGTACAGAGACTGATGATGTATGCTTTGGCGAGAACGGGGAGCTAGGATTTGCTGTCGACGGTGGCACATGCACTCGCTTCGGGGTTTCTAATTCCTCGTTCCTTAGCACGAGTGCCCCAAGTCAAGAGATCTCATGGACTTCCGTAGGAGATCCGCTACAGACGGACCACTTTGACTTCCCGTCTTGGGATCAACTGCCTGAGGGCTTTGATATATCTGGTTCGACGGCTGCACTTAGTACTAGTATTCCAGCCAGCATTGGTTTACCCGTAGTGACCAGCTCAGACGTTATGGGCAACTCATCAGCTATGTGCTGGGATGACAGCGAACTCGGGTTCGGGCTCGATATGGACACGGATATGGACATGAGTATGGATCTCATGATGGGATCTACTTCTAACCGTGCTGCTTAATCGCAGCCAACAACTGTATGGGGACTGTCTGTGATCGGAGAGCTGGATGAAGAGGGATTTTGCTGACTACCGGCGCTCTGATCACGCTTGTGGCCTGTCAAGTCTTTACGTCTACCTTCATGGTGTTTAGTGGGTACAGGTGTCGGTTTGAGGTTTACTTGCTTTGGCGCTCGGGTAAAGGGGTGGTGGGTGTTTCTTGGAACTTGGAAAATGTGTTGTGGATGGCAGAATGCGAAACGGCTGAAAATTGGAGGGTTAGTTGTAATGGTAATGCAATATATACATCTCTCCTCCGTATGTGCTGTCGGGTTTCCTGTACATGGAATTTATGTTTAAACAATCATGTCGCTTATATTCAAGCGCATCATTACGTGACATCCGGTGCTGGAATTGCCCGGGTAGTTTGACAGGTAGAGACATTTCGTCTCAAATTACATCAAGCTTGAGTAGTTGTCAACACATAACATGTCTAATTGAGTGCAAGGTACACAGGCTATTCCATTTATTCTTATTTTCTTTTGTCCTTCTTCGTCCATAATAGGTGTTGATTTAGAGGGTAGATTGAGTAAAGGGCTAGTAATGAAGAGTTTTGTAAAGTTGGAGAACTCTTTACTTAAGGAAAATGAAATGAAAAGAACTGTCTGAAGGAATGTCTTGCAAGTCCACAAACTGGCTTTCGGCAGCGCAACTTGCTATTCACAATTAATTAGAATTGTCGATTAGACTGTCCTACAGTGTACTGTATTTAGGAAGGAGGCCATGGAGTAGGTAGAGGTACGTGGCTGCATTCAAAGCTTCTAAATTGTAAACCACAATTGACTGCGTGTTTACGATATTCTTGTACCGTAATTCTCATTGGATACCATTTTTGGTCTATATCTATCACTTACCGTTAGGATTCTAACACTTACAACTTACTTTCGTATTACCTCTTCTAGCTCCAGCAGCCCTCGAACCGCAAGTCGTTACTTTCTCCAAGCGCAGTGTAGCTTGAAAAAGGGTCTCCACCAACCAGGATTCCCTCACAACAAGGAGCCCCCTCATTCACCACATCTCGAGGGTGGAAGTGCCACCATCGACATAATCATGGTAAGACTTCTTTCCTAACCCTGCTGTCCATGTTGCAAGCAGTTGTGCGTATCCATGGTACCGCAACTCTGTTAGAGTAGTCAGCAAGATCGTCTTCTTGATGACGAGTATCTTCTCATAAATAGCAGCACCCTGACGATCCTGAATCAGTGCACCACAGCTCGAAAGACTTATATGGCGAGAGCGTCAACGAATTTAGCTACAAATACTTCATACGTGTGGACGGTAGACACCTAGATCCCACTCGGTTTCGTGACTTCAGTAAGGACTCTACGCTCTATCCCGGCCGATATAGAGATCATGGCATTCACTACCTTGATTATTCTAATGTAGCTCTTAAGAAGGGATGAGGTATGAGAGAAGTGATGTATTGTGGGGCACCAAGTCCTGGGTTGATTGCACAACCCATTTTAATGCCCTTGGGCTTATCTATACTCTGCGACATCAAGCTTGTGAGCGGCAAATGGGTCCATGTACAACGGGTAATGCTGACATGCGGGTCACTGTACCACCAGATGCTGATGTCGAAATTGAAGCCACACTTAGGGAGGGTGAGTTGGCAGGAAAACAGTGGAATAGAATTCTCCCTAGCCCAGACAAGGTTGTGGAGCCTGTTGCTGAGGAGGTTGATCAATACTAGCAGGAGAAAAAGGCAGGATTTGTGAAAGGAAGCAACAACGAACAAGCAAGCAAGGGGGATTTGAGATGGGCCCATAAATTCTTAGTAGCCTTCGAGAATGTTTGATACACGTATTCGAAGGATTGCCATTTTTGCGTGATATCTTGAAAGCATATAATATGTCCCAGAATAGGCCAAAATCCTGGCTTTATTCACCAAATCTCCCCTATTCCCGTTCCAGCTTATGAGTATTCCAAATCCTGTGCTCTGTATTGTAGGGCTTGAACTCCCACCCCCCCTCAGATAGCCTTGTATGCTGCCGAAGCTATTTCGCTAAAAGATAAAGAAATGTGAGCAAAGAAAGCCGTGATATGGAAGAGATGAGGCGTCAAAATATGAAATTGTCAGGCAATAAAGTTTGATAGGAATATATCGCTTCAGGGGCACTAGCGACACACTCAATTCCCTAGACCCAGCATTGCCTGAGTCTGGGCTAACAGAGACGGCGGCATAATATAAGGCACCAAATCTAACCTCCCATGTCACGCGGTACGCGCTAACACACAGGGGCTTTAAAAATCCCACTGTCTCGTCAGTCTCGAGCACCGGTCATATTACGCCTCGTATCCGCTCGAAGCCGATAGAATGGCCTGCTCGCCTCGTCCTCAACAACTACTTCAGCTTTGCTCCTATCAACGGCATTCCAGATCATCTCCGCGCGAGAATGAAACTCTTTAATCTTACGATGTAAATATGCGACTTCCTCTAGCCCAGACGTCTCTTGCCAGGGATCTATCGGCTTCCACTGTCCGACTCCTCTCACAAACATTTGTTGCAACTTCGGCCAAGGTCCCGAGGAGATCACTGGTAAGATGTGTGAATCGAAAAAGACATCCATTGGAAGTGGGTCACTTAAAGATAACCCAGAGTATGGCAGCCACGTGGGATTGGTGGGCGAGATATGAAAGAGTTCAAAATCAGGGCCGTGCTCGAAGACAAACTCCCTGAGTGTTCCCTTTACGGATTCGAGGAACGCGGCAATCTCAATGTATTGATTATTTCCGTCCTGGAATTCTTGGTTTCCCAGAACGGACGGACCAGTCCTGGAGATATTTGTGTCAAGGAATTGACCGGTGGTTGAGATGTGGAGGGAGCAGAGAGTTGGGCAGCGGCCGGTGAGGGTAGAGAGATAGCCTTGTATGGCACCTGGACGGTCACGTTGGTGTAACTGAATCTCTTCCGGTTGAAGAGTATTTAGAATATGGGGCGGGTCGGCGAAGGTTTGGAGGTTGTTCAATTTCAGGTGACGAAGTCTGGATGGGTCGATAAACGACAGAATAGAGGCAACGACGTCGTGAGACATTAACCCTGCTAGACTGATTGACGTGGCAGTCCTAAATAGAGGAGGAGGTTCGGTCTGTTCGCGATATCTGCTAAGATAGGAATTCAGTGAGCTTCATAGCATTCTTAATTAGCGGCAGGTTGACCTACGTCATGAAAGCGAGATCTATCTCTATAACATGTGAGAAGCATTTGAAAGTTGTCCAGAGGACATCTGGAAACGTAAGCATGATATCAAATCGAGAAAGTAGACTGACCAGTCCAATGGCTGGGTTCAACGAACAATACTCCATCAAAAGCTGTGTTATCCATTAGAGTCCATCGAAGCACACGTGTTTTGGAACCAAGTTCAGGATGCTTCTTTAGTCTGGAGATGAGCTTCTCCTGTCGGAGGAGAACGGATACGTCCCGATCTGTTAGAGTCCGCTTGACATGGTCATCTGGCAACATGACGTTGATATAGTCATAGTGAATTCCCCATTTGCCTTCATTGTGAGTACTGAGGTCGATGGTATGATATATAGAATCGATCTAGTTGGAAGGTTCAGTCAACAACGTTGTGGGTGGGGGCTAGAACTTTCTTACAAAAACGGCATGAAGAGCTTTGGAGGCAAGACAGAGGTTTAAGACTGTGGACGAGCTGCAGTAAGAGAGTACTTCACTACGAAGCTCTTCTGGAAGACGGAAAATGGCGTTTGACGCCGGTGAAAGCATGGTGTCGACTTGCAGTTGATTGCATGTGTGTTGGGGTTGTCTGAGCTGGAAACAAGCTTGTTGTACAGACTAATACAAGAAGAATGTAGCTTGTTTCAGATTTTGGAAAAAGCCGTTGAGGGAGTTGTTGGCTGGAGACGTCGAAAAACACTGGCTTTCAACCTCAAGTACTCTCCTATGCATTGAGGGCCCTTCGCCGTTGGGGTGAGGTAGGTGGCGAACTTGAGACCAGGTCAATTTGCCGTACCTAGACACAGGCCTCGATACGATGCCCGTTCTCGCTCGTATTGATTCTTTCGCAAGAGGCCGAGCTGCGCGCGTGGTTGGAGGAACGCAAGCTGCTTGCTCTCCCAGAAAGGACGTAATAGGTATGTCTGTACTGGACATGTACCAGAGCGTCACGACCCCCGCCGATACTCAGACCCACCAGAGACGATGCATTGATTCCTGAATCGAGGAAACCACCGAGGCACTCTTGACCTACAAAGTCGTCAAAAATGGCCCCGGAAATCGTCGTGAAGATGAGATTGCCGGGTGGCTTGGCAAGAAAGAGGCGGGGACGCGGGCGCGGTTCACGAGAACCTCATTGTTCACGTCAATTAGCGACGTGCCAACGCATCCACGCATCAAGGCTCGTCCAATGCATCGACGGGACCCAAAAGCAGCAAAGCTAGCCACTTCCTGGAAACTATCCATCCACCGCGTCATGTATCCTGTACCTCGTCACCGCCTCTGTGGTTGAGGAGAACAAGACCAACTGAAGTCCTCTGGTGAAACGGTTTAGTCTCAGACAAACCCTCTCACATCCCACCTCCAGACTTCCTTGCACGCCACCACAAATCACATCTACTATCGAGAGCCCGCAATAATGCAGTTCGTCCCGCTTTGAATGCTGCGAGAATGGATACATCTCCCAACTGCGCCATCTGCAATGCGCCAGCCTATCCGGACTGTCCCTGCGAATCCGAGCGCCTTCAGATCGCGGTTAAGCAAGCAGAGCACCGAGTTATGGACGCGAAATTGACCGAGATACGGTATGCGGTGTTTTCTATCGCTCAATGAGATCTGCATAGCTGATTATTGTGCAGCGACTGGGTGATTTCCCATGCCCGACAGCACATTCTGAATGCCTTCGAACGACTGTCATCCGCTCGCAAACAGGCGCATTCTGCCTATCTTGCCTCTCTGCCCTTTTATTCTGTCTATATGCAATATTCTGGACACCCACCCATACACCCCACCGCTCTCGCCCAGCTACAGGCCCAGATCTCAGAGGCACATGCGGAGTTGAAGCGGGGTGTTGATGCCGACTGGCGTGCCTCTGTGCTTCGCTATCCGGAGGTCTTGGACTACTTCTATGGCCTTGTTGAATTACGACTACCCAACGAACGTTCGCCCCGGGTGGCGGAGCCGCCGTTCGCTGTGGCGGGGTATGTTGACGGAGGATACGATCACTCGAGGATTGGAAGAGAGGGTAAAAAGAAGAAGAGGCGAGAATTGTCAGCAGCGCCAGTTGAGCGAGGAAGAAGCCATCGAGATGAACACATATACACGGCCCTAGGACGAACGCGAGGTCCGCCCCCGGTGCCTACCCCGCCCGTCCAGCCAGGAGGATATCCTCGACCACCGGCTCCATATTATGGCTATTAGCAACTTGCTTCTCCATGCATGTTGTTGAACTCTAGCGTCTACACCCCATTGGTACCTCCTATTGGAATATTATTAAGGCTGCTTTGACTAGTCGTGCTAGTTGCAAGTATCGAGTAGAGCGTCAGGAGGAGGCAGATTTCTGCTTTAAACGAGACGTCCTGTCCTACCGTATATGCCACCACGCAGTCCAACACATCTCAAGAAACTCTTGTGGACATTCACCGACCTTTGCTGAGCCTGTCCTCGCACTTTCTTGGCCTCTTCAATTCTTCCAACTCTAAACCGCTTTTTCGGCATGCGGCTCCACTCCACCAACCATTTGGGTCTTTTCGTCCCATTTTCCGACATCTAATTTTGGAAACGCTTTACGCCAATGCCGGGTGCCGGTCGGCGGCGTTCGCCTGACGACATGTGAATGTGAAGCGACACTGGACAATTGGAAAGCATTCTGACGGCGTTTTTTGCTTTTAATATCCGCTGCAAGCTAGGACGAATCTTGCGCGGTTATTGGCGGCCTCACTTCTTACAAGATAGCAAGCATAGCGAGGAGTTTTCTGGTCAATATCCACAGATATCCTTAACTTAAGTGCCATGCACTAGACAGCCTGAGCGAATCTAGTCTGAGCGAATCTAAACATTAATACATATCACATCTCATACCCATGATTGAGATTGTTTCCCTCTGATGGGCTGCAGTGAAAATAAAGTTTGGTGAATGTCGCAGTGAGTGTTCAATGGGGCTTGAACAGCACGTGCCGAAAGAACACGCTAGTACCAATCGAGACTAATCCTCCCGAGCTTCATCTTGGACGCTGGAGAGCTTCACGAAATAAGTTCCGAACTCGCGACCGAGGCATCACGCACAAATTCGACCCTCTCTTACACCATCTGCCTGAAGAGTGCTAAGCTTGTACGCTATGAGCAACAGACAGGGTGCCTATGGCGGCACCAACGGCGGTGATACCTCCTTTCGCAAGACCTGGGACCGCGAAGAATATGCTGCACGCGCCGCTGAACACGAGCGTAAACAGAAAGAAGAAGGCAAAGCACGTTATGAAGCTGCAGCTTCAGGAAAGAAATATCGTCGCCGCGCCTCCACTCCTCCCGATGCTCGCGAAACCGAAGCTCGCAGCCATCGCCTCGATGTCGCCTCAATGGTTGGCAAGACGATGCTAGTTCCCCAGGGCGCTGGGGTGGGCAAGAGAGGCAAGGGTGCCGGGTTCTACTGTGAGGCGTGCGACTTGACGTTTAAGGACAATCTGCAGTATGTGGAGCATCTGAACAATAGGCAGCATTTGGTTGCTACAGGACAGACTGGGGAGGTGACGAGGGCCACAGCCGAGGAGGTGCATCAGAGATTGTTGTGGTTGAAGAGGAAGAAGGACGAAGAGTCGAAAGGGGAGGTGCTCGATTTGGACTCCCGATTAAAGTTGAACAAGGAGAGGGAGGACCAGGAGCGGGAGGAGAAGCGGAGGAAGCGGAATGAAAAGCGGAGAAAAACGAAGGACGGGCTGGGACACCAAGAGATCAAGCTCGAAAATGATGGAATCATCGATTCTAGCACTCACTGGGTTTCCTGAAGGTCTAGGATGCCTATCGGCCTTTGCTCTAGTTAGACACGATTGCATGGGTGGAGTTCTAGGTTTGCATTTCACTTTTGGCATTGATACAGCTCATTCTACATTCATGGCTTTCAAAAAGGGGAATACTTTGTAGGACTATTAGAGAGCTACGACTGACATTTACATCTCTATACCCGTCTTCCTCGCTGCACTCAATAAACTCTACCACGATTCAGCCGTCAAATAGCCGTTAAGCTGACGGAATCCTCTCTCTCGCGTTACAAATAACTTTTTCAGATTTGGCCAAGTGAGATGCCTGAATCCGCCATGATTAGTCCGGTTATGTGGTTGATGTTTCAACGGACATAATGCGGGGGAAGATGGCACTCCCACTTGGGTCCTGGTCATCCCCCCCACATGTGTGATTTCGATAAGTTTGACGCCATAGCCATGATTTCTAAGCAGAGGAGTTAACGTGAAAATAACGGGAAGCCAGCTTTATTTAAATCAAAACATGTCTTCCCTAACCAGCTTTTGAATAGCACATTACCTCACAACTCACCCAGTGGCATTTTTCCTAGCGACGCCACTCGCGTTCCGTAGCAGTCATTCAGACGCCGGCACCAAATTCCTGACTCGCGTACCTACAGCTCAGGCTCGATCGCCACCATGGCCGCTACCAACGGCACCGCACCTAAGATCACACTCTACACTAATCATCGCTGTCCATGGGCACATCGAGCCCACATTGTAATTAAAGAGCTCGGTCTACCGTACGATGAGGTCATAATTGACCTCGACAAGCCTCGAGAGAAATGGTATCTTGAAGTGAACCCCGTAGGTCTCTCCCCTCCCAATTTCCACTCTACAAGTAATAAATATTACTAATACGTATAATACAGCGAGGTCTTGTCCCTTCCATCAAGTTTTCTGGAGGCGCTCTTCACGATGAGATCATAACCGAGTCTGGTATTGTAGCACAGTTCCTTGCGGATGCATACCCGAGTCATTTGGTCCCGGCCACGGGTACTGTGGAAGCCGCGTTGACGAGGGCAAGGATTAATTTCTTCGTGGACACTTGGTTCTCAAAGGCGGGAAGCTTTTGGTTTCAGATCCTGATGAAAGATGCCGAGGAGGAGAAGGAAGCCTTGGCAAAGGAATTCCTCGACATTGTGACAAAGGAGATTGAGCCACTGTTGAAAGATGCCGGTCCTTTCTTTGGAGGTAGCCAGAAGCTCACACTTGCTGAGGTTCGTAGATAATCCCCGGGAAGATAGAAAGCTAACGGTTCCATAGGCCCTCACGGCTCCCTTCATCCTTCGTATCTACTCAATGGGGAACAATGGCCTCATTCCCCAGTCCCTCCTTGCAGGGTTCAATGGACTTCCCAACTTCTCGAAGTGGGCGGCAGAGGTCATCAAGCAGGACAGCGTTACCTACATCTGGGACGAACAGGCGACCTTGGAAGGAACGAAGCGTAAACTTGCTAGTCTTAAGGCCAAATAGGAAATTCTAGCATGGTACGGTGAAGCCCAAACCTGCTCATATCTTAGTATGTATCATCATTGATTGCCGCAATCTACAATTACACGAGCGTATTATCATCCCGTTGTAAAGTGTTGTTGTAAATTTCTCTTGGATATCACAAACGTGTCAAACAACCAAACCCTAAACGCCAACTTACCTTGACCTTAGAACATAGATGGTGATATAATGCGCAGTAAGCACAACGCATGGCCAGGGCATAATATAAAGTAAAGTGAGAGACCCGACTTGCACGCTCAAAGTCCATCACAATTCATCCTCCGCAACTTCTATCCACCCATTATTTATCTAACCTTGTATCTAATACCTCGATCCGCGGCGAGCTCGCTTGGTGCGATGAAGAGTGGTGTCAGCAGCTTTGAGCTGGAGGATTATTTCAGCGGCGTCTAGTTCCTTCTTTGTATGGACACCATCACCACGATCAGAATCGAAATCGCTACCAGTTTCTGCAGAGGGGCCTGTCGGTGGGATGTCCTCGTTCGTATTACTGTCACTGTTGTACTCAACTTTCGACAAGGTTCGCTTCGTTCGAAGTTGATCGTCGTTGAAGTACCTCGGCACCGAGGAGAGCCATGGCTGTGAAGAACTGAAGTGTGCTATGGAAAGGCTGGTAGGAGACTGCAATCGATTCACGATTCTCGAAGGGCTGATAGGAGACTGTGGTCGATTCACGGAAGTCCAAGCCTGGCTTCGAGGCGACACCTGCGGAGAAAAGAAGTACTTGTCGCTTTGGTCAGTGTCGGTCCCGTATCCACTCTCCTGATCCGCATGTTTCGTTCGGTGTGATCTGGGGCTCTTGCCTCTCTGTGGCGGACAGGCGAAGTCCTCCTTGAGAGTGCTCATGGATGAGTTCTTTTCTGGAGTCGGGATGAAACATCTATCGTCTCCTATCAACCATTTCTTTGTGTCAGCGGTACACTCTCGGATGATGGCAGGATCAATTAAAAATCTGCCGAAGTTGGGGCTCTTCGGTGGAGTGCACATAGACAAAAAGTCCTTGCCAAATACTGGCGTTAATGCATGGCGGATGTTGTAGCAGAATGTTGCGGCCACCGCTTTAGCGGCCTTGTAGGGCATCCAGTATCCTTCCAAAGGTTAGCATTGATCCACCTTCACTCTACGCCTAAGACTTTGACTTACCTTGCGCAGCTAGTGCTCCACCAGTGATGCTGTGGCTAATATCTCGAAGACCAGGGTTCATATTTAACACCTTCGCTGGAGTTGTCTAGTTCTATTAGTATCACTCGTCCTATGAATATGAAGCTCACTTACCTTGGGGTATTTACAGCACTTGAAGAATGGTGTGATACGAACGAGACCGATATTATAGTCCCAAAGTACAGAGTACATACGCTCCTCCCCGGGTATCTTGAACGTGTACTGGAATACTACGTCATCGTCAGCATGGCCATGGTATGCTAAAGAGATACGCACCCTCAAAAGCTTCTCTGCCAGTCTTCTCCATGAAGTCCTTCTTCTCACTATTGTATGGGATATGCCGAGGGTATTTCCCAACCTGACCCATCGGATACATCTGGAATCGGCGTTGGTGCGAGGCGAGGCTTTCGTCATCCTCGGTTTCATAAGGTGGGAAATTGACCATTCCAACTACTTTCGCTCCTTCAGCAAAAATTGGCGCGTCCTTGGGTATTTTCTGTCGCCTCGGAGTGGGCGTGTTTGTGATCACTGGGCGAGGCATGGTGACGGGGGCCGGACTTGCAGAGCTACGGTAACCCTGGTGGTCACCGCAAAATGGGTTCAGCAAAGATTGAATCTTCATCCTTCGTACACCACAGATGGTTTTGTCGGGGGGCTCCGAGGCTCAAGCTGTGTGCTTCGATCCTTGTCGATGAGTACCCGGAAAGGACCTGGGGCAATGGCCAGGGCGGGAAGCAAGACTAAGCTGCTGTGGAACGAAGCGAAGCTTAAGCAAGGAAGTTTGGTGGCAGTGGTCAGAAGAAAAGAGGCTGACGATGGGCCGTTTGCAGGACGTTCACGAGGACGAGATGGACACCTTATACGCCTAGCTAGTGATATCGCTCTACCAGAGCTCCTCTAACTGGAAACACTACAATCTGGATATTACTGGCTTAACAGCATATAGAGAAAGGGTTTCCGATGGAACGTACGTACTGCGTTCGGACACCAACTTAGACGTCCGATTTGCTGGATCCTGTGAACCGCTACCAATCTATGTGCAAGCACGCGCTGGATCTGTCTGAAAGGACCTCTTTCGTTTGCCGGCACTGACCCGTGGCGATAGAGATGAGCTCCTCGCTTGGTTTCCAACGGAAATTACAGGTCGGCTATCGTTGGGTGACAGCTAGGATGACAGCTTTTTCCTGGGGGTATTGACAGGTCAGCATGCGTAAAGATGAAGGCAATCGAATGGCTTGTTGATATTACCAGATCGAGTGGCGAGTCAATCAGCTACGTGGAATATCGATGTGAATATCCTACATCTAGGTGAGTTCTGACGACTTCGGATATTGAGTAGGACTTCTGTTCGATGAGGATCGAAGACCAGCGGAGGATGCTGTGTTGGCCTCAACACCTTATACGGAGAAGTTCCTTTTGTTCTCTGGCCGGTTAGTTGCTACGCCTACCCGACAGGTGCGTCGCCAAAGCTTGTCAAAGCGTCTGCAAATCTTGTGCGGTGTGTCATGGCATATGCTGAGTTTCAGAACACACGTTAAATGCCTATACTAGTTTTGAGGCGGGAAAGCCACTAATTGGCCCAAACGAAATACCAAGAGCGCCTACTGGATTAATGATGGTGCAAGAGTGGGGAGATAAGATCGAGGACTGCTGGTGTCACGGCGTCAATCACTCTTCCCGCCCAAACCCTGCATCTTGACCGGGCTCTGGAAGCCTCTGTTTTGAGGCACACTCTCGGAATCCATCAACGCCCACAATGCAAACCTAGAAATGCCCGTGCAGCTCGTAGCATGACGCAAGCCGCGAATCCCTCAACACACCAGCCATGGAAACCAAACTACGCAATCGCTTCAGTTTGACAGGGTTCAACTTCCTTACTATTATATCTTTGCGATTCTAAAATCTATAGGGAGATATGAGGCTCCAATACCAGCCGGTATATCGACCGAAGGGAGCGTGTTGGGGAGATATACTCCGCACGATCGCCACCACCATCGACCAACACTGCGCACTAGAGGTCTTTCACCAACAGCCTCGCTGGCAACCCCCAGCAGAGCGAATGCTGTCTGACATGCTCCTTGTCGGCTTGGCTTGTGGTAACGAATCGGTAGGATTGTTTATCTGTAGCTACCCGTCGAAACAAGCGCACGTACCTGGCCAGCCGTACCGCGCCGCAAACGTGGTTGCGTTTCTCTTTCAGGATGCGCATTTTGAAGCATGCACAAATTAAAATTCATACAAAGGGTTTGGTTGCTGAGACATTATGGGTGCTCTAGGCCTCTACCATTTCGTTGGCCGGAATACTCGAGCAAATATGACCGCCTTCCCCTTCTTAGATTGGTATTTGCCCCCATTGTCCGCACTGGACCCTCATTCTGCGGCGACGATTCATTGCAATACCTCTGGTGAGACAGGGGCTTCCACATGTTACTCATTTCTGTAATTGCTTGCGAAGGGTGTGCTTTGCTATGTACCAGCATTTGCCCTGAACAGTCACTCACCGGCTTTCCATGAACAAAGAAATGAGTTTCAAAATTGAGGCTGCATTCTTGACCGGTTTTGTCTACGTTATCGGGAAGGGGGCAACAAAAATGTCCCAAAACACACACCGCTCAAAGGCGACAAAGGTCACACTATAGCTCGTCCTGTTGTGACCCGTGATCTTTCATGGACGAAGCACGTTTCTAGGATGGTTCTAGAATCGCGGTATCCCAAACCTAGCTCTTGTCATGCAGGCTCCCTGCTGGGATATATGCAAATATGCGGTTAGTATGTCGACTAGCCGTGGAATAGGTGACAACTCATACTGTTGTCTGGTGAAGATAGGGCCACCTAGATATCAGTCTCAAAGCTCGTCAATATGACTGGACCCTATTGGGCGAGGCCGCTGTGCATCTCTGAGACTGGGGGTCATCGTGCAGCTCCAGAGGTGGAGGTCTATCATCCAGCCTGTTATTAATTGACCCTAACTCTAGGGAAGTCTGCCGTTTCCGCCTTGTATACACCGCGCCGTGACGTTGGGTCGACAGACCCTTTAAGTAAAGTGACCCTTGAAAGGTGGCACAAAACCGCCGAGACTTATCGATACCCTCTGGGAGACCCCCATCAATGTTCCCCTGTTGGTGGGCAAGGATATGATCCCTATGAGAGGTGCTTGTCGTATTCGAGTCTGAAATATTTTGCCACTGAGACAAGGGTTAATGATAGGGAAGACGAGAATAGAACGGCCGCTTTCTATTGACTTGGTTTCAGTATTGCCTAATTTCTCACAGGAGAAACGTTCAGCTTCATTGATGCTCCACAACTTACGTGCTCTGATTCTCCCTCTCGCGTACGACGAACCTGTCAAAATCTAGTATATCAAACCGAACCATGGTTCTTCAGCTTCACAGGAGGATGTCAGAACTTCGCCTATTGCTTCCTGCGGCTGCAGTGCCTGCGTTTAGGTATTCATGCAAGCCTCCAAGCGATATAGGGGTCTGGCCAAAGTAGCTGTGCTCAGTGGAAGTTAAGGGTTGCGGGAACTCAGGGGATGAGGTACGACCGAAGACACCGTTGTTACTAGCGGATCAATAACCCACAGAAAAGTCGCACGAGATGCGTGGAGAACAGCTATCTCCACGTAAGAGCGAGAACAAGGCGGCGCCGATGCAGGAAGGCACCATTTCCTTAGAGTACAAGACCGCGGGCCTTCTTACCTAGATATCATCGGCCACTCATCTTACCAACTTCTTTCCTGAAATAGATGACATCTCATCTCACGACGACCCTGTCAATTGAGGCGCCGCGCAACACTAAGTCTGTCACGAACTTCGCCCCCTGAGCTTAAGTTCTGACTGCTGATTCGATCGACCAGATACTCGGCCGTACCTGCTCTCGTCGATGCAGCACAAAGCATCTCTCTTGTCCCTCCCTCTCCCTTCCGCAGATCGGCATCGGCAGACGTACAGAACATCTTTGCTCCCCACACCGGCTTTACCTTCTTCGCAGAGTATACCACCGCAGCAACGTACGCACGCACGCTTCGAGGCCCTCATTCTACAACATCTCACAGCTTCAGCTCTCCCATTTCACAACATGCTTGGACCAATCAGCCGACGGCTGGTTCGGATTGTAGCAGCAACTCGCGGCATGTGCGTGCAACAAAACTGTCAAAACCTGAGTTGCTACCGCGCTCTGCCGCTGTTACGCGTGTAAACAGTCGGAGGAAACCCCGAGCAAATGAAGAGTGAGCGCCACTGTGATTCAGGACCCCGTACCTAGAAATGCTATCCACCAGCTATTCCACCATTGAAATCGCGGCGAAAGAATATGAAAGGATATAACCCGACTAAGCAGGTAGAAGCACGTAAGGGGCAATTTGGGTCACTCCTGCTCCACGAACGAGGCATATGGGCGGAACTTGTATAGCTAATGCGAGGATCTAACAACAATGACGACGTCGGCCCCACAGGACTAGGAAAGAGTCGCTTGCGCATGCTGTGGTCTCGAGGGTTGTTGTATGTGGTGACCACGGACCATTTGTTCAAGAAGGCTCTGACTGACAGCTGTTGTGATGCAATCAAGCTTTGTGGCGCTCTTGGTGACGTTGAACAGGGGTGCGATGGTCGAGTTTTGTGGTTTGGACGGGAAGGGTCATCCCTGACATCGCTTTTCTCTTGATTCTCCGCATCCAATCCTTTGTCATCCTATCGTGCTCTGTTCTATCGAGGTCCTCTGACATCTCAGCATCTCAGACACGACTCGGTGGAAAGTCTAGAAGCAGAGTATGCTCCGGCCTGCACCACCCGGAACTTCTACCACGTCCTCCTTTCTAAGCAATCTTTCATACTCTACGGCTTTGGCTTCAGCTACTCATTGTCGGCAGCCTTGCGACATGACAACTTCAAATCCTCCGAGCCACCAATCGATAAGGCCCAGACAAGTACCTTACGTACTTCCCACTACCCCTAGCTTACTTTTTCGTCCTCTTAGTATCCCTTGCTCGACTTCTTTCGGCCGTACCCAGCACCTTATCTCCCATTGGCTCGTCTATATTCAAGTCCTTCGCCTCACGATGGGAGCACGAAGCTAAACTAGTAAGCAACACCTGCGGGGGCCTGCATTTCGATACTTGGCTGCAGGATGATCGGCGGGTTTTAGTGGGATCTAGGGTCAGAAGATGGGGCACCCAGGCTTTGTCTGGGCAAGGGGCTAAGTCGGACGACCTCCGGGGTCGGCGTCGTTCTAGGCATAGGGCTCCGCAGAAGTCCTGTGCGAGGACGATGGGAGAAGGCGCTGGGCTGTTACGTCTTTCTGGAATGTGCTAGGATCTGTTGCCATTGAACCGAAATTCGATGGCGTGCAGAAAGGTAGCTCTCAAACTCTCTCCAGCGCAATGTTCGACCGCTAGCTGGTGCTTTGATATATTTCTATTCATACCTGAACCCGCTTACTGAAATGCGTGTGAAAGGATTCTGTTCGTCAGCTCAGTTTTATCGTACCCACAGCTGTCGCGTCCTATCCGTCTGTCTCGCAATCCACGTACCGTACGTATTCTACAGGAAATCCCGAATATCCTCTTCCCAGTTAACCTCAAGCACAACCGTTCTGTTCGCTTCGTCCCGCTCCGCCCCGTCCCGGGAACATGCTACATACAGTCAGCACGGAAGCAACGCTCGGGAGAACCCCTCAAAATCAACCAACCCAAATTCAGGACAAGGAGTACCCATATCGGCCGTAAGCACCCCGAGAACTTTCCGCTTCTTATATCTATGTATCTATCTCCTTTCCCCACTTTTCGGCTTAGGAAATTGAGATCCTGTAAACATCCTTCCCAGTTGCTGGAAGACTCTCCACTGTTTTCGTTTAGTTGGAGTTTGTAGCAAGCAAAAGAGAGGGGGCGGGGGGGAAACTCTCACGGCCGTAGTGGGTGAAGAACGTTTGCTCGGTTTAGCGTTGCGAATTTGAATCTGGCTTATACCGTTGTCTATTTGGCGTACGAATAGCTGTCTACTCTAGTGCATATTTCTTGGTACATGAGATGGTGTAGGGGGAAAATTGCTTCATATCAACCTTCTTCTTTATTTTAGTAACAAATTTCATAGATCAAGCCCTCTCCTATTTTCCGTAGGTGCGAACCTGTAGAAGTTAACTGCACGACCCAACTCCACACTGAAATTTCGGTATCACAAAAGTTCACTTCTAAGACTTGTCGTAGAAGCCAGCATCCATAAATTACAGCTAGCTCATCATGATATCTCATAAAATTACATGTGGTGATCCCGTAACCCATCAACTCCTTTCCAACTCCTTTGAGTTCTGATTGCTTACTGCACTATCCAAAACCAGATCAATACCAAATGATACCTGGTGTCGAGAGAGAGGGGTTGACAAGTAAAAGAAGAAACCATCGTGACAGGTCATGCCACTAATTCATCGCTGGCAAACGCCTCATGCTCTAGTATCGGACGTGATGCTCTGTTCAGCCAACGTCTCCACGCGTCTACTCGCTATCGTCATCTTCAAAGCTAGGCTCGGAGGCCTCATCGCTCTCATCGTCATCATCACTAACAGCATACTTCGGCTTGGCAGCAGCAACCCTCCGACCCGGACGAGCAGCAGTAGCGCGAGGCTTGGGGGTTGGCTCATCCTCATCTTCATCAGACAGGATATCGTTGGCGAGAGCGTCTGCATCCTCCATATCCTCATCGTCGTCAGGCTCCATAGCCATTTTCTTTTTCGGGGCACCCTTAGGAGCTGGCGCAACATCCTTAACCTTGCCGAACTTCGCGGCATACGCCTTCGCAGCAGGACTCAACTGGGTAGTTTTCTTGGCAATGACGGCCGAAGCAGCAGCCTTCGGCTTAGGAGCTGCTTTGGTGATCTTTGCGGTCGCTTTCGGTGCTACTTTGGGGACCGGTTTGGTACCTGTAATCTTGCTACTTGTAGCTCTCTGCATGTTGAAGCCAAAGCCATCCTCATCGTCCGAGCCCATGATCGTATCGTTAACATTGCGGGGCGCAGCCTTCTTCGGGGAAGCCTTGGGCATGAGAGCCTCATAATTTGTCTCGTCTCCATCTAGCTCGATGGGGCTGTTCTTCTGAACACCAAGACGACTTGGGATCTTAGCTGCAGGACCAGCAGCGCTGACTGGACGACCACTGCCGCTACCTGGACGGTTGGTAGTTGTGGAGAAGAGAGGGCGATCGTTACTACCACCCCCAATCGTCTTGACCATGCTACTAACATCGCCTAGAAGGTTGTCTCCCATATCATCGCTATCACTGTCATCATCGATAATGTATTTAGGTGCCTTCTTAGTAGCGCCACGGGCTGCTCGGGAAGGTGCTGTGCTTGCAGCTGGCTTCTTCTTCTCTTTGACGACGGCGGTGAAGACATCTGATTCATCATCAGAATCAAAAGATATAGGATCAGCTTTCTTGGTCTTCGAAGCTGCTGGTCGACCTCGCTTTGTCGTTGGTGCAGGTGCGGGTGGAGCTGGCTTTGGTTCATCAATATCCATTACATCGTCAGTCTCCACAGGGGATTCCTTCTTTGTAAGATAGCCGAGTCCAGTCGGGTTTGGCGCCGCAGTGCCTAATGCAACTCCACTCTTCAGAGCTTCTGTCGCACTCGCCTTCTTGGGGGGCTGACTGTCCTTATGGAGATAGCTGAGTAAACCCCCTGGCTTCGGTTTGTTCGCCGCAACCTTTTTCTTGGCCGGGCCAAAGTCAGAGTCCGATTCCCCGAAATCATCGCTATCGTCCGCCTTCCTCTTCTTCTTACCCTTGCCGGCCCCGATGCCGAGCTTACGAGAAGCACGACGCCCAAGCCTGGCGATCTTCTTAGCGTCCTTAGCTTCCTCGTCAAGCTGGGTGTTCCATTCAATGACAAAGGCATCAAGGTCGGCGTTCCAGAGATCTTTTGGCGTGAGCTTGATGAGAGCATCAATCTCCTCCTCTTTTTCGCCAATTTGTTGCAGGAGCTTTGCGACACGTTCTTGAGTCAAGGACCAAATGGCCATCTGCGTATAGTTAGCAAGGACAGTTGTGATGAGTCAGCAATACTTACGCCGAGAAGGTAGTCATAGTCGTTAGCACCAATTTCTTGCTCCACATCTTCAGACTCTTCCTCTTCGAGCACATCCTCAGCCTCACCAGCCTTCTTTGCGTCGGTGACCTTGGGGAAGGGAGTGAAGCCAAGTTTCTTAAGCTCTGCAACGAGGACGGCCTTCTTCTTCTTGGAGACAACAAGCTTGCCGTCAATGATCATTTGGATGAATCGGGACTGGTTGGTCAATTTCTCGAGCTGCTTTTGGAATTCTTCCAATTGATGAGCCTGTGGAGTGTTAGTCGCGCTTTCTAAATAGAGGATGCTTTACGTACCTTTCGTTTGTCATAGAACCTCATTCGAATGTGATAGAATTCCTCCATTATATCAAGAACCGTAGCGTACTTGTGAATTCGACCTTGAGCATCGAAAGCGACCAAGTTCGAAGTTGCCATAGTCCTGGCAAGCTTGAAGGCCTCTTCGAGGCCCTTACTAAGAGCATTGGCCATGTGTTTGTCCTCTAGCTTGATGACGAAGTGAACAGTATCTGGAGTGTTGTACTCGGTGTAGTCTTTGATGAATGAAGGGGTCTTATCGGCCTTGATAATTTCCTCAAGCTTGTCCTTGAAATCCTGGGTCCAGAAACGAACAGGGAGCTCGGTTACCTCAACCTCGTTGTCACTGGTCTGTCGGACGGTGCCACTAAATTTGAAGCGATCGTTACCTATGTCTTCGGTGATGCCCTTGAACCCACGGAACCACGGTATCATTGGCTTCATATCGTCTTTTCCGGCACCATCCTGCATTCGAATCCTCAAGTTCTCCACGATGTCGAGCGGATTGTAGTTGGGAATCGTAGAACTCCAACCAGTACCAATACCGTCGGCGCCATTTACGAGGACCATAGGAAGAACGGGGACATACATCTCGGGCTCAATCTTGTGGCCATCGGACTCTCCATAGTTCAAGAGCGCATCATCATGAGCATGGAAAATCCTTCGCGCAAAGGGCGATAGCCGAGTATATATATACCTGGCGCTGGCTGCATCGGCACCACCCTGAAGACGAGAACCGAAGTTACCACTAGGTTCCAGGCAGTTGATGTTATTTGAACCAACAAAGTTCTGAGCCATACCAACAATTGTTCCTTGCATAGACGCCTCACCATAAGCATAATCCGTCGTGCCAGACACGGAACCTGCAAGGTCAACAACCTTGACATCTTTCTTAAGGTTTCGTTTAAGACAGGTGTACAGAACTTTGCGCTGACCAGGCTTGAAACCATCGACAACGGAGGGAATTGATCGCAGATTGTCAGCAATACTAAAGAGGATGAGTTCTTTGTTGACGAAATCGTCGTAGGAAATGTACTCTCCCTGAAGGTCCAGATGATTGCCTGGAACGAATTCTCGGAGCCATTCCTTACGGGCATCAGCCTTCTTCTTAGAGAATGCTAACTCTATCAGTTCCTCTTCCTTCTCCTTCATTGTGTGGAATTTCTTCAAATGTGTGTCCAAGTCACGGAAGTAGATTTGGGCGTCTGGAATTCCGCTCGTACCCAATCCCTTGTAGTACTTGTGATCCCATCCTTTTTCGTGTTGGTGCTGTTCTTTCCACTCCTCATATTCGGGCATGGAGAAAAAGCTCTTTAGGTGCTTTGGCCGCTTCGGGTCGCCTTTCCAGACCTTGACGATAGGCGTGATGAATTCCAGGAGGAATCCCTCAATCTTAAGCAGACTGGGAAATTGGCATTGAAGGAAATTGATCAACAACCCCTTGATATGGCTACCGTCGTGATCCTGATCGGTCATAATCATAATGTGGCCATATCGAAGACCTCGCGTATCCGTGTATTCCTTCTTGTGCTGAAGACCAATGAACTTCTTGATATTCTGGATTTCCTGGTTCTTTGAAATCTGGTCGATGGACGCATCTCGTACGTTAAGGAGTTTACCACGGAGGGGAAAGACACCAAAAAGATCGGGATCCACAACCGCCCGGCCGGCTAAGGCAAGAAGACTGGCTGAGTCCCCTTCAGTGAGAATCAGAGTACATTTCCAGCCATCCTTAGTACCGGCCTTGTTGGCATCGGTGAGCTTAGAATTGCTCATTCGACTACGTTTGTTGCCGTCGGTCTTCTTGAGCAGCTGGTCTGCTTTCTGTTGAGCAAAGTGCAGAATGTTTTGGATGACCTCGGTCTTCTCAATCGCCTTGAGGAACTTGTCGCTAACCTGGCATTTGCTGCCAAACTGGCTCCACTTTGTCGTTAATTGCTCCTTCGTCTGAGATGTAAATGCCGGATTGACGATGTTGCAATTGACGAACAAGAAGATGTGATTCTTGATCTGCGCAGGCTTCAGCTTGACACCGCCTTTATTCTTCTTGGTGACAGTAGCCAGTAGTTTTTCAACAATCTGATCTGCAATATAGTTGACGTGGGTGCCACCGGAGGTGGTGGCAATTGAGTTGACGAACGAGACCTGGTTGAAAGAACCATCCGACACGGCAAAACCGATCTCCCACCGATCATGCTTGTCTGTAATGATGACGGGCTTGTCTTTGTCGTCACCATTATCCTTGCCTTGTTCCTTGGAGATGGCCTTTGTATACATCTCCATATATTTAGCAAAGTTAGTGATTTTCACCCTGTCACCGTTGAGATACACCTTAATGCCGCGCAAGGTGCCAGCCATGTCGTAAACTCGTCGTTTAACGAGCGCTTCGAAGTCATCGTCCATGGCGGACATTCCAAATTTCCTAAAATCGGCCTTGTACGTCACTTTCGTGTAGTCGTCAGTCTTGATGTCGGTGATCTTGGCCTTGCCCATCTTGCTCATGTTGTCCGTCCATGTCTGCTTGTACTTCTTCTTTTGCCTTGAGTCCACAGTCTCCAACGTGAACTCCGTGCTGAAAACGTTGCAGAGCTTTGCACCGTAACCGTTGCGGCCACCTGTGATCTTTTGCTGACCGTCGTCGTAATTGGAGGAGGTAAGCAGGTGACCGAAAATCATCTCTGGTACATAGATGCCGTGTTCCTAAGACTATCAGCACCACAGTCGCAGCTGGGTATACGCGACTCACCTTGTGTATTTCGATGGGGATACCCCTTCCATCATTTCGCACAGATATCTCGCCAGACTCTCGATCCACCGTAACTCGAATCTCGCTCATATTCTTGTCATTCTGCTTATTATCCGCCGCGTTCACGAGGATTTCGTCGAAGATCTTGTAGAGACCTGGCACAAAGCCAACCTCACGGTACTCCATAGCCTCAGTTGTTGAGTTGAAGACCCACATCTTGTCGGTCGTTCGCTCTACGGAGCCAATATAGGTATCAGGGCGCTTCATAATGTGTTCCAAATGGGTAAGCTGCATTCAGGTTAGCCACGAAACCATCAATGCAATCAGTAGCGGAATCCTACCATTTGGTACTTGGTAGTTGCTCCACCCTTCTTGGGCTTCGCCGCGGGGTCATCGTCAGCACCATCTAGACCAAAGCTCTCGTTCGCGATGTCAGCAAGGGGCTTGCCGCTCGACTTTTTCGGTCCCGGGGCCTTCTTCTGCTGTGGAGGGGTATCTGCGAGCAGAGACTCGTCGTCGTCATCGCCAATGACGTCGTCCATGTCGATGTCTGAATTCTCGTCGTCCTCCGAAATATCTTTTCGCTTCTTCGGGGGGGCCTTGGTTGTCTTGGGTTTCGATTGCGTCGCGTCCTTAGGCTTACGCTCTCGGGGTTTGCTTGCGGCTGCAGCCCTTTTTGGTGCTGCAGCCTTTGCTTTGGTGACTTTGGTGGCCTTCACAGGCTTGACGGGCGCGAAGTCAGAGCTCTCACCGTCATCAAAGACGGAGTCCATCAGCGAATCGTCCATGGCGAAACGAAGTCAATTGACGGAGTCCCGAAGGACTGAAAACGAGAGGGAAGAACGAAAGGGCCAAGGTTCCGGCAAAGATGGTCTGGTGTGAACGAAAGGACCGTGTGTTGTGGTGAGAAGAATTCAAGGACTTGTGTTTATGCGCGCGTGTTTACAACGTCGCGTCGGCGTCGGCATAACCCGGCATACGGAACGGGTTTAGCTTTGGGGTGTTGATTGGACAACCACCAGGTGAAAGTCAAAACACATGCTCTCTCCACATCAAGATTCTGTAAGAGTGAAGCTTTAAAATGAAAGGTAGCGCGATGACTTGCAGTGATAGGAGGATATAATTTTGAGGAGATTCGCCATATCTAAGCATTCTAACCTCTTGCTAGCAAATCCTCTGAGCAAAAGACGCGCAAAAGAGCTTCACCCGAACGTGCACTGCAAGCAATTGTGGTGAAGTTACTGGATCTACAAAAATCCCAACACTGAAGTCAATTTAACGCAAAGTATCCAAAGGGAGAAGGTTTGAGAATCGTGGACATCAGGAACTAGGCGAAAAGGGATGAGGAAGTCAAGGCTGCCAACTCGAGCTAAGGTCTCTGTCAATCCAATATTTTAGATAGCCAAGCACGGCCTGCACCCTACATCTTTATCACAACTTTACCTTGAACTCTCCCATCCAGAATCGTTTTCAATCCCTCTTCGACCTGTTCCAGCGGTAGCACTACGGGAATATAGGGTTGAATATCATGCTCTGCCACAAACCAAACCAGCTTTTCAAACTCCTCCTTGTTCCCTGCATACACCCCATGGATACTGATGCCTTGCGTGAACAGCTTCATCAAGTCTACCTCAGCAAAAGGGCCACCACTGTGCAGCCCACAACAAACGAGCGTACCCCCGTTGGCCAGGCATTCCATTGAATGCTTGAACGTTAGTGCGCCGCTCATGTCGAAAACCGCAGCCACTTTCTCCGGAAGCTCTTCCCCAGGGGTGAAGGTTCGGTCCGCGCCAAGCGTCGTAGCGATTGATCGTTTCTCCTCACTTCGTCCTACACACCATACAATCATACCCGCGGCGCGACCTAATTGTATCAAAGCCGTCGCAATACCACCTGTAGACCCTTGTACTAGCATCTTCTGGCCCTTCTTCAATCCTGATCTAGTGAACAGCATGCGGTAGGCAGTAAGCCAGGCAATCCCAAGCACTGAGGCTGTCTCGAATGACATTGATATCGGTTTCTCGACAATGTTCCGTTTCGGAACTACAACATATTCTGCTAGCGACCCTTGTGTGAGCTCACCGAGAACATGTCGATCTGGGTCGATGGTTTCATCGCCCTGGAAATTTGGGTTCCCCATCACAGGATAGATGATAACATCTTTACCATCGTCCAGAGTCCCAGCGGCTTCGTTCCCCAAGATTAGTGGAAATTTTAGTTCAAACATTCCAAATCCACGTAGAGTGAAGATATCATGATAATTCAAACTAGCCGCAGCGACTTGGACTCGTACCCAGCCTTCCGGAACCGCAGGAATTCTCAAGATATCATTTCGGAGAGATGAAATGGGATCGCTTTCATTTCCAGACTGGGCCCAAACAGCGCGCATAGTTGGTTCAGAAGGGCTAATCTGGTTGATCCGAAGAAGTTGGATTTTCCCATCCCGTAGGAAGTAATGGAAGTATAGCGGGAACGGATCCGTAATACCGTAGTCTGCCTCGTAGTTGCCATCTAATATAGCATGGACCCACGTCTCGGCGTCGGTGATTCCAGAGTCCTTAATGTCGATTGTGGCTTGGTGGTCTTTCAGTCCTTCCTCGAACCATTCTTGGATTGACGCCAGAGTCGTACGACGCTTGGCTTCGTCAATAAGCACAGCATCAGGAGAAAAGCATGATACGAACTGAGAGCTATCGAGGGTCTTGATGGCCTCCAGGGACCGCAAAACTGAATGAGAAAGTGTCGCCATGCTCTGGAAATTCGAGCAGTGATTGAGGTAAGTGATGTTTCAGGAGGCAAGCGATTGCAATACAAAAAGGTAAACTAAGTCTGCATCTAAGGTTCAAACATATATATTATACTCGAATCAACCTGCGGTTGACTTTATTTCTCGTGCAGTTCACATAACGTCAAGTGCAGCAGGACCTCTGGTATAGTGTTGCGGAGGAGCATTGTAAGCACCGCCTTTCCGCCTCTATGGTCATCTTCTTCCGCGTAGATATGGTGAATTATCTAGCGCCGCTGCAGTCGATATCCGACCTGAGCACACGTCCGGTGAGTGAGACGGAAGTTGCGGAGCAGTTTGGTAGGGTTGCGGAAATGGATCGCCGCCAATCCTTTTTTGGGTGGGTCTAGCCTATATCTAGTAAGCTCTCTGCGGACCATTCTCGGACCCAGCGAGCATCCTCGCTTTGTCATCACAGCCTCCGTAAACTGATGACGTCCTAGGCATTGATCTTCTACTTCTTCCACGCTATATTCCGCTAAATAACTCCCCCTATCTTCAAAAATGTCGGATGGCCCAATATCCCGACGGAAATCATGCGGAGAATGTGCGAAAGCAAAGCGAAAATGCGGAATGGAGATCCCAAAATGTCGACGGTGCACCAAGAAAAACATCGAGTGCAGTTATCCGAATACTAGGCCTCCGCTCTCCGAGATGACCTTTCCAGAGTTAGAATTTCCATGGCTAGATGACCTGATGCGAGAACCTGGTATGCTGCCTTGGTCGGGGACCCTGCAGCCACACCTTGGAGTGGAGTCGGTGACACCTTTCTCTATGACCTCTGAGGCACAGAACATACCACAGCATATCCCAGACTATTTGATTTCAGCAGAGGGGCCGACACGTACAGCGCTAGCACGATCGGAAATGGAGGCCGCTGTCCGTCATTTCAGAACCTACCCCGATAAGTGGCTTAGGGAGGGGAAAGCACCTTTCATACACCAACGCCTCTACGCATCGAAGATGCCGACACCACTTCAGGATGCATATGCTGCATGCGCTATATACTCAACAAAGACTGAGCAGAATGAATTCGTAGCCTTTACCATCATCGAAGCGAAAGCGAACGACCTCCTGAGGTCTCCAAACCAGCCTTCTTGGACACCACTAGACCTTTTGGCCGCAGTACAAGCCTTACTAATCTTCCAACTCATTCGTCTTTTTGACGGAGATATAAGACAACGCGCTTTGGCTGAACAGGCGGAGCCAGTGCTGGAAGCGTGGACCGAGCAATTGAAAACGAGAACAGAAGCAGAGCAGAAGCTGACGACTATCACTGCTCCCACTTGGCGAGCTTGGATCTTCGGTGAGAGCGTTCGACGGACGATTACCATGAGTATCTTTCTCTGCGGCATCTATTCACTCGTCAAACGAGGCTTCTGCACCCGAGCAGACGATGTCACCGCCCGTTCGTTCACCGCGCAACGTCGACTTTGGGATGCTACGTCCGCATCGCAATGGGATCGGGCTCGGCAACTTTACCCTCCGTATTGGGTTACCAAGATGAACTTCGATCCCATCCTTCAAGAAGCAAAAGGGAATGAGCTCGATGACTTTGGTATGGTTATGATAATTACGTATAAGGGTCAGGATACCGTCGATAACTGGCTAGCTTCAACTATTTCGGAGAGGAACCTTGTCATGGATCCAGACTTTCAGCAAAGTCTACAGACAATCACTCAATTTGGGACGCATGCACCCCCTTGGAGCTAAGATGATCCAGGGTCAATCCTACCCATCTTCAATCTCTATCTTACACTCGTTTCATACCCAGGCTATGGAGCTTACAATGGGTTGTGCTTCTATGAGGTCTCTTAGGGACGGAAGGGAGCCGGATGCTACCCACATACATCATTAATTAAAGATTTTAGCTCTACGTAGAGTCCACTGGAAGACTTCTCACTTGACTTCCCTACGACCTCTCATCCCATATCGCGACTCTTACACCCAGCTTAGAAATCTGCGTTAGGGAAACTTAGACAATATATCACATGCACACCATGTGCCACCCCCCAGCACACCCACCCATGGAATTGAATGGTCAGAACTATGTCCGATTCAGCGTAGCGTTGTGGGCCCTTGCAAAATACTTAGAGTTTCAGCTTCATGCTGGACCAAACTTTGAAGAGTGCTCTTTCATAACATAAGCACGAAACACAAGGGGGCACTTCTAACTGGGTCCTAGTATTTAACTTCGCCACTCCTAATTCCCTATCTTAATTCCCTAATGCTACAACGGGAGCGCGGCGAACTCTATACTCCACCTTCTCCACCATATAACAAGCGGTCCAAACACCATCCCGTCTGTGTGACTCACATCATGCACATACCATATTTGTAAGCACCGCAAATTCCCCTGCCTCTTTTACACCCTTTCCAGGCATTCGCCATCTACGGATATCATGGAAACAATGTGATAAATGGGTATATCAGTTCAGAAGGTTAGTGGTTGACGCTGTGGCGGAGTGATTATCGTGCAAGACTTGGAATCTTGTTTCTTTGGGAGCGTCAATACGAATCTGGTCTACGTCGATTGCTTATTTTTGGTTGGAGTTTAGGGTCTCCTTATGCTAGTATGAAGGCTTGTAAGTTCATTATTTGTTTTGACGTATTTAAGATGATGTCAGAGGTGTGAGAGACACTGGGATGTCCTAGAAATACGCATAGAACATGGTTGTTGAGTTTTGAAGGTATGGTTAAATAGTTGTAAACAAGTTATATATTTTTGGGAAGATTTATCGTTCAAGACGGCATTAAAGACTTAACAAAATCTATCTTGCCATATACTAACCCCTTCAAGTATTTTCCCTTCCCCTGCACCCCCTTAACGCGTCTTCGTTATGCGATCATTCAACCAGTTCATCTTCCCTCCATGCCTATCCATCCCCGTCCGTTATCTAACAAATCCAATCTTTCCATATCGAGACGGTGGAGATCGCCTAGAGCGGCGCACAAAGCGTAAGAAGAATGTCAGTTATTTGGCACGCCTCCGTTCGGTCATCTGGGGGCTGCCGGCTATTCGGCCAGGAAATGGAAGGGCAGTCGACACTCGGGGTTGTGACTAGTAATTGTCCATTCGTGAAAGGGGCATCCATCTTGTTAACAGTACTCAGGTCATAATACACCATTCCCTCAGGTTGGTTCAGAGTGTAGGTAAAGTCAATCTCCGGCTTCCCCGTTGCCAACCCGTTCTTAGTTGTAGTAACCTTGATGGCTACGCCAGTGACGGGGTCAAAGTGAAGCTCTTCAGACCAAGTTTGGCCAGGTTGAAGCGAGGTGGTGGGGCCCCCATGAGAATCGATGGAAGTGATCCACACTGTTGTGCTGCACAGATTCTTCACCATGGCAGAGCTGGCAGCGCGGGAGGTGGAGGTGAGCGCGAGGGCGAGTAGAATAGAGAAGGCGGCTTTAGTGTACATGGCGGATGTTTGGGCAGGTATTTCCGAGATTGAACGAGTGAAATTTGCTCAAGCGAGGAGTCCAAGGGTTGTTCGATAATGAAGCGGAAGCTATCGAGATATAGGCTTGGAGCTTGAAGACCTGGATAGACAGCGGACCAACTGGAGCTTTATATGACAACAGTCGTAGGCTACGGCACACCTTGCTTGACCAGCCGAAAGCGCATCTAGCATGGTCTTTCTCTTCTCCGCATAATTCGAATATTGGAAATTGCGGTACAGAAATGCCCGTCTCATGTAAGGAGACGCGACGGCCTCTCACAAGGGTGGCCAGTACATGCCGTGGCCGATCAACGTCAGGACCGTGTTCGAGCAAAGGCCTAAGGTAAGGTTGAGGGATATTTTCCCGGGGGGGTACAAGGAGCTACATGGAGCTACAAGCTTATGCAGTGGGATCCTGGGCCGATGCAGGTACAAAGTTGCACCCGTACAATTATTTGTTTGGGGAAACGTATAGACAAGCACACATCCAATCGAGAAGCGGACAGACTTGATAGCTTGAGAAAAAGCTTCATGGTTGGGGCCGAGGGGGTCAGCAGGACTGAAGCTCGAATGACAAGTTGACGACTAGATGGAGATATTAATGAATTGTGGAAGTGGTTTTGTGTGTGTGCCCCATGTGGTGCTGCTACCGACTTGTCAGCTGTCAAGGCACTTTACCTCTACGAGTAGATTTAGGAGGCGGCCGTGGGCAGGTAGCGAGGAATGACATGGAAAAAATTGGCTTCAGTTTGCTGCGATTTTCCTTAGAAGCAGCGAGTAACATTAGTGTTCAATTGTAGCCGGTTTTAATATTCTTCCATATTGGATGTCGTGGAGTTGATGAGGAAAACCTTCTAGTTCCTTGTTTGGATGTAAGGGGGACGTTTGATGTAAAGCTGGAGGTGACTGGATGACACCTATACGCGAGTAAGTCTCTGTACCAACGCCCTCGAGAGGTAGAGAGCCCAGAGAGCTCAGAGAGCCCACTCGGTTCCCAATGTTGGGCGAAGCGAGGAAATGGACAAGCAACGAAAGCTTTCGACGGGGTGACAAGGTGAGAACGCTAAGCACGTGATAAACGAGGAGCCGTAAAGCCGCATCGGGCCGAGCTATTTCGCCTCGGTTCGCAGCTTCTCCACCCATTGAACCATTCCGACGTCCACTCGTTCAATAAGCAGTTTCCGCATTCCGCCATGTGACAAGCACTCTTCGACTCGCAAGAGTCTCTGCTTCACTGTTTGCACACTCCTGCAGATCATATCCCTCCTTTCTATGAACCATGTCCACATCAGCCCTCCTTTCCTCAATCAGAATGGCCTCCCGTCCCCAGCAGCGTCTCGCTTCACTACAACGACAATTCAGCACCTCACGGCCTGCGAACAGGGAGGTCAGGGATGCCTATATTCTGAGTGCTTCGAGGACACCTACCGGCGTTGTATGTCTCACCTTTCCTTTCCAGTCCCCTCCTAAGTTAGCGAATATAGTTCAATGGATCCTTTACCACAGTCCCAGCCCCGCAACTTGGCGCCATAGCCATCAAATCCGCCGTCGAGAAATCGAAAGTGCCCATTTCCTCCATAGACGCTGTATACATGGGCAATGTGCTAAGCGCAGGTGCGGGTCAAGCTCCTGCTCGACAAGCTGCCATTTTCGCTGGTCTGCCTACTAATATCGAGGCTACTACGGTCAACAAGGTGTGTGCCTCTGGTCTCAAAGCTGTTACCATTGCCGCGTCGACAATCCAACTAGGCCTCGCGGAAGCACAGGTTGCTGGAGGGTTTGAGAACATGACGCGAGTGCCATATTACCTCAGCCGAGCAAGCCAACAGCCTCCATTTGGCCACCAGAAACTGGAAGATGGATTGATCGGCGATGGACTGTGGGATGTATATAACCAGATCCACATGGGCAATTGCGCGGAAAACACGGCCAAGAAGTTCGAAATATCAAGAGAAGAACAGGACGAATTCGCCATCTTAACATACAAGCGTGCACAAGAAGCCTGGAAGGCTGGACAATTCAAAGACGAAATCGTGCCCGTAACCGTCAAATCTCGGAAGGGCGAGACGATTGTATCAGAAGACGAAGGCTACAACAAGCTCAAATTAGAAAAGGTTCCCACATTGAAGCCCGCCTTTGTGAAAGACGGCAGTGGCACTGTAACAGCGGCCAACAGCTCTGCATTTAGCGACGGCGCATCAGCCCTCGTACTCGGAAGCAAGGAAATAGCACAGCAATATGGGAAAGACAGTCGGGTTCTCGCACGCATCATCACCTACGCTGATGCTGCCATTGGTAAGTCTCCCTCTTCTCTTCTGATACCCTTTTCGCTCTGCTAACACATCCTGCCGATCCGATCGACTTCCCCATCGCCCCTGCTTCCGTAGTCAAGAAACTGCTTTCCCAATCAGGGCTTTCCAAATCCGACATCGCCGTCTGGGAATTCAACGAAGCGTTCGCTGCTGTCATAAAAGCGAATGCCAAGATCCTCGGTCTGGGTGTTGACAAGGTAAACCCCCGAGGCGGCGCCATCGCCTTAGGCCATGCGCTCGGCAGCTCAGGGAGCCGGATATTGGTAACACTGTTGCATCAACTGGAAGTTGGACAATATGGTGCTGCAGTGATTTGCAACGGAGGTGGTGCGGCGACGGGCATTATTGTACAGAAACTGAGTCCGAGTGACCTCTAGTGACTATGTAGAAAGTGGAGCTGATTACCTACACCTCTTTCTCCGTCAACCCTCCCAAATATGCCTGTGCATCTTTAGGTTCCCGATTCACCGTTTCTTAATTACTACTTGTTTTGAAATGTTGTAACAATTGTAGCAAGATTCTACAATAAACAGGCATCTTGAGTTTGTACTTCCCAACCAGTTATATAAATACCCCAGATAGTGATTTCTTCCAGTATGCAACCCGCCTTGCATGCTGACGTAAATATGAAAGAGTGTAAACGCCATAGTATGTTCATGCCACCTACCCATCCATGTGGACAATCCATCGAAACCCGCCCTGTGTGCCGACGTAAATATGAAAGAAAGTAAACGCCGTTGTATGTCCATGCCACCTCTCCATCCAGGTGAATTCACCGAGAACCGCCTGCACAAATGCAATGTGAAGTCCCAGCCACCATAACGCCCGGGCCCGTATCCGATGATGAGTAGGGTATATAAGGTGAAAGCCGGGCCACCGAAGAGTAATACTATAGGACGACGAAGAATTAGCAAGCCGAAGCCGAAGACCAGCAGGGCTCTAAACTCCGCGCCGAGGTCTCGGTGTACTAGCGCGGCTATAGCCGCCCATACTGCTCTGCGCGCTCATAGGAATGCCTCCCATTGTGCTAACTTCGAGGTGCGGGGCGATGGCACGAATCTGGCTCGTAATCTCGGGGACGGGTTGCTGAAAGCCAGGGGGTTGGACTTGGTACTCTCGTGCTTTGATCGGGGCGACAGCTGCAGCGAGCAACTTCTCGTTGAGGGTATCGTCTGGCGGAGCGTCGCGCATCATCAACATGAGATCCTGCTCAGCGTCCTGCGGGGCCAGTGGGGCCGGTGGCGGAGCAGAGGCGTTTACTTTCGACGCAATGTTTGCGGGAAGGATGTATGGTGGATTGACAATGAAGGGCCAGCGACCATTTGCAATTCCCGCTGGTCCCATAGCAGAGCGCGTTGCCCCACGGGTAGCATGAGGATTTGACGAAACTTGGCGACCCATATCAATGGGACCGGGCGGAGAATCAGAGTCGTGGTCAGCATCAGCGCCGTCTCCGTGATCAAAAGCATGGTCACCATTGACGCCATTCGTACCGTTCGCAGCGGAATCCTGAGCATTGTCTGGGTTCTTCATTTTAGCGAAGAAGTTTGAAGCAGCGACGGTCGCATGGTTCATCGCCATATTGAGCTCTTTCTCGGTGAAGAGTCGTTCGAGGGAGTAAGCAGAAGCTTCAAACTGAGCGTGCATGGTCTTCGCCTTTGCCTCGCGGAACGGTGAGCCTACGCCAAGATCCACATTCCGACCTGACGGGCCAGGGGAATCATTTTCGTTATCTTCGAAAAGCTTCCGCTTTCTCTTATTCTCAGTTCCGGTCGCCATATCCTCTTGGTCACCGAATTTGTGTCCCGTCCTGCGGGTTTTTCGTGGAGCCTGCGGGCCACCGGGGCTCGCCGGGTGCGTGATACTAAACTGATTAGGATGGAGAAGCATGGCATTGCTGTCGGAGAGGTCTAATTGCTCCTTTTCTCGCTTGAGCCGTGTAGTTCTAGCTGTGAGGCTTGCCGTGAGGCGTTCTCGGATCGTGTCAGCGAGCAGCTTGTGCTCTTGCTCAGCAATTTGGACTTTGTAGAGATGCGCGTTCTCGATCTCGTTCTTCATGTTCTCGTGCTTGTTCTAGAAGGAGTGGAAGTTAGCATTTACACAGAGGCGGGTTTCCAGTCGTAGGAAATGGAATAGCCTACCCAAAGCATAGTGAGGTTGAAGTCACGCTCCTCCAGGGAATCGTTGACAGCTTCGACGAAGCGCGCGTAGTGTTTCCCAACCTGAGCGATATAGTCGGTGCCAGCGCTCGGCGCAGCAGGGAGATTACTGCCCATGATCTGCGAAATCAGCTCGGCGGCTTCCTCTCCACCATCCTCAAGCGGCTTGTTGGCATAAGGGTCAGCCTTGAGAATGAGGTTCAAGTCGGCTTGAAGCGCTGCGAGCTGGGCCCTGTAGTGTGAATCCCTGTTGTCTGAGAACGAGGCCATCATCTCCGAGAGCTTGTCGGCCAGCATCGTACGTCGCTTGTCCCGCTTGGAGACCATGGGTTGCGGCGAAGTCGCCGAGTGACCAAGTGGGAAGTGGTCGGATGGCGAGGGGCTCCGGTTGCGAGCCATGGTGGAATCATTCAATTGAAAAGTTGTGGAATGGTGAGAAGAAGCTGGGAGCGAGTGATCCATGCGGACCACTCACCGAAGCGCTAGTCCTTATAAGGAAGAGTGTATCGGCTTCGGAGAAACTTTGTCAGGCTTGGCAGGAACATGGAGCGGCACGTGACTAAGACAGGGACAATTGGGGGGAAGGCAGTTGCGATTGAGTGCAGGCTAATCTACCCAGGGACCAATGATTCTTTGCATTAGGTCTTCAAGGAGAAAGCAATAGCGAAACCAAACGGTCAATCCACCCATCGTCCTCCCCTGCACTGTCCCGCATTCAGAATCCTTCATCAGACGAGGAAGAGTCGTCAGATGACATGCGATGAGCTCTGGCAGGCTTGACAGCAGGACTCGTGACATTACGAGTGCGGATCTCTGCGCAAGCCTGCGCAGCCCTTACTTCTCGCTCCTTCTTCTTTGGCCCCGTCCTCTTTGGGGTGACAGTGTGTGGGATGCAACGGCGCGTTTGTCCTCTCCCGACCCAATGACCAGAGCAGTAGTCGTCTGCTGGGGCGAATGAATGGGGTTGCAATGTCCGCTCTGATCCGCAGAGGACCAGCTCGATGTTGTCGTCGGTGCTGCACAGTCGCGTGGGGACATTCGGGCTCTTGTATGCGCCAAAGCAGGTCCACAGGGCCATATTGCCACCAAAAGCATTTCCTCGGACGGTTGCCAGATTGATCCAAACCTTCTTGGGGTCATACTTGTCGACGGTGTATTGGAAGTCGATCTCACCCTTGCCCGCGTGGATCCCATTCAGACGATCCGTCACCTTGATTGCGATTCCAGGGTTGGCTTCAGTGCCATAGCGGAAGACTTCCTCGTAGATGTGTCCAGGCTGGACAGCATAGTTGTCGGCAGCTCCATAGACCTCAGGCACTGACCAAATGTAGACGGGATGGGTGCAGAGGTTGGTGATAATCGCCTTGGATTGTGCGAGGGTCACTAGAGCGCAGAGTGTGAGGACTTGTTTGATCATTTTGATGCCTGCTGGGTTGAGAGAGGATGGAGGTTGGATAGATGAATCAACAATGGAATAGACTGGTAGTTGACTGATGATGGATCGATGACTAGAATGAAGATGAGACGGAGAATTAAGAGGGAGGATGGGCTTATAAGGGCTCCATTACCCTTCCTACTTACGTGGTGTTGCAGGGTGACGGCGAGGAGGAAGTCACTTCCCAGCAGGCAGCGTTGAAGATACCCCCGCTCTGTTATTCCACCGACGGTCGGGGCTCCTTCGCAGCGCGCCATAGACCTTATTTGCCTTGGTGGTGATTTCTAAAAATTGGGAGTGGCATGCTAGCAGAGGCCGTGGCTAATACATCAGAAAGTCGGTCTTTCCCAAAGGGACTGACTTGTTCATCCTCCCACGCAGCCGCCTCCTCTGGTGATTACATATTGTTCTGGACCTTGCAGCAGAGGATGTAATCACCACTTCGTGGCTGCTTGGTGTGGAGAAATTGGAACGTAACTAAGTTGCTTTGAGATGGGACGTCGGTGGTCAGGCTATCAAATGAGATCCGGAGCAGGCTAATTGATACGGAGCGTGCATGTTGTCCAACTGCACCTCCGTCCTGCCTGAGGATGAAACACAACGAACCTCAGGTATTAGGCGCTGTAGGATAAGAACACCATGCCTCTCCTTTCCTTCTGTTCTCTCCAACCGTCTCGTTCTTTCCAATTTCAGCTTCCGGGTAGCTCCAGGCATTCGTAGACCCTAATCTAATTCCGCACTTGCATCCATCCACCGTGCTTTTACACACACCCCGCCATCCCTCTTCCACTGCTTCTATAACCCACCATGGGCGCCAGAATCAGAGAGATCCCCGCAAAGTTGCCGAAGAACTTCGACAGGCCAGATGAGCCGTGGTACCACCATCTCACAATCGACCTGATATGGAAAGTCCTTGGCTACACCGTCTTTCATCCTTGGGTGGCATGGGTCATCGTTCTGTGCCTGCGCGCACAGGTCACACCATATCAGAGCCTCGAAATGCAGATCGCAATAGTGTGGGCCTTTCTCACGACTGGACGAGCTATATTTGGCATAATCAATGCGAAGCTCGCGTATGGCAATGCGCGTGAGGTCGACCTGAGCGAGGAGGTGATTGTGATAACGGGCGGTGTCGGAGGCTTAGGCGCGCTGATCGCCGAGGTTTATGGGATGCGGAATGCGAATGTGGCGGTATTGGACACGAAGAAAGTGGATTTAGAGGAGGCGGAAGAGAAGGGCGTGGTGTATTATGAGTGCGACGTGGGTGATGCTCAGCAGGTGGATGAGGCTGTGAAGGAGATTGTTGAAGATGTAAGGCATTGTGTTTCCCGGCGGTTGGGTTTAGCTGCTAATGAGCTTTAGCTTGGCCCTCCCACAATCCTAATTAACAATGCGGGCATTGTACACACACAATCGATCCTGGATTCCACAGCGGAAGAAGTTCGACAGTAAGCTCTACCCTAACCCTTTAACCCCCCCCCAAGTACGCTCACAGCTTCGCACAGAACCTTTCGAACGAATACCTTCTCTCACTTCAACACTCTCCGCAGCTGCCTTCCACACATGCTGAATGAAGGTCGCGGCACCATCGTAACCGTCTCCTCCGTCCTCGGCCACCTCGGCGCCGCGAACCTCTCCTCTTATACCTCGTCGAAAGCTGCCCTCCTCGCCCTCCACTCCTCTCTTCGCGCCGAACTAGCTCAACATCCTAATGGCGAAGATATCAAAACAATCCTCGTCACGCCTGGTCAGATGAGCACTAAGATGTTCGCTGGTGTAAGGACGCCGTCAAATTTCCTAGCCCCAGTTATTGCGCCTGTAGATATAGCAAAGGAGGTGATAGGACTAATCGAGAAGGGTGAGAGTGGGGATGTGGCTGTCCCACTGTATTCCAGGTATATTCAGATTCTGGGGGTACTGCCTTTGGGCGTGCAAGTTCTTATTCGGAAATGGAGCGGCATTGATACAGCCATGGCAAAGGCGGGGCTCATGAAAGCCGACAAAACGGCGTTGAACGAGAAGAGGTGACGCGGAACAAGAGAATGTGACTGTCTTGGCTGATCTAGGTCTCAAGAGTCACATCCCGTGCAAGCTATAAGAGTGTCCGAGCATGTTGTAGCATCTGTACCAATATCGCATTTCTTATCATGTATAAGACACCCATATTTCCATATCAGTGCTCCAATGCATCATTCGATAGTTGATTGCCTGCACTTCATCATGGTGCTTCCTTCATTCCTCCACTCCTCTCCATCCCATCTGCAGCGTCCCTCCTTGTAATATCCCTGCTTCACTGACTAGTACTTAGGTCTTCGGCCAATAATTCGGTACTCTCGATTACCCTCCGTTGATGGGCGGAGATTTAACTAACCCTGGCTGATGTTCACTCAATTACAGGAGTGACCGGTATCAGTTTCCAGTTCCTGTACTTTTTTTATTCTAGCCGCTCAGAAAGGCGTTTACTACATGAATGTTAACGCTTTTCAGGGGAGGTGCATGTAGCCCAGAAAGTGGCGATATTATAAACCGTGCCATATGAACAAAGATACCCCAGCCCAGAGACAGTGCATCTACAGATGTCCTACAATACTTACAAGTATTAACTACTTTGGTACCTTTAAAAGCAGACCTTGACTAAATAGTAAGAAAGCACAGTTGGAATCTTAGGTTACTTATATTTAAGCAGGCTGTTTAATTATAGATAATCTATGATATTTAGCCTTTAAAGCAATAGCAGACTAAAGCACCTAGTTACACTCCTTCTAACATAGTTTTTTTTTTACTAAGGTTTTCTAGAGTCTAGTTACTAAGGATAAGTAACGTCTATCCAAGCGAGCCGGAAAAACCACCTGTGCCGGAAAATATGACAGGTACTTTGACTTCAAGCAGCTATAACTCTGCGCACACGTCGAGCCTCACCAAAATTATGCATAAATAATGTACTGTGGCTATTTTCAAAGGTCTAGGGCGCTTCTCACCTATAAATTAGGCTTCCACTGTCGCCTTCGCGACTGATCTGCAGAGAGCCTCCTTCTATAGCGTGACAGAGTTCCTTCCCTATAGCACCACTATTAAGATCTTACCACTCTATAATACTCATAAGCGGTCTTATCAGGCCTTAGAACCTCGCTATGATGCTGAGAAGTTATCACTAGCCTTGTGCCTGCTGTCGCGCACAAATTCATGCAAGGCCGCTTAACCCGGTCGGTACTTCCGATCAAGCCAACTACCAATTTCAGCTAGTGTACATTGACCCTGCAACTACATAGCCATTGCAGTGTAACTTACTTGTGATGACTGTTAAGCCTGTAGCTGTGCGGAGTCTTGGCGGGCGGGCCTCCTGTGTCACGGCACTAATTCTCAGATCTTGCTAATAGGTTCGTGCACTGGTCACGTCTATACCCCACTTCCTCTTCATTTCCCCATCATGATCTCTTCGTCAATACACAGTGTTGTTCCCAATATCAATCTGCCTTCGAGCCCTAGTGTGCCGTGACATCGCGTCTGTCTATACTGCAAGCTGCAGGAACAGCAATGGTGCCTACTCTTCCTCCCCCAAACTTTAGTGCCTTCCTGGCACTTCCGCTGGAAATTCGCCAGCAGGTCTATTAATTCTGCATTCCAGAAAACCTTTGCTTCAATTGTTCTGGCTATATGTACTACTAAAATCGCCCTAAAGGATGGGTCAAGCCGCTCTAGCGCTTGGATAGGTCTTAGGATAGGTACAACACAAGTGGAGCCAATTTTTCCTTCAAAGAAAACGACTGCCCACTATAACTAGGAGAGCGTTAGGGTCTCTTTAATAGATGAGGAGGTTAGCGACAAAGAGGACGAATATGAAGCCTGTAAGCTGGACAACTATTGTCAGATATCTCAGCGATATCGTCCTAGAATTTCCCCGTCTCGTCGAAGCGCCTTACCTAGACTCCTTCTCGTTTGCCGCCAGATTACCGATGAGGTAAGAGCAATGCTGTACGGAGGGAATACCTTTACAGTCAATGTTCACGGTGACGGCCAATCGAGTCTCGTGGGTTTGTTTAGTTCTGAGACAAGGGAGAAAATGCGGAAGATGATCTTGGTCTTACGACCCATGGGAGTTTCCTACCACCCCGGTTTCTGCATGGACCCGAAAATTTGGGATGGTGTTCTCGGTAGCCTTTCAATATTAGGGGTTATCGCTGAGCAGCCAGAGCCGCCTTCTCCGTACGCATGGCCCCGAGTGGAACCGGAGGATGTCTTCGAGGAATGGACGGTGTGGTTAACACCAATCTTGGAGTACCTAGGCCAGGCACTTCCCAGGACAGCTCAAATTGTGGTGGATGCGAACAAGGAGGAAGACACAGTTCATATTTTGGAAAAAGTGATACCAGGACGCTGTCACTTTCAGCGCCTGCGCGCGGCCGACTCCATATTCAGAAGAGGGGAGTTCTCTCTGGAGTCAGGATACTGGGATGATGACGGACCGACCAGCTGTAGGGACATCATCAACGAATATGACTACGACTATTACTATTCCGACTGAGCCTCGTGAACCGGTTACCAAGAGCTGGATACTTAGGCCCTATGTTGCATACTACTCGTCGAAGATTATGTAAAGGAAATCTTGGCCCATGATAGATGCTTCTGGAAGAGCGCCACACTTTGAACCGACTAGGCATAGCGTAGAATACAATACCCACGACTAAGCGTTTATACGTAAGCCCACTAAATCCTCATGTCAAGACATACTGAAGCCTCTCCTCCCAGGATAAATTCGGAATGTATACATTCAAGGATTTAATGTTCTTAAAAGTATACGGCTATCTTTTTATCACATAAGCTTATTGACAAACTATTCCGAAACTTAATATTTTGTGATTAATCATAGTACAATAGGGGGTTAGGAGTCTTAGGACTAAGACAGGTTTTGATACTCTGAAAAGAACGATGCATAGCAAACTAAGAATATAGTATTTTTTTTTGCTGCACTCCAGATTCTAAGAAAGAAATACTTATAAAATAATACTACCAGAACTACAACGAAATTTCGCTAAGGGGGAGAAAGTTTAGAGGCTTAAAATTTTTTTATTCCGGCACGGGTAGATTTCCGGGACGCGTGGAAGGACATTACTACCTAAACGTAACCTATATAGTTCCTACCGCAGGTACATCACATCAATAGGGGTTCTTAGCAATAGCTCTGGTCCAGATGGTCCGTAGGGTAGGTTGATTCCATTCTGTGAGGGTTTGGGCAGTCAATGTGTTGTCGTTCTTCCGGAGGAGGGGGTATTCTCTTTGGGTCAATATTGTTTCATAACAAGGTTACTTGAGACAGCCAACCGACCCCTGAACTAGCATTGAAGCCAAAGTCGCAAAGAAAATCGCGCAAATCGTGCAAAAATTCTCTGTTAGGAAATAACAGCAACAGGGAATCCCACCCTCGCTAGGGATTGCTTTCTAGCCAGTACTATGCGATGCTATGCATCTCGTTACCGAGTAACCTAAGCCACGCAAATTTCTTGCAATTCTATCCATACAACAAATCTCGCAAAAACCTGGTGCTATCCACGATGAAAGTGCGGATCGGTGATTCAATGGCGGGCACCTACCCCTATATGCGATTGTGTGAAGCTTTGAGAAACGGTGAGATACTCTAAAGGTTACACAGAGCTTACAGAAATGAAGTTCTATCACAGTCGTATTCCTATTGCAGGACTACCGATCTATTATTCGTCTCTAAACACGACAAAGGCAATTGTCAAGTTTCGCCCGCCAACGTCAGAATGCTGCCTTGACCAAAGGAGGTCATATCTATTCACAATATAAATTGTCGTTTTCAGGGGCCACATTCCTTGCGGCTGGCTCATGTCTCCGTCTTACGTAGTTTTGCGAACGACACGAAAGGCAATACGGAGTCGACAGATTTCTTTTATCCGTTCCCAATATGTCGCAGACGATTTTCTCGGCTGGCATATGTTCTCCTTATATACTGGGTGGGTGGTTATACTAGATGTCAACCTGGACGGTCGTCATGGCGCTCCCTACGATCCAAGTAGTTCGTATGGTGCAAGTCATTGTAGTTTGCACGATTATTCTGACTCTTTTCTCCACCGCGAGCCACTTCAAGTCAGCGTCATCCAGGGAACATCTTCCCTCTATCCCAGATCATGTCCCACAAAGCTTTCAACCACGGCCAAGCCTATCATTCAAAAAGAATCCACCAAAGCCAGAGCCTGCGAATTCAACACTTAATTTCCAGGAGATACTTTATATTAGCATGCCGCATCGAACGGATCGACAAGATGCATTGTCGTTGTTGGCAGCTGTGTCGGGCATAAAACTAACCTTGATTCCTGGGGTGTGTATTCCAATCCCACCTCACCGTAGCGAACTACCATAAGAGCATTGCTAATATGTCTCTCTCAGATCGACCCAAAAACTATTCACCACAAAGCTGAACCGCACATGATTGGCAGAAAGAACATGACGGCGACCCCAGCATTAGGGTGCTGGCGGGCGCATGCAAATGCTTGGCGATATATCATCGACAACGACGTTCAAACTGCGCTTATTGTCGAGGATGACATCGACTGGGATGTAAATATTAAGGAAATCATGGGTTTGTGGGGTTGGCAGTTGCGCTTTAATAATACAATCCGGTGGGGGGAGAACGTAGAGAAGGGGTGGGAGGATGAATGTCCTTATAGTATGCAAGAACTATAGGTTGTATTTCTCATAATTTACTAACGGTTTGGTATTAGGCTGTGACTGGGACGAGCTCTGGATGGGCCAGTGCGGTAACACCGTCAACAAAAAGCGACTAGATCTGCACTGGACATATTCAGATCCTAATGGCCCAGATATTGGCTCTACCATCGAAGGCTTCCAAAAAGAATTCAGGGATATCTGGAACATCACTGGTGGTGACGGCATGCGTGTAACTTCCGCAACTTACGGTCCGCTCTGCACAATGGGATATGCGGTGTCTCGCATGGGCGCCATGAGGATGCTCTATCATATCGGCGGATGGCATGGCATGGGATTCCCAGTCGACAATGAAATTGCTTTCAAGACGGAGGACGGATATATCAGTGGATACACAATGACACCACCGGTTTTCACTCCGTGGAGAGTTGGCGGTTCGAGAGATACCGATAATGCTCCGAGTAATAACGATGCGCCGACGACGGATGGGGGAAATGAGAAAGGGTGGAGTAAGGGCCTAAAGAACAGTGTTAGGAAACATCTCTCACAGGTATTAGACAAGCATTATTGGAAAGATATAGAGAATAAGGGAAATAGACTTAATAGTTTGTAAGAGCTTGTAGTTTCAAGGTTTGTTATTTTTGGCACTTTTATCCTAAATAGCTTAGTTAGTATGTCAACTTATGACTCAGTTAACTTATATAAAAAAGATAAAAAGAAAGCTTCTAAATCTAATGTAAGTACATTATATCTAAGTCTGTTGCTGATTATAAATAATTTAGTGTTTTTATACAAGGTGTTAGCTGTGCTAAGAAAAAGTGGCTGTCTTAATAGGGTGGCCGCTTTGGTGGTAGAATACGTTAGTTAATTTAAAATTTTAGTTTTCTCAAGGCTTATTGCACCGCCGATGTCGCCACTTCGTAAGCCACATGTACCACTGGTCACCAATGTAAGAGAGGACGGAGGACGAGCAATTTCGGGAGGGCATCGCTAAGCGTTCAAGAATTGATTGTTGATATAATCGTACAGGAATGACCCTCGGATTTAAGGAGGACGAGCAGTCTCGGGAGGGCATCGCTAAGCGTTCAAGAATTGATTGTTGATATAATCGTACAGGAATGGCCCTCGGGTTTAAGGAGGACGAGCAGTCTCGGGAGGGCATCGCTAAGCGTTCAAGAATTGATTGTTGATATAATCGTACAGGAATGGCCCTCTGATTTAAGGAGGACTAACTCCGTCTGGGGAACTGTAGGTCAGAGACGGGGTGAGACGATGTGTACAGCGAATAAAATAGGGCGCTGGATAATTGTGGACTAAATCCGGAGGAGGATGGCCCCATCACTAAGGAGTCCGCGGACCCCGTCCAGGTGTACTGGGTTTGGAGAGTGCTCTCCTTGGCAGCGTATTGTGAAGGGAACATCTACACCGTCACACTATTCCTTTCCAAGGAAGACTTGCGAGATCTGATTGGTGTAGATGGCTCCCAAAATCTCATTGTTTGTCCTCTTCTGCCCTTTATGAACTTGGCAGTCTTTTAGCTCGGGTTTTACGGTGGTGGATTCTATCTCCGTTTTTGAAATGACGGGAGAAAACCCAATCTCCGTTAGGGAGAAAATAATTTCCAAATCCTTTTGTTTTTAGCATATATTTTATAAGATTGGATTCCGAGAAGATGTATTTGTCTTCACTAGCATTCAAGCTGTACTATATTGCACTAAACAATGGCTGCAATTAAAACACTTGTCTTGATTACTGGCGGTAAGGATGCTTTCTCCAATAAAATTAATTCTTAGCAACCTGACGTCACAGGAAACGGAGGTATTGGCTTCGAGTTAGCAGTGCAACTGCTGTCCGATGCATCCAAGTACGTTCTCCTCGGAAGCCGTTCTTTAGCAAAGGGACAGGCCGCCGTCAAAGATTTGCAGTCACGAAAGCTGCCGGGCACCGTCGAGCTCATACAAGTCGACGTTTCGAGTGAGGACTCGGTGGTCACCGCCGCCAAAGAGGTCGAAAGTAGACATGGCAGGTATGACTCTGTAGCCTACATCCCCTATCAACTTCTCCTCCCTTACCTTGGGTATTAAAAAAAACTCTCCAGACTCGACGCTCTCGTTAACAACGCCGCTATCGGTACGCCACCAGGGTCACTCGCGCAGCAACTAGACCAAAGCTTTAGGACCAACGCCACGGGCCCGGCAATCATGGTCGAAGCCTTCGCTCCACTGCTCAAGAAATCAACCGGGACACCACGCATCGTTAATGTAACGTCCGGGGCCGGCTCAATCGCAACACGCCTTGACTCTACATCCCCGTTCTACGATATGGGGTTGGTGCGGTACCGTGCAAGCAAGGCTGCCTTGAATATGATTACGGCGTGCCAGTCGGTCGATTATGGCCCACTAGGATGGAAGGTGTTTGCCTTTTGTCCAGGGTTCACCGTTTCGAATCTTTCTGAGCAAAACACTGCGGCGAACGGCGCGAAGCCGACGAGCGAGGGTGCGGCTCCGATTGTGGATATCTTGAATGGGAAGAGGGATGGTGAGCATGGTGGATATTTACACGTTGATGGCCAGCACCCTTGGTAAATTATTTCAACGGATTCTAGAATATCGCCTAGAAAATGAAAACACAAATGTGTCCTCTTTATACTCGGAAGGACCAAGCGGGGGATCTGTCATGGAAGAAGTCATTGTGAGGGTGAGCAAAGGATCGGCCAAGTCCATAGACCCTCGCTAGTTGGGATGTCAGTTGGCCTGGTTCGGCATGATGTTGAAACTCTTCTTTCAGTAGCAGCGTATACTAGCGCCGGGGTGGCAATACGTTGCTTAACAGCCTCGAGTTCTATATCGCTTCGTCTCCAGGACCTCCCTTTATTTTCCCCACCAAGCTTTTAGACCACATCGGTAGCCATCGAGATCAGAGTCTCGATTTAAGTCTCAGCTACGGCTTTGAATCAAAGAGAGCCAGGATATCTTGATAATCTTTGCGGCTGCGGTTTTATACGAGAGCAATGATAGTCTCCTTGTCAACTAGATCGGTGCCCTGATCTAGCAAAAGTCTTAGTGTTGAAGAATGCTTTTGCAAATGTAACCAACCCAAGCCACTATCTACTAGAGTATCATGGCCGCCCTAAAGGCTCCACATCAATACATTACTCTTCCGCTACACCGCCCCCCAGGCTTATAGAAAATTCAGCGTCACCCCTAGCGCGGCTCTTAACCTGGATTGAAGTGTTGTACGAATAGTGTAAGACCTTGCAACACAAATTCGAATCTGCACCAAACTTTAAGAGCAATTGGATTATGACAGGGTTCAGGACATGGCTGTGATCCATGGTGTGACCACACTCAAAGAAGACATGCAAGTGTATAGCATCCAAGCAAAAGTCGTGGATATAAAGCCGTATGTCTCTCTCAGTCGAGTCAGGAACATACAACATTGAACCCTTCCACGTGATTGTGTGACGTCGCGACTTCGCCCCGAATCGTCAACGACAAGATATCTCTTTCAGCACCTTACCTATAGAAGAGACCAGCTTTACGTAGTCTCGCACGAATTTCAGTTGCCTCAAGGCCAATGCCATTGCGTTTCCATCGCGAAGAGCCCTGAGAATGCTTTGACTTAGGCGACTGCATCAAACGTTTCCTGTAAGTATAGCGCCACAAAAGTCTTTCGTATATCGATGGGAGAAGGGCTGGACTTCCTTCCAAGCTTCCACCACCCTGTGAAGATAAACGCAATGCGGGTAGTAGCAAAATCAGCAACGCCAACAGCAAGTGCGAGGAAGACTTGATGGGCTTGATATATAGTCTCGTCGACAAGCTCCTTGACTTTAATTTGCCGGCAGGGATTAGGATGAGTTTCCCTTCCCCGAACCTGCTAGATCTAGCAAGATCGTAATGTTTCTTATAACGAATGGATTCTCAATGGTTGCTGCCTGGAGTTTACATCGTGGTCACATGGGTGAATCCTTATATCCAGTCTCTATTTCCGCTTCGGGATTGAGGTCGATGAGGCCTTCTTCAAATTTTTTATAATCGAAGGACATGAAGAACACGTTAGTCCTATTGAATACATCTTGAGAGTTGCACGACGTGATATTGAATGTGCTGATATTAATCTCTCATCGGATCGAGTACTTAGCTCCCAGCATTAGCCTTTGTATGGGCCAAAACACTCTAAATTCGTGACGTTAAGAGGTTGGTGTTTATTAAAAATGCCCGACACACAATTGAAGTCCGTTCTAAAAAATCTCAACCTGATGCCTGGAGCTAGCAGCCGTGCCGGTGATCCCTAGTAGATTGTGGAGTGCAGGTCTTGGGTTGAGTGATGCTCATGTTGACCGGGAAAAACACAGTTCGGGATACCGGTATGAAAGACAGTGGTTCTCACATAAGTGGTGCTAATATGTTCCCTTTGATCGAAGATTTATGGGATATCCTGTGATAGGCTAGAAGTGCTGAATGAAGGGACCTTCGAGATAGGGTATCGTTTATGTACATAGCACTCTTGTCGCTTGGCTCAGCCTCTAGACGCACTCAACTCTGTGCGTTCCAGTAGGAATTTTACTCCAACCCCGTATGAGCAACCAGTGAAGCCTGTCCTATTAGACGAGGATGCCTGATTGCAATTTTGTTGTTATACACTATCTCCCTTGCGCCTTTCAGAAGACCATCTCATGTGGGCGCTCATTTCCCCTTAGGCTAAAGTTCGAACTGAGGTAGGCTTCAAGGTCTTGCACCTTCCGGATGTTCGCTATGAGTGCTTTGTCTACCCTCTTCTGGTCCTCTGTCCTCTGGGGATCTGTGTCCTTCTTCTACCTAGAATTAGCACTCCTTAGCCGCCAGCCTAAATAGTGGTCACATGCCTGCGATGTCTCTCCCTTGAAGAAGTGGTCCTCTCCCTTGTCATCCCTGCCCTTCTCTCTCTCCCAGTATTCGTCCTTTTCTGCCCTCTCTAGCACTTCACTATCGATTCCCGAGATGTCCACGACAGTAGAAGTAGCGATGACATAGCGATGGTTCACACGGCGAAGGGGAACGCCATTTGACTTGAAGGGACCTGTTATTAGAAGAACACCTTGGGAGAGCTGGCGCAAGAGAATGACACGTTTGCCGCGGAACCGACCAGAGAGCAAGATGAGGACAGTGCCTGGGGCGAGGGAGGAGCGGTATTTGGTGGGGTGTGCAGTCTTACGGGCCTGAGAAGTCACGTCAGCGGCTTGCTGTATTGGGGTTTCAACATTAGATATCAGAGCTCCAAACTCGAATGAGAGGTGTAGAATCGGCTTGTATACACAGAAGCATGCATACCTGCTTCAATTGGGCTTCGTCCTCGGCAGGGTAGTACTTGGAAGCCTTTTGATCTGCCATGGCTAACAGTGTTCACACACAAGAGCCTGGGTAATTAGAGGAAGCACTCTGGGATATGTAGGGCTGCCAACTAAATTTAAACTCTTGCCTAGAAAGAATGACAGCAGTGAAGTCAACTGCCAGGACGCAATCTCGAAATCAGAGCCCTGAAGTGGGCAGCTTCGCTTCCAAGCTTAGTCCATGAGCTAAACCCAAAGCGGAATCAATATCTCGCTTCCGAGGTCGACCGCAACACTTCACTATCTCACTGCCTACTGTATCTTCACTACTCTGCATAATACTATCGCCCCTCACGAGAAAATAGTGTGCCACTAGTCCAGTTGTGTTCCATATCAGGCGAGTACCAAGCTTCGGAGCAACGCTCGTACTACCCAAAACTTCCTTTAAAGCCTTTCAGATATGGAAAATCTGCTCATCCATCAACCAGAATCCTGCCACAGCAGTAACATATAGCGATGCTCCAACTGATAGTAGCTAGCCTGAAGTTTACCCGTACGAGCATTTCTTGACGTGTGACAGCAAGTGGATGACACGGGGACCCAGGATGAAGAGCACACAAAAATATCCATTTCCCTTGCACGGATGTCTGTCTGTCCTAATAACAGCATTAGCCGATCTAATCACGCCGACTCACTTTCCCTGATTACCGAAACTGTTCCGAGGATTACAAATACTGCGAAGTGGTACAGATTTTCGGAGCCTTTTTGAGCCCACTTTGTCCTTCTCGATTTGGGCACATGTCTCCTTGGCAACTATCTTCTTCAATTCCTTGATGTGGGCAACGGCCCAGGGGCGAATATTGTCACTATCCTAGCTGTCGTCTTTCGTGACGATTAAAAGATGTCCGCGGTCACCATCCCACGCGAGCCCTTAAAGAAGTGGGTGAGGGCTTTGCCCAGTCGGCCCTAACTTCCGCCACCGAATCTTTGCCGCTCGGTTAAGACAAAAACGTTAGTTCAAACAATCGATTTTGATGGAAAGTCGGCTGAGGCACCCCAGCTGCCCTGTTCGTGCATCCTAATTCTCAACCTCAAAGGCTTAAAGCTCGCCGTACCCAGTGACCTCTGCGATTTTTTTCGTAACAATCTCCGTAACTGTAGGAACTTTCGAATTTGGGCCCAGGAGCTGGCCTATCTGCTCTTTGAACTGCACGTAGGCGATGTCAAAGCGAACGCCCGCTAGCCATGCGACGAAAAGCTAGTGATAGAATAAGCATCTGCAATGAATGAGGAAAGATTCTGACTTACCATGACGAAGGTAATGGTGCTAATGGTGAGAGCAACGGTAGTACCTATGTAGATGAGATTCCACTTAGCCTCGTTATCCGCCTTTCGCTTCCTCTCCGCCTCTTCCACGCTGGCAGGGGACTTCTTGTCTAGTGGAGGTTTCTGTGTCGGGAAAATTGATTCAATGAATTGTTCTATCTGTGCAGTCGTTAGCAAAGTTCTCTAGTACGAGCCATGCCACTCACCCTCCCTAAAGTCATGCTGATTTTGAGGAAGTTGGGGTCATGTGGGTTGTTTCGCTTTGCGATCTTGCGTGCATACCGCCTGAACACGTCGCAAACGAGCTGCAGATTTTGCGATGATTCGATCATCAGCTGACAAGCCTCTCCTTTGGTAATCTTTACATTCTTCTCGAAGATGCTGTAGTTCTGGAAGCATGCATCGAGCGTAGCGATAGCCATAGATTGCGGGATGGCGCAGAAGTTGAAAACACTCTGTTCCCGGATACCCGCAAGGTAGTAAAGGCAGTCGTCGGCGCGTGACAGGGCGGTCAGGATCATCTCAGAGCTTGCGTTCAAGGCTTTCTCCTTATTCTCCGGCTTAAAGAGGTCCTCGAACTTGTCAACATGCTTCGACCAGATCTCCTTGGGCCAGAATCGCCGGGCGTCGTCCAGATCCTCCTTGATATCGCGAGTAATGTTGACTTGCTGCAAGAATTGGCCCATAGACTCCATGAGCTCCGGCTTCTTCAGCAATGCCGCGTTTGCCAGACCACCCTCAACAAAGAGGCGCGTTACGCCCTCACCGACGAGACCCGCAACATAGTGGCAGTAGAGCTCGTAGTCCTTAATCGTGTTTACTGGGTGAATTTTATGCTCCGCGCTGTTCACATAGTCTGCCATGCCGTTCCCCATGCGCTTGGTGATGTCCTTAATGATGTCCCTGTAGGCGGGCTTGATTTTCTTGAACTCTTCGATTACCACATTGAACTCGACCAAGAGCTGCCTGTCCCTTTCGTTTGGACCGTTCTCGTTGAACGTCCAACCATCCTGCTCCAAAATATTCTGAAAGTTCCGCAAAATTGGCTCCTTCTTCTCCAGTGGTATCGTCATGTCATCCTCCACTGTATCCAAGCCACGCAAGATCAGGTAGAATATCGTGATTGGGACGAGAAGATCCGGGTGCAGTTCCATAATAACGGCTGCGAAGCTGCGGCTGGTCTTGGGAAGGAAGTAGAAGCATCGCTTGAGGGATTCGCAGTCTTTAGATTCATCGCGCTCGTGGATGGGGTTGTGCCAGACCTTCCTGCAAGCAAGGTTAGGATATCGCAGTTCACGTGAGATGGCAAATTGGTCAAACTTATTGCTATACGATGGCACTTACCATTGGATGATTGAGCGTAGCTCACTGGGGTGAAAAACGTAGTATACAAGGCTCATAGGGCTCGGCATGATAGGCAGATGTCAGCGGAGTTGGCGGGTAGAGACGTAGATGAATGCAGGGTCGAGTGCTGCACAATGATCGCGCAGTGCACCTCAATGGCAAGATGTGTCAATTGTACAGCAGATAAGTAAATATTAAGAAAGCCGACCTGCTGGGTAAGGTGGAGTGAACGAACTTTGGAAAGCACCTCCACTACGGATCCATAATGACATGTTGGATCAGCAGGGCACGGTCCATTACCTCTCCATTTCCTCCGTGCCTGCTGCTCCGTTCGCGAAATGTCACCATCTGGTATCTCAACCGCTCTTAACTAAATGCAGCAGTGTGTGAAGATGGCTGGCTTACGAGATTGTGGCTGCTACAACATTCAAATTCTATCATGTGTTGTCGACAGCCCGGAAACCAGTCCACGTTAAACGCGAGTCAGGGACTTCCACCAATCTCCGCACCATGACTCCCACTCTGCGAAATGTCAAATTACGCGTCTTAAGCTCCTCTTCCTGTCTGGACCCGACCTGTTTCCTATTCGAGGCGGTATTGACTACCAAACGCATGATCAAGTTATCTAGAAAGTGAGAGACAGCCGGCCTTCTCTAACAACTGCTGGAGCATGGAAGCCCTTCTATTTGTGAGACTAGAATTGATTGTTTAAACCGATTTTATCGTACATGGGAACAGTATACAATAATAAGATGGCGTAAGTACACTTTCAGGGCTTGGTATTACCGAATGATACGTCCCGTCCGCTTTTGTCGCTGCTGCTTGCGGCTTGTGCTTACCTCCGTAGTGAATGAGTGTTTTGCACCACGTCGATGACTGAGGGCAATTTAGGGGTGCTGTATCAAGTATTGCATGCTTCAAAGCGTTAATTTCCTTGGGTTAAGTCCGCAGTTAGGTGCGGTGGCATTGTTGTGGTGGAAACAGTGTTGCAGGGTTGAAGTGTGCCAAGCACAAAATATCAAGGATATGTACCTAACTAGGCCAAGTCACTATCTACGAGTGCCCCCAGGCTTACAGAATAAGACAACAACCCTCTTGTAATTTTATAATATGCGCTGCGATTTCTCATAGCATAACTCACATATATCGTGATCACCTTTCTGAGATGTCAACGATGTGTGGGTAAATTGAAGCTGCTGCAACGTCAAAGTACCTGTCGTTTCTTTCAGGACGCGGGTCCTTCACCACGCATGGAGTTGCTATCCAGATTCTCCGACTTATTTTTGTCAATCTTTTGAGTTCAGCCCTAGATGAGATGTGACCCTTGGGATGGAGTCAGGGGATGGAGGTAAGTTAAATTCGAGACCGGGGTCTGCACTCATTCACTGATGTTTGAACAGCAATATAAGTTTTATCAAACTTGTCGCAATCGGCTTTAAAGATAGACCGGTCATCATTTCCCGAGTCTTCAACAAGGTCACCATCGCCAATACCTTGGTAGGTTCCGTTCGTACTTGAAATAGGGATGATGCACCTTCGCAGTCCTGGAAGGAAGGTGCCTGGCATTGAGGAAGCAATGGTCATAGACTTGTAGAAACATTTTAATTTTTTGAACGTCCTCGTACCCTTTCTCATCCTCAGGATTTTGCCTTTTGTCTTGGATCCGCTCTCCTAAGATTTCGTTATCCTTTTAGTCTCACCTCTAATTGATATTCTCGTCGGCTCACCATGCCTTCATTCAACCTATTTCATCAAGGCAGCCCAAATCCTGATAATCACAAAGGCCAGCTCATACGCTCCTTACTTCGCGACCTTGGGAGCCAGCTCCCCCCTGAACGTATCGAATCCAACTCTGACCTCGCCAAGGCTCTAGCAGATGCAACAGTAAACGGAGGTCTCGTTAAAGATAGAAAATATGTAGCGGAGAAAGCCATCGCAGCCCTTGCCTCATTGCCCCCAGAATCGGAAGTCAGAGAAGTTGGGACTGGTCTTTTGCTCAAGTCCCTCTGGGACAGCCTAGAACATCCACCAATTTCATATATGGGGGATGCGTTTAGGTATCTGCCACACTTGACATCCCTCTGGATGGTCAATAGAACTTCCCCTCGCCTAATACGGATCGTTTTAGGTACCGAACTGCGGATGGTAGTAACAACAATGTCATGTTTCCACATGTTGGCAAGTCTGGGTCATTCTATGCACGAAGCGTGACCCCAAAACATGTCCCACCTGCTGCACTTCCAGACCCTGGGACTCTATTCGATGCATTGTTAGCACGACAAGGGCCTCCTAAGCAACATCCAAGCAAGATTTCGAGCGTACTCTTCGCTTTAGCAACCATCATCATCCACGATGTATTCCGCACCAGCGATCTTGACCAGAATATTGTAAACGTTTCCTCATACTTGGACTTGTCGCCGCTGTATGGACCTACTCAAGACATTCAGGACACCATTCGAACTTTCAAAGACGGGAAGGTGAAGCCGGATACTTTTGCAGAAACCCGACTGCTGGGTCAACCCCCTGAAGTGTGTTTAAAATGTCGAGCACAGACGGTAATTCTAACTCGTTTAATAGTCCGGGGCTTTACTGGTATGCTTCAGTCGATTTCACAATTATGTCGCGGAGCAGCTTGCCATAATCAACGAGGCAGGAAAATTCAGCCTCCCTAACAACCTCTCCCAAGTTAACACCGAGGCTTTTGACAACGCATTATCCAAACGCGATAATGATCTCTTCCAGACGGCACGACTTGTCACCTGTGGCCTATACATAAATATAATCACCTGCGATTATCTACGAACAATCCTGAATCTTCATCGCACAGATTCGACTTGGACCTTGAATCCGCGAAAAGATTACGGCGAGATGCTTGGTCTAGGTGATGTCGAGAAAGGGATTGGTAATCAAGTTAGTGTGGAATTCAACCTCATCTATCGCTGGCACTCCACAATCAGTGCAAGGAACGAACAGTGGGTAAAAAGCTTCTTCAAACGACTTCTCCCAGGCACTAAACCCGAAGACATGAGCCAGCCAGAGTTCAGATCCAGCATGCGAGCTTGGGCTTCTCGACTACCAACAGATCCAGGCCAGAGAACCTTTGCAGGTTTGAAAAGGAATTCGACGGGCTATTATAATGATACCGATTTGGTGAGAATTCTCTCCGAAGCCACAGAAGATATTGCCGGGTGCTTTGGGGCAAGGAATGTCCCGGTGGCTTTGAAGGCTGTCGAGATCCTCGGCATCCAACAAAGCAGGGCATGGGGTATAGCTAGTCTAAACGAGCTTCGGAAATACTTTGGCATGTTGCCACACAAGACGTTCTCGGACATCAACTCCGATCCAGGTATGTTCCCTTAAACTCCTGGAATAAGCGATGGGGCTGCCTTGGCCATTCAACTCTAGTCAACTATGCTACTTGATATATTGCTAACAGCTAGTAGACATTGCTGCAACCTTAGAAGCCCTATATGGAGATGTGGAAAATGTTGAGATGTACCCTGGTGTTGTCGTTGAAGAAGCCAAAATGCCAATGATACCAGGTTCTGGGTTGTGCGCTGGATTCACAACGACTAGGGCGATCTTGTCGGATGCCGCAGCTCTAGTACGCGGTGATAGGTTTTACACCGTCGACTACAGTCCATCAAACTTGACAGCGTTCGGGTTTAAGGAGGTCTCCAGCGATACCACCATTGCTGGAGGAGGGGTTATTTACAGGCTGTTGATGCGAGCTTTTCGTAAGTGACTAACCTGTTGATTCTATCCATCCTAATCTTGACTTAACGTAGCCTACCACTACCGTGGAAACTCCATCTACGCTTTTTACCCCTTCACCGTACCCGCCGAGAACAGGTTGATTCAGCAATCTCTTGGTCGCGAGTCCGACTTCGACTATACTCCCCCACAGCCCACCAGACGGCCAACTCTAATTACTACGTGGAAAGGTGTCAATAGCGTTCTGCTCAATCCACAGACTTTCAAGGCCCCTTGGGGGAAACACATGAGACAGCTCAGTAACTACGACTATATGCTCGGCGGGGACAATCTCGGAACCTCCGCACAGCGCAAATCAGTTGGCCAGGCCATATATGGAACAGAGAATGCGTTAAAGGACTTCCACCAGTTCTTTACAAACACCACGTCTAACCTTATACGACGAAGAAGCCACAAGATCCGAAACATTTACGAAATTGACGTCGTACAGGATATTGCGAACCTAAGTTATTCCTCATTCGTCGCACGCCTCTTCGATATTCCACTTAAAAGCGAGCATGGAAACACCACCCTTGACACCCGGAAACTTTCTGATTTATTACGCTCAATTTTCGCGTACATATTTCTAGACTACGATGTTGTTCACTCGGCTGCACTCAAAAACGCCGCATTGAAGGCTAGTCGAGAACTTACAGACATCCTGAACCCCATATGTGAGACACACAAGGCTCAGAGTTTCTACGGGCTTCTTCCGCAGCTTCACCTCAAGGCCAAGGTAAAAAAGCCGCTACCGAACCATGGAAACAAGTTGTTACAACGTCTTTTTGAGGGCGGTAAAGGTGTCAATGAAGTGGTGTCTATCATCATGTCCACTGCTTGTGCTGCCGCTGTCCCTGGCCCTTGGGCCGTAAGCTTAAGAATCCTCAAACTTGATAGGCAGGCACTAAATTGACGTAGCTATCCCAAATCCTGGACCTCTTCTTGAAAGATTCATACTCTGCCCATTGGACTGATATTCAGAAACTTGCAAATGACAACTCTCCTCAAGCATTTGAAAAGTTGAGGAAATATGCTTTAGAGGCTCTTCGCATTACTACCCCGGGCGCCCATCTACTCCGCACGGCCGAGGCGGATGCCACGATTGTCGACGGACATCAAACACACCAAGTCAAAAAAGGCGAAACGATCTCCATAAGCCTCCAGAGCGCCTCTGTCGACTGCGAAAAGTTCCCGGCGCCCGAGGAGATCAGACTGGACCGTCCCGAAGATGCATACATCCATTTTGGCTACGGACCACACGTCTGCTTGGGACGACACATTATTACCATCGCTTTAGTAGCACAGTTTCGCGTGTTTGCCCAACTCAAGAACTTCAGACGGGCTCCAGGATTGCGGGGCCGGCTTGTGCAGAGGGATATCGCAGGATTTCAGTCGTTCTTGTCGGAACGTGGTGATGCTTGGGAACCACTACCTGCGAGTAAATATTTTCTCCGGTTTTCTGTTTTCGAACTATTGGTTGACATTCCGTGTAGCTATGAAAGTCCACTTCGACGCTTTTGAGTAAGGTGAGGAACAAGTAGAGTTTGGGCATTTGGATCAAGTAACGCTATTACTTATCTATTATTGGGAAGACTTCAGGAATAAAACACTCATCCCATCTCCCTACCTCCCTTCAAACTCCGTATTTTCACTCTCCTATGCAAACCATCTCCCCATGCAACATTCCTGTCAGATGTCATGTGGATTCACCTGACTCGAGCGACACCGTATCCTTTTTAAAATCTTCCACACTTAAGCAATTATCCAAGCCCCAATTCATCTCCAGCGAATCAGTAACGCCTGAAAAAGGAACCATTGGTGTGCCAAGCCCGAAATTTCATCTATTTTCTATGGTGTTTCGTGTTAGTTGCCTGGTTGAGAAAGTGGAGAGAACGCCGCGTCAGGTAGTGGCTTGAATGATGTCAGCCGCTAAGGAGATATAGGGCTTGGGGGGTATAGGGAAATAGTGGGGTTGGTTGGAGTTGATTGGGGGTGTGGTGGGGGGGTTAAGGTGTGTTGGAGAGGACGTGGAAGGGGGGGTTGGGGGGTTGATGCGGAAAAGATGGGATGGGTGCATAGGAAGGGTTGTGGGTGGTAGTGTCAGATGGGTGGGGAATTGATGGAATGTTATGCTTGTCTTTCGGCGTAAATATGTGGACTAAAGGATGAGTGTTGGGACGAGAAGGCTCGTATGAGAAATATAGAGAACCTGCTCCTTGTCAATCACGATTCATGGAGGCATCTTTGTGGAGCTTTTGCTCTACGAACCGAGTGTCATCATCAATAGACAGGCATAAATTCCCCACATATCAGTTTCACTGTCACAACAGCCCTCAGACAACCTTAAGAAACATGGGAATCCGGAGAGATTGGCGAAATTCGTCCATCTTGGCTTGACGGATCAAATCCGTTTTGCGGGTGTTTGACTGTTTCACTCGGCACAAGATGCAAGCTTGCCAAGGCTTAGCTTGTTATAAGTCACCTGGATAGGACGATCATCTAACCTAAGCAAAGCTTCCTCAAGCCTTTTGGTTTATTAAATAAGTCCGCCCCGCGTTTCCCCGTCCTTCCTTTTGCTTTAGAAGGGTTTCACGGAACTATTACTCGGCCCGCTCCAAGGCTCGGCAATCTTAGCCCTTGGCCCTAAATGCATGTGGAGAGATACGAGTCAGTCGTGGATTCTGCTGTAGGTTCTTTTCATATCTGAAATTGAGAAAAAGTCGCAGTCTAGACACCGATGTGCTCGACGGATGTGCTCCTAATTTCTAGACTTCGGGAGCAAGATATGTATTTTTACCTTCTAAATCAAGTTCGCCCTTAGTCCAGTTATCTAGGGGAGTGAACGTACGAAGTCTGGAAGACTAGCGCTCGCCGGGGTCCTCGATATGCTTTGTCAACAAGACTGGGATCTGGATATGTGAAGCACGTGCCACTAAATATCCAATATCTCCCGTGCTGGGCCCATGTAATATATGAATTCCACGTAACATAATTGTCTTAGAGGAGCCTTTTTCGACCTACTAACACCTTTTAGAGTAGCTTCAGTCGCTGGAGATGGTATTACACTCGGTGGTTTCTCCGCATTCTGCTCGTCAGATCATCGTACGATATCGAGAAGCGAGTAGCTTCACCGCCCAGAAAACATTACCTCGATACGGTCCGAGGCCGAGAACCTCGAAACCTTAAGCCGACTTCAAAGGAGATAGGTTGTTGTCCAAGGCGGAATATGGGTTGCCCTGGTCAGCATCTATCTTGAGGTCTTTGTCTGCCCCTGTCGGAGCGGAGTGACAGGTCCACGCGTCGGAGGCACCCGTAGACTACGGGCAGTTGAGAACCATTCGCGATAGACGGGACTGGCCGTCTGCGCTCCAAACGCTGCAGTCGCGCAAAGTCGAGCGAGAAAAAGCTCACAATGAGGGGTAATCGAAGGAAATAGGATACTATGACAGAGTAGACTGAAGTTTTGAAAAATCGTTCGGACAGCTGCCGAGATGGTAGTATGCCTCATCATGTCCTCGGCAATGTTTGCAGCAATAAATGAGCACCTTTCTCCCGAACAGCACTCCTCGGTCCCCAGTGGCTTTCTTAACGGTCACCGAGCGTTCTAAGGTTGCTTCTAGCGGTTTAAAACCGCGCGGTGGAACGAGCTTTTTGCGATGGATTGCTTGCTTTTGTGGTCCAGGGTGCAGGGAATGAGACGCACGACGTGACACTGTGCCTCAGCCAAGTGCAATATCGCAGCCAGACATTGATGCTGAAGATAAAAGGAAAATGGGTTCGCAACAGGAGTGGTTTGGTATTGGTGATCCCGTCTTTGCGCACCCTGCAGCCAGAAGACAGCCCTCGCGAAGCCACACCCTGTCAGCCGGTTAAGGGAGGCATTTCCCCAAGCTGTAAGTAGCATCCCGCCAGCGAGCTTCGATCCTCCCCTCAATACACCGACTCTTGTGACGCTGTTGACGCTGTACGAGAGCAAGGAAAAGCAAGAACACACATCGCGAGACCAGTCCACGGGTGCAACTTGAAAGCATAGACCAACCGGGTCGTCTAAAATGGCATCCTCCGCAGCTGGTAAGTTCATCGCACACCGCCTACCTCTATCTCTGCGTCCCAGACTATGTCGATACCATGCGTAGTCGACTTCAGGCGGTGGTCAAAATCATCACGTCGCTGAAAAGGCCGTTGAGAAGTAGTTATAGTCCAATCCGGGCCGCAAAAGCATCTAGTGCGCAGCGTAAATGCCCCAGCCAAGCTCTCAGTCAGGGATGAACCCGCTGCTAACGAGTCTTCTCACCTGATTTCTAGACGCCATTGAGCGCATCGTCGCCGGAAACCGAGTTTACGCCCAGAAGACGACCGAGCAAGATCCGAATGCCTTCGCAGATCTGAGCAAAGGCCAATGGCCCGAAATCCTGTGGATTGGGTGCGCCGACAGCCGGGTTCCCGAGACAACTATCTGCAATTGCAAGCCGGGCGACATCTTCGTGCACCGCAACATCGCGAACTGCGTCCATGCCCACGACAACAACACGGCCGCGGTGGTCCAGTATGCGGTAGGCGCTCTGGGCGTGAAGAAGGTCATTGTCTGCGGCCACACTAGGTGTGGCGGCGCACAGCACTCGCTGAATGACCACGACCTGGGTGAGACGCTCAACACCTGGCTGCACCCGATGCGCGAACTTCGGAGAAAACATAAGGCCGAGCTGGACAATCTGCCCGATGACGATGCGCGGGCCGTGCGGATCGCGGAGCTCAATGTCATTCAATCGCTGGACGTGCTGAAGCAGCACCCGGCTGTCACGAAGGCCATCAATGATCGCGGCCTGACTCTCCACGGCATGATCTTCGACATTACCAACGGGCAGTTAAGGCTGTTGGAAGAATCTGGAGGGAGGAGGGCTAACGTTGGGCTTTGGAGTCCGAGTTAGATTGGGGCAAGACCCATAATGGGATACTGCATTGGGGAGTTTCGACAGCCTGTCTTGGTGTTGCATATTTGCGAGGGGCCTTGGAAGGAACGGTCATGCGGCAAGGCTGAGGGTCATAGAAGGACGCGATAGATCACGAGCATCACACCATATGGATGGGCAAATAATTTCTTGATTTTTTCTTTCTCGTGCTTCTTCTATTTCTACACCAAGTGACTCATTGGTGTTCGAGGCGTGGCCCAAACGCTTACCCGCGGACTTAGCGGACGGGTGACTGACAAACCTGATCAGGAAGTCCCGGATGTATCACAAAAATAAATCGCATATATATTTGTACCTTTCTTCAGCAGCCTATCTAAGTTCTCATTCCTTTCAAATTCCTCACAAAATAACTTTACTCACACACAACAGACACTAACATCACCAACCATCCAGCTTTTTCTCCAGGCAAATCACTCCTCAGACATCTCAGCCACCGACAAAATGCCCTCACCAGCACCATCTTTCCAACAGGAACCAGAAACCCAAAACGTGGGCTACACAAGTACGCGAAAATTCTTCCTTGGAAGCTCGGAACCGAGCACAAATTCCTACGTCCGGACACCTCTGGTGACTCCGCTTCCACTTGCTTCCGCCGACCCTCCTCGAAGATCAACTGAACTCGTTCGCTGAGGTCGCCCTGTTTGGTCAAACGGGTATGTCAGTGTTTTCAACATCATTCGTGATCGTTTCTTTTGGCTGCGGCGCGGATCCGGTATGCTTCCTTCATCCGTTAATCAAATTGACTCCACGATGCTAATACTTTCACAGTCTTAGCAGTCACCTCTGCAATCTTCCCTCGTTGAGGTGGTGGTGGTAATGCAACCCAAAAACAATACCTAACGATTTCATGTCGGGTGGCGTTTGGAGTTTGGTTACTGCATTCAAGCTGATCTCATCAGGTGAATGTCTTCCTGCTACGGAATAATGGGAATCGGCAGTGGGTTAGGTAGCTTCTAGCGATAAACGCTTGATCGCATTCACTTGCAGTGCATCGTGCATGCGGGCTAGACCCAATTTTATCAGGTAGTCTGGTCACACTCCGAGATGAAAGTATATCTGTTCACCAAAACATTGATGGCCTCCGCCCATTATCATTGACTTCTCCAAGCTCCAGTAGTTCATACTATAGTGATTCAAGGTGTGGGCCAAAAAGACCGAGGCTCGTATCATGGCCAGCCAGGCTACACCGTCGTGCCTTCTCCATGACGACAACGACCCAAGCTATACACTCACCAGTCAAGCCAGCTCCTCTCCGCCAGCTCCCGAACACATATCCATAGCATCTTCACCACATATTTCAGAAAATGGCACGCTCAGTTTCAACGGTGTAGTCTTCTTCAATTTATCATCACCTGAACGAGACGAAGATGGCTTTAACAGTACCGCACTCCCCAATCATACACGAATTCGCCGTCTTCTCACCTACCATAGAACTCGCCATGTATACAGTTACCTCAGGAGCTGTTGGGTGAGCTTTTACGGTCTTTGGTATTGTGACTTTGGGGCTTGGACCTTGGTTCCAGGTTGGGTGGTCAGGTGTCAAGCAATTCATTTTTGACGGCTTCTTTTTCCTCTCTTGGGTTCTACCCACAACGCTCCCCACGACAACGGTACTGGCCGTGACCAAACCCAACAGCCAGCGATACTGTTCGATAAGAGCCCTTACCCAGCGCGAAGCTCTAATGTTCGACCCGTCTGAAAAGCTAAGGAGACTTGTATGGGCTCACAATCAAGCAACTCGAGACCAGATAAGTTTGTGGAAGCCGAGAGTGATATGTCCAGCCGCAGGAGTCACCCTAGAAACAGTTAAAGCAGAAACAAACCACAATATTTTCAATAGCAGTCCTTTATCCCCCAGCCCTTGGCTATTGGAGAAGTTTCTACAAATCCTGAGCTCAATCAAGAGACTAAACGAAAACAGCCTCCTACTTCCATCTCCACTGTAAGAATAATAAAGCCAGAGCGAAATGTGACGTTGGCAAATGACCTCTTCCTTCTCCAAAAGAGGTCGTTTGACTACGAAATTGGTCTTACTTCGATATCCCCTGCAAATTCACCATCACCAAAATGAGAGAATAAGCTCTACATAAGTTTTAATTCCAAAAACTCACCCCTAGTGACCGGCTCTCCAAGCCTGCGATGCCCACCAAAACCCGCACAATGATCATGATGAGTAAGCGTCATTCTGATATCATTCCTAAGGGGTTGCCTCGGCCGTCAATTAGAAATCAGATGAAGAATGAAAAACCAACTCTGTATTCCAACCATTCTTCAATTTATCACACTTCTTTGTCGGAAGCCACACATTTACACTGAACTGGTTGATGCTTCCTCATGGCACATTGAAGACCCTCCAAAATGCTGAAGATGGTTTCCCAGATTTTCACACGGCATGTAGGGTTATATGGATCCAAAACTATCAATACTGGTCTATGAGCTGGTCACAAGGGTAGTTGGCGTAACAGACACAGCCTGCGACCCCACTTCCAAACTCTCTGATCCCTCTTGGATTACGCTCCTAGGCCAAGTCTTGAAATATCGCTCGACGCATGGCGGCTTCTTTCATCTAAGATTTGTCTCCCGCGCCCTAAAAGAGTAAATCTGTAGGTGACTTGGTTACAAACATCACCGTGCGAATGACCTACACCAACTTTCTTGCATTGTCGATTGGCAAAGCTGTTCAAAGAAGGGGAATGGCTCACTGCGTCCTCTGAACTCCGAAACCGTCATCTTGACTTTGAGCTACTCTCTGAGGGTTGCCACAATGGTATATATTTAGAATGGAAGCCGCCTCTTTGTCAACGTGATAAACTGAGGTGTGCAGGCCTCCCAGCAATCAACTTTATGGAAATTGGACTAGATAATGGGGAAATTATTTTTTTCAACGCGAACGATAAATCACTCCATCATGATTTCAAATGCAGAATAATCTAACATCCTCAGACTGGCAGTATCGCGAACACCATTACAGCTAGTCTGGAGATGTTGAAAACCCAACGGGAGGGTGACTGTTGTAGGTGGATATACAGACCAATTCAATATAACCAGATAATGCAGAGCCACGGAAGGACTAGATGCTTCAAATGGTTCAGACATGTCAGAGTAGGAAGCCCAAGCTTTTCTTTGCTTGACTCCTAGCCGCTCTCAGCTCTCCCACCTCATTGGTGGCTAAAAACTACGAGTAGGGCTCTTCGTCTAATTGTCACCACAAAGTTTACTGGTGAGCGCCACAATGCAGTGAGTGAGAAGACGTCTTCCAATCATACAGCGCAAAACATATTTGACCGGTTGAACGCCACCATACCTTGTCGATAGCGGGGCTGGATGCTCATCGTCAATAACCAGGCCTTCGATATGCTGCCCTACACAAGTGAGCATTAAGCATCTGTGGCCGAGGAACTCGGTTCCCTCTCGTTTGTAAAGACAAGGCCGAATAACATCCTTGCTGGGATGAACGATGAATATTTTCCATGCGCAGAAGCTGAGTGAGCTTGGCTGGGAGTTAGAGGATGTGAGGCTTTCTTGGGAGAATACTGGGGAGAGGGGCTACTGGCGTCAATGCCACCGGGAAGAAATCCGAAACTTCGGAGGATGAACAAGGCATAGAATAGAGGGATTTGGGGTCCACCAACCACCTATCTAGACCGTGAGCCTGTTCAATTAAGCTATTGTTTAGTGTATGCAAATTGTGGATTAGACCAATATAAATGCCCCATTTACAACAGTCGATGGGGGCAAATGTAGCAATAAATAAAGTAAACTTCTTCACATCTATCTGTTTTTTCCTCCTGGCCATGATGCGATCGGATTGACAAACATGAACAATCAAACTTTGGTAGTTAGTGAGTATACCACAGACTGTTTTGTCCGGGTTAACATATATTCAACTTTGGAGGTAGACTTTACGATAAAACTTGCTGATTGAGCGGTAAGTGAAAGTGTGGCGAGGGAGCGAATTGCCGCTTCCAAGAGCTTTCACCACCACGAAAGTTCTGTTCTCTTACTTGGAAACACAATACCAAATCACGTTATTGTCCCTAATACCATCAGTAAATGAGCCGGTGCCTGCGTAGTAAGTAGTATTAGACCCCATTGTCTAGCTAGAGCATCACCTCCCGAGCTACTCTATACAGCCCTCTTCCATCCCAATCTTGGAAGACAGACTTCCTTACACCCCTCAATCTCCCCCTACTATGAGTTGGAGGTGTGTGTGTATCAGGTTGATGTGTGTAAGGGGGTGATGGACGGGGTTTGTGAGCATCAAAACTCCGCCTTCCAGGGGCCAAGTACTGCGCGTGTATGGAGAATTTCCCGCTTCTGCTAACTAGGAAGGGTGACCGGTTCAATGAGGTGTTGGAGGGGAGTTGAAGGAGGACGGGACGACGTTTGTTGAGATGCATGAGGTTCTTCCGTTCCTCGCTGATACGAAGGCAATCGGCCTCACCGTGGAGATGCTCAAGGCGACAGCGATCTACAATCCGCTTGGAGGACTGTGAGCCACCCTGCTTTACAGCGCAATAGTGTCTGATCCCTTCAATGTGGCCATTGAAGTGGCGTTAGGCTGCAGATGTCCAAAAGCGGCCCTCTCTGATTACAGACAAATGCAATGTGAAGAGAGAACTCTTCCGTAGAGCTTGCTAAATGTCGTTGTCATGCAAGAGGGATTGAGTAAGCCGTTCACTCATCCGCGGGCATGCATATCGCGCAATCTAGATTCTTGCCTCAGGCCACGGGGTCTTCCAGGCTTGTGTATGCCTCGCTAATGCAGTTAATAGAAGGGCTCGGGACCGATATCTCAGCTGCAGTAGAGGTTAGTAAACCAGCCTGGGCTAGAGTCGCAGCTGCCTGATTCGATAAGGGAGGTCACATGGCGAGGTGAGCGATAACGGAGGTGGGGGACTGCTCATGCCATCTAAGCCCAGCATCGCCATAGCGTCACAGCAACTCTGCGACAGTTTTACACTGAGGATAGACAGCAATTCAAGTGAAAGTTCTGCACAAATTCTTCTCTGTGTGAAGTGCCGGTGGAGGCGGCTGTGATGGTGTGAGGGCGCGACTGCCTGGCTTGCCGCACCACCGAAGGCGCTCGAACGTTCGCTGCCCTGTTTCCAGGCGGCGCACGGGCCACTTGGGTCATTACTCACCACCGAGCCTTCACTCACAGCCTCCGCTTGCCGCCTACTCCTGCCTACATAAACCCTCTGCTGCCCTCCCACCTCCGTGTCTCCTTTAACCCACTCCCATACTCGCTCCGACACTACAACTCCAACCCCAACCATCCACCCATCACAGCACACTCCCTCAGCAAGTCTACATACCTAGCCTGCCACCATGCAGATCTTCGTCAAGACCCGTAAGTAGCCTCAGTAGCTGCCACCCTCACCCTAACCTCAACAACTGACAGCCTTCTGCAGTCACCGGCAAGACCATCACCTTGGAGGTTGAGTCATCCGATACGATCGACAATGTCAAGTCGAAGATACAAGACAAGGAAGGCATCCCACCTGACCAACAGCGCTTGATCTTCGCCGGCAAACAGCTCGAGGATGGACGCACTCTGTCGGATTACAACATTCAGAAGGAGTCTACTCTGCATCTCGTCCTCCGCCTTCGTGGTGGTATGCAAATCTTCGTCAAAACTCGTATGTCGCCACCCACGGACGCTTATCATATTGCGATACTGACATCATTCAGTCACCGGCAAGACCATCACCCTTGAGGTGGAATCCAGCGATACGATCGATAACGTTAAATCGAAGATCCAAGATAAGGAGGGCATTCCCCCAGATCAACAGCGCTTGATCTTCGCTGGCAAGCAGCTCGAGGATGGCCGTACTTTGTCCGACTACAACATTCAGAAAGAGTCCACACTTCACCTTGTCCTTCGTCTCCGTGGTGGTATGCAGATCTTCGTTAAGACTCTGACTGGTAAGACTATCACCCTCGAGGTGGAGTCGTCTGATACCATCGACAATGTGAAATCGAAGATTCAGGATAAGGAGGGCATCCCCCCGGACCAACAGCGCCTTATCTTTGCTGGAAAGCAGCTCGAGGACGGCCGAACTCTCTCCGACTACAACATCCAGAAAGAATCTACTCTCCACCTTGTCCTTCGTCTCCGTGGTGGTATGCAGATCTTCGTTAAGACTCTGACTGGTAAGACTATCACCCTCGAGGTGGAGTCATCTGATACCATCGACAACGTGAAATCGAAGATTCAGGATAAGGAGGGCATTCCCCCAGACCAACAGCGCCTTATCTTTGCTGGAAAGCAACTCGAGGACGGCCGAACTCTCTCCGACTACAACATCCAGAAAGAATCTACTCTTCACTTAGTCCTCCGTCTGCGAGGTGGCATGCAGATCTTCGTGAAGACTCTGACCGGCAAGACGATTACGCTTGAAGTTGAGTCATCCGACACGATTGACAATGTCAAGTCAAAGATTCAGGATAAGGAGGGTATCCCACCCGACCAGCAACGCCTCATTTTCGCTGGTAAGCAGCTCGAGGACGGTCGAACGCTCTCAGATTACAACATCCAAAAGGAATCTACTCTGCACTTGGTGCTCCGTCTCCGTGGCGGCCAGTGAGCGGCAGATGGGCGTGGAATCTTTCATGGAATGGCGTTCGAGCATGGCACAATGGGCAGGTCTTCTGCGATGGTGTCTTCATGGTATTTCTAGCTAGTTCACACGGCCAATAAGGCCCTCAATACAATCACCGACATGTCTACGGGCTGAGAGTTTCAATCTCCAAACGCCGAAACACCCATTATTCCATGCTCGATGTGCTGTGATGCTCAAGATGAACTCCAACAAATGGCGGAACGAGTTCCTTGTCGCCACTTCTAAGTTCGCCAATACGAATTAAACGTGACAATCTCGGCCGAGCAAAGCGGATACATTCCGACTCTTGCTACTTGGAGAATTTAGGAGAGGTAAGCCGCGGATAGAAAGGATAGAAAGGATAGCAGAAAATACTACCAGAGAAAGTAATCTATCTCTTGCACACCATTCCCTCCTCGCAACACTCTTTACCGCAGCGACATGCGTGTCTGCGAACTGAGAGCGGAATTCCCCTCGGGCCAAACTCGGCAGCGCCGCAAGTGACGCAATTGAAACCACGGATTTAGACGTATCCCCGCCCTAGCTCCAGCAGAAGGAGCATTGGCATATGGTAGCAATTGACAAGCAGTTGGAAAGGAGAGCTTTGAAAGGTATCGGAAAGGGTTCAACAGGCTTCACCTGATCAGTATCTACCAGACATCTTCATGAACTTCAGTTACTTTGTCAGACGTTCGCATATAACCGGATTTTCTGTCAAAGTCCGCTCAACGAGCCTCGCGAGAAGTGTGCATAAGAAGGCGGTTGCCCCGCGAGCTATTTCCACGTCCTCACCTTTGCGATTCTTGGGGGTTACATCGACTCCAGCGGTCTTAGCAACCTTCTTACGAACTCCAATTGCCCAGCGAAGAAGAGTTGCCAATATGGCGGAGAAGAAGATGGAATATGTCAAGTTTGTCCCCCCTCACACAATTTTCTTGACTTGTACTCTTCGCTTGCAGCGCTAATGATGCAAAAGCCTAGGAAAATCTGGCCTCAAGGTCTCACGCGTGATTCTGGGGGCTATGAGCTACGGCAGCTCGTCCTGGCAGCCGTGGGTTCTCGACGAGGCCGAGAGCTTGCCGCTGCTCGAGCATGCGTACAAGTGCGGTATCAACACCTGGGATACTGTACGCCCATCCCCAACCATTCGCCAACCAGATTCTTCTCATTGAGTAGACGCTGAGGCTGATACAATAGCTTCCAGGCCGACATCTATTCTCACGGCATCAGCGAACGCATCATCGGCAAAGCCCTTAAGCAATACAACATCCCGCGCTCCAAGGTCGTCATCCTCTCAAAATGTTTCTTTGGCGTCGACGAATCTAACCCCTCTCTCCCCATCGCTGCTGTGTCCACCAACGACGGAGAAATGGTGAATCAGTGCGGATTGAGCAGGAAACATATCTTCGATGCCGTGGACAACAGTGTTGCAAGATTAGGCACTTATATTGATGTCTTGCAGATTCATAGGCTGGATCGGGGCACGCCGAGAGAGGAGATTATGAAGGCGTTGAATGATGTGATTGAGAGCGGGAAGGTAAGGTATATTGGCGCGAGTTCGGTAAGTTGCTCTCCAGTCTTGAAGATAGGGGTTCTTAATAAGGAGTCTGTTAATGAGGTGGTAGATGGCAGCATGGGAATTCCAGACTCTCCAGAACATTGCGGAGAAGAATGGCTGGCATAAGTTCATCTCTATGCAGAACTACTACAACCTCATTTACCGCGAGGAGGAGCGAGAAATGGTAAGCCCCTTCGTTCCTAGCCCATCCCATCCGTAAATACTTGACCTAACCCCCCCTCCGATCCCTTACTGCAAAGACACGGGCGTCGGTCTAATCCCTTGGTCCCCCATCGCCCGTGGCGCCCTCACACGTCCATGGTCCGATCGCTCCTCTTCCCGCGCGCAAACCGACAAGTTCCTTGACAGCCTGGTGCACAAGCGAGAAGATAAGGTCGACCAGGAGATTATTGGACGAGTTGAGGAGATAGCGAAGAAGAACAATGTGAGCATGGCTTGCATTGCGACTGCATGGTGTGTCAAGAAAGGCGTCATGCCGATCATTGGGTTGAGCAGTAAGGAGAGGATTGAAGAGGCTGTGGAGAATATCCGATTTAAGCTGAGTGACGAGGATGCGAAATATCTGGAGGAGGCATACCTGCCTAAGCCAATTGCGGGATATTAGTTGGTCAGATCAGAGACAAGATTTGAGATACAAACTCCCTATCTAATTTCTATCTAAACAATGACACTCAACAATTTGACCTACTTCACCACTTGCTTCAGCCCTTCCTAGGAAACTCCTTAAGTCTGGAGCTGTTGTTACAAGTTTATATGTATACCCGTTCCATTCCTAATTATCATCATGAACACCTACCTCTGCTAAAGGCTCTGGAAGGTGATTTGATTATAATTTGACTATAAGGTGCACTGGCTTGGAAAAAGAGAAGGGTTTTCACTGCACATATTTAGCGGTATAGGAACAGCCCCAGGTGTTAAAGGTTTTGATAGATCGCTTTATAAATTGAATCTCCTTCCTCTATGACTTCCCCTCACTCTCTACTGACTCCCTACTGTCGCTGAGACTCCAGCCTTGGTGCAACCCACCGCCTCACCTTCCCCCTCCAACGAAATATGCATGCATACAACCAAGCTGTAAGACGCCCTCAACCTCCTGTCGTGCACCCACCCACCTTCGAATCCCAACCCTGATGCTAAAGATAACTAGCTATTAACTCGGATGTTCCTTTTACCAAAGAAGCTCGTGCTCTCGGAAATTTTGGACAACGGATTTAGCCTGTACCCGTCGTCCGTTGCATTTATCTCCTGCACATATGCAAGGTGACAACACAGATCCCAGATACCCTGGTGCAAATCCCTGAAAACAGAGCATTCATGCCATAGTTCCTCTACATCTCCTACACTTCCCCTACATCTCATAAGCCCCGTCCCGAAGCTCAGCCACCATCATACATCACGGCACCCACATGTGTGACAAATCCATGAAATTCTAGGCCCATATGATTGCAGGCTATCTACACCCAGGCCCAGCAAAGCCGATCGATCCAAACCTTGTCCAAACAATCCTAGGCCACATATCCAGCCAACATCCTCAAAAACCGAGGTTGTCCGCCGAAATACACTGCTCCTAAGAGAACCCAGAACCAGCAGGATGAGATCAGACCGCACTAAGCTAAGCCCAAATCTGTATCCAAGAATTGTGGGCGGGGTTAAGGAAAAGAGACCACACCACCAAGGTTGATAAATACACAATCGTGGTAAGAGAAAAGAACAAGTATACACCACCATACCAATGCCATACCAGACCATGCCATCCACCCAAGTCAAATCATCCCTTAGATTCCCCAAAATATTCTCCCTCTCCATCCCCGAACTCTTGAAGCCAGATCAAAATCTGATATCAGAGATCGGATAATGATAGGTCTCAAAAAGGATAAGGATAGATGGAAAACAATCAAGGGAAAACTAGCAATAGCAAAAGGGAATATATCACAAGGTGATAAGGATAATGCGCGGGGTAGTGTGGTGATTGCTCGCTCTTGACTGCTCCGCCCTGCAATCCTGATGTTCATTCGCAAAAATGACTCCCACTCGCTATGCCAGTAACACAATCATCAGCAGATAGGAAAAATGAGGAAGGCAAAAGGGAAAGGGGTAAATGGTCGAGACGACTAGTCGTACACCCAACATAAAGTTGAAGATGCGCCGACGACGTCGTTTCGCAGGTCTAGACCCATTGAAAATTTTCAAGCTTTCGCTTCATATCCTCTAGATAGAGTGGAAGTGGTGGCTAAAAGTGGCTCGATGTCGAAAAGCAAATAATAATGTGAGAAAGGGGTATGTATAGGACGCGAGTCCATACTTGTAAGAATGAGAAGAAAAGCAATCGAGGCCAGAGTATCATCGTAGACCATCGTCAACTCGTAAAAATAATCCATGGCTGTCATAAAGGAAAATATCCGGTGTCGCCCGTAAAGAATGTGGGGACTACATATCAACACATGCCACGGAATATTGACTTGAGATGACGGAAGATCTCTACCCAATTGCTAGAACTGGGGAAAGGGGGTCGATAGGATACTGTCTTCTGTCAAATTCCGTGGTAGGTGCAAAAATATAGTAGCTGGAGTAGTGTAGGAACCGGATCGAGGTCGTCAACTTGGCGTTCATGACGCCGGGTAATCAGAAGTTAAATAACCAAATATCAAAAGAGAAGCAAACAGCCAAAAGGCGTCATCATGCTTTTAAGTCGTCAGCCGTGAGGGTGATCGTAGGTTGCGTGCAAATCAGAACACGTGATCCGTGGAATCGTTAATCGGTCAGGAGGTAGGCTGCAGGGTGTCGAGGGCTAGTGATGAGGCTTCAAGTAATAGTAGAGGCGAATATGAAACAGCCATAGTAAGGATGAAGGATAAGATCTTGAGGCGGGAGGTGGAGGGAGAATATTAATTTGCCCGAATGACAAGTTTTGACAGGAACTTGTTCGACAAAGAGTCGAAGTCAGACCGATCGAATTTGCACTCGCTCCTTGACCTCAGGTAGGTTTCTGCATGTCTAATTAGTCTCGGTCTAGTTTAAAACTGATAATGCTTCAGGCTTACCATATTTAGTGACATGCGCTCGGACCTCAGTCATGGCGTCGCACACCGCTGGATTCGAGTTTAGCAAGTGGTGGTGCTTCCGCGTATCCCACTCGGTAAACGCGGGAAGTTTCTGCGAGATCGCCGAGAAAAGGCCCACGATAACACCGACAGGGGTGCTCTCCATGTCGTTACAGAACTTATTCACCGCCTGCTGGTCTGGAACCCGATAAGAGCAGTCGAATTGAATCAGCTCCCAAACTGCAAGTAAGATGGCAGCGAGCATAAAGATGGTTGGCCAGTTCTTCAGCTTCTCGCCGCTGTACACCGAGGAGTATAGCGAAGAAAGCTCTTCAAGGACATCCTTCTGAAGCTCACGCCACATGTCGGCGAGGGCACACTTCACCTGGAAGTTGATCATGACGGGAGCAACAGTCTTGCCGCAGAATTTGGAGTTCTTGTCCTCGACCTTGCCAAGGTTGCACTCATCCTCAGGCAGGCCCTCGACCATGGTGACGTGGAGCGTCAGGTTGTAGGCGATGACGAGCTTGAGGGCCTTTCGGATAACGGGAAGCTTCTCGCGGCAGTAGAAGCGGTACGCCGTCTTCAACAGCTCGGTGACGAAGTAGGTGCCTTCGAAGTACTCATCGACGAACTGCTCAAATCCACCATCGATGTGGCGGTCGAGGTAGTCAGAGAGCATGCTATGGGAAATACCCTCCATACCAGCGGACAGCTTAGCAGTGTTGATCTCGAAGTGGTAGCCATGAAGAGTCTCAACCCAATCGACACCGAAGCACTTCTCATCGCGAACGTACACCTCACGAGCCATGATGGGAAGGAAGTGGCCATATCCGTGGGTGACGTAGATCGGACGCTCCTGGGGGGAGAACCCCTTGATGTTGCCAACAGAGAAACCGAGGCTGACATGGCGCTCATAGTCAGCCTTCCAGTCCTTCATGAAGTAGGCGATATCTTTGATATCGATACGCGTACACGGCACTTGCCAGAGACGAGCATGAGAAGGCTGGCATCCACCGCATGGATCACCCTTGTCACATGTCTTCTTGAGGAACTTGCATCGTAGACAAGCACGCAACTTTCGGATCTCGTGAGCCTGCTGTCGCTGGTCAGGCCTCAGCGGACCGCGCCGTCTGCCCACCCGCTTCTCTCCCACGTGATCTTTCTTGGTGGAGTGAGCCGGGGTCTTCTTCACGATCGTCTTGGCAACCTTGGCACCAACCGGACTCTTCCGCCGCCGGGATGGCGGTGAGCTGACGGCTGATGAGGTGGGTGAAGCTGAAGATGAGACAGGCTGCTTGATGTCGACGGGCTCAGCACGAGTGATAGGCGGGCTGACGGACTGGCTGGGGGAGATGTAGGGAAAGTCGTGATCGTGGTGTGGGAGGCCGTGCGTGCAAGCCTGGGAGTGCCCAAGTTCGAGGTTTTCGACCTCCGACTGGGGTGAGTTCATGGGGAACTGGATCTCCTCGTAGCTGCTGAATGAGGCTGCGGACCGCGGGGCGTCTGAGGACAGCTGTGAGGATTCTGAGCTGGTGCGAATGTGGAGGGTTTCATGGGGATTGAATATCAGGGTGGTGTCGTTTGTCAGATCGAAGGAGCTACGGTGACCACTAATGTCGACCCAGCCATTATCGCTGCTTGAGAGGGACCGTAACTCCATCCAGCTCTCTGTCGGCGAACCGGTGGTCACGCTGCCGGCACTAGCGGCGGTCGTGTTGAAGTCGGTCTGGCTGCTGGAAAAATTGTTTGTGAGCTCTCGATGGAAGTCGGCCATCTGGTAGGGAGTCATTGAGGCGGGCGCCATGAGGCTGAAGGGTGCCTCCATTGAGAGAGTGGTGCTCAGGAAGTTCTGGCCTTGTGACGTGTTGATGCCGAAGTCCACCACGGGGGAGGTCTGCAGCGGGCCACCAAAGGTCGTGAAATCGGGCCCGTTCAGCGTCGCCATGTCTTGATTGTAGGCTTGCTGAGCAAAGCTGGTCGAGCCCAGCTGAACCCAGTCGGTCAGCATAGGATTCGCCGTCGGCATCGCGGAGGGAAATCCCAAGTTTGACGTCTGGAGGGGAGCGACCGGACACGACGAGGTCGCGAGCGAGTTCGGGTTGCCAGCCGTCGTCGCAGCGACCGTGTTCAGGCGTCGCTGCTGGTGGTGCTGGTGCTGAGCGTTCGCGTTTGCATCCGCGCTGTTGTTATTGTTGTTGTTGTGAGACATGGCCGACTGGAGGGGCAACGGCCAGGACTGGGACTGGAGGTTGAGGAAGGTCTGGCGGTTGGGGTCGAAGGAAGGGTCAAAGCCGTAGAAGGCATCGAGATTGTCGAGGCTGTTCTCCATGTTTGTAATGGAGTAAGAAGACTCGGGAGGATGTTCTCAGCTGGGCGAAGCTCTGTGCTGAGCAGAGCAGAGGGCCGCACGTTCCGGCGGTGTGATTGTGAAGGGGTTGAGGCGGAGAGTTGACGATGGCGAGAGTGGGCGGGCAGCGGGCAGGACAAAAGGGCCGTGCGCGTGCGGGCTTTGCAACTGGCGGTCAAGGCCACGGGACTAGCGATGCAGTGTTGGACCAGCCCCTTCAGACAGTGCTCCAATGGCAGCGGGCGCGGAGAGTGGGTTGCAGTGGGCGAGTTTACGATCTGCGTACTCCCGCGGGCATTCAAGAACCGTCCACGGGTGCCAGAGGCGACGCGCTGCAGCGGACGGGAGCTGCCTGCAATTGTGTATTGTGTGCAGACGGGTCCTATTGTGCGCAACACCAACAATGGCCCTGACGATGCCCGCACAACTTGCCGGGAGCGATTACGGCTAGGCGTGGCAGGAAAGGTGACAAGAGACTACGCCGGCACTCCACCTGAAGAGCTGCTGGCGGCCGACTGCTGGCAAACCCATTCACTCACCAGACGCGACGAGTGAGGGTTCGCCAGCCTGGACGCTCCACCAACGCTCCTGGCTTCAATCACGCACGGCGAGCTGCGCGCCCACATCTCCACCTTTTGGCTTGCTTTTGCTCGTTTTCACAACGCCTGCTGCTGACACGGTTTGATGGTCCAGTCAGACGCCGCTGCAGCCGGGTGTGTCGCAATCTGGCGATGTTGCTCGGCACTCGCCCAACCTATCAGTTCACCCCTCCTCCAATCGATACCCCGATCAGTTTTAGACTCTGTCCGGAAGGATTAGATCACTCTGACGATGTCATCATGAGCGTCTCCTTGCCTTTGTCGAGTCCGCTTGCTCCTCGCCGCTCATTGCTCGGCTCGAGGCGCTCGTCGCTAGAGAGCAGGCTCTTGTCTCTCTGTTGCAGCTCGGAGAAAAACGGCGTGACGCTGCCGGCTCACCAATAAGCGATCTAATAATACTGGGCCATGGCGAGCTTGATGATAGTAGATCAATAACTTAACAAAGGCAAATACGACTGGGACCAGGGTATGCGAGGGATTCGCCACACTGGAATGCCACTTCGTGACGGAACCCCGCCGTCTCAATCCCACACTCACCGACACCCGCACCATGCGCCTGGCCAAAGTAGCTCCTCGACGATCGTGTTATTTTGCTGTGCCTCAAGTATGCCTATTGCTCTACTCCACGCGTAGAATCCACCGCGCTGTGTCTTCGGCGCTTCCTCGTGCCAGCGAGCGCTCTACCATGGTTCAGTCGCCTTCACCATGGCCTTTCGCCGCTTCAGGTGTGTGTGCCTGTACATCAGCGCATCCTGTGTTGCACCGCACATGCTTCGTGTCACTCCGGCGCGCCTTGCATCTGCATTTTCGTTGAGTGGGAGCGTTTCAGGAAACTGGACAGCCCACCCTATCCCTGGTACTCCTGCATATCGTCGCTTTGGCCTGAGGACTCCTTGATAGAAAAAGCTGCACCCTGCTTGAGATAATCTCTATCGCTGGACTGGCGCTACACTCTTGGGAATCGTCATGCCGTCCCGAGAACGTTGACCAGGATCCCCACTCTGTCTGAGAATCTTCCAGCGTCAACCTTCCTCGTGACTTTGAACTTCCATTCTTCTGGCTTTGGAACTTCCAGTATCAAAATTTCCCTTGCCTTGCTGCAGAGCAACAATGCCATGCATGTTCTCCCGACTTTGTGGGATACGTCGGTAGCTCCGACGTGTTGACATTTCATGTGCATCCAGTCATTGTGGAGATTGAGATGAATCATAGTCATATATGAGCAAAAGGCTTCGTCGTACGGTGCTTGCCGACGTTTCCTACTGTCCACTTTCGACGCCAGAGTCACACCGTGAGTTACCGTTGACTGTTTCGTCCCGTAGCACATTCGGTTACCGACTAGGAAGAGTTGGGTCACAGGAAAGACTTCATGGTTATGGCTGATGGGTGGAGGGTAACAGCACGGAGAGAAAAGAGCCTACGAGAGATATTTAGGATCGGCGTAGGAAGAGATGAAGACTGAAAAGGCAACCGGACATACCCTTGGCCCGTGTCTGTCGTTACTTCTAAATCGGGAGACATGTCTAAGACACCACAACAACAATCCTCGCATGTACATCAACGAAGTATTGACATTGCGAGCAAGAAAGAATTGTGGACTTGACGATCTGTGTGCCTCTATTGTAGCAGCCATGACTCGTAAGTCGTAGAGTCCTCAGCCTCTCGCGAAGCTATCCAGGAGGGACCTTGTCGAGGTACCTTTTCTGGGGTGAACTGATCCTCTACGGCTCATTGCGAAATGAGGGGTAGGATGTCTTTCTCTGTTAGGCCAGGCCGTGTCGTATACCTGAAGAGCTCAAAACGGGGAGAGATGGGGAGCAGAACGAGAGACTAATCAGTACAGTGTAGGGTTTAGTCTGAGGTTGATAGACGGACGCGATGGATATGCAGTTTGCATTGAACTTCTTGTAGACTGGAAAGCTCAATGCTATTATCCAGGACAATAGGATGCGAAGAGGAGTATCACGATAGCTTTCGGGAGACGTTGAGCTCTTGTTTATTCATCGAGCGCTAGGAAAATATTAACTTTGGTTCTCCCCTCCCAACCCCTCAACACTTCAGATATCTCGCTTACCGTGACATGAACACTCCCAGTAAAATGGTGCCTATTCCGATGGCTAAGATGAAGAATTGTTCGCAGATTCACCGTCATTGCATCATTGAAGTCTGCAGCTTGCAGCTCTGGGAATAGCAATACCGGACCCACAATGGATCTCGAGAGCCTTCAATTCGACTTTGGTAAATTCACCTCCTCAGAGCTCATCCCGCTTCCTCCCACCTAATCTAACTTCTTCAGGATGCATCTGGGCCTTCCTTATTGCCATCCTATCCTGCTCCCCCTCCATCCCAACATCCACACTCACTATTACCGCCCTCGCACTCGCCTACATCGCGCTCACAATCCCGTGGATCCTCGAACTCCACCAAGACCTCAAAGCCACAAGCACATACCTCGACGACGTAACGCGCGAGAAAATCAGCCTTGCAAGGGTGGTGTCTGCCGCCGAACGCGAGATCCGGGTCCTTGAAAACGACGAACACCTTGATCGCCTCAGCATCCGGCGAACTGAGATACCAATCTCACCGCCCACGTCACAGACGAATTCGGTCGACAAAGACGAACCTAGATGTGCCAGTGCGGCACAGACATCGATACAGGAATGCCGCCATTCTGGGAATCGTAGCGGTGAGGTACTTCTGACCTGTGTGGCGCAGCAGCCATACGGACACACTCAACTTGATCCGTTTCCGTATCGGGCTAATGCATCTCGTCCGCGCTCACTTCCAATCTCGCACACCGAGAAAGTAGGGAGGTTACGAGAGCTACGATATGGCGCAGCATTGCTTGAGCGAAAAGTAAAGTCTATGCAAGAAATTTATGCGGTGGGGAGGTTTGGGAAGAAGGGCGCAAGCGTGAAGTCCGACTTTTCGGCGGACTCCGTCGGACTCGAACAACGGGATGATGATGTGAAGATTCAGGCAGCAGCTACAGAAATGAAGTGCAAGCAGAGAGTATTGAATATTATTGAGCAGGGATTTCAGATCTGTAGGGAGCATGGATGGTTTGTGCCTGGTGTTGAGATACGGATAGTTGAGAAGATGAGGATATTGCCTCTAAGGCAAAAGGAAAAGCCTGCAAGTTGGAATGATGAAAGCACCAATTCGACGGCTTTCGATCATGGAGAAACATGTTAAAGTTTTGTTTTGACGGAGGGGAATATTCTTGAAGAAAAAGTCAAACTCTAAATCTTCGACGAACCAGCACCACTGCTAATATGATCGCTTGTAATCAGCATCTCTTGGTCGTATTTGAAAGCAATCGCAATTCAGCCGAATCATGACGATATCTAGCTAATTACGTCTAGCCTGCAAACATTCTAGCTCTCATCCACTTCCTCAATTCTCATCTTTCCTACCCGATGAGCGTCAGCAGTCGGTATTTAGACACTACAGCGACGAAAGGATATCCCTCATGCTACTTGCCTACCTTTACAGTGTAGCCCTTAGAAAGAAATGAGATATCTTAATAACACAGTGTCCCGAGCCATCCCCAACCTCCAAGAAAAGCCGTGGTCCCAGTGAAAAGAATAATCGGACCATACTCACTACTATACCCCCAATTTTTCCCGCTTCCCAACCAGCCATCATGTGTAAATAAAGCCACACTTAGCGGCCCACTAATCACATTCCCAATCCCCCTTCCACCAGCAAGCAGCCCAAAAATGAAGCCCGTGTCCAGAGCCGGAGACTGCGCTTTCAGTTCGGTCAGGACACCGCTCCAAGTAGAACTGAATCCTCCAGCAAAGAAGCCGTATGTGATGGAGAAAATAGCCAATAGCGCCACATGGGAGGAGAAGCCCCAGAAACAGAGCACTGCTAACGTCGAGCCAATGCTGGATATAAGGATGACGGTTGTGACGCGGAAATGATCCCCCAGACCCCCAATCACGATACCCCCTGGTATTGACGTCACGTTAATCAAAGCCAGTAGCATTGTACTAATCGTAGTGGACGTTCTTATTTCTTGGACCGCATATGAAGAAAGATATGCATACGGTAGGAAGTATCCCAGGCTCTGCAGGATATTTCCGATTTGCAGCATCCAAAAAGCCGGTAGACGGAAGAAATTCATGTCTATGCGTCGCACCGCCGCCGACTGCGAGAGGGGGATTCTGGGGCGAAGGAAGTACAACAGCGGTGCGGAGAGGAGAACCTAGACAGATGTCAATCATGGCACTTCGGGTATGACATCGGAGAGGGTGGTCGCACTGTGGCCACAGTCCATGCCTGAAGTGTCGGGCGTGGGCCAAATCGATGGAGACTAGCTTCCATGGCGAACGGGAGACCAACGCCCGTTATCGATTTGCCTGCCCACATCACTCCATACGCAAGACCTTTACGCCGAATGAACCATTCATCTAGATACAGCGTAGTTGGGGTGAACAACAGGCCACTGCCTAGTGCACATATAACACCCTGTGTATGATTAGCGATTGCTTGGACAGGTGACTAGTTCGAGAGCCTCCACCTGTGTAGCGATCAATTGCCACACTTCGGTCGCAAACGACGAAATGAGGAATCCACAAGCCGTCATGACCAGCCCAATGGGGCCGAACCATCTGCGTAAACGCGGCCATCGCGTGAGTATCGCGAACGTAAAGGGAGACGACAGGTACATAATGCCCTTGAAAACGTGTTAGTATGTTACAAATTCCGGCGGCGGGTGGCGTACAGTAACGGTAGTGCCGATAGCAGCAACGTTTGATGTGTCACCGTCAAGCTCTTCGGGGTGACTCGAGTAGTACTCTTGAAACACCCCGAAAGAGATAGGGAAACCTGTTTTGGTGTAAGTCTACCATTCAAGAACTTTCTCCGTGGTTTGTGATACCCCAAACGGGAAGTTGGATCAAAGAACAACCGGCGAGGACAAGCCAGGCAGCCTTTCCAGTATCGGTTGGCGGTAATGGAGTTTGTTCAATTTCCATGTTGATAGCAACGTGTGAAGGCTCCATGACTGCGCTAGAAGCGGGTGCTTCAGTGGGGATAGCAACGCTGTTAAGCTCAATGTCTAGAGGGGCAGAAGCCATGATAAACTTCTGGTACCCTGGAGGGACTGTCCAATGCCTTTGATGTTTGGCTGTAGGAACCCGTGGTCAAGCTCGGGTGTGAGATATATCAAGAATGGCTGATCTGAGACTTCCTGTGAAGAGCAGGCCTACAGCGGGATATTTGAGACTTAATGGAGATCACAGAACATTGACTCATCATCCAGAAGACATCGTTAAACTTCATCAGAGGGAAGTTGCGGCATTTGTTACCGACTTCGCTTCCGCTTGCTCGACTCGGCAATCATGATGCACATCTAGCTCCTGGACGGAAAGGAGCGAGCTTAAAGTCTCCAAGACCTCAAGGAATTCCACACTCTCCTACCTATACACTGGACTGAGGTCTTATAGTTCAATTCCATCGGGAATGGTGCGAAGTCCAATAATGCAAATACGCAGCAGATACGATCATCCCGGAGCGGAGAAGAAGGCGAATTCCCCGCGTCGGACTTCGGCTCCCATGCATCAGTGAGATCCCCAGGTTCTTGTGAAACTCCGAGAATGTTGGTGAGGGCAATTATAAAGTAGAGAGCAATGATCTAGGCGCTGTTATGCTCTGATTTACGGCTTCCTTCCAGACTGCACGGAGCTGCCTTCCCTCAAGACACACATCCCAGCGTGGGCCTTCCATACACCAAAAGAACACTCAATCCAATACCTTGGACAAGACGAGCGTTCCCCCATCATGGCACACGTCGGCGCACTTCCGAAAATCTATCGGTATATCACAACCCACAATGCCGAAGGCAAGGCCGTTTTTAGCGACAAATTCGACGAGGAAAGCAAGATGAAGGCAAATGACGATGGAATCGCGTTCGCTCTCAGCTACACGACCAAAGGGTTTCCTGTGAACATGGACAACGACGAGGACCTGGATGTGTATGGGAGCTTCTTAAAGGACGCACCCGGGTTAGTTGTGTCGGGAGGGACTGTTCTCCGGCATGTAGACATCCCTCCGAGCACAGCCTGCACCATGCACCGTACTGTTAGCCTGGATTATGGAGCAGTCCTCGAGGGCGAGGTCGAGCTGCTGTTGGACAGTGGGGAGAAGAGGCTCATGAAGAGAGGCGATGTTGCGATTCAGCGAGGGACCATCCACCAGTGGATCAACCCAAGCAAGACGGAGTGGACGAGGATGCTGTTTGTGCTGCAGCCGAGCAAGCCGTTGACGATCGCGGGAGAGGCATTTGGGGAGGATCTGGCGGGCATGGCAGGCGTACGGCCATCACACTGAGCATATTACTGGAAGCTTGACATAGGCGTAGATAGACACTCAAGTTGAGATGAATGGAAACCTCGGCGGCCAAGACCGAGCTAGGTCGCATCGGGGCCACCGACTTCATACTTCCGCTTCTTTCGTGGTGCTCACAAAGAATCTCCTTGAGCTCCTCTAGAAGGGTCTGGCAATGATTCTGGGAGCGCCGCGATTTGCCGGACGACCATGATTTTCCCTTTTCCGGCCGCCGACCACACAAGAACAATAGTAGCGATTTCTGCTGCACAGCAAGTCACCGAGCCTTTGTTCTAACCTCCGCCTTCAGATGCCCATTCGCGTGCCGTTGAGAAGCAAGCGCCGAAAAGTGTATTTTAAGAGCAGCATGGCCTCTTCACAGGCTCCGTCCTCAAGATCTGGGGAAATCACGTCACCGGGAAACCGGGTTGAACAAATTTCAGATTCGGACTTTGAGGAAGAGCTCAACGGGACAGCCATGTTGGATAACGCTGAATATCTCAGCCGCATTACCCCGCCCCTGCGAGATATGCTAGAGACCGGAACCTCCCAGGTTCAGGACGAAACGCTCGAAGCCATCCTCCCGTTCTTGGAGGGCAACCCTAATGACTTCGACCTCAATTCTCAAGGCATTCCAAAACTTCAGCGCAAGAAGCATGTTGCTTTTCTGGAACGTGCCTTGGGTTATTACCCACCACAGTTTGCGGCCATGGACGCTGCTCGACCTTGGCTTCTATACTGGACTTTACAAGGCCTAACTGCTCTGGGAGAGGATGTCTCCCAATATCAGGAACGGTAGGCATATCATTTCAAACGGCCAACTTTTCTTTTCCTTTTTTCTATTGCCTTCGGCGTTGTCTATACCTACATTTCCTAATCAATCTCGGACTCTAAGTTCTTCTCACGTTTTGATCTGACATGCCATTAGGGTAGCGGACAATTTCTCCGCAGCACAACACCCTATGGGCGGCTACGGTGGTGGCCATGGCCAGTTGCCACACCTTGCGGCCACCTACGCCGCGGTTTTGTCCCTGGTCATAGTCGGTGGGACTGAAGCCTACGACTCCATCAACCGCAAATCTATGTGGCAATATCTTGGCCAAATGAAGCAATTGGATGGCGGTTTCACCATGTCCCCAGGTGGTGAGGAAGATATTCGCGGAGCTTTTTGCGCAGTAGTTATACTGTCTCTACTCAATCTCCCCCTAGACCTCCCTCCAGACTCCCCAGCACGTGCCCATGGCCTGAGCTCTTTCATGGATAATCTGGGGGACTGGGTTTCACGATGCCAAACCTTCGAGGGAGGTATATCTGCTGCTCCAGGGAATGAAGCACATGGCGCGTATGCTTTCTGCGGATTGGGTTGTTTGTCAGTCATGGGTCCACCGCAAGAAACTCTGAACAAGTATCTCGACATGCCCTTGTTGATCCACTGGCTTTCCTCACGGCAGTGCTCGCCAGAAGGTGGGTATAACGGCCGTACCAATAAGCTTGTGGATGGATGCTATAGCCACTGGGTCGGCTCCTGCTGGGCCCTTGTCGAAGCTGCGGCCGGGAAGAAAGGACTTTGGAATCGCAATGCTTTGGGGCGTTACATCCTCTCAGCTGCGCAGTTCAAGAAAGGCGGCTTGCTTGATAAGCCCGGGAAAAGGCCTGATGCATATCATACTTGCTACAATCTTGCCGGGTTAAGCGCTGTGCAACGGATCTATATATTTGACGAAGGCAGGCAGAGAGGTGTAGGGAATGGAGATCTGGTGGCCCCATTTCATTGGAAAGAGGATGGGTTATACGATGGGGATAAGGTGTGGGACAATGATGATGTGGTAGATAGGGTCCACCCTGTCTTTGTGGTTCCGTGGGGAAAGGCTGAGGATTGTAGATTATATTTTGAGCGTAAGGAGTGTCTCTAGGAATGCCGATCGTGGATAGAAGAACTAGACGCCAAAGATAGGGATCGTGGACACGGGAGCATTAATTTTTTGGGGGAGGAGCACACATATCATTTTTGCCTAGGCATAGCATGGTAAGATAGAGTGGGGTTCATTAGTTTTCTACTACTTGTATTGATTGCTGTCCTATGTCTTGCTTTTGCATCCTGCTGATGAGTGTACCTACCCACCCCTCAAACTTCAATCCACACGTATTTACTCCTTCATGTCCATTAACAGCGTGCAAGGTGGAGCAGCCACCTTGCCCTTCAGTAACGCCTTGATCTCTCCATGCGCAGCACACGCAGTATCATAGTACTCCATATCTTCTTTTGAGTCAAAGACCGTGCGAGCTACGAGGGTAAAGCCCTGGTTTCGGGGTTCATCGAGGGTTGGCGTTGCTTGGGCGACTGAAATGTATGGATTTCCATCCTGCTCAGGGTCAGTTCTTAACCGCCTGGGTACAGAATGGCAGGAGGTGAAGATGAATTAGAGAGTCAAAACGAAGGTGGGTTCTAGCTAGCTGGCGTGATATCCGATTCCAAAGAAGTCTAGGCAAGTCACGTTGCCAATGCATGAAATTGGGGCTTTTGACGTGTCGGCTACGTTGTGACGAAACTTCTTGACCTGCAGCAGATGCAGGTTCCATTGTGATATTGGGATCATGTACCGTCGACTACTTTTGGACTTCTCCCAGCGAATCTCAGCGAGTGGGTCGAAACTTACCTTGACGGCGTCTTTAGTTAAAGTCGAGTATTGTTTAACGGCCTCTTCGATGTGGGCAGGTTCAGGGATCTTGAAAAGGGTCAGGCGGAGGATTTTTGGCATATTTGTTGTGGTCGCAGGCCCGATAAATTGTGGCTTGCAGAGCGCAGGATTTAGAGGATCGCGAAGAACGTTAAGGCTTGGTCTGCACAAATGCAAGAAACACGAAGGATGCGATCTTTCCAGACGTCAAGACACGGCTAATCGGTGTGATATACTCTGGAGGAGATGAAGGTAATCAGCGCTCCATCCGGGTTACATATTTGTGGAGAGCAGCTTCGGAGGTGAGTGAGGAGAGCCTGGTGCTGGGGTTCGCTCTAAGATCTCGCAGAATCAGCTTCGGTTCCCCTAAAATTGATGAAGCTTCTCGGAGAATCCGTGGTGGAACAAAATGGAAGCTATGCATTTCTATATATGCTTCTGCTATGGTGTTGTTGACGTCAATATCTCTTGCACCATTCGGTGTCCGATGCCGGAGGTGGTGGCTTGGGACTCGAGGCTGTTCAACCTCCCGACGTCAAGCAGGAGCACAGATTTGGCATCGAGCCTTTTCATAAATCCCTCAGGATGACTGGGTGACTGGATGACTGGATCCTGGGATATCACGACACAAGTCGGAGGTCCTGCGGGACGTTGCGTTGGTGGTGTCGCACAGGCACGAAGGACCCCGCTGCAGCAGGCCGCCCGGCAGAGTTGGGGCCGGATGTCCCGTGTTGTGCACTGAGGTCTCACAAGGCTGAAAAGGTGGTCAAGGAAGCTCGTGGTTGGAGAGCAGCCTCTCAGAGACAGATGAACCGGTGGGTCGTGGCTGGAAGCAGGCCGATTCGAAGACACTTCTCACAACATCACGTCGTCGACGGCATCGTCCTCCTTGTTCCATGGGAGATCCGAGTGTTGCGGAGACGGCTGCACTGTGTTATTTCGCTGGCTCGAATATCACTCCAATATCTTAGAGACCTAGATATCAGCCTGTTGACCTGGCCGTTTCCTCACCGCCTTTCTTCCCATGTACCATGGCCTCAGATGAAGCAGCCGGACGTGGCTGGTGTCTCGCATCCCCATCCCAACCCATGCCATCCCCAGATCTCCTACCCGCCCGCACCACCGCAATGCTTCGCTCTTCGGCTCGCTGCCAATCTCGTGTGCTGCTTACATCCCTTGATTGATTCGCCTGCCGTCCATTGCCCCTTCTTTTAACCCAGCGGAGTCTTTCCTGCATCGCTTGTCCGCACGGTTTCTCTGTTGCAATTCACAGGACTGCCCCGCCCTGCGTGTCCCGGCCTTTCTCCTCCAAGAACTTTGGACCGACGCCAAAGGAGCCAAAAGTAGACCGCTCGTGCGTGGACCTTGGTCCCTCATGTACCTCTCTCCTCACTGGGCGTCTCGGGCGAATCGCCATCGCCAGTGCTGGGCCGCGCTCCACTATCTGCTGTCTCTGCTGTCGCTTGCTCTGAACCCCCTCACGCTTCGTACGTCGCCCTCCTCTCGGCAGGGTCGTCGTCGAGCAACCGCCTTGTCACTCGTCCGATCTATCGAGGCCCTTCTGCAGCCGTCCGGCTCACGATGGCTTTGTCGACGCCATGGCAGACATGCTTCAGCCCCTTCTTTCCCCTCTCTCTGTGCTAAACTTACTTCCTGCAATATGGCCAGATATTGCTTACCCAAGCCGGGAAGCCAGTTCGGATAATTTGTGTGAGCCGTTCGCGATCGTGTTGCTGTCTCTGGGATCGCCCTCACGTGCACTCAATGCCGTTCCCAAATACATGTCTCAGGAACAGCCCTTCCCAGCCCTGGTAACCCGTTCGCCAAGCATCCCTTGAATGTCTCCTCTTTGGTGTGCTGCTCGATTGATGCTCAAAGAAACTTTGCGACGTGCTTTGCAACGGCGACTCATGCTCGCAAGCATGCCTTACAGCAAACAGCCGTTGGTTGTCTCCGTTTTGGGTATTTGGCGCAGATAGTTCGTCCTCCAAAGTATCAAGCGTCTGCCAACTCACCACGCATGCATGAGCACGGTCGTCCGGGGTGCAACGACATTTCTTTGGTAACACCAACCCCGTTGCCTCTCCTTCATGCTCGACTCAAGCAATCAATCATCGCCTTTTGCCCTCGCGGACCCTGCTGCCAGGAAGCGGCCTGCTATTCCTGGTGTGACGCTCTAGCACTCTCAAGCCACCATTCTCTGCACCTGTCCTCGGTCACGATAGCGTGTCAACTTCCCCTCCAGTAATCCACTCCTTCAGGCGCGACTCCCGCGCTCTCAATCGCCGACAATAGCTCATAGCAGGCTCGTCAGCTGCCCACAGTCCCAGTTTTCCCTGTCCGGCCAGCGCCGGCACCTGCTTGGTCTCAGATCCTGTTCACGACGTGCCATCCTTATGTCCAAACACGGCCAACTTGATGTCTCTTGCCAAGGCCGTGTAATGGAATTCGGGGTCACGGAACACTCGACGGGGCTTGCAGCATCTGACGTTGCGGTGCTTTTGCATCTCTCTCTCTCCCACTTGCAACAGTGCATTAGCGGCCCGCCAGACCTTCGATGAGTACGAGAAGCGCTGCTTCGAATCAATGCTTCCTGCCTGTTATGCGCTGCCGAGGACGGAGCACTGGTACATGGTCAATTATGCTTCCATATCAGGCGCGTCGACATGCAGATCTAAACGTCAAAATACTCCTTTGATGAACGGGCCACAGGGTAATAATCCCGATCACCAGCCGCCCATCACGCTACCGCTGCAGATTGGTGGCGAAATCAAATGATGTGCGCTCTGGCGAAGACCGGTGAAGCTCTTCCTCTTGGAGTTTGAGGTGTATGCTAGCTAAAATTCTGGAACCCCAATTTTCACTGGCGAAAACGCACGCCAACACATCAATATGGGTCTCTCCCACAGAGCCGCAACAGAGCCTGCAGATTATTCATTTCAGACGTCCAATTGCCCCCGGACCCTAATGGTGGGCGAACTTGACGCGGTTGCATATCCTGAGATGCCTGCTGCACTCGGCTGCTGCAATAAATTACAGTCTATCCCACACCGGAGGCATATGTGCCCCCCATCCCCATTTCATTTTCTGCAGGCCACTCACTCTCCCTTGCTGTTGTTCATTCTTCGATAGCCATTATTCACCACCAAGACAGCTGTCACTTCTCACATTGGTAGTTGTCAAGCCCCAAAACGCATCCGTCGTCGTACAACAGGAGCCACGAATTCCACTCTGGGCTTGATATCCTCACCATCCAACGATCGTCTGCCAGTTCAGCAAAAGTTTGCTTCGGGTTCCTTCTGCCCAAGATCTACGAATTTGCATCGAGCCACCCGTATTTGCACCAATTGAACTAATTCTTACACGTCGACCGACCCACCACCATGTTCTACATCATGTATCTCACAGGTATGGCCTAATATCATCTCATTGAACTCGAGTCCCTAGTACCACCAGCTTGGAAGCCCGAGATGCCTGCACAAGGACGGTTGGGACTTGCATCAATCTGCGTTAGAGTATCCTAGAATTGCCCAGGAGTTATTGTCCTGCCGGTCAAGCACACCGATAAACGTTATGTTGGAACTGTGAGGCTCCGTCTGGGGTTTCGTTAGGCACTAAAGATCCTTCGTCTCACACATTCCATTACTCTCTCGCTAACCGTGATCATAGGTCTTTGCAACCGCCGCCACTGGCCTGACCCACTCTTTCAGACGTACCGCACTCGTCACGGATATGGATGTACTGTGCGGGTCAACAACCGGGAATACAGTACGGATGTGGAGTACGAGTCGGACGAATTGGCGAAGAACGCAGCTGCTACTCGGGCCTACATGATCTGCCGCAACTTCTCCGTCAACGATGGGATGTATCCTGGTCAGCGTCCTGGCCAGGGAGGCGTTATTCAGGGGCTTCCGGTAGCGATTGGTACAGGCCGGAGAAACACTTGCTCGTCTAATGACTACGATAGTGCTAGCAGTACTAGCGGCGGAACTAGCCCCAGGAACAGCGACTGTGGTCTTGATTCTGAACCGAAAGCTCGAAGGTCTAGCAAGTCCTCCCCCCAATCTACCTCAAACTGCTATTGCGGCCGCGACACCGTTCGGGCTTACGAGAGGTGCACCTACTGTCTCCGAGAGGCAGGCTACCGTTGTTAGACGTTTATTTACCTGCACTGGCGTCATCCATTATCATATTTTTTCCAAGGAAAAGGCTGAAAATGATACCTTAACGAAGCAAAAGACTTGACGAGCTCAGGCTCAGCGATACCACAAATATTACGACCTGCATCACGATAGCAACGACATGATGAATGATTTACATGAATTTATTTCAGCCTCCGTATTCCTTTTCATGTTGGTTCAGTTCCGATACTTCATCTCTTCACGACGAGACGCATGCCACAGTTCATGACTCTCTTTTAACTTCATTTCGGCGGCAAGCATAGCGACGGCATTGGAGCGTTCAGCGAGTTCCTTGGGTTGGCTATCTTCTATTTCAAATTGCAACTGGGCATGTGTTATGTGTCATATCTCTCTTTCCTTGTTAATGCCTAGCGAAAGAAAGATTATGACAAAGGGCAACACTGCCTCGTACATCTATTCACATCTCCAATGAAGCAGATTGGCGGCTTTGGAAGCATGTCTCACGAGCTTGCGTCTGGTTGGCTGCTAACCCCTGCTTTTTGCATTCAACGGGTCTCGGATATTGGTTGCGTCAGAAAAAATTCAGCTTTCCAACCTCTTCAATCAAGGACTATGACTAACACGTGGTTAACATTTGCGTTGCGTCTTCCCGAGGTACCTACTCTGCGTTTCCAGCCTTGCGTCGCCTGAGCTTCTGCTCGTGCGATGCATGTGCTTTACTTACGCACTCATGTCGTACGCCCTTCTTATTGTATGTAAAATGAGGCGAAGATCATGACCCACCACAGCTGACCAATACCATTTTGCAATGCCACGGTTCACAGAACTTTATTTCGACTTCAACTCAATAGTTGTATTGACCTTCTCAACTTTCAATGTTCTAGCTTCTCAAGGCTGCACTGATTGTTGGGCAATTGTGTCGTGATCAAAGGGAGGCAGAGTGATGTACGCCGTCATCTTCTCTCGCAAACTTACACTAGAGGCACTAGTTAATGGTAAGGCGGGGAAGCCTCCACGTGAATTGGGCTCGTGTCGAATAGTCCTGTGTATGCTCGTTGACGCTAAAGACGCTTTAGGCCTGAGATACCTCAGGAGCCAATACGGATCCAGAAGTTTCCACTTCGCATAAAGGAATTGCTTCATTGAAAGTGCTTCATGGGGAATCTTCTCGAGTCTAGGATCGATCTCGATCGCTGTGACAACCCCGACCTTCAGCCTCACTCAGCTGTGGCTGCCCATATCTCAACATATAACACTTTTTGAGAACCAATGGTCGGAGCCATGGAAAAGGAGATGGTCTTTCGGCTTTCCGAATTCGTTTCCTTTCCAGTCTTAAAAGCTTCTCCTGCGGGTGCCTCAATGCCATTCCTCAGTCAAATTGTTGTCCCCTTGAACCACGTAAGTCGCCCATAGCTTGAATCTACCCGAACACTCACACGTTACCTTAGGCATAGCTCGGATTTTGACCAAGATGACTCTCCGGGTCGAAGTCGTCGCCCGCAAATATCACGAACATAAGAAATTCCTCAACATCATCACCCATGAGTGCCTCACAGGGAATAGAGTTTGTTACCTCATCAAAGGTGCCCCCGAGTCTTCAACCACTTTGCCCGATGGCTACGCTAGGGTGGGAGATCTCGAGCCCGTTTTCAAAGAGGCAAACACGGATTGTCCTGAGTGTAGCAGCGCTCCGGAGTCTGCATTGCCAGCCATCAGCTTAACCTCTACGTCGGAGCTCTTGTCCACTGCTTTGACACGCACCGATGATAACCTGAACTCAAGCTTTGCCCCGGATGAAGAAGATGAAGAATTTAACTTGGCAGCGCGGTCCAATGTCAGCGGTTCCACCGAAAGTTCCTCCGGTCGAGAGACCCTCCTGGTTCCGCCTCAGCTAGCTAGTAAATGGGCCAATCGACCAACTTACACGTCCTCAGTTTCATCCGCTCTATCGTCCAGCACAGTCGGAAGCTCGATCATCCAGACTAGTTTAAAGCCCATCAGCAATACAATGTGTCTAACCGCTCCCGCAAACAGTGCTTTAACCGACGGGATTTGGGATGCAAAGCGCCGCATAATCCACGGCGCTATCATCTTGAAGAGAAAGAAAAAACCCGAACCACCTAGCACGGAATGGTAAGCACGACGCTCGCTTTTCGTAATTTAAGTTCTCTGATGATAGAAATGTCTTTCAGGTTGAACAGGAAACCGCCACTATGTGAATACCCACACGTATATCGTGTAGACAATTTCACGCTATGGGATTGCAACGACGAAATTTGGAGCGAGCAGCACGTGCAAGAGTTCAAAGCCCTCATGCAGGAGCTGAAAAAGAACGGATATAACTCATTGGAGATCAGGCACAAACTTGAAGCCGCAATCGCAACGCTTGACCAACTGCCAATCGACCATAATTGCGAAAATCCAAAGCGTCGCTGGGTCGAAAATGTAGGGCTGGTTGAATGGTGCCCTGCAACCCATACTAAGAGGGACTTGAATACGCGTGCAGTCGCCGACCTCCCACCACCCCTTGAAACGGAGCGTTACTTCCCACCGGCAGATTGTGAAGAGCCGATTGATATGGTGGTGGATGGGCGCCAGTTGAAGTCTTGCTATGCCTCCCAAGAGGAGGCCGACAAGTTCAAAAAAGAGTATGAAGGAATGGTGGAGGAGCTGCGAGACCATGGATATTCCGAAAAGCAGATCAACATGAAGATGCTCGCCGCCCATGACAACTTGATGGAGATGGAGTTCAGGATGGTCAGTGTCGAGAACTGCCCTGTATTCCCTAGGCGTCGTTTCATCGAGGGCATCGGTATGGTGGAGTGGTGCCCCCAGAACCGCACCAAGAGGGAATTGAACGAGGATGAGCCGGAACTAGAGCCTGAGAGGATGGAGCCAAGGTGTATCCAGCACTTGCCATGGCCGCGGCGGGTATCCCCAGACGAATCCCCCTCTGAAATCTCCTCGTCGACCACTCTTGACAGCATGAAGCGTGAACAGGGCCCAGCTACGACTTCCAGTGCGTATGTGGGTACCTCACCCGCACCCAACCAAATCCTGAACCCCAGAGCCGCTACTGCCATTCACGAAGTTTCCGACATTCCGACTTCTCCTCTTGCCACGCCTGCTCAGGTGCCGTGCAGTTCCTCGACTCACCCAGGGAAGTCAAACGGAGCAACGAGCAACGTCGCTATCAAGAACCTCGAGAGAGGACTCGTGGCTATCTGGTTGATCATTGCGATACTGTTGATGTTGGCAGGAGCTTTGTTTGTGTTCAAGAAGCTCAGGTTCAAGAAGGAGAGGTCGCGTGAGGATCTGGAGAGTGGAAATGAAAACATGACTGAATTGTAATTGGGCAGGTGGGGTGAGTCTGATGTGGGGGTCTTGGGATGTTGTTGTTGTGTTTCTCACTATCATCACATAACACCTGACGAAAATGAGGCAAATGACAAAATTGGCAGAAATGGCAAAATGGCAACAATGGCAAAAATAGCAGCAATGGCGAAAATGGAAAATGGAAAATAATAAAGTTTTTGGTGTTTTGTAGGGTAGTAATACAAGCAGTATGTTAGCACTCACCACTACCGTCTGCCAGATCATGCGAAGGATTCGTTGGTACAAAAGAGGCTTCCAAGGGGGTCCATATATGGGCCTCGCTACAGTTTGACACATAAATTCTCCTGTATGGCCATGATTCTGGGGAAATACTGGGGGAGGAGGAGGTTGCCAACTTGAGGCCATGACTCGAGAACTCCGCTCGTTCCTGGAACCGTTGAGGCTCTACTGTCCACGCTAGGGCCGAATCTGGGCGCATTAGCGGCCCTTGCCGTGCACCACCACCGATGGACGCGCATGCTAGTCGAGAGCTCCTTCCCTCGCCCCACGACGGATGTGCTGATGCGCTTTCCTGTTCACTGGGACTAGAAGGCAGCGACGCCCACATGCTGGTGGCTGGATGTCTGCGCGGACTGAACACCTTGGGAACCCTTGATTCCTCCACCCCCCATGCGGTAGCCTCTTACCGTACAGCATGGTAAGTCTACCTTGACCGCGATCAAGGCTAATTGTGCTAACATTCGGATTCCTAGTTCCAACTATCGCCATTCATTATAGTCTTCGCCGCCCTCTTCCCATCTTCGATCGCCCAGTCTCCTCCCCCCACCTACGATACCGTCCTCAGGTCGCCCATTAACCCTAACATCACCATCTCCTACAAAACACCTGACCCTGCAACTTGCGTCACTGCCTTCTCCAAACAGAAGCAATACACCGGCTATGTTAACCTTCCTCCCTTCACCCTCGAGCCCTACCAGCAGAACTATTCCATCAATACCTTCTTCTGGTTCTTCGAGGCTCGGGAGCAGCCTGACACGGCTCCCCTCACCATCTGGCTGAATGGCGGCCCCGGCAGTAGTAGCATGATTGGCCTCTTCCGAGAACTTGGGCCTTGCGAGGTCATGCAAATGAGCAATGGCAGCTACGGGACACAGGCGAACATGTGGGGCTGGGATCGAAGCTCCAACATACTGTTCATCGACCAGCCTACTCAAACCGGCTTCTCCTACGACGACGCGGTGAACGGCACGCTCAATGCCTACTGGTCCGAACTGACCAACGCGTCGCAGCCTGGCCCAGCGCCATCCTGGCTCTCTTTCAACGGCACCTTCTCGTCTGGCCTCTCGTCCCACACCCAAAACACAAGCATCATCGCCGCAAGCGCATCTTGGCACTTCCTCCAGGGCTTTCTGTCTGCTTTCCCTCAATACAACCCCGGCACCCGCCCTAATAGCACGACGGCGGAGACAACTGGGGTCAATTTGTTCGCAGAGAGCTATGGTGGGCAGTATGGCCCGGCTTTCGCCAACCTTTTCGAAGCCCAGAACGCAAAACGGATCCGTGGAGACATCCCTCGGAACACCACCCTCGAAATCAAGCTCACGTCAGTCGGCATCATCAATGGAATTGTTGACCTGCTTATTCAGACCCCTTTCTGGCCGCGGTTCGCATACAACAACACCTATGGCATCCGAGCTATCGACCTCATAACGCAGCAGAATCTCATCAGCTCAATTAATTCGCCTGCCGGATGCAAGGATCTCGTCGACCAATGTCGTGCCAGCATGCAGAGTGATGACCCAGCCGGAGAGGGTGACGTTGATGGAACGAATCGCCTTTGCGAGAATGCTAGCTACTCGTGCAATGGAATCTTGGGTCAGATACTCACGGCCTCAAAGAGAAGCCCTTACGACATTCGCGCTCTCGAGCCGTACTCTTTCCCGAGTTATGCGTATTTAGAGTACCTCAACAGTGCAGACGTTTTGCGGTCCATCGGCGCCGGAGTCAACTACACGGAAAATAGCAACGCTGTCTCCTCAGCTTTTTATGAAAGTAAGTCGGACTGCATGATGATCAAGCTCCCCTTTTATAAAGCCTTTTTACTGACATATCATAGCTGGTGACACTGTCCGTGGGACCCAGATAGGCTCTCTAGCTAGTCTCCTTACCATGGGTGTTCATGTTGCATTCATCTATGGTGACGCGTAAGTACCGTCCTCTTGTCATATGCTGGTACATACTACGGGACATTACAAGAGCTACAGTTCGCGGCACAAGAAGAGATCCCTCCTCCCGCTTCCTCTAATCTAGCAAGCGGCATGACAGGTGTTCTCGTTCCTGTCAATGTTCCGTGGGGCGTGCTAATACACTAAAGCATGGATCTGACTTTGAGGCAGTGACTTGATCTGTAATTGGTTGGGAGGTGAAGCTGTTTCTCTCGAGGTCGCCAAAACGCTGCCTACTTATAGTACGGCCTTCCCTAATGCTGGATATGCCGACATCATTGTCAACAATACATATGTTGGCGGACAAGTACGCCAGTACGACAACCTCTCATTTTCACGGATCTACGATGCTGGACATACTGTGCCTTCATATCAAGGCGAGACGGCCTTCACCGTTTTCACGCGAATTATCCAATCAAAGGATATCGGGACCGGCAATAGTATCTCCTCAAACTTCTCAACTAATGGGCCTTCCGTAGCGAATCATGGGAACAAAGCATTCTCACAACAGCCACAAAACACGTGCTGGATACGAGCGATCAACGATACCTGCAATAGAGACCAGATTAGCCAAATCCTGCAATCCAGCGGGGTAGTTAAGTACGGTGTCTGGTACGCCAAGGACAGCGATTACACCACCCCAAGCACAGCCACATCAAGCTTCCAGGCCGGTTCTACTACAACTTCTTCAATCCCTTTAACAGGGGTTTACACAGCAACTGGGACGCCGAAACCTACCTCTGGGGCTTCATCGCTTCACTTTTCGACGTCCCGAATGTCAATCAGGGGCCTCACACAACCCTGGTTCTCCTTCTTTGGTCCGCCTGACCGCGGGACTGATATTGCCGACCACATGCCCTATAAAATCAAACACGCTGGCCATGACCATAATCTTCGGTGGATCATACCCGCGGCAGCCGTCGGAGGGGGCTTTTTGTTGTGAGTTCCATTCACACATCGCGAACCCTGCATCACCGTCCCCGTATAAGTATGCCCTTTCTTGTACATATTCACGCGTTCCATGTGTTTCCTACACTTGATACCCCGGTAGACTAAACAACATGTATTATTCACAGTCTGCTACTTGCCGCCGCTGTGTTTGGACTGTGGCGTTTCTTCTATAATCGCAGAAAGGAACGTTGTCATTCGCCTCTTCCGACCACTGGATTGGCTGGTATGAAAGACTGAGCATGTGCACTCTACCATCCCTGAGGCCGAGGGTAGTCTATGAGAAGAAGGGGCGTCCTTGCGCTTGGAATAGTCATGGAGTTTGCGGGTTCGCTGCTTGGCTAGCTCTGGTGTTGGGCGTTTAAGAGGACGGAAGGGTTTAGTTGCTGTACTCTGTTTGTTTTAGAATAGGAATGGGGTAATTTTATTTGGACCCCTGAGAAATTTAGTCTCGCTGCTTCCTGTGAGTTACCTGTAGTCGTGTTGCTACTAATTTTGGGGCAAGTTCGGCGCTTGCTTGTGGTCATGCTCATGGTTCTAGTTGTTAGCATACCCTTCTCCTTGACATGTTTCTCTCCTGGGCCTGTGCCTTCCAGCTGGCTTTTGTAACCAAGGATGCGGGCCGAGGAGAATCACCGAGGTCGGCTGGTCTAATAGAGACTCACCACCCAGGGTTTTCATTTTAATCATTTGGTATCAACTTACTTAAGATGGGATTGGGGCAGAAGCAGTGTGGGAGAAAGTCGTTAAGATGGATTATGATGATAGCTAGTACCTAGCGGACTTGGTCAGCTCTGGATCTTCAACTACCGTGTAGGCCACCATCACTCCGCAGTTAGGAACCACAATTAACGGTGGTTAATCGACCGTCTATTCTGCTACCAATTCAATCTCTGAGTTGTTTCCCCTGTCCTCCTTAACCCGCTACATCGTTCCCAGCCATATACGATGTTACTAACTCGACCTCGCGATGCTTCCGCACTCGTTTCTTTTCTACCTAGTTCTGGCAATTCTACGGATCGGCCATTTAAGGTACAACAATAATGGATGAGCGACGCGGAGATACTTGAGAGATGCTTGACTGAAATAAGCTGAATCAATCCTGATATAGAGGCAATGTCTTTCAATTCCAAAGGACTGGCAGCATCATGCAGTTTGCCATTGCACGAACCTTTCGGGGAAGTAGTCCTTGTGGTTCATGGGACCATCACAGCCAAGCTTGCTACTTGTCTGGATTTCTCAAGCGGTTTGTCTAGCTCCCTTTTTACTTTTGATTCTAATGATAGCCCCGTGTTGACAAACTTTAGTCTCTGGCTCCGCATGGTACGGATCTGGTCGATCAACGAATTGTCCATTCTACAACGTCTATCAAGCGCACTTGATCTCAACACCTATGTAGCACACGAAGTCTCGTCTACTTCAGACACTGCCTCCTTTCATACAGCTGTCGAAAACAATTAATTGGTACATACTATCCAAACACAAAGAAACTTCCTATGGTCCCTACTATTCAAGAGAGGGTCCCAATTCTTCCGCCTAGAGAATAGCAACATTGACTCAAATCTTCCCATCGTTTCACAGATACATAGTACCGCCATCATACCAAATGGGTTGAGTACCAAACGACAGCCATATTCTCCATGTGCCTTTGGTATGTTGCTTTGCATATCTACTCAACATGTGTGTTGAGCAAGCTGATTGTATATTCAAGGCACTTCCAATACACATCATTCACCGCTCTATATGTGGATATCAATGTCAGTGGTGTATGCAAGAATGTCTGCGCACTGCACAAGCAATCCTGCTTCATTGACTCTTAGAGATTTTTCGTGGCTCAAGAGCATTTGACGCATGGGGTGGTGGAGACTCTATGCCAACGATCTAGATCAGAGTTATTCTATCTGCTAGAAAGGTCGGCGTCCAAAATCTTATCACATATCACGGAACATAACCAGGGCGAGTCTAACTGTTAAGTCCCTTTCCATCATCCAAGAGAACACTACCCGGAGGCAAACTTCGGTCCCGAATTGTTCTCCTGTTATATTCCACGTTAGGTAGTAAGGCGCGGTTCAATGCATACTTCGTCAACCTTGGGGTGCGCCTGGCGAGTGAGATGTGATATGTAAAGTATATGGGGTCTTTGATTCAGGTTGCAACTTGCGGGGATCCATCTCGCATGTTCAATAAGGCTTATGAATGCGGCTTTGAAATGGGGTCCTTTTGATGCCTCGATGGAGTTGGTGATAACTTACCGAGAGTTGGCTTGATCCGGGGGGGATTGTGCCTACGGGGAAGTGGATCGAGCTTGAAACGCATGAAGGAACCGCCGTTTTGTTTAGTTGAGTAGCACCTAAAGAAGTCACCGTGCGCTTTTGGTAAGCAGACCGCGGCAAGCAGGCATGCAAATAGCGAAGTTCGGTTGAGGAAAGAACCCCGAATAAATGTGATATGGATTGCGTTGAGGATCACACCACGGGGAAGAGCGAAGGATTAACCATATCAAAGCATGTGAAAGCCTGCGGGGTTGAACGAAACCAGATGATGGATGAGGGAGCCGTTGTTGCATTATCGATAAAGTCTGTAAACGGAAGGTTAACGTCTATTTGGGAATCTGGCGAGGGATGCCTTATATGATGACTTGACTGCGAACAATCCGTAAGCCACACCACAAGATGAGGGGCCTAACCATCGTACAGGCGTGTTCCGGACCTCGGTCTACCCATGCGGCATAAATCAGGAACTGGGAGGAGAGAAGCATATGAGGCAGAGTGCAGGAAGTATTGACGGAGAAGCCACATCTCCTTCCCACAACGCCACCATCGGATGTCCAACGGTCATATCAGGATCTCGTGCAACTAGATTAGATCTTGGAGCGCCGCTCCGCCTCATGAAAGAGTGAAACATTTCGAATCAAAACAAATAAGCAAGCTGAGTCGAGTAGAAGTAAACGAAATGCAAGCTGGCCTCAAGCGAAGTGAACGGCGTCTGATTGGCTAAGAAGTCCGGACAATGACAAGGGTAACAAGATAGGATTAGTCTTCTTACTGAATCTGGAAATGATTCTTTTGGCCAGTTTCATGGGACGCAATTGGGTAAATGCGGATGATCTGCTCGGGTGGAGAATTAAGGATGCGATGTGCTGTCCGTAGTAATTTCGAAGGTGAACTGTGCTGTGCTGGATGGGGGTTCGCCCGAGGAGAGAGAATCCCGTCATGCAGGACCCGCCGGGGCAATTGAGCATTGATGAGGATATGCAATAATCTCCGAACATATTGTGAGAATGCATTACTATCACGCCGGAGGTTGAATTTAGTACTATCGTGTCTCTAGCGGTCAGAGATAATCACATACACGACCCGAAAAGCCAAATGAATAGCAATAACTCGCAAACGTAGCGCGGCATTGGGGTATTTAGGCACCTTGCAGTTGTGGGGGCCCTGTCCACAGTTGCTCCTGTTTACTTTATGAAGATTGTTAACTTCTCTCATTCTGATATGTGTGTTCTAGCACTAGAGGATCATTAAGGTGATCGAGTAGTCGAATCCGTAACTGCGCAGTGGGAGTACGGACACTCGTATCGGTGACACCGACAATCAGAGGAGCTGAAGTGGGCACAGTTTGATTCCATCTGATCAAGGCGGGGTCGCAATCCTTCACAAGAGGAGGAATCAAGAACGTGAAGCAATTCTTAGAGACAAAATCGCACCTTGAGTATGAACGCCACTTGAGTTTCACGATAGCTCCTGCCGTAGTTATTAGTGCGGTGTTGCTGAGAACGGACGCAACTTTGGTGATGTCAGAAACTCGGAGTGTTGATGCTTTGACATGACGTTGCGTACTGGTGAGATCGGGGGAATAGTGGCTGCGTTGTGTTAGTGGAAACGAAGAGTCCGGAGGCCTGCAGATTACGGCACTTGCTCTCATTCTCGGAAGGATGAATGGTGCTCCTTTGCGTCGAGGAATGGGAGCGGGATGCAAGAAAAGGGACAGCTGCGTCTCTGATGATAAGTGTTTGAGAACTGGCCGGACGATGAAGCATTGCTGGAGCGGAAGAACGTTGCCGCCGGGACGATGTCGAGGTACATACCTTAGAAAAATCGGGGGCCGAAGTGCGGGTCACTGGCTGGGGTATCGTGAAGACGAAACACTGGAATGGCGATACGTAAGATGCTCTCGGACTGCGAAGTTGAAGAAGGACAGCAAAAGGGACCCATCGAGCGTTTACAGAGTGTCGGGAGAGGCCATCTCCGTACACCATGGGTGGTGAACTTGCAGAGACACTTCAAAGTTAGCAGAGCCCGTGCCATTTTTGGCGTATGACGAGCGCATTCGTCGGCGGCTACATCTAAATCGAGGCACCATGGACAATGCACTCAAAGCGGGCGCCGGGACGTTTGCAAATCAGTGTACGAGCGCACAGAGCCTCACGGCGGCGGCTCCCCTGGGTTCTTGAAAGAGGCCCTCTGCGAGATTTGCAGTGCGGAGGTAAAGGCCGTCGGGAACTGGGCGGGTGGAATTGTAACCAGACTAAACCCCACGTATTGACGCTGGATGAGCACAAGGCAATTAGCGACAGCAACAGCGGCGATCCCGAGACGCTATATGCTAGAGTTTTCTTGTCTCCTGATAGAAATTATGCGGTGCCTGCGAGATGTCTTAGATTTGGCTTCTAGAAGAGATTTCCAGGAAAAAAGCATGTTGGTGTGGTGGTTGTGAGGCTGTGTATCCGGCGCTTCATGAGGGAAGACAAGAAACTGGCGGGTCGCAACGGTGATTCGACAAGACGAAGAGTAGGGACGTTTGCATTCATCAGCGGGGGTATCCCATTTGCCTCATATCTGGAGCAGCTGAGAGCGGCACTGTCGATAACTTTGGGCATTCAACCGCTTGGGCGGCCATTTAGAATGGTCATTTGTGCAGGTGTCCAGTGGTGTTGAAACAAGCGAGGATTTGTTTGCATGACCAGCGGCCAATGGCATCGCCCAAGCCACATTGCGCATGTCGCCGGCGATCTGTCCCAAAAATCGGACAGCCGAGGGTGGCCATCGGCCGAGATGCGCCCGAGGCTCCTTTGATTGGCTGGCGGCCCGCACCGCCACACCCTTCCCTCCGTTGCGCCCCTTGGACGCGCAGGTAATCAGCTCTAGATGTTGCACACACGCGTTGTGATGGCAAAAAGGTGCTCTTCGAACTTCCTGAACCGTCGAGCAGCCACACCTTATTCTCCTGTGTGTCTAGGATTGCAGTCTCGCCAGGATTGCAGAGGCTGGGATGGCTGGCGGAATTGCGGACTTCGCCAGCAACCTACGAATGACACCGTCGTGGCCCAGGTTTGATGGCCACCCGCAATAATGCCATGACCGGGTGGCAGGAGATGCTTGCTGAGATATATGGCCCAGATGTGCGCATCACAGTCGTGTCCAAAGGCCATTCATCCACTTGGGCAAATACCACCTCACCGCCTCATATTTGATTTCCACTGTGATCCAACCCATCCACCAGGCCGAACGCCCCAACCACGACATTCTGCAACATATGAGAAAGCGCACGACCGACTCCTGGCATTAAAATTGGATCAACTTCCACCTTGCAGTGCGCGCGCATGCTCTAAAACAACCCATCGAAACGAGTCGCTGAAATAGCCTCCAAACAATCCTCTTGAAACACACGGGGCTCCTTCTCACGTTGCTGTCCTGGACCGCTTGGAGCCTGTCAAGACCCTGACACTTGTTTCTGGTGCCGCTCGAATACGCGAGCACTGAGCGTCAGCACAATTGATTGGCCCGCGGCCTTGCAGCCTTCCAGCCCGACCATCCATTCCTGGAGTCACCCATCAGAGGATCGAATCTCTGTGCAGTCCCGCCCAAGCGGCCATTGAAATAAGTATCTTCGCTGCCTCTGTACGAGCATTCAACAAGTCAGTGCAATCTCTTCGCATTCTCATCCCTTCTTCCATCCTTCCTATCCCCTAGGCTGTGTGTGTGTGCAGGCTAGCCCTCTACATCTTCCTCCCTCTTTCGGCAGCGCCGCTTCTTCCATACTCCCCCGTTCAGCATCTGCCCAACCCTTTGCTCTTTTTCCTTATTACACCTGCTCTTTCCGCCGGCCGGATCATTTATCATCTCTCTTAATTCGCCCGGCCTCTGTTCGTTTCAACCTCGTCCATTTCTGCCAGCCACCAACGGACCGTACAGCCTCAGCTTACATCCACTCAGACCGGTCTCCAAGTATCCGCCTCGTTGGGCTTAATCAATCTCCTCCACCATAACGGCTCGTCTGCCGTGGACACCTGATATTCCTATCTCGACTTAGGACTCTACCCCGCCACAACAATAGCTGAAGATCTATTGTGTTGCCCTCAACTGTTTAAGAGTCTCACCTACCCCCTCGCTCAATTGTCTCATCACCACGGACCACCATGGCCACTTACTCACCCAACCTGGCGTCGCAAAACAAGGCTGCATTGGATCATTTCATCCAACTTCCGGTGTCACAGGACATGATCGCGTATCTTTCTGGGAAGGCCTCTCAAGTCATTCGATGCGAACAATCTACACACCTCAATAAGACTCTCCCACCAACCCCACCTGCATCACCACCACAACATGCCGCTCAACTTAGAGAATCCTCACTTCCATCGATCGAGGAGTTCATCACCTCATTGGTCGAGAGATCACATGTCCAAGTTCCAACCCTCATGACTTCGCTTGTGTACCTCAGCAGACTAAAAAGCCGTCTTCCACCTGTTGCTAAGGGAATGAGATGCACTGTTCACCGAATCTTCCTCGCGGCCCTCATCCTCGCTGCTAAGAACCTCAACGATTCCTCCCCCAAGGTACGAAGCCCCTGGTGCGAACCAAATGTCCTGTCTCAAAGTCCCTGCTAGCACACAAGATCCCACCAAGGTGGTGTTTTATGGTAGTTGCAGTGGGCTTCAAGACAGGATATATAGCTACCAGACTCCCGTTTTAAAAACCGTGCTAACTTATATTGCAGAACAAGCATTGGTCAAGATACTCGGCTGTCCGAGGTTATGAAAACTTCGGCTTCTCGATCACCGAAGTCAACTTAATGGAGAAGCAGATGCTGTTTCTTCTGGACTGGGACCTTCAAATCACCCCTGAAGATCTTTATTACCACCTTGAACCCTTCCTAGCTCCCATCCGAGTCCACCAAGCCCGCCAAGCAGAGAAGGCAAGGCTCGCGGAGAGAGAGAAAGAGCTTGCTCAACAGCAATATCAGCTCACCGCGGCGAATCTCCACCGTTCTCGTCTTGATGTGTCCGTCTACGACTCTCCTACCACATTCACGTCGTATGCCATGGGACCACAGAGGCTCCGGGCCTACCCTACCCCTTCATCACGTGCTCCATCGAGAACTCCCTCCCTCTCTCCTCCTACTCGCAGTTCCTCTTGTTCCACCACGTCAGAGTCTCCCATCAGCTTCACCGAAGAGCCCGAAGAGGCGCTCATCCAACGTTACGATACAGACAGTGGCGCAACTCTTGTCCATATTCACAACCCTATGGGCCAAGCAAAGCTCGAGCACCCTCTCCCCCTCAACCAGTACGAAGATAAGCCTGCAAAGAAGGCCAAACCCTCAACTGGTGGATTCTTCAACCGAATGTTCGGTACAGCCGGTACATACACTGGGAGGCAAGCAGCATACTAATTCACTCGCTATTTCCTTTGTCATATTTGCAGTCACGATAGATGAGACTTACGAGTCTCCACGCTCTATCTTACGAAAACATAGTTGGGATATGATCGATGCGGATCCCACTGGATGGGATTCTAATCAGTATTTCCTGAAGCTTTTGGCATTACTGGCATTACTGGCATTACTGGTATATCTGCATAGCATTGCGACGGCGCTGGGGATAATACTCGCATTTTTACTGGACTCTGGCCGGCGAGCCTCCTATATCCATCTAGCACTCGTGCAGGATAGCAAGTCTCCTACTGGACGACTAATAATGAAGAACATGCAAAAACTGATATGAATTGTCCCCAGCATTATGACACGTGCCTGGAAGTCTGAGACTTACACAACAGCCGGTTCCTGAAGCAAGCCACTAGTTGCATGCCTTGATACGCCCATCACACGTCTAAATTCCTAGGAACGCGCTGACCTCCGTCCCTTGCTCGTCAATGAGACAGTCAGTCACACGAGGGCTGCGCCAAAACGCCTCCAGCCGACGTTTGCAGCTTTACGAAGGACTGTACACCGGTGCTCAGCCGCTCCTTGCAATCAGAAATCATGTTTGCTGAACTGGCACACTTCCCCCGCCCTGGTGAGCTTCCAAGGTTTCATTCTGCCTCGTACCGCACCACTGCATGCGACCTTCTTTGCAGCCACAGATCCATAGATGACAGCCTTCCACGTCTGCCTGATCGTCATTCACTCAATAAGTTGATCGTGGCTCAGCCAGCAGTGGCAGGTGACTGGTGAGGGAGACCCACGAAAATAACGGGGCACTGTTCGATATTCCTCACTAACAGCGCGCTCTGCGTGTGCGTGCCTCCTGCGTCGTAGTTTGTGTTGGAGATCATACGTGGTGGATGGAATAGTGTTTCAAGTTAATGCCTTGGCTGAAGTGTGGAGTTGGCGGTCAGAAGGCGGGTCAGCACACTTGCCCCTTTGGACCAAAACCTCCGCTGCAGCCATCAACACCCGTCAGCACTCTCTTCTCGTGCCTCCTTCATCCCCCGCTTACTACATTCCCCGTAGACATATACCTGTTCAGCTCTGATTCTCTATATAGTATATTATCATGCTCTCTCCAACAAATGCGTCCCTGGTGTTTCTAAGATAAAGCACTCCGGCTTACAGTGCATAGCACAGACTCCCGATGAGCCCTCACGTACCTAGAATAGCCGCGTCGCAGTGGAACTATCATCGACTACAATCCTCCTGCAAACCTCCATTTAACGCCCGAGTGCCCAAGACTTCCATTCCACATTGATACTTCACTGCATCTCCCTATCATGAGCTCTCAGCTTCCCCAATTCTAACGCATTTCACGCTGGAAGATTTGAGTCCAGAATCGCCTGCAGGAGCCGCGACCCTGTGTAAGCTAGCTAGCTTTAGACACAGTTCAACCGCCTGTGCTCCCATTCGAGCAGGGAAAGACGGGTGAAATCTGTTCATGCAAGCAAAGTTATGCGCTGCTGTGCCACGACCGGATGCGGCGCAGGCATGAGCCGTCCCAGGTTCTGTACGCGCCCAATCCCACATATAGAACGGTAGGCTTCCGATCCGAACCTTCTCACAGTTGGCCCTTTCGGAAAACTTTGATCAGTTTTCACTCTTCGTTTCTATTCATGGTGGTTTTTTATTTATCTCCTTTTCATGGTTCCACGGCAATTCACTTTCATCCCCACTGGCGACCGGCGGGCGAGATCGAGCGATGGGAGGACATGTGAATACGGCCACTGGATCCGGTACAATACATTCTACGGCTTGGTGATCACGACTACGTTAGCGTCCCTTCTCCTAGCGGCGGACTTCTTCCAATGGCGCGTGACTGGATACTTCTTTCGCGTTGCGAATAGTTTTCCAGCATCTGTCGCGCTTTCAGTGCAAATGCTTGCCGCTTTCTTTGGATTGATTCACGTCGCAGTTATATGCAGACTGATCAACTTTGCGCTCCGCATCCGCCTGACGAAGGAAAGTGTGACCTTGGATGTCTTGCGTACTTGGGTGGACATGAGCATTCCTCGACTTGATTGGGACTTGCCCCTCCGTTTCTTCTTCCCCGTCGTGTTTATTGTGTTTCTGAGTCTAGTTCCTGCTGCGTTATGGGCTGGCTCCATTACACCACTTCTGGCCGCTAGCACAACAACTGCCAGCCTCTTAATACCAAGCTATGAAGATGTCTCAATGATCAAAGAATACCCCTCAGAACTCGGAAAAGGAGGTCCATCGCTTCGCAACTCAAAAGGGCTCTTCACCTACTCTGTTGGAACCCAGCACATCGGAAATATTCTCTCGTCCGCCGCCTCTGCTTCCTCTGTCGGGAAAACCTCGAAGTTCCGTAGCCATCCCAAATTTGACAACACGCAATTCAGCTACAAAGGTCGCTCCTATGGGGTAGGCGCTCCTGTAGGCCTCACTGATGTCTTCATATCCTCAAACAGGCAGGCCGCTGGGTATGTTTACCAAGAAGAAGGATATCTCACAAACGTTACCTGCCGCTACAACACGACTTCGGACTTTAAGCTTTCCGGCCCTGTGAATGAATGGATTTACGCCGCTTCTGGAAATTTACCGGACAGTTTTGAAGGCGAAGAGTATTCCAACTACATCGGCCACGACGAGAAAGCAATCGTTGCAATGGGTGTAGCTTTTAGCGACCATTCTCCACGCCGCTACCTTGCCATTACAGCCGGTGAATCCTACGGTTTCCTGAACAATACTCAATGCGAGTTCGATTTTACACCAACTCTCTTCAATATTTCCGTGGACCTGTCAAATTTCAATATCAGTGTGTCCCCTCTGAACACTGTACAAGACTTCAACCCGCAGCGCAATCTGACCCGAACCATGGTACGCCAATTTGAATTGATATCTAACGACCTAACGAATCTGTATGTCTCGCTTCTGGGCGATGCATTCAACTCGAGCATTGCGGCATTTAACATGTCACAATCTACGTCAAATCGGAATCCATTCTCCGAGTCCGAGGCTACGCTTGGAGGTGTAACAAATTCAATCACCGCGATGGCAGATGATATGCTAGTCGCGTATGCCTCTGCCCAGCTTATGACCGGCCATCTTTTTACAACACAAACCGCACGAGTATACGTCTACGCCATACGCTTTGGACAACCAGCATACATCTACGCTATTTTCGGCCTTAATCTCTGCATTATTGTTGCTGTAGCAGCTGAAGCGGTCCGGACAAGAGGTTGGAAAAGGTTAGGCCGATTTAACTATCTCGATCCGCGGGACTTGATTGTTGCTGCGTCGCGCGGAGGTCACGGGGTTGCAGATGCGGGTGATGCGATGGCTCAAGAAGAAAATAAGAAGACTATGAAGCGGGTGTGGCTTTTAAGTGATCCAGACGAGGGCAATGGTGCGCTGGCTGTTAGAATGCAAGGCGATGATCACGGTCATGTATCGATTGTGCTAGCCGGCGAGAATAGTGTGCCTATTGCGCATTTAGAGGAGGCTGAAGAGGAGTATGTCAGAAGGGTGGAGAAGGGAGAGGCACAGCAACCAAAGAAGTGGAGACAGAGGAGACGGTTCATGATGTTCAACTTCATTTAATGTTTGTTCTTAGGCGTGGCTCAAGGAGGATATGATTTTCGTCACCGGGTTCGATTTTATTTTCTAACGTCTAATTTCACTAGCCATTCTCGTGGCCAAGTCGTGTTATAATAGGCTTGAAGCGGCTGATTTCTAGTGTGCTAAGATACGTAGAAACACCCGCCAAGGCCGCGAAATATTCCTGCATTTAGCAATGTCTCCACTGAGCAGTTTGTTTGTGTGCGGATCCCCTGGCCGTCATTTAATTATCCTCTCGAGGTTTCCGAACCAGCTAAACATCATCTATGTTGGTGTCAGAGCAAGCTAAGGCTAGATTTGCTGTTCACGAATTTCCAAAGCAAAAGCTTCATGACTTCGCAAAAAACTTTAGTCTTCGGAGATGACTACTTCATGAGATTGCTTCCAAATCCGGGATAGGAGCCTGAGACGTATTGAGTTTACCCACAGCAAAGCGATGATCTGCCGCAGCATTCTCAATGCCGCAGCCTTTGAGGATGCCTGAACCGCTTATTATAACTACTAAATCTGCCGTCTTTAGTTGGTTATCTCACAAGCAGTCCTGGCTTTCTCAAGGAAACATTGCAAGACTGATAGACATCAAGGTGTTGTACGACACACACCACACGCTCTCGGCCTTCAAATCCCCTAGCGACCATATTGCGCTGAGCTCGTTTCTCCAACTGCTCTTGTGGGAGAATTCGATCTGTGTGGGGTGGGTCACAGTCTTGGCAACAGTCCCAAATGTCTGGATCAGGCTAGCCTCATGCATTTGATACCTCTCACGAAGCATGTCTACGTGAACCCCCATTGACACGCACACCACTGAGGCTCTTGTGTCGGGCATGAAACACTGTACGCTCTCCGCTGACCAAGTGCTCCTTCACGGAAGGCCGCGTTTCGAGTTGTAGATCCGGACTTGTGCAGTGCCGCAGGCAAGCAAGGTACATAGGCAGTGCCTTCTTTAAGCAAGCCATTACTTCTTTGGTCGATGAAATCTTGCATTCTTCATGTCACTTCCTTTTGTACGTGCTTGCCCTGATGTATTCCCACAAGGACTCCTCTCCGGTTGGAGCCATGCATCCGCGGCGATGGAGGTGGACCGCATTGCTCCTTTGCATCTTCTCGTTTCTCTTCTACTTGAATTACTTCCCGCTCTGGATCCTGCCTTCTCCACCACGGTTTCCATATGTACAGAAATCTTGCCCCACGACCCCACCGCATCCACCGCTAAAGCCGCCGCCCGGGAGACGGTTCAATTGGAGAGATGTCGATACACAGTACCCTGTGCAGAAATTCGAGCAGCTCCCGAGGACTGCCGTTAAGAAAGAACTGCCGCCTGTGCAATATGACTTCAGCGTGGACCCCCCATCATTGTACGATGAACTTATGCGCAAACGCCGGCAAGCTGCGGTGAAGGCTGCTTTCGCGCGATGTTGGACTTCCTACAAGGAGCGCGCGTGGATGAAAGATGAGCTGCAGCCTGTCTCTGGTGGCTCAAAGACAACATTTGGGGGCTGGGGAGCAACTTTGGTGGACAGCCTCGATACTCTGTGGATTATGAACCTGAAAGAAGACTTCGAAGATGCGGTATCTGCTGTTACCCAAATCAATTTCAAACCGGAAGGCGAAGTCAATATGTTTGAAACAACAATCCGATATTTGGGGGGCTTGCTAGCGGCGTACGATCTGACCGACTGCAAGGATAGTAGACTGCTGGAGAAAGCAATGGAGCTAGGCGACATGATATATGCAAGTTTCGATACGCCGAATCGGATGCCGGTGACGAGGTGGGACTCAGTTAAAGCGTCGAAAGGTGTGAAGCAGTCTCCAGCAGCAAATGGAATCATTGCGGAGCTGGCATCCTTTAGTCTCGAGTTCACGCGGCTATCGCAGCTTACCGGCGACATGCGCTACTATGACGCTGTGGCTCGCGTCACAAGTGTGCTAGAAGAGCAGCAGAATCGCACAAAGCTACCCGGGCTTTGGCCTGTAGGCATCGATACCCAAAACCTGGACCTAACACGGGACAATCAATTCAGCTTAGGCGCTATGGCCGATTCCGCATATGAATATTTAGGCAAGACCTACCAGCTGCTACGAGGCGTAGGTTCTGCTAGCCAGTACAAGAAGATGTACGAACTCTCTATGAATGCCGTTATCGAGCACCTTCTCTTCCGTCCTATGGTCCCCGACCAAGCCGACATTCTCATGCCGACCAGCGTCCGCGCAAATAGTGCCTCAGACATCCGGCAAGGCGACACAGCGCAGCATCTCGCATGCTTTGTAGGAGGAATGCTAGCGCTTGGTGGTCGTCTCTTTCAGAATAAAACCCACGTCGAAGCTGGACAAAGGGTTACGGACGCATGTGTCTGGACCTACCAAAACGCCCCTCACGGAATCATGCCAGAGATGTTCTCTATGCACGCTTGCCCCACACATTCCCCCTGCCCCTACGATGCCTCCAAAACTTTCGTCTACCCCGGCTTCGCCAGCATCTCAGATGCCCGCTACATCCTCCGCCCCGAAGCCATCGAGTCCGTCTTCTACATGTACCGTATCACTGGCGACACCTCCTACCAAGACATAGCATGGGAGATGTTTCAAGCCATTGACAGCCAGACCCGGACGCAGTATGCGAACGCCGCGATAAGAGATGTGAGTACCGAGAACACAGAGCGGCTGGACTCGATGGAGAGTTTCTGGCTCGCGGAAACATTGAAGTACTTCTACCTTGTGTTTAGTGAGCCTGGGCTGGTGAGTTTGGATGATTGGGTTTTTAATACTGAAGCCCACCCTTTTCGATTGATGGGCTAAATTACAAATCATGGGATGGGTTTTGTTTTTGTTTTGTTCTGACACGACAAGGGTTTGGGGAGACATGATGCGGTATGAGATTCGAACTAAGGATTAAGGGTAGGCGTTTTGGCGGCCTCTTGGGATGTGTAGAGAGCCTTGGTTGGGCTTTGAGATTCGATATGATACCCTTCTTTTAGATCCAAAAATCGAGTTTCTAGTTTTCTTGACTTTTCTCTTTGCCCTATTCCCCGAGCATGGATTGTTTATAGCGTCGACTATGTGAGAAAGGATCTCTTTAGCCTTCGGTGAAATGTGAAGGGAGTCACCACGTAGACTTCTGTTCTCACTCAGATCGAGCCACACTATTTGAAGTAGTTACCTACCTATGAAGCACGTTCATGTTACGGGGCAGGCGCAAGGAACGGAAATTTTAGGTCCACAACACACACACACACACATATATATATATATATGTGTGTGTGTGTGTTTATCCAGAACGATAGGTTTTCACTCCAGCAGCAAACATGTCAAACAATCACATCCATCCCATCAAAATTTCTCAAGATGCAATCAATATGGTGTATAGCTAAGAGTAGCAGGATAGTCATATCTAGCAGCGGGGGTATAGTAGAGTAAAGACTACGTACATACAACACAAATAAGAGAAATATCCAAGAGGGAGGAGTTCAGTGTGGTGTCAGTGTCCAAAGGAAACTATAACAATAACAATTGTGATAAAAGGATAACGACAAAGACCAAAGACGGGGAGGGAGGCATGTCTACCATGCCGTCAACCACGCTCCCGCACGACCCAAACCCAATTTTTGTTACGCCATGCCCCCAAAAAATCCATCCAACACCAAGCAGATAGACCAGGATTTGTGGAAGGGTCACCTCATGTCTGCTATGCGATATGATATGATATGATATGTAGAGTGATCAAAGGAAAAAATGTGACAGTGTAATGTGGGGACGAGTCATTCATGTCTGGCTTTTCTCCCGCCGGAACATGTCGAGAAACCGTTGTTTAAAGCGTCGTGGATCTTTTTCTTTTTCTTTTTCTTGGTCTTTGTTCTTCTCTTTGCTCTTCGATCGCTCCTGCTTCTTCTTCGCTCTCTCTTTTTTCTCATTCACGACGACGAGACTGGTGGGTCTGCTCTTCAATCCTGAACCTTCCGCGACACCAGAGTCCCAGAGCCCTGCCGTCGTGATGGGGTTGTATGCAGATTGCGTTTTGGTAGGTCTGAGACTTGGTGACGTTGGGGATGGGGAGCGGAAGAGCTCGCGGGGTGGTTCGAGGATTTGCACAGGGCCAGGAGTGGACACGGGGGAGTTGGCTTGCGAAGAAGGAAGAGAGAGTTCTTTGATCCGGAGCAGTTCCGTGCTACGCTTGCTTTGTCGTTCTTCTTCTGTCTCCGCTAACGTTTGGTCTTCGAGCGCGAGTCCGAAACGCTTGCGTGCGCTTCCGGTCTTGGGCGTAAGCTCCGCGGTACCGGTTGAGTTGGAACGACGAGATCGTGTCTTGAGCGGCGAGGATACAGGAGAGGTTCTGGTAGAAGTTGGGGTAGAGGAAGAAGAATTGGTGAAGCTAGCGTGGCGATGGAGGATCTGGGTGCCAGTTCTGAAAAACTTTGGGAAGGTGCGGCGGTTTTCGTCAATGGTGGATGCGGGAGAGGCAGAGCGAGGAGAATCAACTAGGGACATGGACATAGCGCGGCTTGGTGCGGAAGGACGTGGAGATGGCGCCGTGGACAAGGGCGACGGGCAAGCTGTCTTGGACCAAGTATATGCGGGGGACCAATTTTCAGAAAATGCGACCCATATTCCAGACACAATAATAAAGCTACGGAGCGCATCATCCGTCTTGACTGGAAGTCGGTCCTCCGAATTGGTTGTGAAATAGCTGTTGTCAAAGCTCGAAGGCGTGACTAGAGGGGTAGGAACCGACGATCCGGGGTAACCAGGGGTGGGAGGCGAGGTTGCAGAGGGCATCATGTAGGAATCTAAGACATCAATGCAGGCCCGGTTCAGGTTTGCGATGACGGGGTGACGCCTTGAGGTTGCGCTGATGGTACTAAAATTGAATCGCTTTTCTTCTACTGGAAGACTCGGCGAGGCCTGCGAGGAGCTCGACATTGTTGACACGCGACGGGAGTGGACAGTCTTTGGCACCCAGCGTCGTTTGAGAAGCAAGCCATGCTCGTCGGTATAGCAAAACTCATAGCCACCATTCGGCAGGCCAGTCACCTCCCAGCTTGACCCATCATCCATGCACACTTCGGTCCTTACGCAACCGCCCTTGTCGTCCTTCCCTGGGCAGATGATGCCTATGACGTCTCGTGCCCCCCAGCGCTCGTCATCCGACTTCTCGTCCTCGTCTTTAGTATCATATTCCTCCACCTTCACGATCAACAGATCATTCGGACATAGTTTCTCCTTGGTGTTGAAGGTTCGCGCAAGCCGTCGCGTGGAGCGTGGAGCGAGGAGGGAAAAAGGAATGACTTCGTAGACTGGCTTCGGGCGACGAGACGCAATTACTTGGTGCAGCTGGAGCAGGACCTTTGGGCGAAGGTGCAGCTTCTGGCGGGGGCCCGTAATGGGTGGCGGCTGAGCGAGGTTGTAGGTGGTCTTGGGCCGGGGGGAGCGCTTCTTCGGTTTCCCCTCGGTCGATGCTATGCTGCTTGACGAAGCTGGGCGGGAAAGGGGGGTAGGGAGTGTAGGTGCATCGGGTTGTTCGGTCATGGGGTGGGTGTCCTGGTGCTTGGTGGGAGAAGGGCCTTCGACCGGCGACTTGGGCGTGTTTGCGGCTGGCTTCACGGGCGAGCCGGGGGCAGCAGGCTTGCGGAGGATCGACGTCAAGATAGACAGCGGCGACTGGGTAAAGAAGGAGCCATTGCTCGACGGCGAGGGCCGCGGCGGCGAGTACTCATGGCCGTGTTTACTGGCGGCGTCGGCGGTCAACATGTCAAGCATGACTATGACTGCCTCCGCTAGGGATCATGACGGTGCATGCTGAGGGAGCAGTCAGTGAGAGGAGGATGTGTCGCTTGTTTTGAGGGGATAGGACTGAGGCAGCTGGGAGCCGACCCCTTCCGGGCCGGCCGTGGCTTTTGTGTGGAATTGGTCAAGGCTGTGGGCTGAAGGCTGAAAGTTTGAGGTTCATGGCCCTCGCATCCACAATACGTGGATACGGACAAGATGACAGGGCTGACTTACAAGCCACACCTAATTATGCAGGGTCTCACGTCCACACATGCAGAGCAGCTCCTCGCATGTAATTGAGTGCTCTCAACATAGGCGACTTTGGGGATGTGAGGGCAGAGCGAGAGAGAAGAGTGAGGGGACGGGGCGGATCTTGCGGAATTTCCTCTCAGCCCATGTCAGGCGTGGTTCAAAGGGACCTGTTAATCATTTTCTGTCCGGCTGTACCACCATGAGGCTTCCTTCGTCCGCTCGCGCTTGAAAAAGGCGAAGCACGGCAAAGCGTCCGCTGTCAATCCTTCCGGGGCCTGTTGTGTGAACCAACAAGCATCCACGACTAAAGCGAAACACGAGCCGCATCCAGCAACCGTCGCTCGCGTGCAGCCGTCATTGGCTCTCACTCCTCTGTTTCACGCAGTGCAGGCTAGCGTATCGCTTCTCAGACCAAATCTGTATAAAGGCCACTCACCAGCAGAGCGGAGGGTAAAATGTTGCTCATCGGTCGGTCGCCGACGGTGCCCCTCGAACTTCTCGAACTGCAAGAGGGCCCCATGGATGTGGCTCTTGGGGCGGCTTACTTAGACGTATATTTCCGGTGAGGTGAGCGCTGGTTGACGAAGAAAGCATGGTGGCGCCAGAGCAAGTGGAGAGGAGAGAGACAAGTGCTTCCGCAGGCTTCCGGGTGGTCGCGGGGGAGTGAACATGTGCCTAGGGGAACGGCATAGAGCCAGGACACTTAGTCCAAGCACCGATAGACTCACAGAGGGAATACGCGCGTTTGTCGTCCTTGTAACTAATGGTCGTAATGGCGGGGCAACAATTGGCCTGTTGGATTGGTTTCAGGTTGGGGCAGGCAGGCATCGGCAAAGGGCCGCGCTCCAGAGACATATTTGATTTGAATCCTTTGACCATTTCTATATGGCCTTACAGGCTAGCCTAGGCGTTTTTAACATCTTTGACACCGGCGTGGAAGGCTTGTCCTTTCCTATAGTCTCTGCGGGTGAGTGAATAGTACGTCCGGTAGATTTGGGATGTGACTTCCAAGAGCAAATTCTCCACACCCCCCTCCCCGTCACCGACTCTGTGCGCCAACACCAACACCACCACACCGCATACGGACAACTTGCATCTTCCGCTCATGCACTTCTTCTGCATGTTGCTTGCCCCTCCCCCCCCCCGCTGTCTCGAATTTCGTCTACTCGGCGACTACTCAAACCGACAGCTTCCGTGGATGTCCGCTGCTGGTGACGCTCATCTCACGAGTCCGAGTCATGTCAGCAGGACAAGCACATCCTCAAGCTCTCTAAGGACGCAGGTACGAAGGTATGAAGTTCCCCCGTCCAATCTCCTCTCAATCGAGCCAGCTCATCACCGACTCTCTCGTCAGACACACAGTCGAGACCCCCAAAGGCCACGATGCAAGCTGGGAAACGACTTGCTCCAAGCAGACCAATTTCAAAGGCGTCACATAAACGCCAGAAGCCAAGTCTTGATGCTGACGATTCTGAGACGAATTTGGTTAAAGAGGTCCACGAGTGGTTCACGGATCCATTGAACGGAGGCTGGCTGAACCCTGATGTTTACATAACTCACAACAAGACGAGCGGCTTTCATGTGCGAGCTTCTTGTAAACTCTCCTCTCCCACTGTCGCTGTCTGTCCTCTCAAGCTTACGCTTTCCTACCTCAATCTCGACCACACTCGAGACCATGTTCATCATGTTGAGAGTCCACTTCAGAAGTGCCTTGGCAAATTGCCCAATCATGTGCTATCGTACCTTGTCCTCATCGAACAGCGCAGCCTGGAGAGACATTCGCACTGGTTCCCGTACATTGCCTGTCTGCCATCTCCTGCAGAGATGAACACTCCCGTCTGGTTCTCTGAAGAAGACCTGAAATACCTCGAAGGCACTAATCTTGTCCAAGCAACTTCTGAGAAGCACATTCTCTGGCAGAATGAGTGGAGGGAAGCACTGTCTACCCTGAAGGAAGCGGGAATAAGCGTCCTGGAAATCTCCAAATATGATATGTAAGTACACGCCTGAGCATCGGCTGGGGAGCCCACAGGGTCTCTTGCTCGCCATCTTCGTAAGTATCCTAGCGCCCACTGGGGACAACATTATCTCCATTGCCGCCGCTATGTTGTCTAATGTAATACTACGTAGGATTTATAGCACTTACCAAGGCAGAGCTCGACCGTGCCCCTAGAATTTCCACTGACTTCGTCTAGAGTTTCGTTCAAGTGGGCAGCGACAATCATGAGCTCCCGCTCGTTTGCATCCATGCGCGTTTTGCCCCACATTGAGAACAACCCGATACTGTTTCCCGTTGTAGACTTTCTTAATCATTGTATGGAGGCCAAGGTCGATTGGGATTTTAGTCAGCAGAGTGCATTTTCTCTCAACATCCTCGACGAAATCGAGGCTGGGGCAGAGATTTTTAACAACTATGACCCGAAAAGAAACGGAGAGCTGCTCTTAGGTTACGGCTTCTGCGTTCCAGGCAGCCTGGTCGACGCATACGCCGTCAAGATCCGCATTCCAGATGAAATCCGCCCTTTACTGCAAGCAGAAGAGTGGTCACCAGACGAACTAGAGGATGCTGAAGGTCAACCTCACTTCTTACTTGCTCGAGACTACCTATATCCACGCCATGGTGGCAATGGTCAGGTTGGCAACATCCCACCCTTCCTTCGAGGCATCCCCCCGTTCTTGACAGATATTACCTGGCTGCGGCTCATGCATGAACGAAATATCAAGCCCCGGTTAGAACTACATCCCACACGTAATGGAAGGATACTAGTAGCTATCATTTACCGGCTCCTCGCTGCTATGAAGACTCTATGCGACAAAGTATCAGGCTCCTATGCGCTTCCTCCGCCACAAAACCCGAGGCAAGTGTTCGCAAAGATGTATAGCGACGGCCAATTAAGGGTTGTTGAGTCTATCCACAAAGAACTAAATGCTGTATTGTACAAGAACACGATCATGAATGGAGACACAGTGGGTGGACCTAAAATTATCACTGTCATGGAGGCCTTTTCTCAGCTCGAAGCCGACTTCCCCATGCAGTACCAGGGTTTCATAAAAGGCATTTCGAAATTTTGTCAGCTTGTCGCCGAGGATTTTGATGAAGTTGGGAATAGCGACTGTGAAGACGAGATGTGGATGTATACGCTCATTTTCTTTTTCGCGATCGCCTTGTGAGTTTCACTCCTTACAAAACCTCCTGGCTTATCTCCGATTTTTGCCTGTCCGAGCCACGGAGGATTTTTCCAGCTAACAACTTCTTCAGTGAATCTAAAACGACTCAGAAGTCAAAAAGTACCATTGACAAGTGGATCCAAGACCTTCTTACCTACTATCCCTTAGCAGACTTATCCTCCCCACCCATCACCGAAGCCGCCAACGCTGTAAATCATCTTCAATCAAGGCTCGAATTCTCAAGCAATTTCGACGACTGGAGTAAGCCTTGGGAGACTGTTGCGGCCCTCGACTCCCTAGGAAACCACGCAGATCCCCCTATATCGCGGCTGAGAGAGAAGGTGATTGTTTGGGCTGTGACGGTGGTGCAGGCTGAGGCTTTGAGGCTACCGGATCATGAAAGGCTGGAGGTGGAGAGGTATTGCATGTATATGCATTGTATCGGGGAGGAGGAAAAATGGATGCTTGAGGATGTGACCGCAGAGGAGATGCAGGAATGATGTTGTTCTGAGGACTGGGTGTGGAGGCATATTCTTAGGGCGGGTAAAGGCTTCGACATTCACCCTTGGGGTAGAATACTGCTATCCTATGACTTTCTCCTCGCGATTTCGGTAAGAATTATGCGTGGCTAGGATGAAGCTGCCAGTGTTCCGTGATGTGCTTCCCACGATCAGCTCGAGAGTGGAAATGCTTGCTTTGTAGGGGCTAGCTGGAGATTAGACTAGACGATAGCATCGTATCTCCCTTCCTTTAATTCTGGGAATACCACTCCAGGGTCATCCTCCTGCTGGTATATGATTCAGCACTTTAACACCATAAAACCCATTAATTCTCTTTTGCACATAGTCAGTTCCTATTCCAAGACCTGCTGACTACAGTGACCAAACTGGACTCCCTTCTAAGGCGCTAAACCTGAGAAAGCTTAAACGGCATTGGCCCAAACCTCCACCCCCCAACCAAAAACTCAGAGAATTACGAACCCCAAACTTCACGTTTGTCGGATAATGTGACGCTGCGGTTTTTGTGCAAGTACGAGCTTTGCTCGCACCGGGAAGGGTTGCTTCTCGTCCTCTTCCTAGCTAAATGCCTAGACATTGCAGAGGCAGGAAGTGACAGCCCATAACAAATTCACCAGTTGGATGGAGTATGGTTGCGTTAAAGAAAACCCATGTTCATCACAGGAGGATAATTGTAGCCTTTTTTGCATTCCTTTATCTTACATCATTGTTTTAGAACAAAGTTGCACTTGTTCTAACCAGCAAAGAAGACGGTCAAGTTGACAGCGAAACCCGTGTTTTAAAGAATGTAGACGATATCCTGGTGGTCCAAATCCACCCCTCCGCTCACAGCCCGCCCGCTTCCAGAATTTTGGTTACCCCCTCAATGGGCCTGGTCTAATCCCTTGTAGAGGGAGCTTCAGCGATTTCTTCGGCCTCTCTGTCAGATCCTTCTCTACGGAATGCAACGGCGTCATAGGATTTTTTCCCACTGGCTCGTGGGATTCTCCTCAATGATAAAGGACACGTCCAATACGTTTTGTCCGGGACAATACGCGTCTCATATCCCTGTTGAATAGAAAACGCGGTCGCGGCAAGCTTGGCTTGCCAATTTCCTCTTGCGCGCATAGCACTGACATCGGGTGGGTTATAAAGCAGCCCTTCCCAGCTATCGATTGACGCAACCTTGTGAAATTCTTCTCGCAGTAAGGGATATTTGTAGGGCTTCTTACACTCCGACATAATCCGGGAGAAAGGATATTTAAAAACGTTCAAGATGTTGAGATCTACCGCCCATTTGCTCCGGTCATATGCCCCTACAGCTGCTTCAACATAGTAGAAGGCGACGTCTTGATTGTCTCTAGACCTGATTTCGATCGCAAACTTCAGTGAAAGAAAGGTAGAGGGTAGTAGAACAAAAGAAGTCCTCCCCAGTCCCGTCGAAAAGGATAATGGCTGACAAGGTCATTGGAAGTTGGGCAAACCTGTGGGACTTCTGGAGATACCAGCATGACCATGTTAGTCCAGTCTGAATTGCCGACAGCACGCTTAACAGAACTAAAAAGGCCAATACACACACAAGGGACCCTGATGGATCGATATAGCTGCAGGTGGGTCCCACATTCGTGAGAGCATACACACAACAAGATGAACAGAAGGTGCAGATGCGCTCTAAGTCGTCGTTACTAATATTACAGTGCTGCTTGCGCCGACTTCGTTTGCAAAGACACCATGTTGCTGTGCGGCTTTGGGGTTGAAACAGACCATTTCCCTCTTCTCCCGAATGCTATAAAACGTGTCTCAACCCCGCTCCTCTCTCAATCCCCCATTACTATGCCTGCAGGATCCCATCTCCCTGTCTTTATTCCCTCCCCCTCTTCGGAACGGCATACCATTCGACCTCTTCCTCCTCTCTCAATCCATCTATTGCTTATAAAATAGACCATAGGCCCCATTCCACCTTAAAGCTGTCTGAAGTATGTCTCGCACGCCCAAACACCATTTCGCTCCTTCGTCGTATTCCTCCTCTTCGCACCCTGTTCTGATTCGCCAGGTGTTGTCTAAACCCATCTAGGTTGTGGTATAAAGAGTCGCCTGTACGTCGGCACCTGCATTGATTCCTGCTTTTGATTCCCGATGCGATGATGGATATGTACCTGAAGGAAGCAGGGAGGATAAGCCACTGTGTTCCTGCATGAACAACATAGAGATTCACACTCATTGCAGCTTCAAAGTGGGGATGATAGCTTTCTTTAAATGTTCTAACCAATATCTAGTCCTTAGGTGGATTGAATAGCTTCCTGTCGTGCGGGATTTTCGGTGTGGCCGACATCAGCGATCTTTCTGAATCGACATACCCGCGCATTCGTGACTAGGGGAACAGCTTCAGACAGGATAGGGATAACCCCACCCGATGTCGTCGCCCTAGCTTGAAGACACAAACTGCCTTAGAGGAAAACACGACAATCTTATGCTCGATAAGGATATGAAAGTGCCTACGACGGACTTCGTCCCCCACCTCCTGACTCACGCTTCTCTAACCTCCAAAACCCCATGATAATCCCAATTCCTTTCCCCACCTCTCAACCTCTTCCCCTAAACTGCTCAGCAACCATCTCCCCCAACGTCCTCCTTGCAGCAGCACCTCTTCCCCTAACGTTAGCACCTCCCGTTTCCCCTGCCAAAATCCCGCTCGCAAGACCAACCCCAGCACCATCCCTCTCCCTCTCAGCATCCAATCTGGCCCTCAATCCTTCAAACCCACGTTTCCTTTCCTCGCCGACCATCCACCCAGGTATCCGCCAGCTCGACGCATAAGGCAGGACATCACGTCTATACGCCGTGCCAACCGCCCAACCGACAGCCGCAGCAAGTAGGGAGCCTGGGAATTGGGAGAACGCGAGTTGAAGCGGTAATAAATATGATGTTGACTTCGACGTGAAAGTAATAGATCTCGCCCACAGGGAGGTTGCTGCTTGCGCATTCGTTTGCGATGAGGTGGGGTTGGGGTTGGGCGCGAACGGCGAAATGCGGTAGCGATATGTGTATGGTATGGCGGCATAGTATTGGGCGAGGAGCGCGAAGATGATGGAGGTCGGGCCTGCCGGGAGGCGGTTTATGCGGCCAAAGGTTAAAGGGCGGAGGATGAAGGTTAGGAGGAGGGGTGGGAGGAGTGTTGTGTATGGCAGGGTGGAGAGGAGGAAGGACTGTATACATTTACATTCACGTTTAGCTTTCTACTCTCGGTCCCTTAGAAAATGGCAGTGGGGGAATACAACGTACAGCGAATTTCCGACTGCCCCAAAGTCGCTCGACGACGCGCAGGTAGTAAAACGACAGAACCGCGAATATGACCTCTGTCGAATTCGTATAGCACACCTATCGCCGCCGTCAGTCCTTCCAGCTCCTTTGAATTCCGGTTCAAGATGTGCCATATACCTGCCAGGTCAGGAACCTCCAGAACTGGCCATAGTTCCAGATATGCGGAACGACCTCAATGTGAATATAGTACCTTGTATCTGTCAAGCTAGCGGCAAGCGCGCCAATGACAGTCGAATAGACAAGGAACTGCGAAACAGGCGCATTGGTGAAGCCTGAGGTTATCATGGTGGTTGTGGTGGTGTCATTGTTCCGGGAGAGGGGGAAGTGGAAGATGGTGGTCGGAGGTGCCACAGTTGCGGAGCTTGAGGTGGCGGGAAGTCACGTGTCGGCACATTTCGGAGCAGGACGGTAACATCTGTAACTGCTTCCTTTCATCTAATAATACAAGATTTTGCGGGAAACGCGCCTAATAAGAGACTGGCACGAAATGCTGTTTGTTGCAATCAGGAAATATCCGCCCCATCCGATTGGTATCCCGACTAATATCTTTGCAGAGCGCCCATTTCTCACAAACGCCAAATAATCCCAGTGTCGACGCCAAATTCAAAGTACCGCAAACCGATCCGCTAGCGCCAACGGCCTTCATTCACCTTTTTCTCGATAGATGATTTTGTGTTCTCTTGATAAACTCATCTTCACCCTCTGTCGCATTGAATAAGAAATCAGTCCCCAAAGACGCCGGCATTGCCCTACTTCCGACCAGGGGAGATGGAGCAAATAGGCTTCGAGCCCCGGGATGTTCGAGCCGTTTGTCTCTCTTCCACCACTCCTCTCGTGGATCTATTTCAGTGGTTAGATCTTCAGAGATAACAGATGGTGGAGGGGGTATCTCAGCCCACTCTGAGGAGTCTGTTTCAATCCTCAGCTGTTCGGCGGAGCTAGAAGTGGGAGCAAAGCGGCTGCTGTGTCGAGGTGGGGCAAAGAGAGAGGATGGTTGTGCATCTGGGGTTCTTGATGCCTTGAATGCAGTTGGACTCTTATAGCTCGATGTTGGCCGTGATCCGCTAAGAGAGTGCCCCGAGTGAAAGAGTTCACGAAGCCCGCCCTTCGCTGAGGTTGGAGTACGAGGTGTAGAAGTACCAGGCCTTGAGGGGTTCTCTTGAACGGCCCTAACTGGAGCTGGCTCATTGCCTTGTGAGCGATGTCGTCCCGGTGTCCGCTTGACTAGCTTAGACTCGCGTTTAGATTCGCTGATTTTGGCGAAATTCTCCGGAATCTGGGGGACCTCTGGGACTGGGGATGCCGACCTTCGCCTGCTAGTTATGGATACTTCAGATGCGCGCTTCCTGAGCTCTTGGATCGCGTACTGGCCATTTTGGTTCAGTTCTTGAAATTTCTTCGCATGCTCTGAGAACTGTTTTGCCTCCTTTGTTGGCTTGACCTGCGGCGATGCGGGCTGACTGTAGTAGTCAGAGTCAAAATTGCTTGTCGACGGACGTGCCTCATCAATGCTGTAGACACGTGTCGGATATCCTTGTGGAGGGCTTCCTTCGCCATCGGCGCTATAATATACTGGTTCCTCGGAGCTTGAGCGATTGCGCGCAACTAACAGTTTCAGGTCTGAGTTCTCCTTCTTCAGCTGAGAATTCTCTGTGTCCAATCGGAAAATCATGTCGGCAGCTTCGTCCATGGCAGTGTTCAGCTTTTCCATTTCTGCGACCGTTTCTTCTTGAATCTTAAGGGTTTCGGTGTTCTGTTCCTGGAGCTGCGCATTCTCCTCTTCTAATTCGTCCATATCCTGCAGTTTGAGCTCTAAATGGTTACAGTCTTCCCGAAGCTCGCGGTTCTCTTCTTCCAGAGCTTCGAGCTCATAGATGCGCTTGTCGGCTGCTTCCAGCTTGTCTTTGAGCTCGTTGTTCTGCTTCCTGAGCAGCTCCAGTTTAAGATTCATATCCAACAGTATATTTTCCCGTTTCTCCATATCCGCTTGCATATCTCGGTAGGTGGGGATGCGTGGTCCAACCCCTTCGCTCGGCCTCCGCGTACGACGGATGGGAGGGACTTTGGGGATCTCCTCTTCGAATTCCACGTTACTAAGCCAAGGATCGACTGTCGACGCGGCAGAAGCTGGTCTTGGAGGTGGTTGATGGTCGGTAGGAGGGGGGACAGGCGCATCTTTGGCGCGCCTGGCTTCAAGGGCACTACGTAGGTACTCCGATTTTGCCTCCATGAAAGGCGCAGAGTTGGGGTGTGTAGCTGATTGCGGGGGGTTCGATGCAGGAGGTGTTTGTGTGGTGCCCCGGCCCGATCTGCGCGAGTTTGGTGTTGACATGTTTGAGTGTTGAGTGAGCGTGGGTTGAAGTGAAACAAAGCAGCGAAAGGCTTTAGAAGCTGAAGTGAACGAGGAGGTAGTGTCTTCTGATATGGTGGGAGAACTGCACAGAGTCTTTGTATTCACAAGAGAGGCAAAGTGCCCACGCCAACCAGGTTGCTGGTCTTGTAGATATTTCCCGTCTTGTGCTTGAATAATGTAGGCTGAACGGGGCCAGACTTGCTATGAGTTCGGCAGCTGGGTACGGTCGTGGGACGATTACCGAGTATGACCAAGTGTGCGAGTGAATCCAGTGATCGTGGAGAATTGAAGAAGTGAAAAATACGCGGGGTCAAGTGCGATTGAGGAGAAGCGTGATGTGCAAAGAAGCTAACGGTTTGTCGGTGTTCAGACTGACGAAGTACCAGCAGCGTCGCGGTTGAACTGCGGAGGGAAGTCGCTAGATAGAGGATCAGACTGTGGGTCCATATCGTGTCTGAAGTGGTTCCAAGGCTCGAGGTCTCTTGCACGGTCAACAATTGGGAGTGAGGGCGGAGAGTGAGCAATAGGCGGTCAAAAGAAGCCAATTCCACGTCACTGTAGCAATGCGCTCGGGCCGTAAAAGATGCCGCAGCAGCTGGTGCGCTGCCAGTTCAAGGAATGTGGTTCTCCGCGAAGACAATTGGCATTTTGCGACGCGCTCGACGAGGGGAACGGGAGTTGAAGAACGAGAGGGAGGTTGGGCCGCGAATCTGGGCCGCGCTCTCCTCGAACATAAATCTCGACGCACACTCCCTGAGGACGCTAGATCGTTCTCGCTGAAGGCGCACGGGTGTAGACCCGCAGGAACGGCTCACCAGGGCCTAAGCTATCCTCCATTGGCCCATGATGTGCCCACAATTGTGATTGTCGGGTTTCTCGCATGCCTCCCCTGGACTGTCACACTTTTTTCACGAACAGAGCAAAGGCGAAAGACAGGCCGCCCCTGAGAGTTCACGCGTTCAATATGCACATTCGTTTTCTTTCTCGTTAAAAGCGCGGAGAGAGAGCAACGGAAAGGGACGTTTGCCGTTTCCTTCGCCACACAGCACACATGAGAAAACGGCAGGCCGGTGTCGTCTTGGACGGCCATAGCGTCCTATAGCGTGTGATGAGAACCTAAAAGGCTTCACGCTATGAAAGGATATCACAACCCCCGAGGCCATCACAAACAAAGGAGCCTTTTGTCTCAGCCCCCCCTGAAACACATTCTGCACCCACAAAAAGACTGTGGGATGTTGGAGCCTTCGTCTCTTGAATCACACCAGCCGAAAAGCTGCGCCCATCTGAACACTGTCTACTTCAACAAAGGAACTTGATTCGAGAAGTAATTGTTTGTCGCGTGCTCCTTTGAAACACTGTCTTCTTTGTCTTTTGCACTTCTCCCTCGGTTAATAGATCATCTACAGGGGAAGCTCCCGGCATAAAGGACAGAAACCCAGATCGACTGATGGTCCAGCGCGCCCGGCTGCTGTGCTTCACCCGCCTGATCATGGAACCACATCATTGGAGTCACCGACTGATGCACCTCGTTGCTATAGACTGGTGAAGCTGGTGGAATATACTAGCCCAAGGTTCGATATCAAATCTGCATATCGCGTTGTTGGGGGTCCTAGCGATGCTCAGAATGTTATTGAGAGACGATACATAGGGATGACACCCAGCCCTAGAACGTACTCGCAATAGTGCATTGCGGGTATAGAAGCCTGTGTTATGCTAGGTCTTCTTTCGCATTGGTAGTCCCTTCAGGCGTGCATGAGGATATGATTGCTTTTCATCTGTATTAGATTCGTACCTGATGTGTATCTAGGACGATATCTCCATCTTCTCGCACCCGAATGTCAGAATCCATCCCGCCAAGACGCTGCTTGCCCACAACAACACGTCCATGCAAAAACCGTTGCTCAATACGCGAGAAACCAAACAAGCAACAAGTGCAACCTCCGTACTGTAGCAGACCAATAAACCCAGCCCAAAGATCCCATCCCCTATCATTGTCATGACTCTATTTACTTTTTGTGAACCTATGCCCAAGAGAGTTGAGAGTGCAGAAGTCTCCTTATAACACCCAACATCGACGGAGATGCGGAATGAAAAACGGAATCCGCAATGCAAAATATACAAGAAAGTGCAAGATAATTAAAGGTTGTAAGAAATTGGTTCCTGAACTAGGTGGTCGAGGGAAAGATCGACTCTCACAGACCATGACGAACCAAAGATTCGCGGGGTTTACATGATAATAGAGGGGGCTGTTGAAAATTAGTATACGATCTCATCATATTTTGGGTAGGCTTACTGTCAACGTTCTGCTTGATGGACTTGTGGGGTAGAACGGAGCCACCGTTGACGTACACCTCATCGCCAATGGAGACGTCATCACCTAGGACGGTAACGTTCTCTAATCGCGCCCACTTGCCGACAGTGCTGTTCCAGCCGACAATGGTAGACTTGATCCATGCGTGGTCCTTGATCCTACTGTTCTTCAGTATGACGCATCGCTGCAGCCTCACACCGTCGCCGACAACCACATTGGGTCCAAGAGTGACATTAGGACCGATGCGGCAACCCTTTCCAATCTTTACTGACGGGTCAATCATAACATTGCCGCCATGTACGAAATGTTCAGATGCTGGGGTGAGGAGCTTCGACCCTCGCCGCGTCAGGGAGGAAAGATACAGACAGGTCCCCGAAAGGAAATCTTTGGGTTGTCCAACGTCCATCCAGAATCCCTCCAAGTCAAATGAGTGTAGCTGGCCGTCCTTGCACATGGCAGGGAAAGTTTCCTGCTCGATTGAGGTGGGACGGAGCTCGATGCGGCTGAGGACGCTGGGGTTGAGAATATAGATGCCAGCGTTGATTCGGTTGCCCACGAACTCGACGGGCTTTTCAACAAAGCGGTCTATCCTCGAGGCTTGGTTGGGTTTGTGGACAACGACGCCATACTTGGACGGCTCTTCGACCTTGGTAACCACAATAGTTCCCTCGTCGCCGTGCTGTTTGTGGAACTCGGCGAGCTTCTTGAAGGGGTATTCGCAGGTAACGTCGGCGTTGAGGACGAAGAATGGGGAGTTGTCTTTGCCAAGGATGCGCTCCGCGAGCTTCAGAGGGCCAGCAGTGCCGAGGGGCTCAGTCTCGAGAGAGAACTCGATCTTGACGTTATATTGTTTCTCATACTAGACGGTGGAAAGTGGTCAGTACAATACAGCTGCGTTGGTGGTGATAGACTAACGTTCTTTAATGCTTCCGTCATGACCTCCGGCCTGTAGTTAACGGCCAGCACGATGTCAGTGACGCCCGCCGCAGCCAATGCCTCGATCTGGTGCTGGATCATGGGCTTGTTGGCGAACTCAACCAACGGCTTGGGGTACGTGAGAGTCTGGGAATGCCGTTAGCCTCTGCATATTTCTTCCGCTCCGTGGCGGTATAGATGAGTTAACGAAGCGGTGAGCATTAGGCAAGGCGTACAAGAGGTCGCAAGCGGGTTCCAAACCCTCCGACGAGGATGATGGCTGGCTATATGTTAATAGGATTGACTGCAATTGGAGTTAGGAAATGAACCTTTCATGTTTGTAGTGTGGTTGTAGATAGACTGTCTACTCGAGGGTGTTTTCGAAAAAAGTTGGAGACAGCGATTGAGTCTTCCAATGGGCTATGAGCGAATGAATTTTGCGGGGTCGGCGACCTGAAATGGGGTCACGAGCAAGCAAGCGGGTAGAAAAGACAGCGCAGGTCAACGAGGTAGGTGAAGAGGACAGCTGGTTTTAATGTGCCATTTTTCAGCGGTTCCTCAGTGGCACCACGGCGGAGCGCCCTGGCAGCCTCGCTTCGCGCCCTGGCTTCGCGCCTACCCCCCAAGACCAATCCTCCCCTTTCTGCGCTCACAATGGCCATCCCTTGGCCACAGCATCCCCTCCAATTCACCCCTAGCTAATACAGTGTCCTCAGCCCCTAGCAATGGGAAATCTTCCGCCCTCAGCTTATCCGCTTCTAATTTCGGTTTCTCGCCATCGTGGAGTAACGTCGTATTTGAAGGACGCTCCAGAGTCACTATTGGTTCCAGCCTCATCACGCGCAGCTTTCTCACGGTTCTTGCAAGTACATGCGCGGCTCTGACGGGCAATTCCCAGCGATTCAAGTCACCGCCTTATGCTGGCCTTTGCCCACGTGGGATGATGGACCCTGAGGCGAAATTGGCGGCGTGATTCGCGCGAGCCCAGTTTCTTTCTGTCATGTCCGTCAGTTGACCATGAACTGTGGCTGGCTGTGGCTGAATATGCTATTTTGCGAGACGGCTTGATATCGAAGCCCGTGAACCACCCGCATTTGTTCACATCCTGTATTCGATTTTAAGCGCTCCAGGTACGCATGACCTTAGCCTACGAAGAACACGGCGTGGCCTCGATGTTTATGGACTCTCTTCCGTCTTGAAAATTCCAATAGTCCGGTTCCACTTGGCGACTCACTTCAACGATGGCTGTCGTCGAGGTCACGGAGTTTCTAGATGAAGACGCGCGTCGGCGGTGCGTGGCAACTCAACTCTTTAATATCTGCCACGATGCGCTTAGAGAGCCTATCACTGGCCTATCATTGGGATAAAATGAAGCCCCAGGATCTAGCTTTTGAGCGGGCGTTGTTTCAACTTTACTTTTGACCGTAGGATTTGCTTGAGCATTTATCAACCACCCTCCCGCAAATCTCCGACTCATCTCGACATCAAGCCTCCTACCAAGCCTTGTGAGAACTCGGATTCGTGTGAATATCGTATACTACATAATGGTATATGTGCCGATGCAAGTCTATAATCTTGTTCTCGAGAATCGGGCGTCCTCGGAAATCAGGCTTCATGTGGTGGTTCGGTGGAGTTCGCATCAGGTCCAGACTTGGCGGCTCCCCGTTCTTTGAAACCTCTCAATTCTGTCGTGAACTGCCTAAGTGGGCAACAAGGTGGAAATGTATCGAAAACTGAGCGCTAACGGCTTCTGAACAGACTCGCTACTTCTTGCAGTTTGAGTCTCACTCAATCTCATCTTTCCTGTTGAGGCAATCCCATCAGTCCGTCCATTCCTCCAAAGTGTTAGTTGGATCCTGCATCTTCGCAGCCCACTTGCGGCAGATCACCAACCAATTGACGGAATAAGCGCTAATGAACAAGAGGACGCCGTCTCCAACCTTCCAGTGATGGGTGAACATAAAGACCGATACAACTGGAGTCGTCTGCTGCCGCCAAACGATCTGACTATAAAATCCCCTATTCGGAAGGTTACGTCACACCATCGATGACTGCATCTGGATGCGTACAGATACATTTCGGATACTTCACAGTTCCCTACCCTTCTTTTAACTCCCTCAAGAGTGTCTATTTTCTAGCACTGATGCAAACCTAACATTTCATAGGTTTCATCACACTCAAAACCGACGAACTTTGGCAGTCCGATTATCCTCCGTTTCCCTCAGCGAACGCATACTCCTTTACTCACACCCAGTCTCCACTCTCGTGCTTCCGCAAGTCGAACCCTATCGCCTATTCTTTACGTTTTCGTACACTCCTCTTGATAGTTTCGAATGCCACTTTACCTTCTCCTCTTGGCTGACTTTGTTCATTACCCCCCAAAGCGCTTTCCACTCCCACGATCCCGCCCATTAAGCCACTCCAACCATGAAATCCTCAACTAGTCATGTAATGCTCACGATTCTTTTGTCCTTGCCCTTAGGCCGATGCTAACGCTGCGACTCATGCGGAAGGGCCTCCCTAAGGAAATAGGAAAGAGTTCTGTTTCTTAAGTGATGATACATACAGTGTAGCCGGGATGGTTTCAAGCTGAGAATGAGGAAGTGCATGGAAAAGCGTCAAATGTGTCGGTGTCCGGTTGGGATGCGAAGGGAAGTAAGTTTTCCGGAGCTTGTTGATTGCTTTGCTTCTGCGATTGAAGGAGTGGCCTTGAGAATAATAAGGACGTTAACATGATTCTCATCGTATTTGGTACTCGGTTTATATGCTGATCGTAGCGGCGCATATACTGAATTCCTAGGCCTATCGCGTTCGAATTGTCTCGTTACTTTTGGTGTTTAGGTTCTTTTGTTCCACCTGTGAATGGATTTGTCCTCAGAACTGACGTCACGACCCATTGCTAGCTTACCATCTCACTCCTCAGCATCACTCAACGAGCCAAGCCAAACCACACCACGATCTCTTAATCGGAATAGACGAGCATCTCGGTATACTCAGATTCAGAAATTCTTTGTTGGGGGGAGGTTTCACTAAGCACTTACACACACAAAATCCATCGAAACCAACGAATCTATTTCTAATGCAGACGAGAACCTAAGATGTATCTCTAGTCTATAGACCGTCTTAACCATTGTCTACCAACATATCCCATCAAGTCTCCATCTTCGTATCCGGCCACTGCTCCTCAACGCCGTCCTCCCCCTTCACTAACCTCTCCAAATTCATCCTCACACTCCACCTCACATACCTTGTCTCTACAGCCGGTACAAATCCCGCCGTATGCCCCGTAATATCGCTCTTCATCCGTTCTGGAAAATGGTGGCTAAAAATTGGCGGTTGGACCGTAATACACAGCGGCATCGTCTCCTGCGTAGCTCCTCGTGTCAACCCGTTGCAGTAGTCGGACAAGGCAAAGTCGTATCCCTTGTTGAATTCCCGGATACCGAATTCGTAGAGGAGACGTCGTGCCCCAGTTTGTGTCACCGCGTAAGCGATGGAGCAGAGAGTGGAGTTGGTACGGTGGATGATGCGCGTGTGGGGGGGATAGACACTAGAGATTTTGTCGAGGGACGCGAGGGGCATGGGCTTTAAGTATTGGGGTTCCGGAACTGTTTTGTCGTTCATTATGGCGATGCGATTAGGGGCGTTGGGCGATAATGGCGACAGTTCGGCGCCACAGTGCCCCAACCAGAGGATGTTCCAATCTCTGCCATAGGGTTCTGCTTTGGGGATGTTACGGCTCGAGGGAGAAGAGATGGCGAGAGAAGATCGTTTTGCGAGTTCAAATTGTGAGAGCCTTTGGTCATCCATAAGTTGCGGTGGCTTCTTAGAACGAGAGTGTAGTTCGGCTTGTGTGATAAGGTTTGGTAACATCCTTGCCCCAACACTGAAGTCCTCCAGTTGAGATCGCAGTCGGAAGTCCCAATCCGCATCGTCTTCAAGGATCAAACCTGTGGTCAGATTCTGTTGGATGATACTACTCTGCGTAAGTGGCTTGCCCAACCTGTTTCATCCCAAACTACCGATGCAAGGTGGGCTTACGCTCGTAATGCATTCATATGCGCCCGCCAACTGCCCTTATTTCCATCTGATATTGTCCGATGGTTTCCTGGTGGATATGCCTTCTCTAGAATGTTCTCCGCTGCGACACCATCCACCCAGTCTAAACTTAAGCCGCTGTAGGATGCAGCGATTGATATTGAATCTTTTCGGTCTGTCCTCCATGGTGCGTTAATTACGAAGATTTTTTGGAACTGAAAGCGATGTTAGGCACGGATCCAGTGAAAATTTCAAGAAAGCGAAACCGGAGCTCGAGAAACTGCCGGATTGCTTGAATGGTATACCTACCCCAAGAGTGTCATTACCAATTGCATTGGACAACCCGCGACTAGTGCGGGAGTACTGCTTTGAGAACGGAAAGGCGCTGTGCGAATCCTCGTTATGCTGGATCCTCAACAGAAGAAACAAAGCCACCAAACACAAAGCCACCACTAGGAAGACGTGTCCATGGCTTTGCGAAGGCATCCCGACCTTCTAGAAGTCGTCCCGGGCATTTGTGCGGCGAGTGCGCGATACTTAAAGGCGAAGACTGGCACCATTTTTTGACACTTGACAGATAACAACCGACAACTAGTGCCAAATCCGGGCCCTTGGGCTCCGTTGTCGATCGCTTTAGATATATTGCAGGCTAAATCACTGTCATTGGATCAAGATTCGATTGTCTGGGTCGAGCTGCAAATTTGCTGTGTAACATCTATGGGGTAAATTCCGAGGGGAAATGTACATGAAACGCACGCTTGGAAACACTCTACGATGAGGCTCAACCCGTATCAAAATTTCTAGGGAAAAAGTACGAAAGACAAGCCAAGATCTCGGAAGAATAAAAACTCCTGATCGTCCCGGATTGGCGGCCATGGAGGAGTGTAGGATTCTAAATATTCAAGGCTCTGTTGGCTAGATGCATCCTCCTGCCCCATCCACCGTATATCCAGCCTACAGCATCGGCCGTGTTGTTATAGTAGGGGTCCCAATCTGAAGCACATCCGTCAGTACTAGGCTATTTCAACATATTAGCTGATCAAGAATCTCTTACCTTCCCTAACGAACCCTCCAGCTTTGCCTTTGAGCTCTTTCCAGGTCTTCTTCTCAGACAGTCCGAGTTGGACATATCTGGCTCTCTTCCCTCTACGTGCAACAACCCTAACTTCGCCTTTGAGCTCTTGATCAGGCTCGGCTATCTGTGGGTTCTCAATCACTTCGTGGCCTGGTTGGGCGCACCACGGCTGGGGGGCAACAGCGTCTTGTGTAACATCGGAAGAGGGTTTCTTGTAAGGAGCAATGAACATTTGCACCTCTGCGCCTGAGACCTCTCCATCTCTTTTCTGTAGTAGTGCATTCCAATTTTCTGGTTGGGCCACTCTCTTGCGCCTATGATCGTATCCAGAGGTAATAAAGTCAGTGTTGGGCGTGATATAAACAAGTTCCCTCCATCCATCACTCTTGAGCAGCGCTTCTATATCAAAATAAGTCACCACATCTCTCCAGCTATCCACCAAACCAAAGCCATGGAAGCAGTCCTCGACGACGAGCCTGTCTAGATGAAGACCCGGGAGTAACGAGAGAGCATAATTGAAGTAATACGTCGGATAATAGTCAACTCTGCCTTCGGCGTACAAGGGGAACGGAAATGCTCGAACTGATATATGACGTATCCGCGTCACAACTGATTGATCGACACTCAGTAAAGTCCCAAGCAACGCCTCGGTTCCGTGGAATTCAAATTGGACGCTCAAGGGGAGGAATCGCCGCGCTTCGTGATGGATCTGCTTGCATGTTTGGAGGATTGCGGCACGGTTTGATAAGGAAACGCGACCAAAGCCGTGCCGTACAGTATAGGTACTGAACAACTGTTGGTAAACGAGCTCTCGCAGCTCGAGCGGGAGGGCAAGAAGAGTTGGCACCATAGTACTAATGGCGCTGATGAATGAGAAAAGGGTAGACTTGAAGAAAAATGTCCTCTGCTGTTATCTCACAAGCCAAACCCTCTGGAGGATCCACCAAGCGTCGGCAATAAGTAATACCGATTGCCGAGGAGGCTTTGCGTTGATGTGCCATGCTCAACGAATCATTCTAAAGGTTCTGGGGGAAAATAGTTCTGTGAGCACATGTGACTAATCGGGCGTGTATCATGAGCAGACTTGATTTGTTCGAGAAAAAATCGGCATCGCTAAGAACTCTTCACTTAGCGTGCGCCAAGCGCTCTGGTCGCCATCTTACACTCTGGGCGAGCAGAATGAGACTTTTTTCCTGGAGGATGTTTTTGTTTCTCGCTCTGCTCGTGAGACATCGTCTGGAGTGGCTTTTGGGTTCTGTAACCAGGCTGAGCCACTATCTACTACGGTAGTGCCTGTACCTCTCTATGTACCATGGCTGCTCCTAGAGGCTCCACACCAATACAACATTATTCCGCTGCACTACCGCCAGGCTTACAGGTTCATAGACGCTTTTGGTCATCTGGTCGATGTATGGTTCTTCCACTTTCTTGCCTTGATGGTTCCACCTCTAGCCTTCGTCTCTGGAGAGGAACAAGACTAAACCGGACTTGGAGAGTTGACAGGGTTGGGATGGGGTTACCTTTCGCCATGTCCTTGTAGACATCGTGCTCTAGCCTCGTCCAAGAGTAGTCCGTGATGGCCCAAAATAACCACAAACGGCGCATAGAGATCCATCTACTATCACATTTAGCTCGATACCTCAGTCTCCCATCACTATCTAGACTACCGCATCTTGCCACCTAAAGTGGGACATGATAGGGAGTATTTAGGACAGATTTCTGCATTTTAGTAGCGCGTTCCCTTATTCCAGTAAGAGGTTTAGCAGATTGACTCCACCCTAGCCATGTTCCACGTCATGCGGTAACATATTGTAATCTATTAAGACTACAGAAATGGCATTGGGTTATCCCTAAGCCATCGCCCTAGGCCACAATCTTGTTAGCATTCGTTACAACATGCAACGAGTTAGAAAGGCTACTGAATTTCAGTCTCTGACATTCATACCTATAGAATTGACTTCTACACCAACATGCAACATCCGGTAGCAATTATTCCTATCACCCCTATTCCAGGATAGCTAGTCATGAAGTTCATCCTCTATGCCTTGCCAAACTCTTCCTAGCTCTACACTTTTGGCGAGCATGAAATCATCGTACAAGAGAGGTCCGCCGAGCAGTCAACAAACCACTATAGTTGTGGGGTCTCCGCGAGTGTCGTCTAGAAGCTCCCGCAAAACACCTTACCCTTCATTCTCGGGGAACAAGAAGCGAAGGATACTCACTATAAGTCTTCGGTAAATTCGCTCGCTCGAGTCTGGATCCTGTTGAGAGCAGTAGGGTTGGCGAGATAGTCAAGATATGTTTGAGGACGTGGTGGGTTTGGGTCCAATGGGGCTAATCTTGCTGTTCTATTCATATCCCTAGATTGCATCAATCGGCATAGCTAGTAATGTAAGCACTTTACTACATTTTGTCCTAAATTGGAACATGGTAAGGAATATAGAGACAGATATTAACATCCTATTGGCGCTCTCCCTAATCTAGCAAGAGGTTTATAAGATAGAACCTACCTTGATCAAATTCTACGTTACGTGACAGCATGCTGTACATTAAAGTAGAACTTCGCATTGCGGCTAAGTATTTGGCGTATCTCAAGCCCTGGTCTCTAATTCAGTAGTCAGTGGCATGAAGTAACATGTATTTTTTAAATTTTTTTTTGCCTCTTACACAGAAATCACCTACGTTGGGGCTAATCTCCAAGCCGCTTGGTGACGAGGAATTTCTCTGTAACAGTGTCGCGTTAATAGACCTGGCCGACGGAATTCACATATTGGTAAACTCTGCCTGCCAGGGGTCCAAGGTCGGAAGTAGTCATAGTCTCGCATTGAAACTTGATGAGCGATTTTCACGAGTGGAGTCTAGGTCAGATAGGAAAGATTTCTAGGATTGGTGCTTAGGCAAAAATAGATTGATCATGTAGATCTATGTACTCAAATGGTGGATGGATGCTGTGGTGAACAAACCTGCGCGGAAGTCGAGGGAAGGCGTTATTGGAAAATTTGTTCGTTTTTGCTGTCTGGACAGGATAGGCCCGCGGTAATACGTTGAAGGCAATTGAGTAACCGCATGGCTCCTCGTGTAGAAATGCATCGCTCATGGAGTGACTTTAACACAGTTCGAGAGCGGCGAGATAACCTTGTTGAATAATGATTTGAGGCTGTTAGCCATGCCGTGCCACAGGTGGAAAGAGCACCTTCTAAACTTGGTCTGAATTGATATATCGCTGGATCTTGCGGCTAATAATAAGGGATATTGCAGATATTGCAGCAGAAAAGTGTAGGTCTTACAGATATAACACTACTTGCAAAACTAGAGTAGTTCGCCGGTACGGAGGGAGGGTTGAAGAATGCAGCTTGTATGCAAGTTCAGGGCACTAATTACACTAATGGGCGCACCCATGTTTTGATCTGGACTCTGTAAAAACAATGTAAAATTGAATTCTGGAATCTCCTAAGTCTGCTTCTATGGAAGGTGCTCCGATGCGAACTTACACGCTTCTGGGTATCAATGAACGGGAAAGTCAACAGCCCACTCGATTGCTAAATCCCCGTGCGAATAAAGAGGGGCTTGTTTATTCCATCTTTTGTCGGCCGCGGCCTCTGTCATGTTCTTGGATCTTCTTTCTCTGCCATTGCCATTCCACCAGAACAGGTAAGAACTGCCATAAGTCAAACTCGGGCCAGAGGCAATCCAGGAATACAATCGATGTATTCTCGTGACATTGCCATAGCATGAAATCGCTCAGTCGCTGGACGCCAGATGTACGCACCAGCAAGTCGAGAGGTGGGGCGCCCGCCGTCAGCATGTTGTTGGTCAAGGTCTCAGCTGTCATGGTTTCTGGGTCCGGGAAGCTGGGTGGTGCCAAGTGAGCGTCGCCTTTTTCTGATCGATTCATGAGCGTTGAAGTGGCCGAAGAATGCCCAGCGTCAGCTGAACCCTGTTCCTTCGAGGACGCCGGGGATGCCGACCGTGACGACGACGACTGGTCGGAAGGCTCTTCAGGTACAGTTTTGAGCATTTGTTGCCGGATATTCTGAGTTATGTGTGTTTCGGAGAACGGGCGCTTCGACAGTGAAGGGTGGCTCCCGGTGGGTTTGCTATACACATCGATTGTTTTCTTGACAGCAGACGTGATCTCGTCCCGCGAGGTATATGGGAAACACACGTTCAGAATGGCTCTAGCAACGCAACGTCAGGTACGAGAAGAGATTGGATTGAGCGCAGGAAGATACCTTTTATTGCCTGCTGTCAATGCCACGGCTTTGTCAATAGCGTCGAGCACATCAGGCTTGACCAATTCCCGCTGACCAAGTATTCGGATCGAAGCACCGTAGCGGTCTAGGAGAGCTCCATGTTCTGATAACTGACCTAACTTAAGCTTGGCCATGTCCATCAGAGCATCCACCTCATATTTAGACCGCTTGAAGTTTTCGATGCTGAAAGCGTAGATGGTTACGACCTTGACTCCAGTTTTGTAACAGACTTCAAGGATCTGAAAGCTGGTCAGTCCATCGAAGACTCAGAACATGAGCGGAATGGCATACCCGAGCCAGAGCCTCGAACCCTAGGTTGTGTCCTTCGACGGTTTCAATCTTATGATCTCGTGCGAAGCGTCTGTTACCATCCATAACGAAGGCAACATGCAGGGGGATTGGGCCTTGTCTAAGTGCACCAATGAGCAGTTCCCGTAGCTTGCGAACACCCCAAGTAACCGGAGGCGAGGCAGCGAGCCATTTTCGAATCCGAGAGTTGTGAATAGACTCGGTCATGACGTTTAAAATTTGTTGGGGCGGTGACTTAGATCGGCTGGCTGAGGTGCTGAAGCGAGTGACGGCTGCAAAACACAATTGCTGCAGAACGCGCAAAGAAGGTTTACAGAGGAATTAATGATGAATTGGGCGGCATGGTGCAGAGAAATACAAGTCAATGGTGACTCCAGATACGGAAGCCCTGGTGATGTTGAGGCTGAGCGCAGTGACGCGCTTTCCAAGAAATTTAGTTGAGCCCGAGGACAGCCGGCGGTTCCTAGCGAACTTTGCAACCTTGCAAGTACGGAAACCACGTGATCTAATGGTTCGGCACGGCGGTCAAACCTAGCCCGATGATCCGCCATCCTTGCTTGTGTTTCTTCATCACCGTTGAGAAGCCGTCGTCTTTTCCGACCATCAGCCTGCGGCCCCCCCCTGCGATTCGACACATCGGAAAGCACGTGGAGGTCACACGTTCTACTATATAGCTGCTGTCACATCTCCGCCATGACTGAGAAATCGCATGCCTCCGTCGAACAGCTGGCGGAGCAGCTAGCTGAAGGCTTTGCGGCTTTGAGTGGAGAATATCAATTATTGTTTGACCAGCATAGGCTGTTGGAGAGCAAATTATCTTGGGCAAAACAGCAGGTACTATCCACAATCTCCTCCTCCCCCTCTTGTTGTGATGATTACCTTTAGCTCTAGACCTGTAGTCGCACTGCGGCGTTGACGAGTACTTACAACCACGTCTGACCTGTTCCTCTTATGAGACTTCATGACGCTGCTAGGTTCGACTTGCACTAACTGACGTCAATCAGTATCTCGGCCTACTTAACCGGCTGTCGCCGAACACCCTATCCCAAGATCATCTCGCCTTCCTCCAAGATCTCGATCGCGTGTCTGCAGATGCCAGCCCACGGCCAGACCCTATCAAGCAGCTTGGTCAGATTGAGGACGCAGGCAGGAGGAATCGGGCATCGCTGATCCGCAAAGCTGAATCCGCCTCGGTAACTCTTCGAAACCACACTAGAAGTAACGGTGTTAAGATCTGGAGTGGACCATTAGCGGATAAGGACATGTCGCACTTGGAAAAAGATTTCACTACACCCGGAACACCGAGCAAGCTCGGGTGTCCATTTTCAACCGGGAGTGGGAGGCAAAGTCCTCTCGCGACCCCTAGAAGTTCCGGCTCAAGAATGAGTTTGCGAGGTAGGAGATCTAAGAGGCCATCGTTCAACGACCCCATACGTGCTGAAATATGCGGAAACGATCCGATCTCAGCGTCAGCGTCGGTTGAAGGCTCTGCCGCAGTCTGCCCGATCCGTTTCCTAGATCAGCATGCACCAGAAGATGTAGCCAAGTACTTTGAAAACCACAAGCATGAGATACCGCGGAGCCATGAAGTGTGCATTAAACGATTCCAGAGTAATGCCGAGAGTATCCAGCAACTCGACCGCAAGTATGGAAACCTTGTTAGTATGATACAAGGTCTGGGCATGAAGCATCAGCCGTGGCTGCCGAAAGAGCCCGACGACATCATAGAAGAACCTCAGGAGCAGGCAGAGGGAGAAGCGGATGATAAAGTTGAGAAATGGGCTACTGCCGTCGATGCGAGTTTGCGGGGCTGTACGCCTGACCAAGAAACAGAGTCTTCAGATCCAGGCTTGAACGAGACAAGAACTGCTCATTTTGACCGTCCCCTCAAAGAAATAAGGGTCGGCGAGTCTCCTAGCCGTCCATGGGGAATTGCTATTCCTGCCAAGTATAACAACGCCGAAAGCTCGTCCTCCATCGGATCTCCGCCCACCGCCTCACCTGGTCATCCTATTACGACAGACCACCCCACCGGAGAGACACCTCGAAAGGCTGACAAATGCCCCTTTGATCACAATGCGATGGCAAAGCCTGCCGAGCAAACCGAACCGCACGACTCTGGCCGACCCGCCCTTCAACCAGAAGGGGTCACTCCATCACAACCCCCACCGCCACCAGCTCCCGCTCCACCCCAGGCGGAGAGGATGAACGATGAACCGGATACTCCAAGAATCATCCCTCAGATGATCTTCAACGGGCCTGTGTTCCTTGGCTACCCTCCCGATCAACTCATGAGCTTACTGCAGAAAAGCAATCTTGGGGCAGCAATGCGGTGAAATCCGGCCTAAATTAGAAGAAAACGCGTCTAGACAGATCAGACCCTGGTGGGGTAATTTTAGATTTACACGAAAGGTGGTATGCCAACCGCTTACTCGGAGCTTTCTTTTGGGTCTCGTTTGTGCTTGAATATGTCGTAATTCTTGTTGCATGCTTCCCTTGCCAGTCCCCTCCCAAGTAATGCAGTACCCGCCTTCCATTGTCCCTTTCCCCAGGCTATTGGCGCCTCCTTCGGAACACTAACAGGGATCCATTGGTTTGTTGAGTCTATTGGTGGAAATAGGAAGATTGCCTTGATGCAGATTTCTATCCTAAACCAGATCCCTTGTGAGTGCCAACACGCAGTCCAGGCGCCAAGACCCAACATCTCCACACCTTGTCTGGAACTCACATCGATAATCTTTTCGTGCACCTGGTTCTTCTGTTACTTTGAGTTTGAAGATCTACGAGCGTGGCATGCTGAAATTATTTTGATTAAGCTACTTTTTCTTTAGGTCTGCCATCCAGTTGCGAACACCTTTGGCGCTGTCATGCGCAGCCCGGAACACTGAAATGCAATCCTAGTCAGTGGAACGACGATGCATGTTGTGAAAGAATACCTACATTGTCTTTCGTTCTCATCCAGTCCTCGCATGAAGTCGGCGCCTTCGCCCAGTGCACCTCGTGGGTTGTGAGCTTGGTCGGCTATGACTGATGCACGTGCCTTAAATGTCTACACAAGTTTAGTCATATCCCTGCCGGAACATGATAGTCTATTAGGCGCGGTGACTGACCTCACTCAAAACCTCTATCATTTCTTCTTCTTCAAACAACTCCAGAATCCGCGCCCCCAAATTATAGAAATGCGGTGCGAGGGCCCGAAGATCAACGGTCCGCGGATCAGCTTTTAGTGCATTCAGGACACGCGGAGCAAGTGCTGAAGGAGGGTCGAGGGTGACCATGGATGATGTGTTCAGGCTTTGACTATATTCATGATGTAAGATAGTGGAAAATTCTATAATCTGATATTAAGTAAGTATACCTGAGAGCTAGCGTCTCTCCAAGCCAAAGCGGCAGCTCTACTTTGGAGCCCTGCTTCATCTGTGGCGAGCGTTACCTAGTGAACAACAAGAAGGCAACCAGTAAGATCTCACATCGCCACTCATGTTGCCTTCTACATATCCCAAGCCTGGAACCGTCAGCTCGAAGGTACACGGGACTTTCTACACCTGAATAAGCTCGTCAAAGGCAAATGCTGGGCTAGGGGGGATGGTCACCTGGGCATCTGTGAGGATCGCATCGACGTCGTAGTAGGAGCCCATCTTGGCGGCTGCGGCCTGATCAGTATATCCCTAGCGGATCTATCGAGGAATCTAAATCAAGAATTCGACAGGGCAGATGCAATGCTATGATGCAGGAAGGAGAGAGAGCTCTTGGAAGTGCATTGATGGTGGAAAGCAATAGGCGCGTTGCGCGCTGTGTCCCCATCCACCAGCTCGGAACAGGTTTATGCAAGAGTGTAGGAAGGTGCAGAGGAAATAAAGGAAACGCGGGGAACGCGATCGAATGGAATATTCTCGTAGAAGGGAAGTTTCGGGCGTCTTCGTAGCATGTCCATGGATTGTCCATCCACTTGCCTGTATTGCCGCCAATGAGTTACGTGTCTGAGTGCCTGGAGTGGACCTCCGTCGACTTAAGAGTGCGAAGGGTCCCGACTCGGTGACTCAGTTGTGCTGGAATCTTCCACTGCTTACTCAATAGAACCTGAAGCTGCGTTCTGGCGAGTTTCTCTCTGTATAGTTGTATCTGTTTTCGTCACTAAAAAGGCATCGCCGCACCAAAATCTCAGCCTTAAGACTCACTCGCCTAATTAGCGAGCAGCAGTCTAACCCTCCTCGTCCGACTTCACGTCGCCGGTCAGAACGAAGCTGCGATCGAATAGGGTCATAGCTCCCCTCTGTGATTATCCCCTAGTCACTACAACCTGGTGAGGCGCCGGTTACCTACATGAACCGCCTCTCGAACCTCGCCCACCCCGCCGAATAGACAACTCCAGCAGAACCCATCAAAGATAGATTTCTCACCACGGGCTTTTGTACGTCACGCGCATCGCATTCTGAGGACGAGGTAGCCTTGTCCTCCACTGGCCTATGTCGTGTGAATATCTCGTCACTCTCGACTCAGCCTCTTCATCCACAACCATCGTGCTAACCCTCTCCAGTGCCAGAGACAGCTCCCCCACCTCCCCTAAAGCTCATTGCTAGCTATTCTTTCATGACCCTTTCCCGAGCCCCACATACCCAACCGTAGTTTCAGCCCTCTGCAGCTTCCCAAACCATGGGCACCGAACGAATATCGCAGCTCATGAGTGCCCTCGATGCAGCTTCCGGGCCTGACATATCTCGTGCAACTTCCCCCGGCGGCGATTGGCGCCAGGCCAACGGCGGTGTGAACGGCTTGGACTACGACAAGGAGAGCCGAAGCCGCCCGCGGACCTTCCCATACCTCAAGTACCTACCGTATGAGCTGGAGGAGCAGGCGGAGAGGGACGACAATCTGAATACATGTCTGAAGCATCTTTATATTGCTGTGTCGGCAGGTGACTTTGCACCGGGCGCAGTGCACTGGACCCGCGAGCTTCGCGGATGGCTATCGCTCAAGTTCGACCTCCCTCGCCGCACGCGCATCAAGCTGATTCAACTCTATTATGAGCTTGCACTTGCTCCGGGTATAGACTATCTGGTCGCAGAGCGTTTTGCGAGTGTGTTTATGGTCTTGACCAAGAGGAAACACTATCTCCGGCCCACCAAGGACCTGGTCTTGGACTGGCGACCACTGTTCCGGGAGCTCAAGCTGTTTGTTCTCCCCTCTGAATCTGGGGGATCACACCCGCCCAACGTCAAGCGCAATATTCGGACCTTAACTAAGATGTGCACGTTTGCACAGCTCTATTTTGACCCCAAAGAGATCCCCGCCTTGTTCGAGGAGCTTCTCCCTTTTTTTAGTACTTCTTTCTCGGAAGGAGCCTTCGTCGTGGTTGGCTTGCTGAACCTGATGATCCCGACAATTCCCGCTCCAGAGGACAGGGACGATTTGCAGCCGCAGGAGTATCTCCCCACAGTCTTCCATCTGTGGTCATTAGTCAACCGATCGAAATACTTTGATGTACATTTTGTCGACTTCCTCTCCAGACTTGCCCGGGATTCTCTACCCGCAAGTCATATCCCCTTCTCGCAGCATGGCATCTTCACAAGCGAGCAGTCGTCCCTCGTGTTCACTTCTCTTCTCCGGCTGCTTGAAATACCCGTCGGACAGGCCACGTCCCCATATAGCACTACTGTCGATCTAGGTGCTGGCTTAGCAGTTATGCTAGACCGAGATCAACGAAAGCATCCACTGGCAAATCACATCGCACGATGGATTGTCATGTCGCTCTCGCCAGCATGCCTGGAACATTCAGATTCCGTCCTCAGCAAGCTGGAGGGACTAATCCAAGCCGTGGAAACATTCTTCCACCCTTCAAATTCCGGCAGTTGGACCAAGACACTTTCGGGGCTTGTGTTCTACCTGGCCGACTTCTTCATGATGCGGTGGAATCGGGAACATAGTGGTGAGATGGAGCTACCCGAGAAACGGAAGCTTAACGACGCACTGAAGCGGCGGTTCGTGCTCTGTCTGCGAGAAGTTACCTTCATGGGCATCTTTGCGAAAAGTGGGACGGCGATGAATTTCGCTTTGGCAACGCTTCAGAGCTTGGCCTATTTGGAACCGACTCTAATCCTTCCTGGAGCCCTTCAGAGGATTTACCCCGCAATGCAAGGTCTCGTCGAGGTGCATCGCACGATATCCTCAATTCGGGCTTTGAACATGCTGGCCAGGGTCATGGCGAGGACAAAAGGCTACCGATGTCACGTTACGACCGCGTTAGGGCTTGCACTGCCCGGCATAGACGCCAACGATTTAGAGAAGACTCTGCATACGTTGTCCTACATTCAAGCCGTTAGTTACACGGTACCATTTCATGACCTGACACAAGAGAAGAAGGAACCAAACGGTCAAATCTTAAGAGACGGGGCGGAGACACCGATGGAGGAAGCGGACACCGATACAGGCCTTGCGGTACGATGGATCACCGAGCAAGTTGAACGCTTAGAGTCCGCAAGTGGGGGTGTGGAAATTGACTATTCTAAGGAGCTCAGCGACCATGAGGAAGAGATGATCCTCCGATCTTCAACGACCGGGCTTGCCGAGTTCCTAATGTCCTTTCTTGGCCGTGTCTTTACTCTGCTAGAGAACCTACCAGATGCCTCTAGGGTTCGGAGCGGATCCCCCGAGGAAAATGTGGTCAATACTCTACCAGCGGCTTTCACTCCATTGCTCGCAGCGTTGTCTCCAGAGCTTTTCGACATTGCGTTAGACAAGATTGCCAATTTCGTCGCGAACCATGTGATTCACCAGTCTCGAGATGCGATGGCCTTCATCTGCAATGCTCTCGTTAAGGTCAACCCTGAGAAGTCTCTGAAGCGCCTTCTACCGCCTCTTCTTGCCGGTATCCGTACCGAAATAGATGACAATGGCGCTGGCTCCACTCGATACACCGGCTCGGACGTACTGCCCCGAGATCGTGGTCTTGTATGGAACATCGCCATCCTGAGCATGTGTGTAGTACACGTTGGGGAATCTGTAGTAGCTTGGAAGGAGGAGCTCTTTGAGATTGCCGAGTTCATGCAGCAAAGGTGCCGTGGCATCCCCACCGTTCATGTCTCTAACTTCATCCATCATCTCCTTCTCAACCTCACCGTTACCTACACGATTGATTACTCCATTAACGAACCCGATGAGCTGGAGAAAGGCCTCACGGGAGAATCTTGGGGTCGTCTTGTTGATCCGAAGAAAATGAGTATCAAATGGCATACGCCCAACACTGAAGAGATCAATTTTGCGGTGAAGCTGTTTGAATCTCAATCTAAAAGTGCGGTGAACGTCTTATTAGCTCTTATTCGACCGGACCCGCCCATCAAGCGAGACGGTACTGGAAAGGACTGGTCTGACGAAGTATCCCGAAACCTGGTCCTCTTAAGGCTGATCATCTCGGGGATATCGGTCCTCTTCGACCCTAGGCACGATGCTCCAACCATAGAATCCGATGCTGGTTCTGATCCAGATGCTATGGACACAGAAGGCATCGACGATGATGCAGGTTTAGGAGAGGCAGAAGACGAAGAAGTGAAGCCTACCTTCCAGTATGCGGCTGGATACCCACTGAAGCGGGATAGCAAAAACTACATGGTTATCCATGATCTTCGCCATCAAATTGGAGAGACATTGCACCAGGTTCACCAGTTCCTAATCGAGAAGCAAGAAGACGATGTGCCATGCTTCAACTCCCTCTACAATGCTTATCGGTCTTGGTTCATCGACGTTGGTATTGAGCGATCGGCCCACGTCCTAGATCGAGTGGCCAGGCTTCTTTCTATTGAATCCCTTCCATACAAGTTTAACGGCACTAGAAAGGAGTATCCGCGACCCCTCCTAGTCAGACGAGCCAATGTATACCATCTGCAGCGTCTGCGGCACAACGCCAATCCTCGCCCAAGAACAGAACTTGATAAGATGCTTCTACTTGATCTTGCTGAATCTAGCGTGTCTTTGTATACTGAGATTCGCCGGACGGCACAGACTGCAAATGAGTCCGCAGTTAAGTGTATACTGGGAGCCCGACCCCTGGTCATTCCACCGCTGCTTGAGGCCTTGACGAAGGCTGTCGATACGAATGACTATCCACGCATCAAAGGTGCCATGTTCTCTTTGCTCTTTGGTAGTCTAGCAAAGACGATTGCCCGAGATTGGAGGTTCACACCAACTTTGATCAAGGCATTTATCGAAGTCACTGGCGCTGATAAGCCTTCCGTGCAGAAGCTTGCAACTAACGCCACGTTCCAAGTCATGGACATGGGCAAGGCGATGGAGCGAATGGTAATTCTTGACAAAGATGTGGTTGAATCTATGTCATTCGTCATTGCTCCAGGTGAGGAAGAGACTGTACAAGAGACGGTCGCTAAGCGGCAGAACTATATCAGAAAGAAAAGAAGCCGCATCGAAGGCAAGAAGGCGGACCTGTCGATAGAACTTGTGGAAATTGGCCGAACCGCGCATTGGAAGAAGGTCAGCCGAACTGCCGCCATTATTGTCAATCTGGGGATGCGATACGACACCATAGCCTCGGATCAGATGATTGATCTGGTTACCAAGGGCTCCATCGACCCCCACCCAAGCCTACGAGGACTCTATGCGGGTGCATTGGTCGGCCTCTTCTCGGTCGTCCAGACCCGAGCCATCACTGGTCACAGTTATGAGAAATATCTGCTCGGCGAAGAAGAGCTCCCAGATAAAATCAGTGTCCCAACCCACGCTGATGATCCGAACTGGACGGAAGAACACCTCGCCAGCTTTGCCAAACCGGAAGCGAAGTACTATGTCGATTTTGACTATCCAGGCTGGTTGGTTTGGACCAAGACTATGCCAGCTTTCTTGCCAAATGCTCCTCAAGTTTCCTATGACGACGTGGAAAATGGCATTCGAGAGAAGATCGGAAAGCTGCTAGACCGCAATTGGTTCTCAACGTACTTTGCCTACATGAAGCAAGAGCCGCGAGATTCTGGATCTGACCGTTTCCGCATGTCGAGTGCCATGATGCTCACGCATGCTTTCGAATTAATCTTTTGCGGCCTCACTCAAGCTACTTTCGAAGACATTAAAGATCTCACCCAGTCTGTCTATGGAGACGGAAGCGACAAGCATCAGCACCGAGCTACTGCCGAGATCCTAGGAGCTTTGCTATCCTGCGCACCAGAGCTTCGTCCTGAGCAGCGACAGGAGGTCTGGGAATATGCGTTCCCAATCATTCGCGGTATCTTCAAGGACGGTCTCACGCCCGAGAACTCTTCGTACTGGACTACGTTCCTTCATGTTGTCCTGCAAGCCAAGGATCCTAGGAGAGGTTGGCCCCTTGTCGACTGGCTATCCAGCTTCAGGCTCGATATGGAATCAAATGCTGCCTTTAAGGAGAGCTCTAAAATCCACTTGCTTCAGCAATGCATATGCGATGCTGGATGGCACTTCCAGTTAGAGAAGCCTATTTTGAAGGACTTCATGGAGCACTTAGATCATCCATATAAGGGTGTTCGCGAAGCTATGGGCCAAACGATTGCCAGCATTTATCGCACGAGGTATCACGAGTCGTATAAGGATGTTTCAACACTTATCAAGGCCCAAAAGGAAGTATCGTCCATTGGTCTTCGTCCCTATGAGCCCACTGAAGAGTACGGTGCAACCATCACCTCCGTTTTCGACCGTCTCGAAGTTTGGCGAAAAGAGCGACCTGCTGGACAGCAAACCCCGTCTTCTTATACCTCTGGTGGCAAGACTGTGCTATTATGGCTAGATTCAACACTCTCTTCTTATGAATGCACACAGCTCGTCAAGTTCTTCCCAAACGTTTTCATGGAGCAGCTCCTTCACATGATGGACATTAAAGAAGATCCAGAACTGCAGTCTCTTGCCTACCACGTCTTCCGTCACCTTCCAAACATCCCACACCGTCAAGGCGAGGACGAAGAGTTCATTGCAGCACTCATCCGCATCGGCCGCAACGCTACGTCCTGGCATCAGCGTCTCCGCATCTTGATCAACATCCAGGTCATCTACTTCCGCCGTCTATTCCTCATGTCGGAGCGCCAGCAACAAGACATGTTCAACTGTGTGTCCGCCATGCTCGGCGATGTCCAACTAGAAGTACGAATGGGTGCCGCGACCACCCTCTCGGGCATGATCCGCTGCTCTCCTGCCGGTCTTCGGGACCGCATGGTTGAGTCACTAAAACAACAATTCTCGAGCATGCTAGGCAAAAACCCACTTCCGAAACGCCGGAACCCTGGCACACCGACCCCAGAACACAACAAACTCATTCTGACTCGTCACGCGGCCGTTCTAGGTCTAGGCGCCTTGATTCAAGCATTCCCGTATGCCAGCCCGCCGCCTGCGTGGCTACCAGATGTGCTAGCCACGCTAGCCAGAAAGGCGGCGGTAGATCCTGGGATGGTGGGGAAGAGTGTAAAGAGCATTCTTGCGGATTTTAAGAAGACGAGACAGGATACTTGGCATGTAGATGTGAAGGTAAGATTTCCATGTCCGAGCTTTGATAACACACTGTTTGCTCACAATATTTTAGGCCTTTCAACAGGAGCAATTAGAGGATTTGGAGGGTGTGCTGTGGAAGAGCTATTTCGCATAGACAAGAGAAGACAAGAGAAAACAAAAAATACTATTTTATTAAAAGTCACGACGATAAAGTCATGATATCATGACAGCAAGATGTCCGGTCAATAAACAGTGAAGCAACGCAAGGTAAAGCAAGGTAAAGTAAGGAAATAAATGCGCCACAAAATTGCAGGCACGATTCGGACACATTGTGTGTACTATAGTCTTGTGGACACGGTTTTGCGGATCTCTTAGAGAGTGAGCTCCTTTGTTGTTCTCCTTCTTCTCTGCTCTTGGCTTCTTTTGGTTTCTATGGTTACATGTGTATCAGTTCCAGCGACTACTTGCATCGGGTGGCGTAAGCTAAGACGAGGTATGAATGCTAGGTATCCTTCCCTTCTAGATAAAAGGTTTGCTGGTTTTGGTGTCATTTGATGTGATCTATTATTTTCGAGCTCTGGTCGACCTTGAAAGGACGTGGTCGTCAAGATGGGCTCGTCGAAACCAATACGCAAATACCCTCCTATACTACAACCCATAGCCCCGCGACACTATACCCATCTATCCCGCCTCAAAAATTCTCAATCCTGGTGCCGATTCCCCTATCATCTGCCAGCCGCACCAAATCCGTGCCCACAACAACATCCATCAATCCCAACCCCACAGACTTATAAATCACGTTCCCCTTTTGCAACCACTCCATAAGCCCCTTCTCAGCATCCTGCACCTGTTTATCTGTACCCTTAACCCTCTTCGCCTCTCCCAACTCAACCCCACTTCCATCCAGTCCCAGTCCCTCATCACCGCTACGACTCCCATCCCCTCCTTTAGCTTCTAACCGTCGCCTCTCCGCATCTCGCTTCAGCATCAATAGCTCACCAATTTCCACAATCTCGCGACCCCCAAGCCCCGCTTGAATAATCTCCCCGGCTTCCTTCAGACACGCATCCACGCTGTCCACGATGATCGCGCCGCCTTGTCGCACGTGTCGGTGGTGATGATGTCCGTGTTCGCCTTTTACATTCTGCCGCAGGATATCTGGATGGATTTCCACCATGTGCGGTTTATAACTGCCTATCGCGGCCACATATCTCCCCTTCTTCCTACCTTCGGGGTTCGTGAGATAAGAGGCGGGAAACAGCGGGGATAGCGACGGTGTCGTGCAGAATATAATGCTGGAAGCGCGAATCGTGGATTTCAGAAGGCGTTCGTATTCCGTGTGGCTCGGCGTCAGGATCTGGATCTTGGGTCGTACAAGATCGGTGGTTTCGGCTATTGGAATGTTTATGGTGGGGAATGCGACGGGTTGCTGTAGCGGCTCATATAGTCTCTCGATTAAATCGTGTGCGGATTCAAAAGTCCGGTTTATGATATTCAGATGGTGTATTTCTGGCCCGCGGAGCAGAAGCGCAAGACGTATATGCCAATAAGCTTGTTTGCCAGCGCCAAAGACAACGACATCGTGTACATTCGTCCGTTTCTTGAACAGCATGGTTGAAGCGAGAGCGGTGCGGAAGGCGGTGATTTCCTCGGCGTTGACGAGGGCACGGGGTGTACCATATTTATCTAGGAGGGTGAGTGAGCCCTTTGGTGTTGTGCTATGGCCGCTTGCTATTGAGTCTGGCGGGACATCGAAGGCAGTTGTAGACGAGGTTGTAGATTCCGTCGTCGAGGCTAGGGACAGAGAACTAAATGACTGGAGCGATGCAGCATCAGACTTTTTAGTGTCTGGCTCCGATAGCGTTACAATCTTTACGCCGATCCCATCGTTGCTGCTCGCGGGCATGAACAGGGTGGTTTGGCCATCACTGCGTTTGAGGGCGGTCCGCAGTGGTTGGTATAAGGAACAGCAGCCGTTAAGGTCTTCTTCGGTCGAAGTAGAGTAGTAGTGAAGAGCGTCGGCCAAGCTTTGCTGCAGGTCGAGGATGTCTTCTTTTGTGAGACTTGAAAGCAGAGTGCGGACATCTGAATCTGATAAGATAGTCAAAGGCATCTTGAGCTCGGAGATAGGGTGGCGGCGGCCACGCAAACACCAAAACTATGCTGCAATCGGGACTTTCGATATGTGGAGTACTTGTACAGCTTCGAGACTGTATGTTGTTAAGATGACACAAGTATTGACAAGATGTTGAAACTCAAGTGTTTTCCTTAGTGGGGGAGCAGTACCTTCCATTTTGTCTGGAGGAATAATCGACGCTACTGCCGACGGTATCCACACTCGCTTATTCATCACACCATGCGAAGAGTTCGCCGCAATATGTGAGTAATCTCCTGATGATTGATTCTAGCCCATGGTGGCTGTTTTTGGAAGCCCTAAACACCTAGGTATTGCTCCAAGCTCGCCTCATGCAAAGGTAAAAGACACGCCGAGCCTATGAAATCCCTTCAGCCATCAGCCATCAGCCGCTTAGATCTTGATAGCGCTCTCCAAGGCCTTCCTCCGCTTGTCCATGCGAGCGTTTGCCTTAGCACCCATGATACCACCACCCCAGTGTCGGTTCGTTTCGGCGTGCTTCTCGAGGTAGCCGTCCTTGATAGCAGAGACAAGCTTGGAGAGCTCGTTCTTGTCCTCTGATCGAACCTCGGTGAAAGCAAGCACAGCAGCAGTCTATTCTCAAATTGGTACACGGAATCTAAAGAGGTGTGTGTACGGAAGCATACCTTGTTGTGAACAACAGTGCCAAGCCTGGCCTTGCCCTTAACGATAGCATACGGAATGCCCATCTTGCGGCAAAGAGCGGGAAGGAAGACAACCAACTCAATGGGGTCAACATCGTTGGGGATCAATACCAGCGATGCTTTCTTGTTCTCGATGAGGCCAACGACGTGGTTTAGACCGTACTTGACAGTGTATGGCTTCTTGCTCACATCCTCCTTCTTCTGTCCATTGGAGATGGCAGTAGCCTCCTTGGTCAGACGTTCCTTCTTCTCAGCCTTGGTCTCCGGTCGGTACTTGTTGAGCAGCTTGAAGGCCTGGGCGGCAGCTATGCGTTGTCAGTCTTACATTCCACTGTCAATGTTCTTTTCTTTTCTTACTGTTTCGGTCAAGGACATGCTGGAACTGGGCGATCGCGGGGGGGACCTTCAGTCTGAGGTTGAGGATCTTCTTCTGTCGCTGGAGTCGGACGTATTGCGGCCATCGGACCATACGGGAGAGATTGCGGGCGGGCTGGATGTCCTGGCCGATGCCATAGTTGCGGGGGCGCTTCTCGATGAGTGGGTTCTAAGGGAGTGGCATCATAGTTAGCTCGCACACCTGAAGTCATGCTTGTGGGCGCATGCAGTGCTCGGTGAGAGTTTATATACCTTCGCTGGCTTCTTCGCACCGGCTTTTCCTTGAGGGAATGGCGCGGGCGCCGCTTTCTTGCCCTTTGGTGGCATCTTGTTCGTCCAGGCTGTCATTGAGAACAGAAGCCGTCAGCGAATCTCATTCACCAAGGTTCCGTGTCTCTAAGAACTGGAAGACATTGCTGCCAATCCACGCTCTAGCCATCTTCAAATATCGACATGATTCCAAACTTGGAACGCGCGACGTATATGTTGAAGAAAACAATTGAGGTTGAGAGAAAGCGCTTACCGTGTGGTTGTTGGCGGACGTCGAAGTTGGTGCGGTCGAAAGAATCGAAGAATCGAAGAATCGACGATGTCGGTGCGGGAAGTTGGCAAAATCGGTGCCAAGCGTGGGCTCGCTTGCGGAGCGCGGATGGTAGATTTTCCGGCACCAAGAATGCCTGTTCAAGACCCAGGCTTTAACTTGTCCATATTCCCAAACTACTATTGTCATTCATCACAGTCCTCCACGAAGTGGCGATGACTTGCGCTGGCCACAATGAGGGCAGTATCCAAATCTTTGCTACATAATCCTACCACACGTCTCCTTTTGGCGTTTCTTGCTTGGAAGGCTCTTTTGATTCTCCTTGCAGCATTTTGTCCAGGTCCTGGGTATGATACATCAGCGCTCATTCTGTCTGCCGATAATTCTCTCCGGCGTCTCAGATCCCAGTCGTTGTCTCTTTCCAGCCGCCTTTCCCTCAATCTTTTTCGGTGGGATGCGCTGTACTTCGTCAAAGCTGCCCAAAGAGGTTACATTTACGAACAAGAGTGGGCTTTCAGCTGGGCGTACACGCGAATCCTAAGTGCTGCAACTCGCTGTAAGTCACATGTCTTCACACCTTTCCAATTACCGGATTCTAACGTGATTTAGTTTTATCGCGAAATGCTGAGCCATCACTTCAGTTTTACATTTGGATTGCGATAGTTATTTCTAACTCTTGTCATTTCATATCTGTACTTGTCTTATATCAGCTTCTAAAGGTCATCCTGGGCCGTCAGCAGAAAGGGCAGATCCCGTTCATCGCATCAATTCTCCATGTACTATCTCCGGCTGGCTTGTTCTTGTGTGCTCCCTACACCGAAGCGCTCTTCTCAGCGTTAAACTTGTCAGGCATGCTCTGCTATGCCCTTGCCCAGGAATCTAGAACCCCCGCTCAGGCTTGGTCTGCTCGTCAAGATATGTACCTTCTGACATCAGGCGGCATTTTCGGCGCAGCAGCCTTGATCAGGGGCAATGGCTTGTTTAACGGGCTCATCTTCCTTTACGATGTTACTTGTAATATTCCACGTCTTGCGACTCTCCAGCTAAGTAAGGAAGAACTCCGAAGGATCTTCGTTACATTAGTTTCTGGTGCTTTGATCGCCGTTGGCTACTTCGGCCCTCAATGGCTAGCCTACCAGGAGTATTGTGTGCGACTCAGTTCAGGTGCGGGGAAAAGGCCTTGGTGTCATGATAAAATCCCGAGCGTCTACTCATGGGTACAGAGCAATTACTGGTGAGTCTTACCTACATAGTGTGTACAGCTGGCTTATCTTACCAGGAATGTGGGATTTCTTCGATACTGGACTCTGCCGAACTTGCCACTGTTCCTGATAGCAGTACCGACGCTCTGGTTACTGTTTCAATCAAGCGCTACAGTCCTGTGGGACACTCTTCAGACCCCTGTAGTCGAAGCTGCCGAGTCTAAGACCAGGAGCTCTGCGGACTCAAGAGCTGTCAGCACAAAGATTTCCACCTTACCACAACTAGCCTTGCCCCAGCTGGTTCTTGCTGTTCTAGCAACCACGAATTTTCACGTCCAGATCGCCAATCGCATATCCTCAGGCTATGCTATGTGGTATTTGATGATTGCAAAATGGATCACGGACCGAAAAACCCAAAAACACGGACAGTCACAGGTGCTATCCCAATGGGTAGTGCAGTGGATGATTATGTATTGTATGATTCAGGCCATTTTATTCGCGAACTTTCTTCCTCCGGCGTAGCGGCTTGAACGAGGCTTCCGCTCCTCAATATCTGGATCCGTGTGCTTCATATATGGCATCTCGGATATGCGAGTTTATTACCGCATTCGGGAACTTGCAGCTTAATCCAAAGTCAACAGTTGCCTTGGAAATCAATACTCTTATAGTGCACTCACGTCATCCTAATGGACCTGCGTTAAATGTATGCTGCCTCTTTCCAGCACTAAAGAGGGGTTTTTATGAGTCTATACTGGTGCCAGTTACAATTTAGTATTGAAGTCGGGAGCTGATACACCTCCTCCTATACCCCTCCGTAACTAGTGCAGAGGGCGTCATCCCGGCTTCGCGTCGAGGCCGAAGCTGGCCCGAGGGCTGCTCGCTGTCGCCGGAACATCTGTTTCAACCTTCTCTTTCCAGAGTCTTTTAATTTCTTTGAAACTGGTGGAGCTAACTGTTTTGCTCGTTGTGCTGGATTGCGGCACCACGCCCCACACCGTGTCACTCATGTGATCCTGCAGCTCTATGGCTGAAAACCCTCTGTTCCTCAACGCTCGGCGTCCGTGCGCCTCCTGTAAATGATACCTAATTTTGTTGACAAATCTCCTACTAGCATCCTAGAGCAATCTGAGTTGTTGATCATGGCACATGCAGTCTTCTCTACAGAATGCACAGCAAGAAAGGCAACACAGGCGATACGATGATAACGCTCATACGAGCACGTGGAATTAAGTAGAAGGGTACCGGATTCTCACCTTACACAAGACATTAGGGGGACAGACGAGCCATGCTACGAGCATTAAATCCTCGTGTGAGTGGTTAGTACCTCAGCCGTAGCCTAAGTGTTACAGCTGTATGTCGGCCGTTCCTCTCCTGGTTGTCCAAGAACTGATTCTCGTCAGCCTCCGACCCTCGATTCAACGTCGCGATCACCGGCGGATCCGAGGTCACCAATCCTTTGGAAATCAACATCCGAGCGTTTTGTCTTAGCCCTATTAATATGGAAATCCATGACTACTAGGTAGAGTACCTACATTGGGGTCACACGCGAATGCACGCGTCCAAGGACACCTAGGCCGCAACTCTTCTACGTAGTACAGCATGTTGTGTACACATGCCAATTGTCTCACAGCTCGTCCAGTACTGAGCCTCTGCTCTCAACTTCGGCACTCTTACTGTCTGTACCATGTGGGCGTCAACCCTTAAGAAGTCCTCGTCGACGAGCTAATCCGTTGCAGGATCTACTAAATCGCACTATTTTATGCAATCGAAGCCCAAAGATGGAAAACGGCCTTTCCTTCAGTTAGCGTTTTCATTTCACCAGAAACCTGATGCCTCGATTTCGCAAGCTAAGAGTGCCTCCACCGAAACTAGCCAGGTACGAAGACCTTCGCGCGTACACCTTTGGCTTTGTCTCTAGCCCTCGATCGAGGCAAACACTGAAGCCAAAGGACGTTAGGCAGAATATCGAATTGCTCATGTCCTCTCATGCAATGCTCTCGGCCTACATATAAAACGAGCAAGGACATCCACATTCTTCGTTATGAGCAGCTGAGCGATACCTGCAGCACAAACGACAGACTTCAAGATGGGGTTCCTTTCACTTGCTACGTTTCTGCTTTTTACACTCTGTTTTGCCCAAGAATGCTTCCAAGATAACTGCCTTCGAGCAGTCGGCGGGACGCGACGAGGACCAAATCACCCTGCTACGGGAACCAGCAATTGCATGAACTACATGACAACCTCAGTCCTAGTGGACCCAATGTATGAATACAGAGCAAAACTTAGAAGCCCATAATTAACCGTAATCTAGCATCATCACCACAACTGTTACCGTCCCATCGACATTGACGGTAGTCCCACCATGCTCTACGACTTCTGGTTCATCCTTTACTACCGTTAGCACGACCGCTTCTCCTAACAAGAAACGAGATCCAGTTCCTCAAGTTTCAACTATCACAGCTATTATAACGCATGGAAGCATCCCGTTCTACGCTACAAGTGCCTGCACGGACGAACATTACTCGAGTGCCTGTTCTTGCCTGGGTGTCACTCCCGCATTCATTACCACTACAAGCGCTGTATGTTGCTTTAAAACTGTGCATTTCCGCGAACCTTCACTGACTTGAAACAATAGACTATAATACGTACTGTAACTTTGATTATCACGCGCTCAACCGTTATGCCTTGCACAACACTGGCCACCCGAAAAACCACCTCCATATCGTCGACCCCGGTTACGTCGCTAAATTCAACAACCTCAGTTCCTGATAGCTCTATGTCTTCAACGACCTCAACCTACAATATCACGTTAACCAAAGGCACCTCAACTTCAACGACGGTGATCACTTTAACTGCTCCGACACAGGGCACAGGTACTGGTTCATCTGGTACATCTCCTCTGTCGACAATATCCACTTCAAGATGCACGACGACCTCTGGGTATACGACAAGGCCTCCGTATGCAAATAGCACTACATCCACCACACAATATACAGGGCCAACTTTTACGACATCGACGACTACATCACTGAATGTGACGAGCAGCATATTCAACCGACGGAGGGGTTTGGCAGCTGGTGACCGTTTGATGTTTGAGGCTTGAGAGTAAATGGTTTATGTTGTCGTTCAAAATGGGGAGAGGGGAGGATAGGAGGAGAACTGGGAGATTATATAGCTGGGAGAGGAGCAGCATTTGAGATAGGCATTTTCTAGTAAAATCTGAGTCAACTATCGCGATTGAGCCTCGAATTAATATGAGGAGGTAATAAACTTCCAGCAAAGTCGGTGCCAACTAGATCATTGCCGTGATCCTTATGATGCAAGAGTGAGTGGGGAGGGGTTAGTTATGAGGGTCGGTGCTAGTGTGCATTGGGCTAGGGCATCCATTTTGGTTGCTCTGGAAACGGCCGTATGTTTGCGCTTGGCAACGAACCGGGAACGACCATCGTGCCCCAACCCCAACACTTCCTTCTATATTACCTTTCGCCTTTCTATTATAGCCAAAACACCTTCTTCTATTTCTTACTTTAGGGGTGTGCCCTGGAGCCCCGGTCTCTGTTTCCCGATCTTCATTCCTGAAGGCTTCAATGGCGGCGACCAGTGCGGCAGTTGACCAGCGGGGTCATCGCCGGAACAAGTCGTCTTCGGTCCTCAAGTCTATTATTGTGCCAAAGAACCACAGGCGTTCGCCGTCCGATGGCACCACGCTAAGCAATCCGACGCCATTGCTGCTGCCAGACCATCCGCGCAGCCAAGTTCGATCTGCAGCCCGGACGCAGAATATTCCTAGCAACCCGTCGACGCCGCGCAAGTCTCAGGAAGTGAAGCAAAGCCCTGCCAAGGGACTTCACAAGAAGACCCTCAGCACAGTGTCCCTGCGATCGCTGGGAAAGGATAAGGATAGAGACACGATGAAGGGGAAGCAGTCAAGAGAGCCGAGCCGGGTAAGGGAAGAGACGAGGGTAGCAGAGAAGCCAAAGAAGACAAAGTCTTCTACCAACCTCGCTGCCATGTTCCAGAAGGCCAAGTCGCCCAAGGCTGGAAAGCGAACGCCCACACAGAAAGACAAGGAGAACACGACGCCGCCCAGCTCCTCCAATGCTGCTGCTCCGGTCCAGACTCCCATCTGGGCTCAGTTCAGCAGCCAGCCCTTCCAGGAAGTCACTACAACCAGCAAGGTCCCTCTCAACGACCGGCGAAGTATTGAGCAGGAAATCCGCCTCTATACCCCGGCTGACTACTCCCCCTCCAAACAGCGCAACTTCTTCGACTATGGTCAGCCCTCGCTGCAGAAGCGGCCAGTCATCAAAGAGCGACCGAAGTCCACGATCCTGTCTACCAGTGCGTCTGCCACCTCTTTGTTCGAGACACTCTCACGAAAGATGAATAATGACAGAGTTCCACTTTCGGACTCAAGGGGGAACGAGGGGCGGTCAAACGGTGCCTCTCCTCCGAAGGGCGCTACAACACGAAGCATGTTAAAGCGCACTAGCTCCGATGGCCACAAATCCAAAGAGAGGACGACGGCGAAGCAACAACCCAGTCCGCCGAAGAAGGGCAATCGAGTCATGGCTGCCGTCGCTGCTTTTAACGGAAGAAATAGGGAGCCACAGGCTGGTACGCCACAAGTCAAACTCGACCGGAAAATCGTCGAGGCCGAGTTTGAAGCTGTTCTAGTAAGCCATCTTCTCTACCTAACTTTGTCAAATAGTATTGATAGGTGGTCCATAGGAATCGAGGAACATCCCGCAACACCAACGAGCCCAAATGCGAACTCTCAAACTCGAGGTCAAGGCCGACTTTGTCCGCACTCACAAACTCGATACTCCACAGTCAGGCTCTCGGGCAACATCAGCGCATTCCTCGGTCGGTGGAACTACCGGAAAGAAATCAACAAAGTCGACTCTGAGCAGGTCCGCTAAATCTCGGGAAGACTCGGATGGAGAAGAGGTCGCACCATTAGAGGCTACTACCTTGGAGACCTCTTCTAAGCGTAGTCGACCACGAAGCAGAACGTTTACATTCAGCAAGGGTGACTCGCCCCTAAAGAAGCAAAAGGCCGAGGCTGCTTTGAACGAGAGAAAGTCGTCCAAGCCGAATCCGATCCCGAAGTCTCCTTCCTCAAGATCGCTCATCTCCAATGGATCCCAACGGTCCATCTCAAAGGGTCAAAAGGCCACCACGCCTGATGAGTTTGTGACATATATGCAAAAGACCCAGAAACCGCAGCAGGTGGAGGTAGGGAAACTCCACAAGCTTCGACTTCTCCTTCGCAACGAGACCGTGGAGTGGGTTGATGACTTTATGAAAGAGGGCGGAATGAGTGAATTGGTCAGTCTACTCCATCGGATCATGGAGGTTGAGTGGCGCGAAGACCATGAAGACCAATTACTCCACGAAGTCCTCCGGTGTCTTAAGGGTCTCTGCACAACCGACTCAGCCCTTAAACAACTTGCGGAGATTGCACCCACGCTTTTCCCTGCCTTGCTTGCGATGTTGTTTGATGAGGAACACAAAGGACCTAGCGATTTCACTACCCGCGAACTTATAGTTCAGCTCCTCTTCGCTCACCTCTCTGCCGCGTCGGAGCTTGATCTACCTTCTCGGGCCACTGAACTTCTGAAGTATCTCAAGGATCCCGTCAAAGAGAAGCACTCGTCAACCGTTCCTTTCATTCTCCAAATGCACCAACCCCGTCCATACCAGGTATGGTGCAAAGAGATAACCAACGTCACCAAAGAAGTTTTTTGGATCTTCATTCACCATCTTAATGTCATTCCACTACCCCAAACACCTACCAGCGCTGAACCAAAGTCATACACGAAGACTCACTTCCCTGGCCCTCGAGCTATTGTGCCTGCTGCTCCTTATGTCGGTGGAGTTGAGTGGGATGCCACCAACTACATAGCCACTCACCTGGACCTCCTAAATGCTCTCATCGCCAGTCTCCCGACCAAGGACTCCCGCAATACCCTCCGCAACGAATTCAAAGTCTCCGGGTTTGAGAAACTGATGGGCCATCTTCGGGCCTGTAATCCAAAGTACTACGGCGCTGTTCACGATGCGGTAAAGCTGTGGATTGCCGCTGCATCAGAAGACGGATGGGATGTTAAGCCTGTCCGCATGGGTCCTAGTGATGGTAAGCCTCCAGGAAGCCCGGTCAAGAGCCCCAGCAAGAGCCCGAAGAAAGTTGAGAAAGCTCCACAAATCCAAGCGCCTAAGATGGATCTGGGGTTTGACCTAAATTTAGATATGAAGTTTGAGAAGGAGGTTGGGGTGGTGGGAAAGAAAGAGAAGGATGATGATTGGATTTGACAAGCAAGTACAACTCCGCTTCTGAATTTCGGCATCTTGTTTCAAGTGGTTAGACTTCTCTCGACTAACTATCGGCCTTATATTCGACATGGTTGCAGTACCCCTTGATTGGTTGTTCCAGCTTGAATACCGGCTTTCCAGAGTTGCCTGATTGAATTGAACGAGTGAGTATTTGGATTCCACCACTTGGCTGTCCTTGGGACTACGAGATTCCATGAATGCGTTGGAATAACGAAGATTGTCTTGGAGTCGGCTTATCATCGTCAAGATTGTGCCCATATGGTTTCGTCTTGCTTAATGACTTTCAATCCAGGTATTTTGGCTGGATATAATGTTGGATAGGCGAATGGGATCGGTGTTAATCGGCGCTGGATTTCCTTCATTTTCTTTTCCTTTCTTCTCCGACTGATGGACTGGCTACAACACCGTCTAGGGTCGTTTTTGTTGTGGTGGTGGTAATGACTGACGATTTCTAACGGCTATGCGGCTACGAAACAAATATTTGCTGGCAAGGCAGACAACAAAGATGGCGGGCTTATGCATAAATGTCTCTGAAACCTTATTTTTGGGTGTATAGTATTTCTGGGGTTGAGGGGAGAATTATGATCCGGGTTTCATTGTTATATGCTTTTGTGAATGGTGGTGATGGTGATGGTGATGGTGGTTGAAACTGAGGAATGAATGCACAGAGTAATTGATTGACGGAGTAGTTGAACTTGTACTGGTCTGTCTAGGGTATCTCATTTAAAGAATGCCATTTCTCTTGGTCCCCCTGAAACGCCTAAAAGATACATGACAGCGAGCAATACCCACTGTCTAGTATCTAGTCCGTTGCTACCACCTAATTTAAACGGACCCGAGACTCCAATGCCATGCCACCTATACAGGCGTATATCTACAACTTCTTCCCCTTCCCCTTCCTCCTCCCCTTTTTCTCTTCTTTCCCCACCTCCACATACCCACTCTCTACCTCCCCCTCCTGTAACCCCATGATCTCATTCCCCTGCATCTCCCTCAGCTTCTCCTGCCCGCTAATAAAAAAACTCAAGTCCCGATTTTGTTCCTCAAGCTCCACTTTCTGCTTCTCCGCCTCCTTCAGCTTGCTTTCCGCATCTTCCGCCTTCTTTTCCAAAAACGTGATTCTTGTCATCAACGCTTCGTTCATCGTCTGCTCCTCTTGATACTGCTTCGTCAATTTCCTGGCTAGTTCACTCGCGTGCGTAGCACGGTTCGCTTGTCTCCCAACGTCCTTTTCCAGCGCCTTGATCGCCGCTTGTGCTTCGTCGTACTGGGCTTGCAAACTCGACAGTTCCTGTGACAGCAAGGTGACAGAGCGCGCGGCTTCATCAGCGTGGGAAGCGGCTTTCGCGGCTTTGTCTGCTGCGCGCTCGACTTGTTCTTCAAAGTATGCGCGTTGGGATTCGAGTTGCGAGGTTAGGAGGTATGTGTATTCTATGCCCATGTTGTCGAGTTTCTCGCGCGGGACGGAGTCGGATGCGTAGCCTGTCATAGAATTCGGATGGGGATGCATCTGGGTGCTAGCTGGTAGATCCACGAGTTTCCCATCGGCTTTGTTCTGGATAAGCCGGTGGACATAACCATCGCCCGCGTAGTCCCAGACATGTTGGGTGACGACGTCCATAGCGTAGGTATGGGACGTAGCTTCATAGTGCGCGAAAGCGTGCGCGGAGTCATAGCGCCCACAACCGATGTTTCCGCAGATCAGACAGATCCAGAGGTTGGCTGTGGAGCCGCAAACGGAGCATTCGTTTTCGGGCGCATCGCCATCGAGGCTACCGCCGCGGAGGATGAGCGAGTCGTTTTGCGTGTACCGGCATACGGGACATCCGCTGCCGCGCCATTTTTCTAGACAGGCGCAGTGGAAGACATGTTGGCATAGGATTGTGAGGAGCCCGGTTGTTTCGTCCATGCGCTCGAGACATACGGGGCAGGTGGGGAGTTCGACTAGGGAGGGGGTTGGGGGTGCAAGGGGTTTGGCCGTGAGGGTGGAAGGTGCAAGGGAGGGAGGGTCTACGGGCGAGGAGACGCTGGAGGGGAGGGGGGCAGTGGGTTGCTTTGTTGGAGCTGGGGTGAAGGGGTCGTTTGTGAGGTCCGGATAGCTGGAAGGGTCGTGGTTGGAGTCTGCGGTTTGGAAGCTTATGGATTTGACGAAGACGACATGGCAGTACTCAGGCTTGGGGGGGAGGCGTAAGTTCCCATACTCAAGAGAGAAGAGAAGAGAGGACTTACTTCCATGCTATTAAAGGCCTTCCCATTCCACTGCTTTCTCCAATCCCTCGCTCTCTTCGCGTCCCTAAATTTCATCAACACCATGTACTTGTTCGCGCGGCTCGTCCGAATAAGTCTGAAATGGCTAACATCCTCCCTCGTGCGCTCACCCACAAACCCTAAGAAATCCGACGGCGTCATATACGAAGGCACCGCCAGGATACACAGCGTCGTGCAATCCTCCTCGTTGAAGTCCTGGCTAGCACTTCCCACCACTCCCACATCATCATACAACCCTGGTGTTTCTTGGCCATCGCGATACAGATGCACAACGCCCCACCCAACCTCCGTATCCTTCAGGTCCGACGGCATAAACTTCCCCTTAGTCGCCAGACCCCCCGAATTCGACGCATGGGACGGTTGCTTGAGGCTCTTCGCTCGCGGCCTGTTGAGATCGTCGCCTACGTCCGGGTTCATGTCGATGCTCTGGATGGAGACGGTGTCGAACCTCCAGTCCTTAGGCGCAAAGCTCTTAGTCCTCCTGTGCGTAGGTCTCGTCTCCGGCTTGTTCACAGGCACTGGGCTGTCGTGGTGCTCTGAGAATGAAGCTCGCGTGCGCTGACTGAAGCGTCTCGCTGCTGGTGGCCGTTCGCGGGGGCTTGGGAGATGGCCAACGTCGCTACTTGAGGCAGCAGACTTTATGGCCGAGAAGGTGCTCGTTGGCGGGGCGAAAGAGGCCCAGGAAACAGTGTGGTGGTCGGGCAGCTCTGACTGGAAGATATCAGTTTGCGGAGGCGGCGTGAAGGTCGTCGTCGGTGAGGAGCGCAATGGGTAGAGCTCAAAGGTAATGTGGAAGAAGTAGGCTGGCATTAGGGGAGGGGGCACCAGCTGCAATGCGTGTTTGCAGCCAGTGTGAAAGGTTAGACTTGGACTGAAAGTTGCTCAAATACAGAAGCCTGTGAGCAGTTTGTGTTGGGCCTATTTCAAGGCTTCGGCTTGTAGCGATGGTGGAGGGGCACAGTGGCGCATGCTCTCAACGATTCCGCATGTGCACCCCAAGATTAGTTACAAACACAATAACGGTAACGGAGGGTACACTCCATCTATTTAACGGGAGAGTTGTAGCTGTTGCTTTGATTTGGAACAAAAGGAGTTTGGGAAATGTTTTGATTCGTTCGCTCTATCCATCATCCCATGAATCCATGGAACAGAAAAAAACCCTGCTTGGAAATTCATCCGAAGACTGCTCCAAGAAGCAACCTGAAAGCAGGTAGGGAATCAAGCGCCTTAATCATGCAATGTAAACCTCCCTATCAGAAAACGCCATAGTCAACCTATATATACTGCATGATACACCGTCATATGTAAAGGATTAATGCCAATGGCCCGCTGCCCCATCTGGGAAGCAACGAGAAAAAACAGAACTTTGCCACCCATGTGACTTGTCATGCTGGTTCCTGAAATACTCAGGGCATCCGCCTAAGGCCGTTCGATCGTAAAGATATTCGGAAATCGTGTAAGGGGTATTGCTTTTAAACCATACTCAGAATATGTGCAATCGTGAATCTTCTCCAAAGATCTGGTGGACCACTACGCAGGATCAACCTCGATAATGTCCTCCACGTCTTCTGTTTCATGCCCTTTTGAATTAACGACAATCCGGCGTCCTCGCTGATCAGGAGGAACGCCGTCGCGTGCAGCACCGAAGTCCAGGACCTATGAGCACAATTAGCAATGATCAGGCGCATTCTAGTTGCAACGAGATCTTACCTCGATGTAGGTCATGTTGTTCCGCTGAACAGCGGCCACGCATCGTCGTTCGTTGAATTTGACCTGCCACACTCCACTCAGGTCTGTCAATAGATCTTTTACAAATTCGCCTGTCTTAACATTCCACATCTTCAATGTGCGATCTGACCCAGAAATGACCTTTTGACCATCATGTTGGAAGCAGGTAATGGCACCAGTGTGTGCGCAGAGTGTGCTCCTGCACTGACCGTTTTCAGGATCCCAGATGCGCAATGTCGAATCGGCTGCGGCAGAAACAAGCCGTTCATGGCTCAAGTCTAACAGACCAACAAGTGAGGTGTGGCCTTCCAAGTTGAATAGGCATTGCCCAGTTTCGAGGGACCAGACTTTGACTAGGTTGTCCATCGAACCACTGATACAGCGGCTGCGCACATGATCCAACACAACACTATAAACCTTTTGAGAATGGCCTTGGAGTCGATGCAAAACATCTCCCGTTGAGATCTTCCAGACACGCACAGTGCAATCATAACTGCCGCTCACAAGGGTGTCGCCATGTGCAGCAATTGCACGCACAGAGTGGTGATGTCCGGTTAAGGCCCGGATGAAGTAGGGATTGTCGTGGTCATTAGCAGGGGGTCCAGCCTGCATAATGCTTCTCTCGCCTGCTTGGGGAAGCTTCCACACGCGTAGGGTTGAATCCCGCGAGCCGGTAATAATCAGAGGCTCCTTCGGCATCATGATCGGTTGCCCATCAATCGTCTCGCCAATCTGTGTAGGCTTGAGGATCACAAGACAGCGGACTGTAGACGTGTGGCCTTGGAAGACTTGTGTGCACTTGCCTCGCTCAATGTCCCACACGCGTACGGAACGGTCAGTCGACCCAGACACCAAAGTATTGCCTTCGTACTGCAGAGCCCACACGCCGCCTTCGTGGCCCTCGAGACGACTGCGCAAAGCTCCTGTCTTAGTGTCGTAGACATTGATATTGGTATCGTCACTTCCGGTGAGAATCTTGTCTGTGTCGAATTGAAGGCAGGTGACAACATGGCGTTGATGGGCGCGGAACGCGATATGTTTCGGCCTTGTGTCCTCTTCCATCCAGCTCTTTCGGATGAGGTGATGTCTCTGGTATAGGGATTTGAAAAGATGCATGCTCCGCAGGCTTAGTAAACCAATATTAGGACTCGGTATAGCTGCTGCTGCAACTTCTGCAATGGCAATTGGTCCATGTTGGAGTCCGGCAGCCCTCGCGAACAATGGTGCTTGGGATTTGGACGTGGATGGACCCTTTTTGCGTAATTTCTTGGACGTTCCATGCTTGCTAGTTGCCTTCCTTTTAGGTCGTCCCGACGACGATCTTAGCACTGCTCCCTCGCCGTCAATATTATTTCCAAGAACGCTCGAACCAGAAGAACCTGGAGAGTTCTCACTATCGGATTTAGTGTTATAGGTAGTAAGTCGAAGGTCACGCTCGAAGCTCTCTGATGAATGTGGATACTGCCACCCCCATCCCTCTTTTACTGCACGCTCTAGCTCACCATCGGGTAGGCTGTAGCCATCTTTCTCCAAGAGTTCTTTCCAAGCCGTCTCGTCTGTATCGATGATATGTCTCCACCTCCTTGACACTTGTGCAGCGCTGCACATACTCTTGACGTCTAGGTATTTAATGATATTCAAGCTTAGTTCGAGGGGAAGCAATCCAATGAAGTCACACTTCAATGCTGGGTTCACAACGTCCGCGACGAAATGGAGGGTGGGCTTTGTGCATCTGCGGAGGAGCTGATACATGACATATGTCTTCATCTTTTCCGGCATCGCATCAAATGAATCTAGCATGGTCGGAATGTCCATCACTGTAGGCGTTAGTAGCTGGGGATTTGGGCTTATTCCACCATGCATTTGCGGCAACTCAATCCTCCTTGAGTTTGGAGAGAGACCGTGTCTGTGCATACCAATGGAGTTCTGAGATATGTCAAGGCTCGAGACTTCGTTGGAATCATCATCCCCATCATCTCCAAGGAAAGATGCTCCCATGGTAGGTTGCTGTGCAAGAGTAGCAGCTGCGGTGATCGGTGACAAGCTGGGGCTTGGTAAGCTGGCATCTTGTGCAGAAACTGTGTCTAGTGGGGTTGGCCTTCCGGCTTGTGGGAAAGCACTGTCGTTGGTGGTGAACGGCCCGATGGGCTCCAAGTCAGTCTCGGCAATAGGTGGCGTGGCAGAAATGCCCGGACCGTCCAACACAGAAGTACAATATGTGGTTTCATGGGACGAAGGTTGACTGCCCGTTGGTAATGCACCAAACAATTCTCCTTGCCCTGTGTTGGATGGCCCTGGGAAGGACTGCTGCAGCCGCCATGGACCAGGAATGGGTTGTCGCTGGCCCTGCTGCGATGATGACCTTAGGTTTGCTCTTCTTGGGCCGATTCTCGCCTCTGGAATTTTGAAGAAGCCGGAACTGCCTGCATCCGTATCTGGGGTAGCGGGAACACCTTCGTCCATCTCCTCGGGTGTGAAGGTTGAACCAATCTGTGAATTATTTCCCATTTTCAAATCGTGACCAAAAGCCCGTGGTCTCTTGTTGCGTTGCCGGTGGTAGCTGGCAATTTCCGCAGCCTCGGCGATCGACGGTGGGGATGATGACCGTTTCCTTCGACCCGATACTGGTCGTTTTGCTGTGTGAAGAGTGGTGGAATGTGAGTGTGGTGCTCGGCTCGGCGTGGTGAATCCAGGGGGACCCTCGAACGATTCTACTGTCCTGATCTTCCCGTTCGAGGTGAGAAGGTCATCGTGGAGGGATTTATGCTAGAAGAAACGTAGTGTGTCAGCCCGAGCTCGTCTTCAGATTGTTATTCCATGTTGGAATGATGTTCGCAATGAGTTTGGTTCCAACACCGCATATCAGTAAGCGTACCTCTTGCACTTTCTCCTCAATGTTGTTGGCCTCTTCAAAGCATGCCTGAAGACCATCGATGTCAAAAGCAAACTTCCGGATCGATTCGGGGGCTGGGGTATGAGCAAGAGGGTATTCCTTCGAGTCCCTCTCTTTCAGGCTTCGCGGGGCTTTCATCAGCATCGGAGGGAGCGACGTCGTGGTCGTGGTAGTAGTTGTGACTACAGTTGTACGAGTGGCTTTGGCGAAGGAAAGCTGTCCAAAGGTGCTGTAGGGATCCATGACTTGCTGTTGCACGGTCTTTGATCCGGGGTCGCAGCTGTTGGCTGGTGGGACCGAGGCCATCTTGCACCACCGTGTCGTTGGAGTAAACGCACAGCGGGGTTGGGCCTCTGCCACAGACGCAGCTGCTGAAGTTGACTCGTGAACCAGTTCACTGCCAGCGGACCAAGTGAAGCATCCACTGAAAAGGTGTAAAGGGAGGAGGTCCTGGGGCCAGGACACGCAAGGATGGCACGGCGGAGGGGGGCGTGGGAAGAGCTACACGAACTCAGACAACCATGAGCTGGACCAAACCCTGCTACAAGGTAGCCGGAAGGGAAGTCGGGTGCAGGTGGTGGGCGGTGTGATCGAGGGCCTCGGGCAGTCACCGACGGCGAACAGCGAGATTAGGAGAAGGTGCAAGTGAAAACGAGAGAGGCAAAAATACAGGCCGTGGAGTGGAGTCTACGCCGCACGCCTACAAACACGCAGTCGAACCAGAGAGGGGAGCGTCGTCGAGGCGTCCTGTGCTGTCGGGGAGTAAGGGCAGGTTAGTGAGGTGGTGTTGGTGGGGAAGCACTCGGAGAGGGAGGAAGAAAGCACGCTTCGGCTACAAATCACGCTTGTCCGCCATTTATTTTCATCGACCTCTCAGCCACTTCTTTGCGCGCCCCCAGCAATCTCTCTTCGTGCACGGCGCGTCAGGCCTTAAGAGGCATTACTAAAACCACGGCTGCAAGTGTTTCATCTCACTCAAAGTTCACATCCCTTTTGCATCGCCGTCTGCTTGCTCTCAGAACGCATTTAGCTTTGCAGCGTGCAGCCTCCTCCATTAATGCTCCTACTATAGCTGCAGAGGCAGGTAAGAGGCAGAAGGTGTATTGCATAGCACGGCCGAGGTTCCCTTTCTGGCCTCGTTGCAGCTTTTGTGCGTCTTTGCCGGGCCGTGTTCGAATCTGACGGCGGGAGGCAATATGCGTCTAGTGGTGGCGATAGCTGGGATGCCGGACTCTATCCACTACCACCGCATTGATGGGTTTTCGGCCGATGCATGCTTGTATGTATGAGAGCAACTAACAAACTCACGGGAGCGAATGTAAACCGGGGATATAGAGCGCATTTCGTTGGGGTCTTGGTGCTGAGGAGCAATTTGCCGCAGCTATCTCGACTTTGCGTTTCGATATTACGACAGCTCTGTCCACCAATCACTTCGTCCAGTTTTGAAGGCCACTTCGTCGCTCTATGAAGTCTTATGTTTCTGGCTCCCACATGCTATCACTCAATCATAATTCATCTCTTTGCTCTGATGAAGGCCACATGTCCATATCGGACTACCTCGGGTGCGTGGGGTGCAGGATGGCCTTCGGGCGTGCTTCCTGGAAGGCACGCAGGTCCTCGAGTGACCTTAGACATGCGAAAGATTGTGAAGAACACTGCAAGGGGTGGATCGATTGAAAGGCAGTCATGGCACTGGCCAGTTGCGCAGCTTTACTCCAACCTCCGTTCGTGGAAGAACCCTCTCGTGTGATTTCCTTCATTTAATGGACTTTTGGAGGATCTCCGAGCACCTAGCAGACTGTCAAAGGTAGCTATGCTCCAGGCGGATGTCTTCGTTGCTCTCAGAATTGAAGTTTGGGCGAGTCACTCCTTCCTCCAATGCCACAGCACATGATCAGACGAAGCCGTATTCGTCAAAGCTCCTCCTTCCTCTTCTATATTTCCTTCCAAATTTCTCTCTCCGTCGCCCTTCACCTTCTCTCACTCACTCTCATCCGCATCAGTCAGCCCAGGTGACTCCTTCGCGGCTGCAATGGCCAGGAAACAGGCTACGAAGTCTCGCCCCACCACTGTTGTCAAACAGCTACAAGTGAGCAAGCAGAAGACGTCCACAGCAACTATCGAGACGTCGACAGATCAGGCAGTTGATGTGAAGCAAAGCACTGAGTTGGTCCAAACTCTCGTACATGCGGCAGTCAGCAGCCTTGCCTTCCTCCGACACCTGTTCGGTGAGCACTGTTTCGACGACCAGCTATACGAGGTCGACACTTCGAAGCAAACATACGAAGACTATGCCAACGGACTCAATCAAGCACAGGACAAACCTGGTGTATCCCGTTTCCGAGTCCTCAAACGGGGCAGAAGCGAGCGTGTCGATCAGCTTCTGGACTGGCTGGTGAGTAAACCCACCCTTAAACTTAGTAGAACATTATTGACGGACTGCTTCTAGGAAAAAGGTGCTTTCGATGCTCTAAAGCGGAACATTCTCCATGGTTTGCAGCTCTCGATCTTTGAGGATCCAAAGCAGCCCTCGAATGTTGTTGAGCTCTATACTTTTACTTTTCACTACACTATATCTAATCAAGGGTCACGTACGCTCTCTGGCATGGAAGTGGCTGGACCTGGAGGCAAGAAGATCACTGTTAAGACAGCCAAATTAGCCATGCACACGCTCATTCGTCAAGTGGTCCTGCTCTGTGGGACGATGCCGGCTCTGCCCCGATCCAGGTTCGTTCGAATGCATCTGTTCTATACCGATGACCGCCCTGAACAATACGAACCCCCAGGGTTTCAAAAAGCAGCAGGAACCTGCATCTTCTTCCCCAATGCCAATTGGAAGACGACAAGTTCAACGTGTGGTCCGATGGACGCTGGCTTTCACAAGGTTTCCTTGAAAATCTCACACATCCTTCCCTCCGATTCCTCGGCTGGTGACCAGGAGCAATTTACCATTCCACAGAAACTGACCTACACAAAACTCGCGAGGAGAGAGGACGACATTGTCGCTGACTCCAAAGCAAGACAGTCGGGTCTGACTCAATCAACTGGAGAGGTTCTTGAGCAGGGTCAACCCTTGCACGGTGGGTTTCTTGAAGTGGAACGTCTGCAACAAAAATCTGCAATTCCCATGGCGCAAGCTTCTCTACCAAAGCCGGGAGAAGCTGATATCCATTCCCTCAATGATGCTTCCAGTCCTACATCAAGCTGCTCTTCCGAGGAAGATCTTGATATTATCTTAAAGTCGACGCAAGTGAACTCCCGACTACTAATTAACACATCGACGTTAGGGGAGACGCAACCAGTACAGGAAGCGGAGGTACCGGTAGATAATGAGGGCTTGGGATTGCTAGGAGAGTCGAGCAAGACCGTAGCACCTTCCCTTCGACCGGAAGACCTCCGAATCAAGGAGCGCCTCCAGCGCATGGTAAGCTTTCGCTGTTTCTTAAAATAAAACAAAATAAAATAAAATAAAAGGTGCTAATAGCCAGTAACAGCTCAACCCACCAAACCAGGAACATGACACCCAGGACACCCTGAAGCAAGTCGAATCTATCCACAAGTTGTTGGTCGCGGGTGGTCCTTCGCAGCAAATTCAGCTCTCGCAGACCAAAATTCGGCAATTGGAGAGCCGGCGGAGCAATTTACTTCCTCCACGGCGGAGGGCAACGAATCTACGAAGGAGATCCCAATCACTAGGAACAGGAAGCGAAGGCGATGTCATCAAATGCCAATGCGGACATGATGAAGAAGAAGATGACATGGTAAGTGAAGCTAATATTGCTGCGGCGATCGCCTTGCTAAAGTCTCCAGATTAACTGCAGCTTCTGCGATACATGGCAACATCTTCACTGTTATGGATATCGGGGATCAGAGGACCAGAGAATACCAGCTGTTCATGCTTGTTATGACTGCTTGCTGCAAGGCAAGGAGCATGAGCTTCTCCGCGAGCTGCGATATCTGGCGTTATGCCGACGTGGTATTCGCTTCCTTGAAGCACATGATGTTACCAATGACAAGGAACTCGCAAACATCCTTCGTAAGTACTTCACTGGTCAAACGAGCACTGTAAACTAACACAAGCAGATTGTGACCTCCAGACTGCAAGCGGCATGGCAAATCACTTCCGCAAGGAGAAATATCTCGTTTCTACTTCCGGGCCGAAGAAAGCATCCTCTGGCAAGCGGTTTTCGCTGAACAAAGCTAACAGAGTGGTCGTTCTAATGATGAAGGAGTATTTTGACCCTTTGTCAAAGATTGCTCATCATGTAAGCTGCTTGATCCTTTCCAAGTACCTAGATTAATCCAGTTCGTCTACAGTTCGAGCTTCCCCTAGCCCAGTCTGTAGCTCAACAGCCAACGAATGGGGCAGCTGGTAGTCCCGAGGGTGCTTCCGTAGGCCGGCGGTATGTGTTCCGACAACGAACTGACAGCCAAATGGCACAAGCCGATGGAGACAGCACGGCCCAGAGGACTACGGCTTTCACCAGGAAGAGAGACCGGAGCGGAGAGAACACTGCCGAAGCAATGACGCCGAAACGACTTCGACCTTCGGAATCAATGGCCGTCCTCAATGCTGGAGATCCTTCCCCGATGCGCTAAGATCATGGAAGAGGTAGACGGCTAGGTGAGACAAGGATTGTCGAGCAGAGATTTGGCAAGCAATGGGGAAGTTTTCGTACAAAATTTACACCGCGTTGGAGCAATTCGGGGAAAGGTACAGGGATAGATGGTCTGGAAGTACGCCATCGGAGAAATGCATATCTTCATGTGTATCAGGTTTCCGAGTATGTGTTGTACAAGCGCGGGTTCACCCTGCAAAGGTACTGTACAAATTGTTTGATGCTGACCCTAGGTCTATAGCTAGGAAGGCAGCTGCACAGCATAATTGATGATTTTGATCCACGATTTGGGGCTGCGCAAAAGGAAAGTAAGTTTGTGGCGGAGGTTGCGTGATCCAATTCAGGAAAGCTTAAATGGGGTCCAAAAAGGGTGTGTAAATTTCGTAGGGCTGATAGAAGGGACAATTTATGAAACGTGAAGTGGTCGTGGGAAGGTAGAAACCCCTAATAATAGTATTGATGTATAGGCGTTGCAGTGAGAGTCATGGTACAGAGGAATGCATAAGGCTATGCTGCTTGTTATTGACAATGCAGCGGCAATGCGGAAAGGAGTTCGTCATGGGCAGGGAGTGGACACACAGACAGCTAAATTGACCAAAAAGGCAGAAGCCGGCGTTCTTGACCTTAAAATGATGGGCAGTTGATTGGTGGCGTTACTGCAAGTCATGACACGACTTCGGCAACTTTGAGCATCAGCAAGACCAGGCCCGCGTTGCAGACTCAAACCATGGTTTCCTTTTGACAGATTCGCTCGAGGCCGGCGTGCACTCAGCGTTCTTGATAGGGCCGTGGAAGGTCTGGAGCGGATCTGTATCTTGACGGGCTTCACGATTTGAAATAGATGAGGCCAATGATGGACTTAGGGGTTGGTGTGAGCAGTGCGGTGATCTTCTCTCCCATCTATCGTGATCTTTGGTCCATGGTTGGGATGGGATGTGATGTGCGACGTGATGTGCTCGCTAAAAGGAGGAGACTCTATCGCTGATCCGCCATGGCAGCCAGAAAGAGCACCGCTGTTGACAATCAGATGGTCTCAGTTTTCGCCGTGGCTTGCGCCTCTGCGTGGTCCATCCTGTGATTCTTCTCCGCGGTCTGCTTTTTATCAGCGTCGCAGCGCGCTTCCGACGGACAAGCGTCTCCCGGCCGGCTGTGTGACGTCTGATTGCATAGTGCGCTCTCTCGCTGCGGGAGTGTGAACAGAGCCGAGAGAAGACATTGCGTGTCAAGACCTCCGTCTGCAGAAGAGGTCAGAGGCGCAGCAGGGGTTGGGCGGTATCCTGGGGGAGCCCAGTGCCCGATCCGGAAAGCGTGGCCGCTTGTGGCTAGGATCCGCGCAGGGAGCCAATGACGAGTGTGGACCGAGTGAGACTATCTTGGCTGCCGTCCCCTGAATCCCAGAACGGCACAAACATCGCGGGCCTGTGGTCCAGGTGACAACGGGATCAATTCACTTCCCAGGCCTTAAGAAACAATTATCCCAGAGCAAACCCCCTGAGTGCTGCGTACCCTATAGCATCTGCACTCACCACGGCGCACGACTTGCTGGCGCTATCTGTTGTCCACCGCTCCCTAGTCTGCGTCCAGCTCATGCTGTCTTGCATAAGGGACCCTAGCGTTCCCCTCGACACCGTTGTTTGCTGCAAGCTACACTCAGGTACCGGCGGCTTCGGCGAGCGCTGGGCACGGAGCCAGCGGAGCACGAGCGAACAGGAGCCCGTAATTGGTAACCACTCGTCCTCTACTCGAGGCCCTCGTCCTTCCACCTCCACTCTTCAGCCGTCGCGGGCGGCGACGTGCATATTTGCTCGCTCATGCTCCCGGCGCCTCCTTTGCGTTCCAGTATCCTCCAAGTTCAATTACGCGTGCGCCGCCGCAGTTCTTTTGCAGCAATTGACCCCGAAATAGTCCCCTAGCAGAAGGCCGACAAGGTACCCTGATTCAGACCTCCGCGACCTCCACTTGCTGAGTCGAAATCTGTCTTAGACTTGAGCCACCAATTCTTCCCCCAGCAGTCAAAAACACTGGCAACCATGGGGCGAGGCCGCCGTCCTAAGTTTTCTTTTCCCATCCCGGGGCGGAAAACCGCCGTCAAAAAAGACATTGACGACGTGAGCTCCATCCCCTCTATTCCCTCTGTCCCCGAATGGTCTCCCCATCTTAACGACTCTCCCTCCTACTCCAAAGCACAACGCCTGCTCGGAACTTCTGGCCTGCCAATTCGTCCATCCTCGAGGTCACAAGCATCGGTCCCACAGAGCCCTGGCTTCATGACTATTACCGTCTCGGAGGCCAGCTTTGGCTCGGATTACACGGATAAGGCATCCTCGGTCGCTATGGAGGATGGTGAATACTATCGCGCACAACGACCAGGCATGTCAACTCGACCGTCTTCGAATTTGTTGGGAGCCGGGTATCATGGAGATGGTCGACGTGAATCGAATGGTAGCTCCCTCAGTCGACAATTACACCCTCGGACATCGAATTCCACCATGCGATCCTACTACGACGCTCAAAAATCACCACCCTCGATCTCCCAACAAACCTCCGCATCTGCAGTGCGCGACATGGCTCTTCGGAAAGGACGTCCACCCGTCGCAGCTTCTGAATGCAGTAGTCACGTGAACTTGGACTTATCCCACCTGTATCCAGGATCGGCGGACATCAAGAGACAGAACCGGAAAAGCAAGCCGCCACGATTGGATCTTTCCAGACTATTCCCAAAGCCAAGGTCCAACACTGGACATGAGCGCACCGGCATTCTTCTATCTCCAAACAAATTGGTAAATTCTCCGACCGCAATGTCAACCGTTTCAGAATATTTCCCCCGCCCGATGACCCGCGAACCCACACCTACCCCTAACACCGCCAGGCCACAGGCTAAGTTGACCAAAACCGCAAAGCAGCAGCAGGGTACCCTTGTTCAGCCCCAGCCCTCCACTTCCCCAGTCAGGCTACACAAGCGTGATGTCTACGACAGTGCCAAGATCAATGTCCGAAGGCCTCCGCGTGGAATCCAGCACTGGTTTGAGGGTCTCAGTGAAAGTAGTGATGAGGATGTCAATGAGCCAGAAGCTCCTGTCCGTGCTCCAATTCCCGTTGTCACACGACGGCCATATCTAGCTCCCATTAGGAAGAGTTCCTTGGGCCGAGTGATTCCAGACTTCGAAACTCCCCCTTCGCAGGCTTCGTTTCCTCCGCAGAGGGTTAAGAAAGAGTTTTTGGCACACTCCAATCAGTCAGTCGGGGTTGCACACCACCTCAATTCGCCAAGCCAGTTCTCACTCCATAGTCACGCATCCACAAAGACTAAAGAATCTGCCTTCTCAAAAACAAATTTGCAGGATTCGAGTGTCCTGTCTTTCTCGTCGTCAGAGGATGAGGGTGAAAATGTTGCACCACCGAGACGAAAGTTCGAGATTCGAGATAGCATCGATGATCATGAAGGAGATATCATCATCGGTAAAGCCCAAGCGTTCGAAATGCGTCCACGGCATCTAGGAAGGGCACCATCGGAATCGAAAATGAGCATGTTGTCGACATCTACAAACGCTGCAACAATCGAGGTTATGTATACACCGGAGCCGTCTTCGACACATTTCACCCTCCCAAAGGGGTATAGCAGCAGGAGGTCCAGTCACGTCCGGCATCCATCTGTAATACACGAAGATAGAGATCAGCTCCGCCCTCAAACATCTGGGAATGCTCCAATGTCGCCATCATCCACTAGCGTTCGCAGTTCAAGGACTTCCCGGAGCGAACCCAGGTTACGCGCAGAGCAACATAAGCTTATGGCAGTCACCGAAGAAGAGGAAGCTCTTCTAGAAATGATGCGTCGGAAGCGAGCGGCAATGGCCCAGCAGAGCTTCACGGAGGGATTTAGGACAGCAATTAACCAGGATACCCGGCAGAAGACACCGCCTAAGACAAGCGCCCCCCGAACATCAGCCTTTCTGTCACTTGACAGTCCTCTGGCTGCCCCTACACAGGCGAAGAGTTCTTCGCCACGAATATCCCTTGCGGGGTCTTTATCGCCGCTTCTGCTGTCGCCTCCCAGCCGAGGTCGCCAGCGCAAGTTAGCTCAAGATTTAGACACAAGCATCCTCCGAGACAGTTCCTCTCGTGAATCCAGTACCGCAGAGTCTGTTCATCCCGCCTCTCGATTCAGCACCCGTCACGCCTACCAGGTTTCACCGGCCCTCGAGCTCTCGCCACTGTCACCACTCGATCCATTCCCTTCACCAACCCCCACTATTGCATCTCCAACCACCACTGATCATGCATCACCCTTACCTTCCCCCGTCACCCCAGGCCTTCGCCATTGTGATGAGGATGTTGATGTAAAAGTCGCTAGCAGTGAGCCAAGCATGAATGGCGATGAGGAGGTAGCTATCACTTTAGACGGCGTCATCGAACCTCCGAGTGGTAGTATCAAGACTAATACGGTTCGAAGCAGCCGTGCTAGTACTCACCAGCGGCGCCGCACGGCGAGCAGTGGCGCAGATGTTTCCTTCACTCAACACAGACAGTCACCCGCACCTCTGAAGTCAACGCCGTCGGAGCTTTACGACCTCCCACCAGTCTCAGAGAGTTCCTCTGCGGCTCCAAGTATTGTCGAGCCCAAGATTCCAAGGAAGTCTTCTCGCCGCATAAGCAATGTGGCTGGTTCCACAAGAAGTCAGCACAGCAGCATTGCAAGTCGGACTTCCAGCCCTGCCCTGGGGTCCCAGAGCCGTCGAGTTAGCCGAGTTCCAAGCATTGCTAGTATGAGTAGCACTAAGCGTGAGAGCGTTACAACTGGCCCGGTAAGCACTCGATGTAGCGTCAGTGAAGATGTGCTTGCAGCTTGGGGCAGCTTGGGCGGATGGAGAGGCTACGATACTGGTCGTATTGGTGGGTTGTAGAATGTCGCAGCAATCTTTTCGCATTTTTTTTTATCATCTGGGGTTTTGACATTCTTGGGTTAGAGTCCGAGGCTAGGTATTTGGATTTGGGTCGGGCAGGTTTTCCTGGAATGGAGGGGATTAGGGTTTGGGGTATCACGATCTCTCACCTACATGTCATGTTTCTTGGATATCCATTTTTTCTTGGTTGATACCCAAGGATAACAGTCTTTCCTTGAGCTACTGGTTGCCTCCCTCGGCGTAACCTCTTTCTTTAGAGTATGACAACAGCAGCGGTCTCTGTGTGCTACTGGGCATGTTGTAATGCCCCTCTTATCTTGGCAAACTCGCAGCGCTTTGTGTACTAATTGCATGGTTGGGGATATGGATATACGATAAGCGAACGGCGATAATGTAATCAAGTTCAAGTATGCTCTTGCCCCTAACTGAAAGATTTTCTATACAATTACATTTCAAGACTAAAAGTCGCATCCTATTGAAATTTGCCTCAACTCTAGCAAGAGGTTCAGTTGATTAAATATAACCTGTTCATGTTTCCCAGCTAGTGTGAATGTGCTACAACACCTGTTCCTAAAGGTTTGTTGCACATCTTGCCTTGGTGTCTCCCAGGCTGTAAAACAGCGTTATTGATGCATTTGTTCTCCATTGTTCAGGTACTCTAAACCGGTATAGACCAAACACCGTGTGTTAACACTGGGAGGTTTCTTGGCCTGTTGTTTACTAATACTAGGATTCTGCTATGCTACTAAGGTAGTGCGACTATATCAACATGTAAAAATTGTAGTAAGTGCGTTCCCCTACAAGAGTGTAAGATAAGGTGGCGGTAGTGGAGGTGAAGGAAGCGGGATCTCTGCCGCGATCTTCAATTAAGAGACTCTTCATCATACTGTGATATATTTTTAGTGTCCGTACGCAGGAGCGATACGGCGCATAGTATCTATCTGGCCCGGCATGGGATCACGGGACTACGCACGTGGTGCCCGTGCGCGGGCGCGCCTCCTTAAATATCGCTCGCGTCTGTACATAGAGAAGACAAGCAATGACCAGAAATCTGTTGCCTACCCTACCTACTCCGTACGCTGTGCACACCGTACACTACTCTTACTCTTGCTACTTAAGTGCTCATACCATCAGCAGCTAGCTGAAAGAGCCCATTCAACATTTAGAGTCACTACTAACTTGAAGCTGTATCCCTAAAGAAAACTAGGAGGTTTGGTTCTCTTCGTCTGTCCTTGTCGATTACTACAGTGTTGTTGCTGAGGTATGTGACCGCATTAGGTGAGTCTGTGTATCACCTCAACACCATCCTTCCTCATTCTTGCCTTTCTTATGGCATATCGAAGGGTAAACTCGCAATCTTCCTTAGGTCAACTGAATCCTGTTTCTTGAGACTTTCAAGTCATTGATTGCGATGTGGCTTTTTCGATTGGAAACTGAGCGACTAGCGACCAGCACCTTCGGAACGATTTTCAAGGCTGCGTCCAATGCCGTCGCTTGGCCCCCAAGTTGGCAAGATTTGACAATTCAGCCTTCCACCGCCTGACGCACTATGACGAAAGAGTGTAACACTCTATTAATTACACTTTTTCGAGGCTTTTCGGATGCTTCACATTTCTCTTCACCATCCCTCGCTCTACCTTTATGCTCTTGACTTTCACAACCTGACTCCCAGCATGGCAGGAGTGCGAAGTGATTCGCTGTACTGCGATAGTATCGGAAATACCACATCTGATAAGCTTCATTGCTGCTATCTAGACGATCAGGGCGCGTCTATCTGCCAGGAAAACTTCAGTCCAACAGCTGCAACCTTCTCCGGCGGTTGCACGAATGGTGACTGCATCACTGATTGCCAAAACCTGACCCTGCTCTACAGCTCGTTGCTACAAAATGATCCGTTCGAAGGAAATGGTCTTGCACCGAAACGGCGGTACTTAACTTGCGCCAACGTTCCAAACATTGCCAGCTATTATTCCAATGGCCTCCTCGAACCGAACATTTCATCCTCCTTGATGCCATACTTTTCACGAAATACCACCGATGGTGATTTGAGGAGAATTACCACCTCTGTCACTGGGTGCCTCACATCTACCTGCAGAGCAGCGAGGAATAGGACGTTGTGCACTGGAGTCTGCTCGCCAGTCAATTTGCTCACTAACAGCACGAATCCAAATCTCAGAGGTCTTAATGAGTGCTTTAATACCTTATGTACGGGGCGTTATAGTTCTCTGCCGTATGCCGACGCAGATGTTATTGGGATTGGGGTGAGTGTTATCTCGTGCTTCACTTTCCTTTGGCTCACATGCTGGAAGGTATTTGCCTCGTATATTATGCAATGCATACTTGTAGTCCTCCTCTGGTTTGGACTGTCGGCGTTCGGATTTTCCCACGGGAGGAAATCAAGGAAAGTGAAGGAATACGGCCCAAGAAATGCCCAAGAGGACAGGACAAAGAACGAGAACCTTCTCGAAACATCACCGGAGAGTGTCCACACAAAAGTTTTCAAAGACTTCCTAGTTGAATTCCACAAAGCACAATGCTACTTCAGCGGCACGATTCAGATTGCTTCTTTCGCCTATGGAATATTTGAGACAGACATGCTGGTTACCTTCATGCTCATTCCCCTTGCAACGAATGGAGTTCTTCCCGTGGTCTTTGCCTTCGTCCTCCTCTTCCATGCCCAGCGGTCAACTATGGATGTTACAATCCTAACCATAGCATGTTGGATATTAGCTTCTACCGTGTACTGGATACTCTACTCCCATGTAATCCCGGTGAACTCGGAGATCAATTCGAAGGCCAAAAAGTTCCACGCTTATCAGCAGTTCATGTATAAACTTTCCGCTATCGACGCGTGTGGTGGTTATTCTGCTCTTGCAGCGTGCCCTGAAAATTTCTTCTTGAATAAAGATCCTATCTACAACGCATCCCACAATATCCGTGTCCTAACACCAATCATCTGGACGTTTTCGACCTTGTCGCTCTTCATGGTGCTGGGACTCAAGGTGATTCTCTGGTGGAAGCAGCGCCAAAATCATCAGACCCCGAATCATCCAGAGAAGATGCAGAATGGCGCTGAGGGGAGGACTCATATCCGCGCACACTACCCGACCTCTAACAAGGGTGTTTCGATTCTCTATTGGTTAGCGACTCTGTGCTTCCTAGCTGGTATTGGAATGCAGCTGTCGCTACTAGCAATTGGGACATCATTAAACATGATGGATCGGATGAATTGGAGCTTTGGACAGGTTGTGGCTGTTACAATTTGGTTGCCGCCTCTTATAGGGTATTTATATGATGAGCTGAAGGAGTTGCTGAAGGTTCGATTTCATATCTGTAAGTTCTTTTGTTATCAAACCCGTCAACTGATGGGGCACTGACTTTTGCAGGGAACTTGCCGAAGTAGAGCAGTAAATCATTGGTGATGCAGAACATAGGAGTATTTGTTCACAACTGGTTTGGAGGCAGAGAGTACACAAGACGCAGCCCGGTTCAGCGGGACAATGTATCAAAGATAGTAAACTTAAAAAAATGGTGTACACCTTCTCATTCCCTTCTAGTTTTAAGACACTATTCGACCTGGAGGCTACAGGAAGGCATTCTCTTTGATTGCTAACCCCTGTCCGTTTGCCATCGGCTTGGCTTTCGGCTTGTTGTCTCGCTTCACGTGTCGGGCAAACACCTAGATAATGCCTATACATCTTTGGACGGGCCCCCCAGCACCCCAATTTCCGAACTACCATTCAAAAATTCCCAGGGCGGGAAAGTTAGATAATCTCCGCTAAGCCAATGATCCACAAAGCCACTGATCCACACGCACCATGTCACTCTTACCAAGTAAATCCATTTTCCTATCCACTACTCTCCAACCCTACACCCCACCTCTACACTCCGCCATCCCGACCTGCGACATCTGTCTTGAAGACCTCGCAGCTCATTTCTCGACCACCACCACTACCGCAGGTACTAAGGTATCAGCGACTACAAACCCAACCCCAGATTCCCAAACAGAGATAGCAGTCCAGTTGACACCCTGCGGCCACATCTTCGGCGAGAAATGCTTAAGGACCTGGTTTGAGACGGTGAACACTTGTCCGATTTGTCGCCAGGAGTTATTTGTTAAAGAGGAGTACGAAGTTTGCGGCATAGACTTTCGACATGCATATGTTGGGCATACCATTGTCTTCGGCAGGGGAGGAGGTGGATGGAAAGAGCGAGATAGAGATAGGCATGAGGATAGTCATGGAGCTTAAATACAGGAGTGCGATGGGCGTTGGACGAAACAAGATAGCTATTAGAGAGATATTGGTCTAGAATGTACGCAGAGACTGATCGCTAACAGAGGTTTGTATCCTCTTGTTCACTCCGAGTTTTAGTAAGGCCGGGGAGACTAAATTTGCAATTTTCATAGAGCGTGGTAAACAGCAATATGCTAAAAATTTAGTATCCACACATAAGAAAAACGAGGGGATAGTAAAGAGCACTAAATAAACAAGGGAACAGCCCCTTGCCAGCGCTTTAAGCTTGTCTATATCCCAGTACGCCACAATTCTTGTTATCCTAGCTACGATCTGTTTAAGATAGCCATTAATTTCTTCTTGATCCCTAATCACAGTTGCGAGTACAAGAGGGCTTGCAGTAGAGGCAGAAGCACTGTTACTTTAATAAGAATTAGCTTACTAAGTAGGGGTGATTTATCTCTAGAAGAATTAACCCAGTTGTTAATTTGTGTAGCACGAGTTTAATAAACTCGCAAATCATACCAAGAGAGATTTATCTTAAAGTACTGCGTTTGCTACGTTGTAGCTCTAGACAAAAGTAGCACTGTAATCCGTAGGGATGAATTAAAACGCTAGTTACGCACTGTTGGACCCCCTTTCCTTCCTCCCAGCGGTACAAAAGTACTGCCCAAGTGAGAAGTAGTGGGCTATTTTTATGCTAACCGTAGCGTAATATGGACTGTTGGCGACGTTGGCCATGGCGCCCAATGCTACATCGATATCCGGCCTACAATACGGTAACAGTCTCATTTACTAACCCCTGTAGGCCTAGCTAAGGCAATACTCTCTTCTACCCAAGGTGCTAGTGATCCCTTACCCGACCGCAAATGCTGCGGCGACCCCTTATTCGAGATGTGCTGAGAGGCTAACGATTGGGATACTGAGTGTCATAGATTGGAGCCCAGAGTTGAGTTCCTGACCTTTAATATTTGGTATTTGCGTTTTGTTCAAGAAAGTACAGGAGGAAGGCACAGTGGTGTATGAGTTGATGCGAGAAGAACCCGAAGGAGCGCAGTTCAGCGTTTTCCTGGCTGAATGCGGGGGTGTTCAAAAGGTTTTCCCGAATGTGATCAAGATCGGGAGTCCGGTGGTAGGGAATAGTTATGTCACTACTGGGACGGATGTTAGTCTGTAGATGAGTGATGGTTTTTCTTTTCGTCAAGGCTTGAGAATGGCTGATAATATTGCGATGCTGAGAGTGAAGAATTTAAAATGGGTGTCCTGGCTAGTGTAATAGAGATAGAGAAATGGGATATAATTTATTCCTACCTAGCTTGGGATAGTCATAAAAGGAGAGGTTAAAAGGATCATACAATTATGATACCACCCGGGAGCATGCAAGGTGGAAATCAAATCACGATTGCAGTTCTTCTCCGGTGTCTCTCTATAAAACCTATTTCTAGATCGCCCACACTTTTCATGTATCGGCCCACCTTGCAATGGTAATACAGGTGGTATATACACATGCTACGATCCCCACGCCTATCATCACTAAATCCCCGGCCTTGATCACTCTTCTTTCCGCCACGCCTTTCCAATGCAGAAATGCAGGATAAATGTATACCAGGGGAACACATGCAAAACTTCCAATAAGGGCGACAAACTTATCTAAATCGCTTGCTCCTACCGCAGAAATTAATCCGCAGATGAGAACGAGCACTGTCCGAAAAAGGTTCTTCTTCCACTTGGTCAAAGCATCGCGCTTGCCAGACCGATAACCGAACAGCTTGCCTTCGATGATGCGGAGAGCGGGGAACAGCTGGACCGGCGTTCCAATGAGCACAGCCAGTGCGTACAGGAACTGGACTGCATTCACGAGTTTGCTAGTCTGTGGAAAATTCGTAATGACCTCCACACTAACGCGATCGCCAAAGGTGCCATAGCATAGGAATCCAACCGAGGTAAAGATCACAGTAATAATGGACATGACAATATACAGTAGTTTGTTGAAGTGCTGAGGATTCTTCATGCTGGATTGAATCGGAAGGATAAGGCCGATTCCTTCGAACGTAAATATTGCGGAGCCAACAGTAAGAGTAAAATCGCGCGGATTGAATAGTTCGATGGTGGGGTTGAAGCCTTTCGTGTCAATGATGCTGGAGATGTCGTACCAGTAGATGTACACAAGACCAACCAGAATGCATATATCGGCGATCAGAGCGGCGGGGCCAAGCTTCGAGATGTTACGGATATATGACAGCGGAATGAGGACAATCAGTTGAATGCCAATGAGCGCATTGGTAGATAGCGGAGTGGTTGAATTGGAGGTAACCGCATTGAGGAAGGAGAATAGATTGTCGGCGACGAAGATAATGCCTGCGCAGACAAAGCCGATCTGGGAAATGGTGATTGACCCAAGAATAAGGGTTCGCATCTTTGAGCCACCAATTGCCTCCCCCAGCTCTCCATAGCCCCCTCCATATTGTCGTCGGCATTGGAGAAGTAAATGGAAACAGAGGCATGTGAGGAGTGATACAGTAATAAGGGTAATCGACGAAAAGAGCATGCCACCATTCTTGAACGCTTTTGGTAGGAACATGATGCCGGTGCCGATGAAAGCTTTGAGGAGGGTAAAGAATGACTTGACGTTGGAGGCGTCCCCTTGAGCCCGGATCCTTGGACTCTTTCTCCTCCCAAGAAGTGGTCTTCGTTCGCCATTTTCTTCAATTTCGGCCTCTTCCTCGATGGATTCTTCGTTGTCAGATTCAGCAAGATCCTCTCCGGCAAACTGACCGTATAGTTCAAGGAACGATATGAAGTTCTTCGTTACAGGCGATGTGATGTAGCTCATTCTTCTGCCCTGTCTGTCGAGAAACTGTCTCCTGAAACCTCCGGGAACCAGCTGTTCGGAAACAGGAATTTCATCGTGATTAGGTTCGGGGAACTCTGTTGGATGCGAAAAGGTTGCGGCTCGATGAAGAAGCTTGGCTCTCTTAGACCTAGCATTGATTCTGTAGAGGTCCCTGTGAATGTCGCCACCAAGCAAACGGAGCGATGATTCTGCTGGAGTCTGCTCTGCAGAGCTGGATGAATTGCCATTATCAATGTCCTCGGGATTGGTGCCATCAAAGTCTCCGGAGTAGCCTGGGTCCAAGTGCCGAGACAAGACTCGAGCATCTTCGATATCTTGCTCCGGGTTCCTATTGGGAGTATCTGACATATTTAGAATAGAAGTGGAGTCTTAGAGACCTATAAGTGTTACACAGGAAAACTGGAGGTGGTCTGTGAGCTTGACATCATCAATCAAAGGGTTGCTCCTTTTTTGATGAGCCTTCCACTTCGTCAAGCAATTTGTAATGACAACCTAGGTCTTGTTGAGTGGATGCGAGAGTACTTTAGGTGAAATAAGAGGTAGAAGTGGACCCGATGTTTGAGATTGTACGAGAGAGGAATGCTGCTGGTGAATTCAAGATCTGTGCATACTTGGCACGAAGCCACACACGTGATTCCTCCACGTGAAAGCGCACGGACGTCTCTCCATCAATGCCGATTTAATTTTTTGCCAATTCATCAATTCATCAATTCACCCGCTTGCCCGCAGTGAACACGTTTCATCTGACCACGGACTAGATGGGCGCCATTATTAAATCCTTCACTGCGCCACTGTGAGTTTTGCTCCAACTTCGAGCCTCGTGAAATCTTCTCATATGCCTCCACCAGGTGAAATCCCTCCAGGGTACGAGCGAATCCCATCATCCTTCATGGCAAAGAAACCTATACCAGAAGGATGGGATTCTAACCTCCGTCCTATCCTCATATTTATATCGTATTTTTGCCTTTGTCTCTCATTGACTGTGTTCATTATCGGCAAACTCGCCACGAGTTACTATGTTCTTGCAAAGTCAAAGACCGCATCAATACCTCCAAGAAAACATGTTTTACTCTTCATATTCCTAGCAATCTCAAGCTTGGCAACGACCTGGTACCATATGGTTCGTTACTTCCAGTGGTCGTACAACATGTGGGTAATGTGGCGTTCCTTTTACGAACTTACTCCAGATGAGAAGCACTGGGGCTTGTGGTTGCGGCATACCTCATTGTTCAAAGAAGCATGGGAGATAGCAATAATAGGGCATGCGAGGTATTGGTGGACGCATCAGATTTTTTTGTTTGCTTGTGGTTTAGGGCTAGCTTTAGAGCAAAAGGGTATCATATCCTCCATTTATCCCTAAATCTAAGTTCATTAGCTGATGAGTCTAGGTATACGTCGCGGGATCAAGCACACTTGGGCTTTCATGCTACTTGGTCAAATCGTTGCAATCAGCTTCGCAACGAACCTGTTCCTCCTCTCGCTGCTCGTAAGCCCTCCACCAATTCCCAACCGGACACGGACGGCCGGATTGAAGGGGGGCGGGTGGTTGCCTCCGTGGCTCATCAGTGCCCTAGCCGTACTGTTAACCGTTTGGCCGGCTTATAAGCTTGGATCAGAAGACCTTTGGCACTCCGAAGAATTTATGCTCCCACTCCTAATCCCACACATCGCGCTGATGGTCCTCCCCATTGCCCGTGCAATAGTACCACCGAGATACTTTACCGATGGCGATATCACATTCTCCGATAGAGTGTACCGGTACCTGTGGATCACAACAATGGGATGCGGTGTTATGTTGTGGCTGCGGGAGACTGTGCGAGCTCACAGATATAGCGGATTTATCGGCATCTACTCTGCCATAATGGAGCACCCTGCAGTGACAAGTGTAGGTTGGGATGTGATATGTTGCTGGATCAGCTGGGTTGCGTGGTGGACAATACAACAGCAAACCCCGGATGACAGTGTTGGCTCTAAGGATGGTTCTGCGGAAGGAAAAGAGAGTGAACTGGAAAGTGTAAGACTGGGCTCCAGTGTATCCGGAAACGCTCTAGGAGGTGAGGTCCGCCGGCGTTAGAATCGAGCTTGAGGGCACATCCCTTTTACACAACGTCGTTAAGGTCGAGAAGGTCGGTGAAGATTCATTAATCATGCAAGATCGATCATATCATGGGGCGTCGAAGAGATATAAAATAAGTCCTAAATCACTCAAGCCAATTGTTTGTCATTGCTTGCACACCCTCGCTCTAATACCTCCATATTTTAGCATTGAGGCTCAGCAACCTGGTGCCCCCGACCCTCTTTTCGATAATTATTGACCTTTTTTTTCAAAACAACAACTCGTGTTATGCCTCATACCCATGGGAAAGTCGTTACAGTGAACCATCCAAAGCTTGTTTGACTACCTGGCACTTCAGCGATCTATGATATTCCCGAATTGGGGAAAGCCATCTAAGTGGGGCGACTGTTGAGCGACACGTCATGTTGTTTTGTTACTCGAATACGAGAAATCGCAATATAAAATTCCCTAGGGTCCGGGGGATGTCACACTGCAACGTCATATCTGGCCGGACTAGCGTACCGGCTTGTGACCTCGAAATATGGTCCAACCGTGGTGATCAGTAACTTCCGGGTTGGCGGGGTGAAACAGGAACATAAATTCCACATGCGCCGCACAATGTAGCATTCACAAAAGCAAGAAGTGAATTTTTAGGTGCCACATTCCGCCAACACCCACCGCAGTCGCTCGCTACCCTGCGCTACTCTGTACATCACCAACATGAAGTTCGCAATTCCAACCCTCGCTCTGGCTCTTGCAGCCTCGACAAACGCTCAGTTCTACAACCAATCTGCACCCTTCCACCTGATTCTTCTCTCTTCCAACACCACAATCAATGGATCTACCCTCTCAGCCTGTCACGAAGGTGCCGCAATTGAGGGTCTCTGTCTTAGCAACTCAATCTCAATTTCCCAGCCCGAGAGCATCGCGCCTGGAACTTTCACCTTCAATTATTCCGACTCAGTAGTTACACCCAACGTAACACTTGGATCACCCGGCTATCTTACATATCTCCTTCAAGGTTCAAACTTCAACTTCTCAGAGCCTATGGGTTTGTATGTCAATCCGACGACAAATGTAGCGCTCCCTCTGTTCTACCCTGGAGACAATTTAGCGACGGTAGTCAGCTTCGACGAGAGTAACCTGATGAACATTCAGGGGTATATCGATGATACGAAATCTCCAGCTGCAGTTGGCAATATAACTGCGTATTACCGCTGGTACAGTTGCACAACATACTACACTGGTTATACGTATGTGATGTTGAGTTGGGTGTTGGGGGCGAGGGAGCCGCAGAATCCAACCTGTATCAAGGTGAATGTGAAGCGTGTCTTCACTTAAACACCATACGATATAGGACTGGGCTTACTGCAATGATGCACGGGGTGAAGAATACATAGAGAAAAACAGCATAGGCATATAGGCTCAGAGGCCGAATGATAGCTATTGATGTTGTATAATTATTATGGATAAGATAAATTTATGAATGGGTGGATTACAACTGAGTCACAACTTTTGGAGCATATCCCTCGGAAGCGTTGGTCAGTGCTAGGCAAAGCGGTCGATTCAAGCCTTGGAAGTTATGATTCGTAATTCCACGGATCACGTTTAGCAGTTGGCATGGTCTAGTTTCTAAATAGGAGTCAACTACAGCCTTATTCACCAACATAGAGTGACATACCAAATTGCATCCCATCTTCCCTGTATCATCATCCCACGCCAAAGAGCAGTGTGATTTAAAGCCACTACCTAGTTAGTATTCTGAAGAACATGTGGGAAAATGAGCAATACCATCCGTTGTCCGAAGTCATTGTGACCACGCCTTCGCTAATCTGATATTGATAGCCGCAACCCTAATTTCGTTTCGTTAGTCTCCCGTTGGTCCCGTGAGCAGAGGGGAAACTGTACAATTTGTACACGGGAAGTTTGCCTACTTTCAATCAGTAGATGAAATGACTTAGGGGTGAGTGTGGAAGTTGCTTACGCGCTCCAATCTCCCTCGTAATACTTGCTACAGAACCACCATTCATGCCCATCAATAAAGCATGCCTGATAACGACCATCATTGTGCTAGGTATTGTTAGCGAGCTTCAGTTATAAATATATGTGGTCAGCTACATTTATGATGAAGTTATCTGCTGCAGCGAATCCAAGGCTGCCACAGAAGATGCCGACAATTGAAGAGAGGCGCATGATGGCTGTGAGGGGAGCAAATTCTTGCAGTAAGTTGGTACAAGGAGAGTGGCTCGGCCCAGAGAAAGTGTTCGAAAAGCCTATTACTTTATACTTACAGATATTCCAAATATGAGCGGGGAAGCATGGCGAGACTCGTGGCATCGGTGCCGCTAATTTGTATCTCCTATTGTAATTAGATTGAATTACGAGGACTTTGATGACAATACATGGCATCCGTCTATGGATGCTAGCGTCGGTGCCGTGAGCCGTTTTATTACGAATTGGTTAGGTAGGATGATAGATTGAAGTTGCTCAACTCTGCGAGTACGGGATATATCCAAGAAGACTTGGAGGCACTGCAACCTTAAGCAAGAGGTAGACGCAATGCCATTTAATGATGTTACCATGTTAATCTGCCAAGAGTGCGGAGTGCAAAAAGTAGAGAGGTTGAAATTGAGAATCGGGAAAGGCGAAAAAGTACGACCTCAACAAGTGAATCAGGTGAGAGTCGGATTGAACGAAACCCTGTTCGATGAAATAGGAAATATAGCCAGATGAGGTGGTGCATGAAGGATGAAGGATGCAGGATGTGATGCCGGAAAGAATCATAAATCACTAGTCCCAAAACAGACTAGCACGGATCTTTCCAAAATCTCAATCCGAACCCAATCAAATATTACACTATCTCTACCGCCAAGCCCTCTCTCCTATTGGTCCGGATATAAGCCGGCTATTGATTTGATTGGTAGAAAATCGGTAACCAAAAAGCCGCGTTACTGTTTGTTTTTAAGCTTCAAGTAATCGTTCTGCTATGCTACATGCTTGATCCGGTCTTCTTTTTTTCCTATCGTGATCGACTACCGCACGGTCGGGGGTGTAAAAATCACTTCTACAGTGTAATTTTTCCCGCTAAATGTAATCGGCTCTGCCAAGACCTTCCAAGCAAAGCCCGCTGCAGGCGAAAAGGGGGTTCCAGAGGATCTCCCCCTGGTTAAGCGAAACAGT